TTAAAGATCTAAATTTAGAAATTAATACTTATATTAATTTATTCTATCTTTAATAAATTTATTATAAATTTAGTATTTTTTTTACTAAATTTTAATATCTTATATTAAAAGAAAATATAAATAAAAATATCTTACCTATAATTCTAGAATAGGCTATTAATTAAAAATTTTAAAAAATATTAATATACTTTAAAACTTTATTATAATATTATAATTTTATTAATTATTTATAAAATCTAGAAAATTATTATTATTATTATATAAGTACTACCTTATCTTTATTTATAAAGAATTTTTAACCTTCCTAATCTATTTTAAAGCTAATTCTTATTATCTAAATTTCTATAATTTCTATTAATCCTATTATTATTACTATTCTTACTAAAGACTTAATAAATCTATCTATTATTTATTACTTTAATTATTAAATTTAATACCTATATTACTACTATAGTAATATTAATTACCTAATAAATAGCTACTTATACTTTAATTAAAGACTAACTAGCTATATTTTTATATTTATTACTAAACTAGACTTATACTTTCTATTAATTAGAATCCTACCTATTAAATATCTTATATCCCCTAAATTAGAAAATAGAGTATTCCTAACTTAAGTTATAATTAGGAATACCTCTAGTACTCTCTCTACCTATTAAAGGCTATAATAGCTAGAATAATAATAAAGAAAAAAAATTATTAATTTAAATTAATAATCCTATTTATTAATCTAGAAATTTCTAATAAGATTTTACTAATCTTTATTATAATTAACTCTAAAATTAAGAATAAATATTTTATAGATTATAATTAAATTATAAATAATTAATTAAAAATACTACTATTAAAAAATCCTATCTTATTAAGAAGATTTAATAATACTCTAATAAAATTTAGCTATATTATTTATTTTATTTATTTAATTTAAAGAATTTATAATTATATTAAAAAAAATATTATTTTTCTTATAATCTAATTTATATACTTTCTTATTATTCTTAACTTATTTTAATTAAAGATTTATAATCTTTAGATTAAATTTACTAATTATATTATTTTATTTAAAAATCTTTATTATAAAAAATATTATAATATATTTTTAAAATTTATAAAAATTTTAATATTATATAATATATTATTAAAAGCTTCTCTCTAATATCTTAATCTCTACCCTAAATTTTTAAAGAATTAAGATATTATTAGAGTCTTAATTATTACTTATATTATATATATCTACTATAAATACTAGATATTTATTATTATTATTATTAATATTAAAACTACTTTAAATCCTATTATTATTATTAAATCTAAGCTATAAGAGTAACTACTCCCTAAATTTACTAAATTTTATAATATATTCTTACTAAAGGAGGTTAAGTACTTACTACCCTATTAATTTAATAATTATAAAATTAAATTACTATTTAAAAAAATCCTATCTTTTAAAAGCCTATATAGTATATTCTAAGATAAACTAAAAATTTTAAAAAAATAAATTAAAAAAAATCTAAAAAAAGATTTTATTTATTTTAATTTTTCTTCTATTATATTTCTTATCTTATTTATAAAGAAACCTAAAGGAAGCTTATAATTCTATATAAATTATTAAGTCCTAAATATAATTACTATAAAAGATTATTATCTATTATTATTAATAAAAGAGATACTAAATAATCTAAAAAAAATAAGATATTTCTTAAAAATTAATATTATCTCTACTTTTAATAATCTATAGATTAAGAAAGAATAAGAATATCTTATTATTTTTTAAATTTAATTAAGCCTATTTAAATCCTTAATAATATTATTTAAACTTACTAGAGCCCTAATATTATTCTAAAGATTTATTAATAAAGTCTTATATAATTATCTAGATATTTTTTATATTATATATCTAAATAATATTCTAATTTATAGCTAAATTTATATTAAATATATTTATTATATCTAATAAGTATTAAAATACCTATAAATAATAGAACTTTATACTAAATTTAGTAAATATAAATTCTTTATATATAAGATAAAATTTCTAAAATTAATTATAAATAAAGATAGCTTTTAAATAAATCTTAATAAAATAAAAATAATTATTAAATAAGAAATATTAACTTATTTAACTAATATTTAAGCCTTTATTAACTTTAGGAATTTTTACTACTAATTTATTTATAATTTTTTAAAAATTATTAGATTATTAATTAATCTAACTAAGAAGAATATTAACTTTAATTAAATACTTACTTATTAAGAAATATTTAAATAATTAAAAGCTACTTTTATAAATATCCTAATATTAAAATCTTTTAACTAGTTAAAAAATATAATTTTAGAAATTAATATCTTTAATTATATATTTATTAGAGTACTATTATAATATAATAATAAAAATATATTATATTTTATTATATTTTTTTCTAAGAAATATTTTATAATAAAATATAATTATAAGATTTATAATAAAGAATTATTAATTATTATTTATTATTTTAAAAAATAATATCTTAAATTAGAAAAGACTTTATTACTTATAAAGATTATTATAAATTACTAGAATTTAGAGTATTTTATATTAATTAAATTATTAAATTATTAATAAGCCTACTAATCTAAATTTTTATTAAGATTTAATTTCTAAATATATTATTATTTTAGGAAGTTAGATATTAAGCCTAATATACTAACTAGAAGATTAGAGAATTTATTTAAAAAGGAGAATAAATAATTTCTTTACTAGAGTTAGATTATCCTAAAATTTAAAAACTTACTATCTAAGACTACTATTAATTTAAGACTAAATATTAATAATTAATATTAAATATACTTTATTAAATAACCTATTACTAATAAATTAATCTCCCTACTACTAATATTATAATTACTATTTAATAGAGCTTATCTATAAGATAAGAAATTCTAGTCTATTCTAAATATTTTAAAGAATAATCTATTAAGATACTTTAATATTATATTAATTAATTATAAATATACTAGTCTATACTTAAGATATTAAGATTAACTTTACATGCCTAACTATAATAAGATAAAAATTAAAATACTAAGACTTTATTATAAAAATCCTGCTACTAGATATTCTAAAAAAATTAAAATATATAAATTAATATTATATAAATATTTCTAGTCTAGAATTTATAAGTATATTAATTAATAAATTTAGAATTATTATTTCTATTATTAAATTATTCCTTTTTAAAAAATAAAATAAGAAATACTAAGGCCTTTATTAATTTTTAAATATATCTAGTAAGATATAAGTATAGACTTTATTATATATTTATTATTAAGTAATAGTTATAATATTATTTTAGTTATAATTAATTATTTAATAAAGATAAAGTACTTCCTCCTTTATACTAGAATAATTAATACTAAAGAAATAATTAATTTATATCTTAAATATATTTAAAAGCTCTATAGTATCCCTAAAATAATTATATTAGATTATAGAGTCTAATTTATTACTATTTTCTAGAAATACTTAATATTTTATTTAAAAATCTATAACTTATTATTTACTACTTATTATTCTAAAATTAATAATTAAATTAAATATATTAATATTATCTTAAAATAATATTTATAAGTATATATATTATATTTATAAGATAATTAATTTAAATAATTATTAATAATTAAATTTATTATTAATTTTATTTACTCTAAATTTATAAGAATATTATTATTTATAGCTAATTATAAATTTTACTTAATATTAAGATTTAAATTAAGCTATTTTATTATTTATCTTATTAAAAAAAATATTAAGAAATTTACTAATATTATATATAAGATTTATAAATTTATTTATATTAAGATTTTATTTATTTAAATTTATTATAAAATATAAGTTAATTATTAAAAGTAATCTATATATTATTATATTATAAAATAAAAAATCTAACTAAATATTTATAATATTTAAATACTTTATTTATAGAAAAAATTAAATTAAAAAAATTTTAAATTATATTATATTAAGAAAATTATTAATCTATATATTTATAAATTTAAATTATTTAAAAATATAAAAATTTATTTTATATTTAATATATTTTTATTCTATTTTATTATTAATAATCTTTTACTTAATTAATATTCTAATCTACTATTATTTATTAAAGTAGAAGGATTAGAAAAATAAGAAATTAAAAAAATTCTTAATTCTTAATAAATTTATTAAAATTATAGTAAATTTAAGCTATAATATACTATTAAATAAATTAAATATAATAAATTAACTAAAGAACCTGTTAAATATTTAAAAAATACTTATTAATTAGTAAATAATTACTATCTCTATTATTCTAAGAAATTCTAGCTAATTCCTTCCTAGTCTTAATAAAGCTTAATCCTAAGAAGAGAGGTATTATTATAATATAAAGCTATAGTACTTATCTAATTAGATTCTATCTTAATTATCTACCCTTACTCCTATATTTAAGCTATATTATTCTTAATCCTATTATAACTTTTCAAGCTATATCCTGTCTATTACCTAATACCTACTATTCTGCTATTCTATCTGGTTAGCTCCTAGTTAATGAATATCTGAATCCAACTCTGTCCCCTGATACTAATTTTACTAATATTATTATATTAATAAAGAAGCTAAATTATATATCTATACTTTACTAGATAGATATTTACTATTTCTTTATTAAAGAGGTAATTAAAAATAGCAGAATTTAGTTATAAATAGTTAGTAGAGAGGATAATATTACTAATAAGTTAATTAAGGTATTATTAACTATAAAATTTAATAAATTTATTAAGAAATTAAGTTTTAGTAGATTAGAGATAGACTCTAAATAGCTTTATAAAATAGACATATTACTAAGGGGGGTATGTTAGAGTGCTATACTTAGTGAATATAACCAGTACCACCATAAAGTAGATAGCAACATGTGACTACCCAGTATATTTAAGCCACCATTTCCTTCTAGATCTCCATGCTTCTTCCAAGCATCTCTCCTTCTCTATTCTCCTAGTTAGACCTAATTGAATTCATTTCGGTCAACTCTCTACCGTCATAGTTTGACGACCTTCATCATATATTAATAGCACTCAAAGCCTCCTTGCTACCTTGTTGGATGTAATGAGTATACTATAATGTCTTACCGCTGACTGAAGCATAAAGACCGAGTCCGCTGCTCAATCAAAGGTCAGAGTTTTATCCATTCCTCATCATTCCTGTTTCGGAACTGGGCATTACCATACCTAGCTGAATATCGCCATGTCGACAGTAAATCTTGTCAAATACTACTTCCACAAGACTATGTACCCCCAGAGTGAGGAGCGACTGCGCAAAATGATTGCTCTGGCCTACCAAACGGCTAGGGACAGGAAGATTTACCCAAAGGCAGTGTTTATCAGGTATGCTATGTTCCATCTATGGCGCCAGAGTTCTCCATAGTTCACGCCCGCATGAATACAACCCAGCCCATATCAGACTAGTGAAGGGCAACTCCTCCCATTTCAGACTCGAGTGTTGTTCAACCTTTACAGACGATTTTTTGCTCAGCGCTGATTATTTTCAGGTCTGAAGTTCATGACACCACGAGCATCAATGGCAAACGGCAGAAAGATCCTCTAGGAGATCATGTTACCCTATGTTACAAAGATGAAGACCAACTTCGTCGTGGCACCCATGTGGCTAGTCATGGCTACGTGAAGGATGGATCTACCCTTGAATTTGTCCAAGCAACACACCACGCCGAAAAGCCAGATTCGACAAAGAAGCGAAATCGTGAAGACGTGTGGCCATCGGAGGAGAGCCTTGCAGTTGCGCCGGAGATTGGATACGGACACTTTCTCGAGGAATAGCAAAGCCAATATGGGATGTATTAAATCACGAACACAATCAGAGGTGGAGTGGTGGCTATTATGTCGCCTGAGTACTCCCATCACAAGCAACCCGACCACCATCCCTTTCGCTGGGTGATAGCGTTTAGGCGAGCTAGATACCGGGTTAATAGATAGAAAGCAAATATAGTATCATCGCTGCTGTGGAGCATTACTCTGGTTTTTTGCTGAGTGTCGTACTCCAGTACACCTGGATCGCGCCTGGACTTCTCCTTGGATATCGCTCTGAGAATAACCTCGTGACCTCCGTCCAAGGCCGCTGCCCATCTCCCCTCAGCTCCAGTAGAAGATTCGTCCCATAGGAGGAGCTTAAGCTCAAGCGGCTAGTTTTCCGTACATCTCCGGCTTCACATACTGTGGGTGAAAAGTCTGACATGCAACGTGGTAGAGTACCTTCAAATAGCCAAGAAATGAATTGCAAACGCTCGTCGGTTGGTAGCGACACAAAGTGAGAACGAAGGGCGGCGAAGGAGTCACCCCCGGAGGGGGCTCGAGACCGTTTGCGAGTGCCTTGTCTGACTGTTGTGCCTTTTGCTTAGTACCTGCGAAGTGTCCACTGACGCGGTGATTCCCCAGGGCACCGTTGGGGTATGATACACCGGGACTGGCGTCGTGTTAGGAGGGGCGCAGTTGTTGACCGTCATAGATATAAGAATGGTCGCTTGTCTGAGTGCTGCCATTCTGACTACTTGCCCCTTTGCTGGAATCTCGGTGATGGCCAGGTGCGCCGTGGAGAATAGATGGAGGGTCGAAATATGAACAAATCGCCTCGGAATCGATAATGCTGTCGACAGCTGGTGGGACTGGGAGTTGGAGGTCGATATCCTCCCAAGGGGACGATAGACCATCCCCTGCAGAATCTCCCCGAAAGGGGGGCGGCTCGGTTGGGATACCCGTGTTGTCCTGAAGATCGCAGCGGGTAATCATATCTGGTTCTGAGATGTGAGGCGCTGAATTGTTTGGAAATGCCGTGGCGTGGCTAGGAGTCTCTAAATATGTATACGGTTCTGGTGCAGTTCCATCCGTGGTTGGAATTGGGAGCTTGACGGTGGTGGACACGGCCGAATGTCGGCATTGGTAGGCACATAAACTTCGACCGGTGGCCGCGCAGGGAGGTGATGCTTGGGGGGTGGCAGGGTTCTTGGAAGGGAATCATGGCAAGGTTTGGGGTGACGGAGATTTTGGGTTCTTGGAGAGCATGGCTTGGGTGACTTGCGTGGTGCGGATGGCTTCCTGGAAGGGGGAGCCCACGGCTTGAAGCTGTTCATGTGAAAAGCGGGAAGCATATTGTGGGCAATAAGAGGGTTTGGGGGTATATTATGGCAGACAAGTGATTGGAAAGAGGAGAGGAATGGGATGAAAGCTGGAGGGTAAAGTGTAGGTTGCGGGAGAATCGAGTGGAGATGCAACCTTTGCGGGCTCGATCGCCCTCTTTATACTTGCCCTCGGCTATTTGGTAGTGCACCATTCCGTCTCTCGCACCGGTAAAAGCACCAAGGCGAGTTTCCTCCCTCGGCATCTTCATCGAGTCTCCTGATGTGTCCGTCTTGATCCGCGAGCACTACCTGAGGGCCAGGATCCGGTATCCTGTGCTAATCGTATCTGGGCGCTGCAGCTCCTACCCTCGCATGTTACACATGCTGAAATAAAGGGGATGGATGCGGCAATTTTGCCTTTTGCTGGTAAGCAGGGCAAAGATACATAAACCGGTCGACCCTGGTCGGTTCGAAGACGGCTGTCGAGCGGAGAAGCCAGTTCACCCTGATATCACTCGTACGCCGCAAGCCAGACCCGGTAGCTGAATAACCAGGGTGAAAGGCAAATGCGGAAGACATGATTGCAGAAATCCTTAAGCTATATTCGAATTAAAGAGACCAGGTCATGAATTATTTCCTCCACACTCTTGTATTGTTCCAACCAGCATCCCTTCATGACAGAGCCGCCGACCAACTCTTCAGTTGGGGGGAAATTGTTTGATGAGAAGAGATTATCAACCATGTCGCAGTAAGATAATTTGTCTTCCACAGACGTGAATTGGCCAGGCGATCGGTAAGGCCAATGGTCTGTCATAATCGTGTAGAAAACCGAGCCTAGGCTGAAGATATCTGTTGCCTTAGTTGAAACCCAAGGTTTGCTTGGATTGAAAAAGCCGGAATCAGGTAGATGTCCCCCATCTATGGTCCCACTCGCGGAGCCGCCGAAATCACAGAGTAAAAGGTCACTGTTGTGCAATAGGAAGTTCTCAACTCGTAGATCTGAGTGTATAACACCTTTCTGGTGAATAAAGCAAACGGCTTCTGCGGCTTGTGAGCACCATTTTAAGCGTAAGGCTGGACTAGTCGTGCCAATATGCTGGTCGAGGAAGGCCTGGAGGTTTCCGCCATTAGCTTCAGCGAACTGCAACCCTCGAGGGTTGTGTGAAACACCAAGAAATCTGCAATACCGTTAAACCTGGTCGAAGGCCATGGCTCTGATAACTTACGGTATAACCCTAGGGTGTGGGCCTAGGATTTGGAGGATCTGCTCCTCAACCTCAAAGCTTTTCTTGATGTCCTTGACAAGATCACGAGTCGGTTCAGCGGACAAATGCCACCAGGAATAGCGGGGAGTCTTTAGAACAAGACCATATTTTATTCGCGTGACAAAGGCAGTCGAGCCGTTGCTTAGTAATTCCCCGGGGGGAGGTTCGTTGGGTATCAGAGGCTCGTCAAGATGGTTAACCTGAGAGTTGTTGTTGTCTCCGTGTTGTTCAATGTCTGTATCGGGCTTTGGCGCATCAAGTTGAGAAGGTAACAAGTGCGCGATCCTCAGGGCAAAGTAGAAGACCATAGATGGATGACCTTATCCACAAATGGAATCTGCGAAAATCGAACATGATTTTGGAAAAAGGAAACCCCGAAACTGATTCATAATTAACAGTGAATCGAAAAATTAGTTCCTGTTGCTACTTACCTCCTGCTGAGTATAGGGAGCTTAGCAGTGCAAACACTGCAAATACACCAAACCCAACAGACGCGGCTCCACCAAACCGCGAATAGCGCAGTTTGGCTAAAAATATTAGGGCAGACGTGCTGGGAGTTCGGCAGCCGAGGTAATGAGGCTAGCAAAAGCTATATATTAGAGGTGGTGAGTGTAGGCGAGAAGGATGCAGGGTTACTGTGGTTTAGGGCTCCTAAAACAAAAAAAAAAAAATCATGTGTTACATTTCAGAGAGAGAATGTTAAATATCATAAGCCCAAATGTCTATTCAAGCCACCATCAAAAAAAAAATCCATACTCCTTTAAGAATAAAGCCCAACTTGACAGATACCGCTATGCTCAGCTTGAGTGCGCTGTCTCTGTCGAAGTATGAGGTTTTAGATTCCTGGGCAAATGGATGTCTTTGGTGATTTCAAAGCTTTGTTGCAACCAGCTACCTGCTTCTGCGATGGCCTGGCTGAGGTTAAAGCTTTCTGCCCCTTGGCCATCTTGCGCCGTTTGGGGGGTGGTGCCTGTAGTCATTGGCAGGATGCTTTTATGCGAGTCAACGGTGGCATCTTTGTGACACTCTGGCTCGTGGGGCGAGATGCTTCCGCAACTTTCTTGGTCGGACTTCGGGTGCTCGGAAGGCATCTCAGAGGGAGAATACAGGGCGAAACTTGTTGTTTTCTGCTTCTTGGTTCTTGAACCCTCCATTCTAGATGATACTGAACGGCGATCCGCTCTCTTGTCGGCGCTAAATGTAAATGGTGTGATAGCATCAATCATGTACTGTGTGCTGATGAATTGTGCTCCCGAGTTTCCTAGCGCATTGGGCCGCTCACCTACAAGAGCCTGATTGGGGGTATTTATGTGATGAAAGGGTGTAATGTTGACCGAATTTGGAGAGTGATGGTTTGAGCTTCGCGACGCCGCACGCCTTTTTTTGCCAGATGCCAAGGGGCGGCATTTTGGGCTGTCAAGATCGTGTTGGAATGATTTCTGTGCCATCAAGACCGCTGCTTGAGTGGATAGCTGAGGCTCTATGTTATGGTCATCGGTCCGGTCTGAGTTGCCTTTAGATATCGCGATAGAATAAAGAGAAGTGATGTTATCATGTGTCGGTGGATTTTCACGCACGTGCTGGGCAGATGGTAGATTCTCACTTGTGTTCCGTTGTTGGGGGTCACTAGGTAATGGTTTCTCAAGATTGGGCATAGACGGGTTTTCGATGGTTCCAGAAGCGTTTGCTAAGGTCATTGAATCATCAAAAGTTCGCGTTATGTCCTCTGGTTGAGAGTGGCGCGGCCCGTGCATCGAAGGTGACCTTGCTATATTTTCATTTGAGGACGAACCACGAAACCTAGGGGGTTGGCCCTTGGCTCTCCCATCAATAATTCCATCAGAAATGGGTTTGTCGGCATGTGCATCGGTTGCGCCATTTTTCTTTAGACGGTATTCGAATTTCGGCAACTGTGAAGATGAGGAAGCTACATGAAGTGAATTGCCTTCATCTGCTTGTTGGTCATAACTCGTATTCAAGTTGGAAGTATGCCGTCCGCCCGTGGAGGATATACCCTGCCCTGGTAGATTCTGGGGAGTCCGCCCACTCTGATTTGACTGTTTCGGTTGAGGGCTTTTTAAGGACCTGGCGGGTTCGGGTTCGGCCGTTTCTTCTCTTCTGCATGTAGGATGCGTCTTTGCCAAATTGCCTTTTCTTTTATTATGACGGGAGGATATACTGGTTGTTGGCGACGTTGGAGGATCAATATTCTGGAATCGCGTTGAGACGTTGTCTTTGCGCAGCCAAGTTTTGCTGGGTTGGTCAACGTGTGTCACGCGCGGAGATTCGCTTCGGGTACCAGCTGCAGATTTCTGTACAAAGCGAGTATATGATGGTGTCAGTTGAGTTTTTGATTGTGTTGGGCGAGAAGCTGCTGGTAAATCGGGAGGTTGTCGGCGCTTCCCAGACTGCGTTTCTGGTATGGAAGGTTGCGTCGGCTGTTCCTTTTCTTTCGATGACCGACCACGACTGCGCTGACCATTTGTGATCTTGCTGCCGTCCTTTTTCCACGGGTTATTCCAGTCTTTCCCAAATGGGCCACGGAGAGACGCAGACAGAATAAAGAGAGGAGTGCCTTCGAGATAAGCTTCAGCAAGCTCCTCAATTCTCTGGCGCCGAGCGGTGCGCTGAACCTTGTCCAACCCATCATCGGAATCAATTACCCCTTCATCATCGAGGTTTGGAGCAAGATTCGAGCATGTTTCTAGTGCAAGAGGGGAGCCTGGTTGACGGGGTAGCATCTGTAGGAGGCGGGGTCATTAATGGTGATGGTTGTTTACAGTGCCGCAGCAGCAGGTCACTGTGGTCGTCGTAGGGAAACGCAAGAAGTACTTCTGCGAAGAGATCCTCATATCTTCTGCATCGAATGTAGAGCGGAGTATTCGTAGGACAGGTCCAATCTAGGACACTTTTTTTTTCACCCTGAGAGAACGCGAAACGAAGCCACTTAACGCGTTTGCCGGATACCCCAGCAACGTTAACGATTAGGCAGCGCTTACTGTGTAGTTATGTCCGAGGTCGGGGCACAGGACTTGGAACTTTTCTATAATTATCGGCATCTCCAGATCTACACCAAACTAAGAGACATCTTTCTAAACTTCAGAATTGTTTAAACTATCCTAACTGAATAGATCCTTATTACTGCGGAATCCTGCACCAATGTCATGTAGCCCCCGTTGGCGAATCACGTGGATGCATAGCGGAAGACCTCTGTTCTAGGTACCATGCTGTATGACAGTTTCTTGTCACTGGAGCTAGCCAGTCGGATTCTTGAGACAAGCCGAACCGTGGTCTCGTACCTACGGAGTATATGCTTCCTTGTTCCAGACTGGAATAGTTAGCTAACGTGCCAATTGTTCAACTTTCGTACATCGGGATGCGAGGAGAAATGAGTTGTACGCGGTGCGGTATCCAGGTATATCTGTCGCCATGCTATAACATATGCATTTGGGCTCGTAGTTGCACGCGTGAAAAGTAGAGTAGACTATAAGTTGAGACCAGGAAGTAGATATATTCACACGAAGATTGAGCATAGAATGACGGAAAGCGACAACCCAGCACGTGCGTCGGGCCATATATTGCCCCTTGTGGTTTAGTGGCGGAATTGGGGTGGCGCCGTGATAGAGAAGTGGCAGCGGACTACTCGGAGCAAACAAGACACCATCTACTCCGTATTCCTCACCCTTTACTGCATGATATGATGTATTGAAGCCCTCTAGCTTCAAAGGCTCAGCTCCTTCTAGCCCCACCATTTACTATGCTCCAATATTGATTGTATCGCTCACCGTTTCCTCCGGCTAAGCGGACGGTTCCCCCCCCCCCCAAATGCCGCCGTGTGTTGGCAAATCATTAACCAGTTTGTTGGATTGGGTTGAATGGCCTCAATCATGTCCTTTTTTCAGGGCACTGGAACAATACCGGCTACTTCAGATGCCACCGTATTGCCATCCTCAGTCCCGTCATTAAACAGCACTCCCGCTGTCCAGTCCCTCCTCTCCTCCGCTCCACGCGACTTACTCTCTCTTCCCTTGCGCGGTCTACAACAAGCAGAAACCTTCGCCTTTTCGACTATTCCCAGAGGCGTCGCACGGTTAGTTGGATTCCGGGATATGGCTACACACTTCTGGGGTTCCGCCCCCGCCGCCGGACCAGAGAGCGATGTTGTTGCCGCTGCGACCCAAGTCGCTACCGAGGCTATCAGGGAAGGTGTAGCAGATGCTACGGCTCAGCCTAGCTCAGGTCTTCATATTAGCGATCTTCTTCAGACAGTCATAAAATTCAGTGGCTTTTTTTCGTACTTGACCAGTCGGTGGTCTCTTGCATGCTTTACCGTGGTGAGACAATCACTCTCGTGGTATTTATCAACGACAGGATGCTAATGCACAAAAGGCTCTCGTTTTGAATAGAATCACGATATATGCGTCGACAAGAAGACATTTAACGCTAGACTGGACGAGACGGCTGGCTTTGCGAATAATCCCTATTCTCCTATTTATATTTCAGATTCATTCCCTCCTCCGCGCGATCAAATGCCAGACCTCCCCCGACTATTCTGATATCCGCTACGGCGCCCCCGGGAAACGCTTGATTTTCGATCATGCCGGTTCCGGGGGATTCCTATATTGGTTAACCTCTTCATTACTTCCCTGGGAGACTGACGGTCAGTCTTGCAGTGCAGTCAGCATGAGTCGGGCCACGGCTGGCTCTGAAATCCCGTACGGCTCATTCAAGCTTCTATGGCCCGTCTTCGCACGACTTTGTCTCGGTCATTTCATTGAAACCCTCTCGTGCTCCTTGCAAGGAAGACCAGTAGTTACAGAAGGCGGTATGTCTATTTTTGAGCATTCGCTTGCGTTCGCAGAAGCCGAATCCTCCATTGGCCAATCTCTCGGGCTAGGCTTGTTTGGCTCTTCCAAGCCAAGTAGAGACAGGGCCGGAGAAGCGCCACAATCCGCGTTTCACCTGATGAGTAGAACGCAACTTATTGAGCGCATGAACGTGACACCGGAGCTGCTCCTTATTGCTTTAATATCCTGTTGCAATGGCTTAGCCTCAAACGTTCTGGATGTGTTGGGGCAGCAGGGAAGATATCGCCTATTCAACACTGCATTCTGGGGTCTTTGCTTTATGAGTGCTATGGCGTGGGGGCTAGCGGGCGGTTCATCCCTCGGGACTGAAGGTGTTGTTCCAAAGTTTCCCACGGTTTGCGTGGTTGGCTTTGTGCCCCATTTACTGATATTGTCCGGTATCATTGTTTGCGCTGCCATTTACCTACTGGCTCTATTCATCGCAGCATTTTCACTTCCATCAGATGTTCCTCAACAGCTATCTCTTCGAGAAAGGTTCGCCTTGGCGCATGAGAACATGCAAGGGTCAAATCAGGTCCACAGCATCCGCTTTAACCGACATGAAGACTTTTATACCACCCTTCTTCGGATTGGTTATACCGCCTTGACCGCCGCTAGCGAAGCCGTTTTCCTCAATGAGGGCAGAGGCGTTGTCGCCCGCAGTATGACGTGGCTGGAGGAGGATAGATTAGTCGAAATTGAAAATTCGCGGCGAAGAAGTTCGTCTCATCATGCTGCACGCCACGCCGGTGGCGCCCTGCCGTTCGATAGTGTGGAGCCTATCTCTTTTGAGATACCAGAGACTACCTCAGAATGGCAAAGTGGGTATGGCAAGGAAAAGAAAATTGAGAAGCCCAAAAACAGATCTCGATCGGTTCGCTCGCAGTCCAACCCTGGAGGAGTTGGCGCTTTCCGTGGCCTCGTCCGGTGTTACCAGGGTCTTGCTTTCTTCCGGGCGATCTTCTATCTCATGTTCAAATGGATTGCTTTTGGTCTCGACAAAGTGTTAACTCAGATTGGGATCAACGCCCGGCCACAGTGGTTGAAATCGCTGGTAGGATCTCGAGGACGGACAGCTCAAGAGAAGTCAAGCAAGATCGTCACTGAATCACTTGACTTCTGGATGCTCACGGACGAGGGGGAGCTGGAGCTACCAGGTGACCACGAGTTTGATGTCGAAAAAGAGATGAGAAAGCGGGAGCGTTTGAATTCGGGTAATTGGAAAACGACCGATGAACAGCGCCTCGACGAGAAGCTGTACAGTTGGTGGAAAGCTGGCGGCTCTTGGGGAAACCAAGACCAAAGTCCAGACTACAACCCACCTGAGGAGGACTGGGACGACACAACCAGCGTTGCATCTGTCTCAACTACTGGCGATTCTGAATGGGAAGGATACGAATCGGATGGCCGACGTACGCCTACGCAAAGTGATCCGTTCCCGGGTCACTATTCTCGCGAAGGCACTCCCATGCAAGAATCATTAATGGAAATCGGCTCGTTTGCGCGTCTCCTTGACCCCCGCGACGAAGAAACTCGACGAGAGGCCCGAATCCTAGCAGCGCATTTAACTGCCGGTCGAGAGGGACGAATACTCACCCGACGTCAGTTCCAACAGCAAATCGAACGCGAGAGAGCCCAAGTCCTACTATCTTCACGGTTATCCCAACTAGCGACGAGAGGGTCCACTGATGGAAAACGAAAGCCGACTGTCGACGAGGAATCCGAAATTCTCGAGCAGCTCATCCTCTCTCGTCGGTCAGGGCCTCATTCCAACTCAAACACAACCAACGCCCAGACGTGGGAGGCCGGCGCCTCAGGTCTGGGGACTAGCGGACCGCCCTGTGTTGTCTGTCAGACCAACTCTCGATCTATCATCATCTGGCCTTGTCGATGTCTCTGTATTTGTGAAGATTGCAGAGTGAGTCTAGCGATGAACAATTTCGGAAGCTGCGTGACTTGTCGTCAGGAAGTAGGTGGATTTGTACGTTTATGGGTACCATAGAACCATGATATGATAATCAGCGCGTCTTTTCTTTTCTTTTCTTCTTTTTCTCACATCATATCACATCATATTATATTATATCATTGCATTTACTTGTTCTACTTTGTTCTTTGTTCTGATATCCTTGTTGGTTGATTGTTACTTTAAAGGCTAAGCAGTGTGAATAATCTACTTCACTTTTGTGTTTCGGGACAGACAGGATTAATATATCTATAGTGAAAGTACTTTCTTGTTACCTCTTTTTCTCTCTTTCTCTCTCTTTTTTTCTTTCCCAGGCATAACACAGACAGGGGCTTTCTATAACATAAACTATAGTTACTAAATAGTTGACAAGTTCTTCTCTTGTTCTTTTAGTCGCTATTTCAAGGTAGACTATCAGACTAGGTATCCAGCTACTATGTCTATCTGTCTGGATTCAAAATTATGAGGTTTCTACCAGTCTCCTATCTAGTATATGTCACATCTAAACTTTCTTAGCACCTACGTGAATACCTCTATATGCACTAAACCTTGCAATGAATTGTTGAAACATATTAACAAGTTAGGGGACTCCAAATACTGGAGAACAGTACTAAAAAGAAGACATATTCACTCACGTAAGGTGTAGTGTTGGAGGAGATTGAAATTCACGCACTCTCCTATAACAGAAGACTACCTCTCTCGCCCTACTCTTCTGAAGGATCCTTTCCCTCTGTAATCTCTTCTCTTCGAGCATATCAAGATTTGTTGCAATACCAGACTTCTCTCTCTGATCTCAACATTGCTTCTCAAGAGTTCAAGATTAAGAAGTAAAGAGCTTCGTTCCCATCTAGAACCTCATCTCTGTTGCCAAACACATGTCCCTCCTCTCAGACGCATCCATGGCCTCCGACGGTTCTGTTGACGGCGAACTCCCTCCTCCATATGAGAGCGACAGCAGCATTTACCCTTCGACCCTCTCCAGCTCCCCACCTCCCTATGAGTCTGTCGTTGGAGCAGAAAGGGACAGCGACGATGAAAGCGACAGTCGAACTGAAGTCATTTGGATCGGTTACTCCATTCGTGGCTTGCACCTCAACCCAGACGCTATCCAGCCTGCGTCCGACTCTGAGCCTGAGTGTGGACATATCGAAGACATCATGGTCTACCAGCCTCCTCCTTACCCTGCTGATGGCCACACCGGTTACAGCGAGCCTAGCGAAACCGGTGAGGAATCAGGTAAGCACAGAGCACCGAATACCAAGTTCCTGCCCATTTACTTTCGCGCTTTGTGTTTCTTGCTTTTCCTCCGACTCTTCTTCCTGCGTTTCTTGTTGGTCTGCACCTGCTCCTCCTCAGACGTAACACTGCATGCATCCAATCCTCCCCTCGACGAAAAATCCTGCCCAGCATCAGCAAACGATCCACTGGAACAAGCAATAAGAGCTAATGAGAAAACATATTCTCCAGAACCCACTTACCACGATGCAACCGTCTCCCTGGCATTCTCGTTCAGCTCTCCTGGCCCAGAACTCAGCCACGAATCCCTCGGCTCTACCAGCAATGCGAGATCCAGATACTCTCACCACTCTCCCGGCCCAGAAGAAGGTCCCTCTCACCGTTCCCCAGGCCAGAGCAGCAATGACGTCCAGAGCACTGCCCACAACACCACAGGAAGCGACCCAGCCAACCAGCCCGGCCAATACAGCCTCTACGACCTTGAGACCCGCAGCCAATCCAGTATGGACTGCATTCGTTTCCACATGAACGATATCCTTGATCTGGAGTACGACGCCGATGAGTCCAACTGCATGACGGGCGACGAGCACGAGGTCAGCGACGAGGACAGCGGCAACAAGCGTGACCTCAAGGGACCCGCGCAGCGTGAGTAGAGCACTCGTGAATGATTTGGTTTGGGGGGGCATCTCCTTCTTTCCATTTCTCTCTGTGGCTGTGTTTCTCTGTTTCTGGTTTGGTCTGACTGGACGAGATCCCACCAGATACTCAACCAACCCAAGGTTGGGAGTTCTGGTAGGGCCCCTCGTTGCCCTCTTTGCTTTTGTCTGTCTTTGACTTCAAGGGATCGTTGTCTGGTGGGGTATGGTTTCTGTTGATTCAGGCACGGAGGGGAGGAAGAAGAGGAAGAAAGAGAAAGAGGAAGAGGAAGAGAAAGAAGATAAATAAATAGTGGATTGTGGGATTGTGTTGCCTCTTTTCTCGGCGCATTGGGAGTGAATCTTAGGGTTGATTTGATTAGTCGTCGTTTGGGAATCTGAACAAAACAGGTTTACTAGAAATTTGCATCTACAGTGTTGGGGGAAGACAATATAGCATGGGGTGCTATGGTGTTAAAGGAATATCTCTTTTTTTCATATTTTTTTTTTTTTAATATTATGTGCGAAAGAAGTTATTTTATGGTGTGTTTTTTTTTTCCATGGGTTTTATATTACAGCAAGGCACGAGATGAGGTTACCTGAATGTGAAGCTATTAGGAGACAAAGGCTTTATTCTGTACCTACACACAAAAGGGTCAATTGATCAGCGGTATTAAAGTAATATTGACCAGATTTTCTCTTTGATCATCTCTTCTTTCCAAGTTATCTTGCTATAAAACGTACACAGGGAGGAATCATACCACTCACCCGAGCAACAACTTTCAATCTGCAAACCCCATCCTACAAAATACATACACAAAGATCCCCAGGGCAGTGGTCAGGATATTTCAACGCAGTAGCTTGATTGATTGCTACAAAGTGACGTATAAAATAACATATAACCGCAATTACCCATCACTACCTAGACCATGGAACACCAACACTGACCAACGCAAATATTACCGGGATATGAGCTCCAATATCTAGATAAACTACAGTATTTGCGCTGCGGCAATAGCTACAGCAAAAATCACATTTGCAGGGCGATCAGTCACGTAGGATGCCGCTCCACCGGTAAACGTAGAGGAGGGCGCTGAACCCGTCGACGATGTGAAGTGGGTCAATGTAGGTGTGGATGAAGAAGACCCTGCACTAGACGAGGGAGAAGAAGAAGAAGAAGAAGAAGAAGAAGAAGAAGAAGAAGTCGCAGTTGGAGTTGGAGTAGGTGTGGTTGTGGTTGAAGTAGTCCCAGTTGTATGGCTTATAGTCTCCGTCGTTGAGGTAGTATCACTTGTTGGGCCGCCACCGACAGGGGGGAGTGAGATGGGGTAGCCAACGATAGAGCATTGGGACGTGACGGCGTTGGATACGGCTGTAGGATTGTTAATTTTGATGTCTTTGTAAGGAGATAAGAGCTGTCCAGCGTTGAGGGAAGATGAAGCATACATGATTGATCTTGCAGGCCACAGGCGCTCTGGACGCATGGGGTCACCTCGTTGACGAGGGCAGGTCGCTGACAGTGGCAAGCAAAGTCGGTTATGGTGGAACATCCATCGTGAGACATTGCATCAAGGAAGCATTCAAGCTGGGTGTTCGTTAGGTTTGTCTAGAGATGAACGGAAGAATCGGGGTCATTGCTATCTTACCGAGCAAGCTGGGACGTCCGGGATTTGGGCCTGGACTATAGTGGTAGCGAGAAGAAGGAGAGCAGAATGAAAGAGACGCATTTTGAAATCAGTCAAACATATAATTTTATGAAGCTGGTCTCGGAAAAGACAGTTTGGGGGGTGTAGAATAAATAGTCCAAGAGTTATTATAGTAAGGATGTCAGATCTTCATGTGGGATTGTAGTCCATTTATAACCCTGAGAGCATCATCTCACCCTGTGTATCCTTTCATCACATGCCCTTAGCCATCAAGCCATAAAGATACATTCAATTTAGACTATTAATTCTTCTGTCTGAAGGTATCCATGCACATGCCAGGCTCGAGTGGTAACACACGCAGCTGCATGTCCAAAAAAAGTACGAGTATTACATTAAAAGTTGTACAAAACACTGGAAAAAGATCCTGGAACTCGGAGGGAAAAAAAACACACACACACTTTACCAAGAGACATAATCCACGCATCAGAGTAAGACTGGGGAACAAAGACAAACACTGGGCTAATAGGAGTCGAGGGAAGATATCCGTAAGTGATATTGGGATTCCATTCGTATGGCCCTTCTCGAAAACATATCTAACAGAGAAATATCTTAGACAGGCCATCTCCCTGCATTGTGACTCCACGGTTTCACCTCGTCCACGAATATACAGGCAGAGATAGGATCAAGGTGGCATCACTACATCACCTGGATGGTAGGACAAAGGATATTAAAACAAAGAATGAAGAAGCCAGCGTTTGACCTTGAATCAGGAGGAGAAATGAGTGGCAGAGGGATGTTGTAACTCGGGGGAGCTCCTCCTTTCCCAGGAACACCTAGGTAGACTCAAGAAGCGGGGATAATCAACGATTGGAAGACGTCGGATCTTTTCTCATAGGTGTATCGTTTGAAAGAGGGTGTGTAACCAACAACTAAATGCTGCGCTGACTGTGTTCTGGCGGTTGGTTGATGGCATCATGGGTGTAACAACACTCCGTCAAGGAAGAGTACAATTACCTTTTCTTACTGCACTTTAGAGCTTCTCAAATCACAACAGCCATGAACCTGGAGAGGAAGTCTGTAAAGGATATCTTCGAAAAACAGTATAAGAAAAGAAGATCTCGAATAAAACAGCCATCACACTGACAGGTGGACAGAACATTATCACTACAGAACATTGCAATTCCAGGGTATGTACGGTACTTTCCAAACGCCCTATCCAAAATTGAACCCAAACGCCAATCCAACAAAAACAGTTCTCAGTGTCTTCCATAGCTGACTCGTGCGGAAACCTGGTCAGATATTTCTCAAGACAAAAGTTCATCCATATAGGCTCGCTGCCCCTTAGTATCTTCCTGCGCCAACAGGACCGAGAGCACCTCCATAGGCGGGTTAAGGTCAAGAGACTGTGCTCGCCTCCACCGCTTTAGTCGAGCGATTCCGATGCATGGCTAGATAGAATGTCAGCGGATGCTCCTCAGACCCGACATAGATTGTTGAAGCCCCGAACATACCCCGAACTGACTAGAAAGATCAAAATGTCGCAGTATCTTCTCGTCCACTGAGAGACCGTCTTGATGAACTATACGTAAAGAGAGTCATGGTTAATATATCTGCCCGGGAATTCCAGCTCCAATATGCCAGTACCCCCGATATTACCCACCTCGTGGTCCTCGGCTCTTCGATTCCAGTTGATTCCAATATTGCTGTAACTCCTTCTTGGTGATCTTAATAGCCCGTTTATCCTCCGCGGACAACGGTTGCTTGATCTCCTGGCGAGCTTGTTGCCTTACAGCAAGTTCCGCCACATGCGGCTTCGACGGCTCGGTGGCAGAAACGGGGGTCTTCTCTGCTTCGGACAAGTCCGTCTCGGTTGCTTTTTCGAGTATATCTGTAGCTAGAGGCTCAAGAGATTTTGTTTTCTCCGATGGCGTGGATGGAGCTGTGGAGGGCTTTGTGACTCGAGACTTCACGCCGAAGGATAACGTGGGCTGGGTTGAGCGGGTGGCGGCGGTCTTGCCTCCACGACGACGGGTGGCCGGCATTCTGAGGTCAAAAAGTTGTGACTGGTTGTTGGAATATTCTGGAGCAAAGAGCTGCTGAAGGTCAGGCTCAAGAGATGGGTTAAAGGCGGGTATTGAGCAAAGTCTGGCTGTTGGTTCTTACTGTGGGGGAAACGATGTCATGCAGGGCTGTTGCGCAGGGCAACCCGGACCAGCTTACTGGGTCATCGGAGTAGTTATATACAACTTCATTCTTTACTCTCATCTATTTATTTGCATGAAGACTGTTTGTATATAGACAAGGAGGAGAAATACATCCTTATTCTATTTGGCGTGTATTTTTTGGATTTTTTTAATTTATTTTTGGTTGAGCTGGTTACCCTCAATTCCCTCCCACGCTGTATATTGTCTCGATTTATATCTCCAGATCTACGGAGTAGATGAAGTCCTCATCCTGCCAGATTTCACCCCCGTCAACGCAAGAAAACCGAGGGATCTGGTTACAACCCCATTTTTAGCCCACACTACCAATGCATCTTTGGTTTCAAGCGCATCGTGCAGAGATGTAGCCAACCAATAAGCCACAGCCCACTTTAGCTCAGCCTTACCCTTGTTTCAGTGCCTGGACACAAGCATAAGCAATTTAGTTCAAGTTCTGCTTCTTTGATAGGATCTGAATATCCTCTTTGGACTGGATTCCCAGCGTAGCAAACGTGAAAAGGCCACGGACATGGCCCGTAATCTTGGGCTCTGACCACGCTGACAGACGCGGTTTGGGGATCATCCAAGGGCCTATTATCACTCCACAAAAGGAATAACCCAGCCATGTAAGCCAATAATAAGGGCCCAGGGCAACAATCCTCCATTGGATGGTGTGCTCAACAAGAGTGACGTTGAGAAAGTAAAGAGGCCATCCGTCGTAATCGATCAGGTACCGGACGTTCTCGGCTCAAGGAAGTGCATAACACCTCCAATTCCCCACGACATTTAGGTGGTATCTTTTTTTTTCTTTTCCTTTTCTTTTCTTTTGACGGCGTTTAAAGGTACGCTTCTGAGATAAATCAGACTGTGTGATTCGCAGATAGCGGCTCAGTTCTGCAGAAGCGAAGTCGGGGGTATTCTCACTGTCTTCTCCGTAGCCGCAAAACAGTACAACTACAAGGCTACAAGCTCCTCTTCTCCCTGGCGTCAACCTCCTTCCCCACATCGGCGCCAACACTTGACAATCTTACAGCCTGGCTCTTCCCTAGTTTCAGAATTTCCATTCTCCGTGGATTTCACATCCTCAGGATTTATTAACTAGGACCCACATCGTTCTTTTGTTCCCGCCTAGAGTCCATCGTGCGCCCACCCACCCCCCCCCAAACAGCCGCTTGCCGCACCTGCATCCTTCCAAGGCTGTCAGCGTCGCCGCATCAACCACCATCACGGACCCTGCTGGAGGCCCTCTATGGGTTTATCATCTGTATCCACGTCATCCAGGTTATATAGCGTCCAAACACCCCCGGGAGCGCGTTCCCCTCACCTACCACCGGCCCATGGTGGTGCGGGAGTTGCGCCCTCAAAATGGCCGCCTTTGTGCGAGTGTCGGGCCCCCCGAACGGCAACTTTTTGATCGGATATCCTGGCATATCCGCGACTATGGTGAGTCTCGTGTTGGGCGCTTTCTCTTGGCTTAGGGGAATGCGGAAGGTTCTACAACTAACCAAGCGCCTAGCCACGCATTGAAGGCAAAGTCGAGATTAGACCAAGCGTCGGTATCACAGCACCCGTCAACGTATCCCTCGTTACCGTGTCGCTGCACCGTCGAGAAACAATACATCCTTCGGCGGACTCAGTCACAAAAAAGCGCCTCGCTCCTCCGAGGAAAGAAATCACGGATATTGTCGGCAAAGAAATGCTCCTGTTCCGCTGTCCAGCCGGTCGAGAATACGAGGAGGTCATATCAATGGACTTGCCGTTTGTTCTGTTCATTCCGTTTGGACGAGGTGGAGCAGACGCATCCCGACGAGTCCCTCCCGCCAGCTTGCAGCTTCCCAGTCGAACCGCGGAGACTTTCTATGAAATCGTGGTAATGGTTCAACAAGGACACTCGGACCAGAGAAAGTACTCATTTCCGGTTCCAATTGCTCGGTACGATACGCTCTCTACATTTGGGATGTATAATCGTCCAGAGTCTGCGGAGCAGGTATCAGATCACTTGGTCACCTTGGGTATATCTTTACCGCGGTGGTCCTACGGCCCACTCGACCCCGTCAGCGTTTACGTGAAACTGTCTCCCAACCCGGACTGGATAAGCAAAGCGAGGAAAGTTACTATAACCAAAATCACCATTGGAATCGACGAAGAGATTATATTCAATCATGAGGGCGATGAGCCCCAGCGCAAAGTCAAAACATTGACGAAACGAACGGAGCCTATTGGGGTTAAGATGCCGCCAACAGGCTTCTTGACGAATATGGGTCTAGTATTCCCCGCGAAGGATTTACGCGATTCGGAGGGGATTCTGCCTCGCGGTAAACCGGGATTTCCAACATATGCTGTAAGCGGTTTCACCACTACGGCTAGCCTCTACAAGATTGAATATTACCTTACGGTCAAGGTGTGTTGAATTCGGATTCGTTCGTCTTTTTATCTCGAAGTGAGAACTGACTCCTTATAGGCCCACCTCGCATCTGCAAGAGATATTATGATTAGACAACCGATTGTCGTTTGTCCTCTAGACCACGCAGGCTGCAAAGAAGAAATGGAGGCCATCGAACAATCGGCTCGAGAAGCCGCCAATATTAATCCCGATAATCCCATGCTCCCTCTCCCCTCAATAGTTCGCCCAACCGATCCTAATGCCCTTCGCCATCTCGGAGTAGCCATTGTTGGCAGTCAAAAGAAGCCCCTTATTGACTGAGACAGTCAAGAGCTAGGCAATAGACGCCTTTCGGGATATCACTTTCCCCCAGCTCCTTCACAGCCCGAGGCCCAGAGAAGGAGGTCTCTTCATTCAATCACACAAGGGGATATACACCAAACCATTTCCCTAGAGCGTGATACCTCACTCCCCAAATCACCAGCGGCCGAATCGTCAACCCGCGCCAACTGACCTACATTTTGACTTGATGTAGGTTCCTGCCAAGGCAGACCCCAAATTATGTCTTACGAATGCATAGGTTCCGGAGTTTTATTTTGCTGCATGATTATCTTTTTCTTTGTTCCCTACAATAGCCTTTGTATTTAGTGCTTTTCGCTTTTTTCGCAGCGGATTGGGAAACAGGGTGGGGGTGTCTAGGCTGGAAATTTTGGTTGCTGCCAGGAGGAGCCAAAGGATTATTTATTCCCGTTTATTTGAACTCTTCTCCTTCTCAATCTGATTCCCTAGCTAATATGTTCAATACACTATAAACTTTACCTTATTCTTGGGTTCCCAGCGAGTATCTCATTCTTCAGTAGTGTCTTTCCTATTTTGTTACTGGGGCTGCAGAATATCGATTCTGCATCTCTTGGTACCTAGATAAAGGGGTTTTTTTTTTTTTTTTTTTTTTTTTTTTTTCAAATTCTACTCAATGAGAGGAGCGTGCTGTTCAGCCCGAGGAGCGGGTGCTGCCCCCTCCTGTCGACGAAATCTGACACTGAACTCGAGTTTCAACTCCCCACCAGGAAGCTTCCAGGTCTGAGGCGATCGCCAAGCCCCAGCCTTGAAAGAGCCATACAGGCGAAGTCCGAAGAGAGCCAAATGGGCCAGACTAAATGGGGCGGATGGAGTATTATCAGTATACCAGTGAAGTGATTGGAATTGTTCACTGGACAAACACGTAAAAAAAAAAAAAAAAAAAAAAGAACAGTAGAGAGAACAACATCAGTTCAGAAGAACGAGGGGAAAGGGAAAAATCAGAACAAAGAAGAGATAGGTAGAACATACCCGGCCACTAATGAACATCCCATACCGACCCCCACGATAATCTGAAGTGCCGTTGCCGTTGCCACAGCATCTGCATCGGGGCCCCAGTAGTTGGGATCTTGCTCGAGGTTTCGCGCAACGCCGTCTGGGGCGTATGTCGAGGTTAAGAACACGATCAGGCCGTCAAAGACGAGGTTGATCAGGAGCGGGAGGGATCGCCGCGTACGTCTCAGGCGGGTGAGGTTGAGAGCGGATGCTATCACCGAGACGATGTTCTGGATGTATGGAATAGTTAGAGAAAAAGAGGAGATTACGGTTAATGATCGCTTTTGCCCGTGTTTTGGGGGGGGGGGGGGGGGGGGGGAAGAGCTGGCTGGCTTCATACATACCACCATGACCAAGCACCGTACACCTTCATCGAGTCTATAGAATAAGTAGACGTCATGAGGGGAGATTCCGTTGAGAATGATGGCAGTCAGATCGAAGATGAGCGCAACAGCGGAGAAAGCCGCGGCTGCATGCGTGAGGATGATTGTAGCCCGTAGGTAGGGTGGTTTTCGTGGCATTGTCTGGACATTGTGAATCTCGTACTCTCCCGACTCGAGGGGCTCGGAGTCAACGAGGAGCGGGGTGGTGGTGTCTTCAGTTCCAGACATGGTGATGCAGACAGGCCTCTCCTTACCGGCGTGAAAAGGGGGGAATCTTAGATGCTGCGGAAAAAAATAGGGTTGCGTGCTAAGGGCCGGAGCTGTGGGCTTTTAAGTTACTTGGTGGTCTATATATATCCCACGGGATAAGATATGAAATTAGGTACATATGTCTGCCTAGGATTATTGCGATGCCATGAATTTGACAAAGAATACGGAGTACACCTTCATGAACCTTGAATTGCTGTTGGCGGTACCGGATAAGCCGGTCAAACTATGATTTCTTTGCTCCCAGGTACAGTAGATAGACAGACGTCTATCGATCATCCCCTGTCGAGGGCTGTGCCGTAAATATTTTCATCCTGTTTGGGGCACTGTGCTCGGACACTGGTTGCTCTCTCATATCCCGATCGCGAACTACCTCAAGACCTAGAATAAAGCCCATTCAGGCATGACCACCCCGGCCGAATCATGATGACCCTATTCTAGAATCCCCTTGTAGAGTCTCCCAAATGAAAGGGGAATTGTTCGGTTTGTTGAATTGGAGTCCTTTATTTCGCGATTTCCAAGAATCCCAGCGCCAGGCTCAGAGTATCTGGGTTCAAAGCCTGTGGCTTCTCGCTCTTGTCCCTATCGATCTGTCGTAGGCAATCTTTCAGCATTTCGAGGACAGCCTGGTATTGAGGCGAAGATGATCCAAAGGTCCCCAGAGCGTTGGTGAGATTTGTAGAGATCTGTGACGGGACCGTCAGCGCGGGGCAGCCCCAGCATGGGCACCAAAGCGGATAAATGCGACCTCGTACCTGAATCAGAACCTCATTGTAGTTGACGTTACCGTCCCCAGTCTCAGAATCCATGGCTGGGGTTGATCTGATGAGAAGTAAAGTTGCGAGCGGAACCAACGGCGAGAAATCAATGGGAGGATTCCAGGAATGCCTGATCTGATTGATACCTGACTTTTTTTGGTCAAAAAATTAAGCGATCCCCAAGTAGAAAATAGATGCTAGTCAGAGGGTTCGAGGGATCTAAAGGGTCTTTTACTTCCTACTTCCTACTAGATAACTCAGGTAGACAAACTTAAAGCGTACTAGTAATGTATGTCTCGTCTCAAGCTGGCTGTAACTATCAGAGAATGGTTATGATTTGGTCGTCGAATGTGTTCTTTAAATCTTCAGCCCACTGCAATAGTTTACCTACGATTTGTAAAAACGCCTGCTTAGAATACATATCTCGAGTACTATCGTTGTTGTACAGACCCCGTTTCAGGAGTTCTCATCAAAGTCATCAAAAGGGAAGTGATTTTGTACTCCAGTTACATCGTCATCTGTCTCAGCTGCTTCGAGCATTTTGGCCTTGATTTCACGTGCCATGGCTTTCGTAGCTTCATACTCATCATTTGGCACCCAGCCCAATATGTCAACACCTAAAACATTTCGCATTTGTTCCATCGCGATATCAGCTTCTTTCTGGCGCGCATCCAATTCAAGAGTATCATGGGCAATTGCGTCCGAGTACTTGAGAGGAGGCACGTTGCACGTTCTTTTCCCCTGCGCTACAGAGTCTGTCGAGATCAAATTTGACCAGTCTTGTATAGCACGAATCATGTCAGCCCGTAGAGTAGCGGAGTCGCCTTCCCAAGGAGTACCCGCACTTTTGAAAAGACGTTGATGCAATATAGCAGACTGGTTAAATATTGCATCATAATGCTCTTCATTCAACCGGCTGGTGAAAGCAGCATAAAGGAAATGAACCAGCCTTTTTCGAATAGTCTCTCGCAATGAGACTTGCTCAGACTGGGGTAGAGAGTCATAATTTGGTGGGAGATCAATTGTAGGTTCTATAAGCTTTTCCGAATCGGGGTCACCATAGTTCTGGAAATGTTTTGGTATCCCAGCTGCAAGGCCAAGAGGAAGGATAGAGCAATGTTGCCAATCAATTAATCCAATGATTTTATTTGCTTCTGACACGAGAATATTGTTTGGTTGGAAATCAGGGTGCCGGATAACTGGTCTATTTAGTGGTCTTTCAGCTTTGAACCCAAGGCAGGGCACCAATGTCAGGTAATCAGAGAGATCCCTGATGTGATTATCAGGTGAAACCTGGCGAAAATGATGGATTTCCCTATAGAGGCGCTCATAAGGAAGGCGAGGTTTTGCATAGGTTTTAGTCCAGTTCAATTCCCGCTCACCGACTGCGCGAAAAATATCGCCTGAAGTTGCCCCTATTAGCAGTTAATAAGTTGTACCCAATATTTTTACCATGCTATACACTCACAAGGTCCCCTATTAATATTAAGCGTAGCTCTTTCATCGTGCCACCAACTATAATGTGCGATTGGTCCTATACAGAACTCACGATTGTTATGAACTAGCAATGGAATTGTTCTCTCGAATGGGATATCTTTCTGATAGTAAATACTGCCAGATGCAGGGAATTTCAGCGACATTAGTCGTGCCTCCCACTCAATAATTTGCTTCATAATGCTGTGTTGCTCTTTTGGTGTCACTGTATACCATATATCGCCGAGAGGGGTACCGTCCAACTTTTCCATGATGATGTATTCGGCGCCAACAGGGTTCGCTCGTGTTGAGCACCAATCGTACACCTTAGGAGTAGGGATCCCCTGCAGTCGGAGATAGTCCAAAGTGGCAACCTCGCTGGCGACTGTGTAGTGCTCAGGTGCCGTGGAAGGGTACGGAAGTCTAGCGATAATACACTCCCCATCTTTGAATGTCGCCTGTAACACGCGGTTGAAACCGCCTTCAGATAACTTGACAAAGGAAACAATATCAGACGTGGAACGACCAGATGCAGCGGCAATCGCGGTCTTGAGGGCAGGTAAATCGAACTCGAGGTATCGTTCCGCCAACCGTATATGTTCATTATATCTACAATCTATCAGTCTCCAAGTAGCATTCGACAGGAAGCAAATACATACATCCACCTTCCAGATGTATACTGGGAAAGTTCTTTGTTGGAGTTTCTAACTGGCTGGTGAACGCGCCCTGTCATTTCTCTGGCCTGTTGAGCTCCATGTCTATAAAAGGGTAAAAATCGAGCACGGAAATGATGATAGAAGTTTCGGGCTCGCATATTATAAAGAAACAATTGCGTTCGTTTCATAGACAACGGCAACATCCCTGGATACGATCATGAATAGAAGGACAAGAAGCTGGATCTTCTCTTTGAGAGATCCTCGCTTATGTAGCGCCTAAACCAGTCAAGGCTTGTACTTCATCTTATATGTAGGTATCAACCAGGTCTCCCAATAATCCTTATATGCAGTAGGATATTTATTATCTTTCCCCTTCACAGTATAGCATATCGAATATATTCTTGAGATAATTCTCGTAGAACCCCCATAGAACTGCCAAAACTAGGATACCCGTTATCCTCGCTGGAACTCGGATATTTGGACCGGTGTTAGCCCACCACATACAGGACTAACAAAAGGACTCACTAGATCACATCATGGATATATACGCATTGGATAGCATCATGCATAGCAGAATTCTACCATATTTGACCAGTTAGCTATGTACCCCTCCCGGATAAACCTATAAATCCGACATTTTTCTTATCGGAGCTTTAGTGGAAGCTCTGTCCGCATTTTCTTTCTCCGCAACACAACCACCGCGGGATTCGAAATCTCCTCATCAACGCTAGTATTGTCAAGTTGAGGGAGAAGTTCTTTCTTTGTGACTCAAAATGGCGGACTTGGATGAAGCCGCCGTCAACCTCCCGTCGAATGACGCGACAGCGCATCTCGAAGTCGACCTCTCCGATGAGACACACGACTTTCGCATGCTGAACCATCTGTCCTCGTATGTCATTATGTCCCTTTTTATACTCTAGGTCTTCAATGAGCGGTTCTATTCGCCTGGCTCGGCTACTAAGTTTCATACAGCCTGTCAGACAACTCCCAAGTCACTCTTCCCAAACGCGGGGAAAAGGACTTCGAACCAAATCCGACGCTGTTCCAAGCCGATATCCTATCTGCCTCCCGACAGGCGATGCATACTGCCCTTTCATACCCACGATTACACAATCCTAAACAGAGAGTTATCGGGATTTATGCGCCCAACGGACCTGCGCCGCCTGCGTCGCTGAAATCGCTCGACGCTGTCGCAGAAGACTCACCCGTAACGGACCCTATTACTACCGCAGTGGGAGTGCCGGCAGATTCATGCGTTTACGTCACAAACCCGAAGGGCCAGTTCTTTAAGACTATGGGCCAGGCTGATCGCTGGAACCGCGTGTGGCTGTTGCCAGAGGAGGCTTTGTACCTTCTTGAAAGAGGCAGTTTGGATCTGAGGTGGCCTTGCTCCGCGGTAGGCTCCGGTGATGAAGACAATACCGAGGACTCTGGGATACCGATGAGCTTACAAGCTGCGTATGCATGCTTTATTGGTCCAGGGGGATTAACCATTGACCAATTCTCTGTCTTCACCGGACTCAGGCGCCTTGGCTATACCCTCATTCGAGCGCCGGGTTGGAGTGGCGCAGCTGCGGACACCAAGCCGCAGGAAGACTCGTACAGCAGCGGATTAGCCAAGCGACAGGGACCGGGTTTAGTTGGTATCTTCACCCGATTTCTGAAATGGCTTCGCGACTCCAGTCCATCTACTGTAATGGGACCTGTCGCTGGCCTTGGATTTCACCACAGCTATAGTATGTCTCCCCTAGCTGTTATGCTACTAATGTAGCTATTCTGACATGCTCCAATAGACGATATTTATCGCAAGCTTGCAATAATCCCATACTACGACCCTGCTACGCCTTCGTCTCCTTCCCCACGTCCAGAATTGCCTTATGCTGTGGTGTTCCATGTCTACAAACCATCAACACATTTCCGAAAGTCAGCACCGCCCAGTCCCGATTTCAGGGTGGCAGTTGTCAATGCCCGGACTCACACCACCATGCCCACATTATCCCAGCTTGGTACCCTACTTGAGAGTACACCTTTTGATCCACCACAGAGCGACAAGCAGCTTTATGTACGGCTGCGGCACGGATATAGAAATGTCATCTTAGCCGTGGTTGATCAGGGTGTTGTAAGTTACCTCAGGGTCGCAGATGCAGCTTTCGGAAAGGAAAAGATATACGAGTCACAAGCCTTGCGAGGAAACAAGGGTCGAGGCCCATCCAGAGGCAAAGCAAGAAGACCGTGAATGAGCGGAAGGGACCGATCACCAGGATTGATTCATTAATCAACTTATCAATCGTAGCAACGCATGGTAGAAACGGGTTTGTCTCCCTCGGAATAACGCCGCGGTGGTGTCCATGGAATTTGTGGACGGCGGCCGAATAAGAGGGAGAGGCATGATCAATAATCTGCCATCATCTTTAGAACGTCCAGTCACGGAGAACACTGGAAGTTAGATGCCAGATGGCTTCGCCCAGTGGGCGTTATCATCCATGGCCCGCGAATATCGCAGGCGAAACACGAAACACGCTACATATGAGACTAGAGTAGCCTAGTGATAGGCACCTATGTTCTATTTCCAAAAGTATGGACGTGTATTCTTTTAAGAATAAGAAGACCATAGCCATAGTCACCAACGCCGGTGAATAGTACATAAAATAAAATACTCAACCCTCTTGAAACTCCTTGAAACCCAATCCCAGGTCATGAAACCGTCGTTACGAGCTCACTCTAGAGACCTAAGAACCAATTAATATCGGGCCAACACCTGAACGTATGGGGCAGCACCTACCCACATCATCATGTATCCAAATAATCAGCTGCCATTAATAGTTCCAGGCATAGTTCTGGAGGGATATCCATATCTGGTACATTCGTCTGGTTTTTGTTCTTCTCATTGTAGCAAAAGTACTCGCACACTTTCTCCAGAACGATTCCGCTGAGATTTTCGAGGACGCAACGACCGGTTATTGCTTCCGAAAATTTACCTGTAGAAAGAAGAGAAACAGGTTAGAATAAAGCTACTCCTGTATGGTGCGAAGGGAAGGGAAGAAGGAGGGGGTGAAGAGCTGACTTGAAGTATCCAGCATGCGGCGGATCGTGCCCGAAACACAAGCCGTGCTTCGTGGAATAATGAACTCGAATCCGTCACCAGACACGAGAGTCACATATTCGGACTGTGCAGAGTCTGACGGTTCCATTTTTTTTTTTTTATCGAGTATAAGAAAAGACAGGAAGGGCAGTAGAAAGATGCAGGAAGAGAAACTTGCGGGGCGCGCAGAAAGACGTGAAGTGAAATGGCCCGTGCTTAAGCTCCGCCGATATGAAAGTCTCAGACTCAAGACTCTCCGATTGACTCCGCTCTCACAGTGTACCTAATATGCCGTTGTTACTGGAATGCACTGTCGAACCCTGAAGAGTTAGCCATTACGGGGACGCTTATGTTTAATTATATGGGCTTCAAAATATTGACCTCTTTTATGTTCTAACTCTCTAATGGAGAGAGAACTACGGATGATATCCAGCTGGGAACTACACGGATACTGCTTCGACAACATCAATGCATCGAATTTGCACAAGCTCCCTTAGTGAGATGTCAGGGTCTCTTTTGCTGCGCTTGCGATTACGTCCAGATTGTCACATCAGGTTCCAATTGCACAGAACCTATACTACATCATCGAGTCCTTGGAACCGTCTATTCTCCACCGCACATCAAAATGCGCAAGGCACTCCATTCCACCACTCTTCGGATCGTCTCTCCGGCCGCACTTGCATGATCACAGGAGGGAGCTCCGGGATCGGATTCGCTATCGCACAGAGATTCCTCCAAGAAGGTGCAGTGCGCATTATTCTCGTGGGGAGATCTTACGCGCGTCTCGTCAACGCGGCCATCTTATTAGGGGGGCATGCTCCAGAAAGCATCCCTGTTATTCAGTCATACGACAATACCAGTGACATTGTGGCCACCCGCACGCCAGAAGAAGACCAGAATCAAGGGCAGGATTTGACATCCAATAGATTTATCAACCCAGGTACCTTGATTGACTCGTCAGACCGGGTGAGTCTTCTCGTGGGGGATATATCCGAAGCTGCGTCCTGGAGTCGAGAACTGGAGAATGCAATGGTAAGTTTTTCATCCCGATAATATCCAAACTTAACCTTCCCCCCTTCTCCCCCGCCCCCAATTATACAATTAAAACTAATGAAGGAAAGAAAAACGTCGACATCCTCGTCAACGCCGCTGGAATCTCCGTATCCAGCGTGCTCCCCAAAACAGACCCAAAGGACATCTCCCAGATTCTGCGCACAAACCTCGAGGGCTCTCTACTCACCTCCCGCGCCTTACTCCGCGCTTCAATCCGCAACAGAATGAAAAACCGCTCCACCCCCAGTCCCTCAGATCCTCCCCCCCGCTCTTCCAAGTGCATTATCAATATTTCTTCCCTGTTAGCTCTCAAAGGCGGCACAGGGGCCGTTCCCTACGCCGCATCCAAGGCCGGTATCCTGGGTCTTACCCGCTCGCTAACGGTAGAAGCGGCGAGTTCTCTTCGCGACCAGCCTATTCGGTCGAATGTGATCGTTCCGGGGTATATTGAGACCCCTATGATTGCGGGTATGTACATCTTTGTACCTTCCTCTCTTACTCTTGCTTGCATTGCCGGTCTTTATGGGGTTTCTTTTATGCTGACATTTTATGAAGACTTCAGTGACAGGGAAAGCTCCAAGCTCAAAGAAGATATTCCACTCAGACGGTTCGGACAGCCGCAGGAAGTCGCAGATGCGGCTGTATTCCTGGCTCAGAATGAATATGCAAATAACTGTGTTATTAATTTGGATGGAGGGCTTAGCGCTTTATAATGGAAAGTAAACGTAGTTACTAGAATTGGACGGCGTTGGGTCGTATATTTTTTTTCTGTTATTTATCAGAAGAACGGGGATAATACTACCAGTAGTAACAAAGTTAAAGGGCTATGTGGAACGTTATATACTCCGTAATATATTATACTACCAAACCAAGGGTTTTTCTTTTCTTTTTTTTTTTTACCAGCTTTGAATACGTCCAGGGATCTCATTGGAGACACCCGCAATCAGTGAACAAAGGCCCAAACAATCTCGATAGTGGTCATTTTCAGCGTTGATTTTCATAGATACTCAAATTCTAGCCGTGAATGTATGTTACATGAGAAAATGGCACAAGATAGCCAATCCTAAAGACTTCCCCTTCCAAGAGTAGTAGTCCAGGATATAAATAAAAAGGTATGTAACGAACACCCTCAGTCATCAATCAAAATCGCTCCATCCTCTGTTTCATCCAAAAGGATAGGATTTGCTTGATGCCCATCTGAAATGGATACGTTGGCCACACGTTTAGTAGGAGGGTCACCATTGCTCAGCTCTTCTTCTTCTTCGTCCACGTCGCGTTTCCGTTTCCCTAGTCCGGAGGTTCCGTTGGCATGCTCAACGACTGGCGGAGGCGTTGGGGCTTTTGGTTTCCTGGGGATGTCAGGAACCGTCTCAAGGACGATGGGTTGCTCTTCGAGAGCGGTTTCTCGTCTATTGGCAATGTTAGGATGGCGTGCGACGAGTAGCTAGTTTGGGGGCTCACTTTTCAGGTACAATCACGATGAGCTCCAGGTTAACACGTGGCTCGTCATCTTCCTCGTCCACAATGGTGAGGAAGCTTTCATTTTTGATCCCAAGATCCGAAAGTTTCTTGGGAAGATTATCCTCAAGGTCCGGATCGTAGATGGTGCCTTGCTCCGTGCTAAGAGAAAACTCCTCGCCATATCCGAGCTGCCCGCGAAGGACTTTCTCAACCAGGTCATTGACTGTAGCACGCTCAAGGTTGACGTTGACCTCTCCGCGAGCAACAGAACAGACAGGGCAGGTTGGATTTGGGGGCTTGAGAGAGTCGGAGTTGATGGCCCGAACACCTGAACGCTCAAGGAAAACCATCTTCGCACGCTCGTAGTCGTTCCTTAGCACTTTAAGTGCCTGTAAAACACAAAGACCGGCTGTCATAGCATTTGTCGTTGCGATTGCCGGAATAATATTACCAGCCATTTCTAAAAGGTCGGGATCAGTACGTTTCCATCAGATAATTCAAAATAAATGAAATCATACGCTTGGTATCAAACTTGGACTTGGGATCTATGCCAAAAATAGTTGCGCGTAAATTGGCGCTTGCAGTGACAAAGTCCAGGGTATCAACATCATCTTTATCAAACACCAAAATTGGGCGAATATCCCCTTTTTCCGATTCTTGCAGAGTCTTCAGTCGTTTACTTAATCGATCCAAACTGTGCAAATGGTTAATTAAGCCTTTTTCCGGGGGGGGGGGGGGAAGAGATAGAGATGCTGACCTATCCTTAAAGACGACCAAATTTTCAGCAAGAGACCAAACCTTTTGATCATTTGACGATATCGCGATGTCAATATCTGAGGTTTCTTTCTGTAGTTTCTCGAACTCTAGAGGCTCTGGGGGCTTGCGAGTCTTCCACATGTCTTCCATCCCACACAGTCTGACAATATCCTCCTTAAAAACTTTGTCAAAAACCTTTTGAGTAAACTCGGAAGATCCCATCGATTGCCGAATCTCTTTCAGTGCTTGAGCCTCTTTACGCAAGTTGGCGATCTCTTCAGCTTTGAGGGGGTTAAAACATTTCACTCGAGGGCGCTTTGATTGATATTGGGCAGACTAACCATTTTCAGTATCCTCAGAGTAGTCGAATTCTTCTGGGTCATCTTCGCTGATGCCAAATAGCTCACTTCAAAATGTAAGTGACTAGTCACAGGTTGGAAGGATAAATCGCAGAATACTCACGGAAAGAGATAACTTTTCGCCCAGACGATGCAGTGGATCGGCTGGCTCGGAGTACTTCTGATAGTACACACAGGGAAACTCTTAGGAACTTCTTTAGAGTTACAGTCGTAGCACTCGGTTTTACTCTGTCTAAATCAGCAATGCGACCTGCAGGGTGGAAAGTATGCGCGGACCTTTTTGATAACCTGAACCTGGCCGTTGAAGCCGGTTGTTCCACTTTCAATCAATGGTACATCCGCAGCCAAGCACATTCTGTTCACATGGCGACGAGCGTCAAGGTTGTCCAGCGCGTTGAACACGACGTCAAAAGTCGCAAACCAATCGACGTTAAACTGACTGTCCTTGATGTTTGCATGATACGCCTCTATTTTTGCGCCAGGTTGAAACTTTTGGGAAACCTCTTTCGCGACCTAGATCCAACCAAAACTCCGTCAGGATTCTTGCCTTATGACTTGGTGGGGGGTGGTGAGTGTGCTGAATGTGATCTCAAAAGGGCGACAATGGACGACGGCAAGGAACGACGGCAGGGGTGCTCGGTAGGGGGTCACGTACTAGAGCTTTTGACTTCTTGATGTGCTCAAATCTAAAGAGAAACTGGCGATTCAAATTGCTGAGATCGATAGTATCAAGGTCGATTAGGTGAATCTCGCCAAAGCCAGTGAGGAGGAGGTTCTTGAGCAGCTCGCAACCGATGCCACCAGCGCCGACCAGAAGGACTCGAGACTAGAAGACATTGCGGGGGCAAAAGATTAGTAACCATGATCGCAAGATCCCTAATGAAGATCGGGTACTATTCCAAACAATAAAAGCAAAGGTAGAGGCGTGGGATTACCTCTTTAATGCGTTTGGAGAGTGTCCCGAGAGAGCGCTTAAGATAAGTGTCCCGCGTCATGATGATAGCGCGAGAGGCAAATCAAGAGTCAGAAAGGAGCCAGGAGAGAAAAGATCGAGAGAAAAGGCATCGCAAGACAAGGGATTGACAGGAGGAATATAATTGAAGATGAGGAAAGGGGAGAAGGGAAAGGCTGAAGACAAGGGAGTGAGAAGAAAGTGAGAGGCCGCCGCCGCCGCCTGGGTTCCGGAAGCAGATGAAGAATGACGGCGCAGGAGAGCCGAGACAGCTTCAAACGAACCCCCAATTCCCCTTCAGGTGCAGGAAGGGAGGGAAGATTAAATAGTATATGAAATCAAATCCAGTCAAGTCAAAAATTAATAGGAGAGATTTTCCCCCTCCAATTCAAGGAGCAGATACATATGTGTATACACTTTGCTTCCCGCATCGGATACAAGGGTATTGCGATTGAGATCTGGGGAAAGAACAAGAAACAGGATTCATTTAACTAGAAAACTGTAGTTTTATTACAATCTATTGGAATTAGGGATTCAGATTCCTTCCCACTGAAAAGCAACTATATAAAAAGAGAAAGGAAAAAGCGGCTTGGTGTATCTCTGGATGGTTTGGGGACAGGAACTCTGTCAAGAATACCTATAGATTACAAGTAGATATAGGCAGTCATTTACTAGGCAGCTATAAGATCTGCTTATAACCCTCCAACCTGTTATAATACCTAATATCAGTCATATTCATCTGTTGCCCTGAAGCTATAACTGAGTCTCACTCTCTGCTGCCTGGGGCACTAGTTGCCATTCCTTCCCTTTTAGGACAAGTGCGAGGCATCTACTTACTGAGTGTTGCTTATGTAATCATGTTTCTTTCACAGCCCAAAGAAGAAAAAATTAAATTGAAAAAAACAGAGTAAAAAAAAAACAAATTGGTATCGAAAAAAAAAAAAAAAAAAAACCAATCAACACAGATGAATGCCTTCATAATAGATCAAGAGTCCTGTGCTTCTTTCTGATTCCTTCCCAACTACCAGACATTTCTCTCTCTGCTTAATTGGAGCCCACCTCGACCTGATTGATCTCTCACATATTCCTTGGGTCGGCCATTGTCATTTCTTTGGGTCATCGATAAAACGCGGCTCATCGTTCGTTCCAGTCCTTCCATTGCACTAATAGCCTCTCTCGGATTAATTTCTCTGTTCCAAAAAAAAGTTGTGCCTAATTTTTTCTTCATATTTCTCATATTCATTCAATAGCTTTTCAAGGGGGGGACTTCGTTTTGTGCGTCTCGTTTAAGCTGGCAAGGGAGGGAGTCGACAATATAACATCACCATCCACAGACATGTCGGATGACGAAGTAGACCACGAGTTGATCGCTCTGCTTCGGAAATCTCTCGGGCTTGGAGGAGGAGCTGCAAATCCTCGCGCTGCAGAGACAAAAGTCCTGGAAAATGCGCAATTCATTTTTGATAATGCCATCGATGTTGCCCTAGATCCCGCGAAAACCAAGGCTGCCGCAGAGACCATATGGCGTCTAATGCAGAAGAAGAAGTACTCAACACACACCTGGACGGAGCATGAATTACACCCGAAAACCAAAGATGAAAGCACTGTAGCCTTTATCTTCACTATGGATCTGCTGAACTTCAGCTTTTGGTCGGAGCTCTCGGAAGGGAAGCGATTCGCGATTGAGTATCGCGGAAAGACGTGGACTGGTTACTGGAGCTTGGTAGCTGCTTTGCAAAGAGCCTTGGATGAAGGTATGTCCTTCTCTTTTACCTCTATTTTAGTGCACATCTTCTTGGGAAAAGGGGGGGGGGGATTACAGTTTACTGACCTACGACTCAGATATCCCCATCACTGATCCAGAGTTCTGGACGGACGAGGAGGCATGCACCGAAGACGTGATCAAACATGTTTTCCGCTCTGCGACGGACGAGGAGATTCCACTCCTACAGGAGCGGATACAGTGCCTTCGTGAAGCCGGGCGAGTTCTGTGCACAGTATGCCACTCCTGCTCTGACTATCTGCGTCCCCCAACTAACAGCCCTACGCCAGGATTTCGATGGCAGCTTTACTAATTGCATCTACAACGCGAATAACTCCGCAGCCGCTCTTGTAAATCTTCTTGCAGAGAGCTTCTCTTGTTTCCGCGACGAGACAACCTTCCATGGACGAAGAGTGCGCCTCTACAAGAGGGCTCAGATCTTAATTGCGGATCTATGGGCCTGCTTTAACGGAGAGAGCTATGGTGAATTTCGCGACATTGACAAGATCACAATGTTTGCAGGTATGACCTTCTACAACTGCCGACAATCGTCCATGCCTGCAGTATCTAATCACGAGTCCCAGACTATCGCATACCCCAAATGCTCCACCACCTGGGGTGCCTGCTGTACTCCCCCCCCCTGGAAAGCGCCATCCGCAGTCGCAAAGTGCTCCCAAGCGGATCCACCTGGGAAGTCGAACTACGCGGGACAAGTATCTGGTGCGTCGAGCTCATCAGACGGGAAATCGAGCAGAAACACCCAGAAGTCAAGCTCCTGCAAACCAATGGAAATCCACACTCCAATGGACTCCCGCAATCCAACCACAATGACACCGAGACAGCACCGCCACAAAACGGCTCGGCACACAAACATTCGAAGCAAAACAGCGCGAGCAAACCCCACAACACCGGCATTAATGCAATTCTCATAGATTTCTTTCTTTACGACACAATAAAGGAACTAGAGCTAGACGGAGAAGAATCCATCCCCCATCACCGGACCAGGAGTATCTGGTATTAAAGTTAGAGAGCATAATCGTTGCTTTGCTTCATCGCTCGGGATTTTGTTATACCCCTTCACGACACAGCGTGCGATATTTCATATATGGATTGAGTTTTTTTTTTTTTTTTTTTTTTTTTTTCTCTTTCCAGGTTTCTGCATTTGGTTTTGGGCTCCTCTACTTTATAGATTGTTCCCACGTCCCTTTTGACCCCTCTGCGCTGGCAGCAGAGATTCTTGCGCTAAGACGTGCAGTCAACCGCTGGGCAAATCAGTGTCTGGGCGCTTGTCCCTGAGAAGACTCCCTCATACTGGTTCATTTCTATCATGATAAACAAGATATAGATAGAGAGAGAGAGAGAGAGAGAGAGATGTATGTATATAAATAGAGATAAAACTCTAGCGGTCCATCATCGCAAATCCAGGGTATCATATTCAAATTTTCATCCTATGTATAAGCAGGCTCAAGCCCCAGCAGCAGCTTCTATCTGCTCAATCCGAGCAATGATATCGGCCTTCCACGCCGCGTAGTCTTCCCTCCGCTCAGCACTCAACCAATCCACCCGATCTTGCATCATTGTCCCCAAGCCAGGAAGAAGCCCACGTCTCGCGGAATCCCTCGAGAGAAATGCCCCGCGGTCAGTCTTCTGTCGCTTGTTACTACGAGCCCCTCCATTCTCTTCCTCGCCATGTTCTGAGAGATACTCATCATCCCCGTCCAGTTCCCCGGCTTGCGGGATATTTTCGAACCACTCCTTGCCACTAGCCCAGGTATGTTCCATGATGAGAGCGATCCACTGATCGACATCTTCGCGGTATCTTCGCTCAGTAGATGGAAGACCCAGGCTCATGAGGGCAGTTTGACGCATCTCTGAAAACGTCTTTTTGTCCATTTTGCGGGATTCGTCGTGTGAGGATTCGGTTGGTTGTCGGCGCCGTGCGAGAACAAGGAAATATATGGCGACGATAAGGGTATTGATTATCTCAATAAAATCATCGTCGGCGTCTTTGTCTTTCGTTGCGATGACGGGTTCGAGGAACTCTGTGGTTTCCTCGTCGAAGGTCGCGCTGGCGTTGGAGATGAAGTAAAGAATCGATGATACACCGGCAAATATGTGCGGTGGTAGTGCTCTAGAGACAGGAGGGCGTGACCATGTGCTCATGCGCGGTGCTGGTGTGGAAAGTGTCTTGCAAACTGTTCGGATTGAAACCATTGTCCACTCCGGTGCGTCGGGGATTTTGGTCGCGGCAGAAATGCCATTCTGTGGGAACTTGATGGTTCTTTGAGGTGTGCGTGATGATGATGATGATGGCACGTCCGTGCTTGTAGTTGCTTTCTTCAAGGGTGTAGGCTTGCTCGGGGTATTCTCGAGCCCCCGCGGCGTCCCAATGATCTTGGAAGGTGTAGTTCCTGTCACCCTTGATTGCCTTGTGGGAGTTAATGGCACAGATCCAGATCGGGAAGGTGTTCCAGGAGCCGAAGCAGTTCCTAAACGTTTCGGGCTTGATATGCTAGGCGTAAGGGATCGGTCAAGGAAAGAGTAAAGCTTCTTGTAAACCCGTGGAGGACATGGTGGATGGCCAAGGAGAGGAGGTAGTTTTAGTGCGCGCGTAAGTCTACAACGCAGAGACTAGTTAGCTGAATTGCATGAAACTTATTGATTTCCTAATCCCCCGCATCAGTGTGATATACAGATAACCATACCTCTTACAGGCTATTTCAGCGCACGCAAATGGGCGTGCGATTTCCTCATCGGGTTTGAGACTCGAAGAAAAGCTTCGCGACTGCGCGACGAGCGATACAGCCAGGCTTAGCAGTTCTTGCGGGATATCTTGCGCATGTGTAGGTAGGAGCGTTGCCAATGCCTGTTCTACAGGCCTATTGTTCATCTTGTTTTAGTTCGAAGTGACTGGCTTGTTCGATGGGAAAAGCTGAGCGAGTTTCTGAAGCGAGAAAAGTTGGAGAGCTAAAAAAGCAGCCAAACGGCGTGGTATTCCGCAAATACCCAGAAAATCCTTTCTCTGGGGCTGACTGGATCAGTATATTTATGAGAAATAGAATATTCAAACCAGCTTGAAGATGATTGAAGGGGTTGCGAGAAGTTCTTCAGGCGCTCCGACATCATTTATGTAGTGTCATGTGACCGGCGGCGGTCTCGAAGTTCCGCGCGGAGAGCTTCAATCGTCCACTCCTCCTCGCTATCGGATTGTTGTCGCTGTCTCCATTAGATACGTCTTCATTGCATTTGCAATATGTCTGTTACAGTGAGTCTTCTCTTGTTTTATCTGATCTGTTCAATCCCTTCCAGAAGCTAACGTCATCTCCATGAAAGCTCCATACCACACAAGGAGACCTGAAGGTCGAGCTTTTCTGCGAAGCAGTGCCCCAGACAGCAGAAGTATGTCATCTACAAGCTATTTTCCTGTTCCCTTATTCTGCCCCATATTCATACCCTTCAAAATTATCGCCCGTCAATTTTAACCCAGCATCCCCTCAGAACTTCATCGCTCTCTGCGCAAGCGGCGCATACAACAATACCCCATTCCACCGTCTCGTCCCCGGCTTCATGATTCAAGGCGGCGATATCTCTCTTGGCCCCGCCGCAACCACCTCGAGCGAAGGCATAAAACCCATGCTCCCCTTCGAAGACATCCCCAAAGGTGGCACCTCAATTTACCACCCCTCAGCTTTGAACCAAGAAATCCAGCTCCCCGCCCTACGGCACAACACGCGGGGGATTCTCTCCATGGCCTCTCGACCCGTCAAGAACCAGACGGCTCCCGGTTCTCAAGGCGCTACAGGCGCCACAATTAACGGCAGCCAGTTCTTCGTTACTTTTGCCGCCGCGCCGCATCTAGACGGAGCCAGCACGGTCTTTGGGAAAGTCCTAAACCTCACGGCGCAGGATGAGGGTGGGGACATCTTAACGAAGCTAGAGAAGGCGAATGTCAAGATCGATAAAAAGGGGAGGGTGGTGCAGCCCAAGGATGGTGAAACGGAGTACGAGGCCTTGCGGATCAACAGCGTAACGATACATGCCAACCCGTTCGCTAAGTGAGCGAATCCCTCATAAACCTCTCGCGTTCTGTACGCCCCGGTACCTTGTTTTCGCCACGCTCCTGAGGTGAGGCCACGAGGAAAGTGCCGTGAGGAAAACCATGACTTCCAAGGGCTCCAAAAATTGTGCGCCAGCGAAATCTGCGTACTTGGGTAGAAGTTTAAATACGCAGACAGTTCACCCCTGCAGTATTTCAGTACTGACTTCGATCCGATTCTATCCATATAAGAAATGCTAATTAAAAGGCAATTCTCACGAAGAACGACTTTATACGGGCAAGGCTGTCAAGCAGCTTGGTTTATCCAAAAAAAAAAAATTTACGATGTTTATGACCCTATTTGCCTAGAAATCTTGCGAGCTGTCAAACAAAATTTAGAACGTTGGTAGAAATTCATTTTCTATGATCATGGTAGTCCCAATATCCAAGGAGAAACTTTTCTATACCGCCACGAATAAGAAAAATATAGACAAGAAATGCATAAATACCACTCCCTCCCAGCTCCATGCAAAAAAAAAAAAAAATAAAAAAAAACAAGGATATCGAAAGAAAGAAAGAAAAGAAGAAGAAGAAAGAAATTCAACCCCCAACGAATTCAGATAAGGTACCTCCACGCAAACCAAGAAGATATCGTATCACGCAAGGTCATTAGAATCAAACATCATAAATCGAAGAAAAAAAATGCCGAGAGTAGTGTTCTCTATATGGAGTATCGATAGATCAAGACTTGTTTTCGACATTCTCCTCAGTTGTCTTCGTTTCTTTGCTTTCTTCATCCTCCTCATAACCTGTGACCTTCATATCATTCAATCCCAGGTCCTCTTCCTCCTCCTCTGTACGGGTATATTCCTCAGTGGTGATTTGTCGATCAGGAGCTGGAGCGCACAAATCCTGGATATAACTGTTGGCCATAGGGTCCTCCAGCGTAATGACGAATTTCATATCACCGCTAATTGCGGAATCGAGACGCTTGAAGAAGCGCTCCCATTTGTCTTTATCGGATTCCGCCATGCTGTCGCCTCCGCTTTGTGTGGTGTCATCAATGTCGTAAATCTGACCACGGAGCTGGTCACGAATTTCTGTGAGAAGGCCTTCCACGGTAGTGAATCGACCGCCTAGGGTGCCAGGCTGCACCACGACTTCGAGCTCGTCACTGTAGAGAGCACAGGTGTCAGACTTGAGAATGTCGCGGTGAAGATCCACAGTGTTCTCCACACTAAGTGTGATGCGCTTTCCCTTGTCAGGCACTGCACCACCGGTTTTCACGTCGCTAGACCGGTATCCGCAGTGATCACAGACATTGCTCCAGATAAAAACTTCCTTGAAGTACGGGATATCAACCTTCTGCATGTTGACCACACAACCCTTCGAACAAGCAGGACACTCAGCAGGCAGACTGTACACCTTTCCATCAACAATGTCGAGATCCTCAGGCATGCCAGCGGCTTCGTGCTTCATAGCTTCTTCATCAGCAGCAATTCCAAGTTCCTCATTCTGTTCACGGGTACGAGCATAATCACTGCGTCTGTACTTGCGTCCCGTATCATGAGTAGTGGGCGCAATCCAAGAGTTACCAGTAGGGTCATCCAGAGACACACTGAACGGGAAGCCCTCTCTATCCAAGATCTTCTGTAGGCTATTGATAATGGGGACCAGGGCGTCGTGAAGTTCGGGCGCCTGCTCTTTCCGCAGCTCCTGCTCACCAGATAGAGATTCATGGATCTTCTGGATTACACCCTCCACAGTAGTCAGCTGGCTCTCACCCTTAGGCATCTCAATACCCAGGGATTCAACCTTGAAGATGGAAACATCGCTCCGAATAACCTGGCGCTGGAGATCATCCTCGTTCTCAACATCAAGTGTGTACTTCGCACCCTTCTCCTGAATCTGACCGGCGGACTTGACCGAGTTGTCTTTGAAGTGGCAGTGTTCGCATTCAAAGGATTCGAGGATAATGTCGCGGAAGAAAGGGACTCTAAGGAGAAGCAGTCGGGTAACTCCCTAAAATTCAAGTTAGATTTTTGTTGGGCATAACTGATTCAGTATAAGCAAAGCATACGTTATCATGGCAGTTCATGCATAGACTTTCGATCTGCATAACACCAGTTTCTTCATCTCTCTCAACAAGATCTCCCGGCTTCTGGAATTGGGATTCCTCCTGGACAACGACCTGGTCATCTGCGGACATTTTGACACGATTGGTGTATATACAGGTGATACGCGGGGTCAAAATTAGAGAAATAGCTGTAACTGAGTAAATGAAAGAAGTAATAGAGGATGTAATGGTACTTTATATTTGGTAGAAACCCAACAAAAGCGAAAGAAAGAAGAAAAAAAGTAGTATGACGGAATGTTCCTGGACTTTCTACCCTGTGGCGGGGCAATTTTTTTTTTCTTTGCTTTGGAGGGGTTCCGCTGGCAGCGTTAGTCAGCCCACTATACAACACTTGGTTATGCTCGAGCTCGAGCTCGAGGTATCAATTACTAGGTAGTACTTTACATAAACTATCAGGTCAAAACAATATACTATCACTACTACCTTAACCGGTGCTTGTTACCTAGGTATAATTCACCAGGCAGCGACAAGGGGCGAAGATCACAATTTAGAATGAAGAAGCACATAGTGGTCACTCTTTCCATTCAAAGATACCTTCTAAATGGCTGCCTAGTGTTACCTACAGATCTGGGTTAGTATATATAATTGTCCAGTTCACTTCCGCTCCATCCATCTCTCATTCCACAACTCCACCCGGCTACAAAAAGATGCCATGACAGACACGGGGCATATGCCACTCAGCATATGCCAATGCCACCATTAGGTACTTATAGCGTCCAGTATAGCTATTAGGCTATACAGTATGATTTCTCCTTTGAATGATTTGACCTTTGTCATGTGCTGATCATCTAAACAGGTTTAACGCGTTGAGGGAGTGCGAACCATTCTAAAAACAACGATGAAAAGCCTCTGGCTAGTGGAGGCCAACGCGCCACCACTGAAAAAAGGTGGGCGTTACGTTACGCCTTCCAAGGTGAAACGGCCTTGGTTGTCAAATAGTGACAACCAAGTGCGCGAGCACTGTCTGCGCCCTCTACCACACGGGCTGCCCTTGGTGTAAGCTTTGAAGATCTACAGTCGGAATTTCAAAAACCTCACCTAGTACTGAGAGGGGGTTCGAGTGGGCACGCAGGGTGCGGGAAAGGGGGCAAAATGTGGATTTCTTCGTGACGAAGATATCTGCGCAGCTGTACAATACAGCGGACAGGGATCATTTTAACATTGACTGGACTGGCCAACCATGTAAGTCGCTAGACATGCGCATTTTGCAACCAACCATGCCTCATGGATCAACTGGCCCAGCCACGTGTGTGCGTGAACATACTTAGGTAGTTCCCGCCACTCCCCGCCGTCGCGGTAGGCCGCGCAAAACCCGTTGCCTGCCTATAGTCAGGCCTGTCGTCGCTGCTTAACTAGCGGCGAACGCTGTTCCCTCCTAGATGGGGGGACACCACCTTGCGTGCGCTGTGCGCGCGGTAAGAGAGGGACGAAAGGCTATATTAAGGTAGTTACGACAGTACCTAACCCGACCTTAGGTACTGTGGAAAGAGCGAAGGAGATCAGGGGGCAACCACGTGACCCTAGTGACCACATCAACCTCTCCTGCCCCTCCCCATCCTCAACACAACACGTGTAAGAGCATGTGATTCGGGCAACATGTCTGGCGGGGCTGCTGGCGTTGCGGCCTGTGCTAGGTGGACTTATGCCACCGAGATCTTCATTCGACGCCTTAAGACCGAAGATCAGACAGAGAGGTTGTTGCGGTCTATCAATCGCAACATTTTTCGGCTGCTTAATGTGCAGCGGGTTGGGGCCGGTATGGTGGAGTTAGAGGATGATGATGAGGAGATTTGGGAAGGTTACGATGAATAGGAGGGTTATCGACGTCGCTGCGATGGCGCCTGTTGTTCCTGTTACCACATAGTGACCACGCCTACCTGCTCACAGTCCTTAGCTTAGCTTAGCTTAGTCTAGCTGGCTTAGGGCTGGGGGTCCCTACTGAATATATGCTAGTTGGCTTGCGGTTAAGCCTTATCTCAAGATGGGAGATAGTTGTCACGGCGTGCACTAGGTGCACTGGTGCCAAGGTAATTAATTACTAGGTATATAAGGTAGGATTCAGGCAGATTAGATATCAGGTCTGATCATAATGACCTTTTGGTCCAATGGTTTAGACATGTTGCCCGAATCACATGCTCTTACAACACGCATGTCATAGAATCACAGTTTTATCCAAAGTCTTTTGTTTGGGAGCAGAGTTGCTCTATATAGTCCTTATCATCATCTATATCTTACCTTGTCATCAGTACCTAATGGCTGCCAAATCAACCGACCAATCAGGAAGCGAGACAGCACGGGGACATCGGGCTTCCGCCAGAATCGCCGCCATTGCCGCGCAGCGAGCGCGCTTACAGAAACCCGGAACGGAGTAACCCTCGGCGTGGGTCGAGAATTACTTTTCTACAGTGGAAGGAGCAGCCAAGAAATAGGCAGTCACATAACAGACACTACAACACCGACTTCCCTACCCACCCCAAAACCAAGTTCTTACATAGATGTCCTAGGTAGTTTTTCGCAGATGGGAATAGCCACCGTAGTTCTATCCAATTCGTTCGTTTTACTGGTATTGAAGCAATTTATGGGGATACAGCTCACCGTTCTACTCACGCCGAGCTGTATCCCCTCCGTAGTTAGTTAGGTAACCAACCAAAGTAGATTAGTAAACCCGGAACATTGATTATTCCGGCCAAATCATGTGCATCATGTCATTAGTAGTCTATCAAAAATTTGTAGATCTGTAATCAGCCCCAGGCTTCACTTTATTCTGCGATAATCAAGTTGTAACCGAAAAATGAGAGTATCAGGGGTTCATTAGCACACTAGGCGATTGAGATGGGTTGTCCGCTCCGCATCAAGGAGGCTTTTGCTGCAGCAAGCGAGTTTCTCGGCCCGGTTCTTCAACGAGGCACGCAAACCTCAATTATTATTATGCATTGTGGCCTAGATGTGTGCTGACTGAATTTAAGAGGAACTGCAGAAATCTCGCGGAGACTCACTTATAGCGATCTTGAATAGGAATTTACCTGGACCCTCTTTGGACGATGCATCCACTAGAGCAAACGTCATTGGCAAAGCATTGGACTTGCTATGTCAGATCCATGTAGCCTTTGTTTCTCCAGTAAATGAGTCAAATAAAGACCTGGAGGAGTATGAAACCGCTGAAAATGCTGGTTTGGAGGATGCCAAACGGCGCCGCATACTCCACACTCTTCTGGACCTGATTTCCTTGGAAGGAATCTATCCATCACTCTCATCAGGGGTAGGAATTCCTCTTCAGCAGAGGGTAATATCTGTCCTCCCAGCCGGCGTGATTGCCCAACAGCAAGCTCCCGTGCATGAAACCCCCCAGGATGAATCTCTTCTCTGCCACATACTACTGGGACTCTCCGACATTATATTTGATGAGCGTCCTAGCATCCAGCCTGTGATCCGGGGCCGAATCCTCAGCGACATCGTCAGTGTGGCATCAGATTTAGGCTATAACCCAGGGATTGTAACCGACGATAGGCAGCCTCGATATCGTCATATTCTCTCAAAGGTCGTCGAAGAGTATGTATATGTGACACCGTGTGGCTTGCAAGTACTAACACCTCCTAGAACTCCTAGCGCGATCTTACTCTCGACTTTGTCCGCTTTTCTGCAGGCAAACCCTGCCTCATGGTTCAAGTTAGTCATCTCCGGCCTCTTATCAAGAGTCCCATTGCGGGACAATGGAGTGTTACAGACGATTATCTTTCTGGCATCGCAATTTGCACCCTCCCTTGGACAAGAACCTAACGCACAAGCTTCTAATGGCCCACATATTACTGTGAATGCCATAATGCATGCGTCGCGTCTTCTTTCTTCAGTGCCACAAGATATGGACCCCACCAATTACTTCACCGTCATTGGACCACAACTGTTGTCTCTGATTGATGGCGATGATCCGGATTTGAGAAAGGCCGCTGCTTATATTGTTGGGAATGGAATTCTTGGAAAGAGGGCTTACGGGGCGCCTGGGACTATCGGACACTCAATATTCCTGGAGCCTATATTCAAAACCATAACAGGGACTCTGGATGGTCCTTCTAGGAAGTATATGCTATCAATAGATAGCACCCAAGATCATTGCTCAGGGCAAATTTTGTCGTGTGAATGGGAGGTAATGCGAGCGATTGACAGGTTGAAAACACTGGTCCTTCAACCCCCAAACCCTGGACTTGTCAAGAGAGTCGTGTTCCCTGTCCTTCTTCCCCTCTGGGGATTGGCTTGTTTTACTACGGAGGAGGAAAATGTGCCTCTCCATGAGGATGTCATGACGGTACTACAGACATACTTTGGCATTTCCGTTGGGTTGCCTCCTTTGCAAAAAATCATCGACAATTTTCTGTGGGATGGTGGCCCGACATGGACTTATGGGACAGATTCCGCAAACAAGATTTTGCTGCAAAACCGCACTGAAGCGAGACCTGGAAAGGATTTGGTGAGCCTGGTCGATACGCTTCAGTCTCGGGCTAAGTTATTCAGGAGCCTACTGGATGCTGACCCCAGCCGCGAGGAGCGCACGGGAGAAGTTTTCCTCTACGTGAGCGAAAACTGGCTAGTGAAGTCTTCAGCGGACGCCCAACCGTTGCACAAGCTACAGCTTGTGCCCGATGAGGATGATTCTGAGATTATAATACGGAAGTTGACAAGCGCTAAGCTAGCAGAGACGCTGTTGGATAATTTTAAGGACACTCTCTCCCGTCGTCCTCTCAAGGTCCTCGAGCTTATCAAGCAAATAATAGATGGTGAATTGAATGATGCAAAAACGCGAAGCCGGAACAGTGTAGAGAATGTTTCCCCAAAGGTCTCTTTGTCTTCGTTGGCCAATATTGTGCCCTCACATCAAGTTGGAGAAGACACATCTGCTGAGCCGGAATCCACTCAATCACTTTCAGTTGTACTTAGTTTGCTTTCCACAATCCTCGCATCCCCCGAGTTTGCAGTGTCGAATGAAACCAGCGAGCTTCTGGAAAATATTAAGGGAAAGCTAGATGAGCTACTTCCATACCTGCCTCCATCACTTTCAAAATCGGGCACAACATCATCAATGCTCCTTGAAATCCAACTTGCAAGCCCTGAACAGCAAGAATCTGGGACAAAAGGCCCTGAGATACCGGATTTCGAAACCCACCGCCGCGCTCTAGCCAACCTCAATTCAGACCTTCCCCCTGTACAAGCAGAAGGATTCTCCCTTCTCTCAGATTTGATCAAGAAAGCCTCCCCAATTCTTGATATACCATCAACATTAACCCTTCTCCTATCCATAATTACGGACTCCTCAGAAGCAGCCTCCAACGACGAGTTCATCTACCTAAACGCAATCAAGCTAATTGGCGCCCTAGCGTCAAGACATCCACGCACCGTCGTAAAAACACTGATGGACCGGTACATCGACAGGAGCGAAAACGCAAGTCTCGATCAGAGACTGAAGATTGGAGAATCCCTCCTCCGCACCGTGCAAGACCTCGACGAAGCTCTAGCTGGAGAAACGGCAAAAATCCTAGGCGATGGCCTTATCACCGTTGCAGGACGTCGTGCACACAAACCACAAGCACAAAAAGCCCGCAAACAAGCCCTGGACCGAGAAAAGCGGAGAAAAGGGCGTGAGGAACGACCGACACCAGACGCCGCCGTGCCTCCAGGGTGGAAATTCTCGTCCTCACCTCTACCATCATCGTCCTCCAACGCCGAGGAAGACATACATGATTCAGACTCCGAATCAGAGACACCAGAGCAAGCCGCAAGATCTGCGAATATCATTTCCGCGTGGGCGGCAGGCGCTTCCCAAGATCAGGAGCCGGATGATCTGCGAATCCGTGCATCTGCGCTCTCCATCCTCGCCACCGCAGTGCAAACCAACCTGCTCGGACTGGGTCCATCGATCGTTTCATCTGCCGTGGATCTCGCACTCGCAACACTGACCCTAGAACCAGATGACGAGTCCGCAATCCTCAGACGCGCGAGTGCGGTTCTCCTCCTTGATATATTGAAAGCGCTTGATAGCGCCCGCGAAACCCGCGGAAGTCAAAACCTGGGTTTCGGATTCTCCCTTATGGAGGAGAGGTCGGCTGCCCCAGAAAACGGGAGAGGACCTGCCACGATTGGGAATATTTCTCACATGCTGCGCACGCTTGCGGGCGTGGAAAGTCGGGAGACGGATACGATTGTTCGTGGCCATATCCGGGTGCTGACGGAGAGTTTGGAGGCTTGGGTTGAGAAGTCTCTTCTTTGGGGGATTGGCGATCAAGCCGCGGCGATGCGAGGCAACGAGCCCCGGTTTGGCCTAGGGGATCAGATTGCGGGACTTCGGCTTGACCCGTTAGCTGGGAGGAGCGAAGGCAGCCGGCCTAGGATTGAAGAAATTGAGTAATTTCAAACGGTTATCAAGACCCTATGGGCTCAAACCCAGAGACAGAAAGCCATAGGGATGGTATTATTCAGTTTACATACGGACTAACTCATTGAATTTTGGTATTCATCCCATCTCTAGCCTTAAGTTGATGTAATACAAAGAAGAAAGAAAAGTACATTACTTAGTTATTTCCCAGTAGGCGTAATTAGTCATTTTGGATCGATCACCTGGATGACCGACTATTTTGCTGCGTTTTTCAGCCCGTAGTATACATCATCTGTTGGAAGATGTGCACCCACTGCTCACAAAATTGAAAAAAAAAAAGAAGCCTAGCCAGTAGGCAAGGACAAAACAAAAATACGAAACACAACGTAGGCAAGTCAAGTCCCAGTATTCTCCAGTCCTTCTCCGGCCAGCGGTATTGGAAAGAAATGGAGAGACAGAGAAAAGAGACCAAACGGGCCATGTATGAAATCAAGTAGCACAGAGACGTTGCAGATTTCATCTATCAAAGATGAAAACTAGCGACGTCCTCCGCGTCCACGGCCACGACTGCCATAGCCACCTCGACCATGTCCGCGTCCGCCTCCACCTCCGCCTGCACCACGGCCACCGAACCCGCCGCGGCGTCCTTGGAATCGGTTCATATTTCCACCTTGGTCAGCGCACGGGCGCGGGCCAATATCCATACGGGCCTGTCGTTGTTCATCACTGAGGTGGAATTTATTTTCGATTCCAATCAGATCGCAGAAAGTCGCAGTCTGGGGGTTGTTATACTCAATGGGGCCTTGATCAGTTGTGATAGGAACCGAAGGGTCATAGAATGGTGCGGTTGGAGTGAAGTTCTCCGGAACGTCTAGTTTTTTTGGTTTGACGACATGCTCCTCGATCCATTTTTCTTCTTCGATGATTTGAGGCCTGTAAATTGCGTCGCCCTTATCTGGAGATGGTCTGGCAGAGGGATCGCCAAGATGGAGATCTTGAGCGAAGACGCGGGTAATTGCTAGCCATTCTTTGTCGTACTGAAGGCGGAACGGACGCTCAAATTGGGCGCCTTCTTGGTCGGAGATGGCGTTGATCTCGATCAATTGGAGGAAGTCGCGTTTCGGGAGGCATTTGTCCAGTGCAAGGAAGTTGGTGACTACGTTGGAGATGGCCTCTGGGAAAGGTGCGTTGACTGGAGCAGAAGAGGCTTGGGGACGCGCAAAGCTAGCGGGAAGTTGGTTTCGAAGCTCTTGGGATACACCAATTTCGCTGTGTTGTGGTTCTTTAGGGACTTCTTCGGGTTCGCTGGGGGTCTTGTCTGCAGTGGGGTTGGCCAGAGGGGCCTCAGTCTCCGGCTCTTGATCGGAGTCGCTGTCAAGATCGAGTTCAATCTCGTCTGAATTCCTGACAGGCTGGGGATCATGTTCGGTCTTCTGCTTTTTGCTCTCGCGAGTTTCCGCGTCTCTGCTTGTTTCGATACCAGGCAACTTTCGACCGAATCCATCCTCATCAAGGTCAATCTTCCGCCAAGTTAGATTGTGCTGCATATTCAAGGCGGCTTCTTGGTTTGTCTTGTGTTCCGACAAGAATCGAGAATTTTCAGCAACTTCATTTTTGGCGGCTACCTCGTGAAAATTTTGCCATGCCGAAAGCTTGCTCTTGGTGGTGACGGGCGCGCCCTGCATTGATACTTCTTCTGTCACTTTGGATTCTGATACAGGGTCTGCGGGCAAATTCTCATTTCCTTGGCGCATGGGATGTTCGCCAGTCGGTGGATTTCGTTCATCATCGTTGGGAAAGATAGGAGCAATATACTTCGGACGATCGTTCGCAGTGTCGCCGGAGTTTGTAGGTTCTTCTTCACCCAGCACCATGGAGGTGAAAGTAGTACCATCCAAGCCAAATGAGTGCGGAGCAGCATTCTGTTGTCCCTGTACAGCATGAGGTGCATGCTGGACGGAGGCAACGAATCTCACGTGAAGGTGCGCGGAAAACCAGTAAGCAGGGCGCAAGCGGTCCAAAGCGTATCTGGCAGCTTGGCTGCCCAGCTTGCCGTTCTGAGAGTCTGCACGGAACAGAGGTTTCTGGCGGAAAAGCCGTTCATAATCCCCAGAGTACTCAACTTTACTCGGCCAATCATGCGACAATCCGATGTCAACCTGGGAGCGGATCTGAAGAAGCTTGCGAACATCAAGTTCCCGAATGTGGTAAATGCTATGAATGTCATCGCGGTTGTAGGGTATTCTCTCAAAGTGTGGCTTTCTGTAGTCATAGCCTTTCCAAATTCCAGACATGGCAGCAATCCGAACCGGACCGCAGCGAAGAACATTTGCCGCACCCATGAAGTAGATGTTAGGCGCAGCCCAGCCGCCGTAATAAAGCTCAAAGAGATGGCTACTGGCTTCATGGTTACCGGCAATAAAAATGGTCAAGTAAGGAGCAGTCCTTTTCCCACTATAGTACTCGTGAAAATCGCCCAACTCTTTGTACTTCTGCGGTACAGACATGCAGGCCATATCATTTGAGTTTCGAACAGCCTACCGTTTTGTTAGAAATAAGACTAGAGAATGACCCGGGAAACAAAATTACCTGGAAATCGCCTCCTATAATCAGCAGATCAACACCATCCCAACCTTTCAAAGCGGCAGCCTTTTCAACGGAGGCGTAGATATCGTGAAGACAGCCATGACCCTAGGGAGCTACCATGTCAGTCCTATCAAGAAAACAGAAGGAATTAATGGTACAGAGAGGCCAAGAACATACACAACCCTCCACAGCAATACGGATAGATGAGGAATTGGACGAGGACATTTTCGACTCTCCTAACCAGCGCCTGAAAAGGTCGCGGAAACGAGATATGTAGTAAATATGGCCCTCAACTAGGACACACCTTTTGAGAAGAGGAGAAAGTGAGAAGAATAAACAAGAGGAACGAAGACCACAAAGAGTGCATAAAAGGAAGAAAAGGTAGTGTTTGAAGAGGGATGGGAAGCGAGCAGGATAGAGTGAATGAATGAAGCTATGGTGGTTGTGTTTCTAGTCTGTGGTCTGTGGCTGGGCAGGATTTTTTTTATCAGATCCGCCCCGGAGTTTTTTCTTCGACTGTGCAACCGCGCCTCATACATGGCTTTGTTTACCTCTTACTACCACTACCGCTTGTGATCCTGGGAATTTGATTTTTCTTCAAAAGAGGGAGAAATAAGAAATGAGTTTCAAAGACCATGCCCCTCGTTTGGACTTTCTGAGGGACTCCGCCAGCTCTTTAAACTCCGCCAGTCCTTCTACCGCAGCTTATTTGATGTCCGTCCATAATGGGATTTATCGCGACGAGCACAAGGCATTCAACCAACGCCAACACGAAACGTTCTGTGCAGCTTGTGGTGCTCCTCGGAAGGCAGAATCGACGAAGACTATCTTGATTAAGAATAACAAGAGAAAGACAGCCGCCCAAGCGGCAAAGGGCCTGCCTACCAACGGAGTTACTATTTATCAATGTTTACGCTGCCGTCGGCGAACAGTCCGATTGGGATGCAAAGATCCTGCACAAGGAAACTCTGCGCCAAAATCCATGCCTCATACGGCTCCAACGGCTCCAATTGTCATTCCACAGCTGTCTACTCCTCCAACTGTCACTGCAGCCCCAGTGTCTAGCTCCACGGATCTGGCCAAGACCATTAAATCGGCAGAAAATGCCAGCAGTAAAAAGCGAGCCAAGGCCAGGAAGCAAGGCGGGCTACAAGCTCTGCTGGCAGCCAAACAATCCCAGACAAAAGCATCCCCATCTCTCGATCTCTTTGACTTTCTCCAGCAATAAGAAGCCTCAGGCATATTTTTGATGCCAAGACCGGGGGTTTCGGCGCTGTTCATTCCGGGACTATTCGGGATTAGCGCGGGGCTCTCACTATCGGCCAAAGCTCCACAGCTCCGTTTGGTTCACATCCCTCAGTCTCTCCTCCTCTAATGAATTACATAGAGCTACCGACTAGCTAGTGTCTGATTGATTCTCCGCCCTTCTTTTATTTCTCTCGCCCTTGTTGAGTCTCTAATTCAAACCCCCTCCCCTCACGGCCGGCATCCAACGCTCACCTATCGCCCGATCCAATGTCGGATTACTCCCAAGATGACGAACACGACCCTCAAGCGGACGAGCTCCGCGAGACCGCCTTGGTCACACTGGAGGCACTGATCAGCTCCTGCAGCACCCAGATGCAACCTTACCTGTTGAACACTGTCAAGTCTGCTCTGCGGTTCCTCAAGTATGATCCCAACGTCGCAGAAATGGAGGAAGACGAGGAAATGGGCGGCACCCAGGATGATGGGTCGGAGGATGATGCGACAGAGGAGCCCGATCTGGAGGATGACGAGTTTGAGGATTTTGAAGAGGAAGGCGGCTACAGTGATATCGATGATATGAGCTGGAAAGTCCGTCGATGCGCCGCTAAGCTTCTGTATTCCGTCATCTCAGCATATGGACGGGGTCGTGCGTTGGATGATGCTTCCTTGTACCAACAAATAGCACCTGCCATCATCTCTCGTTTTAACAAAGAGCGGGAAGAGAGCGTCAAACTTGAGCTTGTTTCCACTATGAATGCCCTCGTACGCAAAACCAGCGATGGTGCCATGATCATAACGTCAAATGGCTTCTTAGAATCCGTTGGAAGTGGATCAAAGAACTCAAGGAAGCGGAGAAGACAAGACAGCGATGCTAGTATGATTGATTTTGAGCCAAGTATTGGCAGCTCATCTGCAATGAGCACCCCAATTATCGCCCCATCGTCTCCAAAGTCAGGTGCCCAGGCCGAATTGGCCAATACCGTGCCTACCATCGTGCGCAGCCTGGTCAGAATGTGGAAGCAAGCTTCTATCCCTTTAAAGCAAGCTATCATTGTTTTGCTCAAGAGTCTAGCTCTCGTTCGCTATGGCGGTCTCGCGGACCACCTTCAGCAGATTGAAGATCCAATTGCGGATGTACTCAAATCCTCTTCCTTCTCAGGCGGATCATCTGCACCCGTGGGGGCATCTGCAAGCGCTGGAACCCTTCAAATCGAAACATTAACTCTCATTGCCGCTATTGCCGAAACACACGCCTCTGACGCCCTTTTGCCTTTCCTCATCGCATTAATCCCCGGTGTCATTGGAGCGGTTAAGGATCGGAACTACAAAGTTAGTAGCGAGGCTCTCGCGGCGGTCGAGCAGATCGTCAAAGCACTCTCTCCTCCCAGAGTTACTGGGGCTTCCCCAGATCTTGTGTCGCAACTGGAAAGGCTATACGACGTTGTTCACAGCCGGATTACGGATACAAGTGCTGATCTGGAGGTGCGCCAGCGTGCCATTCACGTATTTGGTGTTCTCTTGGCTAGAACCTCTGGTGAAAGAGGTACTACATTCCTGTCTGTAGACCGTCGCTCTAAAGGACTTGCTATCCTCCTAGATCGTCTGAAAAATGAGACAACCCGCCTCTCTGCAGTTCGTGCCGTTGATGACGTTGCCGTCCTGTGCTCTAGAAGGGAGGATGTTACTGGCACCTGGGTAGGCGGGGTAACTGCGGAGCTCGGAGCGCAACTGCGGAAGTCAGACCGTGTTCTGCGAACTGCCAGCTTGGACACATTGCGCAGTCTTTCAATGAATTCCAACACCAGAGCCCACTACGACGGCAAAACGATAAAAGAATTGGAGGATTGTCTACTTCCGCTTATTAGTGCAGATGATTTCCATTTACTCACTCCGTCCCTTATTATCCTCGCAAAGCTCCTGCCTGGCAACGCGCAGCTTCTTGTTAACGAGAACTTGGTATCGGCTCTTTGCTCGATTGTCCTATCCTCCCTCGTCGGCACTGTACTAAAAGCACTCCTTCTCCTCGTCAAGGTCATTGGAGAAGAAAACGCTGGGTCCGAGTTGATGAAAAAGCTGTTAAGGGATGTTGGAATCAATGGCGACACCTCTGTTGTCGGAAGAGCAATTGGAACTCTTCTGGTTCACGGTGGGCCTAAATTAGGTGTTAAGATGGAAGACTTCATGTCGGAGCTGCAAACAGCGCAGGATGCTCAACGTCAATGTCTAGCTCTCGCCATTCTAGGAGAATCCGGACTTCGAATGGGGACTAGCTGCTCGTTGACTCCAGAGGTGTTCATTACCCATTTCAATTCGAAATCCGACAAGGTTCGCTTGGCTGCGGCAACTGCTCTTGGTAATGCCGCTGCAGGCAATGTCAAGGCCTATCTTCCAACCATTCTAGGTGGTCTAGAGAAGTCCAACCCCCAGAGCTATCTTCTCCTCCACTCAGTAAAGGAATTGCTCCAGCATCCAGAAATCGTTCGACTAGATGTAGCCCCAGCAGCAGTGAAATTATGGCAGGCTTTACTCGTTGTCTCGGAAGAGGAAGATAACCGCGCTGTGGGAGCTGAATGTATCGGGCGTCTGGCGTTAATCGACCCAGTTGCCTACATCCCCCATTTCCAGGTTCGTTCTATAACCCATATTGTGTCACTGCCGTGATTACTGATATCTTACTTTCTGAACAGGATTATCTTTCCAGTCCCGATCCAAGTATTCGCAGCGTTGTGATATCTGCATTCCGTTATACCCTATCAGACTCGCGCGATACCTACAATGATGTTCTACGACCATTGATCGTCCCACTGCTCGTCAACATGCTCAGTGATCGTGATCTGGGCAACCATCGTCTTGCTCTCACCACCCTTAACTCCGCAATGCACAACAAGATGGACATCATCCTCCCTCACCTCAATGAGTTGCTTCCGGCTGTTCTAGGCGATACGCAGATCAAACCCGAGCTCATCAGAGAGGTTCAGATGGGGCCGTTCAAGCATAAGGTAGACGACGGACTGGAGCTACGCAAGGTATGTCAACCCGTTTTGAGGCTAGTAGAACCATCTGACCAGGAACAGAGCGCATACGAAACGTTATACGCCGCACTGGATACTTCTTTCTCTCTCTCTCACGTCTCTGAGCTTTATGGCCGCATCCTCGCTGGCATCGACGACGAACAAGATATCCGTACCATCTGCAACTTGATGACTTCCAAACTCATCACACTCGCTCCAGAAGAGACCCAGCGACATCTTGATGCTCTCTCGGAGAGATACACTGCCGTTTTGTCGTTCAAACCAAAGGACAACGCGGTAAAACAAGAACTCGAGAAAGCTCAGGAGGCGTCCATGGGAGTTCTCAAGATCACCCGCGAGTTGAGCAAGTCATTCCCCAATGCGGAGGTGTCGGGAGACCGCCATAAATGGAAAGGGTACATGGAATGGACTCGTGTGAATTTTGCTACGCAGCTGAAGAGCCTGGATATGGAGTTTTGACACAGCACCTATCCATCGGCGGGGGTTACGCATTTCTTAGCATTTCATACTCGATAACATAAATTCATGAACTTTGCAACTGCATCACGCTATTGCTAGAACTACTCAGAGGCTAGTGGAACCAAGTAGAATCTCTAAGCTTACAGTACTCAGGTTTACCTCTATGCTATACAGAGAGAACTATGGAATACAAAGAAAGAGGAGGTAACAATGTAAACAGATATCCAGTAAATATGCACTCAATCCGGGTAATGCCACAGACACCGCCATCAATACCGAAACTCCAAGTATGATGATGAATGTAAACCGCTAGACGCAACACTGTACCAAATAACCCAGACTCAAAATTAACATCACACATCAATAAACAGAGGCAAAAACAAAAAAAAGAAAAAGAGAGAAAAAAAAAAAAAGAAAACAATTACTAAAAAACGTTAAAGCGTCGTACAGCTTGAAAACGACAAGTCGTTCCAAGTCTGGACGAAAAGAATCCAATGGTAAAGCAATCAACCAGTAATTGCCTTTTTCTTAAGAACACCCAGTTGCTCGAGCTTAGACCAGGCGTGGTCCATGTCAGATCCCGGTTCTAGCACAGGTCTGAATTCCAATCCGTCCAGGAATTTGAGAGATCCTCCAGTCCCTGCATAGAGCATGAGCTCAAAGACTCTCCGCCTAAGTCGCGTGGCCTCATCCAGGTGGGCAAGGTATTTCTGGTCCACCAATGCATCTGCTGGTGGAAGAGTGTATGGATCGTCTATTTCGGGGTCCTTTTCGAGGTTGTTGTTTTCGTTGTCTTCTCTGGCGCGAAGCAATTCTCCGCGGCGCTCTGCATCGGCTAGAGCAAGCATATCTGAGTTGATCCTCTCCTGTCCAAGAGGCTTTTCCTCATTCGCCTTCAATTTCGGGATAGGGGCCCTTCCGCTTCCAGTCACAGCGGGTGGATAAAATCTAACAGTAAGAGGGTTGCCCCGGATATCAACCTTTTGAAGTGAGCAGGCCTTTCCCTTCCTCGTTCGACCAATGCGACTCAACACTTGGCAAAGCTTTCGGAGCCTTGTAATCGAGTTACCTGCAACTGTCAACCGGGAGAGACAGTTCAGGCCAACCAACTCGTTCACCCCGGGTAGGGAATTAAAGTTGAGATTAAGCACTTTGACATTGGGGAATTTGGAGGCAAACTCGGTAGGAAGCCCCTGCAGTCGACAAGATGCGAGGTCCAAAAGTTGTAGGCTTCGGAGAGGAGAAGATGGCGAAAGACATTGCAACGATAGTTTGTTTGAAGAAAGAAATACCTTTCGTACATCCCTCACAATGCCCAGGTCCAGATCGAAAAATCCGCCATTGCGATCATTCGCGATTTCTTGCTCCCTTGCAGACAAGACCTCTAGTCCTCGACATTGAGATAGACCAGATATAGTGGTCAAGAGGTTCTGATCGACGTAAAGAAGGTTCAGTGCAGGAAGCTCCCCAACATCGAGATCATGCAGGCGATTTTCAGACAGCCTCAACGATCGTAACAAAGTCAGTGGTGAAGAATATTCGAGTTTGTCCAACAAGTTGAAACTGAGATCAAGCTTCGCAAGGGCTGGAAGATTATCAATGTTTCGGACGGATATCAGCTGATTATGGCCCAGGTCCAGTTCCTCAAGTCGAGTCCTATTCGGTGAGTATTAGATGGAGTACCAAAAAAAAAAAAAAAAAAAAAAAGGGGGGGGCTATACTCACAGCTCTGCCCCTCCAAAGTCAACTGAGCTCAAGGCATTCTTTCTCAGCTGCAAGCTTAGTAGCCCATTCAAGTCAAACACGCCCTCAATATTTTGAATATTGTTGTCATTCGCTTTCAATTCTCGAAGGTGGATGAGGCCGCTGACTCCGTCGAGGTTCTCCAGGCCATTCCCTGAGATATCCAAATACTGCAGGTTAACTAGATGTCCCCAGGCAGTTAAACTAGAGAGGCAGTTGTTCTGTATATTAAGGGTCCGCAAAGTGGATGGGGCCCCACTCAGCTGGCCGATGTCATTGTCCGACACGTCGAGCTCCTCCAGGCGAGGACAGAACTCACCCAGCCTGTGGAGGGTAAGAAGCCCCTTCCGACGAAGAACAAGACGACGAAGATGCTCCCAGTACGGCTCAAATGGTTCGACCTCCGTTATGTGCTTAACCAAGTCCTCTGTAGCCAGAGCGAAAGTTCCATGGACCTGACGTAATGACGTGGGGTGAGTGCGCTGGGCCACATAGCTGACTTCAAGATGAATAGGTTGGTCTATTTGATTCACTGTAAAATCTGGGAGGGGACTCAGATAAAAGCTATAGCTTGTATCTAGGTGATTGCTGCGCAAGTGAACCAAAGAGTCCTCTGACCGGCCTTGAGTGGGTGTAGCTTGAACCCCATCCGAGCTCCGACGAACAACAGCTTGGGCGTCCGCCAGATCTTCTCCACTCTCGTCGATTCTAGAAATTGAACGTCGTCGAAAAGGCTGCGTACGCGCCGATAAATCTTGGTCTGTACCTTGAGCCTCTGTTTGCGAATTCGCCGCGGCTCTTCGAAGTTTCGACGGGCTTTCGTCATCGCTATACTCAATTTGAGAAACGAGGGGAGATGAAAAGCTTATTGTCACAACTCGGGCCTGATGATTGGGATTAGATTGCGGGGGTTTTGATATGCGGCCTTCGTGGAGCTTGATCTCGTGCTCAACATCGGTTGAAGACACCGTATTTTTTTCAAGATCCGTTCCCCACGAAGTCTCCCTGGTACCAGAATGAGGAAAACTAGACGTAGATCGACTGACCTTGGATTGGACAGAGCTAAGATTGACAGATGGTACCCCTGGTATTGTATGTGAGTTGGCATCCGATCTCGCATTTGCGGACTTGGTGCTGAGTGGACTCTGGGTACCATTCACCTCGAGTCGAGAAGAGTCCCTCATTTTCTCGGGAGATGAGGAATTCTGAGTTCTCATCATCTCTTGCAATTCATCCACGCTGAGGTCTGGGATGCCCTTGAATGGATCATCTTCGCCCGCCTCGGTGCGTTGGTGATGCAGGGACGGTCTTTCTTCCTCTTTAACCCATTGGTGCTTCAAGCGGTCGTAAGTCAACCCATTGACCTGCTCTGGGATGAGGTGAGAAACTATATCAGATGACAAAACGCCTTTCGCATGCGAACTATGTGATGAACCAGTGGGAATGGAGCGAGCACTGAAGCTTTTGGCTGACAGCCCTGTATTAAACCGCAGAAGGTCGAACAGTGTGTCATCTTCGCCAGCTGCCGGCACTGTGAGCTTACGCTTTCGCTGCTCTAGCGATTGTCCTCGTGTCAAAGCGTTTCCTGAAGAGCCGCGCATCGAATCCCCCACTTCAAGAGTCTGTGGTTGATTCGAGTCACCAAGGTTCAGGGACATGACCGAGTCATTGACGCCGAATTCTACGTCATCCTGTTCTTGGAATTTCTTGAGATGGCTTATAATTCGTGGATTGGGCTCCTTTGGCTCCCGTAGTTTGCGCAGGTCAACAACGCCTTCACGGCTGGGGGGGCGCGAAAACTCTTCGAGCGTAGACTCATCGTCGTAACTATCATGATCGCCATCTTCCTCGGTGCCGGACTCTTCGACACTAGATAAACCGCCGTTCGGTTTACCCTTACCCTTGGACCGTATAATATCCATGATCTTGGTTGCTTCGTTCAGGAAGTCCTGGGTTGTAATTGACCCTTTGCGCGCTTCGTCTTTTCGAACAATCCCCACGACATTCGGTACGCTTTGCGATAGTGGAGAGCCCTGATCTTCGTGGCCAATGCCTCCAGGCTGGGTATTCTTTCTGGTCGGGGAAAGCTGGTTTTTCTCGGATGACCTTGTTTGATGAGGTGTCGGAGTTCTCGGGCGGGGTGCTGAATGTGATAGCAGGTGGTCCTCATCGTACTTCAGACCGTGCTGCATGAGGCTTCGTTGCAGCAAAGAGAGTTCATCTGTAGCGGCACTATCACCAAGGGCTTGGTCATCCAGCACGTCATCCTGAGACGGCATAATTGTCCTCCTCCTCTTCGGGAAAGGGTCTTTGACAGGGCTGTTGGCAGCATGACTTGGCTTCAATCCACTCTCCTGTCTCTTTGCTAAGCCATGGTTCCTTGCAGCGTTTCGCTCTGATAAGACAGCATCCGATGCTTCGGACTCATGACTAGTTCGTCTATATGAGCGGTTCCAGACATGTTTGCCGCCAGTAGATAAACCGTGAGCCGGTGGTGGCGAGATATTGGGCTCGGGAGAATCTACATTCAGGAACTTGGAGTCGTACGGGCTGGCGTCGGAAAAATCAAAATTATCCAGCTGGCCCTCGCCAAACCTATTGATATGAGGGCTGGGTGTGTGTCGAGATCTTGGTCGATCATGTCTCGGGTTCAAAAAACTGCGGGACTCGCCCTTGCGCCGAGCTTCTTCGGATGGCGACACCGGTTCATCGTGCTCTGACTCGTCCTCAAGAGTCTCCTCAAACTGGCTCATTCGTCGAAGTAGCTTATTATTTGTAAAAGTGTCATGGTTCCCAAAAAGCTTCAGCGGACTCAGGGAAGAAGCCATGGCTTCAGACCTGTGCTCCTCCCCGGCTTGGTTGATAGCCGAGTCCGCAAGATGGGCCGATGAAGGCCGTGGGAGAGTCGGAGGGTCAGTTCGGGAGGTGGATTTCTGGTAGAATGGGGGGGAGCTTCGAATTCTGGAGATGTTGCGGATGAAGGGTGACAGTCGTTGGGAAGGGAAGGTTGGAGGAGAGAGATGGCGATTATGGAAGGAGCGCTCATCCAGATAAGGATCTCTATGAAGATTCGCAAACGCACCTCGCCCACGGTAGTCCACGGTTCCCATGGAGAGATCCTGCGGCAGAGAGTGACTGGTAACATCGAACAGGTCATCCTCAGTCACCGGATCGACCACTACTTCACTGGTCTGCGCAAATAGAACACTATCACTAGCTCTTGAAGAAGGCCGGTCGGTGGGGGCCAGATGCAGTCTTTCCAGTTTGTTTGTCACCTGCTTTAATGCCGATTTGATAATCTCCGAGGCCCCATTTCCTTCCACTGTATTCATGCGCGAAAAGGTAATCGGAGTAATATCTTCATTTCTTAAATCCTCTAATCCACTGGCGGTCCGCATTTGGGTAGTGTCCAGGGTATCCTTGAGGTTTTCATTTGTGTCTGGTAGTACCTTGTCCGACCTTTTCTTCACCCCCAGCTCCTTCTGCGACCGATTCGTCCCCTGCCCACGCTCTGGTTTATTGCCGTCGCCGCCACGCTTCCCTTTGGACGGCTGCTGTCGCTGTGAAGATCGCCTTTTCCCTGCAGAAGCCTTGTTGTTGTTGAAGTCCCACGCGTTGTCCGGCTGTTTTACCCGAGGAATCGGCCTGGGCTGGCTTGCGGGCGATCCCGGCGTAGGAGGCTTAAAGACACTCTCCAGGCCAATTGGCGCAAATAGATCGCGTTGCTCGCCGGAAGGTATCTCACCCTGCACCAAACGCTTCCGCCATTCGGGAGTTCCCTCCTTCCCTTTGTCTTTTTTCGGTCGTATTTGTACCGTGCTCTGCTGCTCCGATTGCCCAGAGACATTGGAAACCGACCGTAACGGCGATCGCCCATCCATAGTGGGCGGTTGCTTCCGCCCCGAGGGCAGGTTTGGCTTGGGGCTCTTCTTCAACGTATCCGGCGCGGGAGACCTCGGTTTCGCCGGAGTTTTGGGAGTTCTGGGGGTCTTGGGGGTCGGCGGTTCGCGCCTGATGAAGTGGCAAGGGCGCGTAACTTTTTTCTTCTCGGAGGAAGGAGAGGGGTCGACCGAGTGACGCGCGGGGATCGGAATGCGACTAGGTGTGTTCTGTAAGCTGGAGCGGCGGGAGTGGTTGTTGATAGGCGACGCCGTGAAAGCAGGGCTGGTCGGAGTCCCAGGCAACGAAACCCAGTCATCTGAAAGGCTGTCTAGCCATGGCGGATTATTCCCCATTGTCTGAGAGGGATTATTCTTATTTGAACAGGCGTGGGGGGGCGAGTGGTTAAGAGGGGATTTCCACATATGCTGAAACCAGCTCAGCGCGTCGCAATCACAAAGCCGCAGTGAATGCAAGCACTGCGGAAATTAAGTAATGCAGGGAAAACCATAGAGCACCTTTACCCAGGAATAATAACAATAGAAGATAAAGTAGTCGAGGCCCTGGAAATAAATATGCTAGGGCATTTTGCTTGAATCCAGGCTAAATAAGGTCAGTCAGTATTGTTATGGGTGACGATGATGGAAGATCGATAAGTTTCGGGTGCTCGGGGCAACCCAAGAGGTTCATCCACAGTCAGACACCACCATAGCGTCTCGATCCAATCCAATCATCCCGAGCCATTTTCAGCTCTACTTGAACAAGAAGAGGTTTTGTTTTGTTTTTTTTATTATTATTGCATTTAATTTGGTTTAGTATTGAGGGAGAATAGTGGCAGGAGTTGGGTATAAATAGTGAGTATTATGATGAGTTGTTTTCCACCACCACTGTTACTCCAACTACTTGTACTCACTAGATGGATAGGACTTCAAAATGTACAACAATAATCTCCTAGCCACCATGATCACTAGGACTCTAATTGACATCCATGTGCATGCCATGCCCCTTCCATTGTTTTATATTGATCAACACCACCCTTACATCCTACCCACACCTCACGATCCGAGAGGACAATCTGCAATCGTGCCCAAGATTAACCCGTTGAACCTGGCATGGGTTAAGGCTTCTACCAAGTAAGGGTGTTTCAAACCACTAGGGGATCATAGTAAGGACCTCAGCATCTTCATGCAAGGGGTGTGGGATTCAGAATCTCTGTATGAAACAAACTCTGTACGTTTCTATTGCTCCTGTCCGGTAAATACAACTCAACCATCATAGGTAGACAGTAAATAGTGAATGATATACTGTTTCTTCTTCAGCTTCTATGGATGAATCAAGTCAAATAATCATTGTAGGGCATTAATTCTACGTGGTGTGGATGACTATTCTGAACTGTTTAAACCCCTCTCAGAATATATTATATATAGATATATATATATATATTTCGACTTACAGAGTCTGAGCCGGTTCTAACTAGTAAATATGGCCCACAAAAAAAAAATACTATTATAAAAGGAATTGTTCATCTCCAGAAATCATCAATTCATATCATCAATATTTCATTATGGTCCACCAGAACCTCTGGTGGTTACAAAAAACACTGCATCACAGCTTGTACATGTCGCTGCGGCTGCGGATGCCGTCGAAGATGCACGTATTATCCAAGGGCACATATTGTCGCGTGAGTACCTTGAGCGCTTCCTGAGCCACGAGTCCACCAGAAAGAGAGGAGATATTGTGCAACTCGCCGCCCTCGGTTCTCCGCAGCTCTTGCGTGGCGTTGCGGATCCCCGTCCGGATGGCGTCGTCAACAGTCGCAGTTTCACCCGCAGTAACCGTATCCAGGACGCGATCAATTTCGGAATTCCACACAGCATCATCATTCAGGGCCTCTGCGGGATACTCCCCTTCTTGAATTCCAGTGACAACATTATCCAAAATCTGGAAAGCGAGGAAAATGGAGATGAGTGATTCGGAGTTGTCGAGTTGGCCACGAACAACCTTGAGGGTGGTTTGGGCCTCTCCATTCAGAATAGGAATGCCTCGTCCATGGATAACCTTGATGTGAGAGGCGTTCTTACAGAAGACTTCAATGTCCTTCTCCAAGATTTGAATCGGACGTTGTCCTAGCTGGGCCTCAATGTTTCTGACAATCTCCGTGACTTCGTCGACATCTTTCCGGGCCTTGGACTTGTAGACATTCTGTAGCGTGACATAGTCGGCAGATTGGGCTTTCATGTCGGGGAGCGAGCCCGGGAGAGGGAGAACGCCATGCTTCTGGTAGAACTCATGTACTGCGAATGCAATGATCCAGAAATCAGCGGACTCCGCCGTCAGATGCTTGCACTCTTCCATCTCGAATATCTCTCGGGTAGAGCTGCTCAAGCGAAACGGGTTCAGGGACTTCAGGACAGCAGCCACGGCCTCGTCGTAATTCTCTTCGCCGCCTTCAGGGTTGTTTGTTCTGGTGCTGGATCGGACAAACTCTCTAAATTCCGATTTCTCTTTATAGTCCGAGGGAACCTTTCCATCATGCGACTCCTTCCACTTCTCCAAATAGTGAAGGAGTAAGAGTGTGTACGGCACGTGGCCATGCTGATGGTCATCAAGAGTCTCTAGATTGCCAATACTAGCACCAGCCGCCGTCAATTCCGGCCAGGGATTGAGAAGACGGAGATCCTGGGTGGTCTCTGGATCTGGATGGGTCTCTACTATAGGAAACACGGCAGGGACCTGGAGGGAGAAGATGGAGTAGAATCCAACGGAGCGCATATACAGCATAGGAATACCAAGCGCCTGGGACGCAGTGGATAATACTTCCAAGGACGAACGCTTCACGGGGCCAGAGACCAAGACCAGTTTATGCTGGGGGAGAAAATTTGGATCCTGCTGCAAAACCTCCGCGATCGACTGGGGTGTGATAAAAAAAAATGGATTAGCATAAGAAGCCCTTGGTCAGGTTGGAATCCCTACGCGATAGATGTACCTTCGAATAGAACCTGCCCTCTACGTCCGGATTCAGCTCCTTTAACAGTCGACATGTCTCCTCGGCCCTGGATTTACCCAGGCTCTCTTGCTCCAGAAAGAAGTTCACCCCAAGATCCGGCTCAGTGACAATAGCTGGATCGACAATCGTAAAGCCTCCAATACCTGGGAGTACAAGGTTTTTCAGCGCCTCGACACCCACTACGCCAGATACTCCGGTACTCTGGTTGCCCCATGACCCGTCGGAGTTGACTAGTAGCACCCTGGACTCTTCCAAAGCTTGCTGTCCACTAGCAGCCCATAGCCGCAACTGACGATCATATTTCCGCTCTTTTGAGGATGGCCCGACCAGGGGATGGGGGAAGTCTCCGATCATGGTAGGAACCTGACTACCTTCACAAGAGAGAGGAGCACGAGGGAGTAATGAAGGAGTTTAACGACCGATGGTATTCTCTCCTGCCAGAGATCACTGAGAGACGCAACTTGAATAGTAACTAGTTAGTTAACTAACTAACTACCTCCACGGATAGGCATCATTAATCATCCGCGGACAAACCTCGCACGTGATACTGGAGCATACCTGGTCCGTGCGTTTTATCCTGGCAGCCTCAGGCCCTCAGGGAAGCCTATGACGACACCATTTCTCTCTCCCCCACCAAAAAGGAAAAAACAACAGAGACGCCTTTGTGTTTATTTTTCTTGTTTTTTTGGCACCTTTGAGGGGTTGCTAACTTGCTATACATAAGTTGTAAACAATCACATGCTGGTAATCCACAAAGATACCAATTGCAATGAGATATTTCCTCAAGTTGACCCCTCAATGCTGCCTTAATTCTTTGTAAGTCGTTTGTAAAATGTCTCCATAAAGGGAAAAGAAGAAAAAAAAAAAAAAAAAAAAACATTTGGGACAGAAGCTCACCCCCACCGGGGAATTTCTCTCCCCCCGGAATCGGCCGCATATTAATATCTGCTCTAGATCCGTCCCTGGTCTTTCTAGTCTTCGTCCTTCCTCCCCCCGTGTCTTCTTCTCCCTTTCGGTTTCTTCAAATCGCACTCGTTTCCGGTCTACAATGGCTAGCATCGTTGAGGAAGCCAAACGCGCAGCTGGTAAGGCCGCTGTCGACAACCACTATCCTAAAGATGCCAAATATGTCGGCATTGGCAGTGGATCTACCATCGTGTATGTTGTCGAAGCGATCAAGGATCTAGGAATCGACACCTCTGTCACCAAGTATGTCCCTACGGGCTCTCAGTCAAAACAGCTCATTGTCTCCGCGGGCTTGACGGCTATTGATTTCGATGCTCTCCCGCAAGGCACAGTGCTCGATATTGCTTTCGATGGCGCTGACGAGGTGGATGACGAGCTCAACTTGATCAAGGGCGGTGGCGCCTGTCTTTTCCAGGAGAAGATCGTGGCTCTTCAAGCCAAAGAGTTCATCTGTGTAGCTGGTGTGTGACTCACTCCTAATCAACCGAACAGTCCGGAGAGAGAGAGAGAGAGAGAGATATATATATATATATATAGTGCAATATATAGACAGCTAACATACCTCTCCCCCTTGCCCTACAGACTCTCGCAAGCTACAGTCACGCCTTCTCTCAAACTGGAAATATATCCCTATCGAGGTCGCCCCGATAGCGGCCGCCCGAGTGCTGACCGCGCTCACACTCCTGGGTAGCATCGATCCAGCCGTCCGCATGCAGCCTGATGCGAAGACCGTTCCCCTCAGGACAGACCAGAATTTCTACATCGTTGATGCGCCATTCGCGTCTCTCCTCACCAAGGCAGATGTTCTGATCGGTCAGGATGGCAGCGGAAAGGCTGGCGTGTGGGAGGTCGAGGCCCTGTCTCAGGCTATCAAGCAGATTCCCGGTGTTCTGGACGTGGGCATTTTCTCCGGGTTGACCGGTCCTCAGGCTCAGGCTCTTGGCGGAATTGGTGGCCAAAAGCCTGTTGCTGCTTACTTCGGCATGCCGGATGGCTCTGTCTCGGTGAGGAAGGCAGCTCCTTAAGTGAGAGCATTCAACGGAGGGAAAGAAGGATACGAATGTTATGACTTTCAATATTAACTTGGGTTTGATATGTGTTGTGCTGCATTGGTGCAGTGACAGATATTATATAGATTTTTTTTTCAAAAGGGAATATATTATTACCTAGAGTCTCCACGCGCCAGTCATAAGAACTATTTTCGTAATGGTCCAAAGTGTTCAGGGTTTATTTTGTACCTTTTCCTTTTGCTTCAGTTTCTCCAAGTTCACGAATGTAGATCCTAACCGTCCCCTCGACTACATCATCCTTTCCATCCTCGAAGCCAGGGCTGATAGCAATGGCAAGATATTTGCCGCTAGAGCTGAATGATACCGCAGCCACGCTGGACGGATACTTCTGATATTGCCTAATCCTCCTTTTCGCGATGCCATCCCAAAGAGCAACCACGCCATCACCACCTCCCGACGCAAACGTTCCGTGGACAGGGTGGAAAGCCAGCGAGTTGACTGGGTACACCACATCCACGTCATCCGAAACCTGACGATGGCACTTGAACGCATACTTCCGCGCCTGAGAGTCCGAGGACGGGTCAAACCACTCGACAGCAACTCGTCCCTCGATGCTGGAGGAAGCATAACCCGCGTCGTCAGGCATGCAGGCAACACAGCGCGTCATGAACTTCAGACTGCTTTCTCGTCGCTGCCACGGCTCAACCTCGACTTTCTTTGGGCTGGGTCCTTCTGATTCATCTGTGAGGATAGACAATGCTTTCAGATCGTAGATGTGTAGTGCTCGCGAGGCCATGGCGACGACCAACTTCGTCGCTGTAAGAGACATGGAAAAGGGTTTGGAGGGCAGAGGAATAATTATAGTAGAAGCGACAGCGCTCCGATCATCCCTCACGCGATGGATGTGTAGCGTAGAGTCCCAGGAGGCAGATATGACCAGGTTGTGTTCCTTGCTGTAGACCACGCTTCGGACACCAGCTTCGTGACTGCTGAGAACGGTTTGTGTAGATGACGCTAAATCAATCCTGCATGCATTCAGCAAGGTTGCACATCATTTTAGAATGTTTTTTTTTTTTTGTTTTCAATAGCGAAGACTAAATTGCGTACTCACCTCCTCACATCCCAATCCAAGCCTGCCGTGTATATCTCATCTTCATTGGCGCCAAAGCACACATCGAGCACTGGAGCACGATGTTCGAACCGTTGTAATAGTTTTCCCTCGCTCAAGTTTCCATTCTCATCGCGCAAGTCATAAACATACACATTCTTATCCCAGGAAGATACAACGAATCGCGTGGAACCAGGCTCGGGGGAGAATTTTAGAGCGGAAATAGCATCCGTCGGCGGAGATGCGATAGCGAACTGGTCTCGAAGCAAATTAGTTTTGGGCGGGGGGGGGGAATAAATAAATATACGGAGATAACTCACTTGATGCCATTTTTTTTATCGCTCAGCAGTTTACTGCACGGTGGGTGAGCTTGGAGCTGTTGGGGGTCGGCCCGGTGATATCGCAACCTTTTGTTGCTTCAGATCATTTTATGCCTGGAAATACCGCCTTGATTCTTTCTCCCCGCCATCGCCGCATCTCGACTGTCGAGCTCCGAGGAAATTATTTTCTTCAACGATTGACATTCACGAGTTACCTCTGCCCACACCCTCACCATGCCATTTGCACAGCTGGTAATAGGCCCTCCTGGTGCTGGTAAATCCACATACTGCAATGGAATGCATCAGTTCCTGGGCGCCATCGGGCGCAAATGCTCAATCGTGAACCTCGACCCCGCAAATGACAAGACCTCATATCCGTGTGCGCTGGACGTTCGCGACCTGGTAACGCTGGAGGAGATTATGAGTGAGGACCAGCTAGGACCAAATGGAGGTGTGCTCTACGCTTTAGAAGAATTAGAAGAGAATTTTGAATGGCTAGAAGAAGGGCTGAAGGAACTTGGAGGTACGCGCTTTTCACAGCTTGATTTAGCTCGGTCGTAGGCTAATTGCGCTTCTTCTTCTTCTTCTTCTTCTTTATTTTCTTTTTTTGATAAAAATAATAGATGATTATATTCTATTCGATTGTCCCGGTCAGGTGGAAATCTTTACACATCACTCCTCGTTACGAAATATCTTCTTCAAGATTCAAAAGCTGGGCTATAGAGTTGGTCTCTCTTCCTTTTATGGAATTGGTATTATTGGCCGTGCAAAAGCTAACATGTGGATTTGCAGTTAATAGTAATCCATCTCATTGACTCCTACAATCTCACTCTCCCATCGATGTATATCTCCTCCCTGATCCTTTGCCTTCGCGCGATGCTTCAAATGGACCTCCCCCACTTGAACGTCTTGACGAAAATGGATAATCTCTCCAATTACGCGCCGCTTCCTTTCAATTTGGATTTCTACACTGAAGTCCAAGACCTTTCTTATCTCCTTCCTCATCTAGAAGCAGAGTCCTCCCGACTTTCACATGACAAATTCGGGCCTCTGAATAATGCGATCATCGACCTTGTCGAAGAATTCGGGCTCGTGGGATTCGAGACCCTAGCGGTCGAGGACAAGAAAAGCATGATGAATCTCCTTCGAGTAATTGATCGGGCCAGCGGATACGTATTTGGATCTGCAGAGGGCGCAAATGACACCGTGTGGCAGGTGGCTGTTCGGGAAGGATTGGGAACGATGGATATTCGCGATGTACAAGAACGCTGGCTGGATGCAAAGGACGAGTACGACGAACGGGAACAAAAGGAGCTGGAAGAAGAAGAAGAGGCTGAAAGGGCCAAGCGCGAGGCAGCTAGTAATGCGGGAAACGAGAAGGACGACGACGACGACGACGACGACGATGCTGGGTTCGGGAGGGGATCCATACCAGATGGCGGAGTAAAAGTCATACGAAAGAAATGAATCAAAAATCATCATCATGTCTACATTTGTAACATAGGGTATCTCTAATAAATATTTGCACAAAGAAAATAACCCCCTCCCCCCCCCCCCCCGGCTGCGGCCCGAATAACCAACAGAGAAGCTCCTTGTCCCTCAATCATCATCGCTGTCCATTTCCAAATCATCCGCTTCCGGATCCTCAATCGCGACAACATCCTGCCCACTACTATCATTCGTCTGCGTCTCCAACCCACCAATCAACCCCTCCAGGACGCCGACCTCCTCAGCGCCCCTAAGTCTCACAATCTCCCGCCTCGCCCGGCGAATGGCCTCCTCCTCCGCCTTACGGATTGTCCCAGATACCTTGACAACCCGAAACACACAGGGCCTTGTCAAACCGGCCGACTCCGACCGCTTCCACCGGCCACCGTCGTTGCTGAAATCAGGCACGTGAGACAAGTACGTGAGAGCCGTCCAGACAAGCCGGTAAGAAGCGCGCGGACAACGGATAATAGCCGTGGACGTAGCAGGAGAAAGATATTTCACTGGGTTATATTCATTCCTAGATCAGCCTGATTTTCTATGGAGTGGCTTAGAGAGAGAGAGAGAGAGAGAGAGAGCGTTTTCCTTACCGCTCACACCACCTGCCCCTGCACCGCCGAGCCTCCCTACGCCCCAATCCCCAAATATCTCTGCGATCTCGTCCCTAACCAGCTTGGCTAGTAAGCTAGGTGTAAGCGCATTGGATGTGGGCGCGTGGATGCGCAGCTGGGATTGCGCTTGAGACTGCGATGTGTTTTTGGCGCGGGAGGAGGAGGAGGAGGAGGACGGTGATGGCCAGGAGGAGGGTTCGGGGTAAAGGATGTCGAGGAGGAGGTAACGGTGTTTGACGCGAACCATAATTTGATAATATGAATCTTTTCCTTTTCTCTTCCTTTTTTCCCCCCTTTTTTTTGGGGGGGGGGGTTGGCAAGATTTGAGAGTGGTTGTTGAAAGGGTCAGTCAGTCAGTCAAGCTTTTCCCTCGTCACAGGGAGGCTTACTCCACACTCGTCTTTACTGGACTACGAAGTACGAACTGACTTATGTCGAACGTGCTCGGAAAAATGCATTGAACCGGTTCCAATTTCATTCACTATATGAGCATTGAGTATCGAGCGCCTACGGGGATCTATTTTCCTACAGTGTAGTTGGGCGTTGCGTAGATAGAATTGATTATCAACTTTATCAACTAGTCATGCCACATGTGCGCACTACTGGATGTATCTAAAAGAAGAATAAGGAAAATAACGTAAATAGATGATGAAAGTCAAAAAAAAAAAAAAAAAAAAAAGCAGAACATAAGCCATCATAACTCCTGACGTCACAAAATGGCGGATTTTATGATTCCGTGAATTTGCCGGCAACCCATACCGACGGTGTCCAGGGAAAGGAGGAGGGTAAATTGTATAGGAATTAAGAGGAGGGAGAGGGAATTAAAATTAGATGTTGACCTCGACACGGCCTTCGGAGCCACCCTTCTGCAGGGCAGGGAGCAGGTATGTGATATCATCCCAAGGATGTCTGTAGAGACCGGTGCGCAGTCTCTTCTGGTCGAGGTAGTGGGCAATCAGACCGATGGAACGGCCCAGGACGAAGAGACCGTTGAGAACACCCATCCTCATGTAGTCCTCGACCTCCTCGGCAGAGAATGCGCCACAGTTGCGCATGAGGTCAACGAAGCAGACAGCAACGCAACCATCGACGTTGAGAATCAGGTTGTCCTTCTTGGAGGTTGTGACGGTCTCGACAGCAATGGCGTAGTCGAGGAGCTTGGTGCTGGGGAAGTGCTTCTTGGCGTACTCCTTGACCAGCTCAACACGGAGATCAGGGTTGTTGCGGGACTTGATACGGTGACCAATACCAGGGACTAAAGTAATGTTAGTTTTTCTGTGTTCAAGACGGGGGGTTAAAACGGCAATGATATAACATACTCAGCTTGTTCTCCTTCCTCATGGTGTCAACGAAGTCACGAGGGCTCATGCCCTTATCAAAGGCCTTGGCGAACTCCTCTGCAGCACCATCCAGAGCACCACCGAAACGAGATCCGATGGTCAAGAGACCAGAGACCAGGGCGCTGATCAGGTCCTTGCCAGCACGGGTGGTGATGATGGTGTTCATGGCACCAGACACGGCAGGACCGTGGTCCGCAGTAAGCATGAGAACCATCTCCAGGAACTTGGCAGCATAGCGGGGGAGGCGGCGGCGGAACCATAGCAGGGACATAACACCACCGATACCAATGTCCTCCCTGAAGACATCAGAGATGGGCATACCAGCGTACAGAAGTTCCTGGCCACGGTCGTCACTGATGGTGGAAATGAAGGCAGCGGGCTTACGGATGAGACCCAGCTCCTGGGCCCAAGAGTAGTCGATGGGGATCTTGGGGACCATGGGCTCAGGCTGGGGCTTGACGATACCCTTCTGAACCTGCTCATCATAAACCTTCTTGAGCAGCTGGGGCATCTCCTCGAAAGTCTCGGGGACATAAATGCCGGCCTCCCTCATGGCCTTGTTCTTGGCGACAGCGGTCTCCAGGTCGGAGTTGGCCGAGGCACCAGCGTGACCGAACTGAACCTCAGTCTTGAACATGCTAGCGCAAGTACCAATGGCCCAAGCAACGATGGGCTTGGTGATGGTGCCGTTCTTGACGGCCTCGATCACACGGTACTCCTCAACACCACCGACTTCACCGAGCAAGACCAGGATCTTGCACTCAGGCTCAGCCTGGTAGCGGAGCAGGTGGTCAATAAAGGTGGTTCCGGGATAACGGTCACCACCAATGGCAACACCCTCGTAGACACCGTCGGTGTTTTGGGAGATAATGTTGTTCAGCTCGTTGGACATACCACCGGACTTGGAGACATAGCCAACGGAACCCTTGCGGTAGAGCTTGGAGGCGACGATGTTATCCATCATACCACCAGTGTTACCAATCTTGTAAGCACCAGGCTTAATACCACCGACGGTGGCAGGACCGATAATGGTAATACCCTTCTCCTTGGCAGTGACCAAGATCTCACGTGCCCGCTGTTCTACTTGTTAGCAAACCGCAAAGCCACGAGGGAGCGATTGAGTGACAAAGAAAAACATACCCTCTCGGGGACACCCTCTGCAATGATAGCAATGGACTTGATCTGAGGGAACTGCATCAGCTCCATGGTGGAGCTGTAGACGGAACGGGAGGAAGCGAAGTTGACAACAGTGTCAACATCGGGGTGCTTGGCCATAGCCTTTGCGGTGTCCTGGTAGACGGGGAGGAGGGTCTCGCTCGTGCCCCAGTACCTAATATTTGCGTTAGCTAGCAGTCAGATGCCATTGAATAAGGATCACATACATCTTGCTGACGAACTGGCCGCCGAATGTGTAGATAATACCCGCAACGGAAGGAGTGGTACGCTTGCAGATGAAGTCGAAGTCGAGCATACCCTGAACAGCACGGGGCTGCATACCACTGCGAAGACTGTCAGTCACTGCCATTGTCTACTGGATATCCATAAAACTCACTATACGAAACATCTCGTCTTGTTGTGAAAGAGAGCATCGGCGAAGGGAGAGCGGACTCGGCTGGGGGGGTCAAAGCGGGTGATGTTGTCGTTCGCGCTGCCATTGGCAGTACTGACGAGAGGAGCAGAGGCAGGCATATTGGCTAATTACTCTTGTAAAATGTATCAAGGTCAGTAAGTTGAAATCCCGAAGCACAAGAGGGGGGGGGGGGGGGTTGAGTAGGAGAGAAGCGGAAGAGAGACGGTGAGAATCGGAACATACCTGTCAACAGAGCTTTCTTTTTTTTTTTTTCAAAGAGACACGGAAGAAGAAGAAGAAATTGGAGGTATTATTAAGTAGATAAAGTAGAGATTAAGAGAATAAGATGCAAGCAGTGCAAGGTTGGACCAAGGGGATGGAGGGAGGGGGAAGTAAGAAAGTAAGTTAAAGAGAGGGAGAAGAGGAAAGAGGAAGGAAGATGGAGAGAGAATTGGAGGGATCAATGGAACGTCAGGCAGGAGGGAAAAATAATAAAGAATCCCAAGAGAAAAAGGACGATATCGGGAGCTGATATTGGGGAGAGAGAGAGGGGGAAGAAGGAGATGAGGGAGAGGAATTATTCTTCTTCTATGGCGAGTGAGGTAATGTAAAGATCGTATGGTATTTCTGTATTGATGGGTCGTACAATACCATACCCTCCGTACTTCACCAACAGTTGGGAGTCGAAATCGCCGGAGCAACTATGACTTGCCCATTCAATAAATATAAATAGAATGGTAACTTGTACATAATCAAAAGAAATCTAATTGATGTCCTACTAACTACGCACGAGATATGGAATAACCCCGTAACGGAGTCCGACCTCCGGAGTATCTAGAGATGAGATAGAAGACGTCGACCATGTCAGGTAGGGGGAAAAGATGGTGGTCAGCACAGAGAATAAGATGTTCACGAGGAAAAGTCTGGCCGAGGGACTAGAATACAAAATCCAAATAAGGCCCGTGATGTGCCATGAAAGAAGGCGTACTTGGAGGTACCTGGAAGAATCTATCATGAATGGAGGTGTACTCGGACATACCTTGCAGAACTGATCATGAAGGAGAGCGTACTTGAACATACCTCGAAGAATCCATCATGAGAGAATGGAACCGAGACTAACGAAGGTGGATCCGAGAGAGAGCTCGATGGTTAGATTCGATGCGTTTCCGCTAGAAAACTCGATTAACGGAGTACTCGGACCTACTCTAGGTCCCTGGAGAATATAGGAAAAGATATTACGAGTGGTAGTACTAGTAGTAGTAGTAGTTATATGGGAACTTCTCTATCTATAAATTTAATCCTACTTGAAATAAACCAAAATCAACAACTCAACAAAATTAAATTCTGTCGGGGAATTCCGTAGGTATTCAGGCTACTGCGTAGGGCCGATACTGCCACTAAAATGTGGTCCCGAGGATCCCCAACGCCGTCAAGTTTCAACCCCATAATCGGGTACTTTTACTTGCCTAATTAGAAACAAATGAAGAAGTTCGTAACTGTTGAGATCCTGAAATGATACTTTACTGACCGCAATCCACGCCGCTGGAGCTTCGTACCTGTATCCATTGGTATCCATTGGTATTCATGGTATTCATGGGTAAGTACGAGTAGTAGTACTCCGTAAATACGCTGTCAACTTCCATCTCACCACCGCTTCTTGTCGTCCCTTTTTTTCCTTTTTCCTCTCCCCCTCCTCCCCCTTCAACCTTCATTCTTCTCTAGTACTTGTTTTTTCCCGCCGACGTCGCTGAGAAATTCTTCTTCTTCTCTATACTCCTTAATCACAATTTGAGGCGTCCTACTCTTCCCCCTCATCCCTACTTCTACCACCCGTCTCTCTTCTACACAACCCATATAACATTTACTTTCTTTCCCCTCCTCATCCACCTCCTCCTCCACCACTACACCACTACCTCCCCCTCCTCCGCTTCCTCCTACATATCCACCATGTCCGCCAAATCAATTCTCGAAGCTGATGGCAAGGCCATCCTGAACTACCACCTCACTCGTGCTCCCGTCATCAAGCCAACTCCTCTGCCTCCTTCCATCACCCACAACCCTCCCTCCAGACTCGCCTCTCTGTACTTCCCCGATGATATCGCTGTCAAGGATGTTCTTGACCAGGCTGAGGTCACATACCCATGGCTGTTGGTCCCTGGTTCCAAGTTCGTCGCTAAGCCAGATCAATTGATCAAGCGACGAGGCAAGAGCGGTCTCCTCGCTCTGAATAAGACCTGGGCTGAGGCCAGGGAATGGATCGAGGCTCGTGCTACTAAGGAAGTCCTGGTTGAGACCGTGACCGGTGTCCTCCGCCAGTTCCTCGTCGAGCCTTTCGTTCCCCACCCCCAGGAGACTGAGTACTACATTAACATCCACTCCGTGCGTGAGGTAAGTAATTTTTTTTTTGCCAGCCTTGAAATCCCGCAGCGAACCTGGAGCTAACTGGACAATCAGGGCGACTGGATCCTCTTCACCCACGAGGGTGGTGTTGACGTCGGTGATGTTGACGCCAAGGCTGAGAAGATGCTCATCCCTGTCAACCTGAAGAACTACCCCTCCAACGAGGAGATTGGTGCCACCCTGCTGAGCAAGGTGCCCAAGGGTATTCACAACGTCCTCGTGGACTTCATCTCCCGCCTCTATGCCGTCTATGTCGACTGCCAGTTCACCTACCTCGAAATCAACCCCCTCGTGGTCATCCCCAACGAGGATGCTACCTCTGCTGCCGTGCACTTTCTCGACTTGGCTGCTAAGCTCGACCAAACTGCCGAGTTCGAGTGCGGCACCAAGTGGGCAATTGCCCGCAGCCCCGCCAACTTGGGTCTGGCCGCCCTCCCCAAGTCCGATAAGGTCAACATTGACGCTGGCCCCCCTATGGAGTTCCCTGCTCCTTTTGGCCGTGAATTGAGCAAGGAGGAGAAGTTCATCTCCGATATGGATGCCAAGACCGGTGCCTCGCTGAAGCTTACCGTCCTGAATGCCAATGGCCGTGTCTGGACCCTCGTTGCCGGTGGTGGTGCCTCCGTCGTGTACGCTGATGCCATTGCCTCTGCCGGTTTCGTCAGTGAGCTCGCCAACTACGGTGAGTACTCCGGTGCCCCCACCGAGACTCAGACCTACAACTATGCCCGCACGGTCCTCGACCTGATGCTGCGCTCCCCTATCCACCCTGACGGCAAGGTCCTCTTCATTGGTGGTGGTATTGCCAACTTCACCAACGTCGCCTCCACCTTCAAGGGTGTCATTCGTGCCCTGCGCGAGGTTGCCCCCGTTCTCAACGAACACAAGGTCCAGATCTGGGTCCGTCGTGCTGGTCCCAACTACCAGGAGGGTCTTAAGAACATCAAGGCTGTTGGCGAGGAGCTTGGCCTTAACATGCACGTCTACGGTCCCGAGATGCACGTCAGCGGTATCGTGCCCCTTGCTCTACTAGGCAAGAAGACCGATGTCAAGGAGTTTGGCACTGCGTAAAAAAAAAAAAAAAAAAAAAAAAGAGGGCCTTTCTTTTCCGATTTACTTAATTTAATCCTATACGAGAATTTTTTTTTGTTCTTGTTGCAACGTATGGCATGATGGTTTTGCATTTCTTTTCTTTTCTTTTTTTTTTTTTAAATGGTAAAGACGAAACTTGATGAGGGGAATTTCTACCGGATTCGATTTGTTCTTAGACCTTTGAAAGTTGTCAATACAACAAATGACCATATATCTACGTTTCCAGTAACCGTAAGAAATGACTTGTATCACATATTGAAATATATTAACATAGTATTGAATTTAGGAGTAATACGAGTATAATAATAATAATGGTAGTGTGGCAGTACTAGTAGTAGTATTACCTATGAGTAGGAGTGTAGTACCTATGAGTAGGAGTAGTAGTATAGTATATGTACTATAGTAAGTATATACATACTTAGGCAGTACTGTACGGAGCCCGTAACCCCAAAACACAAATACAACACAACGTCCAAATAAGCTTAAATAAAATAAACATTTTATTAAAGTGATCTGATCGAGATCCACAGGAGCTTTTTTTTTTAAAAACATAAATAAATAAATAAAAACAATTTAACTAACTAGTATCTGTTATCGTTATTCTTCTCCTGGATTGGGGGGGAAGGAATCCCGGGGCAGAGGAAGAAACCAAGAGCGCGATTGAGGTTGCTTCCGTCCGTCCGAGAAGAAGAAGAACACGCAAGCGCCATTGGCACGGGCCGGCGCGGCGCGATTGTTAGGTACTACATAGTACTTGTTTTGTACGGAGTACGGAGTACAACCAACCAACGTAAACTGTCCAAGACATTCCTCGAAGACAAGAGAAAAAAAAAAGTTGGAGTCAGGATGGGCAGGACCTTACCAGGTCGGTAAAGTGCTAACTAAGTGTTTGGTTTGTCCTTCAGTATCCGTTCCTCATACCATTTGAGAGGATCTGGATATTGAGCACACAGACGCTGAAGGGGAATCAAACTGCCTATCAGGAGGGGATTGGATTTATTTCTTTACAGCGTGTAGTTGAGTATACTTGGGTATGCATGAAAAGGTAAGGGAATGTCAACACTTCTAACAAATGCGTTAGAATACGACACAAGTAAAATTATATGATGTTCCAGGAAGCGTTGAAAAACTACGAAAAATCTCCTGTTGTAACCGTAGTGCCCGTGATTTTATTGACATAACTTCGACTATTTCTATATATATAGATACCCCGTCAATACGATGATGCTCAGCTGAAGAACAAAATGGAAGAAAGAAAAACTCAAACGAATCGAATCATCTCCCATACAAGACTTTCCGCAAATGTCTTCCCCCATGTCTACATGATTGTGCTGTCGAAAAATGATCGTCTCCCTGAAAGCCCTTCCGTAGATGGGCGGCCAACATTCAAACTCTCCCGATGGGTCGAGTGATTGCTAATAGACCTCTCGTTCTGGGACCTGTCAGCTTGGAATTGTTCCAGCATTATACTGTCGAGCGGTAGTTGAGACATCCCCGTCGACGGCCGCGAAAGACCTACGAGTCGTGTTCGATGGGTAGTTGCAGCGTCTGGAGGATCCCCTTTCAAAACTTAGTAGCTCTCAAGTAAGAAGGAAAGGTGCCCGTACGATTTCTTCCAATAGTCTCTGTGCGATTTGGCGGAGGCATCGTAGATGCGTCAGCCTTCTTTTTTGCGCCTTTGGAACTCCCTGTCCCGCTTCGCTGATGGCGATGCAACTGTTCCACCCCGTCTGGATCAACTGGATATACCTTAGGCTGGTATGTAGATGGAGTCTGAGGTGGTCCTGTTCCACCTGCGGATTTAGGAGCTAGGCTTGTAGGCCCATTGCGTGGTGTGTCAAGGGAATTGAGTGCCTGAGAAACAGCAGCATTCTGCATTTGAGACCGCATTGCTCGAGATTTCAACAAGTTGTATAGGTTGGTGATCTGGGAGAACTTCTTGCACTTTTCCCGGTACATATCGACAAGCTCCTGGTTCTTCTTCGTGAGCTGTTCTTGTGCCCTCTGCATATCTGGTGCTTGTAGTCAGACCATATCTAGGTAAAAACAACAGATCTTTCAGGCCGTACGAACCAGCTAGTCTTGTTTGCAGAGTCGAGATTTCAGTGTTGGCATTGTGAATGACTTTGTCCATCTGTGTATTCAAATTGTGGTATTTGTCTGTAAGGGTCTTTCCGAGGAATTCCTGGTAGAATCTTGAACCCGTTAAAACCTTGCATCTTGACATTGGATAAGTTTACGGAGTGTACATTTCTTGCGTCGTTTGATACGTCCAGAATAGCAAGGCTCGCCCGGCGCACTCCATTATGGTATTTGGATCGAGACCACTCAGAACACTGGTTTTGTAATCTTCTGTTGGATTCAATACGGTTACTGCGGCATCGTCTGGGTTGATAAGCGTGGTGTGGCAGGCTGGACAACGGCGTTCGCCTACGTTGGCGCGCGATAGCCCGAGGTTTTCGGAACACTGGAGGCAGAAAATATGTCTGAAATGTCAGTCTGTACTTGCCCACGGTGGTTCTTCGCTAGGGTCAAGCAAGGTAATACACTCACGAGCAAGTAGTAACGACTGCCCTTTCCCTTAACGAAGAACGGCAGCTAAGGGAGTTGCATCGAAGACAAAAATCCATGGTGTCCAGACTGAGTGTTAAAGTTGCCTCGCTAATATTAATGAAATGTGCAGAGACCTCAAGAAGTTGAAAGGGAAGAGATCAAGAGCGTGGGCTTTGGTCGTGGAAGTGAGGGGACCACCCGCTCTTGCAATTTTTACCTCAGATGGAATATACTCCGAAGAGAAATTGTTTGTTGGGTATCTTATGTATACAAAGTCAATTTTGGCTGCAACGCACGCATCTATATAGCAACTCCAGCCGTCACCGCGAAGGCAGATCAAAAGAAAAATGTATTTCCAGAAGCATCACGTCTTGTCGTACGCATTTTCTGCTCAAACTCCGGCCCTGGCTCATACTCCCGCCATAAACTTGCCGGAAAAATATGTTTGTTGCGCTCGTACCACCGTCTATCAACTACCTTAGTTAGCGTTGGATCGTTGTCCCCTCCTTCCAGATTTTCGTTATTAGGTCGGTATAAGGGATCATCAGTAGTAGGTGTCGGGGGTGGTGGCTTATTCGAATAGTTGAATAGTAGCCCGCCAGCATTGGAGAAGCTAGGGATACTGTTGGCAATAAAGTAATATAGCTCGTAGTGCTAGAAATACCTGTTAGCGACTCGATCACGAACACGTCAGGATGTGGAACACTTACATGCGGAACAATGATTTCTCCCTTGATGAGCATCAGATCATCTACGCTCACTCGGGCCCATTCACGGCGGTTGTACCTTCGACCTTTTGATGCTCCGCCGGTGCCACGCACACCTAGCTGGGCACCGACTTTCCGACATCGATCCAGGAACAACCAGACTGGGTCACCTTTCTTAACCTTCACGGTTCCAGCAGGAATGTTCGTCCCATCGTAGAATATAAACGGAATGAGAATTTCGGTATTCTTCACAGCCTCTTGCATCGTCAAGAACTCCTTCCGTAGAGTGTCGCGTGCCTCTGCCTCTGCCTTTAGCGCCGCTTTGGTTAATGCTTTGGGAGGAGGAGGAGCCTTTGGATTTGGTGTAATTCGACGAGAAGCAGCTGTAGAGCTGTCATCCACAGGTGTATTGGTGGCTGACCGCAGGATGCTCAACTCGCGGGGAGTCGCTGCGAAATCATCCGCTGATTTGGCTTTCGCAGCTACGTTCTCTTCCCCGTTCTCCTCCTCTTCCCCCTCCTCCTCCTCATCATCCCCAAACGAAAGCTTGCTCTTTGCAAGAGGCTTCTTCTTTTTCTTCTTCTTCGGAGGGCCTTCGCTTCGTGATGTGGAGTTCCTAAAGTGTTGCGGTTAGTCGGACGTCGCAAATCAAATATGGGCATTTTTACCTACCCGTCGGTCACATCACCTCCGGAGGGGGTTGCGCCCCGCGAGTTACCGGATGCCAATCTCCCTAGCGACTTATCATGTGCCTCACGCTCCTTTTGCTCCAAGACCTCTGCGCGACGTTTGCGAAAATCGGAGAGGTGGACGAGACCGACTGTTTGCGACTTGAGGAGATCTTCTGCCGATGCAGTCTGGCTGGTAAAGGACCGAGGGGTCGAACTGTGACTTGGCTGTTCGGATGCTGGCATTTCGAGATGATGGAATGGGTTTAAAGGCGCATCGCCATGAGGGGGTTGGATTGAAGTTGGTCAAGAAGGATCCCAGGTCGTGAAATATCATCACGTGACTATACTTTTTGTCGATACCAAAAAGCGGAATATACAGGTCTATATAGAGCAGGTAATGCCCTAAATTTCACAGGGGGTACTTTTTTTATTAGCAAAATTCAGAATATGCAAATACCCCATTACTAGAGAGTCAAGAAAACGACCGAACTTGGAGTCTTTCGCGAACACCTGTTGCACGGAAGCAAACAGCACAAACTCGGCGTGGTCTCCGCAGGCTCGCCGTAAGGAGAGTCAAGCTTCGACGTTTTCCACCTTTTCGGTCTCCCAATTCACCTTCACCCTTTGCCAATTAAGCAACATGGAAGAAGACGACGATGATCTTTATGATCCCGCTGATGCAGTGCTGGTCACTCACCACCTGAGCAATCACAATGTCACAGCCGATGCGCATATGCCTCAAGCAAACAACGTGGAGGAGGAGGAAGAAGAAGAAGTAGAGGTAGAGGAGGAGGATGAAGTACGTGAACACAAAATTACTATAATTAGATCTATTCACTAACAGCTGTAGGATGATTTCAATATTATCACAGAAGCGCCCCCAGACGCACCACTTCCAGAAGTGTGAGCTTAATCTTTCACCAGCGCAGTTCGCGGTGGCTAATGTAGCGCAGACCACACCCTCGCCATGCTACGCTAAGAGCCGAGCCCCAGCGCCCTGGCTCTGCAGACTCTAGTATTGCGAAATCAGTAACACCGACAACAACGCCAAAGGTTGATTCCTCGGTTCCGGTGCCCGTTGGGACGAGACCGGTATCGCAGAAACCCGGTTCGGCATATCCGCCCGTGCACACGTCTACAATCGATGTCCATGCAAACCCAACCCACCCTACGACCGGCAAATCGATCCTGTCTACCGACATGGATGCCGATTTCCCCGAAGATGACAAGCCCTGGAGACGTCCTGGGTCTGATATCACGGATTACTTCAATTACGGATTTGATGAGTTCACATGGGCTAGCTATGTGCTAAAACAACAAGAACTACGGAAGGAAGTCGGAGACCAGAAGAGACAGCTGGACGATATGCAAAGCTTCCTCAGCATGGGTTTGCCACCGATGCCTGGGGGTCCCCAACCAGGTCAGGCGCCTGCCGCGAGTGCACCTCCCCCTATGCCAGGAATGCCGGGTATGCCAGATATGTCCCCGGAGATGATGCAGGGCATGTTGGCGTCAATGATGGCCCAAGGATTGGACCCTGCCTCTATGGACCCGATGTCTTTTATGCAACATGCCCAGGCGATGATGGGTGGGCAATCCGGCGCAGGCGGCGGACAGCAAGGTCAACCTGGATTTGGTGGTCAAGGTGGTGGCCAATCCCAGATGGGATTCGGAGGCGGATATGGTGGAGGTGGAGGTCGGGGGCGAGGAAGCAGAAGGTGGTAGTATAAATATGAACTTGAACCCCTATCGTGCAATACTTTTTAATGTTCATGAATGATAAAAATAACAAGTCTTCCTCTTCTTCTTCTTCTTATGCTGGATAGAGAAATCCTCTGGTTTGCGGGATCGCGGATAAGGAGCTGGGGAACCGACGGATAGCTTCGGGTTCGTGGAGAGTCATTTTTGTAGATAACCAGATGACTTGGTAGAGTTGATATCTGTTCAACTCAATCGAACTTCGACTCCGTAAATCAATGAGTCCTTTCCCTCTGTGGTCGTTGGAAGAAAGACTTCGTTTCGGCCTTTTACCCTCGGCAGCCGCGAAGTCGTGGGGATGGAAGCTGGCGGTCTTGGCATTCTGGAAATTTCTCGCAAGTCCAGTCCAGATCTTCTTCCCCAGCTCTCCTCTCTTTTCCTTTTGCTACACAACTCCCCAATCCATCTGCACCTACACCTCCATCTCCTTTCGTTTTGCTTAATAGCTTTACTCACATATTAATCACAATGGTACGCCTTCCCAATGACCATAGAGCAAGGAGAGCTCGGGGTCAACCCTTTTTCTTCGTTTTTCCTTCCCCTACCACGCAGGCAGCTTCTGCCTCGATTTTCTCAACATCCCTATGCCGTCCACTCACACAATCTACAAAGAATTGCTGCTGACATGTACCGAATCATTAGTCTTTCCTCCGCAACATCAAGAACCTTGCTCCCCTCATGGACCGTGTGCTCGTTCAGCGCATCAAGCCTGAGGCCAAGACCGCCTCTGGTATCTTCCTCCCCGAGAGCAGCGTCAAGGAGCAGAACGCTGCTAAGGTCCTTGCCGTTGGCCCCGGTGCTGTTGACCGCAATGGCCAGCGTATCCCCATGAGCGTTGCTGCTGGTGATCACGTCCTGATCCCCCAGGTACGTTTGGTTGAGAGACTCCTACAAGTTCGATGGACAACATGCGGAAAGGGAACAGCGGTGGTCATTGGGTAGACAGAATACTGACAGTAGTCCACTTTAGTTCGGTGGTAGCCCCGTCAAGGTCGGTGAGGAGGAGTACACCCTCTACCGGGACTCTGAGTACGTTGTCTTCCTCTCTTCCCTCTCCCTGGTTATAACTGCGACAAGCCTAACGAACAATTACAGGATCCTTGCCAAGATCACCGAGTAAAAGGTGTCTGACTGAGTCGAACTTTCGGTTTACGCCCCGATCCGTTTTTCTTCCGCTCGGGTGGAACCGCCCGTGTACTTGTATTATACCTTTTCAAAATTATGATTCTCAATGCTGCAACCCCTATATACAAAAAGAACAATTTAGAAAAGGAACCCGGGCTATAGCAAGGAGGGAGGGCAGCCGCCCTCCCCCCGTATTCTTGGGATAATGTTTTTTCTTCTTGCATCTATTCGCGAAAGCGTGAAATGACTGTTTTGCATACTACCTGATGTACTTCTAAATCTAGCACTCATCATGCTTTGGCGTGATGAAGGCAAGTAATAACACTGATATCTCCGCTCTACTAAAAAATCATTTCAGGATAGCCTCCAGCGCCCTTTGAAAGTATGCACCACAATGCTGTTGCAGTCGATTACTCCGTTGTATCATGAAAGTTTAGAGCCCAGTCGCATTGCCAGTCCTTTTCAATGATTAATTCAATCCGTCTCAGCATCCTCTGCCCAAGCAGTTCAGTAAAGAGGGTACGCCGCTGTTCAGGTAGCATCTCAACGAATCTAGAGAGATATCCACCTTCTTTCTCGAAGTAGCAGGTTCCATGGTCTCCGGAGCCCCTGAAACTCCCAGCACCTCCTTCTCTTCTCAGAACCACCAGAACCACATGCGCAGCGAATTGATTCAACCCCATACGGCAAAGAAACGCCCCCCAAGTACTCTCTTGCATAATGCCCAATTCAGATACAGGCTGCCGTTTCTGATTGATCGGGGTAAAAGTGATGGGGGCTTCTATCCTAGCGCGAGGGGAAGGGAGGGAACAGGCATGTCTGTGTGCAAGGGCCAGTATCCATTCTGCAGCTATTTCCGGCACCGACGGAATAAGTAGGGGAATGATGTCGGCGTACCCAGACAGGGAATTACAGAAAGCAACCAACGAGGTAATGGAAGCCAGAACACACTTATCTGCTGTAATTTTATGATTCTCGCTGCTGGATTGCTTGGTTTGTTCGGTACCGTGAGATACGAGCACATAGATATGTTCGTATCGCGAGGAGAGGAGAAAAATCTGCTCTCTAAGTGGCGAGTTGATCTCTCTGATTCGGCTAGTTATAGCGCCAGCAGGTTTGTGGCCTGGAAGATATAGCTGCATGATTGCCTGGGATGTTGTGAGAATGATTCCTGTTTTTGGTGATACAATGATATCTGCCTCTCTCGGTGGGCGATTATCTTTTAGATGATTTGCACGGGGATTTGGTTCATGTTTTGTGTTGTTGTTGTTGTTGTTGTTGGCATAGTCTCTGTATATTAGCTTTGGGGCACGGTCTGTTCTCTCAAGGCATTGTATAAGTCGAAGATGTGTTTTCAGTAGCTTGGTTGATAGAAAGAACACCAGTCCTTCGTGATGGTTGGGAGACAGGGGTACTTGCGTTGTAACAGGTGGGCTTGTATGACTTGCGGTGCTGAATTCTCCTAGGTTTGCTCCGTCCTGGTCTGTTGCTGCAGAGGGTTTTGTGATGATATTTTGTGGTAGATGATTTTCGTTCGGTTTGCTCTTGGAGAAATAGGGACTGTTCCCTGGGATCTGTCTCTTGAGCAACCTCCCTCTTGTTTCCATGAAAGAAGATAACGAGCCCAGGCTCCTTCCTGGCAATGATAAATCAGCATTTTTATCCTGTGAAATAAGGCGACTTGCTGCATCGTCGTCACCCGCGCTTCGATTCTTCCGTGGTGATACCTGGCCATTGTCTAACTTTCTCTTATGGTAGACATAATACGAATCTCTCACATCAGGGCCTCGTGGACTCTGACTTTCCTCATGAGAGTATAAGTGGCGTGTTTTGGGATATGATGCCCCCAATCCCTTCTCTTCTGATTGCTTCGTCAAGTCTGAAGCAAGTTCTTGCGTATCTTCTGCTCGTAACACACAGTCTTGCCTTGTCATTGAGCTGCCATTGTCCACTAAGACCAATAGCTGGGTCTTAGAAGGGGTTTGTCGGTATTCTATATCCTCCCTCATTAGTGTGTCTGGAGGGTACTCCTTTGATGACCTGAGGTCATGCACACTTTCCGTGTCTTCGGCTTCGCATTCGGTGTGCCTATCATAGGATAAAGACGTTGACTCCATGCAGGTTCCCAAAGGGGATGGCGAAGTGTATATTCTTTCCTCCTCTTCGGAGGCTGTTACTGAACCGCCATCTAACTCCTCTATATCGAAAATGAAAGCTCTAGGCTCTGTTTCTCGATCTCCGAACTTTCGGCAATGTAAATCCAAATTCAAACAATCTGATGATACAGGGCTAGGTAGCATGTATTCCTCTGAAATATGTGATGGACTCGGAGTAGAAACAAGATCATGGTTTAACGGAAGAAGGACAGGTAACTCGGGTTCGATTGTATCTTTCTATATAGGTATTCAAAGAGGTTAACAAGGATCAAAGCAAGGATGGCTTTCTACTTACAGAGTTTGTTCTCAGAATGCTTTCAAAAAGCTCATTAGTCGCTTTCTCGGGTAGACAATCATAGGTCCTGACGCCTTGTATTATCGAGAGTGATTTTCTTGTGCATTTGAGCTTCTCAGCCTTGACGTTTTCTGTCGGCAAGCTTTCTTTTTGTAGTATATTACTCGGTGAATTCGCGGGAGGGGGCCCTCCCAAGCACTGCTCAAGGGCTTCCATGTCGATTTCTTGCAAACTATAACGAAAACGATTCTTTGATGACTTGAAATCTGCTGCACGTTCAATAGTGAAAATTGGAGGCTCCAACTTATTGCCTTCAATGGGATTGAAAGTCGGTAGGAGAGCATCCCAGTCCATGTCCATTCTAGCTCTTGCTTCATGGAGTACAGATGCCAGAAAACGGCCACTCTCTTTGGAAACACGGAGCTTCTCTCCAAGAATCTTCTCATTTAGAGTGCCATGGGCATCATTTAAGCAACTCCTGAATTCTGATAATGTGTCCTCGGGAGGTTGTTGGTTTCCTAGCTCGAACTTCTCATCGATATAGTCGAGGGGGTCAAAAGATGTGAAATCGCTTGCAATAACGTGGAATCGCGCATAGTCGATCAGGGAAGGTTCTTGGAAGGATGCCATTGGATAAATCTGGTTCTCTGCATGAGTTGATATGATTACTTGGTTCATGTCAAATGCTGAGTTTGGGGAATAAAAGTACTGGTCGAGGTATATCTTAGGCTGCCGTCAAGGCTTGTCAAAGCATAGACAGCGTACAAGCCAAAACCGCATAAAAAGGTTGCAAGTTTACCAAAGTTCCCCCCCCTTTAATCTTAAAATATATACCACAAGATAAACCTTTGTGATTACTCTGTTGAGTTGAACGCCAACCCTAATCGTATTAATCGCATAATACCTTCACATCTAAGTAATCTTCATGATAATGTACAAAGGAAATTTGATGCTATTCATTATAAGTTGAGCCTGTTATCTTGTACTGGCGGCGGACCTAAAACCACTTCTTGGACTTGCTCTGTAACTCCACCAAGTCGGCTGGCAACACCGAGGATACCCGACTCAACATCGCCTAGGACGGCGGCAAGGTCGTTGAGCATGGATTTTGGGGTTCCAACCCCGGAGCCGTCGCGACTCCGGGACGTGGCAAAGTCATGAATCTGCCGCTCTAGGGTAGTCTCGACGCCATGTACATGGTCTTCAATTTCTTTCAAGTTCCTTGTGTACCGCTCGAGAACAGCGCCCATTTCGTCTGAACGCTGAGAGAAGTAGTCTACCAAGTTCACTGGCACTCCGTTGATAGTAGTCGCGGTTGAGGGATCACCTTCAACATCATCAGGAAGCGCGAGGGTATTTTTCCTTGTTGATCGTAGGGATTGTCGATCTGACACCTTTTGGTCCTGGGTAGACCACCATCCAGCACCACCGGTGGACTGGTATTGCAAGGGAAGCTTGAGAGTATCGATAGCTCGGAATGCGACCTGAGCTTCCGCTGCATCCCGGGATACCAGACTGCGCAACTGGTCAATGTCGCTGGCGTCATTCTCTAGTGCGTGTTGCATGGTTTCTAGCTTGCCCTGAACGTACTCCACATCATTCGGAATCGTTTCACCTTGGGACGTAATAGAAGGAATCAGATTGGTAACTTCATTACACATGGCTATCTGATTCAGAACGAAGGCATCGAATCGCTCTAGCTCCGCCTTGATCTCATCGGCGCAGCTTTCATATTTTGTCGTGGGCAAAAGATTGCTAATATCCACCTTGACACCTGGGATGACCGTTCCAGTTGTTGCTGTAGTGGTTGGTTGTGCGGTTTGCTGTGCGGGGGTACCTTGGGTTCCGAATAACGATAGAGTGGGTTTTTGAGCTTGCTGTTGTTGTTGCTGGCCTGCGTTCTGGGTTGCGCCACCACTGTTTCAAATGTTAGGATAGACTGGCACGTACCTTAAAAGGTGCGATATAGAAGAAAGGATTACTCACAAGAGCCCACCTCCTGTTGTGGTAGAGCTTCCTAAACTAAAGAGCGGCTTCGATTGAGTTTGAGTAGTTGAGTTACCTCCAGCGGCTCCAAATAGACCTCCAGTAGTACCTGTCTGTGTAGCAGTGTTGGCAGCACCAGTATTTCCTGAAAAAAGCCCACCGGACGGCTGCTGCGTAGATGCGACAGGGCCACCGAATAGTCCGCCACCTGTGGCACTGCTTTGCTGTCCTCCTAGGCCTGAAAACATATTTGATCCCGATGGTTGAGACTGTTGAGTAGTTCCGCCGCCAACGTTGCCGAAGAGACTAGTGGCTGGTTTGGATTGAGCGGTAGAGGTACCAAGATTCCCGAACAGACCTCCAGTGTTGCTCGTTGCGTTGGGGGTTGTTGTCGACGTGGTTTGAGCAGCAGGGGCGCCACTATTTCACAAGGACGTTAGGGTTGTTCAAGACCAATTAACACAGACTGCAGGCCTGCAAATGAAAGGAGATTCAGGTGACAAGGTGTATGCAAAGGAAAATAGCAAAGAAGTACACAATTAACAAGGGGAACAGTTAAAAACAGGAGCTTAGGAATGAAACAAGCTTTGCAAATGTCCGGAGATAAAAAGAAAAGCTCTTACAATAGGGAGTTGGCGGAATTCGTGTTGATTGAGAGGCCGGTTGCTGGGCCTGAGGGCTTCGCAGAAAACATCCTGACTAATCCAATTCCAAACAAAGGGCAGCGGGGAGGGAATCGGCAACGCTCTTCACTACAGGTGCCGTCTCGAAGTTGCCGAAGAACAAAGGTTTAGCAGCCAAGGATATATCGGAGGGATCCTGTAAAAACAATGAAAGTTGTCGGTCTCAGTTCCAATCTTGCAGGTCAAGTTCAGACGTTTCTCCGCAGCAGGAGGGCGCTAAGGTCGATGGGGAAAGATTCGCCGACGCTAGCGTTACTACTATGTTATTCGGTATGAACTTGAAGGACGTCAAGCTTATCTGCAGTATCGCTTCAACGCCATCCGTTGGCAATGGTGAGCGAGTCTTTTACAGAGAGCTAGCTTGGATCCCATGGGAACAAGTATCGCGTCTTGGAAAATTACTCATGTAGTTTATCTGCCGCTTATTCCATGCCATTGGAGACTGCTACAGTGCAGCACGCGGAGTTTTCCTTGTCCCTTCGATTCACTGTGAGATAACTGTGAATACAGCTTGCGAGAGGCTTTGATAAAATTCTCTTGGGAAAAGTTGTTCTTGCATACTACACAAAATAGGGGTCTGCTGCGGCCTTTTCTCTCATTGTCTTGGAGCGGTGTTCTTTTATGCTCTAGGCTAGTTGCTTAGTTGCATCAAGATTCTTGCAATATATCGCCAAAAGAGGAAGGGTTTTGGGTAAGAGAAGAATGGACGAACATAAGAGTTCTGTATTTAAGCCTGTCTGCGTGGCATCTACCGACGCTGGGAAGCTTCACAGCGTGTCAAGTCAACCATCGTCTGGACAGGAACATCCTGGCGCATTAGGGCTGGAAGCAGACAAGTCTGCTGCGAACCCCTTTGAAGGGAACTACTTCAAGAGTGCAGAATGGTGAGTGCAGCTTGTGAATTCTTAACAAGTGATGGGTCGATTAGGTATTGATGATCCGGGATAGGTCGCCAGATGGTACCACCATTCTAACAGATTCTGCAGACCATCGTATTAGATCTTATATTTTGTAAGTTGTACCCTCGTTTTGCTTGAATATTCGACTAATGAATGGTGTACAGACCTCCGGATCTCCTAGAAGAGAGACCAGACCCTCATCAGCTCTCTCCGTACTCGGTGTTGCCGTCCGCAGAACCGACGTATGCCTCTGCTTTCTACCCTTTCTTCTCCCTTCAAGAACCATCTTCTACCTTGTTTCTCTCATCGGTTAGAGATCACCCTATTAGATTAGCTTCTGCATTGTATCCGACGTCCTTGGCAACTTACTCTCTTGTTAACCCCACAACGGAAGCTTTCATAACGCCCCATTCTATGATATATCCGTCTGCACTGGGTGGTGCTCATTTCCTCACCGGATCAGATAGCCTTATATGCCTTTTTGACGTCTCTCGTCCTGGAAATGATGGCCCTATTGCTTGGATGCCAACAATACCAAGTAAGCGCAAGCAAGTCGTGGGTGGTGGCGTGGGAATGAAAGGCATTATTTCCGCGCTGGCATTAAGTCCAGATGGGGATGGAATTCTAGCAGCCGGTACATTTTCGCGGAATGTTGGGCTCTACGACTCCAATGGCTCAGGACAATCACTTGGAACTTTCAATATTGCAAAGACTGAAGCCAATCGTTGCATTGGAGGACACGGGATCACACAGCTTCTCTGGAGCCCTTGTGGGAGATATCTGTATATTGCCGAGCGTAAAAGTGATGGTGTATTGGTTTATGATATAAGATTTACCGGACAGTTGCTTGGCTGGCTGCAAGGGCGTAAGGCCTTCACCAACCAACGCATGAAAATCGATTTGGTTTCCACAAGACATGGCAACTCGCACGAGATCTGGGCTGGAGGTACGGATGGATTTATGAGGATGTGGCAAGACCCAACGTACACTGCTGGTGCACAGGAACCTAAGTGGGAGTGGAAAGTCCATCACGGTAAGGTTTAGTCTCGTACGATATGAGGTCCCTGCTTTACTAATAATACTTATAGACTCGGTCAATAGTACCATGCTGCATCCATCGGGAAATGTTATAGCTACAACATCTGGTCAGAAACAATTCAACAATTTCCAGGAGGGTGCCGAATCTGCCGCCAGGACGGTTGAGAATTCGTTGCGAATCTGGTCTCTGCCTTTGGTAGACGAAGTTGCTGAGGAGTGAGCCTGGACATGAATGCTAGAAGCTCTTATAGTGATACCGGGCTTCTGGCGAAGCAGGCTGATACGAGAACCGCTTCTAAACCACACTGCTATAAGCATCTGCCCCCTCTTCGGCCTCGCAGTGGGAACGGAATGGTGGATAGGATATTCAAGTTGTCATTCTAAATCCACTTACCCGCATTGGATGATACTGAGCTCACAGTCTCTTCGCTCCTCCGTGTCAAAGTGGTATTCGCTCCGACTGAATGGTGTTCAGAAAAGGGACGAGTATATGAGCCTCTTTTTGCTCCCTTGCCGGCCACCAAACGTACCATATGCCATTGAGCATCCGAAGAGATAATAGGGCCCAACAGAAATGGCAAAATTTAGGATTTCGTCCTGATTCACCACAAATAAATATCTGGGGTGCAGTTTGCGAGCTTTTACAATGGTATCATTACACAGCACTTCTTCGCCCGATCCTATTATTGAACCCCGTTAAGTCTACTATATAGCTGCACCAAGCTATTATTTAGCGCATCTAATTCATATATGAAAGGTGAATACGATGGTTTATTAAATTTCTGGTGATGCTAGGTGCATCACTTAACTGATTGGTGCTCTATGTTAGACCTAACACTGCGGCCTTCCCACCTGCCATCCTTCTTAGTAGAGAATATGCGCATATTTTCTTCCCAGGACAAAGATAACTCGGTTTTAACGGATGTCTCCGGTAAGTGAAGTTCTATGCCCCTAATCACTTCTACTTTTGTGTTTCGCGTTTCTATTCACGCGCGTTTAGTCTGTTCCCCTAACTTCCCCCCTCTTCCTCTTCTCTTATACTGCCGTCTTCCCTCCAATCCTCTGAAAACCACATCCTCTTGACAGATCCAACACTTTTGCTCTTTCCTCTCATTTCTCAAGCTTCGTACAGTGCTTTCTCCATTGTTGACAGTTCTTTAGGACCTTGCTTTTCATCCTTTTGGTGTGGTTTCTTGTACTTAGAAACAGTTAAGCCCAGAACAATTTCAAATGGCGGATGAGAATTGGGGCAATGACCCTGACTGGTCTCTGCCTTTGCAGACCTTCGAATCTATTCTGGGCATAGGTGGAACTGCTGGCCTGAACTCGGGGACTGGAAATGATGAGACGCAAGTCGATCTATTCCCACTGTTTTGATATCATCTAATGTATATCCACAGCGTGTTTAACCACAACAACACAAATGGAAACCAAGACATTGACAACAACAACAACAGCAACAGCAACACTCTTGAGGTCCTTGGATTGAACGCATTCGGGGGGCCAGTGGCAGAAAACAACCAGCTCTTCAGGGAAGGACCTGCTGCGGCGTCTCAACTCGACACCTCTACTGGAACAGCCCCTGCTAGTGATCTTCCAACTCCGGTCCCTGGCCAGACCAGGTAGGTTATGCTTCCCCATGCTTGAAATCACTTTGTGTTATGCCCTAATATTAGATAGTCTTGAGGCAAACAGCTCTCCGTCCTTTGTGCAGAATCCCAGATCTAGCCCCTCGTATCTCTTTTCGAGCGAGGTTACCCCTGGCGTTTGGGGAATCCCTGGCTTTAGCAACGGTGGCACTGGAGCCCAAAGCTCTTTGGATTTTCCAAACTTTGACAACGGGGCTTCAGGCTACATGGATTCTTTGTCTACTGCTGCCCAGGCTCCTCCTGTCAATTATGACCAGGGAAAAGCATTGTATCCTGCTGACATCTTTGGTGACTTCGCTTCTGTACCAACTGGTTCCGCTGGCCCTTCTCATGATTCAGTTACTATTACTCAAGGAGTGACTGATTCTCAGGGAGCAGCTTTTCCCCAGGGACAGGGTCTCTCCGTTATTTCTCATGGCCCAGCTCCTGTCGTTCAAGGTCTAAATGGCAATGCTCAAAGCGCAGGTCATTACCATCAAGACCCAGATTTTATCCATGGTCCAGCGGTTGCTGCTCATGACGCAGCTCAGTCTCAGGGCTTATCTTCTACCGCACAGAGACCTGCTTTCATCCGTGGCCTAGCTGGCATTTCTCAAGGGACAGCTCATTCTCGGGTCCCAGCCCGTGCAGTAGAAGGATCAGCTTTTACTGCTCAGGGTCCTATTGCCCCCGCCCCAGTTGTCCGTACTCCAGCTTTCATGCCGCCAGCATTGAATGCTCCAGCACAGACTGCCATCCTTCCCACGCCAACCATTTCTGCTATTCCTGCTGCACAAGGTTTCCAACCCATGCAGTTTGCCGTACCTGTCGATGACGAAGACGAAGTTCTCCCTGAGTTTCAGGAAGAAATGGCAACTCTTATGCACCCAGAGATAAATATGTGTGATATGCAGACCCATTTTTCATCTCTTGGGGAAGCAAGAGCCTTTATTAATCACAAGACTGTCCCCGGCCCAGATCCCACCATTCCGCATACTGATGAGCAGAAGAGGGCTATTGTTAAAGCCATGTACAACCATATGATGTCCACTAGAAGGGCACTAGATAACCGTGGAATGGTAAAGCCTTTTGAGTATGGCAAATACTCCAGCACTCGAGCCGAGATCGCATGTTGGGAGATTCTGGTAAGTTCTTTTGAAAATGATTCCATTGAGCTTGCACTAACGTGGCCCATTAGGAAGCCACTATTGCTCGCCATTTATTTGGCCCTCTTCTTCACGAGAAGCGCAAACAGACAGGAAATATGAACACATTCGCCAGGAGAATGGCTGCGATCATGGAGTCTCTGGAGTTTCGAAAAACCATTTGCAAGCACCTCCTCGACCAGCCATACATCTGCCAATTTGTTGATGATCCCAAGGGCTCTCAAAAGCGCGTCATGTCAAACAAAATGTTGAATGCGCGCAAGGGTGAAGTTATGCGTGCTGGGAAACAAGCTCTGGGCGCTGGAAGGGCCACCAGGAGACAGTCTCAGCCCGACACCCAACCCCAGCAGCCAGCCAATCAACCGGAAGATCAAGTGAAGCGCGAGGAAGATTGCGTTCAGAGTGCCATTGCAAGTGCAACAACTGCTGAAGGGTACAGGCCTCTCGCACCCAAGCCCCAGCGCCAAGAGAGAATGAGAGCACAAACAATGGAGGCACCTCATTGGGGCGAATATCCAACGACTCTCTCGGGTGTAGGCCCTTCAAGGATGGCTGCGCCCTCTACTACTCGCAGAGTGGTCGATGACCGTTCCGAGAGACGTTACCCTCAGCCCACTATGCATCATCGCTTCGCTCCGCAAGCACCCACCCAAGCACCCGCCCAGCCTATTCATCCCAGCATTGCGGGCCAGGAATTTAGCCACCATCACCCTCAAATCGGCCAGGCCACACGTCGTCTCACTGCACCAACTTCCCATTCCAGCATGGGCGGATACCCGATGAACCCCCAGCCTCTCACTCGCAGCAGATCGGATAACATTGGCTCCTTGACGGGCATCGTCCCACGGAACTCTATCGGACTAAATGTGATCAATTCAGGATATCCAGCTGGGTTCCAGCAAGGTGATCACCAGAACATCCTTCCAAACGGCGTCTTAGGCACCCGCAAGCGCCGCAGCCCTGACACCGGTTTCCACGAGTCTTCGCCAGAGAAAAGAATCCGGTAGATGCGGTGTTGATCTTTGTTTGATCTTTGTTTTCTCTTTTTTCCTTTTCCCTTTCCTTGTTCTTGTTCATGTTCTTTTTTTTCATTTTTTTCATTTTTTCGTTTTTTTTTTTCGTTTTTTTTCGTCTTTTTTTCGTCTTTTTTTTTCGTCTTTTTTTTCGTCTTTTTTTTTCGTCGTTTTTTTTCGTCGTTTTTTTTCGTCTTTTTTTTCGTCTTTTTTTTCATCTTTTTTCGTCTTTTTTCGTCTTCTGTTCCTTTCTTCTTCCTTTCTTGAAAAAAGAAAAAAAAAAGGAAATATACAAAATACTAAAAAGGATGATGGTAATGATAATGGCGGGCATGATGATGAATGATGAGGTTTTTTCCAAGAGCCAATACCCTGTATTATTGGAATAAGGCGATTTTTCTTTTATTGGTTCTGTTTGGAGTTGCAATGATACTTCCCATTATTTTCCTCGTATCCACTACCTTGTATAACACTGGTATTTATTGCATTTCTTGGTAATGTTGTAGATTCATGTTTGGAACGTGATAGTATGTCCTTAAAGGATTTGAAATTTAGTAAACACACCCTGGTTATGAGGAGGTAGAGTTAAGGCTCTATTCCCTACCTTCTACTTCCAGATAATTGCCTTGGAAGAGCTGATGATGTTTGTGAGGAATCTCTCGGGGTGGGAGATATCAGGTTGGTATAGTAATATTGTATGTAGATTGCAGTCCAGATAGGATGTGTTTGTACTAGTTTATTAGTAGATCATCCTGCTTCAAGCTGTACCCTTTTTACAGCATTTTCTTTCTTCTGGGAATTGGATTTTCTTATGAGGAGGCAATCAGATATTAAACTAGGCTGTTGCTTGATAGCCTTTCTTCTTTCTGTCTTCATTTTCAAAGGTGTTAGTTACTTTTCCCCATGGGGTTTCCATTTCGCCACTCTTGACTATACCTGTTTAGCAGGGAAAACTGGCTTTGCGCAGTATGGTTTGCGGGGCAGTCTTGATATTTGTGGAGCTGGCTATGTGCTCTCAAATGTGTCCTTGTAGAGGGCCAATATGTGGACTTCTTGCGGCGGGCATACAAGATGTGATTCTTGTTTTTATTATCATGTATGTAGCTTTAGAGTTGCTCTGTGTGGACTAGGCTGACCTCTGGTTGGGCTAGCTTTGAAGGCATTTGGCGAACATCAGATGTAAGTTGATAGAAATACTCATATTTTAGTTGGGTAGAACTCACATGCAATATTAAATTTACTATCCAGCTAACAAGGTGCCTGGACAGCCATTTCGTCCTGATACAGAGGTACTGTTGTTTGTTGCTCAACATATAATGTTGTTCGCTGGGGTTTAGGTAGTCCATGTAGATATGCAGATATATCCGTGGGACCCACGCGATTGGCCGACGTGCACGGACCAACTGAACAGAGCATGACGTTATACTTCAACCCTCCTTTCCACACCAATGTTCCAACTTCCAATTACCACACCGCGCGCGAAATAGTGGCCGTTTCCCCTGCTCTACAAGCCTGATCGTGTGGTGAAGAAAGGAGGAAGCATCGAAAATAGATCTAGGCAAAATGCCTGAAGACGATGATGGCAAACATGACTTTGAGCTGGTATGCTATCGTTCTATGTGCCTGCTATCAGCCCGCTTTGGCATGCGACAGCTCACTTACTTCGGTGTGTCTTTTAGGATTCGTATCAGCTCTACAGCCGATACGAGGATGCTCCGCACAAGGGGGATTGGAGAAAAACCGCCCTTCGAGGACCTACCCTCCCTACTGTAGGAAATGCAGTAGCCGGTGCTGTTGGGGCCGCAGTGTCAAACCTCGCTACTTACCCCTTGAGTCTGATTATCACACGACTACAAACACAGAAACAAAGGAGGCAGAAACCTGGGGGTGGAAAGTCTGCAGCTGATGAAGGAGATATAGAGGAGGAATACAAAAGCCTTTTAGACGCGGCTCGCAAAATATGCGCGCGAGGAGGAATCAGTGCTCTCTATGCCGGCCTTGCACAGGACACAGCCAAAACCATGCTAGACTCGTTCCTTTTCTTTTTAGCCTACGAGCTTTTTCGACGACGACGAATTGCGGCTCGATACGGTTCGAAGCGTCGATCCAAGCATGTTGTCCTGCCCATCTTGGATGAACTAGCTGTTGGTGTTTTGGCGGGGGCCTTCGCTAAGCTCTTCACAACGCCACTTGCAAATATAGTGGCCAGAAAGCAAGCATCTCAGGCTTCAGTCCGTACTCAAGAAATCGCCGCGAAGATTCGAGCCGAGAAAGGCATTCGCGGATTTTGGTCTGGGTACTCTGCTTCACTCATCCTTACCCTGAACCCGTCGATTACATTTTTCCTTAATGAGGTTCTCCGATACGCGATTTTCCGTCGTAATAAGCGCCGCAAGCCATCTGCACTAGCCACATTCTTACTGGCAGCCATCAGCAAGTCAACGGCGTCGTCGATAACCTACCCATTTTCTATGGCAAAGACTCGCTCACAGGTCTCTGATGCAGGACCCGGTCCTGGAGATCAGCGAGGGAAATCCGAATACGGCGACGATTCGGACGAAATTTTCCTAATGCCGTCGATAATCTCGAATGTTCTTAATATTGCGCGGGCAGAGGGAGTCTCTGCCCTGTATGCGGGCCTTCCGGGAGAAGTCCTCAAGGGATTCTTCTCCCATGGATTTACCATGCTCGTGAAGGATGCGGTGTATGCTGGGATCGTACGGGGCTACTACCTTTTGCTCATTGTTGCCCGGCGCTATCCGAGTCCGGAGGAGCTACTTGAACGAGCTCGCGAGCAGGCTGAAGAATATGCGGAGGCTGCTCGTGACGGCGCCAAGGGCCTCGTGGAGAAGGCGAGGAGTGGTGCAGAAGATGTGTTGGATGCACACACAGGTAATGTTGCAGTTGACATGACTTCGAATACGAGTCCGATTGACATGGACGGCTTGGCCTCCAATGAGACCGCAGAGTTGGTAGGAGATTATGTTGAGGATGAGGCAAGAGAGTGGAGGAGTCTGTACCACTGGTTTTGGGAGAAAGAGAAGGATGGGAAGAATTGAACTGCGAAGCTATGTTCCTTTATTACCCAGTATTATTATATTGTATATAATTCGCAAAGGATTTGACGAGCATTACGTATGATGAATGGAATATTTAATATTGATTCCATTGGGATTGTATGTTGTCCAACGAACGTGGATGCCCGGCTGCTAAGGCTGTGCACCCGATCGAGTCGATCCGTGGGCCAACTCGATCTCTCCCGACACTAACCACGGCTTCTTGCACTCTACTCTCGCTCCCCCTCCCCGCTCTCTCCTTGCTTTCAACACGCTTCAACACCAAAGCTTCTCCATGTCGACGGAGAAGCGCTCCGGCCCGGGCCTGGGGGACCTGGAGAAAGAACTGACGTGCTCGGTAGGTTGGATTCCATAACCTAGAACTCGAAGGAGAGCAAAAACACGCGGACAAAAGTTCCATCAGCGATTCCGATCCCTTGCATATATATAATCTTTCAAGACGATTAAGGGGGCGAAAAAAAATATGACTATATCTGGGAATAGATGATAATCGATCGCACATTTAAAACTAGAATACTTTGCTGACATGCGGTTGCCCAGATCTGCACAGACTTGCTCTACCAACCCCTCACTCTTCTCGATTGTCTTCATACTTTCTGCGGTTCCTGCTTGAAGGAATGGTTCTACACTCAGGCATCCCGTCGATCATCATCGTCGTCTTCCTCCCCTCGATATACTTGCCCCTCATGCCGTGCGAACGTCCGCGAAACCCGGCCCAATGCTACAGTGACCACACTGCTGGACATGGTATTGGCGGCCAGCCCTGATCAGGCCAAGCCGGATGCAGAAAAGGCGGAGATTGAGCAACGATACAAACATGGAGAGTCGGTTTTCCCCCCGGTAACTTCTCCAGGAAATAGCTCTACAGAGTCGGATGGTGAAGATGATCGAAGGTTACTAGAGGAGGTGCGTCAGCTGAGTTTACAAGAAAGTCGGGCTCGCACGAGGACGGCTCGCAGGACGGAACAGCCATTGCGCATTCGTCGGGCAGATAATCCGGACTCTGATGGAACAAGGGAGGATGGACGCTCTCGACGACGGCGGGAAGAGGAACGTGAAGCACGGCGACAACGAGCTGCTCGTCAAACCCCGGTTGCACCTCCCCAGGATTCAGCAGAGCGCACGAGACGGGTCGAACATCAGTCGAGTTTGCGGTCCTTGTTGAGCTTATCAGACACGGAAAGTATCGAAGCGGAAATTCTGCGACAAATCTTTGAAGAAGGTCTTCTGGACGACATTGATATGGAAAATCTTGGGCCAGGGCAGGAAGAGGAGCTTAGCGAGCGTATCGCTGAGGCATATCGACGGAAGCATTTGTTACGTTCACGCTTTCAGCATCAACAGGAGAACCCCGAGCCATCACAGCCACAAATACCTACTCGAATGCGATTGCAGTCCCAGCAAAGACCACAAATAACGCCAACGACTCAAGCATCCCCTAGAAATACGTCCGCACCAAGACCGTCTTTACTCGAACCCCCTACATCACGGCCAACTCCCGCAAGCCACCAGAGACGTCTCTCAGAACAGGGAGGCAACCGTCGTCGCCAGACTTCCCCAGTGCTTACCAACCCCGCGTCATCGTCGGACATCACACTGGGGCCCGCCGCAAGGTCGTCGAGCGATATTATGTCGGACCGTTCGCGCAGTTCTCACACACGATCCCAAACCATTGATACCTCGACCCGACGGACACGACGAGCAGCTTCAGCGGGTCAGAGCATCCCAAACATTACGATTGAAGGTGTGAATAATACTAGTGCATCTAACCACACTGGAACTAGATCTTCGATCGACTTACCAAGGACTGCCACGTCCACAACCAGTACATCATTGGATAGTCCTAGTTCTATTCGGCCGCGAAATGGTATATCGGATTTGTCTACGACCAGTTCTCTAGTAGCCCAGGTGGGCTTACCAACTAGACAGGAGCCACGTTCTCGGCCGTCATCCTCATCGTCTCGCTCCAATGCGTTGACGCAACCTGTTAACTTCTACCCTGAACCATCTATATCCTGTGACCGCTGTGGAAAGTTAAATATCCAGTATGACTTTCATAAGAAGTGCTCGCAATGTAACGATGGGAAATACCACCTGTGTTTGAGATGCTACCGACTGGGACGCGGCTGTCTTGACTGGAAAGGATTCGGAGCCTCAGCAGAGGCTGATTTCGAGCGTATGCGGGCATCATCGAGTGGTCAACCCAGTCAGCCTCGAGAATCCCAACATATTTTGCAATCTTTCAAATACTCTCGGCCCCCCGCATCGGCACGCCGCTTTGTAAGAGATGGGAAAGAGGTCACGAACGATGATCCTGCCCGCAGACTACAAGAGGGGCTCTTCTGCGACCGCTGTCAGTCTCCCGCTAACGACTGCTTTTGGAAATGTAACCAGTGCAACGAAGGAGACTGGGGTTTCTGCAACCGATGCGTCAATCGAGGGAAGTGTTGCACCCATCCACTTCTCCCCATCCGCCGTTTAGCACCCGGTAGTCGTGCACCTCCCGACCGTAACAACAATGATAATAATTCCGAATCTTTCAAGATCTTATCGTTCTCGACCAAATGTGATACCTGCGCATGCCCAATTCCCGCATCCTCCCTTCGCTTCCACTGCCTTCGATGCAACGACGGTGACTACGACAACTGCTCCAACTGCTACCTCAAGCACGTGGCAACATCTAAAATCCGCAAAGAAGATGGCCACAACGGCTGGCGCCGCTGTCTAAAGGGCCACAGAATGGTGGTAATTGGATTCGAAGACCACCCTGAGGGTCAACGCCGAGTCATTGTCCACAATCTCGTTGGCGGACACGCTCTAAAAGATAACCATCTCCCACCAGCCGTAACAACAGCCCAACCAACGTCAAATCCAGGTGGACTATCATCACCAGAAGCCGGAGTCGGCGACTGGAGCTGGAAGGAAGGCTCCGAGAGACGAAAGAAAGCATCGCGAATACGATCCTCGTGGAACTCTAAGCGAGAGCAAGAACGCGAGCGAGGAGGGTCCAATCTAGACCCTAATACCCCGCCACCCTTGAGCCCAGCCCAGACTTCCAGCTCTACATCTACTACCGCTGGTGCTGGTGCTGCTACTATTACTACTGCTGCTGCTGCTGCTGCTGCTTTTCGTTTCCCCCCAGACGGTGGTATCGGTCTGATCGTACACGCAATGTGGTCCTATTACCCGGAAGATGGAGTGAAAGATGAGCTGATGTTTCCTCGCGGCGCTGAAATTACTGAAGTGGAGAATATCAATGATGATTGGTACTGGGGTTGTTATGCAGGGATGACTGGGCTATTTCCCGGGTCGCATGTTGAGGTTGTGGGGGAGATTGTTTAGTATTCTTATATTCTCCCCTTTGTTTCTGTCTATTTCTTGTTTCTAATTCTATGTATGGGTGCATGAATTCCCTTATGGGAATTGCCTTTCCTTTTCTTTCCTTTTGCCTTTGGAAGGGGGGTGGGGGGGGGGGTTGAATCTTTCTGCAATGATCATGACGACAACAACAACAACGCCCATGACTACAACTATGACTATGACCATGGCTATAACTGCATTTATAGCTAAAGACCTTCCTATACTTCCTATGTATCTGCACATGATGATGATTTAGCATGAATACCATAATGACTGATTAATGTTGTTGTTTGATATGGCTGGCGGATTCAATGGATCTAATAGAAATATTCTCCAGAAAGCAGAATAGAGTTTTTGTCTTTCACGCACTCATCCAGAAAATATCTGCAAAAAGACTGTAGTCATAACCATAACCATAACTGCATCCACATCATCAATCTTTAATTGTCAGACAGTAAGTAATGTCATAGCTGTGGTATCACAAACAAAAGGAATCAATGAAAACAGAGAACCACCGCCCGAACACCAGCAATAGAAGGAAGTAAAACAACAAAGAAGAAACGAGGAACAAAATTCATTAATTACTCCAAAATAGCAACCATCAACCTCTGATAATCGCCGCTCGTCTCACCACGGACGCGCTTCACCAAATCCTGCTTATACTTGAACTGATAAGCGCGCTTGACCTGGTCCATGTGCTGGCGGTTCCAATGTAACCTGACCACACGGATGACGAGTTTCTCGTCCTTGGTTCCCATGCCCTTCATGCACTCTTCCAGGAGTACGGCGTCCCGCATAGCGGGGTCCAGAGCGGTGCGGAGCATATGGAGTAGAGCGTCTTTCATGTGGCCCGAGAATTCCTTTTCGATGTGTGCTTCCAGAGAGCGGTGGTAGCGTTCGCTGAATGCCTGGCTCAGGGCGCGGAGCTCGGCATCCGAGGAGCGGGCAAAGATGCTGCAGACATCGTCTACGTTGTTGACGATGCGGGCAGCGGTGGCGTTTTGGATAGTCTGCGCCTCGGCCTGGATGGCGCGGTAGTCGACGGGGGCTGATTCTTCGTGGCGAGAAGCGCGGAGGACAAGCGTGAAGAGGTTACGGGTCTTGAAGGAGAGATCGTCCTCAACGTCCTTGGGGAGGGTGCGGCGGTAGGTATGCTCGTAGGACGTTTTGATGGCGTTGAGGTCTGCGTTAGAGCGGCCCAGGAGGATGTCGTTGAGGAGCCATTCCTTTGTGCCGATGCCCTGGACAGCTTCGCGGGCGCAAGTGGTGTCGTGCATGAGGGGGCCCTGGATAATCGCAAGTAGACCCTGGCGCAGGTAACCGCTCGTTTCAGATTTAACGTCAGCAAAAAGGTCGCGGCGAATATGGGAAGAGTACGTTTGGCGGACAGCAGCCATCTGAAGCGGGTCAAGTTTGGCAAGCGTGTGGATCAGTGTTTTCTCGTCCGTTCCGAACCCCTTCATGGCTTTGCGAAGAATATCGGCTTGGGGGCGGAAGTCACCGGGTGCAACCTGACCGGGCACATAGCCTAAGGAAGGTATGACTGGGGGAGCCGCTGGAGGAGCGCCATATCCTTGTTGTTGGGGGTGGAAAGGAGGCTGTGGAGAGTGAGATGGTGGTGGGTAATTATTGCCGTAGGGTCCCTGCTGTTGTTGTTGTGGTGGCGGATGTCCCTGTGGAGGATAGTATCCTCCCTGTTGTGAAGGTCCAGGAGGAGGAGCGTATCCTGGACCGGTCGGTGGGTATGGCGAGTGGGTAGGTGGTGGAGCGCCGTAAGGTCCTCCTGGAGGCGGAGACTGATATTGGCCAGAATGTCCATAACCCTGCTGATTTGGAGGAGGGTGGGGGGCTCGGTTGTAGCCATACTGGTTCTGAGGAGGCGGAGGCGGAGGGGCTCGGTTGTAGTCATACTGATTTTGAGGAGGAGGATGGCCGGAATAGTAGCCCTGCTGTGGAGGCTCTGGAGGAAGACTGGTTAGCTTCACGAGTTCTTGATGCAGCTGGGGCGGGAGAGGGGGAGCATACGGTTTGGATACTGGTAAGACATGGTAGAGAGAGAGAGAGAGAGAGAGACAAAAAGATCGATGACAATTGAGATCTGGGAGGGAAAGAAGGATGAAAGAAGAAGAAGAAGAAGGGAATTGGAGGATAATTTAACTTGGTAGACTACTACTAGTTACTTGGGATGATGGATGATGATGCCGATGGCAGTAATGGAGCGGTAATGCAATACCGTCATATTTAATAATAGATTCCACAAATATGCAGGGACGGTGCCTGTTTGCGGTGTTTGTCAAATGCAATACCTTACCATACACGGTAAAGAACGGCGGTGCTGTGGCTTAGCCTTCGGTTTGCCAGCCAATCAGAATTCACAGAAGAGGAGGTGGCGCAGCGGTAAGGCTGACTGCGTTATTCCCAGGCATCGATTATTCTCCATGATTTGACAATTGACACTCCTGCAGGCTGCATCCCCACAGTTCGCGGGAGAAGTATGTTGATGTTCTAGAAGAATGTATGCAACAACATATTAATCTACCAGATTCAGCCTTATCTGGTTATTTACCCTGAGTTAGGATTTCCTTTTTTTTTTTTTTTTTTCAACTGAGGGGCTTACCATGGTTCTTAATGTGGCTTAGACTCGAACCGCAGTTTACATTCAGCAATAACGACACGAAAAAAAAGAAATTGTATGATGACTGTCCCTATTACAACTACGTGATAGCCACTCGGGTTCCCGAGTCTTCCTTCGCCATTCAGCATATTGGTGGTCATCGCAGCGAATACTGAATGCGTACAATATAACTAGTGACTTGCGCCCGGTCTGCGACACCCCATGCCCTCAAGCAGGAGGCATCTTCGGCAAACCCGGATTTGAAATTTGTCTATCGTCATCGCCAATATGATCCTTAAGACAGGGGAGGCGGTCACCCTTGATGGGAGGGGTAGGACAAGCGGGTAGGATGGATGCAGTCTTAACGATGAAACCCTGACTAGCAGCAGCCTCTGTGATAGCCTTATTCCAGATCACGGCCATTTTCTCGTAGCCGTAGTCATTGGGATGAATTTCATCCGTTTTACCCCCCGCCGTAAAGTCTGTCGGGTATGAAATCCAGCCGTGGGCACCATTGGGCGGAGGGGGATCCATGTCTGCCAGAACAATAGAGATACCATTTTTCTTGCGCAAGGCTTTTACGAGCTCGCGGTATTGATCGTTCACGCTGAGGCGATTCTTTACGATGTTCTCGTTCCCCGACGGCAGAAGTGTGGCTAGAACAATCGCTGTCTGTTGCATGTCTGTTGCGTGGATGAGGGCGTGAATCAATTCTTCCATCCGCTCTCCTGCCTTGGGGATGTCGTCGTTAAGTAGACAGTCGTTGGTTCCGGCCTCGATTAGGACCACGTTGGGTTTATAAGGAAGGGAGTGTAGAGAGGCATTTGCGACCTCTTGGATGGTGTAGCCATCGGTGGCTTCGACATCCTACGTATCGAGTGACAAACAGCATTAGTCGACGGACGGACAACGGCAAGGTGGCCAGGGTAAGATGTTCGTTCACACATTATCCACCATGTTTCCATTGTTCCTGCTCCCAACCATGTCCACCTCCCATCCCCCATACCGTAACCCATCTCGAAGAGGCTTCCGATAACCGTTTCCTGACGCGGAATGCTGTCCCCAGGTGATCGAGGCGCCGAGGGGGAGAATCCTCAAAGGTGTTTTGGCATCGTTCCTCCTTTCCCCAAGCGCAGGGGGAGTGAAGGCGGACACTATGACTGAGGAGTAAAGACTAAAGAGAACCACGAGTAGACTTCGCATCATGGCCAAAATGTTTCTGGCTATTTCGCTTGGCCTGGTCGACATTACCAGAAGCTTCAAGGGACAAAGGCCGTCTTTATAGGTCCTATCTCACTGCCATCCCTAGCTTCAAGTGATCAGCATCATCATCATCCTCGCGCAATCCTACGCCCTCTTACACCCCACTTTCGCCGGAGAATCCTCCTCCTCCTCTCAGACGCCCAGCAAGCAGAAAATCGCTCGAATGACAGAGTCACCTTTGTTACCACCAGGTTACTTATCATCATTCAGCCACCTGCATTCGCACTGACTCCCACTCGCCGGAGATTTCGATGAGCCTGCAAACATTTGGATGTTGGAACCCCGGCCAGGGATGAAACAAACCCTTGACTGCGGAGATGAAACCGAGGGTTAAGCCTTGTGGAACGTGAGCGACTAACGAGCCATCAATCCTCTGCGCTTGGATCAAGCCATGGCGTAATGCGTAATCAGGTACTAGTAACTAATACTATGTCCAAACAACCATTTTTTCATCGTGGAAATGAAAGAGGCTATTTTCCTGACTATGTTATTCAGCACACATAATGTTGGAAAGAACTATAGAAAATCGAAATGTGCGGGAGGAAGATACTTCAGTCCCTGGGAGGAGTTTGGTGTCCCAGTGCTACACCATATCGACTCGGGAGAAGTACGTAAACCTGATCTGCGATGTCGATTGCAGATTTATCTTTTTACGTGGGATTCTGTTACAATATACATAGACGCAGAGAGGACAAGACATCAGTTACTGTTTACCAGTTTAACCCATAAACCAAAGTGAAATAACATAATCCTTCAATTCAATCGGTGGACGAAGCTGCTCCATTTAGTACTAAGTTGAGTTGCAACCAACCGACCGACCAAAGTAAGTGACTAAGTAACAGAATGACCAAAAACCAAGCCCTTACCCTTCCTAAGCCTCAACCAAACCCCGAATAATACCCAGTGGCAAAGCAAAACAAGAAAACAACCCAACAGAGAATAAGTTTGTGTAAACGTCGTTACGTAAAAGCTGTCAAAAGGAAAAGAGCCCAACGAAAATAGAATGAACAAGTCATTAAGGTGTCGCGCCATTTAGAAGCCAGCGCTAAGCTTGAGGCTTTGATTCCATCTACATTATGGACCCGCTAAGAAAGAAACAAAGCGCAAGAATGGCGAAGAGCAAACGTAAACGACAAAGGCAGCGATAAGGTGAACAGACTTGATCTAACCACCGAAACCGTACAGGGTACGGCCCTGGCGCTTGAGGGCGTAGACGACGTCCAGTGAGGTGACAGTCTTACGCTTAGCGTGCTCGGTGTAGGTGACGGCATCACGGATGACAGACTCGAGGAAGGACTTGAGGACACCACGGGTCTCCTCATAGATCATGGCAGAGATACGCTTGACACCGCCACGGCGAGCAAGACGACGAATAGCAGGCTTGGTGATACCCTGGATGTTGTCACGCAAGATCTTACGGTGACGCTTGGCGCCGCCCTTGCCGAGACCCTTTCCACCTTTTCCGCCTGTGAGAAGGGGTCAGTTAGAAATTGAAATGTTGTAAACAGGAGTCACCAATCGGATATGGTCGAGTATGGTTTGATAGACGGAGGTATAGTTGGGAAGCCTGAGGCATGAATTGATGTCACGGGGATCCGGGGTGCGTCACCACCATCCACCACGTTCCATCAAACCCCACGACTAGACATCACACAAAAGGAAATAGAATGACACTTACGTCCAGACATTTCGAAGATGTTATTAAAACGACAAAAGGATAACCAATTAAAGATGAAAAATTAGATGAAACCCGGGTATGATTTGATGGGAGTGGTGGCTAGACGATTCAATGGAAAGGTTTGGCGGAAAAGAGGGGGAAAGAAAAAGAATAAATCAGAGGAGAAGAAAAGAGGAGAAGAGGCGTCAGTTTAAATAGGTGGGCGGTGGGGGACAGTGTGATTTGGGGCCTTGTTTTTGTTTAAACCCTGGAGTGAATGACTAAGCTACTCTGGACAGGCGTTCAAAAGCAATGTTGATTGCTGATTGGCGGAAGGGGCGTGGGAAAAAGGGTGTTATGAACGTTTGATTTCCAGACCGTGTTTTGGGCTGTTTCGAACTTGCCGGCGGATGGCGGGAAGACCCTGGGCGGGTGGCGCGGATCTGGTCACGTGGTTATATGATTAGTCATATTATACTCCAGACACCACTTCACTTCACTTCACTTCACTTCACTTAACCAAGTAATACCAACTGATCTGCAACCATGACAAGGCCATGACTTTGGTGCACTGGGATTCCATGTGAAGCACTGAAGCACTGATCTGCTGATCTATTTTTCCCGCCCCGAGACAACGTACTTCAGGGACAGCAACTTAAGAGCACTGCCATATAGACTTCTATCATACAACGGAATTGCCTGTCCCTTCATTGACTTAGGTCTTCAAGTTCAATTAATTTCATCCCATATGTTTGGCTTTGCTTCTCAGTCTTTCTCTTTCTTGTCCGGCACCAGAAGCCCTCGGACCGCGCGATATTTTCATCGGGTCTCAGCAGACTTTATCAACTATGACACAAGAGGAAATCCGGTTGCCAGGAAGGTGCCTGTTATTGTTGGTAACCCGGGAGAAACTTATGTGTTGATTGAACCAGGAGTTGGAAGTGCTCTCCGTGCTGCGAGTAAGCCTTTAACATCAGCTTCCGCTGCTTGTGCTGAAGATCGATCGATGCAAACTTACATTTTTCCATGATTCGCAATACTTTGGGTTTGGTAAGCTGTCAGTGTGCGTGCGAGAGTTCTATACTATACAACCGGTGTTTAACAAGTCTTTCTTCAACACTAGGATCATCGAGTTATCCCCGCCTCTATGTCCCAAGCCCTATCCCTCGCCAAACAGACTCCAACACAAGCCCGGCAACCTTGTTCTTGAGTGGAAAGATGCATGAGATAGTTCTAGATGGAACTTTTGATGGTACAGTCCAATCACCAATCCTTCCCGTCTTACTGATACTGATTCTGAATGTCTTATGTAGCAAAATTTGCTGAGGACGCAAGCGCTACGGGAAGGAATCTAGAACATGTAGTCGAACAGCTGAAGGATATGTGATGTCAAGGTTGTTTCCGCTGCAGCCAGATTGGAAGTCTTTCAAATAAAGACTAGGGTCCATGCTAACTCCCGGGCGATGGTTGCTGACACACGGACTCGGTCAGCATGTCGGGGGCGCTCAGCGCAACGATCAACGCGCGTTTAAAACCCCTACTACTACTACTACTACTACTGTGGAGGAAGATCCCGAACGTCATTCACCTTGGGAAATTTGGGTGTGGGTGGAGAGTTCATGTAATCTGGTCGAACGAGCTTGTGTATCTGTATCTGTATCTGTACTGTCATGTTTATTCTTGGAAAAGTTGGAAGTGGGGCGGTATTGCAGCAGGGACCCTTCTCAAGAGTCAAGACATCTTACTTTTCAGGGCCGGCCAGAGCCATGGAACTTACATACTTATACTTACCCCTCCGTCCCCCCTTTCAGGAAGACTAAAATACTAAATCTCCGCTTCCAGAGACTCCTTCTCTCCTTCTAGTCATTGGCCCCTCTTTGCATAAGCCTACTACAACCTTGATTTTTTTTTAATCCAAGTCATCAAAAATGACTCCACCTGACGTTCCCCTCGACGCTGACGAAACCATGCAGCAGGCAGAGGAGGACCCACCTGCCGAGCGGATCCCGCGCTGTGAGGAGCTGGGCCGGTTTCTGATGTATATGCCCATCCATGAGGTAGCAGACCCGGACTTCCGCTAACTCGGGCGTCGCCCCCTTTTGAGGGCCGGGCTGGACGTGCTGGGTGGCCGGCATGGGCATATCCTTGGCAAGAGTGACCTGCGTGCTTGGTGGTCATTGTTATGGGTGAGTCTGAAAGTATGGTAATGTCCTATAGTAAATAGTCCAATGGCGATGTAGGAAGAATGTGACTTATGATACGCTACAAGGGCAAGTACAAAACTGTTAGCAGACCCAGACTCTGTTATATTCCCCTCAAGGTTCTTGGTTGGCAATCATGAATACAAAGTCACAAAAATAATTGATTCAGGGCCTGTCTGACCCTGATTGCGGTGGTCATCATCAGTGTCCCAAAACTCCCGTAAAATGAATCAGTAATTACAACGCAGCTGTACGGGGTAGACTCTCCCGAAACAAAGAAGCTGAAAAACAAAATCCCCAACGCCATGCGCAAAATCAAATCAACTGCATAATGAAAAGAACTTCACTTTTCCGATCAGACTGATCCTGTCAAATCATGCATGCCGATACTGCCTGCGGACTTGTAACGACAATTTCCACCACAACAAGAAAAGAAAAGAGAAAAAAAAAAAAAAAAAAAAAACCATGGCAATAAAGTCCCGGAGCATCATAATCGTGTCAAAAGGGTCCGCCGAGCTGCACTGGACATAAATATAAATCCAGCAACTCGCAAGCCATTGAACCAGGTAAAAAAGAAAAAAGAAAAAAAAGTAGACAATACAAACTGAGCAGAGTGGAATGTCCTTGCGGTTTATTGCACATCGCAGAGGTCACACAACTCAAGGCTCGAAATAAGACTAGAAAACCAGCCACGGAAAAGAAGGAAAGTCGCAAAGTATGGAACAATAAAATGATGTCATCCAACTCAGAAAGAGCGACGCAAGGGCATTAATCAACCACGGATAGCGGCTGGGGTCTGCGTTTCTTTCAAAAAGCTGTCTTGCATCGGTTCAAAGTATTTGTATTCGAGAGTTGGAGGGACATTTCCTGGTGAAGGGGGCGAAGGAGAGTTGGACGATTGAGTGGAGCTCTTCGGCAAGCCCGAATCGGTTGATTTCAAGGGGCGGTTAAGATTTGGGGCCGAGGCAGGAGACCCGAAAAAGCAATATCGGTCGACAAGCTCCTTATACACCGAAGACTCGCGATGGGGTTTGCTTGATAATAGTGAGGATGGCATCTCATGGGCTGCCGGTTCACTTGATGACCTAGGCTGCGCGGCGATTGCATTGGCTCTCCAGGTTGCGCCACGGGCGAGTTTCTGATTATCGAGGTGGATTGCAGGAGCCTCTGATGTTGCTGCTCGTACAGAGAGCATGGTACGATCGTATTCGGGCTTTGTGCGCATAACCGCGGACAGAGACGATTCAAAATCATAACGGTTGCCGAAGACTTGGTGCGGTGGTTTATCGCGGCGAATGGGGAGCGGAGTTTCAGTATCATGAGGAATATCGTTATCATCCCCAGGCGTGCCTCTTTGGTCCCTCGGGGGGGGCCCGAAAGAAATATAACGGTGCATGTCGGAAAAGTCCTTCAGTGATGATGGCATGGAGTGAGGACGAGTGCCCGCAGATCCCGTAAAGCTCCTGCTCCGAGGCAAATTGACCCGGGGCCGTGCGCCCGCCGGGATCCCTAGATTCCGACTAGGTCTCGGTTTTGGAACCTTGGAAAAGTTGACTTGATAGTTCCTCGTGCGGTTGTTATCCCAGAATTCTTGACCATTCGCATTATATCGTACGCAGACGAACATGGTTTTCTTTTCCAAATTCGTCTGCTCATCCAGTTTGATATTGAATGAAAAGTGGTCATAGCCATCCTTGGGTGCGTGCTTTCGTCCACGATCGCGATTATATTCAGCAGTCACCTCGGAGGTGGTCTTCCAGTTGTCAAACGTGAAACGGGCTGCCACATGCTTGTGATAGGCTAGATTCGCGACCACGACATTCCCCACCAGGGAGCTTTTATCGGGCGAGAGATACAATTGCTCGAGGCGAACGCGATGGTGAGCATGATGTGAAGAGTGTTGGGGAAAGTTGGTTAGATGCAACTCCCATTCAAATGCGGGTGCACTGGAGGATTCAGTCCCAAATGGATACTCTCCATCCGCATTGAGGTCCTCTACCGGCGAAGAACCCGCACTCACAGCCTGGGGCTTATCTAGCTGCAAAAAGTGACGAATATGCTCCAGCTGGGAGTCAAAGTGCACTGCCTTGGAAAAGGTGGGTGTTCCCGGCATACTGGAGGGGCGTCGCCTGGCGGAAGGTGGGCGTAGCGCCGGTCGTACCAGCTCCCCCGACTTCTTGCGCACCATCTCGTGCTTGGGTCGAGGAGGCTCATCGTCTCGCTCGCTCTCCTCGGGAGAACTTGTCAAGGCCTCCTCCTCCTGGGCAAACGATCGGGAATGCGAAATGTTGCGGTTGTCTTTGGTCAAAGTTGGGCGGGATTGTCTACCAGCATTTGGACCGACTGCATCCTCCCTGCTTGTCGAAGGCTTGTCCCCTGACGATTGCCGCTCGGGGGAAGACATCCGTCTTTGTTCAATGGACCTGACAGCGGCCTCCAATTCTGCCAGCCGAAGCTCCTCCCTTGACCGGTGTGGCGATGACTCGTCATCGCTTGAATTCTGGAGAGATTCTGGAGGGGAGAGAAGAGCTCCGGGAGGGATGGGGCCCTCACTTACAGGAGGCGGAGACTGCCTGACACTCGCATAGGCGTCGGGGAGATGGCCTTCTGGCGCCGGAAATACGAACTGCTTGCTAGTCGATGAACACCGACGGTGCCGTCGTACGTAAGAGGCGGAGGAGTAGGCGCGGGGGAGGTTTAGACTGCATGGATGAGGGTTGACGACAGCGGGTGAACTGGGGGAAGGAGGCGTGGTGAGATCGGAGGGTTCGATGGGCTGTGCAGAAGGCGACGTCTTCCACGGCGCAGTGTATGGCATCCGGCCGGTCTTGTGCGAAGTAACGCCCCCGAGTAGGCGGGAAATGGGAGAGACACGGGGAGGGACTCCGGTTAGGTGTAAATATATCCTGATCTGTGCGTTAGTGGCGGATTGCGCCAGGAATCGTCGTCGGTTCAACAAGAAACGGGGGGGGGGTGTCGGATAGTGGCGTCAGAACTGGGAGGGCCCACCCATGTACATAGGAAGGAAGTATGTACAGAAGCAACCGGGAGAACAACAGCATGGACATACCTAAAGTATCCGACATCTAGTGGAGTCAATGGGGCGCGGGAGGAGGAGGACGGATGGGGTTTCCAGAGGGTGTGAAGGGAGAAGAAGATATAAAAGAGAGGAGGAATTGGAGGAGATGGGAAGAACGATGCATCGGAAGGTTTGGGGGTGGGGGAGAGAGATACGATGAGGATCGATAATAAATCTCCTACTCAGAATCGTCTAAGAAACGATAATCATCAGATCATAATATTACGATAATTAAATTTAATCAATCGGAGACTAAAAACACTGGCGAAAATTAATTTCATCCGCCATACCCGGACGAGGGTATAATTATATGATACTAATACTAGAACATATCCATCGTTTAGAAAACTCTCGGGCCTGGAAGCTCCGGATAGCCAAAACTCCCCACTCACACCTTGTTTTCGAGGCTTCCAGGCCTTGGGGGTTTTTGCCACACAGAAGTCAGAGCATCGTGTGTATTTACAATGATGGCATTCTGTTATCGTCCCTGCTGTGTAACTAACGCTGTCTTAAGAGGACACTAGGGACACGACAGTTATTTGCTACCAACTCTCGCCAACCAGGAGTTCTCCCAGCGAACGAGGTTCTTGGTACAGGATACAATATCGAGCCCAAAGTTTAGACAAAGCTAATCTACCAGGATTTCTTACGACGAGCCCAGGCCTAGACTGTTTTTCGTTGAAAGAGAACAGCCGAGAAAGGATAAGAAAGAAAAAAAAGGTACTGACTGCCCCTTGAAACTCGGTCTCTGAGTCGCTGGCACAGACCAAATAGCTTTTTTCCCGCAGCTTGGATATGTGTGCCTTCGAGGAGATTTGGAAGAAGCGGTCAGGATGTTCTAGGTTCCCGATATCGAACTCTGTTCTTAGAGTTGGGGCTTATCTTGATTACTTGCTGAATGCTGAACATGCATGTTGCTCGCAGGAAAGGATGAAAGATCTCCAGCTCGAAATCCCCAGGTGGAAATCCCCCCCCCGCCTTCTCCCACGAATGGGTGCTGTTGCCTCTCTCTGATCCGCCTGTTTCATGGCGGCTATCCTGCACTGCCATGCAGACGCCCCTGTGTACGCGATTTGTTATCTGGAAGGAAGTCGTACGGAGTGGTTTCGCGACAGGGGGAGACAGCCGTACAGAATCTGCAACGTCTTGTGTATCACAGACATATCACAGACACCAAATTGGCCACCTGACGGCTGGATCGTCCGGGGCTAGATATGTCGAGACCAGAAACTATAAAGCTGTCGCCACTGTCGAAGGCTGCATCCTGAGGCCTGTAATTGAGGGGATTGATTGGATTCTGGCGGAGCTACTGCAAGACGAATTGGCCTCCTACTCCCCCCCTCCCCCCAAGAGCACGTCTCCGATCGTCCAGATGACTGGCCCAAGCCGCGCGTGGCAGTGGATGGCGCAAGTCCCGGTGATGCCCGAGGCTTACGGGCTTATTTTTAGTGTCGCGAACTGACACTTTCACCTGCAACCAATGCAGTAGATCGAGGCCAAAGCTCGATAACGGCGCTGGCTGTAAAGCCCTTCGTATAGGACGGACAGGGAGCGAAAATTCACAGTGCACACACACACACCTACCTGCAGACTACTCTAATATTCATTGGGAAGGAGTCTCGGAGGTTCACCCTCTCAAGTTCTCCGATTCTCCTCTGGTGAACATGCTACACCAGTATTCCGGGATTAACAGGATCGCCATTTCGCACATTGGAAATCCAGCCAAGCCGCAATCCGATTACTCTCTCTTCTCTCTATATAACTAAATGAATGGCTGCATAACACCGACCTCAGGAGGCGAATCGCCACCACACCGTCTGAACGCTCTCGCCTCCGCAGCACGCAGCACGCAGCACACAAAAGCACCACTGAGCTTCTAGTCCCCATACTCTCTCTCGGGGTTAGTTAGCGTTCCGGAACGACCAAGGTAGTAGCGCGCGCCCGTGGGGAAGCAACTCCTCCGGACGGACTCCGGAGCATGGAACCATACAATAGCATCATCTCCTTTTTGTCTGCCAAGAGGCGTCAGCCTGAGCGGCGCCCACCCAGCCAAGTTCAGTAAATGCGATGCGATCGGACGGTTCGGTAGTTTGATAGACGCGTTACATACTTGGCCACATCGCCTTCAGAGGTAGGGGGGATAGATACAATCCCTGCCCGGGATAACTAGTTAGTTATGGATTGACTGCTTACGATGATGACATCTGACGCGGGGCCCCCCATCACAGGCGCACGATACAGAAGAAGGTACATGGCTGACTGGCTGGCTTTTGCCGATGGCATGATTCAACCTGTTATGGAAACAGGATAGCACTGAAAACAAATCATGCTTAGATACATACCTAGGTCCTACCTAGCAAGTGAAGATGGAAGGGGGCAGCTATCTTACTTAGTCTAGTAAGAGGGTTTCTTTGTCTGGATTGAAAGTTCAGGGGATAATCAGAATCAGTGCATGGATTTATGTACTTACTACCTAATATTATTGTACACCAGGTACAATATCTATAGAAGGTGAAAATCTAATTTAAGAAGATACTAGATTCTAGCAATCAATTCTAGTGTTTCATCCACAATACCGCTTTGAACCCCATCAAGAGCTGTCTTGACTTGGCTGTCTAGCGTTCATAACGAGTATATATATATATATATGGTCTTGATTTAACTGGGAGGATAATTGTACATGGTCATTCACATTAATCCTTATATCAATCCAATACCTTGCCTATCGCTAGCTACAGTCAGAGTCTTTCAAATGCTTAAAATATAGAACAAAAAAAAATCTACCAAAAGAGCCAGCTTTATAGTAGAAAGTGAGCACAACCCATGATAGCATCATCATCCTGTTGACACCACCCAGATGCAGGCAATGAAAAGCAAAACAAAAAAAAAAAAATATATATATATATATATATATATATATAGTCAAATCATCATTTTTCAACATTAATTAAATGGTGTAAGTATTCATTGGTGGTTGGTTCATAATTATCGTATATCGTCAAGGGGCGTAAACGTTCAGCTAAACACTTGCAGTTCGTCGCTTCTCGCTCGGCTTCTGTGTATATGCAATCAATAGACGGAAACCAGTTCCGCGTTGCTGGCATTCGCGAATGACCTTCCTGTCAGCCCAGATGCTGCGGTCGACGTCGCCATTGGGGAGTACTGGACACTCATAAACGCGTGTATACCACCAGCGGCCGACTCGGGCGACAATCTTGCGAATGGATTCGTCGTTGGAGGGGGAAGGGGACGGATCGGACAGTAAGTCCCCAAGGGATAGATCAGTCTCGTTGGAAGTGGATTTCCCATGCACCTTTGACCTTAACCCCGTGGAGGAGCCGCATGCGGCAGAAAGAGCGGTTGACGACATTACCGCAGCGGTCAATGTGGATGGGTTGGAGGAAGAAGTTGACGAGGAAGATGCAGATGACCGCACAATAATCCCCGCTACTGGAATCTGAACGATGCACCGTCGAAGACTGTCGAAGCCATATCGTCCCAAAAGCTTCTGGATGCTATCGCTCGCAGGCTTAAGGCTGATATTGCCATCCGATAGGTACATTGTTTCCTTCAGCTTTCTCACGGCTTTGCGAGTGCGTATTCCCATATTTACCATATCAAGGTCAATGATGCTCATTTCCATGTAGCCACCCGCACGAAGGACTCGCTTGCATTCCGACACTATGTTGTCCTGGGCTTTCTCTGAGCAGGCAGCTGGGAATCGGAGAACAGTCACTGTGAAGAATGCTTTGGGGAAAGGAACTGGGTCTTCAAGAGACGCATGGTGGATGGTGTGGTGGTTCGTTGGAGGTTGCCATGCCGCAGGGTGCTTTGACGCAGTGGGGCTAGGCCCTTCATGGAGGCAGTAGACGTCGGCATTTGGATATGTCAGGGCACAGTAGAAAGACCAGTCATCATTTCCTAATCCATCAACCACTAGAATCCTCTCTTGTTCGCCATTTTTGATATGGTTATGTGCGGGACTAAATAACACCCTCCCAAAGGACAGCCAGCGGCTGGTCATGAGGGACCCAGATCTGATGTTGGTTTGAGCAGTGGGACCTTCGCGATCACGTTCTGCGATATCAAACATGATGGTATTTCGCTGACGGCAGCTCTCAAAGCTTGGAGATGGATTCAAACTTGGTGAGTTAAGAAAGCTAGAAGGGGTTGGCTCAACCGAAATAGTAGGAGCTGGTATATCACCATACCCTTTGCTATCTGAAATTCCCACGTCCTGGTCCTGACGATAGCGAGCCATCATATCACTCACGGAAGGTTGTGAAGTAGGGCTAAGGGAGGTGCGTAGCGCTGTCACGATCTTGGACCGCCGAAGGTGGATGGAATTCCCGCTATTTGGAGGCGACGCAGGGGTCAGAGCGACTGTGGGTTGTTCAATCAATATAGGAGGCAAATTTGGACGGCCAGTCTCGCCATTGAGCCCTGCTTGAAGAGCACGGGTAGCCATCGTCGCCATTTCGAATTTTTCGCTTCCCAATTCTCTCGATAAGGGAAGATTTGGGGTTTCCGGGGAGAGTACATGGTCAATAAATTCGTCATATTCCCCCCATATTTCGTCCTCAGTTAAATCCATCTCAGGTGTAGGAATCACCGCCGTAATTGCAGCAAGGCTCTCTGAGCCACTAGAGGTTGAGAACATTGAATCCTTCCGCGGGGAGAATGCCAAAAATTCATGTTTAGCGTAAGGACCTGCGAGGAAGTCGAGAACACTTCCCTTCATGGGGTCCCCGAATGGCATTGTAAGGTCGAACCCAAAGTTCCCTGGTTCACTTCTTTGTTTATCAGGGTGGGAGCTAGGGATTTGTCTATGTGAAAGGTCGGTGACCGGAGCGAGTAAAGATGGAGATTCAGCGACACTAAAGGGCCTCGAGAACGACTGAAAGGCCGGTTTGTGCTGCCTGTCTCGCCGGGAAACAACACGTGGAATACGCCCGACGGATGCCAATCTGCTAGGGCGCTGTTTTTCCACATTCGTCTCAGGGCCGGAGGTAGGTTCCTTCTGGAAATAGACCTTTGGCGAGGCAGGTCGGTCGTCTCGAAATTCATTGTGAAGTTTTGGTGGGGAGGGAAGTAGGATAGATTGGGTTGTTTTTCTAATATCCAGGCGTTCTGGAACCTCTGCCGTTAGGATAAGCTCCTCCTCCTCTGTTGGTGGTGAGTCCTCCAAGTTATGGAAGATATCTTCTAAAGGATCCGAATCAGTGTCGACTAAAGCATAATGGGCAACTGGCCGGCGAACGCTCACAGGAGCGACTTTGGCAGCCAGCTGAGGTGCAGGTGCAGGTTCACTGGAGATCGGAAGAACCACCCTTGAGTCTTTCTGGAAGAATGGCCATTTTAGATTAAGTCCTTTCTTAGACGGCTTCTTCATCTTAGGCTGGGATCCAACATGGCGTGCAGAGGTGCTAGGAATGTTGAGCTGAGGCAAGCTCCGCGTAGAAGCATTTGCCTCAGAGCGAACTTTTGGCTTTTCAACACCACCAATGTTCGGGATTTTGGATTGGCTCGCAGTTGAAGATATTGTAGCTGGGCTAGAGAGGTCTCTGCGGTGGGATTCCCTCGAATCACGAGGCTTTCCTGTTGGGCCGGTAGAAGTCTTGTTGATGTATCCAGATGGCTGAAGCATTTTGGAGTCCTGTGTTGATCCCGGGGCAGATTTAGTGCTGAGAGCACTCATACTTTGTTCGCTTTGTGTCCGAGACAATATTTCACTGCGCATGCCGCCACCGTTGATATACACAGGCTCCAGGCGTTCAAGAAGGAAGTCGTCAAGTTCCATGTCCGGCCGGCTTCTACTACTCCCCTTGCTACTAGCAACAGATTTAGGTCCACTTCTCGTTGTACTGGTCGATCTTCCCCTAGTATCGCTGTTGCTACTAATGCTTGACTTCCGACCTCGCTGGGCATACTTTCCGTAACCTTCATGACCGGTTCCAGCAGCTGGGCCTTTTCGCGCAGTTCGAGCTTCATTTTGACGGGTATTCAATTCGGGTTTCGATTTCTTGGAGAAAAGTCCAAATCTCCGAGACTTTTCAGGGCTGGAATCAGTTGGCATTATGTTTGGCGGCTCAGTCAGGGTTCGTGGTGACTTCCTGGTCATCTCTGGTGATGTTGGAGTGCGTATCTGGGCCCGAGATGACGCAAGAGAGTGGAGTGAATCAACGGATGCAGCAGCAGATTGGTTAGAAGCAGGGGCAATGGAGCTTTCCCCGGATCCATGCCGCTTGTGGGCCCTGACTGCACGAGGAGAAATATTTGTCCTAACAACAGGAGATGGTTCCAATTCTAACTGATCGGTCCCTTCTCTGCTCGGCCTCATAGGGATTTGGACTGAAGGATTGGGATGGCTTCTAGTTCCCATAGATACACCTGTTCCAGTGAGGGGTTTTGTATTTACCTTTTCTCGGCTTTGGCTGGCCACTGGGCTGGCCTTGGCCTGTCTCGGAAGACCGGATCTTATTGATGCCCGTCGGGGCAAAAGGCTATTTGGAGGAGAGGGTGATCTCGCGAGATCAGATTTCACCTCGGTTTCCTCACGGCTCTCACTGGCAAGCGACGTGGTTGATCCCATTCCTCGGGCTAGATGCGGGGATCTACCAGCTACTCTACCACCTTTCTGGGATGGCTTCTGTATTTGGGGTGAGAAGACAAGAAGTCCGGTGTGGGAAGGGCTCGGCTGCCTGAAGCGGGGACCAACCTTCGCGGGCTGAACGATTCCGGGAGAACAGGATGACAACGACGCAGGCGTAGATGTCCTACTCCATACACCTGGAGATCCGGAGTATCTCGTTGAGGGGGTGCTCGCAGACGGAAACACTGGAGTGGGAGGGGGCAAATTATGTGTATTAATGGTCGTACGAAGGCTTGCCAGCTCCTTCGGGCCATGGTGTACATGTTTCTCCAGAGAGGCCTTCGCAAACTGATCAGTGACCATGGGAGACGGGGTTTTTCTCACGAGCTCTGTCCGGCTTGAAGAGTGAAAAGGTACGGGTTCGGTATAGGTGGCTGCAGTATTGTTCGGGATAATCACGTTTAAACCGCTGGGCCTTATAGACTCCGTTTGTACCTTGTTCTTCTCGGTATGTTGGCCTATTGTCGGAGCCTTTCTCCGCAGGACGTTTCGCGGTCGACTCTGCAGTGGCAAGTGACTATCAACACTGGGGGAGCTCTGGAGCAAGATCGGTGTAATCGGTGTTTTTAGAGTTTGCGGCAGGTCTGTTGTCGTATCAAGAGAGGATTGGAAAGGAATTGCATGAATAGGTGCTTGAGGGGAAACAAATGGGCGAGTAATGTCAAGACTAGGCGAAGGGTTTGATTGTGCAACAACCGGGCGGATCTCTTCCGCCTCAGACATAGAGACTGCCCTCCTCGATCTTGATGATAGGTTTATTAGACGTGGAATCTGCGGCCTGGAGGATAGCGGCGTACTCGATCCCAATGGTTTAGACTGAGCAGTAATCATCGGCAATGATACATTTCGAGCTTGGGACCTGACATCCCTCAACCGGGGTATTCGGCCACCATCAGACCTGTACGACATGGTGTGACCCTTCGATCAAGTTCCGGCTCCAGTCCGAAGACTAATAATTCAGAAGGGATAGTGGAATAAGGGAGGCTTGAAATCATTCCGTCTTCTTCGCGGGGAGAGAATGTCACTGTTTATAGCCGCACTGCAAGCAATCGACCACCGTGAGCTTGCAAGCCTAGCAGAGCGCATCAAAAATAAAGCCTCAGACTTACACTTCAGGCGCATGACTTGAAAGTCGAAAGGAATAAGCATGGGTCCGGACGATATATGGGGTAATTTAAGAAATCAATCCGCGTGAGCGGTAGTATATCTAAATGCGGGAAGAAAATGATGGTACCGGAAACGCAGTCTGGGCCGGGGTATATTTAAATAAACAATGTGAAAGCCAAACCCTGTTTGTGCAGTGAAAAGAACGTAATGTAAGAAGGCCCAGAGAAGGCCCAGAGCTGTAAAAAAAAAAAAAAAAAGTGAAGCTGTAGTTCGCAGGTGCAGAAAAAAAAAGAGAGAAAATAAAAAGCCAAGAGCACAAATGTATATGCCCAAGCGGGTTATGAAGCTGCTCCGCCACACACTAAAACGCCGCGCACTGTGGCTAAATAGGCAAAATAGATCCAAGCTGGGTCTGCACGACCACGTCAGAGGCCATGTATAGTTTGGGGAGGCGACTAGATTCAAAAGGGAAAAGTTACACAAGGAAATCAGCTGTACATGGAAAAGAAAAGAAACGAACGACAGTAACCGTCAAGAGAAAATGAAAGGGAAAAAAAAGAAAGAGAAAGTTGGGATTCCGGTGTACTTGAACCAGGATAGATCTGGGCCTTTTTTAAACGAGGAGAACGTGCCTCGCGCTAATCACAACCCTGTTGGCGCAGCTGGGTTAGTAGGGGAATCCGATCCCTATTCGCAGGCTAACGATCCATCTAGAGACGACGAGGAGGAATCCTGGCGCGATTCGAGGGATCACCTCCAGTCCTGGAATCGATATTGATGTGATGAGAAAAATCATTGGTGCAAGAACAGTCCATTTCTTCTCGCGTTATCAACCGCTTCACCCTTCAAGGCTTAGGGAACTCAAGCCGTACACACAGACAAGTATTCCATCGTAGGAAAATATCCTTTAGGGAAAAGGAGGGGGTCATCATCATCCTGTTCAGGTCGACCCATACAACACGAAGAGCGAAAGAAATGAAGTTCTGGAGTCGACCCACATCACGACTCATTTGGCTTGTAGTGACTGGAACATACGAGGAGGGCGCAGTACCACTGACATCGGAGACTCTGCAACAACAGCAGTTGACAGGATAAGATGGGGAGGAGTGGCGGGAGGTAGCGTGAAGACGGCCTTGAGCCGGATGGACCAGTTGGAAAGGCGACCTTTACCCTGGGGGAGGGACATTAAAAAAAAATACTAATGTCCAGTACTCCACTCTGTCGACGGTGGGGACGGGCAACATCCAACATCCGATGGCATAGGAGCTTCTTGCAGTAGCCTGGAGCTTTATTTGGTCTGTGTGTTGACGCCAGTTCTCTGATTTGATGATATTTCGGGCAATTGTCATTGTTAGTGGTTTCTAGAGACGGTTGAAATTCGCAGTCAGCAACTCGGGTCAGGTGGTGGTCACTGACCAAGGCTGGTCGTGACCGGAGAGGCCGAAGATGACTACCGACGAGAATATGCACGACCGCGTTTCTTACTGTTGCATTTTCGGCATTCATTCTTCTTCTGTGTGAAGCAGATATTCTAAAAAAAAGAAGAAGAGAAGAAAAAAATTTTCATCACCCCTCGATATTATACGAGATATAGAACTTGTGGCGTGACTTTCTCCAACACCATTCATGTCTACTATGAAATGACGGGCTTCTATGCATTCCGCTTGAGAGATATTTTTCTACAATATGAGATACTATGTAGAAAATACGCCTGATTGAAAAGTAACAGCTGGAAGGTACGCCCCGAACCCCCTCCCCTCTCGTTACATAGCGAGTCCCAGGAGACAAGCCAGGCTCAGAGCACTGTTAGAGATAACATTGATAGTTCCAAAGCGTTCACACAACTCTACAACCAGTGACCGCCGTTGAAGTGTATTCTGGATCCCTAAGCTGAGACCTCCGCTGGAAGTCAAATTGGAACGGGCCGTGAACCAAAGAAAGTCACTGTTTGGTTCTTAACCGCTGGCAGTTGACTCCAAAGTTCAAACAAGGCCTGGGTTACAGTTCTATTATGGGTCGCTGAGCCGTGGGTCTTGATCCGCCGCTAAAACCGGTCGATGCGTGATGGACCTTTCCTTTCATTAAGGATGGAGACTGGTCGACCCAACAGACGCGGAGCAAAGGGGTCCTATCCGACCCAGCGTTAGTCTCATGAGCAGAATGCGACTGCAGGAAGGGGATTCGTCGGGGAACGCAAAGGACATGGTGATACTAGAGAATCTTGGTGGAGATGGCGGTAAATCAAACACCTTGACAGGCAAGAGGCCAAGGGGGGATTTCGGCCACCAGAGCCAATTCATAGAGTCAGACCCCAATCAGAGAACAAGACCATCAGGAAGATGTTGGACATACTATACTTTCTAGTAGATTGTGTGCTTTCTTCCTGCAATATATGCACGAAAATCCTGCAAGAAAAGCTGCAGTTTGCTGCAGGAACCGGCGCCCGCATGGCTTTTTCAGCTGGTGCGGTCGCTGTCGTGGCCGCCACAAGCCTCGTGACTCACCAACAGATCGTCTTCAACAGCAGCCTCGAAGAAGTAACGACCGAATCCGCTGGGCCTCAATTAGTTATACGTCCTAGTATTATGTAGTTAGATGTGATCAACTCCGAATCCGATCCGATTCTGTACGGAAATTCCAACACGGACGGCCAGACCTGCTCCGTATCCTATCGCTCCCAACGCATCCATCAGCCCCTCTGTCAGCTACGGCTCATCATTCCTCAACGGAAAATTCTCTGAATCATCAATCCGAGTAACTAGTTGATACGATCATAGTCTCAGAATACCGCATAATAGAAATACGAGCAAACCAATTTACTGTACAATATACACTCTCGACATTCATCTCCCAAAACAAAATACTTCAACCAATAGTTAGTTGGAGAACGGATATTTGAAATTCTTCCCACAAACGCCAAATGACACTAACAAACAATAGTAGATAGATAAAACATTGAGATAGGAAATTAGATCAGGAAAAAGAGTGTGCGTCGAGAATAATAGACTTTGGTGATTATCACGCGCCAAATCGCTTCTTTCGAGCTTCCATGGCAGCTTTGTCCTTCTCACTCCAGTTGGGACCAGTTGTCTCCGTCGCGTTTCCACTACGCTTCGGGCCTTGTCCCTGATTTCGGTTTCCACGTCCGCGATGCCGGAAGTTGTTTCGCCCATTGAGGTTTCTTCTCTTGCCTCCACGCGCTCCTTGGTCGTTCTCACCACGACCTCTCTTGCGGGACTTCTCGTCCGGTAGGGCCTGGTCAAGTCGACCGATTGCCGCAGTGCCATTGCCTGTGGCCTCAGCGCCAGCTCCAAAGCGCTTAGCCCGCTCAAGCTTCTTCTCTGCGTCATCGATAGCGGCTTGGCTATCATCCGTGACACCGAATTTCTCCGCACGAGCCTTGCGCTTCTTCAGTTCCTCTTCCATATCTGTAACAGAAAGACCCATGGAATAGTTAGGGGCAGGCTTCTCCTCAACAGGAGCCGCTGTCGTCTCTGGTGCTGCTGTGACTGTGCCTTCCGATCCTTCTTGGCTTGCCTCTGTAGTCTCGACCTTGGCTTCCTCCGGCTTTGTAGCGGCGGGCTTATCCTGAGCAGGAGCGGCGGCTTCGGCGGGTTTCGCAGCTGGAACTTCATCGTCCTCCCAATCAATCACATCGTCTCCGATGTCAGTTTTCGCGGGTGCAGTATCCTTCTTTGTGTCATCCTCCTGCAGACGGGCGACCATGTCCGCCTTTTTGCCGGTATGAGGAAGACTGCGAGACTTGAGAATCTCCACCAGCTCTGCATTGGTCTTCTTGCTGTAATCGGTGGCCATGATGAATGGATGAAGCGTCAATGGGGGAAGCTTTAGGTTCGTGAAGGGGACGTCGTTCGGGCGCAAAAAAGACAGGTGTAATCAAGCGAATGGGACAGCTTCGGCGTTGCTCAGGTTGATGAAGTAGGTAACAGTGCTCTAAAGCTAGTTGCGCACCATGCAATCGCGGGAAATATATTAGATATGGCGACTCGTGGGCGTGGAATCGGACGGTCGCAAAAGTGAAGCAGCGTCGACTTGTCACCAGCCCGGACGCGTTCGCGCGGATTGCTTTGCTTTCCTTTCCTCCTGCCGCGGGCATGGTCACGTGAAACATGTGACTTTCATTGAATGGGACTATCCCTAATTAGGATAGTAGAGGGCCGACTCGTCCGGAGTAAAAATAGCGGCCAATCGACGAATTATTGACAGTTATTATTTGCGATTTTGATCGTTAGCAACCAATGCTGACGTTTAATTTCAACTTGAAACTTTCCCAATCGTATCTTCCTTCAGATACGGGCCAGCCAAAAAGTTATCTCTGAGATTCGTCGATTGCCACTCTCTTTACAGCCTGAATGGAGCCTATTTCCCCCCCCCCCCCGAGTTAACCGCATCGCGGCTACTCAACAACCCTGACTCAAGCTAGAAACGCCCTGCAAAGTGCTTACCAAAAGGACATAACTCACTAACTATCGGAAAATATGAGCGACGATCCGAGCTTATCGGAGCTTCCGGACGTTGACAGCTGAAAGACGGGAGCTCTTCTGATGTGGCAGCATCTCTGTGGTCGTAGTTTACAAGCCTCATCCTGAGTCCATGCATGCATGCACTGCCACAGGCCAGGTGGCTCAATCCCCATTCAAGACTAGGCGTGAGTATCATGCGATCCTGCGTCTTCTGTCAGAAATACTGACATCTTCCAGTATTGGCTCTTTCAGGCACATCTCAGGACAGTTCATATCTAAGAAAGAACCCGGTCCTAGCCTCAATACTGGCGCCCTTTCCAGTAAAATCTGTAAACCTCTTGGGCAGCTCACAGCAGGGTCCAAGAAGAGGGAATACTAGTCATTAGGAACGGCCGTCCCCGAGCTTCTATGCATGAATCATATCAAACAATAGTTGTGGGACATTAATCCCGTATGGTGGTGGGACGACTACTCTGAAGTTCTTTGGAAACCCCTCGGAATATATATGTAAATATCTAGATTTGACATAATAAAAATATGCTGGCCTCGTGTAGATCCAACTGGAGTCTATCCAGGATATCATTCATTCCGAGTAAGGTGTCTCTATGGAAGGGATACTTGGATTTGGTGATAGCGACTTGGATTCTTCTGCGATAAATCTTACGATGTTGTTGAGTCTCTAACTGACATTTTGATAGCTTTTCGCGCAGCTGTTGACCCAACCGTGTTCGCCAGAATAATTGTCTTAATTTTGCCCAGGACTCTAGGGTCAGTAGCATCAGCTTCGGTATTTACAAGAATTGACAACATGGACACAACACAACATCAACGCGTTCTCTGCGTGGCTCAGCTTTTCCAACAACCAGGCTATTACCAGAGAACACTCGAGATCTTCCTTGGCCAGTCATAGATACTAAATACTACGGCGGACATTACAGAGCCTGTCAAGAAGGTTAATCCAACCTCTGTTCCTTCGCGACAGGCGCCGGCGCCAGCGGCTAGGACCTACCTACCATCTTTCCAGTCGGTGAGATGGATGCCCGAAGCCCTACCCAGTCAGTGTATCATAGCCAAGGGCTACCCAGCGTCCGAAGCCCTGGTCCTGCACCTGCAAGGTATGGAGAGGCAAGGCCTAGGGTTCCAGCGTGTTAAGGGAACATCTCATCTTTCGCCTTACCGTTTGATTCGCAGGACAGCCGCCAACTGACCGATGTTTGCAGTGCCAGCGGAGAGTGCAGCTGCAGCATGCGTGTTGTTTTGTCGGATGGCTAAGTTTAGGATGTCAAGATTGACGTGTCTGTCCGACAAGTCATAATCATTTCGGGCAAGATGGTATATAAGACTTTGTCTGGCCAGGGTTCGGGGAAAGAAATTCTCTTCCCAATTTCCCTTCTCCCCAATAAGGATCTGACCTCGATCGCGATGGAGCTCGGATACTCCCAGCGTACCTTCAGGTAAGCAAGCCCTCTCTCTCTCTTCGCCAACATCATCATCATCATCATGATATATCTATCTATCACCCATAGACGCATACTCACACAACATGAGAATAGCCCGTATGCAAGCCAAGCGGTGACGCTGCTTCTAGGCCCATCATCTGAAACACAAACGCGCTATATAGTCCCCAAGTCTCTCCTGAAGACATTTCCAACCTCCCAAATCATCGACTCCCACCTCCCCTGCGAATCCACCCTGCATCTTCCCGATATCTCCCCGGATATTGGCCACACACTAGTCCACTACCTCCACACAGGCCAATATGAAACCCTGTCCCTATGCCCCTCCACCGCCCAAAACTACCTCGTTGAATACGAACGCAGCCTCGAAAGCTTCGCCACAGCCCGCGCCTACAGCCTGCACGGTCTAGCCTCCCTAGCCCAGAAGCACATTCTCCGCCTCGGCTCCGCCCTCTCCCCGGCCGAAATCCTCTCCGCCGTCCGCGCCATCCACCCGAAACTCTTCAATCCCGACACTGGCTCCGAGGACCCTTGGTTCCACATCTACGTCGAGAGCATCGTCCTCGCCGCCTGCCGCGATGACGAAACCTTCCTGGTCTCGGATGTCTTCCTCACCTCGTTCGGGAAAAAGTGCGCCGACGTGCGGTTTGATCGCTTTCTTATGCGGATCGCCCTGGATATCGCTGTGAAGTTGGCCCGCGAGCAAAAGGATAAGGGTAAGGGGGCTAATGGGGGGAGTAGTCCCTTTCCCAGGCTTGGTTTGGGGTATACGAATGGTTATGCGAATGGGGGTGGACAACGCTATGATGCTGGCCATGAGGGGGCTGCGAATATACCGGATGAAGTTTGTTACGAGGGTTTCGGGACGTCAGCACCATCAACGAGGGGGGGGGGTTCTCAGCGCCAGCAAGAGCACGAGCACGAGCATGGGCACGAGCATGGGCACGAGCATGGGCACGAGCAAGAGCACGAGCAAGAGCACGAGCAAGAGCACAAGCACGAGCACGAGCAAGAGCACGAGCAAGAGCACAAGCACGAGCACGAGCAAGAGCACGAGCAAGAGCACGAGCAAGAGCACAAGCAAGAGCACAAGCAAGAGCACGAGCAAGAGCACGAGCAAGAGCACAAGCAAGAGCGCGAGCAAGAGCAAATTCTCTTGGAAGAACCCCTGGAAGAAGAACAAGAACCAAGATACGCACCCGTGAGGGAACCCGAAAACGGAGTGATACCCGAAGACAGACTAGTAGACGACATGATGGATAGACCATTCCTCGATGATGATCGCGAACCAGTCTCAGCGCCAGGACATGAACATGAACATGAACCTGAACATGAACATGAACACGTCTATACACCGGAACCCACAGCCGCACCAGGCGTGGGACCAGACGCAGACGAACGGCAAGTGAAATTCGAATTGGGCGACACTCTCCCGGCGGAAAGCGAAACCGGAGCCCCCCCAGAGGACCCAAGTCAGAGTCGTCTCTCCCCTACACCGGGAAAGAAGAAGAAGAAGAACAAGAAGAAGAAGAAGGCTGCGACAGGATCCGGCCAACCGCTGGACTCGAACACTCTTCCACTCCTGGTTAACGTGTAATAACATAGCATCGCATAGCATCGCATAGCATAGCATCGCATAGCATCGCATAGCACTACGCTACGTAACAATATGTACCAGGAATATGTATGTATGTATATCAAGGACACGATTTCTTTTTTTTTAAGAACATCCATCCATCCATCCATGCATAGTATAGTGCCCAACCACAATTCCATACCCAAATTCAAGCATAAAACCAATACTCCGCCGCATAATCCACGGTAAACGAACTCGGCATGCCCTCGCACGTCGCCGGAGGGCCCCCTCCCGCCGTCTGAACACGGTACACCTCCTAAAACAAGCAGATACATCAATAAATACCCTAGCCAAAGAAGAAGAGAAAAGAAGAAGAAGAAGAAAAAGGGGGAAAATACCTTAATCCCCCCCTCCACCCCCTTCAACTGCAACCAGGCAACATCCCGCGTCTCCCCCAGCGCAAACTGCGCCGGTGCATCGACCTGCGCGACCTTGGCCGCTCTGGCAAAGTCGTCGTTGGCCCCCGCATGTCTTAAATCAAAGAACGGCGCGCCCTCGGCCGTGAAGAAGTGCTTGCCGAGTTTCATTGTTTGGCCCGTGAGCCAGTCCAGTAGCTGCGTGGTGATTTCTGCGCCGCTCAGCGGGACGCGCTTGAGGAGGTCGGGGAGGTTGTGGAGGATGGTGGTGTCGAGGGAGGCGACGCAGGAGGCGTCGAATAGGATGGCTGTTGCGCCGACTGCGACGGGGGTGGCCGAGGAGGAGGAGGAGGAGCAGGTGTAGTTCTGGGTGCCGCGGCCGAGGGTGACGTATTGCAGGTGGAGGCCGGCTGTGGGTGCCGGGAGCGAGCAGGAGGGGAGGGAGAGGGCGCTGATGTTGCAATTGGCTACCGGGAGGTGTTTCAGGATACTGGGGAGGACGGAGGAGAGGCCCCAGTTGGAGAAGGAGGCGTTCGTGGATAGAACGAAGAGTGGGAGGAGGATAAGCCAGTTCATCATTGTCATCATCATGTTTGTTGTGCCAGGGTGTGCTGATATGATAGTCTGCCGATCTGATGGTGATGGGATAGATTATTTTTTTTTTTTTTCGAGATGGGACTTGCTTTCAAGAAATAGTTCTGGGATGTAGGCTTGTACTACAGCATCCTGGCGCTAATCTTGACTCCTTCATTTAACATATATTAACTGCAGAATTCCAGTGAAGATATCATATATGCAGCTAAATTTAGAGCCAACTTCTGCATTCTAATATCGGCGGCGCTTATTTCAATCAAACCTTGCTGGTTTTGTTCACTGCAGAAGGTGCCACATGAAGCTTGTTTTCTGTGAATTTCCATGCTGTGGGTGGCTGCTTTCACTAAAGAACAAGATTGTAATAGTGAAAGGTTGTCCCTGAGTATGAAAGTAAAAGTGTTGCTAGGAAGCACTCAGGTACTGGGTCTATTTTCAGATAAGAAGCAGTGACCGATCGATTAACTTCGGCTAATTCAGACTAATGTTGGCTCTGCAGCGCCAATTTAGCCAACAGCACGGTGGATCTCCCAACACTAGACGAGTGACTGGTCAGATCACGCTATGCCTGGTTAGTAGCTTCTTTTTGTCACTCCAGGCTTCTCCAGGGCTGTAAGGCTCACTTTCGGGAATGTTGGTTCCAACAATAACCCCCAAATAGATCCAATATTGCTATGCAAATGAATGGCAAACTAGCCATCCACCGCAAGCTACTAGATCAGGACATCCCCCTCCCACCAATCCTCAATGGCGCGGCCATAACTCTCCGGCTCTAGAAACAAATGGTCCGTGACGCCCTCTAGCACAGAGCCTCCAATCGGCCCAAAAGGATCTGCCATCGACACAGCCGCCACTGGGGCTTCATCCATTTGCACCGCCGGGGGCGTCGTGATCGTTTCTGGAGGATATGTAAAGATTTCCTTGGCGACACTCTTGTGTCCCGAAATACCGGCTGAGCCAACCAGCGGGAAATTCGGGTCTGGGGTCATGCGCGCATTCAGTCGCCCCGATGAATCAGAAAGGGTCGTGCCAAAGAGATGGGTGGGGAGGGGTGTGCGGCTCGCACTGTCGTAGACAAGTAACTCCCACAGTAATTGGGCATTGGTGGTCCACGCTTGTCGAGATCGCGAAGCTTGGGGGTCGCCTGCGGAAACATTTTCTCGGAGTCGATTGAGTCGGTCGATCTATAGTTAGAATCGCAGTCAACCTTGTCAGCCTTGACATCTCAACCCACAAATAGCAAAGCAACATTGACGACCCAAGGCACGGACGTACCATATTCTGGATGTGCGGCCATCGCTGCGCCAATGGGTGGAGGAATCGCACGCATTTGGTAAACCCTCTGCGCGCTTTCTCGCGAAAGCTCGCGTCCTCGACGAAACTATGTTGGAGATGGATCGTGGCAACAATCAGGACGCAGTGCGCCAATGTTGGGTCACAGATCTCGAACCCTTTGTGCTCAATCAGGTCAATCAGATGCAAGATCCATGCGGCATTGTTAGTGATAGCCTCAAACGATTGTCGAATAAAAGACTGCGGCATGGTGTGTCGGAAGCTGCGAAGCCGCCGCGATAACAGGAATGGATGGTTCAGAAGACACGGAATAGCCAGGTAAAGAAACTGCGTGAACAGCCAAGGGCCCCAGAACTCTCGTCGACGATTGAGTTCGTGGAGGCGATGCTCATGGAACCGGTTAGCATCATATCTATACTTCAAGGGCACCCTGCTATCGAACTCCATGTGTCGATAGGTGACGATCGAATAGTCAGATCGCGGGGACCACGGAGGCGGTGCGTCTGGCTCGACGCGACTGGCGGCGTAGCCCATGGCCAATGACCAGACTTCTCCCAGTTGGATGGTGTAAGAGACAAGGTCGTACTCCTCCTTGAAGTTGGGTACCGCACAGTCTGGAATAGAGGTCAGGTCGTATGTCGAGGAGAACCCCGAGCCAGAATTGAATGGAGTTCGCACCCCAACAATAAGTCGCGGGGTTTGCACTCCATCTCCTTGAAGACTTTGCAAGAGATAGATACTCCAGAGACATCGGCGTTTTTCATCTGCGTCTGCTGCACGTAAAGCACCCAAAGCTTCACCAGTCGCACTTACACTCTGCGCCAAGTACGAAGCCATGTTAAGATGCAAACCTGCCTGCACAGGATCGCCCGCTGCAAAAGATCAGCGCGTCCCTCTCAAATGCTCACGAGCAGGATAAAATGAAATTCACCTGTGAAATCAAACATAGCCAAAAGACACAGCGTCTGCAACGTCGACAGCTCCACAACGCCTCTCCCTACACGTGCCATCACTAGGGCTCGCGATTTCCTAGCGCACTCCTCAATATACGGACGCAGGTCACTTCCATCCGGACTCCGCCCAAACCGCAGCCCAACCGCGTGGACGGCCAAAATAAGCTCTGGATCACGGCCACCCAGCGACTGCAGAAATCCCTCCGGATGAAAAAGAGGCAGAGGCTGATAGTTGCAGCAGGTAAGAAAGAGTTGCGCAACGGTTGAGAGGTCATCCTGTCGTAGATTAGACTCTACAGCAGGCTGTTGTGTCTCTTCACGATTTGGTTGGGGTCTATTATCAACAATCAGACTCCCGGGCAAATACATAAAAAGAGAAGCGTAAGAAAAAAAAAAAAAGGGACAGGAATTAAGTACCTCAAACTTCTCGTCAACTCCTCCAACTTCTCTTCCACGCTCAACAACCGTTTCGCCTATTGACATTAGTGAATCCAGCTTACCCCGGGGGAAAAAAAAAAAACCAAAAAAAAAAACCAAGATAAATAAAAGCACATACAATATCACCAGTCGGAGCCTCCCCATCCCCTTGAGAATACACACACTGCTGACCCAACCGTTCACAATACGAACAAGCCGGCTTCTCCCCAGGACATCGAGATTTTTTCCGTCTAATCAGGCGAGTTAGCCTAGAAAAGATCGACAACTCCGCGAACCGATGCCGCGCATGCATAGGAGGGAAAGTTAAAATCAAATCAAACTCACCGACACGGATCGCAGGCTTGTCGGATGCGCTTCAGTGGGCGGTGGTCGTCGTCGTCGGCCATAATTGGACTAGGCACCGAAGCGGCTAGTGAGGTTGGATGATGGATGTGATGTGATGGGGGGCATTTTCTTTCTTTCTTTTCCTCAGGTTTGCGCGTGGAGGAATGAAGAATCATAATAAGGATGTAGAAAAGGACTTTGGACTTTTGGTGGAATCTTAAGGTTGGTGAGGATGGATGGATGCGGGGCCGAAGGCGGCAGACAACAAAACATCCATCAATCACATCACATCACATCAACTGGACGCAGATCTGGCAGCTTGTCAATCATAAAAATAAATACTTACGATCAAGATCTCATTGGGAACAATGTGAGCAAATGCTCATGACAACCACATGGCCGGGAATATGCATGATATCATGCTCACAGCTCTGTGAGACGTCAAGACACCAAATTCCCGACTCCAGAGAAACGTATCGACAGCAAAGACCATCTTCGGCCTCACCACTCCCTGCAAAAGGGGAGAGATGCAAACATTCTTGTTGTTACACGCCGGGGGGGTGGGGGAAGCTCCCAGGACCTTCCTGGTTCCTTCTAATGACAGATTTCAAGTAATGTATTTGTTGGATATCTATGTACAAAGCGTCGCAAGCGAGCACTATACATGGTAGTAAATGCGAAGACTGCAAGTAGATCATATCAGATCCTTATTATTAGGCTTTTCTTCAGAGACCTGGATTAGACAATATGGTGTAGTAGTAGCGACCGTAGGTGACACAGAACCGTGTCCATACTCAAACAAATCCTGTTGTTTTCCAGCCTTTGCTCCCGGATAACAGTCCAGCACTCCAGCTGTATGAGTGCTTCTCCTTCAGCAATTTAAATCATCCATCAAAAACCTGGGACAAATCCCAGCCAAAGGACACGCGAAATTTGGGAATAGATCATTGGACAGGCTCAACGCCGTCCGAATCAAGGACAAAGAAAAGGGATGAACGACGAGATGCTCTAGACCCGAAGAAAACGAAAAAAAAAAAAAAAAAAAAAAAAAAAAAAAGGAAGAAGAAGAAAGATTGCCGGCTGCGAATGATTTTCCGAGCTCCCTGTGGGAACCAAGTCACGGAAACGCAGAGAAGTAGTAGCTAAGTGAAAACAAAAGCACAACCCAGTTGGTATCAGAAAGGAGAAAGAAAAAGAGAAAGGCATGCCACAAAACCAACTCCCTAGTCTAGCGAGAGAAACGAAAGAAAATAGGGACCTCCAACCAGGAAAACAACCCGTACCTCTATGGTCATAAACTTGCGAAAAATCGAAAAGCGTCATTGGAGAATCCCTCCGGGTCACTTATACCTTGCCTTGCCTATCCATGATTAAAAAAAAAAAAAAAAGAAAATAAAAACAACAAAGAACAAAAAGAATTGGGGTATCATTCTCTGCCGGCATAGCGGAGAGAGAAAAGAGAATAAAACTGGTGAAGAGGAATTCGAGCTGTTGTACAAGGTATTAGACCCACCACTGCGGTGTATGTGGAATCCTTGAGTGGGCAAGTTCAAGCACCGGCAAACTTGAAAAGGAGAAGGGGCTCGAAATAGCAGGCTTCAGGAAATTAGGTGAAAATGAAAATTTACTCTTCATCCTCGCCTGAAACGCCTTCCTTGTCGCCCTTGTGGACTTTCTTGTGTCGACGCAGGTTGGAAACCACGGAAAAGTGTCGGCCACAGCCTTCCACGTCACATGCAAATGCTGTATTCCTTGTTAGTGTCACAAGCACACAGGTAAGATTGATTTTTTTTTTTTGTGGGGAGGCAAAGAAAGGGGGGGGGGGGTTCTTACGCTTCTCTCCAGTGTGACTGTACATATGGGTCTGCAACGATGATGGTCGGGTAAATCGTTTATCGCACACCTTGCACTTGTGCTTCTTCTGGGTGTTGGACGGCATTTTGGAACTGAATTGGCTCATCATGGACTGAGGACCTGGAGGAGCACTACCAGTCAACAGGTTCGATGGGCGGGGCAGGGTTCGCGAAAGATGGCCGTTGTCATAAGATTCCGAAGTGGTAGAGCTGTAGTCCGTTACGGATGACTCCACGGACGCCACGGATGCGCTGTAGTAAGGGTAAGATCCCCCAGACGAAATCGAGGATCCGGAAGAATGTGCCAGAGGAAATCCGTAAGAGTCGCCAGAGCCTCGCGAAGCTCGAGGGGCATAAACATTGCGAGGGGTCAAGTCCTGGCTAAGCGCCACCATTCCACGACTGGCATCAAGAGCGTCACCGAAAGTTGGGCCTGGGGGAGCTTGCGATTGACCAACACGAGCAGCATCACTGGAACAATGCCACAAGGTAAGCTTTCATTTTCACTTCTGGTAGTCTCTGGGGAGGGGGTATTCTTACGCATGGGGTATTCTGCGGTTATCCTGGTGGACTGTGGGTGCATAGCTGAGCGGCGCATAGTTCGCGGGGGCGAAGGTGCTCATGGCGGGAGCAGTGGTATAAGCGGGAGCCTGTTCGAAGGTGGTACGAGGGATATCGTGAGAGAGACCCATCATTTCCGGAGGGGGGTAGCTTGTGGAGGTTGTGGTGGAATAGTTGCTAGCGGCCACCATTGACGGCGCAGAAACCGGGATACTGGAGTATGGCATGGGGATGGTGGAAGGACGAGCGGCCTCCTCCTTGATATGGGCCAGGCCAATTTGGGTGCTGCCCATGGACGTCGCATAGACCGAAGGAGTCGAGTGAGAAGTGGTGTGAGCGGCTGTCCAGGGATCTGTAAAGTGTGGCTGAGTGTGAGGCACACTATGTGGATAGACATGATCAAAACCCATTCCGCCATACTGGCGGTTCTGGTTCTCCAGGACCATCGTCATTGAGGATAGCAATGGTCGTGCAAGGGGGACTTTGTGAAAGTGGTGGTGGTGGTGCTCGCAACGGGCGCGGTTGGAGCGAAGATCAAGGGATGGAAGGATGCTGCGCGGTGCAGGGTAGAACCAAACAAGATGGATGATGCGGTTGCAAATTGAAGAGAAAGATAGGAGGAGCAGCCGTTCTCTCAAGTAGCCGCAGAAGCAGAAGAATGAGAGGGGATGATCAACTCAGTGGTAGTAGAAGATGTTTCGAAATCGAGTGACAGTGATCCGCGCAACCAGTGGTGGAAAGGATGTGCGTGCAAGAGCAAGAATAAGTGACAATCCGTCGAGCAGTCTTTATGGCGAAGAGAAAGGGGGGAGCGAGAGAAATAGAAAGGGAGACCCGGCGGCCAGGAAGAAGGAAAAGACAGTCTGGGGAAAAGGCGATCGGCGAAGCTTATGAACAAATACAGGATCTCAGCATGAGGATGGGCCGCAGGGACGAAGGAAAGCCCTGGCGTTGCCGTGTTGGTGATGGACTAGTGCCACTGACGACGTCCCGTCGGGGACGGTTGCAGATCGTTACTTTGGGCCGCTTAGGCTTCGAAACGGCGCCAGTGTTAAAAAATAATAATAATAATAATAATAATAATAATATAAAATCAAATAAAAAGGAAATAACCCGAAAAGAAATCGAATACTTATCCTAAAGTAATAACAAAAAAAAAACGGAATGGCTTAGTGGGAAAAGGAAATCTCTCCAAATGAGAACCAGTTCCTCGGGTGACCCTCAAGGTTTCGATGGTCTTTTATTTTTTATTTATTTTTTATTTATTATTTATTTATTATTTATTTATTTACTTTTTGAATTATTACTTGTTTTGAATTATTATTTATTTACTTTTTTTCATTCTTATTATTTCTTTATTTTAGCGCGTTTCCCTGAATTTTTTTTTTTTTTTTTCTTTTTCATTTCATTTTCATTTCTTTTATTCCTTTTTTATGGTTTGGTTATGATTGACTTAGTCTGAGATTAATTGTGGTGTTCTATTTTAATGTTTCATCTCTGTTATCAATCATCATTGAGATTCCATGTTGTATACTACTACTACCTACCTAGGTAGGCAGTCAACAACCAGGGGAATTGTGTGAAACTCCAGGATCGGAACAATGTGTGGATATATATGTACAGAGCACTCTGCAGGATGGAGGTAGGTAATCCATAAGAAAAGGAGTACAAAGAGAGAAGCAACCTTCCATATCTTCTAGGGCGCGGAATACCTTCTATCTAGTCAGCTAGGCTGTGCAAGCTATATCCATATATGGGAAACAGTGCGGGAAATGGTATCCAAAGGGGCGGTGGGCTGGTCAACCTATGAGGATCTGAGGATCTCTTCGAGTTTGAGTTTCAACTTCTGTTATTTATTTTATTTTGGGGTCTTGTACCCTAGAAAGGGGGGAAGAGTGGGCGGGTTGTGCCGCGTCTCTACAAAGAATTCGTTCTGGAGAAAAAGAAATCCTAAAAAGCAGACAAGGTAGCGGGGATTACAAAGATACGTCCAAGGGTACACCCGTTCCGTGGGGATTCTGTTCTGTATCATGGCTGAGCAACCTCTTTGGGAAATCACCTACTACTTACAATTTTATCACGCGGATTTTTTTTCGATTCTTACTCGATTTTTAGCTCTGCATTTATGAGCATGCGAGCAGCTATGAGAAAAAGGAAAACCCTAGGGTGAACTTTCAAGGCTATCCAACGAAAACAAGAATTCGACGGGAAACGAGGAGGAGAAAATAACGCCGAAATTCCCATTCTCCATGCGACTCGTTTCTTTCCGAATCTCAAGCAGTACGGAGTACCACTCAGTAGGTCGAGGATAATGGTGGTAGTCAAGGCGATGACTTGACCCGCCCAAATATCCGGTGGCTGCAGAAAAATCAATCAATCAGCACATGTAATCTGAATGGGACTTTAGATCTGAACTCTGCATGGAAGAATACTTGAGTTCAAGGACAGAGTCCGGAGTACTCCGTATTAGAGTCTGTACAGACCTTTAATTACAGATGGAGAGATGGAGGAGAAATTAGCGGTCTGCTGCTGCTCCCAAGCATCCACATCTGCCGCATTAGTTATCGCCCTCACTTACTCTTAAACGTCCCCCCTCCGGACGAGACTTGCTCGATGTACCCTCTCAATGCTCATCCCGGCAGCATGACACCATACCCGGGATATTCCTCATCAGAGGACATGTGTACTCGGAAGAGGGGGTTGTTGGATCATGGAATTTAGTTCCGTTCTTCAATGTCCAATAAATTAGTTTGGTTGTCTCTCTTTGTTCATGAAATAGTTTACATCCTCTGTATGTGGATGGTGATTGGCACGGGGGGTTACAGAGTAATATATTTTCTTATTGCCTATTTTCCGTGCCCATACCTATACTGGAGATTGGAGGATCCTCAGTATACTTCCTGTTCAGTCAGGGTGCCATAGTTATCTTCTTCACCTTAAGCTCTCCATCCTTGGCTGATGACATGCACCGAGCCCACACACACACACACACACACACACACACCACAGCAGAGTATAGCATTCCCTAACTAATGCACATGCACCCCCCTCCCTCGCTCATTCTTTTCCCAAAGAACAATTTGGTCTTGTTTGATGTAGTAGTAATTCAAAATTCCACATTTTTACCCCTCCGAAGTGTAACCCCAACTCCATTCCCTGGAGGCGCTATCACTGCGAAGCCCACCACCGACGTCAGCGGCTACGGCATTTCCGCTTGGAAGAATATAGAGACAGCTTCCAGCCTAGGCTGTTATTATTGTATGTATATTGAGACCCAAAGAATCCCGTGTTTCTTTCTTTCTTATTTTCGTCATGTATTTTGTACGCTAACGAATAGTCGAGGCGAATGAATATTATTTTGACTTTCACTGGGAATATTCTTCATGAAGAAAACACCACCCCCCCCCCCCCATACCGGTAGTATACACCATGACTCGAACTTGCAGCCGGATCGCTGACACGATCGAGATTAACCTAGTTACCAGTAACCGCGATCGCCGAAGCCTCGCTCAAATGATAGCCACTCAACTACTGATCATCGTATCGCATCGCATCGCACCGCACCGCACCGCACCGCATCGTGCTACAGATTACCAAGTCCTGACGTGACTATCCCTCGACTTTGAACCTTCTCGAAGGCAAAAAAAAAAAAAACAACAACAACAACAACAACAACAACAACACAGCTCAAAACTACTAATGTAAAGTGGATGCGCGACGAAAACGCCCACTTCCACTTTCTGCAGCCGTTTGCTTAAGGAGGCAGTAGGTCTGTGTGCCACAACGTCGTCGAAGGAGAAAAGAATGCGAAAGAATCTGATAGGTACAACTCATCCCGAGTCATTTGTTTGGGTTAGCTTATTGTTAAACTTTCGTAGGCTGATCCCGGGGTTGGTCTTCCATTATTCGATGATAAACGCCTCCCCAGGTAGAGATGGGGACTGAGCGACAGGGGAAGAAGAGGCTATCCTTTTATCAAGATGATAGAATGATTGGTTGTGGAATGCATGGTACATGCTAAGTACCAGGTAGGTACAGAGAGACTGGAGAGAGGTGCAAATGCAATTGCCCATTTGACATGGGTTGAATTCATTAATTTCGAACTATTAATGAATTATTTTCTTATGGTATCGTTTTTTACATAATTATTAACATGGATGAGTATAGGAGTTTTGGCTGTCACGTGGTGCGTGATGGATATCGAGATTGTACCAAAATTTAATCCCGAAGGAACAAAATAAAGAAAAAAAATTATGAACAACGGGTTAGGAGCCGTTCGACATACCCAAAACAGCAGGTGTGTAAAGGAGTTGAACGGGATCCAATAATCAACCACGCGAGAAGGGGTTAGAAAAGCATCTGAGCTCCGACGTGGGTCCTTCAGCCACCGGATTTGACACGAGGAGCATGTGCTATTCCATACGCTAGAATACTTCAGCAGTCGATAATTTGATAGTGAGATTTTTTTTTTTTTTTCACGGGACGGCTAAAGTGCCAAAGGTATTTCTCAATTCCAAAGCAAGTTCTGGACCAGGAAAAAGTGGACTGGAGTTGAGTCAAATTGAGCATTTCAGAGTTCGAGATTTGAGTAGCGCGCAACTTACCGCAGAACTAAGAGTACTAACTCCCATAGAGGCAATAGGTCAGAGCCAAGCTTCTTAAGGCGCTGGCTGGCCTACTCGCAGCTGGTACGGCGTAGATAGTTACTTTGTAGATTGGTAGTGTCCCAAGATCTTCTGCAGAGTAATTCCCGAAAGCAACCTGCCAACTTGGCCCACTTGCCATAGTCGGCGAGTGTCCACAGTGGTAAGGTAAATCCATCCACTCTGGTTGGATTTTTGCCTCCAGCCGTCGATTGACCCCTCGAAATAGAACAGCAAAGGCTCGTCGCTGATTTGTGACGTATGGTTGCGTGGAAGCTGCAGTCACACTAAGTGTCCTGCATCGCATACAGTAGAGAATAACACTACCACCATTGCGCAGTAAGTAGAGAGCAGTGATATCTTCAGCATACAGCCAATGGTGAACATGATCACCTTCGGGCTCTAGGCTGCTGGGGTGGACGTTTCAAATGCCTAGACCCGTCGTCGGCATGAAATCTATCACAGGGAAAGTCGACACCGAGTCACGTCCGGTCCGTTTCGAACTTTCCTTTTGAGTCCTCCTGCCAACCAAAGTCTGACATAAAATCACCTCATCGCAATGATAACCCGGAATTAATAACTGAGACTTAGATGGAGTACATGAAGTGATTTGGTTGAAACTCGAGGCTTGAAGGATCTCTCTTCCTTGACCCTTTTTTCTTCTTCTCTCTGTGCCTGTTCTTTGTTTCGCTGACGGAACACTAGGTATTAACTATGTTAGGCATCGAATTGGCTCCACTATGACTGTGAAAGGAGAATGCAGAAGCACACCCTGCAGTTCCAGAGGGCAAGAGAAGGTCCAAGCGGAGGAAACCCCTCTCCAGAATCTTCCACACAATAGTTAGATATCCAAGATAATAACCCTCGAGAACCAAATTACCAAGTTTAGATAATAGTTAGTTAGGTACAGCTTGGATTTAGCAATCAGGAAACTTCACAGATTCACCGCTTTTCATCCAACACACCTTCTCATTTGTTGGCCGACCCCCACCTCCTTCCCGTGTGCCTTATCTAAACCCGAATTTTCCAAGGTCCGACCTGGCCTGACCCTTTCATAGCCTCTCCAAGGTGAAGGTTTCCAGAGGCAGGGAGATAGCCTAAGCCTATCATGGTAGCTCGTACACTGCGCTTTTAGGAAAAGTGTGGGTCCGGCCCACGGCACATCATCCCCAAAAACGCGTAATGGCGCAAACAAAGCTGTCCAATGAGCGCCACAATCCCGACCCCCTCTGTTGGCTCTAATCCTAAACTTGCTGCGGGGTGGCCTGATCGGGTAATTCTGTGGGTGTGGGCTCTGGGTTGAAGGACCAACCTGGCAACCTCTCGTCTCGCGCTTGGTACGGAGTAACTCTTAAGTGTCGATAACGAAGGAAAGCGGGCACCGAGAACCGTCAAATAGAGTTCACGTGAAGCGTAAGGTTTGGAAATAGCTATGGACCATGGCTCTTGGCACATGTTGGTGGCGTTCGACAAATGCTTGCTCGGCCAACAGGCTTGGTTTGCTGCGGAAAACTATGGGATCCTCTAACTATCACTAGTGAGGAGACCAGTAGAAGTCATACTGTCATCCTACGCACAAGTGCCTGGTAGATTCCTCTGATCCACCCTTGGAAAGAAAGAGGGGGGAAACCTCAAGCCTCCTTGCCGATAGTTAGTTAGTTAGCTGACGTCCAAGTGTTGTGTAAGCCTATCCGTCGAAGAAGCCGATAGCATGCCTCAGTCTAAGAATATAGTATGCTAGGGTTCCGGCACGAACTCCTGAAGACTTATCCTATAGTTATACAGAGTATGCATCCTACAAAACTGACAGTATAGTACAGTACAAAATGAGTCTGTTGTTTCGTGCGTGATATGCATACGACCAAATTACCTTACTATTCTCCAAACTTAACTCGAGTCTGTCTGACTCTGTCATAGTTGAATATCCCCCCCCCCCCCCCTCCCCTCCTTTTTTTTTTTCGCCTTTATTATTCTATAATCCGATGATAGTGTGTCTCAGTCTCGGGTTTAATCTGAATATATCTCGGCACTGGTGATTGACATCGGTAGATGGCAGATGCAGAGAAACAATCTTCAGGAACATGGATGATCTGCCCTAATCAATGCAGACCTTATTTAAGTATGAACGACTCGAATGAAGCCATGCCAAAATAAACGACCAAAAAAACTTACTTTGATTAAATGATATATTAAAAAACCCTTAGGTTAGTTACCAACTGCCCATCTGTCATCTGGGGTCCCCCCCCCCCTCCCCTCTTTCTCCTCTTGGCGTATCCCACACGGCAGATCGTCGTTGATTGGCGTGTTTTACGTTTCTCCATCTAACGATGAACAAAACTTTGATTCAGACTCTCGGGTTGGGAAAAATTGAAGTGAGAGTACGAGTACGGAATACGACAACTAGCGAATAGTCGAATTCTTGCACGGGATAAGGCGGATAAGGGTTGCATCAGCGTGGACCGGGTATAGAAAGTACTCTTAGACTCGAGTCCTCTATCACATACGGAACCACCACACACATCCAATCCAGTCCCTCCCCCCACTAAGTTACAGTACCTAAGGCCCTAAGACTCGAACAACCTAATCCGGACAATGCGCAGAACGCCTAGAACCCTATAAGGACGAACTAATCATTGAAGTTTCCACGAACATTCTTTTTCAGTTTTGGGAGTAGCGCTAATCAATGTGAAATTGGATCGCGATCACTAACTAACTATCGGAAAGGCAGCGTTCAAGCTTGAAAACGCTCAAGGTTTCCAACCGAGGTTCCATTCCCGAGTACGGAGTACGAGTGCTATTCTCGTACCCAAAAATTTGACCGTCGGACGGGAAAACGCACTAGTGGGCTTGCTTGCTGGCTGTAGCCTTTGGGCCAATGGTAATTAAGTAGAAATATGGTTAAGACTACTGTTACCTGTATCTTCCAAGAGGGGAGGGAGACGGACGGATGGATGGATAGAAGGTGAAATTCCAGCCACAGTCAGCCAGAGTGGAGTCTTCCCGATTGAAGCCCGCTGCCCCACACATGGCAAGCAGTACTGTAACTACTGTTATGTCGAAGAGTTGAAAAAAAAAAAAAAAAAAAAAAGAGTATTTAGAGATTAGATAGTGGCCCACTATGCTAGGTAGTTAGGTAGTTAGTAGGCAGTTTTGTCAACCTTGGAAGTCTTCAGGAAAGTCAAGATTTCCTCACAGTCCACTCACTAACAGGTTAACTTTCTACCTAACGCTTGTGGTAGGAGGTAGCTTCCCTATCGTCGAGGACCGGAGCAGCCCCCTATCAGGCTCTCAAATGCTGATTGGCAGAACAGATCCCACTATTCATTTAAATCGTCGACCCCACTCTGCACGCTAAGGGCGCCAGGGCGCAGGGTAGACATTCCCCGGAGACGGCAGATAGTCGATAGCCGAGCTTGGCTCGGGCAGATAACCCAATCATAATGAGCGACCCACAGGAGCTTACGCGTGCTCATCCATCTTCGATAACTGTGCTTTTCCTGATTTGGGGGGGGGGGGGGGGTTTTACCAGACTTGATTTAGTTAGCCGTGTTTGTCAGCAAGGGTTTTGTTTTTGTTTTCTATCCACTGGGTATTGATTATACGACTTATTTAATAGATAAACTCGTACCTAACCTAACGTTGGGGAAATGCTAGCTTATAGTATACTAGGTTGAGATACATTCAAGAATATTATCTATGCAAGACCAAAAACTTAAAAGATTACACTCCTGGCTCTTACTGGAAACCCCCAACCAGAGAATATATTAGTACATCTCCGAAATCGCATCCAAAGTCACTGGAAAATTGGAAAGAAAATCAATGTAACAACCCCGCAGCCCGTTAGGCAAGAGGTATACTACTACGGAGTACTACTACTATCAGTATCCTCAATATCATCCCTGCGTCCGATCCTGGCATCTCCACAGGATACAGCCACAATTCCCAGGGCAGGCATGACGCTAGCGATAACCTGAAACACGCCATGGCCCCTTGGTTTTCGGGCTCCACTGGTACATGTACTCCGTAACTGAAATTAGAACGTTGATTTGTCTGCATGATATCTCATTCAACCGAGTAAGAAATAGAAAAGGCTAGGTAGGACCTAGGTACCTACTACTTACCTACAAGTACCGTACCCATTCAGGGGCTACCAGCATCCCTGCTCGTGCCATTGGGTCACCTGATACTAGTACTTCGTGTTGTGCTGCAATCCTACTACTACTACTACTACTACTACTACTACTACTACTACTAACTAGTATACCTAGGTAGTAGTAATCAATCGGTGGTACAGAGTACATACCTAGTCACACAGTGAATCGGATGTAGAGTCAAATTCTGAGACACTGCCAGAAAACGGCGGCACTACGTACGGGGTAGGCATGGGTACTCACTCCCCTCCAGTCCGTCCCCCCCAAACCCTCCAAATTTGAAAAAGTCCCAAACAAGGGCATAGCCCCGAATAACCTTGGAACCCAGGTGAAGCTTCTTCCGATTCAAACGAGAGAAATTTGATCAAAGGCTGGATTCTAGTGTGAAGAAAGTGGATCCCGCGATGTCTTGGTGGGGGTTCCAGGTATCTTCATTTCTGGAAAGGGAACCCGAATCTGTATGAAGAAAAGATAATTTAGGTACGGAGTAGAGAAGGAGAGGAGTGATTTCCCTTGCTAGAGTCTCTGGTAATAACAACTTTCATTGAGATTGTAACAGAGTACTACCGTACATATGGAATTGCCTGGACTCAAGGGGTTGGTGATGTTAATCTAAGCACAGACTAACCAGCCTGTCTTGTAACTAACTACATGAAGGACCCTTGAACCTGGAGAGTTGAGACGGAGTAAATGTTGAAAGGAGAAAAAAAAAAAAAAAAAAAAGGAGATTCGAAAACCAGGCTTGAGAAGAGTAGACCCTGCAGGAGGATGGACTAGTCCGACGATTCCTGAAAATCAATTATTTAGATCTCGTCACAGCTATACTATCATCTCATAAAGAAGAATAAATCAGTGCATGATTGGGTGGTGTATGAGAAGCATACAGAGATTGGGTCTCTACAGAATCCAGTAATCCAATTAATTACTTAGGATGGTATGAAGAGAGAAAGTAAGCCTATCTAGGCAGGTGCTGAAAGTTCAAAGGGGATATTTGAGAGTGAATATTGGATCTATCAGTGTCTGTGCTCTGCAGGAGGAATTAGTATTATTACAGATGAAAAGGAGGGGGGAAATCTAAACTCTACGGATTACTCAAGATGTAGTTTCCTGATCACAGACTCCCAAAACGGGCAATGAAAGTAAACTCCCGAGAAAATAACGGACCCTGTTTCTGTCACTAATTATCAAGTAACTATGGTAGTCAGAGACTACTCCAGATGAGGTAGCCGGTACGGACTGTTGACCGACCCAGTAAAGAATCAAGAATGTACATACTACATACATGGACATGAATGAACATGACAGGGGCCTGCTGGAGAAGGCTTACGCGGCACATACTAAAACATTTGGCATCCCATTCCACCTCGTTTTAGTTGGTTATTCCCATTCTTTATTCGGATTTCTCGTTTGGATTCTGATTTGTGGTGGTGGCAACTTTCTCTGCCTGTCTTTGGAGACAATGACGTCGATGCCTCAGGTCTCTCTGTTCCGGTGCCGACAACGACGTCAGTACTTCAACTACATAAGACAAGTGAGGTCAGAATGGATCCTCTTACTCGCAATCTTCAAAAAAAAAAATACATATTGCTGCCTAGCCTGGAGAAAGGTTATCTGAATCTACTATAACTAGGACCGATTTGGCAACGTAGTACGCCGCAACGCCTATACACACACAACCCCCCCCCCACCCCAATCAATTAAAACACAATACGGAAAAGCTTTTGTCCGCTTAAACCAGAATCAGCAATTCGTTTCGCTCCAGCCCATCATCCTCCAAGCCCGGATAATAAGGAATCATCGCATCTGCACTCTGTACATAGGCATCATTGTAAAGTCGCCAGTACGGCGTCCGCACCTTGCGTGCTGGGTGGAACAGTCCGGCCCATACGTAGTTCATGACTGTACCCGTACCAACCGCCATGCGAATGGCATCAATTGCCTCAATAACCCGATCAATAACGTGGGGACTGGTTTCGAAAATGTTAGGGAACACCAGGTTGAGGAGATGGACCATCGCGTCTTCGCATCCAAGCCCCACCACCCCAAGCGCAATGTGCTTGACAACAGTAGCAGCGGTTTGACGATGCACCTGGTCTCGATCAATGAGGGCATCTTCGAGCAAAGGCGTAACGGCGTAGACGTAGTCTTTAGCCATTTCGCCAATGTATTCGAACACAAAGGTCATAGCCTTCAAGACACCGTTCTGCACATTAAGTTCTGGTACACGATACTCATTCATCAACGCAGGAAGCACCGTGAATGGTGCACAAGTCTCGGCCACAATACCGATGGCGACAGCCGTACAAACACGCGACTGACGTTCCTGAACACGAAGATTGTTAAGAAGCGTAGCCAGCACATCCTGAGGACCGATAGCCTTCGCGATGAAACCAAACGTGTTGTTGGCAGCACGACGGATACCTTTCTTGTGGGCCTTAAGCATGTCCAGCAGCTCAAAGCAAATACGCATCCACTCGCGAGCATTGACGGATTCCGGGCCACGGTCAGCAATACGACCCACAAGATCGATCGTGTTTTCTTGGACCTTCTCGTGACGGTTTCGCAAAATGGGAGTGAGACGGGGGAGCAGGTCTCGAATAGGTGGTTGCATCTGGTTGATACCGACGACTGTGACAATAGAACGGAGAGCACCGAGAATAGAACCAAGGACCTCTGGATATTCCTCACCCAGATATTCATACAGAACGATGCCGAGTTTACCCATGAGAGCATCCTCTCCACACTGCTTCATAACTGAAGCGATGCGGGAAATGAGATCTGCGGCTTGTTGACGGACAGTGGCAGACTTGTTGTTCAACCGCCACAGGATTGTACTCACAATCTGGGGGAGGTAGGGCTTGCAACGAGTGCCAAGGGCATTCACGACGGTTCCGAAGCCATTGAGAATGACAATGTCCTCGATGCTTTGTTCTTGGAAAGCATACAGGACACCATCAATCAGACGTTCCTCCAGCCTTTCCGAGATATCGGCGGCTCCCAGAGAAGCAATTGATTTTTCAACAGTTTCCACAGTCATCTTTCGATATGGCTCGCTTTCGTCTTTCAGGTTGTTGACGGTCCGCTCGAGAATCTCACCAACGCCTACCTTCTGCCCAAGGTCGACAGTAGTGTCAACAACTTGGCGATAGTTTCTCCTATCAAGGGCCATGCGCCTGACCCAAAAGCTCTTGAAGAAGTCAGTCAGGACGTGTTCCTTCAAGTAGCTCGCAGTTACACCATCAGTGCTTGCACATTGCGATACCACCTTGAGGACCACCTTTTTCATCTCCTCATCAGGTGACGAAAACTCTCGGAGAAGGATCTCCATAATCTGACTGGTATAATAGTTGGCATATTCCTCGTCCATGAGAGGAATGATGTACCCGACAGCTTTAAGGAAAGCTGCAAGACCTTTGCCACGCTGCTTCCGGGCTCCGGTCCAAAGAGGGTTAAGGATTTCGTCGAAACTTTCAATACCGTAAGGATTGGCTGCTTCAGCCAAAGCTGCGACGGCCAACGCAGTGACCGTCCTAACCTTCGCCTGCTCATCACTGAGATTGTCTGCAATACAGTCAACAAGACCCTTCAGATGAGGAAGGATAGCACAGCCCATGAGAATGGGAATTTGCTGAACAATCTTGACACCTGTGTGTCGAGCCTGCCAGGATTTTTTGCTGCGACACACGGCACGGAGGAAAGGCAATAAAGCTGGTATACCAAGAGCAGAGGCGACGACTGCAAAGGCACGGGCTGTTGTATTTCGCACATATTCGTCGACGTGATCGATATCCGGGCGCATAGTACTAATCATGGTCGCAAGGCCGGCTGCTTTCGCCAGGTTTGAGATAATCTCCCGACCCTCCACACGAGCATAATAGTCCTGATCGATGAGTAATGGCTCGATGACGACTAGAATCTTGTGGACATATGGTCGGACAAGGTCATCCAGCTTGTACAAGACACGATCAATAACCTTGACCAACAAGTGGCGCTCTTGGTCTTCAAGGGACTTCTCCATGAGAAGTGGGAGGATCTGATTGAACAACGGGCCAGCTCCAAATTGCCGCGCATTATCGGTAAGTTGACGCAGTGCCGTCTTTCTCATTGGCGGAGTACCGTTCTTAACTTTAAGCAACAGTCTCATAATCTTGCGTTCCTTCAGTTCCTCCACGGTCATGGCCGACTCGTCCCCTCCTTCCATAAGCTTTCCAAAATAGGCCATATCCTCCGGCTTGAAAAACTGCAAGTCACCAACTCCAGGGATTTCAGTTGGAAGTTGCTTGCCGAGCACGCGCGCGTTCTCAGGCTCTTGCATCATGAAACCACCAACCCCAGTGGAGCTAGCGACAGGCGCAGGAGTTGCCATAAGCTTTCTTGCGGGGTTCCGAATCGGAGCATAGCCCGGGGGAGGTTCCAGAATCTTGTATCCCTCCGATGGAAGCATCATATCAAGCTCTTCGTCCGATAGGGGAGCATTGCGGGCAGAGATATCAGTTCCAAAACTGGTTGGAGCCATGGGCACACCTACTTGGGAAGGATGCATAGGAGTTGCAAGTCCTTGATTGCCGACAGGCGTGGCTGATGCGATTGCCGGTGCCTGATCCCATCGCGAGCGGCGCTTAGGAGCTTCTTCGGTCGTTCCGGGGGCAACCGGCGCAGGGGTCTGATCCCAACGAGATCTTTTAGTCTTGGCCTCGTCAACTTCTGGGGCAGCAGGGGCGGTCTCAGTCGACTCAGAGGCCACATCCCACCGCTGTTTGCGCTTTCGTCCGGTAGCAACAGCGACAGTAGAGCCGGCTTCGAGGTTTTCTTTATCGTCCAGGCTCAAAGTGGCCTCATGTTCCACAACGCCGTTCTCGCCACGAGCCTGCTTCTCTTCGATCAGCTTCTTGACACGCTCTTCTTCCTTTTCAATTTCACGAAGCGCCATAACTTCACGATAAGTCTGACCCTCTCCCTCGACAGTGGCATGAGTGTTCGCGGCAAACGGATCGGCCCGGGTAGGGGTCAAAGGTCCTCGGTTAAACCGACGTTTCTGATAATCAGTCTCACGATCAGCGATTCTGGCGGCCTTCTCACGTCCAAGAAGCATGTCCTCCTCTTCAACTCCATTCCCTTGGGCAAGCTCATCGATCTGGCTCCTGGTCGCGGTGTATTGTCCGACCAACTGGTGGCCGCCATCCATATCTTCCATATCTTCATCTCCATCGTTGACGGCGATTGAGGTGTTGTAACCCGAATATCTGTCGGCGCTGTTATTCTCGTAAAGTGTTGTGTCAAACGATTCGGTCAAAGAGGCCTTGGTTGAGTTGTCAGTGCGCTGGTTAGACGGATCAAAGGTCCGAGAACCTTTCTTCGCAGCAGCTGCAGCGTTACGCTCAGCCTGAAGCTTGCGGACAGCCTCAAAATCCGCTATAGGAGGGGTCAGTTTCAGTAGCTTCGCGTACGAGACTTTGAGTTGGGGCGACATACCGTCAGACATGTTGATGAATATTTAAAGGTCAAAGACGCGATAAAGAGCAAGCAATCTCTTGTCAAGTAATAGCAGCAGCTACATCCGGATAAAAAACCGCAAGGACGGCGCGAGGAGGATGGTTTGTGGAGGGATAAGGGGATATCTCAAGCTAAATCTGCGCGCAAAAAGGAATGAAGTCCAAAGGCTCCCGGTGAGATGACTAATAATCACGTGGTCTACGATCTAGGATTCACGTGATGAGTTCCGAAATTGGGTCGAAGTGATTCTCCTCGAATCTTCAATCTTCTTCTACTCAACACGGACTTCAAGTCTAAAAATCAATTAACAATATGTTGCTGGGAATAGCTATGTAACTAGTGTCTTTCTTTTGAAAGCTGTGGCCTTTGGTAGAGGTTCGAATGCTGTGTTGTTCTCCACAACGCCCTGACCCACACTATTCGGAGATAAAATATATATCAATGTACGAACAAGAAGCAGAGCAGGTTCAAATTCTCAAGTACCCCAAAAGTAGGATTTAACTTAAAATGTAGGCATATTAATATCATATTTCATTGAAACTCCTCTTACAGAACTATAGGAATGTTCTCCCCCCTTCCCTTAACTGAATATGAAGTGATCAAGTTTCTCCCGGCTCATAAATGGGAAAAGCGGGTTTGCATCTAAAGAACGTCATGTATGAGATGATTAGCACGAGCCATTTTCACCCTAATACCCATGAATGCTGTGGTTAGAGCTGAGTTGCGCTGAAGAGATGGGCCTTTGATGCAGTTGTGGTCACGACCTTGCACCAAAATCTAGATTTCGTAGGTAGGCGTTATTGGGCTTTCTTGATTGAAAAATTTTATATCTAGGCGATGTAGTGAACTTAGTTACACCAGTGAAGTGAGAAAAATAGTCTATGCACATTTATATTACTTGATCCACAGCATGAATAAGTAGAGCCTAGCAACAACGGAGCCAAGGAGGACCAAGAATGCCAAAAGATGGGTGGTTAGGGTAAAACTGGGGAGTTGGCATCAAAATTAGGAGTGACCGCACCAGGCAGTCATAGAATTAGTAGGGTTAACGGATGCGGTCCAACCTGGCACGGTTCATGGCCAGCTGTTCGTCGACATTTTCGCTCTGCAAAGTTGTTAGCTTTGGTACTATATACGACAATGGGGATCATGCGTACCTTGTTCATGATACGCTCTAGGTGTCTGTTCTGCTCGTCCAATTCACGACCCGTCGCCTTGGCGAGAAGGTTCAATCTGCCTGTTGCACCTGCCAACAGATCCAAGTTCTGCTCGATTTCATCCTCCATAGCCTCATCCTCGCTGTCGGCCTCGAACTGATACTTGGCACGTTCGGTGACATTTGCCTTCCTGCCCCGTTCAGCTTTGTTCGATTCTCGTTCAATATCTCTGAATGTGCGTTCCATGCGTGCGGTGGTTTGAAATGCCTCGCTTCGGGTCCCGGCACGGGCATCGCGTTCCTGTTTGTGTGTGCTGAGAACACGTTCATCACGATCTCGTTTACGCTGGGCGCTAGTGAAGGGGTTTGACACATGCACGGCAAACATGCTCTTGTTTAGCGTCTTTAGCTCTCTGGCCTTTTCGTCTGCAATACGCCCCTCCACACCTGCCACATCTAGATGCTTCTCTGAGTCATGAATCATCTCACTCTGAGCACCAAGGCGGGCGAGGGTCTCTCGGCTGGTCTCCTCCGCTTGTGCTGCAATGCGAAGGGCATTACGAGTGGAGGAGACATCACCTTGCTTGATGAATCGAATATCTTGTTTGACTGTCTGAATTTCCTCCTCCTCCTGCTCCTCTGCTGTGAGCTGCCGTTCCTGGTAGGTAGCAGAGGTATACGCAGTACCGGTACCGCCGTAGCCAGCGGATGGCTCAGAATACGGCGGGGGAGCCCCAGGTTGTTGTGTCTCTGCTCTTTCCCTTGCCCCTCCAAACAGCGCAGCTCGGTTGTCGTCTCCCGCAGCGGGGTCATTAGGATCGGCGCTGCCCAATCCACCATAGCCGCCGGGGCCATATCGGGAAGCTGAAGGAGCGCCTCCGCTGCCACCATAACGATCCGCTCCATATCCGCTCTGATTACCATATGTATTCGGTGCATAGCCTTGGTATTTGTTATCGCCAGGGATTCCGCTGCTGGGCTGGGAGTTCGCGGGTCCACCAGGCTGCATGCCAGGAGGGGGAGGAGCTACTCCTGCATTGATCTTGGCTCTTGTATAAGGGTCCGTGGGAATGGGCTTTGCATAAGGATTCGAAGCAGGTGGTGCAGGAGGTGCAGGACTCTTGCTCTTCGACCTGGACCCGAAAAGGGCTAAGCGGTTGGAGGATTCCTCGTCACCGTCGTCCGATTTCTTTAGCCCGAAGCGTCTCATGGCGGGGATATGGGTAATAAGTACAAAGAAAGAAAATTCAAAAGGCAATACAAAGAAACAAGAAATTTGTTGAGCCGACAGTCAGGAGACGATTGAATTGAAGGAGGACAGATAGAAGAGGGGGAAGAGCAGCAATAGAATAGGAGTACGGAGTAGACAAGAACAAGAAAGATGAAACCGTGACTTGGTTGTCAGGGGAGGCAACAGCCAACAGCCAAGGGCATCGATGTAACACTGTTACGCATATTTTGGGTGGGAATGTTTAGGTGAGAGACCGTAATAACCGTATCAATACTATTGAGGGTGACAAAGATATAGACACTAAACCAAGACGGGCTAGTGTATGTGGCTGTGCACTTCCAAGCCTTGTTGAATTTGGACTATTCCCAAATAGGTAGAATAGTGGCATGTAATCAGTGAGGTTAGGTGGGAGTAGAGGATATCTTGCCCACATATACTTTAGAGAGAGATTAGAATTCTATGATATTGAATTATTGAGCTGCCCTGTGAGCCGCAATATATCTATATTGCGGTATACAAGTTATAGGAGGCGGAATACGAGGGTTCGATCGAGATCAGAATTCTCCCACATTTGCTCATCGAGCTACCCCACCGGATAAACTAATAAATCCGATAAGCCTCGAAACCTACCTAGGTAGGTAGCCGCTACGAACGTCAACTGATCCACCCAATCCTCTTCTTGTCTCGTCTTGTGTCTTCTGTGCTTCTCCTGGGATTCTCCTGGAGTGCTTCACGGCAGCAATGGCGCCGTATCTAGGGTCGGATGCGGACTATTTTAAGGACAAGGCGCGTAGGGACTTGCTGAACCTCCTTGAAGGCGTGAGTAAGGCTCCTGCTTGTCTCTCCATCTCGTGTTGTTCCTAGGCTGAATCATATTATCATTATAGGTTCGCGGGAAGAAGAATCTTGTGATTAGCCAGGGTTTGGCTGGCCCAGTTGGCCTGTTTGTCAAGTTCTCCCAGCTCCAGGAGTACGGCGTAGACCGCGTATTCTTGCTCGAGAATGGCAATGTCGACTCAACCCAGCGCAATGTTGTATTTCTAGTGTATGCCGAAAAGGCCCGCCAGGTGCGAGCAGTGGCAGGTATGTGATGCTATTTCTTTCACACACCAGTTACTTTTCTTTTCTTTCCTTTTCTTTTCAAAATTCCTCGTAAATTCTTTTGGCTACCCATGTCAGCGGACAAAATAGCTTCTGGATGGGACTGCAAGTAGATTACCCAGACTGCTTCTTACCCCTGCGTAGTCACGCAGGTTCCCTGAATTAAGTCATTTTTTTTTACTAGCTCATCTATAAGACTTTCTTTGACTGAAAGTTCCAATTGAATGATGCCATCAGAGGGAGCTAACGAGACGCCTAGAACAAATCCAACGATTACAGCGTAACAGCAGCATTGACCATGAATTTTCTATCTTCTGGGCCCCGCGACGGACCCTCGTAAGCAATGCCATTCTCGAGAGCGCAGGGATTATTGGGGACGTGAATATTGCTGAATTGCCTCTTTGCTTTTTCCCTCTAGAGGAAGATGTCTTTTCGCTGGAGCTGGATGATTCATTTGGTGACCTCTACCTGGTAAGAAGCTTGTCACTGATCGAGACAGCTCTTAGCTAATTTGATGTAGCATAAAGATCCCGGCTGTATCTTTCATGCAGCAAAGGGCCTTATGGATATTCAGAAACGGCACGGTTATTTCCCCCGCATAGTCGGCAAAGGAGACCACGCACGGCGACTTGCTGATCTCTTACTGCGAATGAGAAAGGAGCTCGATGCAGAGGAGAGCTCTGGCTTGGCGGATCTCGCCTCTCGAGGTCTTCTTCCTAGTGCACATATTGAGAGTCTAATTGTTATCGACCGAGAAGTTGACTTCGGTACACCTCTGCTCACTCAGCTAACGTATGAGGGCTTGATCGATGAATTGGTCGGGATTAAACACAATCAAGCGGACGTCGATACATCGATTATTGGCGCTGGTTCAGCGCCCCAGGCCCAAGAATCTTCCAAACCTACCCAACAATCCTCTAAGCAAGCCCAGAAACGGAAGATCCAGCTGGATGCTTCAGATCAGCTGTTTGACCAACTTCGAGATGCCAATTTTGCTATTGTGGGCGATATCTTGAACCGGGTGGCCCGCCGCCTGGAAACTGACTACGAAAGCCGCCATACAGCGAAAACGACGTCCGAACTTCGCGAATTTGTGAACAAATTGCCAACATATCAGCTGGAGCATCAAAGCCTTCGGGTCCACACCAATCTCGCGGAGGAAATCATGAGAAATACCCGTTCAGATATCTTCCGCAAGATTTTGGAAGTTCAGCAAAACCATGCTGCGGGCGCTGATCCTGTCTACCAACATCCTTCAATTGAAGAGCTCATTGCTCGAGATGTCCCACTCAAAGCTATACTCCGGTTACTGTGTCTGGAGTCGTGTATGTCTGGAGGGTTACGACCCCGAGACCTCGAAAACTTCAAGAGACAGATTGTGCAAGCATATGGACACCAGCATCTGCTAACGTTTTGTGCCTTGGAAAAGATGGAACTCCTACAGCCGCGTTCCTCCGCCACCGCCATGCTACTCCCAGGCACTGGCGCCCAAGCAGGAGCCAAAACAAACTACAGCTATCTGCGGAAGAACCTACGCCTCGTGGTGGAGGAAGTTAGTGAAAAGGAGCCAAACGATGTCGCCTACGTGTATAGCGGATTTGCACCGCTGAGTATCCGGCTCGTCCAGTGCGTTCTCCAAAAACCATACATCCTTTCGCTTATACGAGGTGGTTCTACGGCAGCTACAACAAGCCCTGCGAACACCGCATCCCCGGGATGGCTTGGATTCGAGGATGTCGTCAAGAGTGCTCGGGGTTCCACCTTTAGCATAGTTCAGAAGGGTGACGATAAGGCAGTTCGCGCGCGACAGACTCTCAGCGGCAACAACCACTCGAAGACCGTTTTTGTGTTCTTCCTGGGTGGTATCACATTTACTGAAATCGCGGCGCTTAGATTTATCGCCGCCCAGGAGGCTCCGAGACGGAAGATTGTTATTTGTACAACGAGTATCATTAGCGGGGACAGGATGATGGAGGCAGCGATGGGGAAAGGTAGCTTTGCGCCGACTTGAGTAATACGACTCGCTTCATCCTGCAAGGATATTAAATGTTAATACCACAAAAGGATAGCTTTACAGTGCTCGAATAATTATTATAATACACGTTCATGTACTGATGAAGAAAGCCACGAGTTTCACCTTTACCCAACTACTTAAATAAGATCTAGATCAGTATTTAAACCCAGAATTGACGCCCATTAGCCGACCCTGGTATCTCTCCATCACCTCGCCTAATTTCACCATAACTCCCGCGGACAACGTTCGCACCTGTTCTCGGGGATCACTGGTATCTCGTGTCGCAGGGGTACGATCAAAAATCTCCCCGGCCCACTCACGCAGTTCCATGACCTGCGTGGCAAACTCGGTCACTAGTTGCTCTTCACCTGAGGTACCGGATCCGACATTTAAATCGATCACTGCTAGGAAGAGCGACAGAAGAGCAGCCAAGATGCTCGGTTCTTCAGAGACAGGGCGTGCATGAAGGGAGAGGAGGAATGTCAGTGTTTCCTGGGTAAGAGAGCGTAGGAAAGGTGTGTGAGGACCCATTGTTGATAGGGTCAGTGTTAGAGTTTGGATGAACAGGCAGAGAAGATGTGGGACTAGGAATGGGTTATGTGATGGGGCAGTCGACCTAATAATTATCAATGGTTAGTCTATTTGTGGAGGTATCATAATGAATGCGGCTTTAGCGAGGATACTCACGACGAGAATTGCAGTATCATGATTTCGAACCGGCCTGTCAGCGGGTAGAAGAACCCTTCGGAGAGAACTTTGTAGAGATCCTTCACTGTGGACTTTTGACGATGGGCTTCGCGCTCCTTGCGTCTTTTTTCGACTTCCATTCGGGAGGAGAATGTGCGCACTTTTAGGGCGTTGGGCCCAGAAAGTGAGTCGGCCGCGTTTGCTGCCAATGGCTGGAGGGACGCTTGTGAGAGTGACTTTGTTAGACTGGCGATTGGGGATTCATCGGTAAGATATAGTGTCTCTAGGTTTGCGGGAAGTTTCTTTGATGGGAAGGACGAGTCTTGTAACGCCGGAAGACCTAGAGCTTTTGCGTCTTCCTCGCCTGCTCCGGCTAGTTCCCGGGCACTGAGGCCGAGCGTTGTGAGGATTGCAGACCGTTGGACTTGGGATAGATCTCCATCAAAGAAGATAGCGGAGAACCATCGGCCCATCTTTAGAGGCTGTGAGACTACTAGAGCAATCATGCTCTGCAAACGATATTCGTGGAATTTTGGAAACTTGGCTTGCTCTTGTAAGCCGACTAAGACAAGAGCAAGCTCATCCGTGTGCTCTGCGAGTTCTGTTCCGAAGCCGGTTTTGCGTCTGATCAGTGAAGGAGCTGTGGTGATTGCTAGTTCATAGCGGTCTACATTCTCTGTATCTCTCAGATACGTTATGAGATCGCGAATATACCTGGTGGTTCTATTAGTAACGATTTTGGATAGAGCAGATGTCTAGTCAACTTACACTGGAGCAGTTGGCTTATTACGCTGTATCAAGGTGGGGTCCTCGTCGGAGTCTGATGGATCTTCATCAGGTTTTTCGTAGGGAATAAGGTCATCATCTTCGGCTTCATCATCATCATCATCATCGCCATCTGAAGCACTGATTTCTTCTATGGCCACGATCTTGGCCGAGCGCTGACCGGATGATGTGGAAGAAGGATTTGCCATAGAAAACAAAGTCTTTCTGGGCTTCTGGTGCGACATCGTCGTGTTTTCTTCTGGCGCTTTCAGTGAATCCACGGACCCGAGTCTGTCGCTTACTTGAATAAGATTCATATACCAATTTGCTTCGCTGCTCTCCATTTCTTCGAGATCGAATTTCATTGCTTTCCCAGGCTGTTCGATAAGTTGAGAAATTGCGGTTCCGATAAGCATACCCAGGAAACGGGCCTTCGTAGAAGCTGCTGCGAGACGGTTTGAAACGGCATTGAGGAATATCCCAGTACGGCCAATGTGCTTCATGGAATCCGGGTCAAGGCGCTGAAGATAGCCAGCGGCAAGAAGAACAACTTCTGTGTTTGCTATGACATGTTAGTGTCTTATTGATTTGACTGTGTCACGACTAGTGAGCGGAGACTCATACCTTCTTGACTGCGCAGCGGTGCATGTTGTATATAAATTTTATCAGCAGATTGTTCGAGACTTCTGGTCAACAAGGTTACAATTAGGTCTGTCGTATATCAGTAAAACAATTTTAACACTAGTCGTCGTAAATAATGAATTGGATCTACCTTTTTGGTGAGCTAAGTTCACCAATAGTGCCCTACGCAGTCGAACTGTTTGTACTGAGCCACCATGGCCTTTTGAAAGCCAGTCAATCAATTGGCCTTCAAGATTAGGTCGCTTCGATAAAAGAATTGAACACAGAGCCGCGACACCATTCACAACGTGGTTCGCGGAAACATCGCTTTCATCTAGGGACTCGGACAAAAAGTATTTTTTCTCAATATCGCGAAATATGCCTTCTAGCACAGCGAGCTGTTCAGTCCAGCGAAGATGTTCATAGAGCGAGATGTATTGCTCTGAAAGAGACTGACGGATAAGCAATCCGGCGTAAATTTCCCTCACTAGCTGATCTGGAAGGATGATTCAGTATGGAAATAGAAAGGGCAAGCGGACTATTAATTACCTGTGTACCCAAGGCTTAGTGCTCTTCCTGTGAGAGAAGCAAGTGCTTTCCAATGCGCCTCTTGATAACCAACAGGAAGCTTTGAAGCCATATGATAGATATTGGTACCGAGCCATGATGCATACTGAGGCCCTTCCCCAATCCAGGCGATTTTACTGGGGGCATTAACGTCCCGAATTAATGAGAGAGCTTCCGCCGACACCGACAGGATTCTACTGGCCGCGAGAAGCGACACCAGTTCTTTCCAAGCCACTTGCTTTTGAGTTACATTGTTGTAAAGCATGTCTATATCAGTGTATAGGCGTAAAGCCAGCTCCTTTGGCTCCAGCAAGGCGGATATAATAGCAAGAATGTTCCTGATCTGGATTTGACTGCCGGATGCATTTGCCTGTTGAGACGATGCTCGGGAGGACGCGATCAGCGAGCGGAGTTGGGCCACCAAGCAACTGATGCCGGGCACACTGCTGAGGCATCTTAGCAAAGCAGCGCGGAGTCTAGAATTACCAGTCTTGGAACCTTTCGAGCCTGCATTGATAGAGTCCCAATGATCCGGAACTGTAATGCTTACTAAAGCGTTGAGGATCTGGGCTGTTGTCGGGTTTGGGACTCTGATGCTAAAATGCGCTGAATGATCCTTCGCATGAGATGGATCGAGGATGAAAAGAATTCTAGCTATCTCATCCTGATCTGGATTTGCCTTCAGTATTGCTAAAATATCACTCGCGGATGCTGGCTCTGTATTGGAAGAAGCGCTCGGTGTAGGTTCGCCTCTTTGTAGACTGGTATGCTGAGAAATTTCCCCTGAAGCCGTCAGAGCAGATCTCTGGTCATGGGTTATTGTCTTGATCTCCGTTATAAGGCCATCCATCTTCGGAGAGGATCATTATTGGGATTTGAGCCTGGCAGAAATCTGAAGAGAATCGTGAGGTAGAGGAGAGTGTATGCAAGCTGTGCATTGTTAGTCAGCATTTAGTGGGTTGTGCATTCACGATACGATTGTCTTCCACGATATCTGCTCAAGAGCCATACCTGGGCTATTTTTTCCAGGGGAAAAAAAGGAATCCTCTGGCTTTAGGGGATGTACTTATTATTTAGCCTTGAGCTATACTTTGCTGAGCTCTTGTATTATCGAAATCCTACATCGTATCTGCCCTGACTAATGGTACAGTGTGGCGGTCACGTGCTAGGCGGCGTTTGTAGTTGGCTCCATCAGTCAACAACGAACGATGTAGGTCCAACATCTTGACAATACGGGCAGGGTTCTGACCTCTGTAGAATCACACTTCTACTGATTACTCTAAATCATTCTTACCTGAGGAAGAGTTATCTGAGTATCACCTGGAACCGATCCGGGCTCGAGATTTAGAGGACATACGACAACATATCAGATTGCAAGAATGGCCGTTGGAGACCCGCCTCTTCGATGGTGAGAACTTTCCTTAAGTATTCTGCCACCCCCAATAGTTTAACAGTCCTTAGGAAATATCTCTACAAGGTTTTGTCAAAATCTGGTCCATCGTGTGACCCAGACTGGGTTCCTGGCGAGGAGACGATAGAATGCTTGGAGTCGTCGAAGATTTTGTGAGTATTCCAATGATGCTTATCTGCAACCTTGCTAATCTCTATATAGGGTAATGTTAGTTGCTATCTCTGTCATGAATGTGAATTTGAGCAGTGTTTGAACATGTGCTAATTTCATGATAGAGGAGCTGGAGGATTAGGCTGCGAGATCTTGAAGAACCTTGCATTGTCAGGCTTCAAGGACATTCACGTCATTGACATGGGCAAGTTCATTTAGCCGTATGGGCATTCGAATAACTGTCTGACTTTTGCAGATACTATTGACATCTCCAATCTGAACCGGCAGTTCCTATTCCGGCATTCTGATATAGGAAAGCCGAAAGCAGAGGTTGCGGCCGCGTTTGTGGAAAGGCGTGTTCAGGGAGTCAAGATTACCCCTTATGTAGGGAAGATTCAGGATAAAGACGAAGATTATTACTTGCAATTTAAGATGATAGTTTGTGGTCTTGATAGTATCGAGGCTCGAAGATGGATCAATTCTACCCTGATTGGAATGGTTGACTTCGAAAACCCGGAAAGTCTGAAGCCTTTGATTGATGGGGGAACCGAGGGTATGCGAAACTTATTCTCCTATATCTGGATAGAAGATACCTAACCATCCGATAGGATTTAAGGGCCAGGCGCGTGTCATTCTACCTACTCTTTCATCATGCATCGAATGCCAGCTTGACATGCATGCACCTCGCCCTGCAGTGCCGCTTTGTACAATTGCGACTATCCCTCGCCAACCGCAGCATTGTATCGAATGGGCACATCAGATCGCCTGGCAAGAAAAGCGTAAAGACGACTCCTTCGACAGTGATGACATGGAGCATATTGGATGGGTTTATAACAATGCTCTTGAGCGAGCAAAGCAATTCAATATTTTCGGAGTCACATTTCAAATGACCCAAGGAGTGGTCAAAAATATTATTCCAGCGATTGCTTCGACGAATGCTGTTATTGCGGCCGCGACAACCTCTGAAGCACTGAAAATCGCCACTTCTTGCAACCCTTACCTGGAAAACTACATGATGTATGCTGGAGAGGAAGGAGTCTACACTTATACTTTCGAAGCCGAGAAAAAGCCTGATTGTCCTGTTTGTGGAAATCTCGCGCGCAAATTGACTGTGGACCCAAATATGACGCTGGAAGCTTTCATCGAGACTCTCGGGGAGCGACCTGAAGCTCAGCTGAAGAAACCAAGTATGAGAACAGAGGAGAAGACACTGTATCAACGTTTCCCCCCGCAATTGGAGGAGCAAACTCGACCCAACTTGAAGTCAAAGCTTCGCGATCTGGTGGCGGATGGACAGGAGATTGCAGTCAGCGACCCAGCTTATACCATCGATTTCCGCTTCCAGTTGATCTTCAGTTAGGGGTAACGCTCTACCACGAATGCACGATGATTATGACCAAATTTTGACAGAAATTTAAACATGCTTTTTCTATCTCTGAAAATCCCGTATCCAGACTCCCAGTAATGTCAAGAACGAGCTTTTTTTTTTTCATAACGTACAAGAGAGAAGAAACAACAAAATCCAACGCCGGGTAATGCATTATATAGCTTCAAAAACATTTGCCGCAACAATCGCGAGGATCTTATTCGAGCTTATCGCATGAGGTCCGTCAAGCCCCTCTTCCATCTTGCGCACTTCAGCTTCAGCACCTTTACACTTTCTAGGAAGAGAACGTCGCTGTCGAGTTGTCCTGTGCTCTCGATATTGAAGATGAAATGATCCCGAAGGCGGCCCAGCTTTACCTTACCCTGGAATTCTTCATGTCTCAGGCACTCCCTGCTGACAGTGTCATTGAATGGATCGCGGACAACAGCCTTGAGCTCTCCGGTGCGACCGTAATACTCGGTATCTCTCTGTGCGGCTTCCTCGATGGTGACGGGCTCCAGAGCAATGACACCCTTAGGGAAACACTTGGCAAACTTCTTCGCGTCCTCTCCTAGGATAGGGCGGAGGATTTTGATATCTGGCATTAAACGGTAGCTTGCTGTTGCGACCGGGGAGAATTTAGCGTGGTCGGCTCCAATACCCTTGATACAGTGGAGTTCCATCTCAATCTTCTGGCCTGGACGCATCTTTGCAATGAGAATGTCTGGGTTGACAGGTTGGATAGCACCGTCGCCAGTAAAGTATTGTTCCTGGCGTCCGACAGGGTGGAAAGTAATATCCTTGGCATAGACATGGGCGTGCTTGTACAGCTTTCGGGGGTCCTGCTCGTCGCGAGAAGCATGGGGATTTTTGGTGCATTGGACATCAAGGCGCAGGACGACAGTATTGTAGTCACTGGGGTCGCTTCCGCTCCCAGGTTCGTCATCATTAGCCTTCTTGAACCAGCGCATCCAGTTCAAACCCTCCACGGAACCTTTGAGAGGGATCAGACCCAGGCGTTGTGCAAGGACCTCATCTTGGATGACAGAGGTGTTATTGTGAACAAAGACGAATTCGATGGCGAGACTGGGGACTTCTGCCATTACAATTCGACGGAAAGCATTTGCGATCGCAGCATCGAGGCCGATGAGGGAAAAGGCGGACTCGAATTGGTTGTTCTGGTGAAATTCGACGCGAAAGTTCTATGCACAATTACATGAGTAAGAGTCGGCTTAAGGAAACGAAATGAAGAGGAGGCGTACGTCTCTGAATTTGTCGAGAGACCATTCATGGGATTCGCCGGGCCAGTGACCTGGGAAATCTGTGGAGGGGATGTTGGTGACGGTCTCTGCATTGATGTCGACGATCTGGAATTGGGATTAGACATGACGCCGTATATTCTTTCTTGCGGCAAGAGAAAGAAGAAGAAGAAGACATACCCTTCTGCGATCGAGCTCCTCCTGTGAGGGAACGAGAGGCGCCATGATGGAGGTGAACTGCGCCGTCAAGCTAGCTGAGAGAATTGCTACTGCGAATGCTTGGGAGGGCGAAATAAAAAAGTTCTCTTGGGTTAGCGGCAGTATTTTCAGCGGGCGCCAGGCGGAGAGAGGGGTTGTTTATAATGCACTCAAAACGTCGCAGGGCCTGGGGATTTCTCTGGCGGTGACTTTAGTGTGGGTGTGGAATAGAGGACTGCCGAAGACCAACCAGAGACCGTTTGATGACCAGAAGCTCGCCCATCACGTGACCGTCCAAATTGCATCCCGTCGCAACCTCCAAACCGTCAATCCGCATCGAACCCTCCCGACGAGTTTCCCCATCCATTGCGTCCGGACTGAGGACAGTCAGCCTTCTCTCCCTCCGAGTCCCTCCCTACGATCCCCCGAATGGCTGTTTCCTTTGCTCGCCTGGCGGGCAATGCCCCCAAAACGCTCTGCTTGCGCCCCTCCGGCATTGCCAGGAATACCACTATCCCCAGATCCCGGTCGATTGCGACCTCTATTCCTCGTCGAGCGGCAGAGGCTACCAGCTACCAGGCTACTCGCCTGATCCCAACCGACCCGTCTTTCACACATCTGGCTAACAAGGGCCCCAGCGAGTCCGAAACTCCCGCGGCTCTGGAGTCCGAGGCTGAAGGGGTCGACCGTAAAATCCGCCATTACACTGTCAATTTTGGTCCCCAACATCCTGCCGCTCACGGTGTGCTTCGATTGATTCTGGAGCTCAATGGCGAGGAGATCGTCCGTTCCGATCCCCACGTCGGTCTACTCCACCGTGGTACCGAGAAGTTGATTGAATACAAGACCTATATGCAGGCTCTGCCTTACTTCGATCGTCTAGACTACGTCTCCATGATGACGAATGAGCAGTGCTTCTCGCTGGCTGTTGAGAAGCTGTTGAACATTGAAATCCCCGAGAGAGCCAAGTATATCCGCACATTGTTTGGAGAGATGACCCGAGTCCTGAACCACCTTATGTCCGTCCTCTCCCACGCTATGGACGTCGGTGCCTTGACACCTTTCTTGTGGGGTTTCGAGGAGCGTGAGAAGCTCATGGTAGGAAGCCCTTTGATACTAAATTCTAGAATTGCCTGAGATCGCTAACAGTGGTTGTGTGGGATAGGAATTCTACGAGCGAGTATCCGGTGCCCGTCTCCACGCTGCCTACGTCCGTCCCGGTGGTGTTTCCCAGGATATTCCTCTTGGTCTCCTGGATGATATCTACCAGTGGGCTACTCAGTTTGGAGACCGTATTGATGAGACCGAGGAACTGCTTACTGATAACCGGATCTGGAAGGCCAGAACCCAAGGTGTTGGTGTTGTGAGCGCTGCTGATGCTCTGAACATGAGCTTCACTGGTGTTATGCTCCGCGGCTCCGGTGTCCCATGGGATATCCGCAAGTCCCAGCCATATGATGCTTATGACAAGGTAGAGTTCGATGTTCCTGTCGGTGTTAACGGTGACTGCTACGACCGTTACCTCTGCCGTATGGAAGAGTTCCGCCAGTCCCTCCGTATCATTCACCAGTGCTTGAACCAGATCCCCGCTGGACCTGTCCGTGTTGAAGACTATAAGATCAGCCCCCCTCCCCGTGCTGCTATGAAGGAGGGCATGGAGTCTCTGATTCACCACTTCCTCCTATTCAGCAAGGGTTACGCCGTCCCTCCCGGTGAGACGTACTCCGCCATTGAGGCTCCTAAGGGTGAGATGGGTGTGTTTCTGGTCAGTGATGGTAGCGAGAGACCCTACCGCTGCAAGATCCGTGCTCCCGGATTCGCCCACTTGGGTGGTTTCGACCAGATCTCCCGTGGTCACCTTTTGGCCGACGCCGTCGCTATTATCGGTGAGTGCCGCGATAACTACCACCCCACTTTTAAATTGAGATAAAATTACCTAACTAAACCTCTCTTCCAACTTCTAGGCACAATGGATCTCGTGTTCGGTGAAGTCGACCGGTAGAGTTGGATGGAATCGAAATCTCTGATCTCCGAATCTTCTGTACAAAAAGCCCCTTCCTCCCCCGAGATACATCAGCTTGATTTCGAGAAATAAATCAAATCTCTTTCCCAAAACCAAACCCCCAAAAAAGAAACCCGAAAAAGAAACCAAAGAATATTTAGAATCCCCTTCCCCTTTCTCCCGAAAATGGCGGTGTATATCTATTTATGAATTACTCAAGCTCTTTGTGTGCACGGGCGAGGAAGACAAACAGACAGAGAGAGAGAGAGAGGGAGAGAGAGACGGAAGGAAATGTGAATGTGTTGTGTTGTGTTATAGAAGGTGTGATTCGAAATCCAAGTATCTGTCTGTCTCTGTCTGTACCATGTCAGCTCATTTTAATGGCGTTGTTTTTCTTTTTCTTTTTCTTTTTCTTTTTTTTTTTTTTCTGGTTCCCTTTACTCTTTATTTCCTTTGTTGAATTGTCCTCGTCCTCGTCCTCGACCGTCTACCGTCTACTTACCTACCTACCTATCTCTAGTTGTTTACCATGATCTACATCTTCTCGTTTATCTTGACCTGTGTGTGTGTGTGTGTGTGTGTGTATAGTGACACTGAGCTTTTGATATGATCTTGGGGTTATACTGTTAAGACGTAGAGATACTACTTTACATACTTTAGGTAATAGAGAACCTGTAGGAAGAAGAGAAGTCAAATCAGGAAAAGAGGAATAGATAATGAGTAGGTAGTAGGTAGTAAACTACGCCGTAGGTAAGTAAGGTGGAGATGGACTAATACCTAGCCTAGCTAGCGCAAGGGAAAAATGATAAATAATACTATAATAATGTAGAAAGCCTAGTAACGCCATAATATTGAAAAAAAAAAAAAAAAAAACAACAATAGTTAAAAAAGTAAGAGAAGAGGAAAGATATTAGCGCCTTGACCAATGCAAGCAGGCAAGAAAATGAGATTAAGAAACCTTCCGTTAACTATCTTATCTTGTTCTCACGCTAGGCCAGCCACCATGCACCACACACCCAGGGAAGAGAAACAACCTTTGTCCTAGAATGTCGAAATGACAAAAAGGTGAATTCGACCATTTTGAGTCTGGGGGGACATTTGATTTCTCTTTCATGACTTGTTGAGGTGACCGTTTGCCAGATATACCATCTTGCATCAAACTACACATTATCATCATCGTAAAGGAAGTTGATATCCCGCGGCCGGCGCCGATTATATGAGACGAAATCGCTATCGCCTGGTGGACGTTCGTTCCGGGTATTCGCAGTCAACATGCTTTGGATACTAATGCAGACGCTCTCGACTGTCTGGACGGGCGACCATCCGGCGGAACTGAGGAGGTCTAGACATATGATTCCGTTGCTGTAGATGTGCGGGTGGATGGGAATCGGGCGTTGTGTCTCTGGGGCGGTGCTCTCGATAAATTGAACTTCTGGGGGTTCTAGATTTAAGAGATTAACCCGGGGATATGAGGTAGGATGGGGCACCGGAGAGAGAGAGACATACCAATTGGGTATTTTGACCCGAATGTGAATTTTAGTCGGTACGTTTGGTTTTGATAGAGCGGATTGTCGTCAAGAACTTTAATGTCCATTTGCCATTCATCGAGCCCGTCGGCCTTTGCGATTGATATCCCCGGGGGGACATGGTCTTGCATCTACCTGGGATGTGAGCTTTGGGTGCTTTGAGTGGAGGGCTGGCAGGATAAGGTGGAAAGCCTCAACGCCGTTGGTATTGTGCATGGGGACTGGGCGGGGGCGAAGAAAGAACGGAAATAGCTGTGAGGATGTGTGTAGGTACCTTGATGAGCTCCTTTTTTGGATGTTAGCAAAGATGATGGATAGATATACATGCAGCTGCGGCGAGGGGCACAGCTTACCTTACCTAGTCGCTTGGAAGCGAACATCTTTGGGGGACGAGCCTTCTACAAGGCTAATTATCAAAATATTTGCAGAATCCAGGCGTGAGACAGTGGACTGCCCAGGTATTGTATTTATTGCAAAGGGCTGAGCGAAGCCTCGTCCACGGGGCGTAGATGTATGACGTTGAGTACCGGTGCGGGGCGATCGACAACCATCCAAGTACCTAAAGATGCAGCTGCAGTGAGGTGCGGGAAAGGTGGGGGGGGGGGGGAGACCTCAAAGGCAGGCGGGGAGTGATATTTACAAAAGCAGGGCGAGAAAGGGCTCAAGAACAGAAAATGGACAAGATAGAGAGAGAGATGCGAGGGCGTGAGTGTGTTCGAGGGAAGTTTCCTGGTCTTCGATCAGATCATCTGGAGAACATCACCTGATTGGCCCGGCAAGTCACGACCGCCTGACACGTGACAACTATAGCAGCCGAGGAGGTCATGACAGACGAACAAAGTGTAGAGCTGACTACGGTGTTCCTTTAAGTGGCAGTGGGATATGGAGTATCGGAAGCTGAATTGACTACGGTCGACTCATGTGCCGAGTGGGTGGAACCTGGGTAAAAGCCAGGATAAGACCGCCAGAACAGCAAAGTGGAATCCAGAAAAGAGTTAAGAGATGCTGGGTAAAAGAAAGAAAGAAAAAAAAAAAAAAAAAAAAAAAAAAAAAGGTATTGAACTTGCAGAACAGAGTGCACGCCATTTGAATTTAGAAGAGGGGAATCACTGAAATACAATTCATAGGAAAATCATCTGATGATCCCTGACTCGGTAAGGAAACAGTGAGGGAAAAAAAAAAAAAAAAAAAAAAAAAAACAAAAACCATCTCCTGTGTAAAATGAACTAAGAATGGCTGCTTTTTTCGCGAGCCTCACGTTCAACCCTTTCTAGTTCCTCGTTCTCCTTCATCTCGCGGACTTTGGCAAGTACGACTTCTCGGAAGATGGCACCACGCGCAATCTTGCTCAGACTACGCTTCTTAGTGGTACCAGGTTCACCAGCAGTGGATGACGACGAAGGCGAGGCTGCATTCGCTGTTGGGAGAGCTGGGAAAGGCGTTGTTTTGCTCGAAGAGTCTGCCATGTCGACGGGGCTGGGGATATCCTCGTCGTCTTCTTGCATCTTGAGCGCTTCGATGCGGTTTGCGAGCCTGATGATCTCGATACCTCTCTTGAGGCGAGAGCGGGCAATATAGGCGCGGATTTCGGGGAGCAGATCGCGGTCGCTGGCAGATTCTCCCTTCAGCCAAGGGTGTTTCAGGGCAACTTCGGATGTCGGCCGGTTCGCGGGGTTCACCTGGAGCAGGCTGAGGATGAAGTCCTTTGCATCTTTGGAGACGTCGTGCCAGTAGCGCTCGTGGAAAATAACCCTGCCGGATCGGCATTCTTCGATTAGATCTGTCAGGTTCTCGGACCGGAAAGGCGAATAACCGCATAGCAGAGTGTATGTAATAACTCCTAAGGACCACATATCCACGGCCTTTCCATGTCCCTGCTTGAGCATAACCTCGGGGGCGGCATAGCCAAAGGAACCTGCCATGCTGGTGAGGACCTCGCCTGGGGTTTCCAACATTTTCGCAATTCCAAAATCTGCTAGGACAAGTTCCGAGTCTATATCACGAGTAAGATAGAGGAGATTTTCAGGTTTCAAGTCTGGGATAGGCGACGGATCAGCACGAAGACGTTTAAGAAAAGAGAAAGCTGGGGTAGCTTACCTCTGTGGACGATGTTCTTTTTGTGCAAGAAGTTGATGGCGTCGAGTACTTGATGAATGGTTTGTGACGCATCCTTCTCTGTGAATTTGCCGTACTCGCAAATTCGATCGAACAGCTCTCCACCAGTGGCGAGCTGGGTGACAATATAGAATTTATCCTGGCGGGATATTAGCGCAGTCCCCCCAAAATCGGTCGCAAGCATCGCAATTTTACCTTGGATTCAAACCAGTCCACGAAATGGACAATATGGGGGTGGTCAAGCTGCTGTAGCAATTCCAGTTCATCATAGACCATGCGTTCATTGCCGCGGACATTTCTCTTCAGGATGATCTTAATCGCGACCTTTCCAGAAGCACAGTCTGCTTCACGAACAATACCGTATGTGCCAGCGCCGAGGGTTCTGCCGAATTTATACTGAGATCTGCAAGTTGAAGAGGTTATTCATCTGGAGCGAACACGAATAAATTGGGAGAGTCCGGGAGAGGGGGAGTCGTACTTTTTCTCGTAGCTCTCAGGCTGGCCTGAGAGCTTACTGAACATACTAGAGACTGGAACAGACCATTTTATTAGCGTTTTTGTGAATTAATATCAAGAAGCAGAGTACAGGCGATGGCCGAGAACTTTTGTAGAATCATGATGTGGAGGGTGCGCGTCTAAGCACAGAGACGATCCCGAAGAGCCAGGAGCATGGCAAGGGCATTGGATGGAGAAAAGCAATGCTATACTTACAACTCATGGTGTTTGGATCAGTACAGGATTAGAGGATGTATCTCAAGCTTATAGATGGCGGGGCGGATTGCAGGATTGAAGGGAACCCCGCACGTCAGGGGGAAGGGGTTGATGGGAGTAGGGAGCACCCAGGTAGAACGATGTTAACTAGAGAAGAGCAATGAATAAATTAGTATGATATTTCAAGAGCATATATCAGTGTCGAGAAATAGGGCGCAGAGACACAGTTAGGGAGAGGAGTGTAACGAGGAAGGATTGCGGACAATATTAGGTAGTAAAGATGAGGATGAGAGAACGAAACGAAACAACAACCACCAGAAAAAAAAAACACTTACTAATTCTTCTTTCCCGCAAAGAGAGAGAGAGAGAGAAAGGGAGAAGAGGAGAATTAAAGGAAACGAGTAAGGAGCTGACGGGGAACCAGAGGACGGACTGTTAGAGTTTAGCTGGACGAACTGAGGGCACAGCCACAACAAGAGGTTCCCGTAAGGTCAAAAATGGACCATTCAATTTAGAAACGAGTAGACTACTCCGTAGAAAAAAAAAAGAGAAAAAAAGGAAGAGAGAGAGAGAGAGAGAGCTGGAGCCTAGAAGTAGGAGGTAGAGGGGTGGCGGGGCTCATTCCAGCGGGTCAAGTCTCATCTAAGGAGGATTCGGTTTCAGCCCTGAGAATATCTCATTTAATGGTGAGGTATCTAGATATTAAGTCTGGAAATGAGCAAATTGTAGGCTGACTCGAAAGGCCTAAAAATAACTAATCAAACCAACTACACCACAGAGGTATACAGAGATAGATACTATATATAAACGTGGACAAAAAAGGCTAAAATTGAGCAGAGAACTCCAACCGAAAGACATACCTAGATAATAATACTCACAAGCCCAAGTTTCACCAGGTAAATATCCATCTTGTGTGCTCTTGGGTTCCCAAAGATAGTGGTCGCCAACACATTCTTAATCCCTTTCTGACTGTCGTCTTCTGCGACCGCACAAAACCCCGGCTGACCATCCTTGAGAAATAAAATCGTCCCGGCAGTATCCAACCGCATTGGGGGCAGGTCACGATGAACGGGGAAAGCTGGCATCGGGGATATGTAAAGGAGGAGGAGCGTCTCGATGTAGTCCTTGTCTATGCGTGGGACGGGATCGCCTTCGTTGATGATAGAGAGAAAGGTCGAGTGCTCCGTTCCGTAGGTGTCGAGACCTGGCTTGCTTACGGGGGGGGAGCCAAAGACGACGCAATCGATAGATCGGAATTCTGACAGGATTGGTGAGAAACTATTCGAGCAAGGTGGTTATGGAGGGAAGGGGGCCGGCCACTGACTGGACGATAAATCTGTTAATGGCGAGCTGTTCTTCGACATCATGTGGGCATATAGTAATGATGCAACAGCGCCGCCGGCCGAATGGCCCGTAAACAGCAGCTGGATCTCTGTTGCTGGCTCTTCTTTTTCAGCGTCAGAAAGGACTGATGAGACAGCCCCCGAGACTTTGTCGGCCATGGCTTTGGCGCACGCTAGGAAACCGCCATGAACTTGAAACGAACGGGTCTCCGAGTTCTGCGCTGTATCAATAAAGCTTCCCCTGCTAGGGTTGAAAGGGAAACCATGAGAACACGTACAATAAACCCATCGCCGTCCGTCCCGGTCCCCATATCGTCAAAGTTGACCGTCCAGTCCTTTCGTTTGGAGGTTGAGCCTCTGATGGCAATCACGAGCAGCTTAGGAGCAACCTTTTCCGCATGCGACGAGAACAACTGCACGCATGTCGCTTTGACCGTACCATCGAGCAAAGAGGCACCGATATCCTGTCTGTACGCGGTGGGCTGGTAATCCGAGAACTCCTCTGGAGCATCGACCTCGCCCACACGCCCGGGACCGTACACAGCCTTTGCGCTCCAGGCCCCCAGCTTGATGAGGCTGAGTTCCCTTTCGCTTCTAGAGGGGCCACCAGTTAAAAGCCAAGTTTACCTGGGATACCGAAGACGGGGACATACATCGGGATAGGTCCCACAGAATCCGGTAGCAAGCCATTCTGGTAGCTCTGGACCTTTTCAATCTGCCGGCTCATAGAGACGACATCGATTTCAACCTCACCGGCTAGGGAAATTTAGTCGAGCGCATTCCTCCCTGGAGAAATCGAGGGTGAATCAAATTACCTGATAAATCTACTCGCTCGAGATAGTCATCTAATCGGACCGACACCTCGCGGAGGTTGTGGGATGCAGCGGCGGAGTGGTTTGACTGAGAGACATCGGCGACCGAAGCGGAGGACCCTGCGGATGCCTCTGCAGTGGATCGAAACGTCTTGCTTCTGGTAAAGGAGTTTGCTACTTTTTTGGCAAAGGCTTTCCTCATAGTGAGTGAATAGTTATGTATATGTACTGAGTAGAGTGACTCCCAGGATCAGTATCGTGGATGGGGCAGGGTTTTAGCGCAGTATGTAGCCTATGCCCTGTGGAAACCCAAAAAAAAAATAGAAAGATTTCAACAAAGAAGACGGTAAGAGAAATGAATGGTAAAGAAGGGATCAGCCTCGTCCATGACTGCAGTTTGACAGCAACGACTCGCTTGAAATAGCCAGAAAAGGGCTACATATACGAGGGGAAGCGGAGTGCGGCTGAGTCCAGGGCAAACCCGGACAGGCCGAGGATTGCAGATAAAACGCTCGCTTTGTCCCGAGAGATTCAGGACGTTGATCAACGGTGCACCGTCTGCGATCGCATTATGAGTTCGAATATCTTTGAGAATCTGCAGTCGCCTGTTTCTCACGATGCCGACTTGGACAAGGGCTGGCAACAGATCTCGGAGAAGGGCGACGACCCGGTCACTGTCCTCTTCGGTTCCCTAATGGAGATATACTGGGCTGCCGTGGTAGATGAAATGGCAAATGCGATTTTGGCCTTTGACGATTACAAGACTTTCATTCCGGGGGGGTTACAGGAGCTGGCTGAGGAGGCGCTGGAGAGTGATTATCTGCGAGAATTGCTGGACTTGTGGGGTACGGCGCTCATAACGCGAGAGGTCCTCCTTCTGACGTGAGAATAAGATCCCCTGGGGCTGCCGAAAGAGGTCAAAGATGATTTGTGCCAGGGCATTTTCAGTAATGTAAAAGGTTGGTTGGTTGGTCCCGGGAGGAGTCATTCTTTGCTGACGACACAGTAGAGCGACAAAACGTATCCCAGGATGAGTTGGTTGCCCGCTCATTGCTTCAGGCGTGTGGTTCGTGCCCTCTTGACCTTGGAAGTCTGCTCTGTAGACACTAATCCAGAGACGCAGGATTTACGGATTATGATTATGTTCAAGAATACAGAAGACCGACGTTTCCATCGTTGGGACCAGCACCCCAGGGTACATACATACCTGCAAGCCTTTCACCTCCACACTTGTAGACCACTGATTGAAATACACAGTCGATACAAGATTCCCCGGAGTATATGAAGCTGTGCAGTGCTCCGAATGCCGATTTTGTATTCGGTCCTTCCACTTTTATGAGTGCAAAAAAGGATGCATCGATTGGTGGGTGGTAGTGTGTTTCTTTCCCTCCTCATACCTGGTTGACTGACCTCGAGAATAAAGTACCGTGAATCGCAATCATTTGAAAACGGTTCTCGAGGACAAAAAGTCGAAACCGACGTCGCGGGATCAGCATTATCTTTTGGACTGTCTTGTGCCGCCCCCTTTTCGTCTTTGCTGCACCTGCATGGAAACGTCGTCGCACAAGAAAGACCATCTGAAGGTCGTATACCGCTTTAAAAAGGCAGGCGATGAGGGTAAGTACCGACCTCTTCTAGAGTCTGGTTCGTGGTTCCTGACATCGTGATAGAGAATCGGAAATTTAGCCGCGAATTAGACGCCCTTGAGGATCATATCAAGGGACAGAGTCTTCTTTCCTTTGGAAATGCCTTTCTCGATCATCTCTCGTTAGGCGGGTGGAAACGCTCGTCCGTCAGTTCTCGCCGGCTGTTCCCAGCAGGAAATGCACACTGTGCTCTGATGTTTGGACCGTTGTTGATCGAGAATGGAATGACAATGTGAGTCTAAGAAATCGCGCGAGACTGGTAAACATTGCTAATTGAAGCCCTATATGTATAGCTATCCGGGTGGCGCTTTGATATCCGCCCGCCCACTCCCTTCGTTAGGACGTCACACATCTCGCGAAATCAAAGAATATCTCCGGCCGGAAAATTTCCGAACTATCGATGGGTGTGACATGTTCTGCTCGCCATTATACTCCGTGTCTCCGGACCGCCGGTTCTACGAAGCAATGAAGCGAACACGGGAGCGTCGCTTTCTCTGCGCAAGGAAGCAACTTTCTGGGGGGCTATTTACCGACTATAATGGGAACCCCCTGTGGAGACTGGGGGAACCAAAGCTGGTGGAGCAATTCCTTAATCTGACACTTGTATGGAGAGCTGGGAAGGCGCCGGCAGGGTCTGAAAAGTTCAATAGAGATCTGCTCTTGGAATGCGCAGGAAGGCTCGCTGCATCTATGCAAGCCATCTTCGGCGAGGAAATCAAACCTCACCTGTTCATGCTTGCGCAGAAGCTAGGCAAGAAGCAAAAGTTAGCGTACAGCCGCATGAGCAACAACTGCCAGGACTTTTGCAACGGACTTCTCGACTATGACAGCTATATCCATCCCATGGTCAGCGCCATGTACCCATTCATCCCAGTCGGGTTGTCCGCCGATATAGAGCAAGCTGCAGATGATCGCTCCCTGAGCTATCTGCAAAGTTTTGTCAAGCCCCTGCAGTATCCGATCCAGGGAGGCCGCAGCAGACGAATGATGCTCGGCTCTGCAATAACCATGTACTCCAGCTCAGCCCAGAACGACGCAGATCTCATTGACCATGTCTACAGTGTGCGGTTCGGATATGATTCGGAAAACCACTTTTCTTTGGGATTTACCCTTGGCCCTAAGCGGTCTTCAGGGGATCCGTACCTCCTAAAAGACGAAGAAATGAGCTGCTCCGATAGATTCGCTGCGTCGAATTTACCCCTGTCCACTGAAGGGCTTGCATCGTGTTCGCTGGCCGACCACCTGCTTGACTGCCCTCAGGATAACCTGTCAATCCTGCAGACCCATCTCCTCCGCCAGAAGAAATACTATATCGACGAGGACGGCGAGTTTCTTGTGAATCTGGGGCCAAAGGCCTGGATGAAAAACCGACTGGAGATCCTCCGTCGACTGAGTTTGATGAACGCCTTCCTCGCCGAGATAGCGAAACACTTCCAGGCCTGCTGTTGGGAACTGCTCCCGCAAGTAGGCGTGGTAAATGTCAAGACACTGATGAAGACCTGGCGGCCGGCCAATACCATCTTCTCGCGCGCCTGGCACCTGGACAAACGGGACGGGAACAAGCTTTACTATGCACCGGATCTTGACTTTGGAGATGGAGAGATGAGCAACTACAAGGCCGTTGGGTTCTTCACGCTCGGGACGCCATTGTTCGAGACGCATAGACAGGTCCTCGATGGGGAAAATCTGTTCATGACCCGGTTGAAGACCTTGAAGTCACTGCTTTCATCGAGGCTAGCGGGCAAGGATGAGGTCTGGTCACCCTGGGAGTGTTGTACCTGTCCAGAATGCAACATACATCGACTGCAGTTCCTGTGTCAGCGTCTCGACTGGAACTTCATCACGGTCAGGGATGCTCGGAAATCTGGGGACGCGATGCCGGTTAAGCCTGGGCATCCTGATTATGTCTCGCCGCAGGAGTTGGAGAGGTTTCTCAACGGCCAGAACTGGGGGGATGTTACTGACGGGAGGAAGATCAATTTAGAGTGGGAGGAGGAGCGACACGAGAAGAGCGGGTCACAGTGGGTGCAGACTTACCTGCAGTGCTTGAGGATCATATTTGATACGGACAAGGCAGATTCCCAGCTGCTTCGAGAGCGCTTGGAATATTACAGGTTGGTATTTGCGGGGAAGGAATTGCCCGGGTAGGGAGGCCAGCCCTGGATGCAAGTTCTGCGAGGCCGTAGTCGATCTCTTAGCACATTGCTGCTTGTAAAGTAAGTTGTCTGTCGCTGTCTAGATATGGAGCAGAGGTACATCCCAGGTTTTTCTTTCTTTTGATTTCTTGTGTCAATTCCTCTCAATCAAAGTTATTTGACATCATACAATGTTCGCGTAACGCATAGCAATGAGGGCCTCAGTGGGAAATGTGTACGTACAATGGATGAATGATACACAAGACTCACATCAATCGTTCTCGTTTCCAGTTATCTTCCTCTCATTCCAATCCCAGTGTCCCAGCTAATCAATCATCAAGACGAGGCATCTGAGCATCGAGGTATAGCTCATCCAAAACCGACCCGCAGTAAGCCTTGTAGTACGCGCTGCCCTTCCACCGCCGCTTGGAGGACCTCAACCCCACAGTCTGCCATCCCTCAGCACGGAGCCGCGCAATCCGCGCTTGCATCGTCTCCGTGGTTGAATCTGGGTCTGAAACCCGCTGAGCAACGCTCTCTGGAGACGCCCCCTCTGTCACAGGACGAAAGGACCAAAACGAAGCCGATCGCCCGAAACTCTGGGACTTCTTCTTCCGGGCCTGCCGGATCCCAGCCACTTCGTCAATCAAGTAATGGACCGAGGCAATATTCGAGTTGATCTGGCTGTAGAGGAAATGAATGCTGGCATTGTAGTTGCCCACGGCAGCGGCCTCCTCACGGCGGCGTGGTGTCATTGGCGCCGCCGCCGCCGCCGCCGACGCCGCTTGCTGGTAGCCGTGTGACTCGGCGGCGTGGCTTGAATCGACGACAACAACAACAGCAATATCACCACCTCCTAGCCTGCTTTTGGACCTGTCAGGACAGGTACGCCCGAATGGGACGACTTTGATAGGCAGCGGTGGCGGTGGCCGGACCCGCCCTGGTCCACTGCTGCCAGTATGATCTGTACTTGGAGCTGCTTGCTCCGCAGAGTAGTGATCAGCATCGTCTGCATTCTGGAAAGGACTCGCTGAGACGTTATTGACCTGTGCAGGTGATTTTCGGACGTGCAGCGGAGGCGGCATCAGGCTTTTTTCTTCGAGTTCTTCAACGGAACCCTGGTAGATGCTTGAAGAAGTACTGTTGGCGTCGTCGTCGTCGTCGTCGTCGTCGTCGTCGGAGCAGCCAAGGGTTTTGTCAATGATGTCTGTAATGCTGCTGACGAGACTTTCAGTCGGGGAAAGTGTCCCTGATAGGTCTGACGCTGAACAAGACTCGCCAAAGGAGGTGTAGCTGGGAGTTTCGGGATCGGTCTCGTGGATGCGTATGGTGTTGGGTAGAACCGCGAGACAGGTAACAAAGCAATCCAAGGCTGAGTGTAGCAGAGGAAGTTTATTGATCGAGTAGTTATGAGCGTAGCGACCCATTGCTTCGTATGAAATTGCACTGTAGTAGTAAAGGTAAGTTTTGTACACTGGGTGGATCTGGAGTAGTGACTGGGGATTAGCCGGTGCTGCTGGATTCCATGACACAGCTTGAGGAAACACGACGACTTACTGCTTCCCTGGAGGTGTTGAGGATAGCTGACGAACGGGCGATGCATCGTTTATACTGACGCTGGAGATACAGCAACTTAATATCCTGCAGGGTTATCTTCCATTGTTCGGAGGCACGGACGGCCACAGATGCTCCAAGACGAGAGGATTTGATAGCAACCGCGGGAGTCATGATGAAGCGCTCTAGACGCAGGATGTGTGTATTCTAGAAAGAGAGCAGTGAAGAAACAGGGAAATTTACCAGAGATCGTGGGAAAAGTAGACGAGATCGAGTCAATAAACCGCGTCTACCGTCGTGGCAACAGACACGTCCGAGAGTATATGGCCTTGCAGTGAGCAGATTATATTATCTACGTAGACAAGCCAATGAAGATGAACTGTCACTATTCAAGGGAGAGATTATTTGCTGCAAAGATCTTGCTTTCTCTTTTGAAACCGGATGCATCAAACTCAATAATAACGTCCCTTAATACCGAATAGGAAGACTATCAAAGTAGCGACTCGACAGCTCCCCCTGCTGTCTTGCCTTCTCCCGGATCTGTCGGTCGTCTAGAACGCCTTCGCCGCTGATGAAGGCATCCACAAATGAGAAAGGTACCCATTCGAAATAGATATTCCTCACGTCAACGCTGGAATTCCCCGGCTGGGACTGATGCACGACGGCCTCTTCTACGGTCTGAACCCCCTTGATTTCATCACTGCTCCATGCGCTGATAACCTCTTTGGGATCGTTGTCTTCGTGCTTCTCATCGTCGATCAGACCAGTCTCCCCATTCACTTTCTCCAAGTCGCTGAGGACGACAACCGGGACGTTAGGGTTGATGTGTTTTGCGCTGAGAACCACCGGAAGCGATCCCGTTTTGTTGCTGACACCTTTGGAGAGAGAGATCCGGTCAGCACCGAGCAAAACCATGTCCACATTCTGCGCAGCCACCGCGGCAGATGCATCCGTATACAGACTGATTGCCAGTTTTCGACCGCTGTCAGAGCTGTACCGCGCCTGGAACTCCGACAGGACAGACGATGCCATACTGACCCCCTCGAACAGTGGCCGTGACTCCAGAATGCGCAGCTCAAGCGTCGGCACGTCCACCGAAGCAAAAGCATCCACGATGCTATCGCGAATGGTCGAACTAGCGGACAGAGTCAAGATGGTAAGCCTGTCTCTTGCTTCCTCCTCATTCGAAAGAAAAGCAGATCGCAGGTACGACGCAAATGTGTCCTTGACCTGGCGCGCACGACTTGTGCGACTCTGGAGATGAAAGTCAATAACCGACAGCATACGATCCAGTCGTTGCGCCGAAGTCGTGTCCAGCTTCCAGCACTCTTCCAGATCCTGTAGCACCACGAGCAGCAGGTTCAACGTCGCGGCCCCCATACTCTCGCGGCCATTCTTGACGAGATGCCACGCGGTCATCCTAACCGTTTCCCACCAGACCAAGCTGTCCGGGGTGGTTTCCATTTGCACAACCAGGTCCCGGAAAACAGCCCCCGCAATCGCAGTCAGCTCCTGGGCTCCGCTCTCATGGTCGTTTTTGAGTCTCTCCAGCCCAGCCGCCAGCGAACGACCGACCCGATCCGGCATCTCCCCTTCAAACCAGACCCGTCGCAAGCTCTCGCGCAGGTGCGGTACGCCATCAAACCCCGCGTCATTAACCACTGCGGTGGGATTGTACCACTGCCACCCCTCATGCTCCCAATCAATCCTAATGGCACTCTTACCCCCTCCGCCTAGGGCAGAGCTCCGCAGCCGGAACCCAAACGGATGCACGGTCCATTCTCGCCCAACAGACTCATCGGCAAAGGTAAAGGGCATTCCCATGCGCCAAAACGCCACCGTAGACGGCGTAAGGGTTGTTTCCTCCGAGATCTCGCGCCATGCTGCCGCCAGGGGATCTTTGTCTTTGCGACTGATGCTGCCTGATATTGGGGCGATTCGATGTCTTATATATCGTTAGCCAATACATAGCATAAGGTACAAACAGACAGAACTTATCGAAGGACGATATATATATATATGACGTACCGGTATGTGCTCACTCTATCGCTCCTCTTAAAGAGCGCAACTACAGGTTCTTCACATGGTTCATTTGGGTAGCCGAAAATAAACGACGACACGACGGCTCTTTTCTCAAGGGTGGTGTGGTCTTGCCCCGCCGCCATCATTTTGGACGCGGGAGAGGGGGTCTTCCAGCGAAGAAATATCTGTTTTGGATGTCTGTGAAAAGGCGTTCTGGATGGAATTCTGGAGCGCAGCTTGGCCGTTAGGTTGCAGAGATGATGATTATGCTGGTGGGTTCAATTTGTGTGCAGATACTGTATGTAGGGAGACCGCAGGTGCAGGGCAGGGTCATGAACAACAACAGCTACTTGGTATATAGTCAAATGCACCTTTTCGTAGGGTTATTTAGAAAAGAAAAAGGAAAAAGAATCAAAATGTTGTGTATGGAAATTGTATATATATATATATATATATATATATGTTGTTGTTGTCGCCCCAATTATGACGTCAAAAGGAACCCTTGGATATCTACTCTGTAGAGGACATTATAGAAAGATGATATAATCAAAAAATGGATGTAAAGTCATTATATATACATTATCATTACCCGAGAAAGACTAGACGCTATACAACCTCCTGTATACTCCGCACCACCATATCAGGCGCGATCAACTTCTCCCGAATCGTCAGCGCATTCAAATAATCATTCCTATCCACCCTGCGAAACCCATCTTCTAGCGTCTTCTCGATGCCCGCGCTGAGATGCCTCCGTGCAACACGCTCCCGAGCCTCCTGTAGATCGGTATCAATAAACACCCGATAATCGCACAGCGTCGCGACATCCCGCCAATCAGTCTCGTCTAGGAGCAGATAGTTCCCTTCGAGGATGAGGATGGAGACATCGTCTGTGATGGCGATGCCATTTTCAACGGGGTCCTTGGCTTCATGGTCAAAGGATGGCGCGTATAGAGGGGGTTTGCTTTTCTCTGCGTTGGCTTCGGCATCCGCCCATTCTCGTAATCGTCGCACGAAGGCCACGAACCGCGCAGAGTCGAATGTCCACGGTGCTCCGCGGCGAAGATATGCTTCTTCACGATTCGGGAGCTGATCCAGTGTCGCCCGCGACAGGTGGAAGCCATCCATGGAGAGTAGAGCGGTCTTTATGGCAGAGGGGCCGGAATTGAGACGTCGCGTGACGGCCGTCGCGGTTGTGGTTTTGCCTGCCCCGGGAATTCCTGCAACGGCAACGATCAATCGCTTCTTAGAATGGTTTCTTGATCTAGAGCGAATCGCTTCTGCGATTGTGTCGTATTCATGGTTCATTTTGGGAGCTGGTTGAGGCGAGGTTAGCTGAGGCACATCGGAGAAGAGTTCCTCGGTGAAAGTACTAGTAGAGCTCACGTACTAATTTGCTATCTTGAAACCAAATAGGCTTATTGGAAAGGTATAAAACAGTGCAGGGGAAATCCAGACACTTATATCACCCGTGAAGAGGCGTCGGTTCACTGTGCTCCGTTTTGGCGGTGGCCATGACATGACGCACCAGTTGAATGTTAACTATCTGATAGTTATTGCGATTGAGATAGTTTCCTATCCGATGAACGTGTTCTCTTGCTTTGTGAATGCTCGTCTTGCATCTTGCTCCAACCCAGGTTACTCTGGTATATCCGCGGGAGCTCCTTTATAGGGGAAGACTTCCGATCGCAGAAGATCGGTATTTCCTTCCAGCTATCAACCCCCATATTCAGGATTTTAGGAACTAGCAGCGTCGAGAGGACAGGCTAGGAATTCATATCTTATCGGAATTCTAGGGGTTATCTATGCACTTTCCCTGGTACGAATAAAATATTTGAAACGCAAGCCTCACACACAACGTAGGTATTTCACCAGGCTCTCATCCAGCCCGTTTTCTTGCCCTCCCCTTGGCCTCAATCATGTGTAATCGAGTCGTCCCCAGCAGATGGTACCTTTTTCGATCGCTTCATGGTGAGACGCAGCGGGGCTACGTAAAAACAGAGAAGTTGCTGGTCCACACAGTGTGCACATTGCGGTTTCTGCAAATCACATGCCACACCCCAAGCTTTACAAGCCCGACAGGGAAAGGCCTCCTGCGTGAGATCTTCTTGCAGCTGTTCCTGCGGCTGGGATCGGATCTTCATCTCCCCCGACGTGTGGGTTCGTGGGATTCGTTTAGTGCGCGGTGCGCTGGCGCCAGCGCTCGCTTCGAGCTTAGTGCCGCTCGAGTCCCCAGCAGCTCGCAGATTATCGGGGACTTCAGATCGACCAACGTCCCATCCCGACCAAAGCCATTTGGAAAACCGAGAAAGCATGCACGAGCCTTGCGTCTTGCTCTTTTGGATCCGGGTGTAGTTTTCGGGAGCTTCCAGGTAGGAAACCGGTCCATCAGCCATTGTGGTCGTCATCGCGTGGGAATGCATTTTGGTTTTTAGTAATACTCGGTGTTGGGAATCTAAATGGATCACACGATCACCTGGTCAGCATGTCCTCCAGAATGCAAGTCACAGCTGGACATACCACTGCTGTTCTTGTCCCTTGCCCAGAATACGAACGGATGCCATAGGTCGAGGATTAGGTCGGATGGCGCCAGTCATTTCCACAGTATCAGAGTGTAGGATGGATGAAAGGGAAGATGAGAGAGAGAGAGAGAGAGAGATAGAATCTGGAGGCCCCTTTTTGCGGAACAGAGCAAGCAAAGAGATGTTTTTACACAGGAAAGCGCGGCAAGGAGATCGGACGAGAACCGAGAATAAATGAAAGAGCACCCAGAAGTGGAGGGCAAGAAATCCAGGGTAACAGGTAATGCTTCGAGTCAAGATCATGGGAAATGCCAGCGCACACACAGACCTCCAACTTAGGCAGCTAAAGATTCAATAGTTATTCACATGAAGTCGCTCTGGAGACAACACATCAAGATTAGAACGCTGGAGACCCGGTCGAATGGGATGCATCGACACGCAGCCTGTCACCACTCTCTTGATCTGCCCGCATCTGATTTTATTTCGGCCTCTTCGTACTAGAGTCACTCGGAATATCGGGCAGACTTTAATCTCGGGGGATGTGTATGATTTAGGAGGCCTCCAAGTTGGCGACAGAGCCCCGTGGGCCACTTGGGCACTCTCCAAGATGGCCAGGTCGGGGCCTATTGGATGTGACAACTCCCGCCGTGGGGGCCTAAAACATCCAAGGCCAACAGATCTGCTGTGAGTGTGTGATTTCCAGGGTTATCCCGTCGGATAGATCAAGGAATTCAGTCTTGGAGAGTGCCTGCCTTGCCCGGGAATGACGGGGATGGAACCCGCCAATTGATAGGACCCCGATGTGGGCTCGACGTTGGAAGAACCTTGGGAAGTATCTTGAGGTGGCGGCTGGGACACTTTGGGGTAATCTAACGCACACACAGAAAAAAACCAAAAAAAAACCTATACATTAAAAAGATTCCACTGACTCCAAATTCGGGATTCTCTCAAGTCTGACTATCAGCTTCCCGAAAAGGATGCTGGTTAAAAATAACGCTTCCAATAACCTCGTCCACATTCCTTGTTACACATCACAACGGGAGTATACTAACATTACACAGTATACGGCATGTCGGGCCATATTTCTATCCGCTCGTCGTTTATGCTACCCCAAGTTCAATAGCCTATTCAGATACACACAGGAATGGACAGTTCTTATACACATTTTCGGACCTGGGAAGAGGAAATTATGGCTTCCCCTTCCAAGCGTTATCAATGAACTCCTTGACCTGAACAAGTTTTAGATCCGGGAATTTGGAGTTCGAGCGAATCCCAGCTGGAAAGTCAAAGACTTGGGCAATGGTCAGCCTGCTCACTAGAGCGGTTGTTTCTCGCAGCTCCTCTTGGGTATATTCTAACCCTTCAGGCATCGGAGGAACAGTGACATTTCCTTCTTTGATCTGCTCTGGACTGTCATGAACGACCCGGAACTTCTTGCCTAGTAGATCTCAGCAGACTGCCAATATGAGGGAACCATCCAACGGAGCAAGCCCTGACCTCGAACCTGCTCTCCTAGTTCTATAAGCTGGTTATAGGTGATATCATCCCCCACGATGACACTGAACTCAGGCCACTCTTCGACATGGAGCAGTCTTGCAATAAACGCGGCCATGTCATAGGTATATGTCATGCCTATTACGTCGTTTCCATCCCCCGGGATCGCAGCGTGACCGCTAGCGATGTCGATTCCAAAGGTAAAGGGTTGTAGGTTCGTGCGAACATGTGGCATTCCCCAGTAATCCATAAAGAAGCCGGGGATTACCCGGGTATACTTCAAGTTTCCATTCTGGAGCAACTTGGCGGCGTCGATGAAATACTTAACGCCGGGGTCGATAGGTAGGAGGCTGCGGTTGAAAATTTTAGGGATGTTGGCCTGCCATATAACATGAAATGTAATACAGATCAGTCAACTTACTCTTCCGTCTGAATGTAAGAGTATTCACTTGGGATAAATCTCCTCGTAGGGATGGATTTCTCTGCCGCTTTAATGAGATTCAACTGAGATTCACTAGTCTCGTCGGAGTACAGCGAAATTGCCGACACGACGGTGTCTATCTCGTACTGTTCTAGCGTTCTGACGAGAGCAGAAACATCCCTGTAATCTACCTCGACTTGTTGCAATCTCTCGGGGATTGGACTTGTGGTCGCCTATGACTTGGTTAGATCCTGCAGGATATCTGGGTATGTATGGTATGAGAGCGTGAGGATTGGGTTCTTTTCTTACCTTTCGAGTTAGTACAATGACTTGGTGTTTAGATTCCTGGAGTAGGACATTGACAATCGTCCGGCCCACCCCCCCGGTACCTCCTGCAACTGCAATAACAGCCATGTTAAGAGCGCCTGCAGTTGATACCTGATGTCGAGTTAGGAGATCTAGATCTTGCAAGTAGTGTAGAAGTACTAATTTTGAGTGATGGTCACCCCGCTTTCCTGATGTGGATGTGGATAGAGCCTCAGGCCAACCATTGTTCAAAAGTACGAGAAATCTGTTCGAACTGCTGCTAAGTACTAGGTATCAGGTAGGTAAGAGGCATCCTATTTCCAAATTGAATATCAAGCTCTACACACCTGGTGATATCCTACTTACCATTACGGGAGAAAAGCCAGAAAACAAAATATGTGGTGAATACTGCTTTATATAACCGGCTACTAGTGCTTTATATTCTGGGAGACCATGCGTGAAACATTATAAACTGGAAGGTTGAGCCTCCATCGCTGTTGAAACTAGAATCCTTCAGCCCGAACACCAATGCGTTGAATACGTGACAAGTTGAATGAAATTGATTTTACTTCACCTCTTTCCTCTCATTGAAACACCGCATATGGATAATTTACGCTGTGGCAAACTCCTTCAGATAGACCACAAGCTTGTCGATTCCAGACTCAGGGATGGCGTTATAATTCGAGGCTCGGATTCCTGGGCCCCGTTAGTAAATAAAGCTTGCGGGGAACAATGCTTAGCGAGTGCTTGCTTACCTCCGACACTTCTGTGGCCCTTCATACCGGTGATTCCACGTTCAACGCCACCTTTCAGGAAAGCCTTCTCGGATTCGTCGATGTTGCCATTCTGAACCATGTTAGAGAATTTCTTAGTGTCAGAGTTGGAGGGGACCAGGGCATACCTTGGTTACGCGGAAGCAGACGTTCATTCTTGAGCGCGCATTTTTACCAGGAACGACACGGTAGACATCGGGGTAGGCGTCGAGAGCCTCGTAGATCTTGGCTGCCTTTCTCTCGGCAACAACTTGCTGTCCATCGACTTTATCAGGGAATGTGGCGAGCAGCTTCTTGATAACTTGGCCAGCCACGTATACGCTGCAGAAGGTATTAGAAAATGCATGAATCATGTCTCGGGCTCAGGAACATACTCAAAGATGCTCAGGGTGTTGTAGAGACTGTTGTTCTTCGCAACAGTAGAGTAGTCAAGGATAGTTGGCGCAATGGGCAATCCTAGCTTGCGGAGGATGGTAGGGGAGCATGGGGGAGACACTGGGGGAAGCAGGCTCTTGCGGATGATAACTCCTGTGATTCCTGTAAGACCAAGGTTCTTCTGACTGATAGAAGTTAGCTTGTCGCACATGATTTAGGGATGGCAGTGCTGAGGTGGTGGGGTCCCATACGCTCCGAAGTAAACAATCGAGAAGTTTTCGAAAGGAATCCGTCTCGATAGAATCGTCGAAGAAAAGTCTCCAACAACAATTGGGTCATCGTCTGACCCCTTGGATTCGAGAACCTTGGGGAAGTTGGGGTATTCGACGCCGTCAACAGTCTAGTGGTAACTCTCAGTATATATCGTAATATAGCAAAGGACAATCACCTACTTCGTTTTCACAGAGATACACCATGGCGGCCTTGGGGCTGAGCTTCCAGGTTGATTCGTCCGCAATCACACCGAATTTCCCATCATTCGCTGTCCTAGCATCACTGGCGATGTTGACGTATTCAGGGCCAAGTATCCGGGCGGCCTCTTGACTAGCCTTGAGTGACCATCTGCAAGCGCATATTAGCACCTCCAAACACCACATTCACCGGGCTCTTATACTCACGATCCAGTAACCAAGTAGTCCAATCGTAGCTCTGCATCCACTTTCTTCCGCAGCTCCTTGATCAGCTCTTCCTCAGGAACCTCACCCTGCTCTTTCAAGATCTTCTGTCTCTGCTTTTCAACCCAGATTGCCGTCAGATTGTACACTGTAGCATCGAATTGACCGGATCCTCCACCTTTGCGATTGTCAGTACACGCGGGCCCAGCGTTGGCCGACATCGGAGCTCGTACCTTGCATGATCAGAATTTCGAACTCGGGAGGGATGTTTAGGAAGGTTGTGAGATCGGCTTTCATAGTATTCAGGATATTCGCGGCCAATTCGCTGCGATGGCTGTGTTCCGCGACACCCCTACAAATGTCAAGTCAGAGCCGGTTCGCCATAAGCTATACAATGACGCATGCGCGGGGCTTACAATCCGGTGTTCTCATAGTTTTGCAGGGCCTCGGCGGCGGTAGCAAGGACATCTGCGGGGAGGGCAGCAGGGCCTGCACCCAAGTATGTGATATCTTCTCTTCTCATGGTTGCAATTTCTGAATCTTGAGCGTTTGAGAGCTGTAGAAGTGAAGGTGAGGAATTTTTTTTTTTTTTTAGAACTGCTGCCCCTCAGATGAGTCAGGAGGTGAATGCGGCATAGGAGCGGACCTCGGGTCGGAATAACCGCGGGTGCAGACCCCCACTTATATAGTATGATTCATGAGGCTATTCACATACCAGAAATCTATACAATGATGCTATATGCATATTTTGCTTTTTGGGGCATCCTTGGGTGTTGGGGAAACACTATATTCTTTTGTTGTACAGTACTGTGCTCAGTGTTGTATGCCACTCTTAGGGCACCTATTCAAGGTATATGACTGGGTAATTCCAAGACCTAGAATAAGTCGGATTGACTAGCAAATTGAATCAGAACGTTAAGAATGGTAATTATGATTATGCGAGGACAGCTCGATGGAATATATCATATGGTTCATGTCAAGTATTCTTCTTCTTCGTGCTTAGGGCTTCCTTAGATTAGACTACACTTATTTTGCAACTTCCCGGTGCTCAACAACGGCAGGCAAAACAAAAAAAAAAAAAAAAAGAAAGAAAGAAAAATGATAAAAGGCAAAGGTGGTAAACGTGTCTAAAGGGTGACTACAATCTTTTTCGCACTCACGCCCTCCTTCTGGACTTCCAGTGCCTCCTGCAGTTTCTCGAGACCCTTTCCCACAACTTCAGGCTGCGGCTCCGGGACAAAACTGCCATTCGCAAGGGCTTCACCCAGGAAATCCTGCCAGAGTTCTTTGCCAACGCCATTCTCCAGTAGTCCCTGCACCTCTACCAGCCGGTATCCGATACCCCTAGTACGACTTTTGATGGCGTATGAGATCATCGAGGAGAGAAAGTACAAAATCGTGTAGGGAGTTCCGAAGAACTTGGGCGGCTTTTGCGGCACCGGGTAACTGGCCATTGCAATGAATTTGTTACCACGCTCACATCGGTCGAGGATATCAAATAAAGCGCTGGCAGCGGTCACACCGAGAGCGACTGCTCCGGCGGTCGTTTTGCCTTTCATCGCCGTGACTATGTCGTGAACAATAGTCGGGCTGTTGTAGTCGAATACTCGAGCCGCCCCGAGTCGTTCCAGCAAGGGGAAGTTTCGCGGCGAACAAGTAGTGAAGACTTCATACCCAGCTGCCACTGCCAGCTGAACAGCGTTGAGCCCAACACTCGTCGACCCTCCCCAGATGATCACGGTCTCCCCTTTCAATTCCGGCTTGACCGGGCGCGGCGCTGCGAGATTTAATTGCTTCTCATCGAACAAACTTGCCCCAGCTGTCATGATGCCGAGGGGCAGCACAGCCGCCTTTTCATAGGGGAGACTGTCAGGGATTTTGCTGGCGGTCTGCTCGGGCACGGCAGTGTACAACTGGAACGCACTCTGGGCCTGGTCGTGGATATTTTTGCCCAGTCCCGGAGCGTAGGCTACAACTCGGTCACCCACTGCAAAACGGGTTACACTCTGGCCTACCTCCACAACTTCCCCGGCGATGTCGAAGCCTAGAGTGAAGGGGTATTCCATATGTGACACCGCCATTTTACCACGGTCCTGGATGATCCAGTCCATGGGGTTGACTGCCAGAGCGGCATTCTTGACGACAATTTGATCCGATTTTAGGCGTGGATACGGCGCCGTGGTGATTTGCAGCTCCTGTTTGCTGTTAGGGAGCTTCGCGGCTTGGTTGGCGGGAGGCATTGCAAGAATGGAGGAGTAAAATGTCGATGGATGATTTCCATGGCCTAGAATCAATCGATCCAGTCATGTTTAATAGGTTTTGGGATGAGAGGGCTCAGCCATCAAATCTCGAATTGTCATCGAATTGTCATCGAATTGTCACCGTCTTAAATCCGGGATTTATTATCCCCATCTCCTTCCATCATTCCGGATAGCGCCTTTACCGGGACGAGAGCATCATTCTCGTACTGGGGCTAGGCAAAATCGTACTTCACGTTCTGGAGTGCTTAAGCACCAGTCAGTCTATATCAGATCAGGTAAGGCCATAGCGGAGGGTCGGAGGGTCGGAAAACGCGCCCTGCTTTAGTCAACCCGGTAAATGATTCATGGGACGCTCGGGGATCAGGTCTTGATGGTCCAGAGTTCTCAAACGGATTCACTTTCCATGCTGAATGCAGTACAGCAGATACTATTGTTCCTGTTCCGCCACCAGGCTGCTGTGATGTCGAGACTCTATGAACAAGCAGTTCCTCCCGAGCAAGAAGGGCGAACACTACCGCCCATTAACCGGCGAAGAGACAAACCTCAATTGTCTTGCTCACTGTGCAAAAGGCGCAAGTAAGCACATTCACCCTCGCTGAATTTACGTTGTTTGACCCACCGCATAGGTTGAAATGCGACCGGGGAGTGCCATGCAGTACATGTACCCGCCGTGGTCTGTCTCTGTCCTGCACATATCCATCCTCCACGCCATTACAGAGCGGTAAAACAGTCGTTTACCCATCGACAACCTCGATGCACGATAGAGTCGCGCAGCTGGAGAAGTTGGTCATGTCGTTGAAACCCCAGACGGATGGGAAATACATACGCGGTGCGCGCAAGTCTCCGTCACATAAACATGCACACGATGAGCCACAGCTCCCACAGGCATTTGGACGGCTCAGTCTAGAAAACACAGAGACTACCTATGTCGAGAGCTCACACTGGACGGCAATAATTGATGGAGTAGGTCGATTTCTCCTTACCCGCACCGGAAGATACAGAACGCACTAAAATCCACATGAATAGATTGCTGAATTGAAGGATTATTTCGACGATGAGACTACTACTGCCAATACTGGGCATCGGAACATTGAATCAAACGTTCGAGCGCGTGCCCCGGCGTTGATTGTAGGAGATATGCAGCAGCTCGGGAGAGAGGAGATTCTGGCGACTGTTCCACCAAAAACAGAAGTGGACAGGCTTGTAACCAGATATTTCGCCTTCAACAATATAAGCTCGCGTAAATAAATAAACCCTACCTGCTTGCTCCATCTGTCGCTAACGGCTAGCATGTCCAGTGTCAATACATGGGCCAACATTTCTAGAAGAGGTATGCGCGGACCAGCTTATGTATAACGCATGCCATACTAATGAAATGCCTGTCCTGTAGTACGACGCATTCTGGGACGCACCGGAGAAAGCCTCAGACATGTGGATAGGTCTCTTGTTTGGCATAATGTGCTTAGGAGCCCTGCATCAAAAACTGGAAACACCATCCCTCGAGATACCACCGAATCGCGAATTGCTCCGTAGTATTCAAACCTACCGCGAGCGAGTCGCCCAGTGTCTGGCTCTAGCTGACTACACAAAGTGTATACCGTATACAGTCGAGACGCTTCTACACTACTTATCGATTGAATATTTCAATCTCTCCGACGGTCACACGGGCGTCTGGATTCTGCTGGGGATCACCTTGCAGATAGCCTTTCGCATGGGCTATCACCGAGATGGCTCGTATTTCCCCCGTCTGGCGCCCTTCCAAGCCGAGATGCGGCGCCGAACATGGGCAGTTCTTTTCCAACTGGACTCGCTAGCCGCAGGGCAGTTCGGTATTCCGCGAATGATCAATGCATGGAAGGCAGATACCAAGGAACCCCGGGACGTCAGCGATGATGCCCTGAGTCCCGATATGACGGAGCTGCCACCATCCAGAACCGACTCACAACCGAGTTTCATTCAGTTTGTGGTAATGAAAAATCGCCTGATATCAACGTTCACCATGGTGATTGATATCACCGGCGAGCCGAAGAAAGCTGTTTCCTACGAGGAAATCATGAAACTGGACAAAACGGTGAATGACCAGTTTCAGTCGATGCCGGCGCCCTTGCGCACGAAACCTCTGAGCAGACAGCTCCTGGACCCTCCAGATGTCATTCTAAGCAGAATATTCCTAGCCTTGTCGTACTACAAATGTTGCTGTGTTTTGCATCGAGGGTATATGCTGGCGGCTCGCACTGACGATCGGTATCAGTATTCTCGGAGGGCATGTATCGGAGCTGCCCTGGAGGTGCTGCAGATCCAGGCGACTCTGCATGAAGAATCCCAGCCGGGGAGGCGCTTCGAGCACCAACAGTGGAAGTTGGGGTCCCTCGTCAAGCACATCTTTCTTCTGGCGACGACAATCCTTTGCGTCGACCTCCGCTACAGTGTCAGCCAAGAAGAAGGTCACGGAAGTGGGATGATCGAGGATGCGATGGCCCAGCAGATTATCCCAGCCTTGGAGCTTTCCTATTCAATCTGGCTGCAGTCGAGCGACGAGTCCAGAGAAAGTCGCAAGGTTACTGAGATGCTGCGAATTGTCCTAGCAAAGGCAGCGAGGATCGACCAACGACCACCGAATGCATCAAGCGTCTGCGATTATTCCATGTCTTTCCCTACAGGCACGTATCACCTCGGGGATGGATCCTGTCAAGTTCCTAATAGTTAACTAGTCTACCAGGTGTTCCATCACTAACGCATGCCCAATATTCCTCCACCACTTCATCGATCGATTCTGCATCCTTGGGACTTGGGGGATATTCCACTGGGGTACCTGACGATGCGATTCCACTACCTCCCTGGGACAAGGTAGGTCGCTCGAAGTCTCGAAGGCTGGTGCATGGTTTCTCATTTGCAATTGCTAACCAGGTTATAGATGTGGGAGCCTGATGACTGGTTAGACACAGGTGCTATGGAAGAAATTATTCAGTCTAATGCGTGGGCTGGATTTTGAGATATCTCGAGCTCGGCTTCTTCGAACGTACTCCGTAGAGCAGCCCGCAATCGAACTCTTCCATCGACTCCTCTAACTGAATCTACAACATGGTCTTCTTCTGCTATAATGAAGGGATGAATCCCCCAGGAATATAATAATAGACTCTACGAACTCAGCTTCCGCTAAACAGACTCCCTCATGTACACGGATAGCCTGATTTGATTGCCGATATCTACTCGGAGTTTGAGAATTTCTGAACAGCTATGGCAAGACTGGAGTTGTATAGAGTGTTTTAGGGTCTAAGTTCCAACAGACTCCTGGTTAGCTTGGAAATTGAGTAGAATAGATGTATATCAAGATAGATAGGAAAGTAAATCCATGCACATTTCAGATCCTTCTCCAACCACAACACCAAAGTAGACCACTGTAGAAAACTACGGCCGTACTCCCTCACAAATCAAGAAAGGAAACGACAAGATATCCCCCGGCCGATGACCCTCCCAGTCATCAACCGACTTATCTAGCGTCCATCCAACCCGCACCTGGACATCCCGAAACCCGACCTCATTGAGCAGACCCGCAATCCACTGCCTTGGGAGGCCATGTCGCTCGACACCCTCCAATTTCGTCGGCGGGTGAAACTTGATCGCGTCGGGCCCGAAGTCCTCGAAATCCGTCAGGGCCACTCGACCCCCTGGCGCCAGACACCCGAAGAGCGTGTGCAGGAAGGCGCGTAGATCCGGAACATGGTGCATGACCAGATGCGAGAGGATCAGGTCGAACTTTCGTCGTGGACCAGTGGGGTTCTTCGTGTCGTCGGGGGGGAGTAAGGGATCCTCTGGGTCCTCGAGGAGGCGACACAGAGGGAGCACATTATTATTATTATTATTATTATTCTTATTCTTATTCTTGCTGCTACTGTCCCGGGGCTTTGCTTTGAGCATCTCGATCATGCCGTGCGCGGGATCCACGGCGACAATCTCGTGGACGAGCGGCGCGACTCGGAGGGTGAGGAGGCCAGTGCCGCATCCTACTTCGAGGACATTAAGGCCTCCTGCGGCTTCTGCTGTTGGTATCCCTGAAGTGGCTCGTTTCGATCCAGAGAGCCTCTGAATGATGGGTTCGATGGTCTCGAAGGCGCGTCGCGTGGCTTCCTGTACGGCCGGGTTCTTGTCCCAGTTTGCAGCTTCGTCGTTGAAGCGCTTGTTTCCAACAGACGTCATCGTTTTCTTAGCGAAAGGCAGCTTTGTCGATTGCAGTCTTATGGGGTTTATTGTCGAGGTTGAGGAGGAGAGGAATCAGATTCATTCTATGTGTGGTTTTCGGTAGTCGGGCTAGCAATGCGGGGGGGTTGTGACTATGATGCCATACGGATATACATGCAGGAATATTTAGCCACAAGACGATAATATCGACGCCATGCCTTTATTCGTGTCGTTCTTCGCGTTCTCCCTCTGACGTTGGGGTGTCCAGTTCCTCCAGCACCTGAGCTACACAGGCCTCACATTGGCAGGGATTGTATATTTGGGGCTTTTGGTGAAGGAATGGGATACGGCAGAGATGTGCTGGGTCCCTGCACCGACGCTGGAGCTACTGAGAGCTTGGGAGAAGGTGTTGGATGCAGTTGGTGTGCTGGCGTGGCGGTTATCTGGGGATTCGCGTTGGGGGAGAAATCTGGCAAGTAATGGGAGGAATGGAATCGAAAAACAGCAAGACTTAGCGGCAGGAGTTTTTTAATCTTTGCTGTTTTGCATCTCTAACTGTCGAGTATAATTCTCCAGCTTTGACAAAAATTAACCGAAAGAAAGAAAGGAGAAAAGAGTAGAAATGAGGGTAAGAATCGGGGCTGATGGAGATGCGACCGTTGAGCCCAAGTCACTTCGCTTCACATCACATCATCACTTCTTGACAATCCATCCACCTTCTTCTTCCTTACCTTTACTCTTGCTCTGTTTTATTCCTTCTTCTCGTGTTGTCCATCCCTGTTAATCCTCTATATAATCACAATGGGTCTCATCAGAGGAACCCTCAAACTCACTACCTACGGTGGTCTTGCTTCCCTGGGAGCTTTCTTCTGGGCGACGCGCAAAGACAACTTCGTCCCTGTATTCCCGACCGACCCCATCTTCCAAAGCGCATTTTACCGCAAGTTCAATCCCGAGGAGAACCCCGTGCTTCACGATCTGTGTATTCGCCGCGTCCCTCTCTCTGAAATCAACCCGTCTCTACTGGAGAAGAAGGGCAAGCTCCTCGAGGCCTTTTGCGCCGGTGTCTGGAGTGGCTGGGGTACGCCTCCCCCCTCCCCATACTACAAAGTGTCCCAAGTTTAAAACGAACAGACGAAAGAAAGACACTAACCCTGGGTAATGGTCTACAGGCTACGCCTTCCAACGTGCTTACCTAGCTCGCAAATATCAAGGCCCCGAAACCTCCTCCCACCTCTGGACACCGAACGAGCTCCGCACCTCAAGCTACGACGTCGGCACTGTGGTCACGGACCACTTCGAGGTTGTCGAGAAGACCCCCGAGCGTATCCTGATCCGCTGTGGCGACTCCCCCCGCCGCCAGGGTGTCCGCCAATCCGATGGATTATTCGAGATTTCGGCTGTGGTCAAGCCCGACGAAGGGGTTGCTGAGCTGGGATTGAAAAGCGTTTTTTATCGCGGTTTAGGCAAGGCGGATGGCCCGCCTATGCCACCGCATATTGCCTGGTTGCATCAACAGTACACGAAGCTGTTGTCCGAGACGGCGCTGGCGAATATTTACCGTTAGAGACGGGGATATGTTCTATGATTTTATCGGGATTGCGGCTAGAGCGAGCGAGCGAGCAGGGGATGCAGATGTATTTATGGCTGTATATAGGTATCGGAAATGGACGGACTATACTAATCGAATCTTGTGCTTTTGTTTATGACCAGCGTCTTCACTCTCGGATTTTATCCAGGTTCATCCCGTTGGCACCTGGTGATATGGTTAGAGACGTTCATCTCCCTCACGACCGGAATACGAAAAAAAAAAAAAAAAAAACTCACCCTCACTTATCTGTATTCGTATATACAAGATAGTTGGACCCGGAATGCGATACTAGTCCAAACTGCCGAACAAACAACTAGCCTGAAGTTGACTCTCAGGACGGCAACCCGGCAATATGAACGAGATCAACTCGCCTCGACTTGAAAATTGCGGTGAAACATCTCCAACCGGATCTGGTCCAGCAATATGACAGGGCAGTTCACGCTTTGAGCCTAGATAGTAAAGATCAGGTTCGATGCATACATCCGCTAAAGGGAATCCTGCATAGATGGTGTGTGGATATTGCCTCTCCTGGCGAACTATCACCGCGAGGACTTGGATCTGGCAAATGCAAGGATGCCTTTCAGCCACCACAGCGGGGAGGGAGGTACTAATACCTGTCACAACTCAATTCCCAAAGTTAAAAGACATTCTAAAAACAAAGAGGCACGGAAGCTGTCATTCTGAGCAAGGGGTGCTGAAACTACTGAAGCTTTGTCCGTGCATACAGATTTCTATACACACACCTAGATTGCACACAAGAAGAAGAAGAAGAAGAAGAAGAAGAAATATGACCTATCAACAAAAACGCCAAACCTCACACCCATACCACCATCTCTCCGCGATCAGAATACGCAGTGATGAGAAACTTTCATGACTCCGTCTGGATGGGGAGCACAGCCTCGATCACCGACTCCATCCCAGGACTGCCACTCCAAATTCCGCGGATCTCGAGACCAGCTGCGTGGAGAAGCTCGGTCCACTGTTGCTTGGATCTCTCGGTTCCGGACCCGATACTCATCATTTGGATGTCGAGAGCCGACTGGAGCAGTCCTGCATTGGTATCCGGTAGGACGAAGTCCGCGATGAGGATGCGCGACCGGGTTGAATCCATTGCGGACACGGTGTTTCGGAGGATCTGAAGGCACACACGGTCTGGCCAGTCGTGGAAAATCGCCCGGAAGTAGTATGTGCGGGCCCCTACGAGCTCTTTGTTAGCATTTTCTCTGTATTCTGGAATTGGGAAGAGAAACCCCCCCCCCCCCCCAAACGGTGCATGGAGTTGTGATTCCTTTACCTTTGATAGGTTGTGGGTCCAGGAAGCTATATGCCATCGGCTCGATGATCTCGCTGGAACAACACCCGGCGACCACGGCAGGAAGGTCTTGTAGAACCAGTCTGCCCTTGAGATCTGGATACCTCTCCCGGAACCGGATCAGGTCGTGGCCCTGATTGCCGCCCACGTCCACCACAAGCACCTCGTCCTCCTGGGTCGCGCTTGGTTCTCCCAGTCGCTCGACCGGGTAGACATCGAACCAGTTCGGTTTCCCCTGTCGTCGACTGGACATGTATGAATTGAACAGAACCTGCTGGTGCCGGTGCTCGGCAAGCCATTCGAATTGGCTTTGCCCCACGGCCCAACACATGGGAGACTGTGCGTACTCCTGGGGGGTGGCATAGTTGTGTTCGCGGAAGTACTCGGGGAGTTTCGCCAGGGTGGGCATTGTCAAGTCATATCTGCGTGGGTGAGGATTGGCATTATACAGCAGGAGGGGGGGGGGGGGGGGGGGGGAGCCACAGGTGAACGCACATGCACCGTATTCCATCTCTTCCAATTGGCTGTGTGAGGATCGCTGTTTTGCTCGTAGGCTGATATACCTCTGGTTCGGGGCTGCTGCACAGGCCCAGGGCGGTCATGACGCGCATCAAACGCACTAGGGGAACAGTCCGTCAGTCATTTAGACAGGCAGGTAACTCTATGGAGAGGAGATGCAGAACAGACGCAGTACTGACCGATCAAGGCTCTCTCGGCATTGGTAGATGCCGATAGCTCTGAGGCTGACAGGCCACGCATTGGATGGTCGACCAAAATCTGGAAGATCCCGAGGTCCATGACAAGGCGAAGAGCGGCATTTTGCGGCGGCTGTAGGAAAGAGTGTCAGTCAGACCACGGAAAATACGAGAGAACAATATGGACGCAGACCTGGTAGATCAGCCTCAGAACCGTCTCCGTGGGGGTCTCAACCGCTAGTCTTAGCTGGTCGATGAGATTCAGGAGCCGGAAATGCGACTGCAACGACGGGCCAGTGCTGGTTTCTTCAACTGCCGCCTGTTTGATGTCTTCCACGAGGGAGAGCAGACTGGGCGTTCCGGATGAAGACTCCATATTTTCCACGTCCCTTCGGCAACAAGAATGTGCCCTAAAATGATATAGACAGCTGGGTTGCTTAAGATACAGGAAGTGGAGGGGCGAATTGACGAAATAAATACTGTGGCCAACGTGTCGCTTCGCGTTTGTATGGTGGTGGAAGTGAATGGAGCAGTGATCTATAAAGAAAATCCAGGATGAATGAATCGTGATAACGCAATCTAGTCTGGGTAGGCTTCCAGAAGGGACCAACATCCCAACAGCAGCCAGCCAATACTCAGCCAGATGCAGCTGCAACGCCACGGATTTCCACATGGTTGGAGAGCCCAAATCTGGACATCTCTGCAGGAGATCGGAGGGTTGGATTCGCGAGTCAGGCTTTGTCCGAAGACAAGAATAGCTCCTTGACAGATCGAATCAGCTACTATTCAGTGTCCGTTGGTTTCTTGACTGGGTATAACCAAAGGATTCGTGAGCTGTCAAGCGGCACATATCCAATCGAAGTTTCCAAGGTCCGTTTGCAAGTCAACATTGAACTGTCAGTCATGTCTTCCTGCACCCTATCTCGTGCGACTGCTGTCTATTGGTAGGATTTGTGTTTCGTCACCAGCCAAGGGTAGCTAGGTAGCTTCGAATTCGTTTCTCGTTAGTTCTTTACTAGAAACCGGGTGGATGGGCTGGTAGATCACATCGACATGGAACAAGATGGTGATAGTCCCACTGTTCGCACTATGTAATGGCGCCTAGGGCATGGTCTCAACTTCCGTCTCTAGCGGCTATGGATGGGAAAGATAAAGATATCGTTTGAGCTGTTATTTTCCTATCATAATATGAGATCCTTCGGCAGCTGAAATCGATACCTGACTGAGGAAAACCGTCATGAATTGTCTACCAGCTTCCTCGTCTGGTATTGGCTATCAGACAGCCCCCCACCGGCACGTAGAACGAACGAATCCATACGTTTGGAGCTTCAGGATGCGCCGGAGAACCGGTGAGCAAGCTCCTCGTCTTCCGTCGCCTGAAAGTTTGATCTGGAAAAGGCAATGCATGCATGGTGAGTTTACCCAAAAGTGAAAATGGGTCCTTTTGCTGGACAGGTCGAATTCCCAAAAAAAAAAAAAAAAAAAATCAAGGTTCATCCAATTGAGAAACGCCGTCATGTTTCCCGATACTCCCGGGAGTTGCTGCCTTGATGCTAATTATATACCTAGGCTTTCAAATACCCAGTGGTCAACCGAGGAATGGACGTATCCTCATCTGCCTTGGAAAAGCCAGGCCTAAATCGAACGGAAGGAATCCGGGGTATGTATCCCATGTCCAGTGCGTCACCAATGAGCGCAGAGGAAACAGATGTACTGTATGCAGAGTTTCAGGGCGGCAATTTATGCTACTGGCCGAGACTATTGAAATTCTGGTGCGGCGGTTCTCTAACCAAACGCCTTTATGGAGTGCAGCATGCTTAGGACAGGGTGGCTGCCACAACCGACTGGAACTCTGACAAGTGTAGCGAACAGCTGGTGCGTAGGCCATGTAGACGCCGCGTGATTTGTTTTCGCTTGCCACGACCTCTGGCAAGCTTTCGGTTTGTTTTGTCATTCCGAGTAGAATATAAACTGTGGGAGTGAATGTGACCTGGGACGATTCCCAGATCACGTATTCTAGGCATAGAAAGCCCAGGCCTGTGCGTATTTAGGGTTCTCAGAAGCGATCTCCGCGCGCGATCTTGGAACAGTCCACATCTAAAGTTGCTGGAGCGTTGGGATAGTAAGCCTGCATCCGACGAGGCGTAGGGGAATCATGCCTGATTTGTGCATTCACCGCTTGAGATCGGGAAAGAGAACAGAAAGTGATAGCCGAGAATCCCAAGGATCTGATGGCAACCAAAAAACTAGGACCGCTCAGGTTTCTAAATCCGGACGCTGGAGCTGGGGATATTTCGGGTGCCATGCAGTGCCGACGAACAGCTGGCGTTCGCGAGCTTCTGGGGCTAATGTTCTTTAAATACGCAACCCTGGTTCCCTTCCCTCGTTGCAAGTGCCCAGTATACTTGTCGGATAGCAAAAGCTCTGCTGGCTCTGCTTTCCACCATGGGAATCCCCCAGTATGACGAGGTGTCGGGCAATGACCCAAGACCAGATATTGCCGAAGAATCCATTCGACGGTTTGGGCCACTGAATACTTTGGACGATTTGATCCGCTTGCGAGCAGCAGATGCAGTCCAGGAGCCGATACTCGCCTATCCCAGACCGCCGGAAAATAATACCGTCTCCTATGAGTACTTCACCGGCGAAGACTTGGATTGCCTGGTTGACCAAACCGTGTGCCACCTGATGGGCTGTGGGTTTAAGCCGGTAAGTCCTAGTCCAGTCCGTTGTCAGCCCATTGAAAGGATTCCTCGAGGAGGGAGAGAGTGTGTGACTGAATGTGGCCGTAGCCCCAGAAAGATGGAGAGATCATTGCCCTCCTTACGCTTTCCGATCTCAACATGGTATTTACCTTCTTCGCCCTGAGCCGCATGGGATACACCGTGATGATGCTCTCTCCACGTCTGTCTGCAGCGGCCTGTGTGTCCCTGCTCGAGACAGTAGGTTGTGAAACGATCCTGTACGGCCGGACCCCCCAAATCCGGACGACCATGGGAGATATTCTCCGGCTGAAGATTGTGACTTGTCGGCCCATCATCGAGTGCCCTGATCGGGAAGAAGCTTCAGACGGTCCGGCCGTCCTGGTGCTCAACCGCAGCCGCAACCGTGAGGCCCAACGGAACAAGATTGCCCTCATTCTTCATTCGTCGGGCTCGACTGGCACCCCTAAACCCCTGTTCTTAAGCCACAAGGCTCTGATGACCCATCCGCTGCGAGGATTGGGCCTCACCTCGTTTAACTCGCTACCGTGGTACCACCTCCATGGGTTGTCAACCGCATTGCAAGCGATGTATATGAGAAAGGTAGCCTTCATGTGGGATGCATCCCTGCCTCTCACGGTTCACTCAGTGGTAGCCGCTCTCGAAGCAGCCCAGCCAGAGTCGGTCCAGGGGGTTCCATACCTTCTCCAACTTCTCGTCGACAGTGCAAGAGGCTTGGATGCTCTTCGATCCTGTAAACTTGTTAGCTACGGCGGTGCGCCTTGCCCGGATGACCTGGGGGATCGGCTAGTCGCCGAGGGAGTGCGATTTGGAGGATCCTTCGGCTTGTGAGTATTCTTCCAACATGTGGAATTTGTTTTTTTTTTTTTTTTTTTCTTTGTCTTCCTACGAGGTTCCCCTTCGCCCTCTGACATTTAAATAGAACGGAAGCTGGTCTAGTGGCGGAATCCATATCCCGGCCAGTGGACGATCCGGACTGGAATTATATGCGATTCTTCGAGAACATCCGACCGTATGTCTGGATGAAGCCGATAGGAAATGAGCTCTACGAATGTGTATACCTATCCGGTCACCCGGCGCTTACTACATCCAATTCCAACGAGCCCCCCGGGTCTTATCACTCGCGGGACGTCTTCTCGCCCCATCCCAGCATGCCCAACAGGTGGAAGTATATCTCGCGGCTGGACGATAGAATCACCCTGCTGAATGGGGAAAAGGTGCTACCGCTCCCCATCGAGGGCTCGATTAAGCAAAGTCCGTTGATTCAAGAAGCCGTCGTTGTCGGGGTGAGCAGGGCCATGCCCGGTCTCCTCGTCTTTAGAGCCGAGAGCGCCCAGCATGTCGCCGACGAAGACCTTTTGGATCTGATTTGGCCCACGGTTCAGGACGCCAACACCCGCGCCGAGCAGTTCTCCCAGATTACTCGGGAGATGGTCTGCATTTTACCTCGGGGCTCTGTCTGTCCGCAGACCGATAAAGGCTCCATGATCCGCGCACAGGTGTACGTTCGATACGCCGCCGCAATTGAGCAGCTATACGCGCAGCCCGAGGAGCGTCCAGAGGGAGCCCTGCAGCTTGATCTCGACGCAACCGAGGCCCACCTAATGCAGCTCTGCAAGACGGAGCTGGGGTTTCCGATTTCCAGCAAAGACGCCGACTTCTTTACCGAGGGAGTCGATAGTTTGAAAGCAATCCATCTGCGGAGGCTGATTCTTCGAGACTTCAGGATCGGAGCCGGGAAAGATCTCGGCCAGAACATCGTTTTCGAAGCGGGGAGCGTGGCGCGGTTAGCAAAGCAAATCCGGGTCCTACAACAGAGTGGTTTGGCTGCAGACGACGAGGAGGATCCGGTCTCCTCCATGCAAGGGCTGATCGAGAAGTACTCGTCATTCCGAACCCATTCCCCGAACCCGGATGCAATATCCACTAGGAAAGGCGTTGTATGTTCTCCCCCTCCCTATCATGCTTCAAAGCTCCGCTCGGCTAATGCAGTTTTCCCTCGGTAGATTTTGACGGGAGCAACGGGATCCATTGGAGCGCACACGCTCTATCGGCTCCTAAATGACGAGACCGTGTCGGTGGTGTACTGCCTGACAAGACGGAACAACCCCAAACAAGCAATCCTTGACGCTCTCGCGCAGAAAGGCCTCAGGGTCTTGGAGGACCGCACGAAACGGATCGTAGCGCTGAAGAGCGCGCTGGACCAGCCCGACCTCGGCCTGGAGAAGAAGAGTATGATAGAAGAGATGCGCCAGTCGGTATCCCTGATCATCCACACGGCGTGGCCCGTCAATTTCAACCTCCCGCTCCTGGCATTCGAGCCACATATCAGGGGGCTATACAACCTCATTGACTTTTCGTTGACGGTGAATATGCCCGCGCCGGCCGTGACGCTTTTCTGCTCGTCGATCTCCACGGCGTTGGGCGCGCCGGCACGCGAAATACCAGAAGCCCCGATCAACAGCCTCGACAGCGCGCTCGAGATGGGCTACGGCCGCTCGAAATTAATCGGCGAACGGATCGTCAGCAACGCCCGCCAGGCCGGCGCGAGGGCCTTCTCGCTTCGAATTGGCCAGGTTTCAGGCCACTCCAAAAGGGGCCGGTGGAACGACTCCGAAGCAACCCCGTTGATGATCCGGTCGGCATTAACCCTCAAGGTCCTGCCTGCGCTCGATACCACCTGTTCATGGGTCCCGGTGGATAAGCTTGCCTGTTCCATGTTGGAGATTGCGCGAGCCTGCTCCCTCAATCATTCCTCTGACGATGGTGCCGAGTTCGGGGACGATTCAGTGTATAACCTGACCAACTCGCGGACCTTTGCCTGGTCTTCCCTGCTGGATACCCTGCGCCGCAATGGGTTCGCATTCAAAACCGTTCCGTTCAATGAGTGGCTGCAAAGGCTGCGCGAGAGTGCGGCCCAGGGCGAGGAGCTGATCAACCCTGCCGTAAAGCTAGCAGATCATTACGAGTCCATGTACGGCGGCTCGTCGGCGGCAACGTCGAAAACCTTCCTGACGGAAAAGGCAGAGAGAGACAGTATGACTTTGCGCAATGGGCGTCTGAGAATCATCCAAGACGGAATCCTGGCCCGGTACGCCCAAGATTGGCTGAAGCGGTGGAAAACGGCCTGAGTTGGTGTCTGATGACGACGATGATAATGCTGATTTATGTCCATATGATGCCGATACCGATGCTGACGGCCGTGATTCGGTGCTGATTTGGTGTGTGTCCTATAGTGCTGTCTGTCTCTTGCTCTGGTTTTACTACCTTGATGCTGTTCTTTTTTTTCTCGCCAGTAGTCTCTTGAATCCTCGCTATTAATTAACTTGCGTGTGATGGAGTAACAATTGTATAATCGACAGTGAAAGACACTCAACGTCTGGTCATTCTTTTCTATATAATCAATTATCTAAGCTAAGGGCGGAAAAAAAAAAAAAAAGAAACTGAAAGGAAGCGCGAGCCCAACTCAAGAACCAGCTATGAGAGCGAAGCGAGCAAAGCAACGACGATGCCACCAACGATTCCCGCGGCGCTAAAGGAAAGCTTTCCTGCTGCGCCGGTGAACACAGGACTGGTGGGCACCGTGGCCGACGCTTCGCTCTGAGTACCGGTGGGGAGATCGTCCACCGTCCCAGACGATGAGGAGGTAGTCACGGCGGGAAGGCTGATGAATTGTGTTGAGGATGGCACAATCACAAAGCTGGGGGTCGGGGAGCTCAATGAGCCAGCGGAAACGGCGCTCTTCGACTGGGAAGACAGCGATACGCTTGAGGATTCAGCGGCGTGTGAAACCGCCTGTGCTGTGGGGACTTGCAGGCGGCTCTGGCTGAGAGGGCAGAGCTTGGTTGTTAACGTTACATAGCTGGTCATGGTGGACACGGGTTCGGAGTCCTCTGGCTCTGCCGTCGAAGGAACACTAGAATGTCTGCTCACAGTGGCTGTAGTCACCGAAGTCTCGGGTTTAGCGACTGTTGATGTAGTTGTTGTGCTTTCCAACGTCGCTGTGCGGGTTGTAGGGGAAGTGGCAGAGCTGCTACTAGAGGTACTAGAGGCGCCAGTCTTGTATACATTGAAAGAGTTGATTTCCCAGTATGATTCCTTGAAAACGGCGGGATTCTCGGCCACATAGTTGACGCAGCTCTTCATCGGGCTGCTAGAGTCACTCATAGGGCATTCGCTCTTGCCGAACACATTTCCAGCCCAGTCGCCGCAAAAGGTAGTGTCCAAAATGAACTTTTGCGACGAGAATCGTTGGCTGAAATCACAGGTACCCTCCAGATGGGCCATGGGTGTTCCAAACTCAGTGGTATTAGGGCTCTCCTTGGTGATGGAGGCCGGGATCGAGGATCGGGGGAAGAACCAGATTTTGATAAAGTCCGAAGCCCACTCCATGGCGTACACGCCGCCATTTTGCGAGTTGAACGGCGTGCCGAATGACCCTTGCGCACCGTCGACGACACAACCGATGGTCCCGGAGGCCTCCCCACACTCGGTAGATGTGATGTTACCGGACATATCATTGTTACCGCCCACATCGCATGAGCCGCTGGTATGGAGGACGATCTCGTTGGCCTCGTTCTTATTGACTCCCTCGATGATATCAATTTCGCCATCGTTGGGCCAGTTCGGGCCCACGGACCAGAATGCGGGCCATGTTCCGCAGATGCTGCCGGGCATGTGCTGAATATCTATAATATATAGTCCCTGCTCATAGTAGTCCTTGGTTTCAATCCGCACAGAGTCACGGCCGGGGCCGTCCACGTTGAGCACGGTCGTATGGTCGACGCCCATGTACAGGCCTCCCGAGGAAGTTATGTCGATGAGACCTGAGTCTTCCGCGTAGCTCTGGTTGACATATGTGACAAATCCATTGGTAGGATCACTACCTTCATAAACGTGAAAATGATTGAGGATGTTTCGGCCCTTGAATGTTTCTTCGAGGTGGTAAGTTCCTTGGGTCGTGGCCAAACTAGGTAGAATGATGGAGGCGAAGGAGACCCATCGCACACTCCGGCGCGAAGAGAAAGACATTGTAAAACGAAAGTGACGCTGTCAAAGAGGATAACAAAATCGCAGGGGTTCAAAAAAAGACCGGATATGGCAACTTCCCGGGACGGAGCACTCAACTGCTCTCTGGATGCCAGAATTGAAAAGGCAAAGGATAGAGAATGAAGGATGACCGTCAAGGCCAATTCAACTGAATTCACAAGGAACGAAAAATGCAGAATCAATCCGCAATGATAGAGAAGGAATGTGGCAAGGAAAGTAAGGGGAAAAAACGACAAAAGGAAGAACCGAAGCATGCAAGAAGAGCGCGGCAGGGCAACGCCCATATATTCACATAAACTTGCAAAGGTATGCCAGGATTCGACAGCGGATGCCGGTATCTCCAGCAGCTAAAAATGGGTCGAACAAATCAGAGCCCGCAGCGAGCAACGCATGGCGACGGGCTTCGGTGGCTCATTCCTTGTCGAGGCATGTCCGGCTGGACCGACGACCAAGAGGGCGCTATTCAGGATCCACCGGGCAGCCGTGAAACATGGCGACAGTTGATATGAAACAGGGGAACAGCCAACAGGAGGCCATTCACGTCGTCGTCTGGCAAATGGGAGACAAGTCCCTTCAATCCATCACACCACTTTCCCCCCGGCCAGTACAGAGTATGTATGATCCGTGAAGATTTTGACTGGGAAAGATAGTTCCTAGTGGTATTCGATAGCTCCTAGTGGTAATAGGATAGTTGGTGTAAACCCGGCAACAAAACATTCCTCGTCTGTAGAGAAATGACCAACCAGCACGGCATGGCCACTAACCAGACTAGCCTCTCGCGGCCACCTAATTATATCTGTATTAGTCGTTTCCTAGATATTGTCCGGTACTCGAGAGTGAGTCAAGGTCGAAATGGTGAAAAACAGTCGGTGGAGAGCTGCTCGTCCGGATTAGGGCAATGAGAGGAATTCTAGCGAGTAACAGGCGGGAAGATGATCAACCCCCGAAATGAATGGACGGAATAGAGAATTCCTACCGAGGACAGTTTCTCGCAGTCTGTCCGGAGTATTGGGAATGAACGGCTCTTGATTTTTGTTAGTTGAAGTTGAGAATCTCCATTCCATTATAAGCGAATCCACGCCATCTCATCTACCACACTCCATTCCAGCCTAATAGATCTAGATACTTTTGATTAAGTTCCGCATGGCGCCTAAGCTGTATCGTATCTTATTCGAACTTTTCTACCCGTGCATATGCCTTTCTCATGGAAGTGCAACTTGAAAGATTAACCAAAACACCATGTTGTCTGTTCGTATGTCTGGTGAACAGGAATTACCCGATTCGAGACGGCAAGTAGAAAAAGAGTTATATCGCGATCGAACGAGGATAATATTCTATCAATGCAAGTTCGACAGTTTGACAGTGATGCGGCAGATATTGTGAACAGGAGCAGGTATATATCAACATAGCTCTCTGGCCAGCCATACCTTGCGTCTCCAGTTTCAATTGGCTCCGGGTACATATTAAGTCAAGACCATATCGGATTCTTAATCTATGAACGGTTCCATCTTGAGCCCTATGGTCTGGCTGAACGATACCATGGTTGACTTCTTCTTCATCTCTCCATCCGATCGGTTCGACAGCCTATCGGAAAGCTGAGATGGACATCTCCACCAATGGAGCGGCAACCATCTTGGTCTGAGCTCCGACCGTATCTCGCAATTAAGAATGCCAGAAGCTGGTGGTCTGTATGCTGCCTTCAACCAGCGTTGGACTACGCTGTCTTCCAGGCCGACGAACCAGACGTCTCGGGTTGATTCCAAAAGTGAGAAAGAAGGGTATGTAACCTAAACCAAAGACCGGAGAAGATCAGTAGTTTATACCTATATGACAATTGTACAACCCTTTCGAACATGCCTGTTGCATCTGAAACCGCCACTTTCATCCACGCAGTCATGTCGTTCGACTGGAAGGATTGGGTTCCCACATGGCGCATCGCTTTAATCTCCAACCAAGACCCTGAACCAGACCCGGCTCTGTGGCCTCGTTCATTGGATACGAAGCCAGGGTTGGCGTCGCTGAGATGGCCCTGCTGATATTAAGGATTCTTGCCATGAACTCCTGCGTGAGATTGCTGTCCGGGGACGGAGTAGATCTGTCATTTACCTTGATCGGTGTCCTCCAGTTTGGCTTGCAAGCAAGGGCGTGTTTGTTTAAAGATTGAAATCCTCTGGATGAGGCCAAGACAGCCCACCCAGCAGGAAACAAAGCATTTCTCAAATGAAGCGGCTGACAGGGTCATCCCGTTGTGTGATCTACACAACATTCCACCCCGTTGCAGCAATATCGAAATAAGGACCAGCACCGAAGACAAAGAATCCAAATGCCCCGACCCTCTGGTTCTGAGACAAGATCTAGATCGATTGCAGTGAATGGTGGCAAGATGCAGCCATGAAACTTGGTCCCCTGCAGCAATGAAACATGTCCAGTTGAGCCCTAATTCACCTTGGCTCACCTTGTTCACTAAGCGCCGACTGTGTCCCACCTGGACTTGACGGATGCCTATATAATTCATAGAAATCCCCTTCTCGATCTCGGAAGAAATCAGCAGTGCTTTTCTCTTCTAACCCGGTTACATTCCTTTCCTTTACATTCATTTGTTGTTGTTGTTATTTTCTTCTCGTACACTCCTTTTGGCCCAACTTATTTCCTCCCCATGCGTTTCCTCAGTCTTTCCCTTTTACTTCCACTTGTGGCTGGCCACACAACTTTTACTACGCTCTACGTTGACGGCGTCAACCAGGGCGATGGCGTCTGCGTTCGTATGAATCGCGACGTCAGCACCGCTACGTTTCCAATCGAGCCTCTGGCGAACCGTGCGATGGCTTGCGGTATTAACCCCCCCCCCCTCCCCCCCCGGCCGGGGGATATCCCATTTGTATGCGAAGCGCAGTATACTGAACAAAAGAACCAGGTTATGATGGTGAAAAAGCCGTAACCCGAGTCTGCTCCGCCAACTCGACGTCAACGCTCACCTTCGAGTTCCGCGACTATCCCGATGCGTCCTCGCCGGGCTCCATTGATCCCAGCCACCGGGGTCCCTGTGCAGTGTACATGAAGCGCGTCGACGACGCCACCGAGGACAACAACGCCGCAGGCGATGGGTGGTTCAAGATCTGGGAGCTGGGCTACGATTCGCCCTCGGGCAAATGGTGCACGGAGAAACTCATCGACAACAACGGGCTGCTCTCGGTCGAGATCCCCGCCGACATCCGGGGCGGGGATTACCTTGTCAGGCCCGAGTTGCTGGCTCTGCAGTCGGCGCAGGATACGCCGCGCGATCCGCAGTTCTACGTGGGCTGTGCGCAGGTGTTTGTGCAGTCCGACGGAGACGCCCAGCCGGAAACCGTGTCGATCGATGAGAATACCTACAACCTGGACATGGAGGCCTTGACGTACAACATCTTCGAGACGCCCTTGAAGCTGCCCTACCCGTCGTTCGGCCCGGCTGTTTATACGCCTGGCAGCGCGAATCGCAGCGGCGGCTCCACGGAACGCAAAGCAACGGAGTCGGTGCAAACGAAGGGGTTGAAGCCCGAAGGGTGCATTCTTGTTCGCGATGACTGGTGTGGGTTCGAGGTTCCGTCCTACGATACTCAGGATGGATGCTGGGCGGTTCGTATCCAATTTTCCGGAGTGATTAGAGATGCGTTTTCAGCTAACAGAAGAAAAAAAAAACAGTCTTCCAAGCACTGCTGGGATCAGAGCGATGTCTGCTGGCACACCGCGCTCCCGACCGGAAACAAAAACTGCGAGATTTGGCAGCAGAAGTGCACCACGATCGACGACAACTGCTCCAGCGGAGATTGGGTTGGACCTCCCAACGCGGGCAAGGATCTCACGCCCGTTGCCGGGAAAATGGACGGCTCGATGAAGATCTTTACCAGGGGAACTGCTATGAATCTTCATCGCCGCCGCAGAGTTGCAGGCCACGCATAAGACACGACAACCTGCGACATACAACTACACAAGACGGGGGGAGGGACCTAGGCCGGTTATATTGGTTATCTCGTAGAGATCATGTACTGTACCTACACTCCGTATGCTAGAAGGAATCCCGATCTCAAAAATCTAGTCTCCATGGACTGCAGCATCCGGGTCAGATTGGCCCTCGATTTCCGTAAGAAAAGATTGCTCTGGTGGGACAATCCAAGTTCACGCTCTGCATCCTTCGCTTTGGGCTGACAAGCGAACTAATCGTCAGCGCCCAACCGGATGGTGAAACGCCAATAAGACCGAAATCAATCCGGAGGGAGCGAAGCGCCTCGTAAACTGGAAGCGATCTTGACTTCCCCTTTGCCAGCCAGCCACTTGTTCCAATAATCAGGCATCAAGAGTCATGGAGATTCCGGTTCTCGACTACCAGGATTTCGCCAAGGGGTCCCAGGCCCAGCGAGACACTTTCTGCCAGCGTCTCTTTGCGTCGTTATCCTCTGTGGGGTTCGTTAAGATCCGGAACCATACGATTCCAGAAGAGGTGGTGGAGGAAGTGTTTTCGTGGGTGAGTGAGTACATCATATCATATACATGGTGGGTGAGCTGTACTGGACGATACATTTACTGATGATGAGGCCACAATTCAATATACGTATATATATATATATATGTAAGACAGAGCCAGAAGTTCTTCGCCATGCCACTTGAACAGAAAGCCAACGCCGCCCATCCGGCACAAGCAAATCCACATAGAGGCTGGAGCCGCGTAGGACAGGAGAAGCTCTCCGTCATCACGCAGGGGAAAGCCATATTCGATCTCAAAGTATGTACTCTGCAGGACATACATAGCTCATGAAAGAAAGCCAAAACCAAGACCAAAAAAAAAAAAAAAAATTCCAGGAATCCTTCGACCAGGGCCCTCAATCAGACACCCTCTACCCGAACATCTGGAATCAAGAATCCGACCTCCCTGGGTTCCGCGCCTTCATGGAAACCTTCTACGATCGGTGCCATGAACTCCACCTACAGCTGCTCGCAGCCATTGCAAGCTCCATGTCTCTCCCCGACCAGTTCTTCGTCGACCGCTGCAGCCAGAACAGCAGCGAGCTTCGACTGAACCATTACCCGGCCGCGAAATGCAGCGACCTGCGTGATGGCGCCGTGATGCGCATTTCCAGCCACACGGATTTCGGCACCATCACCCTGCTGTTCCAGGATTCTACCGGCGGGTTGGAGATCGAGGATCAGCATTGCCCAGGCGCTTATATACCGGTTGTGCCGCCGGCTTCCCTAGACAGGAGCCCGGCGGAGATGATTGTCAATGTCGGGGACTGTTTACAACGGTGGACCAATGATCATTTGCGGTCGGCAAATCACCGGGTTACATTGCCTGTTGGGTTGAAGAGGAACGTCGCGGGCAATGTTGTTGGTGGACGAGGTCAGGGCGAACCTAGGGAAGATATCGTGGTTCAGGACAGGTACTCCGTGGCGTATTTTGGGAAGCCAAATCGCGATGTCCTGGTTGGCAGTATCCCGGCTTTATTGAAGGACGACGAGGAGGTAAGGTATCAGGAGGACATTACCGCGTGGCAGTACAACCAGTCTCGATTGTTGCAGACTTATTAGTTTGCGAGGTTTAGATAGAGGTAGTGTGCTACGTGCTCCTGCGAACAAACACCAAGAGAAGACATAACTCGCCGACTGTAAAAGACTCTGAAAAATCGGAAGATTGGTTGATATATCGCTATGTACATGAGAATAACCCATCCTAACCTAACCCCAATCCTGCCCAATGCCCAAATTATGCTTTATACAAATATCATATCACATAGCTCATGAGTCCGGCTCATGAGTCCTGCCGGGACTATTTCCATTTCCCGGATTCTCAACAACATTGAGTTCAATATCATCCGGTGGCTTAGCTACCATCGTCGACCCTGACTCGAGGGACGCATGTAATGTTTTACGGTCTTCTTCGGGTGATTCCTCATCCACCGCAAACCGTACTTGACCATCCTCACCCACGAACGTCCGGAACCCGTACTTCTTGTCCAGATTCTCCAGCTTAGTCTGTCGCTGCGCGTTTGTCCACCCATAGGTGCCTCGGAAATCCTGGTTCATGCGACTATTGGCGATCCACGGCATAACAGAGCCAATAGACCGCGGAATTCGAGGTCCCTCAAACCGACCGCGTCGGATGCCAAAGACAATCAGTACAATTAGAGTATCCAAGCCGATGATTGTCATGGAAATAATGAGGGAAGATATAGATGGTACCATACACCAAGCGGTGTAAAGTAAGGTGGCATTCTCGGCGACACGGCGATCTTCGACGCGTTGTAGGTAGGTATCTCGCCAGAGGGAAAAGTAGGTACTGTAAACCCATTGGTATACAGTTTGAGAGAGACTCATTAGGCGAGAGGGATCGAGGTGGGTGATAGGTGCGACATCGCGCTTGTAAAGTTGAGCAACCAGAAACCCAGCCCAATCATATGATGACACATATGTTGCATTTTTCTCCTCAGTTTCACCATAGAAGCTTTGCGGGATGGCGGCAAACACTTTGTTGAACTGGCCGAGGCTGACGGTGGCATTCCGATACATCTCGCCTGAGTCGATAGTGGCTTCCGGCATTGGGACATGACTTTGAATCTGACCTCTTTGGTCGAAGGTGATCGTAAAGTTTTGCAGCCGGACTTCGGGTTCACAGTGCAGCGCAATTGTATTGCTGTCAGTAATGGCCGAGGAGGTTGTGTAGTTCCATCGACCAACAATCATCACGGTGTACGTTTGGCAATCATCATTGCCGTCATCAGTCGCGGTCGGTGAAAGGAAATTGATCGAGAGCGCAAATTTATCATCCGAATCACCAGGAATGGTCATCTTCACCATGCACTGTTGAGTGTCATTGCCGAAGGTATGGTACTCCCAATGTGGGGTGCCATCCAACCACCTTAAACTTGAGGTTATCGACAGAACTTCGCATTTCAGGCTTGCCCCGATCCCTAAGGTGGTTGCACTGTACAGGATGTCTGGGTCAGGGTCTCGAATCCCTATAGGAGCAAAGGAGTGATTCGCACTCGTCCAGGAAAGCAAGGGGACGCCACTGGTGATACTCGTTTGGATTAGATCATATTCGGTAAAGTCTGCGGCAAAGTCGGTCTGTCGGAAAACAGAATAACTATAATTCGCGAGTAATGAATCTGTCGATACAGTAGACTCCGTCAACTGCTGTGTGAATATGCCACCAGCAACTACAGTCAGTCCTGTGTTGGCAACACAAGCAATTGAGACCAGTCCCAGGAGAACGTGCCGTTTTCGAATGGCTTTGGGAAGCACTGTCCAAGGGTTTTGACATGCGTAGTTCATCGTAAGCGAGTTACTTGTGGTGGCCTGCCCGCGCTGAAGATGAACCCATGGTTCCAGGATACTAAGATTCCGGTGAATCGACGAGCAGAGCGCTCCAACCGATGAAGCCACCATGGATGGAAGGAGGGAGAGCACAACTTGAAGAAAACTAGAACCCGACTGGCTCAAATGCTGTAAACCACCGTCCTTGGCGAGGGAAGAGATAATCAAACTCATAGCGACGATTACGGCAATGAGGAAGAGAAATTCGGCAATAAAAAATGGGATGACCAAAAAGTGGGGTCGAGGGTCGACTCGGGGTCGTTCTCTCTCTTCCAAACGAAGGGGAGAGCCTAGAAGGTGAGAGACAAATCAGTCTTCAGGCTACACAAGCCATTTGAATTCAGTACAGAAGTAATTGGAAACCCACCATCGATGGTCATCATCTCTAATCGCCACCCCAAAGGCCCATTAAACCATTGCAAATGACAGTCATGAAGAAGGCGACGAAGTTCGCGAGTCGAGAATTGGTGGAAATCAAATCGCGGATCGGCCAAAACATTCGACGGACCGAAAACATCAGTTACCATGCTGCAGATGTGGCCTATCGAGCCGGGGTCACTTTGGAGAATATTGGGACGGTTGTAGTAGTAACGGATCATTATGAGGACGAGAATGATTCCTATCCCCAAGATGCCTGCGGAGCAACGAGCGACAAACGAGACAACGGCAATGGCAACCTGGCGAGTCGACCGGTAAGCAGGGACACTGACCGGTGAAGCGTCTGGGTTGAATAATCGGCTCATTGTAAGAATAAAGTTCTGCTTCACGCCTCTCCTTACTTTGGTAGTAAATTCGTCCAATGTCATGGCTTTAGATGTATCCAGCACCAGAACAGGATCCAAATCTCCCAGGTTTTGGCTGATCACCGGTAACTCTGTCAGTGTGCGCTCTCCTGTCGTCTCGTTGATCTGCACAAAGAGCATATCGCTAGTGTACGGGGCCCGGTGTGCCAAGAGACTCTGAAATGCGTCGGTGTTGAATACTGACGATGGCAGTTCCTTGATCGTTTCGTGCAACACCCTGGTGTTGGTGATCGAGCTGTTCGCATGCATAGTAATCTCTGCAGCCGCTTGATAGTACTGAATACCGCAACCAAACAGAGTTGCGGATGAGTTGATATTTGTCAATGTATCCAAGGAATTCGAACCCAATTGGGTGGCATTGACGGATAAGAGAACACCAAAAAGGTCAAACTGATTGCAGCCAGTAGAATGGAAGGCTTTATTCGCTCCCGAAGATGTATAGGCAGTATCCGTCGACTTGGGTTCCCAATATCGAACTTGGAGAAAATCAGTGTCCGGAAAGAACACATTGTCGTAAGAGAAATCCACAGTGCAATTCCCGTCCGGGTCGGGGATCTGTAGTCCTTCGACATCCCAAGAAAGATTCGTAGCGGTATTATTAACCACCACGGGGAAATCAACATCAATCAGTACATCGTCGCACGTAAGGGAGGCGTAGTAGATAGTTTGATTTAGAGTCCACACAGTAGTTTCCCTTTGGTCATCGGACGGGATTTCGACTGGAGCCACGGCGTATTTACCTGACCGAGATTGCTGCAAATCCGAATTGGCGGTAAAATAAGCGTCATAGATATCAGTTTCACTATTCTCCTGGGCAGCGATCCAACTGGCTTGGGTGTTTAGATCCACCAGGGTTGACCAAGTATTCATCCGCTCGCTTGATATGATGGTAACCTCTCGCAGTTCGAACAGGGCACTATGCAATGCGGGAAGAAAAATGCGGATAAGAAGGGTGACAAGCGCGACGGACAGTACCACCCAATGGCCTCGTTTCGCAGACATTATCGGAGTGATGAAACTCTGGCCAAAGTTATAATTGATGAAAAGCACCGAGGCAGGGCATCCTTCGGATCGTGATAATTGGAAATATGGTTCGAGACGTAATACATCGAAGTCGATAAAGGACCAAAAGGTAGCGATAAGGAGGGCGATAATAACGGGCACATAGTTGTAGGCAAATGATTGGGAATTGGACACATCGTCGGTATCCGGGAAGAAAACCAGCCCTCCTACTCGGTCGCTATATTGACGCAGGGCTTCGAGGGTTACCAGCATAAGAAGCATAAGACAGGCAACGAGGGCAAGGTAGTGCGTGCGTAAGGAAACCGGACGCCATCCGGCCGGATGGAGGTGCCGGGGATTGCCAGCAGAGCCCGGTTGGCGGAAGGCCCAGTAACGATCTGAAATGCGAGGCGCCAAGACAGTGAGTGAGTGTTGGATTGGGCCAAGAAGCGACGGAGATTCCTTACCAGTGATATGCAACCAGACGTTGAAGAGCTTCTTTGATAAGCCTCGAGACATGGTCTACTAGCCGCATGCCTCCACGGGACGAACAACCGGTGTCTGGTCGGGGAGATGACAGACAAACCCTCCCCAGAATTCACTCCGACGTCGAGGCCCAGGACGACGGGTTCATGGTAATCTCCAGCAGCAAGGATGGGGGAAAGGCACCATGACGACTTCCGGTATAGGATTCTTGATGATCAGCATGCGCCAGGTGATGGACGAGCGAAGCGACGATGGAAGCGAGGATGATGATGGCGATGATGGTGGTGATGATGATGGTGATGGGGAGGGGAAGGAAGTGGAACAAAGATTGATGGGCAGAGGAGAATCTGGTTTAGGGGCCGGGCCTGGCGGTTTGCGTTTTTCCTATTTGGGGTTAGGGGTGAGATCCTATTGGCCAGTAACCAGACAACCCCTGTCACATTCACCAATCAGCGATGAGGCCGCTCACGTGTCGATTACCGAATACCGACCTGTATTCGGGTTTCAGTCTGCCGGGCCGAAATTGTCCTATCAGTTTGGCAGCTGCGGGGTATTTTTGGTACAGCTTCGTATCCGCCGCTCGTATATCGCCTATTGCCTACCAGCTTAGGTACCTTAGGTACTACGGAGTACCGGTAGTACCTAACCTCCTACATGGAAAGATGACGGACCACACAGTATGCTTTTTCATTTGAATAGAGAATCTTCCACTGATGTTCTGACATGGCATGAAAGCTCAATCCAGTGGCGATGCAAAGAGTCCCTATCCAGTATACGATTGATGGTATTTACGTCAAGTCTTTTAAGGATCATGGTTGAGATAATTCAGTATATGAGATCGAATATGAATTGCCCGTCAATGACTAACAGGTATCTACTAACTAACTAGTAGGTAGTATGGCTATCCAAATGGACACGAATACTTACAACCTAAGCAAACAATGGCGTAGGCTTCATCACATACAATAGAAGCGGTAGAGAAGATGATTCAGGGTAATTGAATTGAATTTGAGGATGTATGTCCAGCTCTAGACTGGTGTTGTCAATTCGGAAATCCCCTACGTACTCCTTGCGCCACGTAATTATGACTTGGTGCTGTTGATTGATGACATTAACTTTTCTCATCCGCACACTGATAATGCTCCTACTGGCGTTATTTCTCTCCACCTGCTTCGTCATGCAACGGAGTATCTAAAGCCACGGAAAACAAGTTGGATTTGAGGGGTAGTGGGACCTGCCCTTGTGATATCTCCTCGACAGCACGTTATAGAGGAAGATATCCTCTGAAAGCTAGGGTTTTTTTAATAATCATAGATATATATCAATATATATGCACAATCAGAATAGTAATAGTTTTGTATCCCGTCTGATTAAGTATCGTGGTTGAATTTGCACCTCGGGAACAAACTGGGTTGTGGATCAGATGCATGGGAACCAACCAACCCCTTCAAGGCGGCGATATCAATCTAAAAAGTTATCAGTAAGAGTCTTGAGTTTTGGGAAAATGGCCCTCTCATTTATCGATATCTGAGGTTGCGAAATTTCAAAACTCACAGTGTACTAAGTCAGTCTCCTTGTTTTACCATAGAACAGACATAGTTCGACTACCTTTGCGGAAATCTTCTGGGACACCCGACGGTACTCCGTAAAGGGGTCGTGTTGGAGTCTACGGAGTACACCCCCTGCAATTATTCCAAATCGCCAAGCTGGTTGGTTGGCAATTCATTTCCACTATGGAGATAGCCAGAGGAGGGTACAAAGCATTCTAGAGTCTAGACTGACATGGGTATTTGGTCCTGGAGCTTCCAGGCTAGAAAACTTAAACCAGGGAATAATCTCCTGATACAGGCCCCGAAAGCCAACGCCACAGGGGTTAGATCGATCAACGTCGTGCTATTCCATATTCGAGGAAAGATAGCGATGGAAAACCTGCTAGGTCTAGACTGCTAACTATGGTGAGGTCACACCGTATCTGCACTGCCGCCAATGAGCGTGCGCGGCGCGTCCGACTGCGTAGAGCAAACCTTCAGCAGCTTGGGAACTACCCACTGATAATACATGCAGGAAGCATGCCATCAGCGGAAATAGTGCGGGTCTTCTGCATCTAGAAGCGCCTTTCACCGCATTGGAACCCCTTCAAGTCTTACGGTGGGTGGGCGTTTGTAGTAATGTGGACGATCTAAGAGGTCTAGCTGGACCCATTCTTAACGCTCGTGCACGGATAAGGAAGGTGGCTTTTTAAGGATAACTGATGGTCGGTAGCCGGGGCTGATAGCAGGATTTATCTGGTCGTCGAGGATCGAGACGTTCATGCTGGTGAGGGCAATAGCCACCACCCTGTCCCCGCTTGTGGCAGCAGTCACTGACGCTATTGGGCTTGAGTGGGAAACCAAGCCTGTCAATTGGGATATAAGTATGCCCAAAGCCAGCCAACTGTGGTTGACGTCCCCTGAAGGGCGGTTTCCTCTACGAAAGAAGAAATGGGGGATATTTCTTCAAGCTCCGGACGGCGTTCATCGGAATACCGTGGCTGAACCGACCCATTGCCAGTGGAGAAGCAGCAAGCAAGCTAAGGCGACGGCTTTTATCTTCCGTAGAACTTAATATTTGTAACGAAGCTAACGGTCGACTCGGACAACTGCGATCTCGACGCAGATAAAACGGGACGGCTTCCGCTGTCAATCGAGGACAGCCCATCGTTGGTGTAGGCGTGCCGTTAGATTGGAGTGACAGTCACAATACGAAACAATCCTGGAGTTCCCCCCTTGCTAGTGTTGGTGCAATTTGGCAGCCTAGCTCAACGCCTTTACCCAATGAAGCAGGTGTTGCGAGAGAGAAATCCTCTTGTGCTCTATAGATGTTTCCAACACCGGTATCCTTTGCGTTGATAAAATGGTTGAAACAATTATAAACAGAAACTTTAGAGCTTGCAGGTTCCCTCCTCATCCTAATTTCGGATTCTTCTTTCCCATTTCCCCTGTACTTCCAGAAAATAGGACCTGTTCAAACACTCACTGCTCGATGATCTACCAGGTTGTTCTAACAAGATTTACTAGCGTCTGTTCTTAGGGCTCGGTAGTCACAGGGCGGTTCCCGTCTCATCTTGATCGATAGAACTCTACACCGGATGACTCGCTTTACCCCCCCCCCCCCATAGCTGTAGCTAATGAGGTTGGTTGGTTGTCAAGCTGGTTTCGTATTCGGATTATGAAACCGGAGTCGATACTATCTATATATTAGGCGGAAAAGGTCCCCCCCCCCCCCCCCTTTTCCACTGACTGGACGGATTCCAGATTCAGAACCTTCAAACTAATGTAAGAGTTGCCCGTTAGAACGAGGGATCGCCGGAGATCAGTTTGGGGCGAAAAGCTGACAGATTGGCTAGTGCATGCGTATATTGCACGCCTACTGGCACAGTGGACCTATTAAATCCCCGACGCAACGACTTCTTAATCGCAAAGCTATCCTCTCGTAGTGGGCAGGTGACTCTTTTCATGCAATACCCTGGTAGGCCTGCAGATCAAGATGGTCCCTACTTCTATTACATCTAAATCATCTCTGGTCTGGATTTCCGTTAAGAGCCCAGTTTGCCCCGCAGAAATGAAGTGGACTCTTTGGAAATTGCTTTTACCACTGTGCTCGCGTCATTGGCCCGCCAGGGAAACTTCCGGAAAGAGCATGCCGCTATATTTGTGTTTCTGAAGCAGCGAAACGCCTCCTCTAATATGAGAAATGGCGGAGGGATGGAAAATTCGCGTCCGAAGTAGTCTCCCCTAGAGGCCGCATTGGCCAAACTTAATTTCCCAGTGAGTGATCTTCTATAAATCCTTAGCTGCATGTATATCGAAGTAGTCGAAGGGGCACAGTCTTTCAGTACCTCCGCCGCTTACGATCTCCTTCAATATATTTATGCCCAAGGATCTCTCACTTGCGACCTCTTCAAGATTGGCGGAACCCTCCAGTGAAGTGTATCCCTCTTTAAACGCTCGCTGCCCAACAGATGAGCTGTCGTCGGAATCTTTCCATAGAACCAGCTTGCAATGACTTCACTATTCGAATCCGATTATGGGACAGTGGCCCCATTCTTCCCGCAACAGACCTCCGAACAACAACGGATTCCGTTTGTTCCGCCAGACTACTTCCTGTTTCAAGGGAGTAAAGAGACTCCAGGTTCGCCGCGACCTCCCTCCCGTTAACTGTGATAAGAGTGCTGACCAGAGGCCCAGCGCTCTCATTCGTACCAAATTACCCACATGGGATCTATCTGAGATCTCTCGAACATGTCCAAAGTGAATATGACTGCTTCGTGAACAGCGTCATCAGCAATGTACTCATCCGAGTAGAAGATGGATCGATGCTATCCCCACCCGCACATGATGAGCAACTAGTGATGCCTAATCAATATCCCGTCCCTGCCCCTATTCTTGTTCCACCCTGTTGTGATGATCTCATGTGGGGGTCGGACCTGTCTTTTGGGCCGAATGGTTACTTTCCATTACAAGACGCACCATCACCGTCTGCGATGGAGCGGGATATGCTGTATATGTACACAAACTCCCTTCGGCCCATAACTCACCGGCCTGCCACGGCCAATATGCGGGTCGAAAACACAATGCACGAAAAAGAATGGAGCCCAAGCCCCGACATTTCTGAAGTCACCCGGGGAGGAGTACAGAGTATTACGGGAAAGAAACGCAGGAGGCTTCTGCATATCATTGCTGAGCGGAACCGACGCCTCAACCAGAACAAAATGTACGAAGAACTGTATAGAATCGTCCCCGGACTGGATCATGATACAAGGTCAACCAAAAGAAAGGTGTTGACGCGAGCCGCAGACTGGCTTGAAGAGCTGATCGAAGACAACAAGAAGCTGCAAGAGCAGCTGATGCAACTTGCGTCCCATCCTCGGTACGGTTGAGGGTCCGATTTCATGAGAGAAATTCAACTTGCGGCTTGCGGTGTTAGGCGTGTGGGACATAGATGTTTCTTCAGAGGATGTGCGGGCACGAACACTTTTGTCTTGATACCATAGTGATAAATTAGAACGACATTGTTTTTTTTTTTTTCTTTCTTTCTTTCTTTCTCACAGTCCGGAGTATCTATAAAGCAAAACTCCTTATCTACATGGTATTTACCCCGGATTATCAGGGTGGAAGGGGTGATCCTGGTATAACTGTAGAATTCATCTTGGCCTACCGAGGCAAGTATATTGATCTGTAGGGACATATGTGAGCACAAGCCCCAAAATCTCGAATAAGAATGACACTGGAAGCAAATCACCCGACCCGTCCCGAGGATGGATTCATGTCCGTCAAGCCCGTAATCCCACCGAAGCTCCTGAGTGGTGTCGTTCAAGTTAAAGGTTCGCCCTAAAACGGTCAGCGCTCGTCGGCCTTCCAGGATACAGCTCCCACCTGCGGGGTCCCACAGCCACTGAGGGAAATATCCTTGTCTATTTTCCTAATGTTGTTACCGCTCAGGAGGGAAATCCAGAGGACGGTGGTCTTTGCTTCTGACCATGCAGTCGTCTTCCTAGGAGAACGAGCTGTGCTCCGTAAGCACCGACGATTCCCCCACCCGCCATTGAACCCAAAATCTGGCGGGTTCGCGTCGACGACAGCTTTTACTCTGTCTTCACCTTCTGCGCTGCATCCCGTATAATATGGGGGTTAAATCCCCGTCACCTTGTTCCAGTTTGTGGGAATATGTTGGATTCTCTTAATGTGTTGGCCCTAATAACTCCCACTTCGCACCTGAATCGAAAAATCGACCCTCATTCTAGGATGGAGCTGGTCGAGAGGGAATGGATGGTTGCCCGAAGTAGCAATGTGTCGTCGTGCCCCTTTCCCTTTATTGCGGAACTCTCGGTGCCTTATCATGGGGGATGTGAGTATAATTCACTCAAAAGGTATCTGCGCGGTGCTAATAGCTCCTGGAGACCTGGGGGGTCGGTGGTGCAAACCCGTCCCTATAGCCGTCGAGGATGTGTCCTGCTGCATTCCCTGTCCAATATCCGACTGGAGATACACAAAAGGTGCGACAATACTACGATAACGCCTTATATACAAGGGTCAGTGGCTCTTGCTAACGGTAACAGACTTCAGTCTTGTAATCGTATCGTGGATTGGAGTGTTTATCCTCGTCCTAGCCCTAATTTTGGGTCTCACATTTGCTGTACTTCCGGTCGCGGCAACATGGCGGCACTACCTCACGACCAGCCCATTAATCGGGTTCACTTTTATGGCGGCATGGCTTATATCTTTTTATTGGGTGCTGTTTGGGAATGTAGCTAACGATGTGTAGGCCTCGTTTATAATCCAGCTAGGAGCATCAATCGACGTGTGCTACGACTCCATCACACCGAACGATTGGCGAACGGACAATCGCTGTGCGGTATCGGGGGCTCTGCTTCTTTACGGGGTTTGGGTGGTAGTATTGAGCTGTGAGTTTTTTTTTGCCCCGTAAGCCGTGTGCGTCCAGCAGAAAAGGGCTGATGATTCTTCCAGGCTTCTTTCGCTCCCTCTCCCTGTACGCCCACCTATGCTGGGAGATCGAGCTAGGGACGAAATTCATGTACATCGCCCTCGTCTGCATCTTCGTCGGCGCAGGCGGACTCTTCCTCACGGAATTCTTGGTCTCTGGCGTCTCCTACCAAGTCGGCAAAATCTGCAGCATCAACATCGACAAAAGCACGGAATCACTGTGGGCGCCTCTTCTCGCTGTCGCCAGCGCCTCCCTCATCCTCCAGCTGCTCATCATGGCGCACTGCATCCACCGCGTGCTGGACCCCTTCGGAAACATGTTCAAATTCCTCTTCACGTGTCGTCGCGCCCGTGTTCGCGCTTCCGTCGAGCTGCCCCCAGAGCTCGCCGAACAGCCTTCTGCCCGCCAGGTCTGCTCGAGGATCCGGCGGATTCTTCAACTGCAATGGAGGGCGATAGCGATCGTGTGCCTGATTATCTTTCATGTTGCGTTTCTGGCGGGGGCGCTGCTCCGCGTGGGCACGCCGGCGGATTACTCCCTCGAGCAAGTGACCCCGTGGCTTGTGTGTTTGATGACCTCGCATGGCGAGAGTGAGCCGTGTTTGTCTGAGGCTTCGGGGCTAGGACCGAGCCAGGGCACGGCGCTCGCTGCGTGGATTCTTCTGTCGGTAAGTGGTCCATGTTCTCTGTCTGTCTGTCCTATTCGAGCCCTGAATATGAGACTGCGGCTCTAACAGCTTCTAGCTGAGCGGTGTCTGGGGTTTCATCTGTGTTGTCAAGTGGTCCATGGTCCAGGGGTGGATAGAATGGGGGAGACGGAGGAGGAGTGCTTTTCGCGAGAGCATGGCATACCGGCATAGGGCGCAAGGTCAACCCAGGGATGTTGAGCGCGTGGTGAGTGACTGTCTCACAGTAGACACCATGTACTCTCCTACCTCTGCGGTGCACAAGGCCCTGCGCTTTACTAGGGGGTCGAGTGTTTCCGGGGGTGCATATTCCTCTGAGACTCCTAAGTACTAGGCTTTTCTGTTTGTTAACCACATGAGTATGTATTCCCTGGCGAAAGGCAGGCGCCGGCATAGTTGACCAACGTCGAGTTTTTCATTTGTTTAGATTGGGGGTTGAAATTTTGGTAAAAGACGGATTAATATAGAACCATGTGCATTGTATTGGAAATGATACCGAGTGCTGGCCAGAGTCATTGGATTATTTGCGGTTACTTGCTCTATAACTGGATTAAATAATGGCGGAGCAATAACCTGATCCATACCGGCCGTACAGGATCCTCTTTCGGTGGACTTCACTACCCCTCGGCCAGGAGCACCAAAGGTACTGTTTTCCTTGCTGATATCGCTCGAGCTGGATGCTATCGTTGGTTCTGGGACAACGAGGGCTAACTGCCCAAAGAAGCAGAGATATGCGCATTCGTTTTGTCCGAGATGATTCGTTTGTCGAGGTTGGTGCCACCAACTTGCAGCTGAATTGCAAATGGGAGAACGGGAGCTCGGGAAGCTACGGCATCAAGGCTGGTTGTGAGCGTGGTGAGGAGGTTGCTGATTGCACTGATCTCTGCAAGGACGGTTTCGTAGTCTACTGGGACGCAGACTGGCCAAAATAGTAGGGAAAGGAAAGTGATGAGCCTCATGGTTCTCTGGTGATCCTATCGAAGTGGGTAAAAGTAGAAAGAGGCGACGTCATTGTTTAGGAGCAAGTGACATATCTGTCATTGTCGGTGCATGGGTGAGCAAAGCCATATATATAACTCTCGACAACGCTTCCTTCAAGATGCTCCGTACAAGTATAACAGGGAGTATCAAGAATCACATTCTCATGCCCCAGCCGGGTACGATCGTATTCGGGATCATGTCTCTAAACCTCAATATTACCTATCCTTTGGGAATATACATCTTGAATCCGCTTCCAGCATCACAGAGCACAACCTCGGTCGAAGCCATTTACGTCTGATTAAGCGAGCCTCGGGGTCTCTGCGTTTGCTATCTGCAGACAAGAAAATAAAATTGCTTCACACCCGATGCAGCGGTTGGTGATAATAGTTTCGTCGTGTGTCTTCGAATAATTCCCTCGTTATACGACTGTCTTGCCGACTACTGCGCTGCCTATGGAAGCCTGTTGTGCAATACTTTAACGACAACGCGACAGACACACCCCGGCGAATTGTTCCAGGACTTCTGGTTACGTTGGATATTACTGGAGCAAGATACTCTACTTACAAGGTATGATAATGAATCATTGGAAGGCATACTAACAGTCGCCTGAAACACATATGAAACAGAGGTCTACGTAGGCTTGCAAGCCACATACCTATAACTCTCTCTGTAAATATCATACTGGAGCTCTACAGCCATTAACAACTTGTGATCAACCCGCTTATCTAGAGCCTCTATCTGCTTGATACTTACAGCCATAGCACCGTCAATCGCTTTCTAAAGGTTACCAGATTTGCCTTGTATTTCCAGTGCACAGAGTACCCTTGAAGCCACCATCAAACCCTTAACCATAGCACCCAGATCACTGATGTGATTGGCGATAGGATTCAAATGGAAGATAATAGTCGAATCGCGTGGAATATAAGCCCTGAGCAGCTCTTAGGGCTATGGGAACCGAAGGACAAGAGAGAACCCCTTCATAGTGAAGATCAGGTCAGTAAATGGAAAGAGAGAAGGACCTGATAAGCGCCCTTAATACATAAGTTTGAAACATGCCGAAGAAACAAGCAAGCAGTGTAATCCCCAGTAATGGACCGTAGCAATGTCTTCAAAATAGCCCCCGAGGCAAGATGCGAACCGCGGGACTCGTGATTGCTTCGGCCAGGGTACTCGTCCTTCTCATCCTTTGACCCTGGCATTATCATGCACATGCACATGTCATTTCTCCCGAATCTTACCCCAGGTTTCCTGTGCTGGAATTGACTGGACTCTAGATGGGGATCCAGCTAAATTTGTCTGTTTGGAGCAATTATATATATCCAATTTAGATGGCATTAAAGAAGGACGACTAATATGAAAAAAGTGAGAAAAAAAGAAATGGATGTTGTGATTCCGATACGGGGAATCGAACCCCGAGCTGCCGTGTGAGAGACGGCGATGTTAACCATTACACCATATCGGATTACTGGATAGAATGGAGACAGAATAAACGATTAACAAGGCAGGCCAAAGACCACATCACGATAAGACGACGACCTTAGAACGTGCTCTAGGGCCTATTAGACTGTGAGTTGCAAAGAAGCCTTTCCTCCTGCTCTTGTCCCTGTCTACACGAATTTACACCCATTAGAATACTCGGCCTTTAGACCTGTGCGACCCGTCCTTCGTCATGAATTCCTCCTGGTCGGCTTGGTGGGGGGGGGGGTTTCCAGTATGGAGGAACATATCGTAGCTATCCCGTGGAAGGATTTCTAGATCGACGTGACGTGCTACTCGTAGTTAATTAATATAACCTCATGAGTCAGAAAGAAATACCCACTCGCGGCTGACAGTGGAGTCGCCATCAATATCTCCGCACCGGCTTTACATATCTCCACCTCTAATTCCGAAGAAGACTTGATATTTATCTATACGGTACCTCCCGGCAAGAGGGTTCCGGGACACCTGAGTAGATACCTACATCCAGAATACGAAATGGCTCCTCTCGTGTGGTTCATCACAGGCGCCTCCTCCGGCTTCGGCCTGGATCTCTCCCTGCACGCCCTTGGGGCCGGCCACCAGGTCATCGGAACCGTCCGCAACGCAACCAGGTCCGCGGAAGCTGTCCGTCAAATCCAAGAGAAAGGAGGCAAGGTCCTTGAGTTGGACGTAACAAACGCAGAGGCCGTCCCCGAAGTCGCAAACCAGGCGCTTAGGTTGTATGGTCACATCGACGTTCTAGTCAACAACGCCGGGTACTCATTACTGGGCGCGGTAGAGGACATCAAGTAAGCGAGTCCAGATTCCCGAACCCCCCCCCCCCCCCCCCGGCTCTCCGGAATCGCCAAACCGAGGACTAATGACCTGCTTGACAGAGAGGAGGAAATATACCGCCAGATGGAGACGAACTTTTACGGGCCCGTGCGACTCATCCGTGCGTTTCTCCCTGCGCTGCGCGCCCGTGGTAGCGGAACTATTGTCAATATCAGCAGTATCGCCGGGCAAGACGGGCTGCCATCGTGTGGATTCTACGCGGCAAGCAAATTCGCCCTGGAGGGAATGTCGGAGGCGCTGGCGCGCGAGCTCGCCCCCTTTAACATCGCGGTCCTGATTGTGGAGCCTGGCGCATTCCGCACGAATTTCCTTTCCGCCGTGCAAAGGAATGAAACGGGCCTCTCGGAGCCGTACCAAGGCGGACCGGTGGATATTGCTCTGGGCAGATTCGATTCAATGCAGGGGCACCAAAAGGGGGATCCTCTCAAGGCTGTAAAGGGGTTAATGGAGGTTATTACCGGAGAAGGACAGGCCGGAGGATTGAAGGGCAAGATCTTGCGATTGCCGCTAGGTCCTGACTGTGTACAGAGGCTGGAAGGGAAGCTGAAGAGCGTCTCGCAGGATCTGGAAATGTCGCGGGATTTGGCCATGAGCACGAATTTTTGAACGGGCTGTAGAATGAATGGATTGGAATTACAGAGCGCAAGCATAAGGGTGACGTTATGAGATGAAATACAAAATAAGTCTAACAGTTAGTAGTAGTATCTGGCCTTGACTTGTCCTCTCTCACTCACGGAAACGGAAACGAGAAGGCTTCCTTTCTTCTCTGTAGTTTTGATGAGTGTATAACCATACTTGGGTGTCTTCGATACGGGCTCTTTTTACGGGAGAGAAAGTTTCGAGCCAGACATACGTAGAGTACTTGGTCAAGCCCGGCTGGTAGCTTAGGGTTCACATCGTGCGCAGCTGTATTGAGTATAGCATCAGAACCAAACATACAAGTGCTCAGATTATCTGTAGTTCTATATAAAGTGATCACTGCAGAACAAACTGGAATCAAAAGTAGGGTTGCCCACCTCACGTTTACATGGATGTAGGTACCTAACAGATGACCTGACCTGATTGAACTTCCCAGCCCTCAAGGGTTCAAGACTCAAACTACCTATTTAGTTACAAAAAGAATCAAATGCGCTATATTAAGATAATAATAATATACGTCAATGAGATGAAACCCTCCTTCACAGCTCTGAATGGACAGTGGCGCGTTGCTTAGCTGCCGTGTACAGATTGTTGATATCTGCCTTCCATTGTGCCTCGTTGACCCGCTTCAACCGTCGGTCATAGGTCATTAACCCATTCAGCTCGCCTTCAACATCAGTAGTCTGGGTCCAGACCGCAACACTGCATGAGAATCGTTGAATCTGGTCGCGGAGCTCGCTGAGAAGAGTGTGACTCCGATAGTTCCACACGTCAATGGTAGCGTCTAACTCGTAGGTCTGATCGATGGTGTTGATTGCCGCTTGGACGTTCCAAAGACTTTTCAAATATTAGCATCACTTCCGGAGAATCGAAGGAAAGGCGGGTGTTACTTTTCAATTGTCACGTTGTTGCCAATGCCGCCGAATTCACCTTGAATGCCGATGCGGTTGGGGTCATAGGGCCTCGAGGACCGAGAGTAGAAGGGAGATCCACATTGGGGATTCGCATAGTGATGATTGTCCTGGATTTACTCAGTCATCTGATCCCAGGGCTAGTTTAGAAAGAAACTTACGCTGAAGTCACCAGCTCCGTGGTCGAACCAGCCTGAAGCCGCATCGACCAGACGAGTCGAATCTAGTTTCTTCACCATGTCCGTGAGACCAAATTCCGGATGCCATGTAGAGGGCTGGCCCCATCCTTCGTTGTATATTACCTAACGGAATGTAATAAATAGCCCATGTTAGGTCCGGCCGGCCGATATGGAAGAGCGTTGCTTACCCAGGTAAAAATGCATGGGTAGTTCTTGAGTTGATTGACCATCAACCCTAGCTGGCGCGTGAATTCTTGCTGTTGGTTGGCATTGGGCTGCGCGAGAAAGAGAGCAGGCATATCCTGGATAACTAGGAGACCCAGCTCATCACAAGCACGGTAGAAGAGTGCGGGCTCGACCTTGATATGCTTTCGAAGCATGTTGAATCCGAGATCTTTCAGCACCTTGAGATCATAGATCATTGCGTCTCGGTTCGGAGGGGTGTAGATGCCGTCGGGCCAGTATCCCTGGTCCAAAGTGCCAAAAAGGAACATGAACTCGCCGTTCACTAAGGGGCGGACTACCCCATTCACTGTACCCTTGGATATGGTGCGGAAACCCGTGTAGCTACCGACCTGGTCACGACCCATGGTGACGCTTATGTTGTATAGATCAGGTGTATCCGGTGACCATAGCCTCACACCGTCGGCCGTAAACTTGAATTGTTGGTTTGCCGTGCCATTTTGCGACGCGATCGTATGGTCACCATCCTGGACAGACACCACGACAGGAGTGTTGTTTCCGGATGCACTGTAGACAGTGACGGTCACTACACTTCATTAGCTAGCGCGCCCTCTGACCAGTACGCTTGTCCCTACCAACGCCTTGCATGTCGGCCGTTAGATCGAGTCGGGTAATGTAGTCTGCTGGCGCAGCTTCGATCCACACAGTTTGCCAGATCCCGCTACAGGGTGTGTAGAAGATATGTGAGGGTGACAGCCGCTGCTTGCCAATCGGGATAACGGCTCCCTCCCCCTCCGTTGGGTCATGTACAAAGACAAGCCTTGATATTGTGATTAACAGTTTCTCCTGATATGGCATTCAAGACGACATACAGTTCATTTGTTCCATTGAAGGTAATATATTCAGTTGCGTCAACTGTGAATTCAAAGTAACCTCCACGGTGGAAAGCTACTTTTTGCCGGTTGATGAAGACGGTTGCTTCATAGTCGACAGCACCGAAGTTTACTAGAATATTCTGCCTCTGCCATCTGGGAGGGACGGTGAAATTGGTGGATAGCCAAGAATATAAAGCATATCTTCCCTGCAGACCTGTACGTTGTTTAGTATACCCCGTTAGTATCACCCGACGGAAAGAAGACTAAGAGGTATTACCGGACAGGCCACTCTCAAGGCATGAGGGAACCAGCACTTCGTTGTCCAGAGTCTCACCGAAGGGCGGATTCTCGATTGCAGACGCGCCAGACGCGTTGCGGTACTGCCAGATACCGTTCAGATTCTGCCATTGTGCCCGTTCCAGTTGCGGCCGGGGATACTCCGGCCAAGGGCTGGTCCCGACGTTGTCCGTCCATGGCGTGGTCAAGGGAGGTGTTTGAGGCACGTAGGGGGTTATGGCGCTACCGAGGCCGGCGATTGCCAGCAAGGGGAAGAAGAAGATTCGCAACATCTTCCGACGGCCGTGTGGTGCGGATAGTCAGTGGGATGATGGGCCGTTCTTTATACTACGGAGTACTTCAATATGTAACTAACTCACATACCTGAACGACCCCCTCTCATCCGCCTTGTACTCAAGACCAGATTATTTCTATTCGTTCATTATAATCCCCGAGATTGTATGGGCTCTCCTCATCAAGCCCCCCCCGGGCATTGCGAGTACATCCTCCTCTGGTGTAATCTCCCGGCACTCTCCACGGAGTGTGATTGATGGACTCATATGCCATTAGCGGGTTGGACTTTTATTAGAGTGGATCTTTAGGGAATCGCCGGCGATCTCCTTGGGATCAGCCGTTGGCGCCAGTTTTAAGGTCAAACTGGAATTAGTGAGATGCTTGACGCTGTTTCGTGGCAGAGGTAGCACCTCATGGGCAATAGAAGAAGATGATGCCGTGAAATACTCATTCTCCATGGTGCGCTAGGCATTTCGCATCCAACACTTTACCCCTGAGTGCCAACGATGCCTGTAAGGCTGTCATGGGCTAGTGAAAGCCTGTGCTGCTACAATGTCGATCCCCTGCATAGTACAGGCTGCATAAGGGGTCACTCGACACACCCAGCTGTAAGGTGATTGAGGGATTGATTGTATTAGGATCTCATGAATAGGAGAGCGCTTGAGCTTATGGGACTTACCGGAGTAGATCCTACTATGAAATTCATTTCTTATATTGCTGGTATTAGCCCGCAACCAAGTGACAATCGTGTGCCCAGGGGCCCTCTCGCATCTTTCCGGAATGAGGTTTTCAAGAATACTATTTATTTCTAGGGAGTGGCTACGGACTCGGTCTGAATCCATCATTGGAGATGACGCTGAATGAGGACCAACCATTCAGGGGAACGGAGAAATCTCTGCATCAAGCTTCTTAAAGGCTTCACGATCGAGACACAATAACAAGAGAGCTTTAGCAAACAGGCAGACCAGGCAACACCGTCTTTAGCGCGGCCGGCAGCCCCATTAGCTTCAATTTCCCCCTCGTGGATTCGGTGATTGAGGGCCATATAGAGTCCACCGGGAATCAGGGGAACAATGTTGCCACGATGGTTCACCGTCAGAGCCAGGACCTGGAAATTGGTGTGTGAAAACTCGTCCTGATCGACCCGTTAGACCGACACAAATGGTGGCTAATCTCGGTCAAAAAACCTCCACGGGATATAGTTGATCGACTGATGGAGCCGCAGACGGCGGTGCATTTTCTGGAGTTTTGCTTCTCCGGTATACTCCCGAATGGCAAAGAGACTGCATTGGAAAAACTAAATCCAGATGACATGCAATACTTGCATGCAAGTCCGGAAGGTGACGAGGATGGCCGGCCGATATCTGAACGCGTCATGAGTCGTGTCGGGTCTGTCGAGGACAGCGATAGGCTATGTCTTGTTGTTGGGAAGAATATTCAATCCATGAAGAATCGTACGTGCGAAGGGATCATACCTCTCTCGGAGCAGCGGTGGAAGGAGAAGGGTCTCGACCAGGAGGATCATTTTGATATTGCCTGCCAATCTCGATCGGCTGTGGTTGCAGCCTGGGAATATCTCAACCAGCCGCGCGTGGCGAAGAACATGCGGGACACATTTCACCTGCTCTGGGGACACTGGGAGGAGCTGGAAGTAATGATTAACCGGCAGCGCATGATTGATCAAGAACCGCCTGTCAGTGTGACACGGCTGTGGCTTCAGTTTATCGTTGCTCATTTCCAGGTAGTCGCAGAGCGCGCGCATCGCTGGGTGATTGTCCATGTCAATGCACTACGCGCCCCCCTCCTGCAGCGACTGGCCGCTCATCGTCCTATGAATCTCGATGTTGTGGATTCTTTACAATGGAAGTTAACCGATCGCCTTCACATGCTGGTGGAGATTGCATCGGTTGCAGACTATGCGATCATGATCCCCATGCATGGCTACAACGGATACACGCCACCACCAATTCCGCCTCATATTCTACCTGCGCTGAGGTCGGCGAGTTGGGAAGAGAGGAGGCAGGCATATTCACCCCGAATGAAGCTGGTCACCCGGGCCACGCGTCAGCGAACCTGCACTATTTTGCCCTTCCGCGGGGAATCCGATGGGAGAACATACCACCGCGCAGGGATGCCCATGCGGACTGGGACTTGCTCACCCTGCTGTTCCAGAAGGCAGGCCAGAGCGGGCTGGAGATCTGTCCTGGACGAGAGGTGGTCACGGAATTTGGCATTGGCGATGGGTGGACACAAGTTGGTTGGAGGCTCCTCACGGGCGAGAATTGTTTGCAATATCGGGGAAACCTTCTAATGTCGTGGTCTGATGATCGCTGCAAATTCAACTTTCCGTCGTGTCAGGGTCCCATCCGAGCCCGGGGATTTCTCCGGAGACCGGTACAGTATTGCCCTTTTCAATCAGCCGTGCAAGGATGCCCTGATCCAAGGGGCCCCGGAAGAAGTATACCCACTTGTTACTGGGGAGGAATTCAATACTCCAGCTATGAAGCGGAATTTTGCTGCACTGCAGGAAACGTTGAAGAGGAAGGAGGCAAAGTGGAATCTAAGGGCAGCAATAATTGCTACTTGACGACTTTACCATGCTCGTATCCCAGCGTCCACCCACATGGCTTGAAACCCTGGTTACAGCTAATGTGATCAATGAAGTTTACCTGATCCGAGGGATACTTCGGTAGCAACGTGGTTTAGAGGCCAGGCTAGAGTTGAGTACGACATGCGCATATCATTTATATGTATTGTTTCGAGTGATAGTTGTCCGAACAATCTTGACGCGTCTGTTAATTGAAAGAAAAGTCGGGGCATGATTTCGCCAGTCAGATGAAATCTAGGCGCCTTGTTTACCATTCCATGGCGTAGTTATTGCCAGAAATCATCGTGGCCATGAAGGTGGAATCCTTGAACTAATGTTGTCCAATCTGGGAAACCCTCCGTGCCACCCAGGTCTAGTTCAGCACCTTCAGAATTTGCCGGGAGATACGTTGGAAGGCTGCTGGATGACGATACACTTGCTCGGGAAATCATGCTAGGGATCCAGCAGCGAGTCTTAGCAGTAGTATCGCCCTCGGGATCCTGCCTTTGAACCCTTTCTCTGACTGCCAGAGCCTTTGTCCTCAGGGCAGCTAGAACTGCGGCCTTTGACCCAAACCCACTGGTGAATTTATCCAAAAGATCGTACCCGAATAGCTTGTCAATTTCCTCCCATGCTCTCTCAACATTGGGGCCCTCGGGCTTCACGGAAAGATGGGAGAGGATATACAACGCAACGTGGTATTGTGGGTAAGCCTTGTAGACCCAAGCGAACTGAATCAACAGCGGATCTTTGTGATAAATATTTGTTTCGAGGAGTTCCAATGCCACTTGGAGGTTCTCTTCCGTGGCAAAGTCCACGTCAGGATCGGAGCGCTTCAATAAAATCCATTGCAGTCGCGTGACAAAGTCAAGTTTGCGGAGGAGGAACCGCGAGCACAAGAGTGTCAAACGTTGCGGCGGTATGACAGGATTGCAATAATGCAGTAACTTTTCCACCTGCATCTCGGTCTCTTTGACAATGCGTGCTCTGGTATCCTCGCTGGGCGGGGAAGACGGCCGGGAGGACGCCGCGATGGTCGCCAATCTCTGCATAGATTTCGCTAGAGCAATATAGACCAAAGAAAAGGTCATAGGTGTCCAGCCCTCCCTGGGTTCAGGCAGGTGCTGCATCTCCGGATAAAGCTCGGAATCTGCAACATTGATGGGTAGGCTCACATCCGAGGCCATCAATAAGCTGTTGGTGTTTTCTAGGCCGTAGTCTTCGCCCGCACGGCTATCGCGACTGACGAGATGCCACCACAGACGGCGACGAATCTCCGAGTCAAAAACCGATAGCCCGAGCTGCGCTCCATCACGATGAAGACCTAGCGATTTAGCGATACGGATTGCCAGGCCGTTCAGAATCCATATTCCCTTCCCGCGATTGTGAACCCGTAGCACGGACTATACCTATCGTTAGCCTGAACCTTGGGGCGAAATACACGAAACTTTGAGGGGGGCTGATACCAAATATATGGCTAGGGCATGCAGTCCAGTGATGGTTGGACGGTCTAAGAAGTCCCCATGAGCTAACGCCTGTTCCAGACCAATCTTAAACCGCAGCAAGAGCGTATCAGTATCTTGCCCCAGAGTTATCTGTGCATCTGGGGCATCAAGGGAGACTGTGGAGGCGAAGTATATAGCAAAGCACAGGGCAAGATTCTCTGTGGATGCCGACCCAGGGTCCTCAATCGTGGAATATACCCTGACCTGATCGGTAGGCAGGTGCAACATCTTTAACCCCGTGCACACCTCTACGTTTTCCACATAAATGTTCCAGAGCCCCACAGCCAGTCGTTTCGGGGGATGGAGATTAGCAGGAACCAGTGACGGGCAAGGGGAGGACAGGATCCCTAGTGCATTAAAGGGGGAGGATACGGGGGGGTGCGGTGCTGTTATATGAGGTGGGGTCAACACAGATCGGACATTTCCTTCCTATCCAGAGGGTCAGGAAATGATTTAGATCGATGGTTACTATGGTATTGGTGAATCTAACCTCTTCGATCACTCTGGATAGCAGAACCTCATTGAAGTACTGCGTGGAAGAGCCTTTCTGCACGAGAATGTCTTCTCCCGGTTTCTCTCTCTCGCTTGGGTTGCCGGGCTGTATAGACACCGGTTGTGCTCGTGGAGCAACATGTGTAGTAGTAGCACTCGGCAGAGACCCTTCGGGAATTGAGGTACCTTCTTCTTTCATTTTGGCCAGGGACTTCTCTAACATGGCAATCCGAGATGCCATATCCGCCATGATCGTTCTCCTAGTCCGCCGCTTACGTGGACCGGAGGGTGGATAGGTGCAAGCTCTGTTGGTCCGGGTACAAGCAGAGCATGGCTCCCTCTTGTCACACTTGATCTTTCTGCTGCTGCAGGCGTAACATGAACGTGGAACGGTTCGACCAGCCCCGGAACTCAGGGTTAAGAGAGCTAAGTCTGCCTCGGGGTCGGAGTGAGAGGTCCGCGCGGAGTCAGTTGTAGTTGAATCTGATCCCATTCTAGCATGAGAGGTCTCTTAGCTGGGGGGGTTACGAGTATTAGTTTTCACTCTAAGGTCGTTGCTAAGGATACATATATGGCCAGGTTTTTTTTTTAGCGCTGTTGAATGTAACAAACAAACTACTTCTTCTTCCTCGGACACTTTTACACCCGTAGATGAGTCACTTTTCGTCCGCTCGGGGTCTTTTGCTAAGATTTTACCCCCGAGCCCGAAATTAATCGTACCTTTGGAGTGTCGATCTAAACCACCAAGCACCCAAATCGGAGCTAATACAGAAGGGTACTAATATATATAGAATATATTAAATATCAAGATGCTCGAAATATAGTGTGTCTAGCCAGAAAAGGGCCAAAAAGCACAGAAAGAAGGAAGAGTTATTTAGCTAGTTGCTATCATTCAACATGAGCAGTATAGGATGGCCCTGCTATTCACCATTGACACCAAGATACTAAACTTCCACTGATGCAGGAGTGTCTTTCATATCACTCCCAGAGTATCTCCCTTCTACGAAGATGGTTCGCCATACGCATGAGACCAATGGGCAGGCTTTCCGAAATTCGGTGTGCCGTTTGTATGCTTTCCAATCGATTGAATCATGGTGTATCGGCTGTTATCGCACGCTCCAGCACTGTTGCTCGTTGCATGATAGGCAATCCAAGTTTCGGTTCCGTCGGGACTCAGGAAGAAAGAGTTATGGCCGGTTCCGTAATTGCCGTTGGCAGACGACAAAACACATCCATTATGCTTGGTCCATGCAGCGGCTGTTCGCGGATCACTGGTGCCATCCCAAGTTAACTGCCCAAGACAGTAGTCAGGCGACCAGCAGTAGGAGGCCGAGTACACAATATATGTCACTCCGTTGAAGTACAGAGCGACAGGACCTTCGTTCACCGGGTGGCTGTTCTTTTCGAAAGGCAGGGTCGGTTGGGAAATGACATGAATCTCTCCTGTGAGAGAGACGTAGTCGGAGCCCAGCTGCTGCAGGCAGATTGACTGATATTTAGCGCCATGGAAGCAGGAAAACATCAAGAAGTTGCCCCAGGCGTTGAAGCGGAGGACAGAGGCGTCAATCGACCATTCCTTCGTCAGCTGGCCGGTGTAGGTATAATCATCCCAAGGGGTTCTGCCGCCTGTTGCGTTTCAGTCACATAATTCATGAGCCACAGGATGGACAGGAGCGCCGATTTACTCACCAGACAAAACATGCAGCCGCTGTCCATCCAGATTGTCGGCATTGCCTGCGGTGAAATAGATGTACCATTTGCCACCAAGATAGTGTACCTCTGGGGCCCAGACGTTGCAACATCTTGAGGCCGTAGTAGAAGAGTACACGACCTTTTTGGCTGCAGTCTTAAGACCGGCTACAGTCGTTGACCGTGCGATTTCCACATTCGTCCATGATGTCGTGAGCAGGTAGTAATAGCCCCCGGAATATGCAACGAAAGGATCGCTCCCTCCAGGGTTGCGGATCGGATTCGTCCACCCAAAAGCAGATGGTAGAACAGACAAGCACCCTAGAAGGGCTGTTGCGATGTTTGGGAAATTCCACCTCATGATTTCAATGGTGACCAGATGTTGCTCAAGGCCGCCGGTTTCGTCTTCTCTTCGCGTTCCTCGTCTCCCGGTAGCAAAGATCTACTACCTACTTGTACTCTACGGTTAGCAGACGGCAACCCGGGAAAGACTTAGCTTGGCCCGACGAATTTCCGTCCGAGGGAGGAATCGGGAATGTCTCTCATTGAAGGAATTGACTTTTCTGCAGCATACCACATGTTGTGGCTTGTTAGAGGTCGTTTCACCCCGCCGGAGAGACACTGCATTCGTTCGTCCATGTGGAGGTTCTCGGTAGCATTGAGGGTATCATTTCACGGGCATTGACAAAACTAACTGGACAACCGGACGGGATACGCATGCACGCCTGAAGACAAATGGAACCTCAGTCCTTGGCTGAAATCGAGGGTCCATTTAGAATTGAATTTTACAATTCATCCCACCCGCGCGTTGCGACTCTATTTATTAGCCCGAAATTTTGATCGGCAATACCCTAAGTGTTAGGCATTCCTAGTTTCATACCGGAGAGACAGAGGGGGGGAAAGGGATAATATCTATCAAAACAGGTGCATTGAACGTTATCCGGTCTATATACCCAAAGCGACTTTTTATTCACTTCACCCTTACTCAAAAGAGGACACAAGAACATGGGTCATTCATCGTCTAAAGGTGTCTTTCTCTATGATGCGCTCGCTGGTGACGGGTAAAAAGTTTCATTAGGGTGCGGAATAATAGAGTCCTCACTTTTTTGCCCTGACTCCTCCATAGTATGAGAGCCACTTCCACGCTGTATACCGATCTCAACATCATAATGATGCCCGACGGGACCAGGCCTTTGCTCTTTCCTGGAGTTGCTGGACGTCCGTCTATCAGAGCTCCTACTGTCGCATGCGCCAATCCACCGGGAACAGTAATGGCGGCAAAACTGGCGTAGGTATGGAAGCGTCGCGCAAATGAGGATGAAGTTCGCCTCAATAGTCCTGTAAAGGAGCCAATATTAGTTCTTATAGAGGCAATATCTCCACTGAAGTATTCATGCTTACACAAACATAAATGCAAGGCCAAGGTTGTGTGACTGCTCCATTTTTCCGACGATAGTGATGATAGCTGCTAGGCGAGCAAAGCTCGTAATGAGAGTCCTAGATAGCACATCAGTCAGCTAGTTTATAAAAAATTTGAAGCAGATATTGTGGGCATGGAGAATTCAATCGATTGGGGGGGGGGGTCAACTCACAAACATCCAATCCCAAACATGAACATCAATCCTACTTTCTGAGTAAGTGGTAAAGATAATTCCCGCACCATTGGAATCGGGATAAGGATTAACATAACGTCGGCAATGATGTTCTTGATAGCCATTGCGAGGTAAACATAGGTTCGCCACAGGCAAGCTCCGGGGTTATTTCCCTGCCATCCAGCGCTGATCGGTTTGCAAGACAACATGAGACCAAGGATCAAGGCGATAGTGCTAGCTCCAATGAAGGCGGCTGTGATATATACTATGTATATCCTTCTATGGTCATGGGTTTTCCTGACGAGAAGGCAATAGAGCATTAACACGGCGAACTTGGAGAATGCGAGGCCGGCGGAATAGATCGCCCAGGTTGCTGCCACTAACTGATCAAGACGTTAGGAGGGTAATTTGAAATATATATAGATGTATATATATATATATATCTTACTACCTTTCGATAGTTGTCTAGAGTTCCTTGAGTAAGGGACCATAACGGGACTCCAATGAGCTCATCAGCATAACCAACTAGACATCCTCGGTTAGAAATAGTCCAGTCGACAACGGGGAAGGAGATTCATACCTATAATAAGAACCTGGGCTGCCAAAAGACAGATCTATCTGGGTCAGTCAATTCCCATGACCGGGAAAGAAGAGGGCTCTCATACCCAGGCAATTATGATACACACTCAGTAGAATTAGATGTCAGTTCGTTTCACGGCGGGTTTCTTGCAAAGAGCAACTTACTATCATCCCACCACAATTTTTCTAGTAAGCGAGCCTTTGCATAAATCCGCATCATGATACAGCTGGTACTAATTGTAATCCCGATGGAAGCTAAGACGATGTTTGCTGTGCGTAGGTGCGGATGTATCGGCGGCGTAGACCCAGCTCGCTCAACGATCATCGCCATCTCCATACTTGGATTCTAGCAATATGTTCACGGCATCTTGAATGTGCATAATCGCAATCCATACTGACATCTTTGAAAATCCAGAGAACCCGTCAATTTAAAAAGGAACGGGAGATATCTATCTGGTCACGCCATCTCTGAACCTACCGTGAGCCGTAAGTATTTGATTCAACGCCATCGCATCATGGTTTCCGGGGGCAACGCAGGTCGCCTTAGCATTGATGATGTTAGTTAAGGTTGGTATGTCCCATAAAATCTCTTGCCCGAGACCATGGACACTGGCTAGGGAAATATTCTTGAGGTCTAGACACTGAAATTAAGCACCCCCATTGGTGTTATTAATAGACTTCGCAGGCAATGCATGACGGGACCATAGTTCGCAGGAAGATTAACAGCTCGGAGTGAAGGCGGCATCGGAGGCCTGAGACGTGTACTTCCGTACGTCCGTTTAAAGCATTCAAGTTGATTTAAGGCCTGCCCTGTCGATCCCGATGTTACTCTTTTGGAAACTGTGAAGCTATATCGGCCACTCCCAAACTTCTATAGCAGCGATTCCCATCATTCGGGTCAATTTGACGCTTCGATCAGATCCTACCCGGACACTTAAACAACATTAATGGAAGTTAAATAAGAATTCCTAGCAGCAGTGGTGCTCTCGGCCACGTTGAGTTGCATAGGGCTGAAACTAGAGGTACAATCATGGGACACATGGGATTTCCGCAATGTTAAGGCGGAGGACAGGGAGTAGTATTCGGAAAGGCTGTGTCCTCTTGGTATCATGATCTGGTTAGCTAGGACGTCAAGTGCTTGCTGGGTGCTGCTTGTGCTGGCTGGCGGTTTATGGCCAAGATTTTGCTGGATGTGGGTTCTCTTTAGGAGCTATCAGTAGCTCTACCGAGGAGGCTTTCATTTTATTAGCTTTGGGTCGTTCCTTTCCCGGAAGTGGTCAAGGTGGTGGCGTGTGCTAAAAGGCTTCTTTCTACCCACAATGGGCCCATGCAACGCACAAATAATGTGAATATTACAATCTAGATCCTCACGCGAAGGATCTCCATACAAGCTCTATAAGCTCTCGAAGCCAATTCTTCATCTGATTAAAAGGGTTGTGGACAGGCCATGACATTACCGCTCCGGATGGGCCCGGCTAAGATCTTATACTCCGTATTGTCTTCAACAACATGCTTGTTTTGAAGGGCATAAAAAGATAAGCAAAAATGGGACAAAAGGAAGTCTATGAAGGGGTGGACCCGCCAACCAGGAGGCATTTAAGGCAAGGAGTCCAGGAATGAATCCATCTCAAGCCATTCTATGAGTTTAACCCTATCCTAAAGGAGTCTAGGGTTTTGATCCGGGCGATCCGATGCTGCTGTAGAGTGTAGACGGTAGATAGGTAGAGCAGAAGAGCCTGTGGCTTTCCCTTTCGTCTTTACATATTTCCCTTCGCTGCTTGATGCCATCCTCCGGGTCCTTCACGAGCTGAACAACGTCGTCCAGATGCGGCGGACGACGAGAAGGTCGCTCTTCCACCTTGTCGTCTTCATCGGCATTCTCTCTCTGATCATTTGCTGGAATCGTCCACCAACCGCGAAAAAAATATTCACATGGACGAAAATCCGTTACCAGACGACCGCCGCCGCGCTGCCGGAATCCCGCGGTCACTGCCCTGGACTTGTGGATACCTCTAAGCCCGCCCTCGTCGTATCTCGAGTCGCAGCCGATGGAGATCCCTCCTGGCTCCAATCCCTGTCCGAGAAATACCACCTGTGTATATACAATGTGGATGTGCCTCCCGATCCGAGCTCCCAGTATCTGCAAGTCCCCGCGAACCGAGGTCACGAGTCCATGGCCTATCTAACGTTCCTCATCGATAATTACGCCGACATACCTGAGGCCGGAGCTGTTTTGGTTCACGGATCACGATGGGCATGGCATAACGATGCGCCGGATTACGATAATGCATACTTGCTGTCTGTATTGAATGTGTCTTCTGCACTTGATCCGTGGGGTTACCATAATCTCCGATGCGATTGGAGTGTTAGCACTTGTCCGTCGAGTACACCTCCGCAAGGCAGTCTACAAATGTCTCTCCAATCAGTGCTGGATCCATGGGACGCCCGGGCGGCTTCCGATGCCGCGCTACCCCAGGCCCTGAGGTCGATCTTTGGCAAAGATGCGTTGGCAATCGGGCGACATGATGCTATTCGGTCCCAGTGCTGTGCGCAATTTGTGGTCGCTAGGGAGAGGGTGTGGAACCACTCTCGCGCGGAGTATATTGCCTTGCGGCAATGGTTGCTAGACGGGAGCCATGCGATAGGCAACCCACGGGCGTTGCGACGAGAGGGGATCGCCCCGCGTGATGACCGTGTCGCGGGTCGCATCATCTCGTACATCTGGCATATTTTGTTTCTGGATTTGACCAAGTCCGGCGGCGGGTCTCCCGAGGGTGGACTAGACCTGGATGCTTTGAACCAGCTGGCCTGTCCGCGGGCTGACGAGTGCTATTGTCGGCTCTATGGTAGGTGCAATCTCGAGCATTGCAGTTCACCGGGCAGGTGCTATGGCCAGTATGAAATTCCTCCGGATTTCACGGTCCCTGCCTCGCACGCCTGATGCATTATGAGCCCCCGTTTGGATATAGAACGATTTCGTTGGTCTGATCTGATGTATATGCGATGTTCCAACGACCACTGAGTAACAGCAACTCCTTATTTTATACTGGTGAGCTTCTTCCGGGAGTGTAGAAATTCCCTTGCCTTACCGTATGTGTCAATGTAGTTAATCGGAGATTTCCATTTAAACCATGAAGACTGCCAGCAATGCCAGTAAGTATTCACTACCTCAGTGACAGGAAGTATATAACTGATCCTTCACCACCTAGTCAATACCTACCCCCCCCAGAAAACATCCCAGCATTTCACAGTGACTCGGACCAAGCAGGACAAATATCGGAGAATCCTATTAGTATAAAGCCTCCTCCCCAGCGAGGGTAAGAATCCGCAGCAGACGGCGACAAGATGAGCGTCTTCGCAAATCTCCGAACAAATCCCCACTTCCCATGTCTGAACTCGCTGCCTGGTGAACTATCTATCAGTGCGGCACCAATGAGGGAATATGCAGAAAGACCCTGGTGCTTCCTAGGGGAAATCACCCAAGCCACAATCGTTCGGTTCTTTAGCGTGGAATTGTCTGTTCGCGATAGCGATGGCGCCGGGCTCACAGTTATCTTCGCCTGTCACGATGAGCCTCCTCAGAAGAATTTACAACCAGGTCGGGCCATTCTTATCTTAAACCCGTACAAAAGACCCCTGGGGGGCGGGAAGATTGGAATTGCGGTGAATGACCTTGGGCATTTCAAGGTAATTAATTTGGTCTTGTTCCAATGGGTATAGCGAGGGAATCGCTGATGGAAAGATCTCCAGGTGTTGCCATTTGGGATGCAGGCGTTGTTCGAGCTCAATGATAGGGTACAGACATTCTGTAGCCCTATCCACGGGAAAAGACCCTGTCACGGATGTGGTACGAGAAAAAGAATCATAAATAAATGTCAGCAGTGCTTGTTCTTTTGGTATTGCAATAGGGTAAGACATTGCCATAACCCTTTCTATACCTAGCTCAGATAGATACTAAATGTCTACAGGAATGTCAGGAGCAAGCCAAGCGCCACTTGGGACATAGAGATGACTGCGCCGTGCTCCAGGACCCAGATATGCGTGCATTATTTCGCCTTCAATGGGGAGAGTTAGATGAGTTTAAATGTCTACTACTAAATGCTCAAGAGAAACGGTTATAGATGTAACATCACACATACATACACACTACTATCCTAGGTTAATACCCTTAAAGAATTCAGCTTTGATTAAGAGACTCAATGTTAGCTTCTGATTGGACTATCTTACTGGCATCCCAAGGCTGAATGACGGCTCCTTGAATTCAGCCGCGGGCAGCAACAACCCCGCCATCAGTGCCTTATATATAGAGCGTAGCACGCATGCGAGCAGAAGAGATCAAAGATACATTTTCAACTTAGCTCACTGCAAAGCCCAGGGTCTGTGGACTTCGAAATGCCTCCTATCACTATCACAACTACGGGCAGGTCGGAAATCAGCCGCCCTGCTGAAAGAGCGATCTTGCGGATCGAGGTTCGTGACACCGGGATCCATAAGACGGAAGTCTCCAACAACGTCCTCGGCAGTACCCGGAGGATCAAGGAGATGATTGAACCCCTGAATGCAAAGCTCAACGGCGGGGAACCGGCACCCCATGCAGCGATTACCCACTGGACAATGGACACCCTCCACACAAGGAGCTACCCCCGAGACGACGACCATGGCCGGGTCATCGGCCACGAGTTTTCGGCGGCTGCTCATTTCGCAGTCAAATTCAAAGACTTTTCCCAAATGGCATCGGTAGCCACTGATATCAGCTCGATGCCGTACGCCAATATTTCCGGCATCGCTTGGCAGCTTACGGACGCGACCAGGCAGTCTCTGATGGCGAAAAGCAGAGGCATGGCGACCGAGGATGCGCGGGAGAGGGCAACTGATTACGTTCGGCCATTTGGAAAGCAGAAACTGTTGGCCCTGGAGATTGATGAAAGCAGGGAGAGCTATCTGCAAAACACCGGGACTTACGTGGCGGCTCGCATGCACGGATCGGTTCCTGGTGGGAGGCAGGACGGTGATGATGAGCTGTCATTCCACCCTGAGGATGTTTCATTTTCTTCAGCTGTGACTGTAAAATTCACCACAGAATAAGTTGTTTTAAGTATCCAAAGGCCATCACGACGATAGTACGTGAGTTGACCTCTGAGGAAAAGTGATGAATGACGAAACCTTGGATGCGGCGATCAACACTCAGGAAGCGTTTTTCTGGCTAAAGATCAGTTTCATACAGTGTCCAAATAAACTATTCGATACTAGGATATGTAAAAACCAGAGGAAGTCTCACAATAGAGGCAAGCCCTAATCTATCATGTCCCCATGGTTCCCGATGAGTTCCAAGTTACGCTTGAACATCCAAAAAGATGACCTCAATCGCATTTTGTAGAAACGTCTGTACAGTCAAAAACCTGCTACGGAGTACAGGATTACAAAAACTTAGACAACGCATACTAGTGGATATTGAAGCCCTGGGTCTGACCCGTTACAACGATTTGCGCCTTGGACAGTGGATCCCTCAATATTTAGAGGAGAGGAGTGGCATAACTAAGAAAACCGGGACCAGCGCGGAAGCCATTGCATTAAATTACTTCCTAGCGGGATAGGGTGGACAAAATGCCACGATAGGTGATATTTGACCAAAGTCTGCCAGGGTTCGAAATCGGAATGGTAATTCGAGAGCCTCATCCTTCTTGCAGATAATATAAAGCGTGATTTCGGCTAGGTTGCCGTTTTTTAGAGATTGTATTCAATATATGCAATGCCCGTGAAGTGCCTTTACATCGTGACAACTATTCTGTGGATAATGGTGATTGCTGATTCACATAGTAACGTGTCTGGCCAGCTTCTCGATCATCGCAGGCAAATCTATTAAATGTAAGTATTAAGTAAAAACCGGTATCCCGCATGTGTAATACCTTTCGAAAGGCAACCGAAGCGCAAGACGCGCCATTTGTTGTTTGTTCGCGATGTTCCTTGGGTGCTAATACCCTACTGACCCTCAGCAGATCGCCCCCCAAAAAAGCAAAGGTACACCCTTGTCACATTCATTTAAAGGGAAGGCCCATGTCAGAGAAAGTCTTGTTAGACGCAAAACAGTGGAGCCGGTCATCAGAGCCCAGACTCTATGCAGAGCAACCTGGAGAAAGTTTCGAGATACTGGCAAGTTGGGTAAAGCAATATTCTTTTTTCGGGCTCCGCGAACCTAATCGGGCTTTTGGCATGTAACCCAGAATGTGGATTGTTGATATGACATCAATTGCCCTCGAGGAGCGTCTTGAGCTGTGTAGATAGGGTGCAATGCCGATCTTGCTCCCCGCACCGCGAACCTGCTAACCACACCTTTTCAAGACGGTATTTGGCCAATGCAGCAGGGCCTCCCTGCCGAGACTGTGACACTTGCGAGAGTTTTTGTTTGATGATTTGCTTCTCCTCAGGCTCGACAGCCACAGAGCCCACAACCAACAATGGCCACAGATAGTAGTACAAGAACAACTGGTCAACACTCAGTTCGGTTAGTAATTTCAATCCCCTGCAGAAGAGTATTTCCACCGATTCAAGCGGATCTCGGGGATTTGAGTACCCCGGGTCTGTCTGGACAAGCAAGATGCGAAGTGCAATCGCATAGAGATTTCCAATATGATTTTCAACGGCATTGGTACTATTCGTCCTGATAGCCTCTTCCCAGTGAACAATCATGTCCCGTAAGTTGGCCCAAGCCCGGTAATCAACAGAGCGGGTTAGGGTGGACGACTGAGCAAATGCCGTAACATCAGCAATTAGTAGGAAAAATTTATACGAGGCATCAAGGACCGGTTGTGTAGAGACGAGAGTGCCAGGACCAGCATCATCGGGATGGGCGGGGTCCGTAAAATAGCCAGGTAGATCCAAGTCTCGTTTAATGATGGAGAGGTAATCCACAGAGGGGTCGAAAAGCGTCATAAGGGCGGCATGATACAGAAATGATTCAATGCATATACGCTCAAGGACAATCGCTTCTTGGGATGAGTTCCGCGGCTTAGGCTTGCGGAGGGTGAGCATTTTCCCACATGCTAAAATGTGGGAGCTGGCGTTTGGCATCGTATCGTAGCGACCGTTCTAAGTAATAATCAGTACGACACATCATGGCGAATGGCCAATCAAGGAAGGGTTACTTACCTCAAAAATGCATAAAAAGGTCGTAGTCGCCAGAAGCCAATCCTCATTGCCGGCATATTTCCCTTCTAGTATACCGGTTTTTACGGTGCCAATTGCAAAGAGATAACTTTCTACCGCGAGTGAAATGCGACGAGGCGATTGCGATGGGGTACTTATGGCCGCAACAGCAATCAAGACTGCCATGAGCGGGGGGTGGGCCAGTGCAAGTCGAAGAATATATGAGTTCTCGGAATACCTAGAAAGCGAGGTCCGTCGAACAAGACAAGGATTGACGGAGTGCGCGAAGTATCGATACAGCTGTGAATGTTCCTCCTGGTGAAACGGACCAGGCATAGCTACCACTGGAGGAAGCGATGCTGCCGGGGAGTGGTTGATCACCAATTCTACCACCCGACTTTTATTTTCACTGAGTACGTTAGTAGAGTCCAGATCACATTGACTACCTTTAGAGAGAGAGAGTGTGTGTGTGTGTGTCTTACGCTTTCAAGTACCTACGTCGATCAATCGACTGAACTTCGCTAGGCCATCTACATTCAAGATCATTGCGCGTACAGCCACCACATCGCGGACGTTTCTCGTCGCACTTCTTGCGACGCCGTCGACCTATTCTGTGGTTAGTTATTTATTCCCAAAGGTGCACTGCTTGCTGTCCCCTTCACTTCCGCCAGAGAGAGCAACGCACATTCTCCACATCCACTTCTCGTCCTCAACCTGGCGCCAGATGACTGAAGGCTCCCATGGTGGATTCGGTCATTCCAGGGCAACATTTTGCAGATTTCGTCATTCTCGCATCCTATGCTATCGCCAGAGTTCAGTTTGAAGTAAGGTGAACGAGACACAGTGGCAGGTGGGAAATTCTCCAATTTGCGCAAGAAAGATAAGAACGCTTTACCGCTACGGGAGACGGCAACATCCACTATGGTCATTATGTTTCGTGAGTGGGAAATAGAATGTCGTTTATGCCATGTGTATATCTAGCTGCGCCAGGGTCGTCAAGGTGATATCCGACGAAAGAAGCTTTTCCACCCGGGAAGTCTTGATGCCACCTCCAGCGGCGAATGGACGATCTACAACGCAATACTCCGTAATATCTACAAGAAGAACCGTGATCAGCAAAACGCTAGTCTCTGTAGAGAAGATCGCTACCCACTTGGCCAATTCCCGGATTTGTCCTGGCCAACTTCCATCCTTTCTTCTTCCTTCTTTTTCCCTTTTATTAGCCCTGTGGTTGGGGGCACAGTTATTGGTCTGGATCAACAGCCGTTAATGAGAAGCTGTAACTTCGTGCAGGTTTGGCTGCAGCTTAGGCGAGGACAGCACTGTGGGCACGCGCTGTGCAAGTGCCAGAGTTGCTCCGTTCTACTTTGTTTTTTGACACTGGTATACTAACTATGTATATCGATCGAATTGAATCTTGTGGAGCGTAAATAAGTGGCCGTCGTACAGGGAGGAACTACTCCGTACGGCTAAAGGTATTGGCATATGCGTATATAATATACCAGAATAGCCTGACCTTTGATGAAGACAGAACTAGGCTTCTCATAGCCTAACCTGAGTATTCCAATGTTGAAACCTACATATTACGGTTACTATCTGGATTCCTTCGTAGTGGAACTTGTGGAGAAAGAGTGACTACTCCGTACAGTGGATGGTTAGGCCTCTCAAATACTTTCGGGAAGCATAGCAGCATCTATTTCCCTGCCCAAGGGCCATCCATCGAGTACGCATGGCGAGTGAATAGTATGTGCAAGCCTTGCTTGTGTTAAATCGTAATACTCTACAAGGCTAATGCTTATATATACAGAAACGTACGAAAACTCCTCTGCAATCACCCGGAATGCCTCCACGCTATTGCAGAGCACTATGAATCTATCTCCAGCAGTGAAGCCGCCGCTCTTATGAACGCTTACGACAAGCTGTCTACATTCCTAGACGTAAATCGTGTCTTGATGATGGAGTTCACATCAGATCCAAATGTCACTTGTGTGGCATTCTCTCATGGGACAAAAGCATGGTCTTGAACACGGTCGATTCTTCATCCGATCTCAGGGGCTGTTTTCACGGATATAATTTCCGTGGATAAGAGCCCCGGCGCTAGGTATAAACACCCGGCAGAGAGGATGGGCAAGTCGCATTACAAATAGAGGACTTTGGTTGGTAACTAACTGGAAACCATCACGGAATGTAGGGATGAAAGCGATCTAGGTAGATCGAAACGGTCGCGGATGGGATGCTGCAAGGCGCGATATCCGGCCCACAGTGATTGTGCAGAGCTTGGGAAGGATTCCAAATATTCTTCGTTCTCTGCAGATTTCGAACCCAGCCAGGGGTACGACTGAAAAAAAAAAATGAAGGTATTCAGATCCACCCGGGTTTGTGTCTTATAGATTAACAGCCACGGACACATTCCGAATAGGCCAATAGAAACCTACTATTTATACACATGGACTTTTTGTAAAAACATGTGAAATTCCGGGCCGAGGGAGAAAGAGAAACAACTGCGAAGCAAGGCGAACGCCCACTTTAACATTACCCGAGTGGATCGGATCAGGATGAGTTCTGAACAAGATTAATCTAGTTACCTAGTATTGCCGGAGAATGGACCGCCCACTGCGGTCTTGTGCCGTACAACACATCAACTATACTATATACATACACAAGCGCAAGCCTCTTATACACCAGAGAATATTAAACAGAACCCCTGAATAGCCACTAAAAGGCGATGCGCGCTGCATGTGCACGCTAACCCAGGCCAGCGCGATGTTGCCCGGGGCCGGCGGGCCCTAACTACGGAGGAGGATCAATGCTAGGCGCTTTATTGGCAAGCATCTTCAGTGTAGATCCCGCAGAGGATATAACCGGTGTGTCTGAATAGGATTGAAGTGATTGGACATCAAGAGATTTTCTTCTCCATTGCATGAACTTGAGTTACATTTGGGTGCAGAAAATTCACATATATCAGGGTGCACGCAGGTTCCCGCCTGTATTTCAGGACAGGTTTTCTTAACCGCTAGAGATCAGATCCTCGGGAAACTGCCGACAGACAATGAAGCTCTCGGCTACCGTTAAGACTGTCCCGGTCCTGGCGGCCTGCGTGCTGGCTAAGGTTGATTATCCTGCTATACCAACCGATCTCACCACTCCAGTCCAGCAGCGTCTGGCCATCTACGGCCCGACCTGTGAGATGCCCTATTTGGATCATGATGTATATGTAGACAATATGCTGATAATTCGCAGCTGTCTCCGTTGGCTGGAACACGTACACCAAGTTAGATCAGCCCTGCGTTCAATATGGTACCTCTAGCAGCTCTCTTGACAAGAAAGCTTGCTCGTCCATCGACCCAACCACCTATCCTACTTCTCGTACCTACGAGAATGTGGTTATCCTGACTGGACTGACCCCTGCCACCACCTACTACTACAAGATTGTGTCCACCAACTCGAGCGTGGACCACTTCTTGAGCCCTCGCACCCCCGGAGATAAGACCCCGTTCAACGTCAACGCGGTCATCGACTTGGGTGTTTATGGAGAGGATGGATTCACCATTTCCGGCGACAAGACCAAGAAGGACATCATCCCGACCATCGATCCCGCTCTCAACCACACCACCATCGGCCGCCTGGCGACTACCGTCGACGACTATGAGTTTGTCATTCACCCTGGGGACTTTGCCTACGCGGATGACTGGTACCTGAGACTGCATAACCTCCTGGATGGCAGCGATGCCTACCAAGCTATCCTAGAGAACTTCTACGACCAACTGGCTCCTATATCTGGCCGTAAACTGTACATGGCCAGTCCCGGTAACCATGAAGCTGCCTGCGAGGAACTTCCTTACACGGATTGGCTCTGTCCCGATGGCCAGAAGAACTTCACTGATTTCATGCACCGCTTCCGCCACACCATGCCTACTCCATTCTCCTCTGTCTCCTCCAACTATTCTGCCCAGGTTCTCGCTAACAAGGCTCGCCTGCTCGCCCAGCCTCCCTTCTGGTACTCCTTCGAGTACGGCATGGCGCATATTGTCATGATCAACACAGAAACCGACTTCCCGAACGCCCCGGACGGGAAGGACGGCTCTAAACATCTCGATGGTGGCCCCTTCGGTACCCAGAACCAACAGATTGAGTTCCTTGCCGCTGATCTGGCGAGTGTCGACCGCACCGTTACCCCTTGGCTTATTGTGGCGGGCCACCGACCCTGGTATACGGCTGGCAGCGGATGCGACTCTTGCCAGGAAGCGTTTGAGGAGCTCATGTACACGTACGGTGTTGATCTTGGGGTTTTCGGCCACGAGCACAACGCTCAGCGCTTCCTTCCTGCTTACAAAAACGTCGCCGATGCGAACGGCATGAAAGACCCGAAGGCCCCGATGTACATTGTTTCCGGTGGTGCGGGTAACATCGAAGGCCTCGACTCCATCAGCAGCAGCAGCACACCCTCCTTTTCCGCGTTCAACAATGATCAGGATTACACCTACGCCACTCTCCGTTTCTTGGACGAGAACAACCTCAGGGTTGACTTTATCCGATCGGATACGGGTGAGACCTTGGATACCAGCACCTTGTACAAGAGCCACAAGACCCAGTTTGTGAGGCAGTAACTGGAATTGGGATTTTTTTTTTTTTGATGTGTAGTCTAGGGTGTATGTCTTGAAGCAGAAATGTAAATAGCAAATGTCATGATTGAGCTTCTGATGGATATATTCCATGCTAGTCAGTTTATTCCAGCCTTGATCTAGGATTATCACGAAAAGCCTCATTCACTTATTGTCCTGCAAATTACTAGATCGGGCTAGTTCAGCCCCTCGCTTTGTAACCTCTCCTCTCCCATTCTCCTCTGATCCATCTTTGTGTTACCACCACCTCTGCCTACGCGCCGGACCTGCCTCAGTCTTTCTCGCTCAGCTTCATAATGCAGCGAGCCGCGCAAAACGCCTGGACTATTTGTATCGCCGGTGCCCGCAGGGGCTTCACTACATCTCTAGCCTCCACTTCTTGCTGTCACCGAATTTCCCTTTGTTCCAGTCCGAGAGCCACGGCTGTGCCGCATCGAACAGTTATGTCGTCGTCGCAGTGGACGTGCACCCCGAGAGTGTTCCCCACGTCGGGACTCGAGTTGCTTGACCAGTCCATCGAGCTTGAGGAGGAGACACTGCCGAATTACCAACCGGAGAAATACTACCCAGTCAACCAGGGTGAAGTATTGAATGATCGGTATCAAACAATTGCCAAAATCGGGTACGGAGTAACCTCTACAGTTTGGCTTGCGAAAGACTTGATGTAGGTATGGCGTTAGCCCAACCAGACAATGTGATTCTAATAGCATGCTTTGAACCAGTGCATCGACATATGTTGTTTTGAAGGTTTATATAACAGGCCAAAACCGGGACCACGAGCGAGAGCTCCGCATGTACAAGCATATGAATTCAGTAACAAAAAAACATCCAGGCAGAAACTTCATTCGCAAACTTCTCGACCATTTTTATATCCAGGGCCCCCATGGCCGTCATATCTGTCTTGTTCATGAGCCTCTCGGAATAAGTGCAGATATTCTGGTAAAGATGTCTCCTGGGCACGTAATGAGCCTTGATGACATGAAGCCTGGTATACGACAGCTACTTATTGCATTAGATTTCTTGCACTCGGAGTGCCATATTATCCATACTGGTAATGCTTAATCCACTTGAAGACCTTATATTATAGGCCTAATACTATTACAGATCTCCAGCTGAAGAACTTACTACTTCCCGGACCAGAGACAAGCTATCTTTCCCGATTTGAGGAAGCTGAAGTTACAGACCCATCACCTAGAAAAATACTCAAAGACCGAACAATCTATAAGAGTTTAGGTTTCCTTTCAAGAGGTGGGCTGCCAGTTCTTACTGATTTTGGGGAAGCTCGATCAGGCGAGAAAGAGCATGATGATGATATCATGCCAAATGTTTATAGAGCGCCTGAAGTGATTTTGAGATCCAGCTGGGGTTATAAGGTGGATATATGGAATGTTGCCATGGTTGTGAGTAGAAATATTCTAAAAAATATTCCAACTTTTGCTTTACAAGGAAATGCTAATATTTTTGGTATATTAGGCCTGGGACATCGTTAGCCCCCGCACCCTTATTAATGGCAAAAATGTAGATGGTGTATTTGATGACCGAGTTCATATGGCGGAACTAGTTGCCCTGCTAGGCCCTCCGCCACCTGAATTCCGGGAACAGAGACACCTGAGTTCGGTCTTCTGGGATGAGTCAGGCACCTGGAAGGAAGTCGCCCCAATTCCAGATATCACTATTGAGACGCTTGCTGAGAAGGTTAAAGGGGAAGACAAAGAAGGGTTTTTGCGGTGGCTCCGGATGGCCTTGCAGTGGAACCCCAAGGACCGGCCAACGGCTTTGGAACTCTTATACGATGAGTGGCTAATGAAGGGGCTGGGGGAGTGAGGCAGGGATGAGCAAATAGTGCGGCCGAACAGAAGAAACGCGGCAGTTATACCATCCTGAGAATTTCTGCGTGTGGGACCGAGAAAATCGGCGAGAGATATCAAGTCTGTGGCTTGCCGGGAGACGAGGTTATCTTCATGCCCAGCATCCATTAGTCCTCTACAAGGTAGCTATCTAAGACTACAAAATATTCTAGTCTGGCTCAAGTCTCCTCGTAAAGGATGGGTCAGTCTGGTATTGGTCCTTATTATCCTAAGCTAACCGAACGAGCATGGGTGCTATTGGGAAAAGCCAGAATGAATGACTGAGGGACGGTTTTCTGAGGTTCCATTGTCCCTTATGATATCCCTGATTTACCGCAGGTTCTGGCCATCTATGGCCATGACTCCTTGCGTGCTCCTTAACCCATCTGGAGAAAGACCAACAAGGAGCTCTTTAGGAGATACTACCCTCCAAGACAATTCGAGTGGTCATCGCTTTGGTCACTTTAGGCTGATAGCCATGTTTATCCATAGTATATTGTTGAAACCCCTTTTGTTCTAGGGAGGTAGCGGACTGGAGACAGGGGTTCTATGCCTAAGCCACTGCATTTGACCGGTTATTTCGAACTAGCCTTTGATACAGCCCTGAGATATCTCTAGGAAATGGCACCCATTTAGTATACTCCGTATCCAGCCCAGTATACGCACATTAGCCTAAATGTTCAGTGATTCTAGACATCCCCGCATTCTACAACCAGGATCAGCAACTAGAGATGCTTGATTTGTGGAAATCACAGCAAACAGATGTAACGATCGACCGGGAGTGTCTTGATGAGGAGGGGGTCGTATTCTTGCTCCGGATACTATACTCCAAGGCTGCAGTGATATAAGTTAAGTCTCCAGGCCATTTGGCAAGCGCCTGAATTCGCCCATCGTCGCAAAGATGCACGTTCCTACATCTGCTGTCGCTCTCGCGGCGGCGCTTCTTGTACCTCTGGCTCTAGCTCAAGCAAATACAAGTTATGTCGACTACAACACCTCGCCTAATCCGGATTTATTCCCTCTCACCTTTAAACTTCTGAAAACGTCTTTCCCTGACTGTAATAATGGCCCGTTAAGCCAAACACGGGTGTGCGATAAGACTGCTCGACCTCACGACCGAGCCGCAGCCCTCGTGTCGTTACTCACCCTTGAAGAACTCGTAAATAACACAGGCAACACTGGCCTAGGTGTGCCGAGATTGGGCCTGCCAAATTACCAGGTGTGGGAAGAAGCCCTGCATGGCGTTGCCCGTGCCGATTGGTCTTCGTCGGGGGAATATAGTTGGGCTACTTCGTTCCCCATGCCAATTCTCACTATGGCGGCTCTGAACCGCACCCTGGTCAATCAGATCGCATCTATCATCTCGACGCAATTACGTGCGTACAGTAACATCGGCCGAGGCGGATTGGATGTATACGCGCCTAATATCAACACATTCCGTCACCCTGTCTGGGGCCGTGGCCAGGAGACGCCCGGCGAAGACGCATACTGTTTAACATCTGCGTATGCATACGAGTACATAACAGGTCTTCAAGGAGGAGTGGACCCAGAGCACCTGAAAATCGTCGCGACAGCCAAACACTATGCGGGCTACGATATTGAAAACTGGGAAAACCATTCCCGCCTAGCAAATGACATGCAAATCACCCAGCAAGAGCTCTCCGAATACTACACGCCTCAATTCCTGGTCGCGGCCCGCGACGCAAGAGTCCACAGCGTCATGTGTTCATATAATGCCGTAAACGGAGTACCGAGTTGCTCGAATTCCTTTTTCCTGCAAACTCTTCTTCGTGATACTTTTGGTTTCGTCGAAGATGGATATGTATCTGGCGACTGCGGCGCTGTGTATAACGTCTTCAACCCCCACGGGTATGCGGCGAACGAATCAGGTGCTGCGGCCGATTCCATCAGGGCCGGAACCGATATTGACTGCGGGACGTCCTACCAGTCGCGATTTGAGGACGCGTTTGAGGACGGGCTGCTCTCGAGATCGGATATCGAGCGCGGAGTTATCCGTCTATATAGCAACCTCGTACGTTTGGGTTACTTCGATGGCGAGGACCAGGAGTATCGCGGCATATCGTGGAATGATGTCCTCAAGACCGATGCGTGGAATATCTCCTACGAGGCTGCCGTGGAGGGAATCGTTCTGCTCAAAAACGACGATACCCTGCCTCTCTCTCCTCATATTCGGAGCATTGCGCTAATTGGGCCGTGGGCTAATGCCACCGTTGAGTTGCAGGGGAATTACTACGGCCCTGCGCCGTACCTTATCAGTCCACTCAGCGCATTTCAGAGCTCTGGCCTCAAGATCCACTATGCCGAAGGGACGGCAATCAAGTCCGACTCCCAGGAAGGATTTCACGCGGCTCTTGCAGCGGCCAGAAATGCAGATGCTATTGTCTTTGCCGGCGGAATCGACGAGACAATAGAAGGAGAGGCTATGGATCGGGAAAGCATCGCCTGGCCAGGCAACCAGCTCGAGCTCATCCAGCAGCTCAGCCAGTTACAAAAGCCTCTGATTGTACTGCAAATGGGAGGCGGACAGGTCGACTCTTCGTCGTTGAAAGATAGCAAACATGTGAATGCCTTAATCTGGGGAGGCTATCCCGGCCAGTCTGGTGGCCAGGCGCTGTTCGATATCATCACTGGCAAGCGCGCACCGGCCGGTCGTCTGGTTTCAACACAGTACCCTGCTGAATATGCATTGCAGTTCCCGGCTATCGATATGAATCTACGCCCGAGCGGACATAATCCGGGTCAAACGTACATGTGGTATACCGGCACTCCGGTCTTTGAGTTTGGGCATGGATTATTTTACACTACCTTCCACGAGGGACATGCCGGGTCATCGGATCTAGGGTCATACGACATTACTGACATTTTATCCCAGCCATATACCGGTTACATGTACGCGGAACAGCGACCACTCCTCCACTTCACGGCGAGAATTACCAACACTGGTAGACGCACCTCCGACTACACTGCCATGGTGTTTGCGAACACGACTGCTGGCCCCTTGCCGCATCCGAATAAATGGCTCATTGGCTTTGATAGGCTCGCCGCGTTGAATCCTGGCGCTTCTACCACATTGGCGATCCCAGTGACTATTGATAGTGTGGCGCGTACTGACGAACAAGGGAATAGGGTGCTGTATCCCGGCAGATATGAATTGGCATTGAATAACGAGCGGTCGGTTGTTCTTTCTTTTACTTTGGCGGGCGATGAGGCGGTTCTTCTTAAGTGGCCTCTTCCGAATCAAGGGATCCCTCCAGCCTCTTGATGAGACTGCGTGTGTCTACATGGAGTTACTTCTCGCATATAGTGGTCAAAACTTCCCAGGCAGTCTTCCAGAATAAAACAGCTCACAGACGATATATAACCGGGGACAAATGCTCGAGAACGTCGGATCACATATGGTAGTAGTATGGCTCGGCTGTCTACTCATAGTATCCATGCTACTATTCACAACGGCTAGATGGGCTTGCCTGGACTATAAATGGAACTGGTATATAAAAGTTTGAGAACGACCAGAGTATAAAACACTGAGAGACGGGTCTACGTAGGGAGAGCGGCCGGGAGCGAGGCAAGATTGGATTCGGAATATTAAGCTGTTATTTTTTGGGTTACTGGGGATTAAAAGGTGATTGTACATAAACGTCACTATGAATATTCTTTTCTTGAACCGCCCAAGACTGTAGCCTCTAGCCACTACATTGCGGTTATCTGGTAGCATCTCAGTGTCGAAAGTGTAGCTTCTCAAAGCTCAAGAACGCTAGCCACATAAAAGCTTTCATACGCATGCGCTCAGCTTTGTAGTAAGAATACGAGGTACTTCAGCTGGACCTGGGCTGGGTCGTAAACAACGTACTCATTAAGATATCGGCCACTCAGGGCGGAGGAGGCGCTTGGGGGTAAAAAGTAGTCGTTGGGATCTGGAATCTTTGAACCTCGCAGAGTAGGGTGAATGCAGCTGGCATCCTTCCACAATCGCGGTCCTCGAATCCCTAACGCAAGCGTGGAAATTGTACCATTCTTCCGGCCAGTGAATTGCGTGCCCGGGTTGATCTCATGCATTGGATGCCCCAATTCCACATTGCAGAGCATCAGCAGCCTTCTACGAGATTTCTTATCGACTGGCGAAAATTTGAGTGATCGATTAGAAGCATCCGTGAAATACAAGCCCTTTCCGAATGATGCCCCGTTGGCACCTACGCCTGGGGGTGAAACGAGCAGGCCTTGACTCAGGATCCCCGCAAAGTTAGCAATCCGTGAGCCATGCCATAGGAGTCTCCGATTGCTGTTATTAAGATTTCCAGTCTCACAAGTTTTCAAACGGTCTTCCTCGCCCCGACGCTGAATCCGAAAAATATCGATGATCTGTCAATCGTGAGATTTAGCCTTCAAGCAACAGGAATGTGCTTATACCTGATTATGAGCACCTGTGACCCTTGGCGATTGGAAAAAGTAACGGCTGATTTCCTTGAATTCGGCAGAACTATGCTTTACTGGGAACCGTTAAAACAAAACCACGCGTCAAAAATGAGTATCTGCCAATACATACGAGTAGTCATCTCTTGTAGCCCTAGGGCCTGAAACTGTCGGTCAAGCGGATGCTCTATGCCATTTTGGACAGAGTCTACGATGTCTGTTGTGACTAACATGTTTGCAAGGTCAAGTAGGAGGTCCAACTCCTTTTTGATATGTTTCTCGCTGTGTAGGATGGGCGGCTGATTCTTCCCGAAGACGTGGGGAATAATGCTCAGATATTGGCTGCTGAGCTCCTTAATCACTTCGTCTAACTCCTTCTTATGCAGGGTTCCTGCGAGAAACGGAGTTTCAATGACTCCACTCAACTCCTTCAAGATTGAGTACCCTTCGCGAAGCGTTTGCTTGCTGAGCTTCCCAAGAGGTAACTTTCGTGTATCATAAGACATGGCAGTGGTAGCAGACACCAAGTTGTCCATGTTAAAGATACAACCGAGGACTTTTTGCACCGATTTTGGCAGCGTGCACTCTGCTAGCCGCATTTTATACCGCACCTGTTGCTGGGACTCGCCTTGATTCTCCAACTCTAGGTCCATGTAGCCTGGGGAAATATATGTGTATTTCCCTGGCTGTGTCGAACGAAAAAGCCTCATCCCCCAGTGGAACCCCGTTCTCTGATAGAATCTCTTTTCAAAGTTCTCCTGTGCATCCCGCCTGCCTTGGTCGATGCATTCCAGCGTTTGGGCCGCCTCACCTACTCGTCCCCAACAGGCCCAGCTTCTATAATGCGTTCTGGAACGATCCACAAGAAGCTGTTGGTGGTAATAGTGGTTAATCTTCCCTCCCGCCGCCGTTTTGACCAGCATTGCGTCCCATACTGCCCCAGTGTCGTCGATATACACAGAATAGTCCCCTGTGTATTAACCGTCAGCTTTCTTTAATGTGTAATCGCGTTCCTTATCCCTCACCTCTGAATGGACACGCTTGATGCGCCGGAATGGTGACATCCTGATGATTGACCTTGAGCTCCGTTTTGCATTTCTTTACACAAGGATCCTCACTCATATCCAGCACTTGCTCAATGGCACGTTTCTGGCCAACGATCCCATTGTCAACGGCTGGGGTAGCCGACTTGGCCGGTATCGTATAGCTTTCCTCAGGCTGTGGAGCCGCATTACGTTCAGAATCCAGTAGCCATTGCAAGGAAACGACGTCGCAAGTATAAGCATTACTGGCTTGAGTTACTTTTCGAATTGAATTAGCCATAAATACTAGCATCTAGGGCGTAAACAGCGGAATTCACTCTCATGGCACAAAACTAACTGTCTTTCGGAAATGGATCCTTACCTTTCAGGCTTCTCCTTTGCATTTCGAGCTCCGTGCTAATGAGATGGGTGCAGTTGGGAGTGACCTTGTGGCTATAAGTTGCTCCCAGGCCTTCTATTATCCCTTCCAATTTATCTGAGAGTAGTGAAACGTGTTGTTAGAATTGCCCGTTTACTTGTAGATGGCTCCGCCCACGCAAAAAAAGAGGAAGTAAGGAAACGACTCGGCGAGTGTAGTGCTTACGGTGTTTATAGCCTTTGAATTTTCCACTGAGGCTAATTGTCAACTCAGCAAATGAGCGAGATGGCATTGTGTAGAAACTAGCCTTGGAACTCTAGAATTCTTTTTGCTTTGTTGTTTCGATTCTTTTGTCAATTTGAATATGGTTGGTCCCGGATGCAGGGTGTGGATTGTGGAATTGCTTCCTGGTGGAGCGGAGAGAGGCCAAAGCTAAAGATTAAGAGAGGATTGAAGGAATGAATTAGAAAGTGTTCCACAAGACAATTGACTGGAACAGCTTTTACACGTTCAATATAGTCATGGTACGAGAGGAATGTGACCAGGATGTGAGCTAGGTGTGGGATGTTATATACTTACTGCGGAGAGGGCGTAGTACAAACTTGACCCTGTTTTGCGGGAATCCCTAAGGTAATATTAGTTGAAACCGGTAGTTCCTGAGTGCAAGGATCCACCCCGAGAGATATCAGTAATTGCGAATTCGGACCGCTGAAATTGAGAGACGGTAGAGTAGAGGGTGAGGCCTTACAGTTTATAGGATGTCTATTTGATCTGAGGCTAGTATGTGACCAGATCAATGATCGATAGCGGAAAGGCAGTAGCATGCCCAGGTCGTAACGATAGTAGTGAAAGGTTTTATAGTGAACATGGGTAGAACCGAATTCGATTTCATCAAGCTGACTTCTCTATATATACCTGTATAGTAGTGCTCTTACTATATATCCTCTGTGCCTGCGGAGAACTGATGCCAAGCCAACAGAATGATAGGCGGGGCGGAGCTCCAGATCGGCGGAGCGGAGCATCTAGGGAAGAATGTCGTTGTTAACCGTTATGCTTATCCCCCCAGTAGTTGAGAGAAAAGTAGGTTGGTGACGAATGATGTTTATATCTAAACGCATGTTTTTTTTAAACGTTCTCTCAATCATTGCTTCGGAATCTCAAGGGTTGAGGTTTTGGCCTAATCACATGTAAAACATGCTCCCGTCCTAGTCTCTATACCAGCGCGCAGTGACTGCAATAGAAGTGGACTCAGACACCTATTACCATTTCCAAGGCGGCTACGCCATTGAGGATGGTCTTCAATGTGACTCCAGCGAACCCAGAGCTATAATCTCATATATTGCGGTGTATGTACATCATATCATACCACATATAATACCCAATCCACATGGGAGAATAGATCGATGCATCCACAGTTTATTTTTGATTTTGAAGAATCTCTTCGGTTGTCTTGACAAGGGTATCAAATGCAAGGCGAATATATTTCTCCTCGGCTCTCTCGTTGGCGCTCACCAATCGGATGGCATATAAACCAGATATCACAGTCGAGGTCAGGAAGAACTCGCCACGAGAGTTGATTAGCTCGTAGACCTCCTTGGTAATCGCATTTGACTCCTCATCAGGCTGAGTTGTAGTTGTGCCGTTGTTGATTGCTCCGTTAGCACTAGCGAGCTTAGGGCCTTTAATGCGGAAGACTGTCAGAGCAAAAGCTGGTTTGGTGATAATCTCGAAAAGATCCGGTCGACCCCGTACGAGTTCTGCAAAGATCTCACCCAGGCTGATTCCTTTGCGGATATACTGCTTCAGCCCATTGAGGCCGTAGCTACGCATAACAAACCAAATCTTCAAAGCGCGGAAACGGCGTCCTAGAGGAATAGACCAATTGCGGTAGTCAATCACCTGTCCCGATTCAGAATAAGGATTGCGAAGGTAGGCAGGTGTAATGTCGAGGAAGTTGGTGAGATCGTGTCGGTTTCGGACGTATAGAAGACTATCTTGATTAGTATGTTGCGCCGTGTGCCCGATTGCCAGAGTAACATACCTAGCATCGAAGTTGACAAGCAGCCACTTATGCATGTTCATATTGAAAGTATCCACACCGTCCGCGAACTCCTTTGCGATATATTGCCACTCATCAGCAATTAGAGCGGAACCGGCATAAGCCGCATCAATATGCACCCAGATCCTTTGCCACGCGGGCTTCTCAGCGAGAACCGCTTTAATTTCTGCAAAACGGTCAACGGCGCAAGAGTTGGTGGATCCCAAGCAGAGAGTAATAAAATAGGGCGCCAGTTTGTCCTTTTCAAGCTGTTCAAGCATGGCCCTGAGGCTGGGTCCTGTTAACTCCAAATTCTCCTCCAGTGTTACAGGAATACTGCGATATCGTGTGCCAGCGAGAAGAGCGGCCTTGGCGGTGCTGCTGTGGGCCTGGGAGCTGCTTAACGCAACAAGACGAGGTCGCAGGTCCATTACTCTGTCCTCGTACTCCATGGTACCTTCTTTCAGCCCTTCAGCCAGCACAAGTTCGTGCACCCGCCTTTCGCGAGCTGCAATCATGACAGTCGCAACCGCATCACTGGCACTGAGCTGGATGACGCCCCCTCCACGAGTCTCCGACGAGCTCAGGAAGCACTCTGGAAGCCCCATCGCCTTGGCCATCCAGTCCATAACCACGGTTTCCAGCTCTGTACATGCTGGGGAGCAGAGCCAGTTGAATCCGGGGGCGCTGAACGCGGAAGAGTAAAGTTCTCCGAGAATACTAGGGTAAGATGTCGTGGAGGGGAAGAAAGCCATGAACTTGGGGGACTGCCAATGAGTCAATCCGGGTTTGATCTTGGAGTCGACATCTGCCTGGATTTGCGACCATTCTTCTGGCTCCTCGGGCGGGCTATCAGGGATCTGAGGACGGAGGTAACCTGGCTCTACGCTGGGCAGGACGCGCTGGGAGGGGATGCTATCGAAATACCCAATGACTGGAATAAGTACCATTAGGAAATGTTTCGGAATGTTCCAATTTACATTTCGAGCACCTACTATCGTCAATTGCTGCATGGGCTGCTTCTCTAAACCGCTCGCGATCCATTCTGCGCACAATCCTTGCCTCGGAAAGTTCCGAGATTGCAGATGTTGCAGTGCGGGGTACTCAGTGATGAAATATCACGACTGAGGCAGCAGAACGCTATATAAAACGCCTCGCAAGATCTTCAATGAGTTTGAATAGCAATTAGAGGCGAAGAAGAGGCGAAGAAGAGGGCTGTCCACGTTATCAACGGGTAGAAAGAGGAGGAAAAGAATTGTTGGCTGGGGAATGAGGAAAAAGATAGTTTTATCGATAAGCTCAGGATGCGCCCAAATTCCGCTCCATTCCGAGCTTCCGAGCTTACTCGGTGCAGTTTGGGCTTCATTATAATAACGTGGACTTACTAGCATTAATGAGACATCTAATCTATCTGGAAGCTCAAACATAATATCTCAGAACTGTTCTTACCTTGAATTGCACGAAAGCGGTTCTTGCGTTGGGCTCGACGTAGATACTCCAAAGTACGTAGGCTCCGAGGACGCAGAGTAAATCGATGTGGCCTGCAGTGCACGAAACCCTAGTAAAGGAAAAAGATCAGATGGACCCCCCCCCCTACTGTCAACTTGTTCATATTCTTCGAAGGTGAAGTTGAGAAATGGTAAAGGATATGCGGAATAGTATTATTCCCAATTAGGAAATAGTCTCTATTATGTAAAAGAGCCTGGATTTGGTTTACCATCGCATCGACGTCAAATTTCGCACCGCACATAAGGCCATCATGAAGCGCAAAAATGGCCCGGAGCATTTGGAGGAGGCGGAAAAGCGAATGCCTAGGCAGGATCCCGTGTCATGTCAATCTTGCAGGCGAAAGAAATTGAAATGCGATCGACAACGCCCCTGTGGTAGTTGCTCGACGCGACGCCTTTCTTGCACCTATGGAGTCGATGGCATACCACATGTCCCAAATGTACGAGCACCTACAAACAGGACCGGTGGTGGCTCGGAAACCTCAGCTAGGGCTCATGTCCATGCGAGTGCCGCAACCAGACGCAAACCTGCCCAGTCTCCAGCCGCCACGGACGCACAGTCGCGGAAGAGTAAAGAATCTTTGCTGACGGCGGACTGGCTTGAGCATATTCATATGGGTGACCGCGTTCCAGCCGCCCTTTCGCCGCAATTGAGAGCCGAACTTGATGAACCGAGAAACGGGGAACACCTGGCGAATACAGGACTGAACGCTCGGTCTCCCCGGGCGTTATTTTCGATGTTTCAGGACTCCCTGGGTCCAGATGAGAATCCAGCTACAATCAATCTAACCGCATTTCTTCCCCAGAAGGCTGATACAATGGATCTCTTGAAGTATTACTTTAACTACATCAACCATCTTTACCGTATCATCGTCCCCCAGCTTGCGGAAGAGCAGATCAACGAGGTTTATCAATGCGTCGAGAGTGGGTTGCCCCTCAATATTAACTACCTTGCTCTTCTATTCGCACTGATTGGGTCTTCGTTGTATTTACAACTGTCTATCGAATCGTCTGCCCACGCAGAGATCTGTAGCCAAAAGTTTTCATTCTTGACCGGGGCAGCTTTGACTCAAGCCAATTATGTCTCCTACCCGACGATCGAAGGTTTACAAGCATCGCTGGTTGTTTTTCACAACCTTTCGAATGTCCATTGCTGTAACTCTGTCAGTGCAATCTTCATGCTGGGGTCACTTGTCTCTCAGGCCAAGAATATGATGCTCCATCGAATTGACACCCATGTATCCCGTGAACAGAGGGATGTGCACGGGTACAATTTTATGGAATTGGAGATTAAACGGCGTCTGTGGTGGGATATCGCATCTTTTGACTGGTAATGTTCCTCCACCATTTGTCGACAGTATATTGGCACTGATATAATTCATACAGGCTGCTCGGGTTCCTGAGCGGGCCACAGGAATGGACGTACCTGATTAACCCGGAATTTATGCACGTAGAAAAGCCGTCTAACCTTGACGACACGGCGATCGGAATGACACCGGTACCCCCGGATACAGCACCGACGGATATGACGTTCTTTCTTGAGCGCTTGAAACTCGCAGAAGCATGCCGGTCTGTTGTGGATGGGGTTTCTTCCGCACAACTTCAAGGAACAGAGCTGGACTACCCGAAACTCCTGGAGCTTGACCACGAGTTGCAGCAAGCACAAAGCGAGATTCCCGACGTGTTCCGGCTCGACTCAACGTCCAGACGCCGGCATTCGTCTCTTTGCGCAAAACGACCAACATTTGCCTGGCAACGGTCTTTGTTACAGCAAGCATACTACTCGCGCTTTTGCCGTTTACATCGACCCTTTTTCATCCGTGGAGCTCGGGACCCGAAATACTCTTATTCACACATAATTTGCCTGCAATCCGCTCGGAAAGTGTTGGAAATCAAGAGAATTATGGACGAGGAAGAGCCTAGATTCGCTCCGTCCAGCTCTGTGATTTGGTCTATCATGCATCATGTTTTCATGGCAGCTGTTATCCTGCTACTGGACGTGTGCTATAACTGGGATGACCTCCTGGCGGACAAGAGACGAGAGGAAGTACTTGAGGCTTGTCGAATGTTGAGCCGAGCCCAGCAGTCGTCATCACTCGTCAAGGAGGGCATTAACAGTATGATGAGCATTTTGCAGCGACACTATCAGCACGGCAAGTCGACGACTTCAGCTTTTGATCCAGCGATGGAAGTCTCGAGGCCTGAGGAGAGGCCTGCAGTGGCCTCCTCGTTACCGGATGCTAATCGAGTACCCGAGAACGCACTGCCAGACTCCCAGCCCGTGCAAAGTAACGCTGCCGACGACGAGGGAAGAGAATTGGAGGATGTCTGGGCTGAGATTATTGACAGCGGAGGCAACTTGGATTTCGAAGCCGAAGACTGGACTGGGTTATTTACCGAACTTACCAATGCTGTGGCAGGTGGGACTTGAACATGCTCTTCGACAGCTTAGCAGTTACTTAATATTCCTTTGTAATGATATCTCTTGACCGGACCATAATTATTCATCTATCGTCAACTTTCTTGTGTGTAGTCTGTCTGGCAGTACGGGGACTGGTCTATTCGCAGCCTCGGAAAGGACAGAGCAACTCGTATCGGTTAACCAGAGACAGGAAAATAATATGATTATGGGGTTTTACGAAATCACGGCGGAGTATTTGAAAAAAAAAAATTGATCTTCCGGACGGATTGACAGTATTTTCACTGAGCCTCCGAGACGAGATCGGAGCTTCCGCGGACAGTCCGTGATGCCTCCAAACACTATGATTGTTTCGCTTCACCCTTTTTCTCTTTCTTTTTGCGTGATAATATATAAAACGAATGCTCGCATAGGTATGGGATATTAATTTGAATAATTTAATTTCATATCATATCGAAAGTAGAACGGACTGCCCTCGAGAATCACTTTTATACTTGCCACAGCACCAAAAGAACCCGTGCCCTACAATGGAAAACCACAGCGCAGGAACAGCAGACCAGAAGCCGCCGAACGAATACACGTATGTTTTGGCATGTGCAGATGAAAGTCGCAAAGCTTTACTGACAACCTTTCGCAGACCACGAGCATGCCTCGCTATTCTCGGTTCATTCGTTGGGGCGTTTTGCACAGTCGGGTTCATCAACTCCTTTGGAGTGTTTCAGGAATACTATCTGCGCCATCAGCTCTCAGATGAATCAGAATCAACAGTCGCGTGGCTGGGTGGTATCAGCATTTTCTTTGTCTTCTTCTCGTCGGTAGTGTCCGGACCACTGTTAGATGTGTTTGGGCCTAGAGTTTGTGCTATCCTCATTCGTATATAGATCACGATCAGATGCTAACGGGCTCTACAGGTGATGTTGCTGGTGGGCTCATTTGGCACGGTTTTCTCCATTATGATGACCTCAATCTGCCACAAGTTTTACCAGTTTCTACTCGCCCAGGGGGTTCTGCTTGGTGTATCAATGTCCCTGCTAGTTGTCCCTATGCTTGGTCTTGTCGGGCAGTACATCAAAGTTAGACGTGCCGTTGCGATGGGTATCGTGATTAGCGGATCCTCACTGGGTGGTGTGCTATGGCCTATCATCATCAACGAGCTGCTGAACAATAGAACCGTTGGCTTTGGATGGACCATGCGGATTGTCGGGTTCATCATGATTCCTCTCCTGGCTATTTCTTGCTTGTTCTGTCGACCACCCTTGCCAGCAGGCCACAATGGCGCCCCAAGTCCTGATTCCGGAGAGTCGCCCGTCAGCCTGGAGACGAAGAAACGATCTGGACCCGACTTCTCGATTCTCAAGAGGGCCCCGTTGCAGTTGGCCTGCCTCGCCTTCTTTATAATCTACTTTGGGATGTTCTCGCCGTTCTTCTTCACCACATCGTACGCGGTCTCGAAGGGGTTTTCGTCCAACCTATCCTTCTACACCATTTCAATCATCAACGGGGCATCCTTGTTTGGTCGGATCCTACCAGGTTTCGTGGCAGACAGATACGGGAGATACAACTGCTGCATTGTCTTTACCTTCCTGTCCGGCATCATCGCTCTGTGTTGGACGAGAGCCACATCCGTCGCAGGACTGGTGATATTTTCCGCCGCGTACGGCTTCACCTCCGGGGTACGTTGTTTCCTTTCGGAAGAGTAGAATGACGCACTCTGACCTGAATTAGGCTATCCTGTCGCTTCAGCAGGTATGTGCTGTTCAAGTAGCGACACCGGAAACCATAGGACTCGCGATCGGCTGTGTCATGGCATCCACATCACTCTCGTAAGAATTGATCCCCCTCTGCTCAAATACCGCAAACTCATCAGATCCAGAGCACTTGCTGGCGTTCCAATTAGCGGTCAACTCGCAGAACAGTACGGATATCTTTCGTTGTCGATCTACTCGGGCGTGAGTCTCCTAGTCGGCAGTATTCTGTTGTCGCTGGCACGTTTATCGCAAAATCGAGCCATCATTGCCGTTGTCTAGAATATCGTTCCCACCATTTGTGGCGTTGACCTGCGGAAATGAAGCTGCTTCCGTCAGGCGTTAATCGACACAGCAGCACCCAGCGACGCCTCCAGTCCGCTGCTCGGGAGATTAAATAACACTCTGCAGCCTGGTATTCCTTGCCTGATAGAATAATCTATATTGTTATTGATAGTAATAGACAAGCTCTTATGACACATTCACTCGAAACAACAAGTGCCCGGAACATGGCAAAGATGTGTAGCAGATCAATCAATGCTTGGGCATCACCACGGGTCGGACAGAGGTACTATACTACTACATAAGTTCAAAACATGCTTGGATCCTCTCTGCCTTGGATTCCGCCGTGCGTGGAACCACCCAGCCACTGCTTGATCTTGGGTTGGTGGACGAAGCAAAGCACACTACGAACGAATGGATTGCTGTAACCTGTAGTTAAGTACAGACGACAAGACGCGTCATATCTCTTATATACTACTAAATCACGTCATTCATTCATCAGAGGCGGCAGAGGTTCCTCGAGACTGGGGAACCAACCCGAGACAGATTATAAATTATCTACCCAGTCCCACCAACGTAGGAAAACAGAAAGAGCACGTCGGTTCCCGAATGACCTGGGTCAAAATGCAAGCGATTCGCGTACACCCCGCTCCAGCAGGCACAGAGCCGTACTCTGCATCGAATCCCGCGCCAGTTTCCGCTTTGCATCTAGATCCCGATGTGATGGTTCCCAAGCCCTCCTCTCAACCGGGCGAGGTCCTCGTGCGGGTGAAAGCGTCGACGGTAGTTCGGGATACGCTCACCTGGCCCGACACCTACACCCAAGCGAACCGGATACCCGGTAACGACCTTGCCGGTGTGGTTGTCGAGGTAGCTTCTGCTGGGTCTAAATTCAGCCCGGGAGATGAGGTATTCGGAATGGTAAGTAGCGTGCGCAGCGCCGCATGGGCAGAATATGTTGTCGTGAAGGACGACGAAATCGCGCCGAAGCCCAAGACCTTGACGTGGGAGCAAGCCGCCGCGATGCCCCTGAGTGGCCAAACAGCGTACGAGGCTCTTGTCGACCACGCCGGGATTTCATTGCCAGCACGCGAAGAGGAAATTATCCGGAACATATCAAAATCGCACCCTGCGCCACACCGGAAGCGAATTCTTATTACGGGGGCGGCTGGCGGGGTGGGTGTGTATCTCGTGCAGCTTGCTGCGTTTGCGGGATTGCATGTTACCGGTGCTACGAGCTCTAATAGTCGGAACTCGGATTTTTTACGGTCCTTGGGTGCGGATGAAACCATCGAGTATGCCAGTCTGAAATGCCAGCGAGGTATGTACGATGTGGTTATCGACACTGTCGGAGGGGAGCCTCTCGCTGATGCTTGGACTGTCGTGAAAAGCGGCGGGACGGTCATATCGGTGGATTCCAGCAGCTTCGATTTCGTCCAGAAGCATAAAGAAATCGGGCTCGCTAAGGAAGGAGTCAAGGGGTTGTTCTTTATTGTTCATGGACGCAGTGAAGCCTTGAATTCTCTGGCAAGGTTAGCGGAATCGGGGCTTTTAGAGGTCTTTGTACTGTATATATTCCCTGCCACCCAGGCAAGAGAGGCGTATGAGCGTGCGAGTGGTAGAGTTACCGGCCGTGGTAAGGTTATTCTCACTTTCTGATATTTGTTTCTACTTGCCAATTTACCTGAATACTATACCACCCCTTCGAGTATATAGGGTTGTGGTTTGTCACGGAATGTTTACGCGGCACGGCTGCTTGTATATGTATACTCCACAACGGAGCCGAAACTATATGTAGCCGCAGGGAACGTGGATAGCTATTGCTTGTCAGTAGATATGTTGTTCTTATAGAACAACTGCTATGCTTGTGTCGACTATTTCGGAGGGGATGCCATCTGCGCTATCATGCGAGAACCTCGACCGAGAGACAAGGATAGTTAATCATCGTTCGAGGTCGGTCTCCGGCAGGCAGCATTACCTATGTTACGGAGTACCTGAACGCTGGATTACCCTATGATAGGGTCATGCAATTCCCCGTGTATGACTCGCGGGCTAATCGGGCATGTGGGGTGATGAAATGAGATCAGCCCATATATTCCCCCCCCCCCCCCGGGCTGCAAGTCCATCAATCTCCTGCTTTCCCATGTTTCAAGAAAGATTAGAAACCCAACACTCCCACGTCCAAATTTCTCGCGGACAAAATACTGATTGAACATGTCTACTTGCGGAGCTTCCGTTGCGCTGCACAGCAAGCATGTTGTGGTCGTCGGCTCTGGGCTTGCGGGCCTGTCAGCGGCATCCCAGCTCGTGCTTCAGAACGTGCCAGTCATAATGCTCGACAGAGCTGAAAAGCCCGGCGGTAACAGCATGAAAGCGTCGTCCGGGATCAATGGCGCTCCGACGAAATTTCAACCCTGCCCCGATGACCAAGAATTCTACGCGGATACGGTGAAGTCGGCCGGAAAGCCACTTGCATTGTCTGCGCCCAAGGACCGCGAGCTTCGCGAGCAGCTGATTTCTACACTTACGAAATCATCGTCCAATGCTGTATACTGGCTCTCAGACGAGAAAGGAATCGATCTGAGCAAGGTTGCGCAACTCGGTGGCCACAGCCGGCCCCGAACCCACCGTGGTGCTGGCCAGCGGCCGCCAGGCGCTGCAATAATCGGAACGCTCCTCCAGTCGCTGAACGGGAACCCTTTCTTCGAACTCCGCACCAGTTCCAAAGTGACCAAGGTATTGCGTCAGGCACAGGAGGTAGTCGGGGTGGAATATACGAAAGATAATGAAACACACACGGTGGACGGGCCAGTGGTCTTTGCAACTGGAGGGTTCGCCGGAGACATTCATGGAATGATATCCAAATACCGGCGTGACCTGGCGGGGCTTCCATCCACCAACGAGGCCAGGGAAGGTTCCCAGTCTTTGCTCGAGGCCGTAGGAGCAACGCTCGTGGATATGGACCAGGTCCAAGTCCACCCCACCGGGTTTGTTGATGGCAGTGACACATCAGCGACCGTCAAGTTTCTTGCCGCAGAAGCGCTGAGAGGCGAGGGTGGTATTCTCCTGCTCAACAACGGTTCCCGTTTTGTGAACGAGCTTGATACCCGGGAGCACATTACCAATAAAATCATGGGAACCGATAGTCGTCTTGAGACGGACCTTCAGCAATGGGATATCACACTTCTCCTCGATGAAGGCGCGGCGGCCGCCTTGAGCTCGCATATGCAATTCTACCTATGGAAAGGCCTCATGCGCAAGACAACAATCGGGGAACTTGGTGAATCGGTACTCAACACTGTCCAGGAGTATGCAGATGCGGTGACTGGCAAAAAGGATGATCCATTCAGCCGCACGGCGTTCGGCAATTGGGAGCTGCGTAGTGTGCAATCGGAATCTATTGTGTACGTGGGAAAGGTGACACCGGTCCTGCATTTCACCATGGGAGGGGTGGTGTTCAACGAACGCAGTCAAGTCTTGGATGATAAACGCGAGCCTATCCGAGGTCTCTGGGCCGCAGGCGAGGTAACCGGAGGCTTACATGGGCACAACAGACTGGGAGGCTCATCCCTGTTGGAATGTGCAGTCTTTGGGAGAATTGCCGGGAATGAAGCGGCTGCGTTTTATCACCAGCATTATCTGATTTCATAAGGGCCTTAAAATCTACCATACCAAGTGTATTTCACCATAATGACCCATTCATCACCCCAACTCTCGAACATGTTCAACATGCATTCCCCCGAGTCACTCAATACCGAGCTAATTCCGGTGCTTATATCGACCTTGGTTAATTACTTTAAATTTATCATCATCTTGTTGATCATTAGTATAGCAGCCAAATCTTCTCGGATATAGTTACATGCTTTCCAAACCGCTAATGGATGAACATTGAGGGTTAGGGAAAGGGGACATTGGCTCCGTGAGATTGAATCTCCTGGTGAGATGTAGAGTAAGCCCTGCGGCCAGCACGATCCGGCTAATGAGATTGGTTCTTTTAGCCTGATTGGTCAAGAATCGATTAATCCATACAACAAGTCGGGATTGCAGCCCGAAAGAACCACTGTTGGGGTAAGGCCCAAGAGCACTAGCTTGCATATCCTCCTCGCCCTGGAGTAGCTGTGCTTGATAGCCTTTCGCATAAATTTCCAGCGGAAAAAGGTCACCGGGAACCGGATCGATCAGTTGAATCTGGATTCATCAAGCATGGTCCCGGGCTGGAACGAAATGGGAAAATGGTAGGAGAGAGAAGATCAATTACTACCACACGCAAGGGAGACCAAGTTTACACGCGGTGAGATTTATATGAAGCTATGCGAGGCACAGGCCGGCCGAAATCTCAGTCCCAAATCAAGGCGTACAGCCCGGCAAGGCCTTTTTCTGACCACCATGAGCTGCATCCCTCCCCAATCGCTTTTGGGAACCGTGCCGAAAGCGTAGCGAAAAAAAAAAAAAAGGCACAAAGATGTCCCGAACTCAGCTCGTGTGGCGTCTTACATACATCTGCTACCCACGTATCCTCTGAAATATGTGTAGCTGATCGCTGGCTGAACTTTCCGTAGGTGTCCTAGCGAAAGTACGCGATGGAGGCTGTGTAACGCAGCTGTACTTGGGTTACAGCCCTATGGGGGCCCTGAATTCTCCCCTGGAAAAAAATACAAAACCTGTATGTCTTCTACATCTCGCATGTGGATTGCTACTTCTAGGTAATCAGCCGAAGGAAAACACTACTTCGCTCCATATGGAACGCATGGAAGAGACATCGGACTCTGCCGCCGCTGAAGAGAAGCAGAATCAGCCCTGGAAGCCAGGCAAGGCACAATGGTTTGTTTTTGGGTGTTTGGCGCTTCTTTCCTTCATCATATCACTGGACACTACGATTATAACCCCGGCTCTTCCAGTACGTATAGTGTCATTCTCGAGAATCCATGCACGCTAATGACCATGGGACAAGGCGCTAGAATCTTCATTGCACGGTGATACAGTTCAAGCCTTTTGGGCCGGAACATCATATCTGCTCGCGAGTTCGGTGTGCCAGCCCTTCATTGTCGATCTGTCCGATGTTTTTGGCCGGCGCATGATTCTGACGGCCGTGCTGGTGCTTTTTACTCTCGGGACGGTTCTCTGCGCGGTCGCGAATGGATTTGATCTGTTTCTTGCAGGCCGCTCCTTGCAGGGGGTTGGGGGAGGCGGGATTATGGCAAGCTGCATTGTGATCACCACGGATATCGTCCCTTTACGCCAGCGACCCACGTACTATTCGATTGTTCAGATGGCATGGGCAGTGGGGACACTTGCCGGCCCAGTGATTGGGGGTGCTATCGCGCAGAATATCAGTTGGCGCTGGATGTTCTATATCAACCTGCCTTTCTGCGGGATCGGACTCGTTCTTGTTCCGCTGACGATTCGTCTACGGGCTGAAAGACCCAGCGTCCTGGAAAGACTGGCCTCCATAGACTGGACCGGTGGCGTGCTCTTCATCGGAAGCTTGAGTAGTTTCCTGGTTGGCATTAGCTGGGGCGGGAATCAATTCCCCTGGAATAGCTGGAGGACAGTCGTACCCATCGTCATCGGAGGAGTCGGGGTAGTGATATCGCTTCTGTGGGAGAGGTCCCTGGCCTCGCGGCCCTTTATTCATGTGTCCCTGTTTTCTACTTATGCGTGCGTTATAGCGTATATTTGCGCTTTTCTACAGGGGGCTTTGGTCAGTGGTTTGCTGGTGCCGGTATTCGTGTGTCTTTTGCTGACGTGGTTGAATGTAGATGATGGCCTTGCTTTACTTCATCCCACTGAATCTCCAAACTGTCAAGACCTTCGATGCTATCGACAGTGGCCTGGCTTTGATGGTCATCCTCGGTATAATGCTCCCGACCAGTGTAGTTACAGGGGTTCTTTTGACTCGCCTGGGCCATTACCGTTGGGCGATCTGGACAGGTTGGGTGCTCTCGACAACGGCCGTAGGCTTACTAGCATTGCTCGATCGACATACCCAAGCGTCACGATGGGTGCTCATTTTCCTCTGTCTAGGTATTGGGCAGGGACTCGTCTTAACGGCCCTAAACTTCGCAGTTCAGGCACTCGCAAAGGACAACAAGGAGGCATCTGCCGCAGGAATGTACACCTTTATGCGGACGCTGGGGATGTGCATCGGGGTCGCTGTTGCGGGAACCTTCTTTCAGAATAGACTCGCGTACGAGCTAGGGCTTAGAGGACTGCCGGCTGAAGTGTCCAAGGAGGCAGCTGGGTTTGCGCTGAAGTTGCATGACGGCACCATGAGCTCTGCAGTGCAAAGTCTCTTCATCCAAGCATTCAGGGAGGCATTTCGAGACCTGTGGTTATTCTTTTGTGGTGTCGCTGCGCTGTGTCTTCTCCTCTCACTCATGATCCAGCATTCAAGCTTGGATCGCACATTACAGTCCGAGCATGCCCTGATGGATCGCCCAGAGAAGAAAGCTGGTGACTGTTGACTTTGTCTTTTGTTATCCGCTTTTCCTCTGTATAATTGTTCGAACATGGTCGACCGAGGAGGGGATTGTGGTGGTGGAAATCTAGATTGCCGGTTTACTTGTAGAACTTGTGGCTCGTGTCGAGCACCGAAGGAGCTGGAGTTCGCATTTTCTTTTGGCTATGCAGACCCCCTTGGGTTGCAATGGTCATGGATGCAGCATATCTAGTTTACTTAGATTATAGACTGGGTTTGAGATGACACAAAATTGCAATGGAAGTGGTTTATGAGGCATATGTTTGTAAGATCCTTGATCGGCACTAGAAGTGTGATGCCTACAATCGCGAGTAGCGGGGAGTATGCTGCAAGATTGATATACCGGAAGACAGTCGGTGGCTTTGCGAGGGTGAAGCCAGGGTGGAATAGTGACATCTTGAGGAGAAGCCAGTTGGATCCTGTTCACGTTTAAATATGCACCTCGCCCACGCTTCGAAATAATGTATCGCAGCGCGGATGTGGCCTTCTCTCATCATCTTCGGCTTGCAGCGCACGAGCTTTGTACGGCATGTCCCTTATGTGATGATGACACATTGTTCAAATATCCTCCAACGTGCCTCTGCAGGGTAGCTTCAGGAATCCAAGGCCTTGCAAATCTATCGCTTCAACTTCTCCGGGATAGGTAGCGTTAAACCGAGTTTAAGTTCGAAAGCTCGAGTCCTGAATGTTCCTGCATGAATGCAGCCAGCTGCTGGGAATCCCCTGTGAACTTTTCCTGCTGTAATACCGGTGAACGTGTTTCCTTCCGGTCAGGGCTAGGCTTGTTCACGGATTATTGGCTACCAGGAGTTCATAATCCGGCGGAGAGCCGAATTCGTTACTGTCGAAGCGAAAAGTGTCGGGTGTATGTGCGTGGTGTCTCAATCTATATAGCAGATCTTCGGTAGATGTCTCGGTAACTTGCTGATAACCAGCCAGCAATACGTCCTTCTTGTGGTCATTATATACTGGTGGACTGGGGCTGGAATCATGCTCCAGTTCTTCCATATCAACACTGTAGATGGTGCCATCTTGCCCTATAACGTAAGGTGACATGGCGATCTTGAACGGTATGGTTTCTTTGATCTGGATGACAGTCAGATAATGCTAGCTTTCTAAATCCCGAGTCATATGCTTTTATTGGATGGAGGTGACACCAACATACCATTGACAACCCGCCCCTTGCATCCTTCACTGTAATCGTAACCGCCAGAAGGTGGTTAATTTTGAAGACTCCCGTCTGCACACTTTGGGTGCAAGATGCAAAATCCCGTGGAAGAGATACCTTCTTCGCTGTACACCATTCAATTTCGAAAACCTCCGGCCTTTCGCTCACGTAGTCATCTGGCTCATGCTGTTCGGCCAGAATAACATGTTTTGCCTTCGACGCTAAGTGGCGTATATTATACCGCGCAGAATATGCTGCGGGAGCATCTATTTTAATCTTGTGTTCCTCCACGACTTCGAGTGTGATGGTTCCCAAGGATATATCCTTCGACAATGGAACCAGTGAGAACTTGACTGGGAATGTCGACCCAAAGGGGATATTGACATCGGGAATCGAGACGTTGTATTGAACCAAGTCACCCAGAGATCCTTCGACTAACTGCTCGCAGTGGTCAGCGTTTTTGTCGAAGAACATACAGGAAAGCGAGGCCAAGTACTAACAGCCGGGCTGGACATCATAAAACCCAGTGGTACTGCTGGGGATTTGTAAATGCCGATGGGCTCCGATACAATAATATCTTTGCCCAGCCTTCTTTCCACAATGCCATGGACCTGGTACGTGTGTTGGTTCTGACTGGGCCCTCGAATAGTCTCAATCGTGTGCTCATCTAGGGGTATGTTAAATGGAAACTCGTAGTCTCCTGCAGGCATCATAAAGAAGTTCATTTTTTTGGAAGAGGCCAGGGAGTGTCGCTCGTCTAGTGTGATCCATTCATGGTGAGATGGAAAAAACCCGGATTCATTAAATCGCCTTTGCTAATTAGACTGTTACTGTTACAGTATATTGAACTTGAAAGCATACGGACTCACAGTTTGATAATCCCTCGCACTTGCACTGATATGTTTTTGACCGCAGCATCCTGCGGAAAGGAGAGAAAAAGTGTTCCCGATATTGAACAGCCACTATCATTTTCGTCTGGGTGTGGTAGAAATATACATGATTGGTCTAGCCTGGCGTATCCGGACATGTTAGCAGTGGTTGTGATCGAAACATAGGTGCACTTAGGGCATCACAGTCTAACCTTAGGCTGCAGTGAGCATTAGTTCGCTTGACCATTGCCAGGACTGTAAAAGCTTTTCTTCTGTTCGTGATAGTAAACACGAATGCCCAGCTATGTTAATTATGCCCACCGCTCGAGCGTTTATACTCGCCCTCTGGTCTGATGTAGGAAGTGCCATTTCAGGTAACTACACGGAATAACCGAATACGGCCACAGAGTGGATCGTTTGTAACGAATAAATGCACCAAGCATCGGCAATTAAGCGAATCCAGGTCGGAATATCGGACTAATCAGGGAATACCGCTACCTGCACGACCGAGACCTGACTGTGCGGCGCGACGTCTGCTGCCAAAGCTGTCGGCCACGAAGTCCAATTCGTTGTCCAAAAGCAGCGTGCAACATTTTAAGCCAAACAAAGACGAACCTTGCTGCTTACAAGTAACGAATCAGGCGATATGGAGCTGACATTTCACGCCAGAGGCGGTGGAAAAGTTCCGAAGCGGAAATACACCAGGGGGGCTTGTGATGCGTGTCGCCAGAGAAAGGTGGATGGATAGCTTCCAGTCCGCACACCCCTTACTCACTAACAAATGATTAGAAAAAATGCCACCATGAGAATAGGGACCACGGATTATCTTCATTGGTGAAAGAGGGGGATTTCATCCCTTACGCCCCCAATACAAGCCTCACCTCACCGCCGCCCGCAGCTAGCCATTCCGGAGTCCAGCCTCTGGCGAATATACGGGAAGCCGGGGGTCCCGTAGAGCACAATGATCAAAAGTCTTCACGGGTTCAGGTTGGTAAATCGCATGTCCGGTCCCAATCCTCGACTAGCTCTGGTCCCTATGCCCAACGATTCATTGGTGACCTCAACCCGGTTGTTTTTTTTGTCGATGACGCCAGCGCGAGGTTATTGCACGGGCGTACGAGTCAACGGGATGTTGGCGTATGGCTCGACGGAGAAGAGAACGAACTTCTGGAGCCTAGGGATGAAGCCCAACGTGGAGCGTCATCGTCGCATAGCATCAGGTATCAGGCGTCCCGGCAGCGCCGAGTTCCGCAGCAAAGGGCTTCTTTGCTACCCTCGCGAAAAACCCAAGAAGAATTGGTTGATATTTACTTCCGTCGCGTGCATTCTGTTTTCCCACTCATTAACGAGCATGAGTTTCGCACGGAGTTTCAGAGCGGCTCTGTCTCTTCCCGCCTCGTGCAGGCCGTATGCCTCGTGGCTTCGAAAGATCGTGAGGCGAAGTCGAAGCTATACCTCCCCGGCCATGTTGAGGTTCTCCCTGTAGATGAGTTTAGCAATCTGCTCTATGATGACCTGGTTGAAGCTACTGCGTTGGATATGGAGAGAAGACGAATAGTACTGATCCAAATTCTCACGCTACTCTCCCTCCATGTTCAAGGGCCAGACAGCTTTGATAGAGCTACCATGCATTTGACCCAAGCCATCCACCACGCTCACACCGTAGGACTACACTTAACGAAAGGTGCACCTACTGATGACACGAAACCTTTTATAGCACTATTTTGGTGCTTGTGGAGTCTTGACCGATGGAATGCAGCTATCCATGGAAGGCCATTGGTCATCAACGATAGAGACTTGGGGCAACAGCTTGCGGATGTGATTGACCTTTTCGAAGCACCGTTCCGCGTCTGGCTATCTTTGGCCTCAATCATGGGAGAGGTACTATCGGTCTACCGCCCGGTACTAGATTCTCCTCTTGATGAGAACAGACCCAATATCCCCAGGTTCGAGGAAATCCTCGACACCTGTAATGGATGGAACCTTGATCTGGATGTGATGAGTACGTCAACACCCCGCGGACAGACTAAATCTTGAAAATCACCCGGCTAAACCACAGTAGTGTCTCTTGAACTGGCATATTATGCTATTGCTCTTCTGGCTTCACGGCCCTGGGGGCTTAAGACCCAGCCTAGATCACATACCCTGCATCTACGACAGGACCTGTCTATATATCGCATTGTCACATTGGCACAAATGTGCGAGATCGAACAGCTCCTACCTCTACCCGTCATTGCGTACTCCATATCCTTGGGGTTTTCCATCTCCTATAAACAGCTCAAGAGATGCCATCTTCCGAGCATGCAGTACACTGCAAAATTGAACCTCCAGACTCTGTACAAAACCCTGGAGTCGCTAGGCACAACATGGTGGTCAGCACGGGTGTTGACACGGCTATGCCATCGTGCGTTCAACGGCATGCAACGCATTATTGCTGAAAAGACAAATCCACCCGGGGGTTCGCGATCCGCCGGCAAAAACCCTTACACAGATCACGCTGATCTAGGCAGAGCTAGTTGCACTTTTGACGTGCAGAAGGGTGCCATCAATGCAGCACATAATTCACTGGAAGGCGACACGTTAAGAGAGCCACAAGCACCACCACCACACAATACGATCATGGCAAATGATAACCTGCCCCCATTCGACTTTGCACATTTAGATAATGCAGAATTTGGCGACATCGCAGGGGATCCTATGTTTCATGACATCGACAACGTTATTGCGGGCTTTTTGGATATCAATGTACCCAAATGTGCTTCCCACCCCTCGTTTATAACCCTAGATACGGCATGGAGCTCGGAAGGATTCGAGTGCCCTTCCTTTCAATAATCGAAATAGACTAAACACTTCCAACGTATCAGAGCTACACATCTTTTCTCTTTGTCCCCTGAGAATACAATATCAATATACGCCGTCATTTCCCGCACTGGGTCTAGCGCGGCTTAGTATGTAAAAGCTGCCGGGTTTAAGCCTTGTTTATTAGGACGAAACAGGACTCCTTTCTCTGGGAGAACTCTCGAACTCTTCATCCTCCCTGCCTTCTACTCAGATTTTGCCCCTCACTGGACTCCCAGACACTGACATAATAATGTCCGAAGACCAGTCAAAGGACAATCTTGATGATGATCTAGAGGTTGTCGTCTGGACCGAGCTCCAGGTACCACCTGGACGAGAGGAGTCTCAGGAACAGTGGGCTGGGTATTTTCAACCATTGGTCTACGCCGACGGTCATTCGCAAACAATCTGGGCAAGATCAAAGCAACATTCTGAGATAGTGCTTGTAGCAACACGTGGGTTACCATCTTGTTTTGTTTTATAATCTCTGGCATACTCATTTATTTATCCACCCAGTCTGGCATGAGGCCTCGCAACTGAGGAGATTTAAATCCTCACCTTCGGCTCAACTTTACTGGGAGGCCCTATTGAATAGTGGCACCAAACCACTCTCCTATCATGAGATTCAAGGATCATGTACATTAAGAGCGACTGAAGCGTGGGATCGGCGGAGACAAGAAGCGTGTGGAAAAGTTCCCTCATGTACGCCTCGACCCTACAATTACTCGGACATGACGAGTTGCCGCTTCTGGCTCACGAAAAGGCCCATGTGGATTTCGTTCGGGTTGGCCTTTGCCCGTTTGGCTGAGGTTGTCCGTTTCGACGATGGCAACCGAGAGGTCGGAGATTAGTTGCTAATAGCTTCCCTCATCCAAAGAATAGATTGCTAGTGAGAATTGTTCTCTGCCTGTTTGGGCAAGAATGGAGATAGTCAATAGTGTTACATTGGCAATCAAGAAAAAACGCTTTTCGAAAGATGGATGTAGACAGTCAAGATTGCGACATTTTACTAGTAATTCGAATCCGACTTTAGCACAGAGAACAAAATGAGTTGTCTCAGTTTTGCCTCGGTCAGCAAGCGAGATATTCAAAAAGGGATGGCATGGCGTACTGGCCTTTCTGGACATCAAAAAGCGAGCTGTATCGCGGGAGTTGAAAACCTGCATCCACCAACTTCGTGGTGACTGCCTCAAGTGCGGAGGACGGCAGTCTTTGAGTATTGTAGGTGAGTCCCGCTCTCTGGACCCCGCGTGCTTGTAATGGTCAAGTCATTCAATGCTTGTTCGAATCACAGCTGCTCACAGCATTTGCCAGGTAGCCCAGTCAGTCAATTGCATCGCTGATCGCCATGGGTTCGTTTCTGGCTTGGTTGGCGCTCCTGCTGCTCGCCTGCCGGTATCTTCTTCTCCGCTGTGCTTGGCTCTTTTTCAGGGGCTGTCGTTTCGATTGGAGGATTAGCTCAGACTGTCGCCTGGTCTTCAGTGCCTGATGATGGGGATGATGTTGGAGTCTATCATGGCAGTGTGGCCTTCGATGGCCGCACGGGGCCGGTGACTGTCTCCCTGCTCCGCGACAACAAAGTGATTGCAACTATTGAGGGCAAGGCTAAAAAAACCCTATGCCCCAGATTGTGCACATTCTGCCTCCTTTCGGACCTACGCCGACGAGCTCGACAATCACTATCACTCCGCCTCCGTATCCTTGGTCTCAGACTTCGAAGGACACCAATCTCAATACAAGAAGCACGAGCTGGTCCTCTGGCCCGCCTAAAGAGACTACCACCAAGGGTGGCAAGGGCGCAGCGACGGTGGAGGTAGTGATAGCGGTAGTGACTCCGACGAGGAGGAATGCAGCACTCGGACGGCGGAAATCTGCTCGACGGTCTGCGTTGCCGGGTCCGGGGGCAGTTGTGATTGGGATTGCTCGACGACGACTGGGTGCTCGGTGACGGCGAGCTCTACCAGTATCGTCGGCACGCCGGCCCCGGCTGTAGTGGTCACGATGGAGCCTTTTATCCAGGTGGAAGAGGCAGACGACGACGACGACGCCGCCGCCGCCGCCGCAGCCTCCAGCCTGGCGACCGAGCTGGCAGCCACACTAGCTTCGCTATTTAGATCCGTGACTGTTCTCGACGGGCTGGGAGCCGCAACTGCCGCCCCGGCGGGCAACGCTCCCCATAGCGGATCCAAGCTGGGCCGCGTTAGCATCAACTACTATCAGGATGACCGTGAGGGGACTTCCGAGTATATCCTGTACCAGTACTATGCGGGCGACAGCGTGAACAAGGAATGGTGTCCAGAAGTTCAAACCCCCGGCTCCATCACGACAGCCGGCGCCTGGGAGGGGATGAATGACGGTACCGGAGGGTTCAAGGTCTTTGGATCCACCTGCACCTACAAGGGTTCCCAAGTGGTGACGGGCAAATTCGATCAGAACCAGGTTGGATCCTTGGTGTGTGACGGATATCGGGATGCGGCCTGCTATGCCGGCCAGCTTGCGCAAACCTGCACGTACGGCTGGCAAACCAGGTGGGAAATCATAGAGTGCGAATGGTAGGATTGAAGCGGAGGATCATGAAAAGTTTGCTGTATACGTAGTTGTTCAGGGATCCCTCAGGACAACGCACGCACTTCCGTGCTTACCTCACGCTCAGGGCCGCCCAGTGAGGAAAAAGTGACTCGATCTCCGAAATCCCCAGTTCAGTAGTTAATTACGGAGGAGTTACCATAAGCGGAATTGTGCTTATCAAAGCAAGGTATGCATGGATGGCATCATCCAGCTTCAAAATTTCACCATGAAGGATCTCTCGCTGCCGTGAAAAAAAAAAAAAAAATATAAGTCGTCAATATCGTCAAGTGAGGCCTCGCGGTTGACTTCCCTAGGGAAGTAATTATCATATTTTTACTTGTTTGGATTTTTAACCACCGTCTCGATCGTATTAGCCATTTCTAACACCGCTGCAGGAAAGTCTCTCGGGTAGATAGATGCCAGGCTCTCTTACTAGTTCAATATGTCCTTCTCAGCCCTCCCAAACGACCTACTGCTGATCATAGCAGAATGTACAGAGGCACAGCGAGATCTCAGCGCGTTGACTCGCTGCAATCACCGGTTACACCATCTTCTGTGTAACCTTCTGTACACCAACAATATCCGGCGGTTTGGAAGCTCGGGACTCGTCTGGGCGGCCGTGCATGGCCGACTATCCGTTGTCCAAAGGATGGTTGGTATGGGAGCCAACATCGAGACCCGGGACGAGAGCGGATGGACTCCTCTAGACCTGGCAGCAAGAAACGGACACTATGCAGTTGTGAAGCTGCTTCTTGAAACGGGGGCCGAGGATCAATTGTATGAGCGTCATCGCTGGACACCGTTATGCGCTGCGGCGGATGGCGGTTATACGAGAATCGTCCAATTACTCTTGGGGGCAGACAGCATGAGCGGCGAATTCAACGCAGATTCCCCGCGCAGAGCCATCAACCCTGAGCCTCGGAGCGGCGAAGAGCTACTACTCCAAATGCTGTTTCCGAAGAAAGGAGACAGCGGCAACAATAGCGACGTTGACTTGTCAATCCCCTTGTTTCTCGCGGCGAAGAACGGACATACCGCTGTCGCCAGCTTGCTACTGGCCGACAGGAGAGTCCATGTGAATTATCAGGATGCCTCGCAACGGACGCCACTAATGTGGGCTGTATCGCATTCGCATGCAAAAACCGTCAAGCTTTTGCTCGAGAACGGAGCAGATCCAAGTATAGAGGATTGTTTCAATCACACTGCACTCCTCACCGCAGCTAGTGACGGCAATGACGGAATAGTTAGGATCCTTCTTGCTCACAATGGTAGCGATCCCAACTGCAAAGATAACAAGGGTGACACTCCGCTAACTGAAGCTGCGAAGCGCGGGCACGTACGTGTTCGTTAGGTTTTAGCAGCCAGTCAATGGTCAGATCCGAACATTACGAACAACGGCGGGCAATCAGCACCGATGCTCGCCGTCGGGGAGAGTAGAATTGATGTAGTCGATACTCTTTTGGAGCTTTCAGGGACTCGTATAGGTTGAAAGATGACTACAGTGAAACCCACCTTGGATAATATCAGCCACGTCATAATATTCAACTCCCTGCCTCTCAAAGGAGGAGCTGATCCAGACGCCACAGATAACCCGAGAAGAACCGTCCTCTACGCGCCGTGGATAGCAAAGAATCAAGGTGACGATGTGTCTCCTTACGGGGGCAAAAGTTGAAATAAAATCTAGGGATAGGAAAGGTTGGACACCGCTATTCAGCAGCTGTGTATGGGGAACCGGTGATGGGGACACTTTTTCTTCGTCGTGGGACGGATTCCAATATTGCAAGGTCAATAATGATCATACATACCCCTATATGGTGGGCTCATAAGCCATTACCGTGCTCATTTCGGCACGGAAAGAACTGTCTCGCGGTAGTACGATCCATCATCGAGCACCTAGACTCGGGTGGTTACAGAGCGTCACTAGTCCCTAGTTAAGGGATATCAAACCCTAGCACCAAAAAAATAGCCCTGGTGAGCTAACTCAAGAACCAGTCTGTTCCCATTTGAGTGGAGCCTATCCGAGACGGATATACCATCCCATTCGTTCAGGATGCCGATACTCCTCCTCCTTGATCGACCCATATTTAATTTGACGCTTGATTCCCCATCCCAAGCCGAGAACGAGAACGAGAACGGTGGCTTTATTTCCGGCTCTCCTGACGACTCCAGCACGGGACACACGACCCAAACATCGGCTCATAAGAGCTGGAAGGGAATCCGGAAAGTTCCTGGGGACATCACAATTCAACCATGGATATCGTTCTGGACGTTCTCGACACGCTGGTGTTGGACCGATTGTATGCGGCGTTGCTCCCAGCTCCGGAAGGCGTGCGTCCAGTGGCTGTCGAGTATAACAGCCATGTAGCTCGCTATATGGAGTTGCAGCCAACAAAATGGGCGGGCATGAGCCAACTCGCGCGAGACAGCATAATCCGACAAATGTTCAGTCTATTCTTGCTAACATGGTGAATATGTCTTTCCCTTGTACCTCTCCGTTTGCCTGCTAAAACCGCTCCAGGATTTTCGGAGTCCTCGTGTACTTTGTCTCCTCGACCCTCTCCTTCTTCTTCGTCTTCGATAAGAAATTCATGATGCACCCCAAATTCCTCCGGGACCAGATCAACCTCGAAATCAAGCAATCGATGCGAGCCATGCCCGTCATGGCGGCACTCACCGCGCCCTTCTTCGTCGCCGAACTGCGCGGGTACTCGAGACTATACGATTTCCCCAGCGAAGCGCCGTTCCAACTGTACACCTATCTCCAGTTCCCCCTTTTCATAGCCTTCACGGATTTTTGCATCTACTGGATCCACCGCGCCCTCCACCACCCCCTGATTTACAAGTGGCTGCATAAATCGCACCACAAGTGGATCGTGCCGACGCCGTATGCCAGCTTTGCGTTTAACCCAGTGGACGGATGGAGCCAGAGTGTTCCGTATCACGTCTTCCCGTTTGTGTTCCCGCTGCAGAAAACGGCATACCTGATGCTCTTTGCTTTTGTGACCGTGTGGACGGTGATCATCCGTACGTTTATTAACCCTCTTTCCCGCTTCCCTCCAGAGGGGCTTTCATCGGCTGTTCGTAATCGGGGAGGGGAGGTTTGTCAACTAACGTTCGGGATAGACGACGGCGAATACGCTACGAGTTCGCCTGTGATCAACGGTTCCGCTTGCCATACCTACCACCATCTGTACTTCAACTATAACTACGGGCAGTTCACGACGCTGTGGGATCGTCTCGGTGGAAGCTACAGACAGCCGGACGCAGAGCTGTTCGATCGCGAGATTAAGATGGGGAAGAGTCAGTGGGAAAAGCAAGTGAAGGAGATGGAGAAGATCGTGAGGGAGGTTGAGGGAGAGGATGACCGGGAGTATGGAGAGGTGTCGAAGAAGATGCAGTGATTTGTTTCTCATGAATACTTACTTACATTATATATAATACTAATATCAATGGACAGTGTTCTTCATACACTCCTTGCTGAAAGGGTGGATTTATATTATTCGGGTATATATACATGGGTTGAGAGAATTTACTCATGAATGCGTCATATGGCAGCAAATTATTACTTCAGATTAGCAGTTACAAGGAGGGAAAGTGACCTTAATGGTCTCCTTCGAGCTGCGTGGACACCGAAATATCCTATCAATCCTATCCCCCGATGAAAATATGCGCGTATATCAAAACTAAAGGTGCGTAGGTAGATATATAGACAGACCTATATATCTCTCCGCGCCTAAACAGAAGATCTCTCAAGAACCTTGGAAACTCCGCCGATGCAGGCACTGATTCTCCAACCTACGCGCAAGGTGCCCCGCCATGCTCGACGGAGACGTAGCAATTTAGAAAGACATTATGCTGAGGGACGCATTCCGGAAATCCGCCAGGGCGCTTTCTACATCCTTACGGCGGAATCCCGGAGAGCGTCCTAGACACATTGCTCTGCTGATCAGTGCTGCCACGGGTTAGTTATCGAGCGGGAAAAAGGGAAACGAATCAATTCTTACATTGGATCAACCGGGTGACATTGGCGGCGGTGTTGGCGAGAGGCCCTCGTTCCAGAGGCCCGATTTTGATGTCGGACGGCGGACAGGTTGGGAGAGTCACATGCTTTGCGCGAAGGAATCCCTCGAGGTCCTGCAGGTCGAACCAGTCCTCGTCTAGGTCCTCCTGGATATCGGTTGGGAAGCGCGACAGCGGTTCCGGTTCGCTAGACCATGTCTGGTGAGGCAGCGCAGGTCGTTTGGGGGAGTAACTGGTCTCGCTGCCCAGGTGGTAATGGGTTCCCGCGCCGCCGACACAGAAATAGGGAACATGGTCCCATTGGGTGAGCGGCTTGTTGTTGGCCCTCGCCAACAGCCAGTCTTTAAAGTATGCCGTGATGGACGCTCTGGGCATGATGCTGAGCAGCATGCGGAATGGGGCTTCGATGCGTCGCATGGGGACCGACGTGTTTGCGGCGAGTAAGTACGCCTGGTAGCGACAGGCAACGTGTAGCTGATCAATGAAGTCGGGGATCTCCATGGTGTCGACGATTTCAGATGAGCTGGAAAACGAAGGCGACCGGTAGATAGACCAGTTGGCGTCGTTCGGACCGGTGGTCGTGAAGCCAAAGGGGGGACTGTGCCCTGCTCCTGGGTCTGAGGGGGGTAGGAGATAGTGTAGGGCTGCGGATGAAGGCATAGTCGTGTTGCTGTCTTGCGTATGAGCAGCTGAGCCTGAACCGGTACCAGCCGTGGGCATGACCAAGCATTTCTGGACGGTATCACGAAGCGGCTGGAGCAAATCCGGGTGCGATTCGAGGGCCCCCGAGTGCACCAACTCATCCCCAAACGAAAGCACCGCCGTATTCATCCGCTCCACTGTTGTCTCCAGGTGTGTGATGCGACTCTTGAGCGACGAGATGCTGGCCTCCTTGCGAGACCGGTACGCCCGTTGGGCCATGCGGACTTGCATGCGCCTTCGCTGTGTACTTCATCAGCCCATGTTCGGTCCCATTCCGACTCACAGGGTAAAAACGCGCGACATACCTCTTCGGGATCCTCCCCTTTCGCGCCATCGATGGGCTTCCGCGGCCGACCGCGTTTCCTCACGGCCTCGCCATTGGGGTTGGACATGCGTTGGCGCTTCGAGGGTCTGTGAGCAGCAGTCTGTGATTGGTCTGAATGCGATGTGTCTGGCGACACGGAGGCCCGGCTGTCCTCCTCATGGTGGGACAGAAGGTCATCGTCAACAATGCCAGACGACGAACTATCGATCACGACGCCACCCAAGAGAGGGACAGGCTCCTGATCAGCCGGAGGGAGATGATCTTGGGAGTGCACCGGTTCAGGCACAGGATAAGAGGTCGCAGAAAGCAGCGAAGTCAACTGCGGAGTGGCCCAAAAGTTGGCCATTTGCGCCGGTCGCACGCGTGGCGATAAAGGGGCGCGAGAGACAGGTTGATCCCACGAATAAAGGGGCATCTTGGATCCGGACCCCATCGCATCAGGGAGCATCTGGGAAGTCGTCTGGCTCATGCTCGACGGATTGCAGTCCTGCAGTTCGTGTGTCTTGCAGGATCAGTGATGACCAGAGCTTCCGCTGCGGGATGAAGGAAGATCAAACCCGTCAGCAGCACTATCGCCACTACTGCGCCTCGTCGTCATTCTTTACTGGCCCGACATCTTACTTTATATCTAGCATTACTGTAACTATTCTTTTGAACGTCCTGCCGTATTACTTGCGGTGACTTCGTTGCAATGCCTATGGATGATACATAGCACAAGTTGACTACCTAATATGCATGTGGTTGTTGATGACTGCCTCAATGGCTTCATTATACCCCAGTCATCTTCTAGAGCAGAACTCAACACAAAGAGTTATCTGGGATCATTATGCTTTAGCGGATCTTCTAGAACCCGAGGAACCCAACTTGTCACACAACCACTCCCACTTGGCTGAGATTACAAATGCTCGTCAATTCGGTCGAGGCCCTGCATATAGAATCAGTTGGCTACGGGAAGAAACTCCCCAGTTATGGTAACCAACCCACGGACTTCTCGCTTCATTCCCCTTCGATATCCGTACGTGGATCACACGCTGAAACATGTCGCTTGTCCTCATTACGGGAGCAACAGGCTTCATTGGCTCCTGGGTCTGCCATCATGCCCTGGAGGCCGGATATCGAGTGCGCCTCGTAGTTCGACACGCACAGGCAACCGACAAACTAGAGCGCGTCTTCTCCCCGCACCTGGATCAGATCGATTTTGTCGTGATTCCGGACCTCGCAGTTCCCGGATGCTTCGATGCACATCTCCAGGGCGTAGAGGCCGTTATCCATGTTGCTTCGCCGGTGCCAGCCCAGGGAGTCCATGATTTCATCGCCCCCGCGGTCCAGGGGACCCTGTCGGTGTTGAAGGCCGCATTGCATTTCCCGTCGATTAAGACGGTGGCTATTACGGGCTCTGTGCTCTCTGTTATCCCGTTTGGCGCAGCGAATAGTGTTACCTCTGTCAAGGGTGAGTCTTTTATCTATCGATGTATCTATTGATCTACCATGGGCAAAAAGTCGGCTGAAAACCATCGAGAAACAACCGAGATCGATCTATCCGGCATGCCTGCGGATCTCACAGACTTGAAACCCCAGCAGCTGTATCATGCAAGCAAACTATGCGCCTACAAAGCCACAATCGACTTCTACCACGAGCACACCCCCCACTTCGCCATCGGAGTGGTCCTGCCATCGTTCGTTTTCGGTCGGAGTCTCTACCAAGAAACACCGGAGCAGCTGAATGGCACCAACCAACTCCTGTACGCATCGCTGCTCAAGAACACGCCGTTTTTCACGCAGTATCTCGGTGTGCATGTGGCAGACGTGGCGGAGGCACATATTCGCGTCTTGAGGAGTCCCGCGCGCGGCCTGCAATCTTACCTGCTTTCCGCGCCGAAGAGGTCGTGGGTGGACGTTGATGAATTCGTGCGAGGGACGTATCCGGATTTGCCTGTCACACTAGATCCGGTGGCGTTGCCATGTCCGACACTGGACGTGAGTAAGGCCGAGAACGAGTTGGGGATTGTGTTTAAGCCGATGGAGGTACAGGTTGCTGATGTCGTGGACCAGCAGCTGGAACTTGGCAAGAATGCGTGATTTGGACTGTTTTCTTTCCTTGTTTTTCTACGTGTGGTGTCTGCTTCACTAAGGAATTTTAGTTTGAGGCAGGATGAGGGTGGTAATTTGGGTATCTAATGCAGGCGCTATATCTATGTATGAACCATAATGCAAATGCAAGTGGGAATGAATCATGCCCTACTCGCTAATATCCTAGGCAGCTGGTACCTGATTTCCATCACGAAAGTCTTACATTCAGAACGGCAGTGGGTCGTGCCGGCTGAACGATGCAAAGCCCTTCGATGCGCGTCGTCCGGGGGTAAGTATTGTAGGGACACGAGACAATCTGCGCGTGGGAGGAAACCGTTCCGCCGGCTGTGGAGGAGAGCTCTGGCGGGATGGCGCAGTGGAAGTCATCGACGTGGGCGAAGTAGAGCTTGCGGCAGAGTAGACGCTCGGGGAGACGTTGCAGGACACCGCGGATACGGTGGAGGGTGCGGGGGAAGGCTCCCTTGAGATGGGGATATCTTGGAAGAATAGTTCGAGTGATGCCAAAGAGCCTCGGGTATGTCGGGGAGTGAAATGCGGCGCCGGTACAGCCGACTGGGGCAGTGCAAGAACAGGGTCGGCCGGGAGCTCAGTGGCCCATGCCTGTGGTACCTTTCTTGCAGCGTGCGAACGCATCTCCAGAGTGCAGGCAGCCGGAGGAGCACAAAAGAGGCTTGAATATAGTAGTAGCATGTCGAGGAGCGGCTGCGTGGCCGGGGTGGGCGCGATCTCCTCGCGCAGTATCTCCCGGGCTGTAATCCTTTTTTGGTACATTTTCTTGTTGACATCGGTTCGTTGCGCCAGAACAGCTCCCTCAAGCGTAACACTCCCGAACTCACTGCGTGTTTTTGAATATACGAAGAGAGCCGGGGGGTTGCATGGGGGCTCGTCGTTTGATCCCAACGGCCCTAAGCCTATCGACAAGTCCGCACCAAGTGTGAAATTCTCCCCCTGTGCAAATGCTTCGACCGCGGTGTCTGTGTTTAGGACGAAGACAAAATTCGTTAATGCTCTGCTGAACCTCAACTGGCCAACTTTAAGCTTGCCAGTTGCGATTGCGGACGGGTTCGACCAGGAGCCATTCGGTGATCGCGCGACTACGACGCCCGAGCCAACACGATGCGCCCCTAATCCCAGCTGAAGAACGGAGAAGATCACCAAGCCCTAGACGCCTGTTAACCCGATTTACAGAATAAGCGGAGGAAATGGGCCCATACCTTTGCGCCTTGCAGCACCCGCGCGGGAATCCGGTTATCAAGGGTCGCGGAGTTGGGATTGATGAACAAGTCGAGCGTACTTGCAGCCTTCATACATTCACCTTGGGAGTTGTTAGTCGCAGGTGTACAAGTCAGAGATAGAGGCACATACTCGACAGCGTCAACGACCCTGGTTTCGATCCTGTTCCGAGCATTTTGACTATCCTTGTCTGTTTGCTATTGAAACAGTCCTCTCGCGGGAATGAAACACAACATTTATAAAAGGAGACGGCATTGCCGGCGTTTTTGCACCCTCGGAGGCTTGGAAAGAGCCCACGAGGCTATGTCAAATTAAGATTTAATTAAGAAAGTGGGATACGAGCTGCTATTCGTGATATATTGCACAAGTAACTATATTTCAACGCCAGGAAATTTGCTGGCCCGCTCCCCAAACGCGGGCCCTACATATTTAATCACAGTGGCGCAGTTGAAAAAATCGTGGCGGAGGGAATCCTTTATAGGGGGCCGTATTCCTTCGTCCCACTCTTAGGAAATAGTCACTAATGGTGATATAGATAGACCTAACTAGTTCATGGGTAGATGAATCCTTTAATTAGCGTCTACCCCTCGTGTGCGGGCGTATGGAGGATGCTGCATCAGAAATTGAAGTCTCCATCCTACTGCCGGCATATCTTAGACGGACTATATTTGCTTTCCGGATCCGAGTGGGCTTTAATATGTATCACGACTTAGGGTACATGAGACGCAATAACCGAGATAACCTTGACGCGAAACAGGTCATATATTATCATCCTGCTGGCCCCAGTACAGCACTGCGCTGCGTGCGACAATGTAAGATTCTCTTAACATTTGGGCAATGCAGGCTGGATAAAGGATATTTGTCACAAGGCACCTGTGGAAGTACCCAATTCTCAGTCCTGTCTGATAGGTTGTCAGGTCTATACTACTTGTTTCCTGGAGCCCTTAACCTCTACTTTTCACGCGTGCCCAACAGTCCCTCAGCTTACTTGCATACTCTGCTGAGAAAATAAGCCAAATTAGTGAAGAGATGCAGCTGTTCATGGTTTTCGAAAGTAATACCCCTTCAAAAAATGCTTCAAGTCACCAGTAGTTTGACATCTAGATTACCAGAGGTAGGGCTGAACCAACACCACAGAAAAAGTCTTTAAAGTATCCCAACAAGGACTCAATCCAGACAGAAGCAAAGACGGCTAGAAACAACCACATAGTAACCCGTGCCGAGTGAGTGTTCTCTTCAAACCTCTAGCTGACTGTGAAAGGGACACATATCCTAGCTCAACGAGGCAATTTGGGGTATCAGATGTAGATTACCAATAGCTTTCTAGATATGATTATGGAGTATGCCCTACTCTGCAACAGAGACTTGGAACCCGTGAAGCTGCAACCTGTGGGGAATTTGTCCCCGCTCCGACTCCACAGAAATTGATATCTTGATACTCGCTTCCGACACGACTTGTAACACGTCCTTCAAACAGTTTAGATACAGCCTCTGTCTCGGGAATGTCAGACATCCCAGGCAACAATCATCTAATGCCAGCTCCAATGTTAGCTCACATCGTTTGGAAATCATTGTGACGGGAAAAGACGCCATCCACGATTGTCGTAGCTTAGTTACTAGGCCTGAAAAGAAACCATCCGCTGCAAGACGCCAAACACAACTTGCACCAACCAAGTGGGCCCTACCGAAGTAACCAACTACTTAGCGTATGGAGTTTTTCCGCTTCATGATTAATCAAGTCGCTGGCGGAAAATAAGCGGAATCCCAGATTTTTTCTTTTCCCACGGGAGGGGAGGAGGGGAGGGATCGAATCGACCTTTATAAGCCTGGCTTGCATTGTTGGGGAGACTGTCAGGCAGCTTCAACTTCCTTCAGATAGCTACATGCACTAGACATAGACGAGCAAAGCCCTCACACCATGAAGGAACAAGTTTCCGGGGAGGACGGGAAACAGGTCACCGTTATCTCGACCGAAACGGGCACCCCTGAGAATGATATCGGCCTCTTCCAGGATCCAAATCAACGCCCTCGCTGTTTTACAAGTACTTTTCAGGAATGCATTTTCGTCCTGACGACGACGATGGCTATCGGCCAGAGCTCGTTCTTCCAGGGCGCGGTTATAGTTATCTCGGCGACAATCGGGCGAGATCTCCACATGAATCAGGCCGAGATCACTTGGATTACGGCCGGTAATTCGTACGTTTATGTGAATAGTTTTGCGATTCGTCTTGTGCTGACCAGATGCGCAGTCTAACTAGCGGTGCACTCCTCTTGGCCTTTGGCAAGGTTGCAGACATGTTTGGCCGTCGAAGCATGTTCATAACTGGCATGGCAGGATTCACCCTTGCCCTGGTTGTCGCTGGCTTCGCCAACTCTGCAATCTACATGGACGTGTTCTCGGGAATTTTGGGCATCTTTTCCGCTGCGGTTGTTCCTCCCGCCGTGGGTTCGCTGGGTGCGGTGTATGAGCGGCCCTCCCAGCGCAAGAATAGGGCCTTTGCTTGCTTTAGTGCTGGCAATCCACTGGGCTTTGTTGGGGGCATGATCGTTTCTGGTATCGCGACCCAGGTTGCGGACTGGAGAGCTGCTTTATGGGTGCTAGCCGTGATCTACGCGGCTTTTACGGTGCTTACCATCTGGACCGTTCCTCAAGATCTTGCGCAGAAGACACGCGGATTCAGCTGGGATTCTGTGAAAAGCCTCGATCCTCTTGGAATGATCCTTGCAATGGCTGGAATAGCTCTTCTGTCGAGCTCGTTATCGTCAGTCCTCCCTACCTTTGAGCCCCCGCTTGCTCTATACCTTGAGCATATAAAGACGTCGTCTAATACCGTACAGGATAGCCGGAGACGCACCCGATGGTTGGAAAACGCCCTACGTGATTGTCCTGCTCGTTCTTGGAGTCGCTCTCATTGCAGGGTTCCTTTATTGGCAATCCCTATTTTCGACTCCGCTCATGCCCCTACATGTTTGGAGAGATCGTAACTTTTCCCTGGTAAGCATCTCGTCCTCTTGCTTCCCCATGTGGCGTATAGCCGTTGTTAACCCAGCTTGATAGTTGATGGGGATTCTGGCCCTCGGGTTTTCCGGGTTTGTGGCGGCCCAATTCTGGATGGCGTTGTACATGCAGGAAGTATTAAATCTGGGGCCCCTGGAAATCACAGCACGGCTACTACCCATGGTTGTTAACGGGGTTCTGGTCAATATCGTCTGTGCTTTCCTGCTGCACAGAGTAAGCAACAAACTCATCATGTTGACTGGAACAGTGGCCTATGCAGTGGCCTTTCTCATCATGAGTTTCACTCCTGATCAGGGTCTCTACTGGGCGTACTACTTTGTCCCACTGCTGTTGCTGGTTGTCGGGGCAGATTGCCAATTCAATGTCGTCAATGTAAGACCCTCCCCAAGCCAATACCGACCTACCTATCTCACTGCTCTGAATACAAGCACGCATGCTGACTGTGAGTTTTGAATAGATGTATGTGATGTCCTCTTTACCGACGTCCGACCAATCTCTCGCGGGCGCCATTTTCAACACTGTCTCGAAGGTAGCGGGGAATATAGGCCTGGGTATCACTACAGCCATCTACAATGCCATCCGCGAGGGAGGCAGCACTTCCCCAATCAGGCCTTACCTGGGCCCGTACTGGTTCGCTGCTGCATCCGCGGGCATCGCTGTCTTCCTCGTGCCTTTTCTGAAGATCGGGACACAGGGCCACAGCGAGAAAGATCCTAGCCTGTCCAATGAGCCCGATGAAGAACTCGGTGGGTTAGAAGCGCAAGTCAAGACTTGATTGATGTTAATGGCTGGGTAATAATGCATGAAGTTTTTTTTTTTTTTTTTTTTTTTAACATATGCGGTCACATTCTGCGTGTTCAACATGACTTGCAATATTTAGATTAGAAGTATACCAACAGATACCTTGATTTTTAGACAAATGAGATAGAATTTTACTCTAATTATACTACCGAAGGCACGTTCCTCGGATTAAGGCACTCTAACGAGCAAGCATAGAGCAGACATGAGCCCACCCTCTCAGAGGAACTACAGACTGTTTACCAAACACCTGTCTCCTAATAATGTCTAGAACAGGCAGGGCTTTGGGGCGGCTATAGATTCCATGTCAACAATCAGTGCTTTACGGGTAGACGTGGAGCTAAGCTGGTTTATTCCTCCACCATCCATTACATCCCGGGATTGTAGCAGAAAAAAAAGGCAATTTGTTCCATTCAGGCTCATACCTCATCACACAAGGATTAAAGTCCCTTTATTTTGTTGGTCTGAGCACGGATCTGCGGACAGTCTTGTGGAGTTAGGGCAATAAAAGCAACCCCTGCTTCGACGTGGCGTAATTATTGACCTATTGGACATTTCCTGAATATTTTTTTAGCGTGCTACTGCAGTTCTAGTTCATAGTTTGCTTCAAATTCGACCCGCATGTCTTGCATACTCCAGTGCAGAAAGGACGTGGTTAGCTGCCTAGGTAGGAACTTGCTGCGTGACCAGGTGTTGTTGACTTGACCTCGATGGCTGTTGCTGTACGGAGTACATTGATGCGACTACTGGGAACAAGAACAACTGGGATGTGCTGGTTAATGAAATCAGTATAGGTGACCATCACAGAAGCTTCGAGTTCATGTAATACAGACCGATTGTTAACGAACCGGGGATCTCCCTCTTCAAGGTGTATTCAGACCATGTCTCGAGCATAGTTCAAGATATCTTATAAGGGTCTGAGTTATATACTCCAGAGCAGATGGCTGTCACTTTGCTCCGCCAATCCCAAGGGTAACAAACTTATCTGAGCTGTTTACAAAGGCCCTCCTAATTCGAATATCAAAATTTGGATTTTGTTGTTACTTATCATAGCGCAGTCGATCTTGACTCGCGCGTTGTTTACGAATGAAGAATAAAATGCCCAAGATGAGGAGAGTGATGTCTTTAATAGAATACATAGTTTTCAGATGCAATCCGCATAATATATCTTGTCTGTAGTGAATGGCTGTACAAACAGTAGCTTTAGAAATGTTCCCTATGCCTCTCAGGTCCCAACTCATATCTAACACTATACCATCTCGTTCCTCTACTCCGTACAGGGTATATACCAAGTTTAAGAGAGCAGATTGAGAGATCTGGCTTCTAAACCTCTTCCAAGCCTGCTAGAATCTCATCTATATCAGTGGATGCAAGGTGATAAGTCACTCCATCCGAATTTAGCCGCTTTTCCTGGTCACAATACCTTCATAGCGGGGTCATAGTCGAAGGCCAGCAAATCAGGTCAGTGCCGTTTCGTCGTGGCATAATTAAACCGAATTTGCCTGGATTTCTGGTATTCCACGAAGTGGTAGAGGAGAAGAAGCAGAATCTTCTAAACAAGGCCGACACTTTCACGCGCGCTCAAATACAACACAAAACGACCCAGAGTGTGAACCAGAAGCTTAACTGATTCCCCTTAGTCTCAGATTTCCTCCAGAAAAGTCGGAACTAGCAATTTGGGAAGCACAATTGGAGAAGCAATGCCCTAGACAGGGTATGCAAAACCCTTAGACATGCGCGAACTACGTCAAGGACCCCCTAAAGAACCATGTTTCATCGATTAATAGTTGCCTGATGGCTGCGGTATATTTATTCCTCTATGAAGGCTCTCCACCAAAATACCTTTTTTTTTTTTTTTTTTCTATTTGAAAATCTGAAACTGCTTTTAAAGGCGAGAACCCTGGATTTGTAGTGGAGATTTGAATTAATGCCTCAGGCAGCCATACTCCCGAAGCGGCAGAACAGGAACGAATACGACTGAACCTCGCTGTCCTCCTCCTCCCGTCTTTCCTGCGCTATAGCGGGCATCAGAGCTATGAATACAGAACAGCATTCAAAGAAAGTCCGGTCTCGTCGAACACATCGCAAGTCGAAGCTAGGATGTGAAAATTGTAAAAAGCGTCGGATCAAGGTGAGCTGGATTACCCCTAAGTGGTGTCGTCGTTGACCGCCACAGTGCGATGAACAGAAACCGGCTTGCAGCAACTGCCTCCATCATTCAATAGACTGCGACTTCTCGTCTCGGAAAGCGTCAGAATCCCGATCAGAGTCCTCCACCCCGTCATCCCGACGATATACGTTCCGCCATTCCACCTATCAATCAATCGCTTCTCCCTTGAGCACAACGCCCGAACCCACCTCTCACTCGAGAGGCACCCAGTGCGATCCCCTACCGGCCCTACCACCGATAGGAATCTCCCTCGCGGACCTCCACCTCTTCCATCATTTCGTGGTATCTACCTATCGCACGCTGGCAGATGAAGCCGCAGACTCGGATAGCGTGTGGCAGATCCACGTCCCGCAATGGGGGTTCTCCTTCCCGTCGATCCAACATCTCATCCTGGCTCTGGCCGCGCTGCATCTGGGGTACTTGAACCCGGAGATCCGGGCGCAGTATGTGAAGCAGGCAGACGACCATTTCACATTCGGGGTTCGCTCCGTGTCTACTGTGCTGGCCCAGCTAAATTCGGAGAACTGCCAGCTCATCTACATATCGGCCGTGCTGATCTGTTTTGTATACTTCGGCCGCGGGCCCCGAGCGGGAGAGTACCTGGTTTTCAACGCCAAGGGGAAATCCGAGTGGCTGGTGCTCCTGCATGCGGTCCGCGCCATTCTCGCTTCCAAGCAGGACGAGATTTTCACGGGGGTGCTGGTTATAAAGAAGATGGATTACGGCGCCCGAGATTCCCTCCCGCCTCTCCTCAGAGATGAATTGGCGCAACATGAGTTCCGGATCGGAGAGGTTCGGGCGCTGGTTGGGTCGCGGATCTTGGATCCAGAGCTGCAACAGGTTTACTTTCATGCGGTGGACGATCTCCTTACGGCGATGGGGCAGATGTATGAGCGCAGGGGCACTGGATGCCGTGCGACCGACTTGATGCCCTGCACGATGGGGTGGACGTTTCGGCTCTCGGAGAAGTTCATCGAGCGGTTAGAGGAGAAGGAACCCCTCGCGCTGATTATTCTCGCCTACTGGGCCATTCTACTCCGGTACCTGAGGGATGCATGGTTTATGCAAGGGTGGGATGAGCATATCATTACCGGAATACGCGCATCGATTCATTTTGAGTTGCATGAGTGGATTGCATGGCCGGAGCAGGTGATCCGTCAAATATAATCATAATCTAACCATAATAACCATCAAGAGCATAAATCATTACCCAAAAATCTATAGGAACCGTCGTAGGAGGGGTGGGAAAAAAAGAAAGAAAGAAAGAAAGAAAGAAAGAAAGAAAGAAAAATCGAGATCTACTAATCACTCAACGGCGCCATTTCCGGACTTTGAGCCTTGCCAACGCTCCTCGCCCGCTTCACCAGCATCCCCGGATGCCAAACCGCCAGGACCCCCATCGTGATGGCCATGGTCGCCGCATCAAACACATAAATGTAAACCTCTTTGTCGCGGATATCCGCTCCCTTGGGGGCAGCAAACTCGATGGTCCGCACCAAGTTCCTCACAATCATCATCAAGCACGCCGTATAGATCGCCCACATGTAGCGCCCCCAGTTGATCTTCAGCCCCCGAGCCACGCCGGTCTGCTCTGCCCTCAACCGGCGATGAAAGACAACCGCGATCCAGACAAAGCCGACAAACACCACGAGGGCAAAGATCAGGCCGGCCAAGACGGCCTTGAGCCCGATTTTCATGACGCGTTCGTCGCCGGTGACTTGGATGCCGACACCCACGAGCTGGGTCAGGAAGGACACCACGTCGTTGAGCACAAAGAGCACCGTCAGCCGTTTGGTGCGGATCAGCGAGAGGTGCTCTGCGTCTAGGGCGCGGATGATGCGGCCCAGCGACATGTAGACCGTGGCAGCCAGCAGTGGGGGGGCGCACATAATGAGCATTTGTTGCTGGGCCCAGGGTCCGATTGCGGTGCGGTCTGGATGGGATCGGGCTCGACCGTAGTAGCCGAATGTTTCACCTGGGGGTGTTAGTACTGTTATACATATATATATAGATATAGATGGAGGGAATTACATATTCCTCCGATGAAAAACGGAATGAAATAGGCCGCTCGATAGGGAAACATCAGGGCCAAATGGACGAGAGTCGCGATGCCGAATATCGCCGTGAAGGCATATCCTGCCCCGAGAGAAGGGTAATAAGGGTAGAATTCTACCCAGGGAGCGGAGCCATTCGTGCCCGGGTGGAAGGTGAAATCCATTTCAAAAAAAAAAAAAGATCTGACCACGATATGGAAAGCAAAGCTGGGAGATAGGAATTAATCAAGAGCCTGTGGCCATGATTGCACTGTTGATCTTCTTTATATTCGTTGGATGTCTCGAATGGCTTCCTTGTAGGGATTACCGCTTTGGGCAATGTTGGAACGAATACGCCAAACATGGGCGAACATTCCATGGAATCTCCCCAGGGCCAGAAAAACTTTTTTTGAATGCGTGGCGGAGAAACTAAATTTAGTATCTAATCAACTTAATGGAACCCCCCTGTCTATATTAGAATTTTCACTGTTGAAGCGCATTGATTGGTTTCCGGCCTGATCTACCCACTGGGTGAGGTGAGGTATTGGAATACAGTTGAAAAGTGTAGCCTGGGCCAATTACAACAAAAGAAGCTCAATGTATGGACAGTTGCCTATTTTTATGTCGCATTGTCGCTAAATCAAAATCTAGTAATATAGTCATAAACTCCAACGGAACCGGTTTAGTTGCCGAACACCTTGAAGCGGTTCTCCAGAGGGCTAAAGACCTTGTCCAAGGGGCCAGACGTAGGGGTACCGAAAACAAGTTGAGCATCGAGCTTCCAGGTTGCAGGGAGATTCCACTGCTTCTGGACCTGCTCATCGATGAGCGGGCTGTAGTGCTGCAAGTTGGCACCGAAGCCCTCGGAGCTCAGCGCGGTCCAGACTATATCATACCATACCGATTAGAGACCACACGCGTAACATGAAAAAGGGAGATAGATGACAACATACCAAGGTACTGGGACATGGCGTTGGACTCCATAGCAAAGGGGTCGAACTTGTCAGCGTACATGGCAAACTTCGCCTTGACATCCTTGAGAGAGTCGTAGTCGACGAAGAACAGAACCTGGGGTTTGGTGCATCAGCACGAGTCAAGATTACAACACTAGGACAAGAGGGAAGCGCAGGACTCACAGTTCCGTAACCAGCACGGAAACCCTCGAGCTTGGGCTTGGTGCTGCTCTCAAAGGCCTCCTGGGAAAGATGGCCAGCAGCAACCAGGCCCTCCATGGCGCTGATAGCGATATCCCAGAGCTTCTTGTGCTCCTCCTTCAGCAGCAACACAATCCGGGAAGTCTGGGTGTTGAAAGAACTGGGAACGTGCACAACAGCATCCTTGACAATGCTCTCAATGGCCTCATCGGAAATGGGGCTTTCCGCCTTCAGGCCGTAGATAGTGCGGCGGCCCTTGACCAGCTCGAGGAGACTGGCCGTGGCGGGGTTCTTGAACTGGCCGGCGATAGAGCCCATGGTGACGTGACTATGTGGAGAGCGGAAGGGGTGGTGGATTGTGCGATCTGAAACCAACATCCATGGCAGAGAAGGGTTGATTTATATACTTGATTCGCATTGCAGTAGTTCATCTGGTGCCTACTGTGTAGATATGGCCATCGGCACTGGTACAAGGTAATGCATAGCCGTCGATCCGTCTGCCCGCTGAAGGGCTCCGCGCCGTTGCCCAATAAAAAGACCTCAAGAACACTTGGTGGGCCTATTTGTCAGGAGGGCGGAAGTATTAATAATTGTAAAAGGACATTTCTTTGTCGTTCCGTCAGTCGATCTCTATATTTCCAATCACCCTGTGCCCACCAGTCGGGCTGGCCAGCTGGATCTGGAAATAATGCCGCAGTTGACACCAATAAGCACTCTAATTTATTGGCGATCCTGCTGGATCCCAAGTAAATCGGGCTGCCAAACCCAGGCAGGGCGGCCGCCGGGTCGGACTTCCATATCCACGGTCTTGACAACTTACTCCCTGGCAATCGTTATGTAGTTCTCAATCCTTTCCTCCAAGCCCCGACAGAGGAGGATTACCCTTCTAAGATAGAATTACAAATTACTGAATGCCACTGCGGTCTCTCTTATGCCAGATGGGTCGTCATCTGTGCTGGGACATTCCAAACCCTAACAGCGGCTATTACTTGGGATCCTGGCCTTGATACATTGCTTCCTTCTGCTATAATGTGCATCATAATCTAGCTGCTGCACTCATACTCTGTAGGTATTCCATGGCTACTGTTATGGAGAGAACAAAGGGAAAATGAAGAATTTAAATAGGAACCAGGAATAAAGATAGTCTATATGAGGGTTATAGCAGATTTAAACTAATGTAAGTGTACGTTTGTTATATTCCGGGGTAGAACCATCCTGGAACTTGCCACTAATGGACACTACATTTATACTAAAATTGGTTACGACAGATCCAGAATCGTTGTTGGGTGGTTGACTGGCTAGAGAACTCGAATGGACAGAGAAAAAGCCCTTGATAGCTTTCAAATTACCTAGACTATCTACTACCAGCCCACGTATTCTGCAGTTGAATTAAACCAAAGTTCATACTTCGGGGAACCTACTAAGATAAGAATCAGGAAACCACCGTGTACAATTTCCCCCAACCGTTCAAAGCTTAAGCTCTCTCATATCTGTCCAAGTGGCCCGGATATCCCCCACCGGCCGAAAAGGCTCAGCTCCTTGATTGATCATTATGCTGATCCATGTAAGACAGCTTCGCAGATGATCCCTATCCTGCTCGCCCCGTTCCATGCGTTCCCGATTGGCCAAGATTTTGACCAGCTTCACACGAGTTCGCAGCGTGTCAACAAATCGTCTTCGCTGATCCAGGAAATGGGCCTTTAAATCCCCGTGGATATCTTGTTTGGGCATGTATATCAAAAGGTACCGCTCCAGGTGCAAGCCAGGAATTAGGGCAACCGCCCAGTAGACCGGTGACATGGGACTGTGCGGCCGGACTGACATGGCGAGAAGTGCTAGTCGAATATTGATCCTGCCCGCAGCCGTGTCGGCAAAGTTTTGGAATTTATCCAAATACGTCAATTCATGTGACTGGAATCGCATAAACCATCTCCCTCGTGCCAGCTCGCTGTCGTAGGAAAGAACTTTAGGGTATAAGTACATTCCACTCATGATGTTATCTGATATCCAGGTTCGGAGTACCTCGAGCTGTCGAGCGACGTCGTCCACTGCCGAATCCGAATTGAGACCCGCGCGAGCCGGGGGAACAAGTTGGTGTCTCAGGCTTCGACCGACACGAGCGGGATGAGTCGACGGGGAGATATTGTGATTCTGAGGGCGGAAAGTTGTTGCTCGTTGTGCTGCCGTTTCTCCCGACGTTGAAGTGCGAGCAGCATATGGAAACACATGGTATACTAAGAATATGACAGGGAGCAAAAATATCCAGTAGACGGTCACGATACTGTGTAAAACTTGGTAGAGAATGTTCAGTGACATGGTGAATACTGATAATGTAGGCGTTTTGAGCATCAATAGTAGCCACGTTGTCCCGAAGTAGAACATTTATCTGCCCCATATGAGGTAGTGTCTCTTGCCATTTGTAGGATCCTGACTTCTAGCGCCTTCCTCTCTGGAGGTAGCTTTCAAAAGTCACTCATTATCGTTAACAATATACACATAAACCAGGGTGTATGCGGAAGGTAGTCCCCTTTTGAAAGACAGGGAAAGGGCGGCTGGACGTTAACAATGCATCGCCTTGACAGCTTCCTTCCCCGTGTGCTACCAGAATCGAGCCCGGTCCATAGAGATACTTTTACGGTTTCCTTGAAACGAGGAACGTCTGTTCCGTAGGGCCGGGTTCAAACTCTATATAGAATTCGCTTTGTTTCTCATTCAAAGGTGGAAGATAACCCTTCTACATCGGGATCCAACAATGTTTCGGGGTTTAAACCTTGAATTCTACGCGAATGCTTGGGTGTTTTGAAGCAGTTTCGACAACAAGTCGCTTGATCCCTTCCATGTCGGTGGCATGGCACACAGAGCTTTGGTTGCTGCGGGAACAATCTTGTAGTTAGTTAGCTCATTCCTCCCTCAAGCTTACCAACATCAAAGGTCGACGCCCTCTGCGCGAAGTTCCTCCAGTGCACAGATCGCCGTGATGGATCCTTCCTGTCACAAGTACTCCTACCATAGATTGTAGATCCTTCAACTCGAAGAGGAATATGCGGCGACACTGGATCAATCTGGGATGTAAGACAAGTATGCGTCCTGCGCTGGGACCCGAGATAAGAATATACATTCTCGGGTTGAACCAGGGGCAATTGCGAGGTGATCGTCTGTATAATCCCGCTTAGTTAGATGGCGGTCCAGGAACAAAGCCACATCCTGCTCATATTCACTGGTGCTATGAACCTTCAATAAGGTTATAAAGGAGCTGGAACCCAGGTGGCTCGGTGATGTATGAATCTCGATCCTCAACGATGGATCAATCTTACGTGTGCTCCTATGGGCAAGGCAGATCGAGATAAAGAATTTGTATTCAGACGCAGCTTAAGTTTTCGAGTGCCCAGCGGCACTGAACCCGGTTCTAGAAGTTCATTACGGTCAAGGGACACCAAGTGGAATGGTTTCGATACGAATGGCTCCTAGAGGGAGAGATTATCGAGAGGCTTTCCGTATGATGAATAACAAGCATTCAATAACCTAGTTAACTACCCACGACCCTTCACGACCCGCGTCTATGGGTAAAACTCGGGGGATCGGTCCATGTAAATCCATCGAACGGCAGACTACATAAGATCGTGCCGATAGATTTGAGATGGTCTCGACTCTGTTTCTCCGGGTGCGTGTGACGCCTTTGTCAACCTCGAAACGCTGGATTACCTCTGGTATCAGCTGCACAATTAAGCCCTAGAGGTCCAGCGTAGTATCCTGAGAAGGGAATGTCCGAGCTCGCGTGAGTTGGCCGGAATAGAACCCAGATCAATCACTACGCCAGCACGGTTCAGTAGACAATAAAACCTTCTGCTCACAAAGAGAATGAGTGTCCGGTGCTTGGTTGCCACCGGAATAAACGCACCTTAATGACATCAAGACTCGATCCTTTAGTGTTCCGGCTATTCGTCGGCCTAAATTTTAGAGCATTTTCCTTGTTCGTCCGTCGGAGGAAATTAGGTTCCCGAAACGCGATATATCCGCATCGTATGCAATCCTGGTCGATGTATGCCGTCTGCTTTCCTGAAATATATAAGGACCGCGATGCGACGACGCCTGCTCCGAGAATCGACATGGCCGAATATCAATTATCAGTCACACGGCGATGATCAGGTAGATCAACCCTACTGGGTCGAACACTAATTGCTGCTTTTATCTCTGCCATTGCCGTCGCCAGCATCTCCTTCCTACTACACCTTTACAGCCGTTGTCAGATTTTGGCTTACCGTGACAACCTATCTCATAATTTCCACAATGGCCTGGAGCTTAGCCGCTGTGTTGGGAAACTGTATGCATGGAAAGAAGGATTTGTATACCTCTACCAGAGCCGTCTCTCTGGCTCAGGGTCTTGTGCTTCTCTCCATCCCCATTTTTATAGTATGGAAAATGCACTCGGTCCAAAGAAGCAAAAGTCAACTCACTCTCATCCTCTCCTTGGGTGGAATGTAAGTAGCCTATCCGTTCACTGCTTCAAACCCCTTACTGATATCACCCAGAGTATGCGCATTCAGTCTGCTACGCATTGTGGAATTCCTTCATTCCAGAAACACTCATTTGACCTGTAGGTCACCCCTCGTCGTTAACCCCAGCATTGAGTGCCTTGATATTGATTGAGTGCAGCAACTGGCTCCCTTGAAACAATATGGACTATTCTAGAACTCAACCTTACCATTGCATGCGCCTGTATGGCATTTATGCGTCCCCTCCTACATGCCTGGAAGTCCCCTTTCCGCCACATGCGTAAACGCTCATCACAGCATGATCACTCCGTCGACTTCACGCAGTTTCTAAGCCAGTGGCCGTATAAGACGGGCAGCTCCATGTTCTCGCGAGATGTGTGCTCTCTGGTATGTGCGAGTGCTTATCCCACCCCGGCCACGGAAGCAAGTCAAGATCGGAATGAGCTGGATCTAAGGGGCATCATGGTCCAGACATCGATAGATCGAGATGTCCAGGATAGGGGAGTGGTGCTGGCTTCAATCCTGGGGGGCACGAGGTCGATGATTGAGTCGATTGGGTTGTCATCGAGGAGAGAATCAGCCGGGTATTAAACTAGGACTACATGTGTAAAACTCATAATTCCTCCCCCAAAATGACGATGCACTGACTCTTTAACTCGTAACATTCTTTATCCTTTTCTGCCGTGGTTGAATCCCTGGGTAGTGTAGCCGTGGCAAACTAGCCCTATAACCCCGTCCTATAACGGAGATCTTGTGTACAATATCCGGGTCGACTCTCCGAACCACACGTAGATCCGAATTTGGGTATGGCACTTTGCCTCGGCTATTCACATAGTAAGGTAGGCTTCACACAGCAAAATGGTATTAGTTTAAAGAGGGCAAGGGTGGAAATGGTCTGGCGGATTCGTTTCTTACCATAAAAGCCCCTCTACCCTGGATATAGATTCAACTTCTAGGACAAATGAAAGAGGTAGGGCGGATCGGTTGGGCGATGGGAATGCCACTCCCTGGAGATGAAGACGATAAGTACTATCCCCGTGGCTTTAATATTGAAGACCTAGGTCCAAAGTACTCTGCAGGCAAGGAGCCACAACCCGAAATCCGGGCGGCGGGGACAGTGCATTCAGTCCAGCCCTTGGGCTATTACAGTCCAATTTGTTCTTTCTCTGATTTACCAAATCAACTATATGAAGCATTTTAAATAATCAGGTTATATGTCATCCAGTATGGCGTCATACGATCAGCGCGATCCGTGGTTCATCCAAATATTGAAGTCACCCGCGCAAAATCGTCGCGTCTGAACTTCTCGTATCTTCTTTCTTCCTTTATCTCTACATCGAATCGATAATCGACATGTCTATCCGACAGCCAGACCGGTTAGATGCCTGGATCCTGGGCAGCGGTATTGCGTCGCTCACGGCGGCTGTGCATCTCTTGCAAGAGGCGCAAGTACCGCCCTCCCGAATCCACATTGTAGAGACGCTTGGAGCTCCAGGTGGCACCACCACCAGCTTCGGGGATGCGGAGCATGGCTATGACTATCGCGGAGGTGTGCGGCCCCAGTTCAATGATATATGCATGGACGCCCTGCTCTCTTTGGTTCCTTCGAAGTCCAATCCCAAGCAAACGTTGCGCGACGACATACTCCAACATGCGGAATCTCATGAGGCAAAGGGACACACAAAGCCGGCACAGACCCGGTTTGTAGAACGAAAACCGGACGGAATATCTCGAGTTGATGCGAAAAAGGCGACCCTGGGATTGCGGGATCGCATCGACCTGTTCATGCTGGCATCGAAAACAGAGAAGGCCTTGGGTAGAGCCCATATCCGTGATTTCTTCAACGAGAGTTTCTTTCACAGTGGATATTGGCTCACACTTGCTACGACGTGCGTATCCTCGATAGTGATATTGCTTTTTCAATCTTGAAGCGACGTTGACTGTTGTAGATTCGGGTTTAAACCCTCTCACAGCGCCGCTGAATTCAGTCGGTATCTCCACCGATTTAACAACCTCCATGATCTCCAGCGGCTTCATCCCCTCGACGCTGGCAAATACAACGTTCATGAATCTATAATAAATCCAATTGTCGAATTTCTGCACTCCAAAGGGGTAGATTTTCACTTCAATACTACCGTATGCGACGTCATATTTGCTTATGACAAGGACACTCGTGAACCGTCTTTTGTCACGGCCATCCGCACTGCACCAGCCCACGAACGAAGCACTTCCATCCCGTCCGCTAAGGAGAAGACTATTTTCTTAAAAGATGATGACTTTGTCATGGTCAATTTAGGCTCGATCTACTCCAGCATCCTGCATGGGGATAATACGCACCCTCCACCGTGTCTCGAACATATCCAGAGCACACTCACTCCTGACACCGAGGACAACCCAATAGATACCGAGCTGGACGAGAACTGGCTGCTCTGGCTCGAGCTTTCCACAAAGCATTCCAAATTCGGGAACGCATATAACTTCTGCACCCGGCTGCACGACTCCCGCATCGAATCATTCACCATCACGCTCCACTCGCCTGAATTCTTCACCCGTCTTACAGAGGCCACGGGCAATGCTCCTGGGCCGACAAATATTCTTACACTACGCGACTCTTCCTGGCTTATCACCCTCCGCATCCCTAGCCAACCTGTCTTCCCGGACCAGCCGGACAGCGTCCAAGTCTGCTGTGGATACGCTCTGTTTCCCGAGAAGAATGGAGATTACCTCGCGAAGCCAATGCTCAACTGCTCAGGTCAGGAAATTCTCTCGGAAATATTGCACCATCTGCAATTCCCAATCGAGCCCATCACCAGTAAATCCATTACTATTCCGTGTATCCAACCTCGCGCTGCTGCAACGCTGCTTCCTCGAGTCCCCGAAAATCGGCCGCATATCATTCCACCGGGGGTAGCTAATATGGCAATGATCGGTCCGTTTGTTAATATCCCAGACGAGGTTGTGGTTACAGCTGATTATAGCGTTCGAGGAGCACAAATGGCTGTACGACATCTTATGAAGGTAGATCGGCTGTTGAAGAAGTCCAAACGGACATCAGCAATTAATTTACTAGGTTTGCTATAATCCAATATGTAAACAAGAAATATGATTTACACCTTTGATGAAAAAAAGAAAAAAAAAAAAAAAAAAAAAAAAAGGTCCCATAATAACGGAGCGTTTATATCTTCCCCACGCCAGCGTTAGCAAGCACTTTAGAAGGCACATCCGCAACCCCATAATGCCGGACCAAGTCTTTCTTGTATCGAGAGGCCTCATCCAATACCCTTTTATCCGTGACTGCAGGCCACTTACCCGACGCCGATAACCGGTTCCACTCACAGATGTACCCCAGCGGAGAGTTGCATGCATTTGCAGATTCCATAGTGGGTACATCGTATACTAATGCGCCGCTCTTCAACGTGGCATCTGTGAGCGGCGTGTTAACGTTGTCGAAATAATTGCCCTCGAGCAGCACCCGGGTGTTCGTATTGATATCGAAGGCATGGCCACCGATATTCCGGAAGTAATTGTTCACCCCGTGGAAGAAGATGTTGCTTTTCGTACGCTCGGTTCCAAGATGCGGCGCTCTCCCAGAGACATCATGAATATAGTTGCCCTCAAAGGTATACCAGTCCTTCTCGCCAATAAGGAGAAGAGACCAATAATGCTTCCCATTACAGCCTGCCGACCACTTCGTCGCGCCATCAAACTCGTTGTTTGAGATGGTAACATGGCCGGCAGGACCCCATCCACTCACGATAAACTGCCGTCCAACCAGGGAAAACTTGTTGTGATCGATCCAGATCTTGTCACAGTTGTCCAGAGTGATTGCATCGCCACCCCAGACATATTCTGGGTTCAATCCGGTAAAGTGGATGTTCTGAATGATCACATTGCTGTGGCCATTGGTTACACGCAGACCCTTACCCCTAATCACTCCCTTGTTCCCAACACCCACGATGCTCTTGTTCGACCCGACAATGAGCGGAGTGCGTGCGGCATTGTCATAAGTGCAAGAAACCCAAGTTCCATCACCACAGGTATCCTGGATGGAGGCCTGTCCAGCACTAGTCCCGCCCTTGCAGGTGGTGGTCGAAGTACTGCAGCACTTCCCGGTTGTTTTGCCCTCGGTCCCAATAAAGTTCCACTCCTTGTCGATGAGAATTGTGCGGGGCTTGTCGTCGGTGATCCAAGAGATCAGTCTTTTGCAGGTTTATCAGCATACATTCTTTGCCTTTGCTTTATTTCTTTTTTTTTGGCTTGCTTTAATGCAGAGGAAAAGGGGGGGGGGGGGGAATACTCTTTAAGACTAGATGGAGCTCGAGCTTCGGCCTTTCCACCTCCAGTCGTTCCAGCGGCGAACCCTGAAGGCGAGCCAACAACTCGCGCACTGGCGGAGTGCACAAGCAAGGTAAAAAGAAAAGCCAATGTCGTGCTCTTCATGGTGCCTGCTCAGATAATGTATGAACTGCGTTGAGTTGGGTTGGTTTTACTTTCTCCCACAAGTTCCAGCGCTGGGAGAGTAGGGCACTTTATATAGGTTTTGATAAAGGTCTCCTCCGATGCAGGCAAGGGAATAATAGCTCGCTCCAACCGCATCAGAGTCGGGTTAACCATACGATCCTGGGCAAAGGGGAAGGATGACCGCTTCACCTGCAGAAATAATTTACAGAATTAGGAGCCAAGCTCCGAGAGAAACATATCAATTTAGCTATAGCAATAAGATTTGCAACATATAGTAACGATTCCACCAGTCAGTACTCATCATGAACTCAAGAAATCCATCCCCCAAGACTATCCCCTCGGTCTATCACCACTCTCTGTAGTTGTTCTCCCGTGGCTGCGGCAAATCATTCTGAAACCTCCGCGGTTGGCATAAAAGAAACATGAGACAATGACAAGAAAAGCAGAGAGACAAACGGGCAGCGATCGGCCTTACTCAATCATGCGCTCCTCCCACAGTTCATTCTCATTGGGGTCAAAAAGCGCCGGAAACAACACCTGCAGACCATGCATAAACGCCCCGTTGTCGCCTAGCTCGCTCGGCATAATGGTAATGTGGGCATCCGAATGATTGGTGACTCCGTCCGTGGACAGGGTTTCGGATTCATGCGGTCCACTTTGTTCTGGGGACGGAGACTGAAGAAACGTACGTCCAGGGGTCCAGGTTCCATGCAACATTGTACCCGGGGTATGAGGCGATGCAGAGGAAAGAGGACGAGGCGAAGAAGAAGACGGCAACGACCTCATCTCCTCTTCGTCGTAGTCGCACTCGCCGTCGGAATCCCGGAATCCTCCTAGTTTTTCGTACTCGCCTAACCCCTCCACCCAGTAATTGACCCTGTCAGTCCTATCTCCGGTAGCATCCTGGTGGGGGGTAGCGGCAGAATGGGTCTCTAAATTTTCCATGTCAATGTAGCGATCACTCAGGGTATCAATCACCTGTCGAGGAATGGCTATGTGCCTGTGGCCCCCCTGCTGGATTTCTCCCATCACCGCATCTGCCGGGACATGGCGGGAAATCTCTCCGTTTGTCTCTCCCGGGAGGGTCATGGTGACTTCGGCCGTAATGATTGGCTCGGTGGCCTCAAGTCCCTCGAGGGAAATATAGGGCAGGGGATCGAAAATGCCGCTCTCGCTGCTGTGGCTGTTGCTCCGAGGGGTCAGGTTATGTACCCACTCCGCTTCGCACTGGATACAGTAGGGGATATGCGTCGCAGATAAGAGATCATGGGTTGAGCGGACATCATGCCCAGAGGGGGGAGTACCACTGCGGAGACAATTGGTCACTTCAATGCACGCGTCCAGAGTAAAGGAAGAGATATGGCCACAGGTAGGGTAATGATGGTAAATGTACTTGCACATACTGACAGTTTTCAAGACTTGTGTTTGTTTTGTTGTTAAGCGTCTGCTAGAGAGAGTATCGTAGTATAGAATCTAGTTTGAATGTTTGGCGCAACTGGTTTGTTGGATGGAAATGATCCAAGTCCAGCGAGCAAGAGGCTTCTTATACCTTTTGCTGTCTATAAGGACATGTTACTCTCTACGTAGACAACACTTGCTGCTCTCTTTGTCTTCATTGTATTGTAGTCTACCTGGCCGGGGTTTTCCCCTTCCAGAGTCCGCTCTTCTTTGTTTAGCTTTCGGCTATTGACCAGGTTCCTGAGCTCTCAAAGGCAGCACTTATCACACAAGGCTTTTGTAACTCTTTGTTAGGGTTTCCATTACTTATCAGGTCTTCTCTTCCTTTATGATATAATGAATATTATTCTCTGTTGGGCTGGAAATTACCGTGAAATTAGGGCTTAGTTATCAACCTCTCTGTCTCTTTATGAAACCCTAGTTAGCACAGACTGGGAGCCATGAGGTGATATTTTTACTATATAGACTTGAGCCAATATCAATGTAAATCTCGCATGATAATCTGCAATTCCTTCCAATCAAAGAATTCGTCCATTGGCCAGGACAAGAGCAGAATTTCATTAGCTGTCTGTTTCATAAGACGAGCTTCTTGGGTTTCTTATGGAAGTATTTAGAAATTATAGGTACTTTGCATGTAATTACTACTCCAAACCTCCGTTCTACACATACCATATCTAACCCTACACCTCAAACAGTGACCGTGCGGAATGAAGCCCCTAAGAATCTGAACATATCGATTAAAGTCCCCAGGACTTCGTTAATCAGGTTTGTTCATCTAATAAATTACAGGAGAATAAAAGCAGCACACCCACAAGAGACCCGAAATTATCACCTTGCATTCACTGATATTGCTGTTGGGCCGCTTTCCTAGCCATCCATCGACGATATGCGAAGAGAAGGATAACTCCCATGCCAACGACAAAAACTATGCAGAAAACTAGGATCGGGCCCGGGTTTTCGCTGGCCCAGTTTCTTCGTTCGATGACCTGATTACGGGCTTCTAGGGCACGGAGATCGAGGGCGGGCATATCTAATTCAATTAGCTATGTACCGGTGCGACTCCAGCTTCTTCGAGGTGACCGTACTGGCTAGCTGGGGAGCTATAGAACTGATCAGCTCAAACCTTTTCTGCTCAGCTCCGGGTCTGGGTCTTTGAGTGCGCTGAACCTGCCGGGCCTGTTCATCTGCTGACCTGCCCCGCGGGAGGAGGAAATGGACGGGATCAACTCGACGATTCTCGAGATTCAAGGGTATCCCAGAATATTTTTCACATGTGTACGGAATGAGCGGGAAAGTGACAGATGAGAGACCACAAGCGAACAATCTTGACAAAGTTAGGGCTCGGGAGACGCGGATGCCAATGACGTGAGGCAGAGAGTATATTGTATGCAACGCTGGGTTCATCGCGAAGCTTATATTTCGACAAGCATATTTCCATTCCTAGTAGTCAGTCTCCGGTGATTGTCTCCTATTCGGTTATTTGTATTCCACGATATCACGGTCCGCAAGTCTTGCTATACTGCACCAGTTCGCATTTATTCTCGTCCTTGAAATCATGCAAATCGGTGCCCTATACGCATTCTTGAGACATTTAAACTCTGCTTAAACTTCCTCAGGCACAGATTTAGCTCCTGCTGTCATCACTTAACCATATTGGCGATGGCTTCGATTGGGTCGCAGGGAGTGTTTGACGTCACGAAGCCAAAAGGGCCTGGATCACGCTGCTGAAGAGGAAGCTTATTTCAACCAACAGTTTTCTGTGAAACCCCGGAAAGTATAGGATCATGGGGAGGGATAACAAAGAACATGAAATACGCCTTGAGGAATAATGCGGCGCCAAATAGACTGACTTGCCTTACTTGGAGGCTGAATCCCATCCCCAGTATCGCATTTCCTTTTCGGGGAATCTCGTCAACATCCCCAACCTCACCTCTACTGACTTCAGCTCTCTTCTTCTCTTCGATATTTTTGTCAGTCTCTCTTTATTTGATCGTACTTTCTTGTAGTATCGTCCCTAACCCTAGTCACAATTTCAGATCATCACACAAGATGGAAACCCCTAACTATTTTATAGATAATGTATCAAGTCACATTAATTTCAACTCTATCATAACCTCTATCGCCATATTCCAAAGCGCAACCTATAGGTATCTATCAAATAAGCACACAAACAATATAAACGCTATCTCAGGATCCTGGAGCTCCACCGGCAACACGGGCGTGTTGGTGGATATCCACACGACCACTATTGTGCCAGGTAGCAAGCATGGCTCCGCACCTTCCACACATGTGGTTCACATTCTTAAGGGACGACATCATATACGGGACGCACCCCAAGCAAAGGCAGAAACACATCACAGCAGCCCAGGCACTGGAATGTTTGTTAGTTTTCCAGGGTCATTCGTCTCGGAAGATGAAGGTTACAAGGCTTGGATATACATACTGATTCGTGTTCCCCGTGACAGCCTCCACGCGGGTCATCTCTCGAACTCCACAAACAGGGCAGTCGACAGGGGCTGGACTCCGTTGGAGAGACTGCAGAGGTGCAGCTGAGGCGTAACTACTGGGCGGGGCATATTGCTGGGGAGGCTGCATTTGCGTGCCCGGTGCAACACTGTTGGGCTGCTGGTTTGCGGGGGGAAGGTTCTGCAGTGGTTGCTGCTCGTAAGGAGGAACTAGGGTGTGTTAGTGAGGAAATTGAAAAGGGTTGTATCTCAAGGCTTACCGGGAGCCACTTTCTCAGCCATTTTGAGTGTACAGCTTTATCCTAGGTTGAGAGTATCGTGATAGGTAAGTCGCAGAAACGGACAGACAAGATGACCAGGTAGAAGCGAAGAGCAAACAAGTCATCTATCTCCCTGGGCAGTCATACTCTTATACCCTTGCATCTCTGGCCCCATGGAACTATTCTGGAGCACAATGCCCGAGGGCTGCTGGCAAATGCCACAAGCAAAGATTTCCCGTATCTAAGCCACATCCTATGAAAGAAACTTACAGAGAAAGACAGCGGGTTGTATAAAAGCCTTAGCTCCACCAGGTACAAAGCGACAACACTAGGATAGTAAAAGGCTACTTACTCCCTTAAGTCAGGGCAGTGCCCCATACAATTAATCCAGAATATAATTAGAAAAAATAGGCATCCCCAGGGCATGATATTCCAAGGCTGGTACGTCAGCCAAGATAATAATGCCCAAGCCCGGGGGCTGAGTAGTGTCACTGTCAATGTCCCTCCGGGGTCATGATCATCTTTGAATAAATTTTAATTGTAGCCATAGTGGATAGCAAAATAACAAAGGAAGCATTGAAATGCTGGTGCGAGATTTAAACCAGGGCTCTATGCTGCCTCAGGCAACCGTTGCTACGCCTCAAATCACCATTTGGGAAATCACGCGCTGGGAGCTTCTCTCTTCTTTCCACTGCTCATCCTTCAATCCATCCATCTACAATGTCATACCACTATCTCTCGGAGACTTTATTTCTGGCCATCGCAATGCTAGGTGATCGAGACACGTGTCTAACGGCGTCCTGTCGAAAGCCTAATAACGGGCGCCAGTGCTGGCCAGACATAGCCAGCCTCAACAACGCACCTCACCCAGTCTGGGGGGGGAAGACCCGAAAATGCAATTCTAGGCGGAAAAATGCTTTGACGAAGCTTACTCGGATTGAAAGCCCTTTGTGCGTCTCACCACAACCCTTGAGTCTGGTGGCTCTGGGCTAACCCTTTGTTGCTCTTAGCGAACCCTTTCAGCTGCTTCACAACAGAGCGGCCCTCCACATCCCCAAAGCTAATCTGGGGTGTACACTGTAAAGCTCCAAAACGTATACCTAAGAGGATGCTTGGATGAAGCTTACTCGGATTGAAATCTTGGTAGATTGCAACTCTTCTGCGCTACAGCCGCGCATCTGATGTATTTCTGCTAACTGAATATTGCTTGACACAGAACCTTTTAGCTCTCTGCCATATTCGGGGGAATACAAAAGCATATCGAGCATCGACAAAGCCGGGTTTTTGCCAGATTTACCCTCGAAAATAGTGGGGATTTAGGCTAAAATGTCAGTAGGAGTGCTGTGCCGCGTAAAGCAAAGCGATTAACAAACAGCAGCACTTCATGCCCGATTCAAGCCATGGAACAAATATTCTCAATCGTCGTCATCAATTTCAGCTTCTTCGGGACTGCAGTTCAGTCCTTGCCGAGCTCGGACGCGCCAGCTTTGTGTTGTGTACAGAGTAGTCGGACCAAGTCCGATTCTTCATTGACATCCCACGCATTCCCCGCCTTGCCTTGGTACTATCACTGCTTTTAAGGCTCCTCGCCCCTATGGAGTTCCCTTTCCACAGACATCCAAGTCTATCTTTACCCCTAGACCCTATCCAATTCGATCATGTCCAAACCATCAATCGGTTTCGTGGGCCTGGGGGCCATGGGCTTCGGCATGGCCACTCACCTTGTCAAAGAAGGTTACCCCGTTTATGGTTTTGATGTCTTCCCTGCTTCAGTGCAACGCTTCCAGTCGGCGGGAGGAATCCCTGCCTCGTCGCTTCGTGAGTCTGCCGAAGGGAAGAACTTCTATGTCTGTATGGTGGCTTCTGCGCCCCAGGTGCAATCAGTGTTCTTCGGGGATGACGGTATTATCAAATGTATGTAGCTTGATACGCTTTACTTTAAACGTCATATTACAAAACTCACTCATGTGATCCTGTAGACTTGCCTCAAAATGCAGTGCTTATGCTTTGCTCCACTGTCTCTGCTTCCTACGCCCAATCTGTTGCTACGGAACTCCAAACCCTCGGGCGTGGCGACATCCGCTTTGTCGACTGCCCTGTCTCCGGAGGTGCCCAGCGCGCAGCAGATGGAACACTATCCATCATGGCTGGGGCAGCGGAAGATGCCCTTCAGGCTGCTCAGGGAATCCTACAAGAAATGTCGGACGAGCACAAGCTGTACCTAGTCCCCGGCGGGATCGGGGCCGGTAGCAACATGAAGATGGTACATCAGGTCCTTGCTGCCATTCACATCCTGGGTGCAAGTGAGGCGATGGGATTCGCGGCACAGCTCGGATTGGATGCTCAAAAAATCGCACGTCAGATCATAGAATCAGATGCATGGACCTGGATGCATGAGAACCGCTTTCCACGGATGCTGGAGGAGGACTGGAATCCGGGTGCAAGCGCAGTGACCATTATCCTCAAGGATGCTGTAAGTGCTGTTCCTGCAGAATTTAGAAGATGCACTCGTCCCTCTAACCTGCTTACAGGGAATTATCACCTTCTCCGCTCGCCAGCACCGTTTCCCTACCCCGCTGTGCTCCACTGCCGAACAGATTTACCTTTCTGGTCTCTTGCACGGATGGGGTCCTAAGGATGACTCGGCGATGGTGCGACAATACTTTCCCAGGCCTCTCTCAGAAGTCACTGCATGTGCCAATCCTGAGGCCGCCACCGGGCTAGTCTTGGACCTTATGCGGGGCGTTAACCTTGTTGCTGCCGCAGAGGCGGTATCCTTTGCCCGATACCTCCAGGTCGACCTAGCGCAATTCTACGGGCTTGTCAGCCAAGCTGCTGGCGCCAGCAAGATATTCATGCAGCAAGGGCTAGAGATGATCGAGGAACGCATTGGCGACAAGGCCCCTGAGGGTTCTCCCAGCATCGACCAGGCTGCTGCTACGCTGGAGAATGTAGTTCAGAAAGCACGAGACCTGCACTGCCCACTGCATCTAGGAAATGCGGCATTGAGCATGTTATTTATGGCACAAAGACACGGACTCGGAGGACAAAGTAGCAGCAGTGTGATTAGTGTCTATGGCCGCTAGGATTCCACGTAGTGATGAATGTACTATGATTTATGTGTGGACCAATATAATACTGGAGTAGCTAGCTAGAAATGACTACGGTATAGCTGACATTATATTCTGTGAATATGTGATTCACCTATCCATCACCTACAGATCAGCGGTCTTCAAACGTCATAATAAACAACGCATTGATATTTGTCCAAAATACGGACAAAACCCCGAAACGAGAATATTCGAGCCGAAACACGACGGCTAAATCTGTTTTTTTTTTTTTTTTTTGACGTCAATCGGAAAAACTCCGTGACTACACACTACACACTAGTTACTTAGTTAACTACCAGGTACTAACTATGTATAAAACAAGTAGTAAATCAATCAATCAATCCCCTTTCCCCTTTTTTTTACACTTCTCTAAATCAAAACCAAAATTATCAGAAAAAAAAAAAAAACAAAAATGTCTCTCTCCAACAACCGCGCCCTAGCCATCCTCAACCACGCAGCGGCAAACCACTACGGAGTCCCCGCCATGTGCTGCTACAACATAGAGGGAATCCTAGCCACGGTGCGCGCGGCCGAAGCCAAGCGGTCGCCGGCCATGATCCTGCTGTTCCCCTGGGCGGTGGAATACGCGGACGGAATCCTCGTGCACGCGGCAGCGGAAGCCGCGCGGAAAGCGGGCGTGCCCATCACCGTCCACCTGGACCACGCGCAGAGCGCGGCGATGATCCGGCGGGCGGCGGACCTGGGCGGGTTCGACAGCATCATGGTGGACATGTCGCACTACGCGAAGGCGCAGAACCTGGCGCAGACGGCGGAACTGGTGGGGTACTGCCATGCGCGGGGGATCGCGACCGAGGCCGAGCCCGGGCGCATCGAGGGCGGCGAGGACGGCGTGGCGGATCCGCTGGCGCTGGCGCTGGAGGGCCTGCTGACGTCGCCCGAGGAGAGCGAGGAGTTTGTGGCCACGGGGATTGACTGGCTGGCGCCGGCGTTTGGGAATGTGCATGGGGAGTATGGGCCGCGCGGCATCCAGCTGGAGTATGAGCGGTTGCGGCGGATTCATGCGCGGGTGGGCGATCGCGTGCGGCTGGTCTTGCATGGCGCGGACCCCTTCAGCCAGGAGATTTTCCAGAAGTGTATTGATTGCGGGGTGGCCAAGGTGAATATCAACAAGGTGTTGAATAATGAGTATGTTCGGGTGCAGCGGGAGAAGGCCGGCAGGGTACCGCTGACGGCGCTGTTGGAGGAGGCAACGGATGAGATGCAGAAGGCTGTGGAGAGGTGTATGGATATGTTGGGGTCTACGGGGAGGTATTAATGAATGTATCCCGATGTCATGACTCCATACATTCAAGATAAGCTAGATAGATCATCCAAGACTCGCATTACTCAGGATACACCTGCTTTCTGGTTGCACCCAAAAAAAAAAAAAACCATAGTCTGGACTGTGGGGGAATCGCATGCGAAGCGGACGCACTACCACTGTGCAAACAGCCCAGAGCGCGTCGAGGAGGCGAATTCCATGCTATGCAAGCCAAGTGGACAGGTTCCTGAGCAGGAAGAGTGCATTCTTGGGTTCTGCTTGTAGATATAAACCGGCGATGGCGGTGGTCTGTGGACCTGGAGAAGGAGGTTTAGAATATGGTTGGATTCGTGGCCACGGTATGGCTATGAAAAGGAATATTCACAAATTTACACCTATTGAAACATCCGACATGAAGGGCCTCAGCAGACCAAGGGAATAAAAGCTAGATCAAGACACATAGAAACGGGAAAGCGGAAGGAAATTTCGGGAGGAAAAAGTAGGAGAGGGAAGACAAGGATATAAAAGGGAGACCAGACATGCTAGAGAAGGTAATGAAAATATGACAAATCTTTCACATCTTTTTTTTCTTCCCCCCCTTTTTGTTCATTTTCGGGTTGGCTCGGCTCTCTAGTGAGAGGCCATCATCTTCTTGATCTCCGCGATGGCTCGTCCAGGGTTGAGGCCCTTGGGGCATGTCCGCGAGCAGTTAAGGATAGTGTGGCAACGGTACACACTCATGCTGTTATCCAGAGCTTGCTTGCGCTCGGCAGTCTTCTCATCACGGGAATCGACCAACCAGCGGTAGGACTGAAGCAGGATGGCGGGTCCAAGGTACTCCTCGCTGTTCCACCAGTACGAGGGGCAGGAGGTTGAGCAGCAGGCGCACAGAATGCACTCGTACAGACCATCCAGCTTCTTGCGATCCTCGGGACTTTGACGGTGCTCCAGGGCCTACAATATGGTTAGTTGTCGATACGTACGACGATTAGAGAATATAGATCCGCTTACATCTTCGGTCTGGGTATCACGCTGCAGGTAAGGCTTAATGGACTTGTACTGCTTGTAGAAGTGGGTCAAATCGGGAACCAGATCCTTGACAACGTAGGTGTGAGGCAGGGGGTAGATGCGCGACTCCTTGGCGGTATCGGTGGGAATGCGGCCTGTCCAGGTTGGTTAACATAGCTGTTCCCCTACATTGGCCTCAACGGCACCCGCGGAATAATAATGCAAACCACATACACAAGCACGCAAGGGTGTTAACACCGTCGATGTTCATCGCGCAACTTCCGCAGATACCCTCACGGCAGCTTCGTCGGAAGGTCAGGGTAGGGTCGAGTTCGTTCTTGATTCGGATGAGCGCATCGAGCATCATGGGGCCGGTCTTGTTCAGGTCCAACTCGTAGGTCTGCATCTTCGGCTTCTCGGAGGGTTGATCGGGATTCCAGCGGTAGATTTGAAACTTCTTGACCTTGGGCACAGGTTCCTACATACGATCCCAGGTGTCTTAGCGGGCGCTGGCGGAACTCCCTGGGAGTCAATCTACTCACCTGAAGACCGGCATCAACGGTGGCATAGGAGCGAGCAAAGGCCGCAGGACGGAAGAGAGGCTTGGAAGCCGCAACGAGACGTGAAGTAGAGCGAAGAGCGGCCATGGTGACTTTTTCCTACAATCCGGAGGGATGGAACGAACGGATGTTATTTAAAAAAAAAAAAAAAAAAAGGGTCAATGGAACGAAGACCAGTTCAGACAAATACAGGAGAGAGGAGAGTCGTCTCAGAAGCAGCAAGCCACCTAGCGGCAATGACAAGATGAAGGGATTCAAGAATCTAAGATGTTTTGTGCTTCTTTTGAGAGCTCAGACTTTCTGCCACTTTAAGGTAACCTCGGGTCTGGCGGTCGGCCAGCTGCTGAGTCAGCGGAGCTCTGCCAATCACACACAGCCTAATTGCAAGCGTCGGGCGGACACGGCGGAGATGATAATTGCAGCGGCTTTGAACTGTAGGTACGAATGGAATTGAGCCCAAGGACGAAAGGACTACGAATATTATTACAGGGTGCATTGGTACTAAGTCTGTTGGATCAAAAAGTCTACAGACCCCGCGGCGAATGGTTCTCTGGAGATTCCTGGTTGCTTGCGATCCCCTCATAGAAAACCGAATGGGGAAAAGGAACCGAATGCAGGTGCCGTGGGGTCATGTGACTCTGTTCAGGCAGTAAGGCAGTAAGGCAGCACGGCAGCACGGCAGCACGGCAGCACGGCAGCAAGGCAGCACGGCAGCAAGGCAGAAAGGCAGCAAGGCAGAAAGGCAGAAAGTATCAATTCCTAAGGCAGTAAGGCATCACACCCAGGTTGTTCTTTTTAATCCTCTTCTGAATCTCCACTGATCCAGTATTATAACTAGTTATATAGAGTACTCAGTAGTTACTGTTAGTGACATATTTTAGTTCTCTCCTATTAATAACTACTTCATATACCATGTCCAATCACAGTGGCCACTACGAAATGCCAGACTCTGTACGGACTACAGAGTATATCTTCATGAATTATAACTCCTCTGTAGCAGCTTAGGCAGTACTCAAGTACTAACTAACGCTTCGAGCTTTATTTCATGCTTCATGTTTCACCATTAAGCCCCTTAATATCTCGCACTCAATCCTACCAAGTGTTGCAAATATTCATCTAAATGAATCTCTACCAGCACCACTCCGCTAACTCCTGCTATGGAGTAAAGACCGAACGAACCATTCAAAGAAGCTTGGGGCCACTATCATCCAGTTCGAAGCCAAGTCGAGAACCCGTCCGCTTGAGGGCTTCACCATGACCTAACTAACTAGTGGACCGAATGAGTCAGAACCGTTGTCCACAGTGGATTAGATAACATACCTAGTAGGCTAGTACTCCGGTAAGATTCCTTTGTTGTCCGCTTGGGAAGAACCTGAATGGATCCAGTTCCGAGCTCGTGTCCTCGGCACGGATATCTCTTTTGACTAAAGGGGGGAAAAGTTTTGCTGCCATGCAGGGCTGCAGAACTTGATCAGTGCGGGTCCGGCTGGCTACTATGTAGTCTTTCCCAAGTGGGCAATGTAGGATCATGAAACACGGTTAATATCCTATATCTACCCTAGCCTCTCGCTTTCCCTGTCTGCCGTTGCTCGGAATCGTTCTCGGGAGAACACCCCAGTGCGGTTCTCGGAGCCCTCCCGGATTTGATGTCGTTATTGACGATGGATCTCCCAATATAGTTGTACCTCCTGGGCCCCAGCAGGCCAGTACCCTAGTCAAACTACTGCTGTTTCACCTATATATGTCGGCCTTCTGCTGGTTTCGATATCGAATGACAGGGGAAGGGGTATATATATAGAAGAACCTGTACTCTGTCCTGTCATCCATGTAGTGAATTCCATTGTTCAAATCTAGTCCTTCTTTGAATCTCATTCCTTTACTATTACTCTTTCTTTTGATTTTTTTTTTTTTTTTTTTTGATTTTCCCCCTCTTTGATATATCTTTCGGCTGGTCCCATTCCGCTCCTTCTCACCATGAAGCTCGTTTCACTCCTCAGTCTCGCAACTGCTGCTCTCAGTAGCACCGCTGCTGCTATCGGTGTCAGCGGAGCCGCTGAAGGTTTCGCCAAAGGAGTGACCGGAGGTGGTTCTGCCACGCCTGTCTACCCCCGTACCAATGCTGAGCTGGTCTCATATCTCGGGGATGACCAGGCCCGCGTCATTGTCCTCACCAAGACGTACGCTTCTCCGTCCCAGACCAGTCTTCGGACTAACATCATTTTCTAGCTTCGACTTCCGCGGAACCGAGGGCACCAGCACCGGCACTGGATGCGCTCCCTGGGGTACCGCTGCTGCCTGCCAGGTCGCGATCAACGCCAACAATTGGTGTCACAACTACGAGCCCAAAGCTCCTTCGGTCTCAGTGAAATAGTAAGTCCGCCGGAGTCCCCTGGATTGCGCCGCCGCGCGGGAAAGGGGGGAAAGCCATGCCCTAACCTGTCTTTCATCTATAAGTGACAACGCCGGTATTCTCGGTATCCTTGTGGCCTCCGACAAGACCCTCATTGGTGAAGGCGATGCCGGTGCTATTGTCGGCAAGGGTATCCGCATCGTCAGCGGTGCCAAAAACATTATTATCCAGTTAGTTTCTCTGCTCCTCCCAACACACACAATCCTCATTTACACTCGCATGCTCAACAATCCATCTACTGCAGGAACATTGCCATCACCGATATCAACCCCAAGTACGTCTGGGGCGGAGACGCCATTACCCTGAATGACTGCGACATGGTCTGGATTGACCACGTTACCGTAAGAAATCCTGGTCTTCTCTCCATGAACCTCAATATTCCTTCTAATCAAATATATATATATATAGACTGCTCGCATTGCTCGTCAGCATATCGTCCTCGGTACCCTATCTTCCGGCCGTGTCACCCTCTCCAACAACTTCATCAACGGGGAGTCCGAGTATTCCGCTACCTGCGACGGCTACCACTACTGGGGAATCTATCTCGATGGCTCCAACGACATGGTCACCATGAAGGGCAACTACATCTACCACACGAGCGGCCGTTCGCCCAAGGTCCAGGATAACACTCTCCTTCACGCTGTACGTCTAGTCTCTTTTCCAAATCCCCCCCTCCCGGGGCAAAAAAAAAAAAATACATGTCTAACCTAACATACGCACAGGTCAACAACTACTGGTACGATAACACCGGCCACGCCTTCGAAATCGGCGCCGGCGCCTACGTCCTCGCCGAAGGAAACGTTTTCCAGAACGTTGCCGTTATTGCCGAGTCCCCCATTAACGGTCAGGCTTTCACCGTCCCCTCTGTCGCTGCGGGTTCTGCATGCTCCTCCTACCTCGGCCGCAGCTGCCTGATCAACGGATTCGGCAGCTCTGGCAGCTTCAGCGAGAGTGACACCGGCTTCCTCGCCAACTTCAAGGGCAAGAACATTGCTGCCGCTTCTTCCTACTCCAAGGTTTCTACCAGCGTTCCGGCTCATGCTGGCCATGGTCACCTGTAAACGGGTGAAAATGCCATGCCGCATATTCAAACAGACTCTTTTCAGTGTCTGAGCGGCGGGTGTTTATAGATTCTAATACCATGTATTTACTATCTTATTTTTAAAAAGCTACCTGTCCCTGCAGAGTTTTTCACCACGCGTCCTTGGTTTTTCGCCTATCTATGAGAGGCAGGAGTGAACCCCCACGGGTGATTTGCATACATCAAGATTCCTAATAATACTAAGTTGTTGCTGAAACGCTCTTAATTTACGTTGATCAGTCCCGGTCCAAACAACGTAGCTTTGGCCACAGCAGCAGCATCAGCAAATGGCCCGCCACTATTGACAACTGCTGCAATTGTCAATCCGTTCATCAGGTACTTATCATAGGGAAATTCAGCCACCGCAGTGACTTGTTGCCCATCGATGGAGAGAACGTGCAATGGAACCACGACAGGTACGTTCAGTTGATTGATATAAGCCAGCCACATAGGTATCTCTTGTCCGTCATCCTTCTCGTGCATCCAAGAAAGCTTGATTTCCTGGGTCCTTGCTTCAGGAGGTGTGATGATTTCCAGTGGGGAGAAGGTGCGCAGGTCGATCTCATGGATGTTTGGACACGTCCCGGGGATAACAAAATTCTGAATGGCGGTAAATGCAAAGTTTACATCGTTCGTAGTCAATGTCGGAACTTGACTCGGGATCTTATCCTGGAACACTCTGAACCAGCCCTCCTGCTCGCCTTCGTTGCCGATCGTAGCTGCGATGACTCTGGTGAGACCCGCATCACCGTTGGCTGCAAACCGCTCGGTGATATCTTGCAATGCCCCGAGCACAACATTCGTGAATAGAGCAGCCAAATTGATCCCTGCATCCAGACTAGTCACTGGGAAGGTATAGCGACAGGGCTGGATAGGGTTTCTGCCAAAGTGGGTCAGGCCAGTGTTGGCCGTTAAGGCGTGTACTTCCTCTTGCTAACCCAGGCGTTAGTTCTAGGTCCTCCTAATATTGGCTATCTATGAGGCATACGCACCGCAAGAATGGCTGTCAGGCTTCGAATAACAAACTCACGATCGTCCTCCGTAGGTAGCTGATACCCGTCCACCTCGTTGGTAACGTTTTGCAGAAGCTCGTTGAAAAAGGAAACTTCGAACAATTCATTGAAGGCGATGAGCTGTAAGTTTGTTATTCCTGCTTGGCTAATAGTTGCAGGGAGGGGGAGTCCTGGGAGAGTTCCATGGGCCTGTAGTTGGATTTGCCTCAACTGCTCCGGACTAGGATTTGGCATGCCATCGGGCAAGGGCAGGCTGGCATCACCCCGGGTGACTGGAGCGGCCAGGGACATTGAAATAGTTGATATCAAAGAGAAGATGGGTAAGAAATGCATGTTGATCGTTGTAAAAATAGTGTGTGTTAAGAGTAGTATTTCGGTGGGAGGGTATGAATGTCAGAGCGAAGACATGGCGTCCTCGCGAGCATTGCGTGGGGTTTTATTTAAGCCCATCCCTGTCAGAAGTAAGTCTCTCCAAAGCTCTTTCCGAATATATCCCGGATAAGCAGGAATCACGCCCAGTGGATGGAGTTGCTCCTGTCGTACAGCATATGCATTCTACACGAGTAGTCAGCCCTAATTGCCATGGAGGAAAGCGCAAATCATGCCTATTCTATTATACTTGTCCAATGATATTATCAAACGCTTTTAAATCAAGGTAGGTAGCTCCTCAACTCTTCCGTCCTGCTATAGATTAGTGTTTACAAGCTGTTACACCGATGGATAGAGTTCCCTTGTGTTCCGCTCCCAACGTTGATGAGACAAACCCTCACTCATTTTGACATCATGTATGTACTCAATCGCTCTATACAAATAAATCCCTTTGCCTTCTTCTTCTTCTTCTTCTTCTTCTTCTTCCTCCTCTTCCTCCTCCTCCTTGTCCTCCAATCATCCTCCGTCAATAATAGAAACAGCCCACCATGTATGAACTACTCTTCTCGAAGCGCAAAGCTTCTCTTAACCAACATAACAATAACCAAGAGGACGAAGCTCTTTCGCCCTCCAGGGCCTCCCTCGGCACCTTTCCTGCCGAAATTATATTCTATATTGCCAAATTCCTCCCTCCAGACTCGCAAGTCTGCCTCGCTCTAACCTGCCACTCCCTCATGCGCCTCCTCCACCAGTCCCTAAAACACCGCATGCTATCCTTCCCCAGCTACCTCAAACAAAAGCCCGACATGGCCGTCTGGATGGCACACCCCCCGCCTGAAGAATACCCTTTCCCCGTCAGACAACGGCTCCTGCGAGCCCTCGAAAACAAGCACTGGCTGTACTGCGCCTCGTGTCTCAAGCTGCACCGCCCAAATGCGTTCCCGTTCTATACGCGTTTCAGACCACCCAGAAATCGCTACTGCTCTCTCGGTAAACAGCCAACCATCGTCGACATCTGTCCGGGGTACTCGCTTTCCTTCCAGCAAAAACGGGAGCTAGTCCTACGACTGAAATCCGAAAAGCAGGAGCAGGAGCAGAGGCAGAAGCAGGCACTTACAGACCAGCACCGGCACCAGCTACAGTCACAGTCAGAAACAACAGCCCTACAACTCCCATCACCATCACCACCATCCACGCAGCGAAACATCCTCCTCACCTTCCCCGCTGAAGAAGAGTATCCCAAACCCCTAAAAATCTACATCCAAGCCACGCCCTCTATCCAGGACTCCCCAAAGGACGCCCTCAGCTTCTCCGTGCAATACGCCTATCAGAAACGCAAGAATGCAACCCCTAGCCCGAAACCGTACATCGCTCATTGCTGCCATCCACTCAGCAACTGTAGACACGCCGTGATTCCCGCAAAGGTCTACATATGCCCGCACATCTCGATCAACTTTGACACCATCAATATCCAGATGCCGCAGCCGTGCTGGATGACAGGCTGTTCCTACTGTCATACAAATATATACCAGCATAAATCTGGCGCGTGGAATTATCTCCGGGTTGAGTTGTTCCTTGGGACTCGGAATACTCGCCCGGATAAGTTTTGGTTGGGCCATTCGAGTCCAGTTTATTATCGATCTTTGGGGAAGGCTATTTAATTTTTTTTTTTTTTTTTTTTTTTTTTTTTAGTTATAAAATATAATCAGGGTATACCGCAACTAGATCAGCTATGTTTACTACCGTAACCTCTTTTTAACACTCAGGAGTTTTGTTTAACTATTTGCCCTTATTCTTCTTGCGTGCTTAAAGTAACAGATATATATAGAGCCCAAAACCACCACTCCAAACCAACAACAACAACAACAAGATAAACAGTTCCAAGTCCTCGATAAATAAATGATAATAAATGGACTACCGAATCAGCAACGAAGACATTCCTCCCAACACAGACACCGCCATAAAAAATCTCCACACCACCCGGAAACTATTCAAAAAAGCCACACTCAATTCATCCCGGTCATCCCTCGACAACATAACTTCCCCTAGTCGGAGCAACGATCCCGAAAAAGCTCCGGAATTCCCTTCAACTTCCTGGGCCATCTGTGTCAAAACGATGGTCCCGCTCACCGGCACTGCAATGCACATCCCCCACGTGCGGAGAATCGAGTACATCAGGACGGCGAACGCGGGACTGCTTGCTCTCCCTCTTCGCGCCGTGTATGGCTGATGGTGGTGATGGCGTTGGTGTTGGTGTTGGTGTTGGTGTTGGCAGAGTCCTTGCCTTCCTTGTCCCGGTTTATGATTGACAACCGCCTCCCTGTGCGTGCATGTGTTGTATCCCGAAATGAGAAGGGCATGGCTGGCCCCCGTAACGAAGAAGATAAAGACCCATCCCGGAGACGGGGTCTCGGCGTCAAGGAGGATGAAGCAGCTCGATGCGAGGAGATTGAGGGCCCAGCCGGCGCGAACGACCCAGCGCGAGAGAGACGCGTTCCTAGCAATGCCCATCTTCGCAGTGAGTAAAAGTGCCGGGAGAACCGGGGCGGTGATGACGACAATCCCTAGTCCCGCGAGGGCTGGAGAGAGGTATTTGACGAGAATCAGATACATCGGGAGGTTTTGGAGGTGGCAGAGTAGCTATTGTCCTTGATATTAGCGGAGAGGGAAAAGCCGGGGGAAGGGGATGGCTGACCAGAAGCCCGTGAAGTAAGCCGCCAATGTACACCATTATCGTAGGAATCGAGTTGAAAATAGCCAGGTTGAACATCGGTTGAGTGGCCCATATGTTTTCGTAAAGGACGAGGCCAAGCATTGCAAATCCGCCAACACAGCTGAAAGCTAGGATGCGCCAGTCGCCCCATCCAGACGGTGACGGCCGGCCTACCCAGCTGAGGCCTACTAGAAGGCAGCTAATCCCCAAGAGCATGAAAGTAGCACCCAGCCAGTCCATTTCTCCCATCGCACGCCAAGAAATCTTATTGCACCCCTTCAGATCGATCGCAAATGGAATCACCAAGAGGCTCAATGCGCAAAAGACGAAACTGGAGTAGAAAATCCATGTCCAATTTACGTATTCGCCAAAAAGGCCTCCCAGGATTGGCCCAAAGATCGCTCCCAGTGCCCATGCACGACAAATATAATCGCAAAACCGGATCCGGTGCGGATATGGGACAAGGTCGGCCATCACAAGTATCGAAACAGCCATAGCGCCGCCACTACCAATACCCTGAACCAGTCGTCCTGCGACTAGAGTAAACATGTCCATCGAACCGCTACATACACCCGTTCCAATTGTGGCAATCACGACAGAGATGATGAGAATCGGTCCCTGTCCAAAGACCTCGGATAGCATCGCAAAAAGGGGCTGGCTGGCTGCATTCGCTACTAGGTAGGACGCATCTATCCAGAGGGCACTTCGAAGCGGTTGTTCAAAAACGGAGGAGAGGTCCTAAAAATGCATTATTGGGTTTGTTGATATCCCTCCTGAAGGTCAAATGGTGCTGGGCATACGTACTGGTACGACGGGTATCATCATCGTCGTGTCAAACGCATCCATCATAGCGACAAGGGAAATACAGCTCAAAACAAGCCACTCCCTGATCCCAGCTCTCCAGCCTATACTCTCTAGGTCGGTGTCCACGTCAGAGAAGGAAATATCTTCAAGATATATACTATTGACTAGGTTCAGCGTGCTTGGATTGTCGTGCAAGTGTGCCTTGAAGCCATCCTCAGCATCACCGATCTCAATCGATTCTACCCCCATCTGGTAGACAGCACCACCGGCCTTCAAGGACAGGCTGAGGTCATTTGAGAATGCGGCCTGTAAGATGAAAGAGGTACGATCAAGGATCTCGATAGACTCAATCAAGATGCCCACTAGTGCATCATAAGGAGGAAACTAACTAATCAGCCCTGAATTCCACGGTCCACTGCATTATGTGCTTAGACAGCCAAAATCTTGGGTAGGAATCCCTGCTAAAATACTACCGGTAAGTCGTCATTTAAGCGTTGCTTCGACCTATGATAGCCAGCATTCCATTCACCCTGGGAGTAGCGCACACCCGCTACATCCGCGGTGTAATTCGCCATGGAGACCTTCTGGAATGTGTGCACAGATCATACCGGCTCCAGTCGCTGCAGCATGCGCGCGACTCTTCGCCAAACGCGATCTTTGCACCAGACAATGCACGTGCCGGATTGACCAAGGAAGAAACTTTCTTCTGTCGCGAAGTAGCGCGCCTGCAGAAGGAAACATGCAGATACCCAAAGGGCAGAACCCCAAGCATACCGGGGGAGGAAAATAAGAAAATATTAGAAACAGCCGAGCTTCTCAAACATGCACGGTTTATTAGCGCTACCTGCGTAACTAGTCCAATTTATCCCGATCCGTGGCTCTTGATAGGCGAGAAATCGATACATCGGCGGTCGATATACTGATTTGGCGGGTGCTCACAGCGTGAAAAGAAAAGTCAAATTCTCCGACCAATGTTTTTACATCTCTATAGTAAATTATTAGTAACTTCGTCTCATGATTATAGTTCTCAACGCACCTCATAAGTCTTTCTACATCGCCAACGATACACCGTGTTGAGATCTGGAGGACAGAAAACGTGGCGAAACCGGGCTCTACAATATGTCGAAGACTCAGGATATCCTTATCCAAGGCCTCCAGTCTCTTTGAAAAACTGTATGGGCGTGGTGTTTTCAGATAAGGAGGAAGGGGCTGCTGATTCGCGAGACTGGCAGAAAGAAGGCAAAGGACTGAAGTTATTTGGTGGGTTGTGATCCGCGCACTAGCCATGACTCTCCTCAAATCCTGAAGCCAGGCCTCATCTGATTCATCGTCATTACCAAGGTGTTTGAGTGAATCTGAGGCATATCCTAAAAGACTCAGGTAGCTGACGATGCTGTGAAAGGGTAAGTGTCAAAAAGATCTTCCCCCCAAAAAGGGGACATTGGAACCAAGTGCTTACTTCTCAATGCAGCCAATAATAGTATCATATTGGCGCTTGGGGAAGCGACCGCCAATAGGCACCTCCCATTTAAGAAACTCGGAATATGTTCGAAGACTGCTCAGCATGATCATCTGTTTAGAAAACACCTTATTGCGCGCTTTCAACAGTCTTCGTCCCGCCGAAGTCTTTAGCGCGATTTCTCCTTCATCCCCGCGCATGCGTGCAGTCACGGTTTCGTGGATAATCGAATAATAATTAGCAAGGAGATATAGTGAAGCTCCCAAGCTCTTTCGCAGAATAGAGTGTTCAGATATTGGATAGGGGAAGAAAGTCCAAAAGAATGCAACGGCAATGCCGGCGCTAACTACTGCCAAACGGTAAGGGGCAAGAAGGTAAATAGGATAGTACTCCTGTCCATTAGTAGTAACTTTCTCCGGCCCGAGTTTGCGAGCCTGGAACTCATACCCTACTATCAAAGACGTTGTGATAATGGTGATGACTCCTGCAATGCGAAATCGGAAATGCTTCACCGGAATGTAAAAGGCAAACGTAATAAGTATGAAGAAAAAGACTAAGATGCCCGGTGTCTTCTGCCCAGGGATATACCAACAGAGCAGGCTAATGGTCATGCCTAGGACAGTGCCCAAAATACGGAGGACAAAGCCGAAAATGCTTTGTCCTGAAGTTGGGGACATGCTGAGGTTAACCATAATCATAGCCCAGACAAATCGCTGTCTAATAAAAAACTCTTGAGTATCGCGGATGAAGAATACCACGGCAATGGTCATGGTAGCACACGCAACACGAAAGCCGTAGGAGGATTCTGATGAACGAAGCAGTGAAGGGATAACTCGAATTTTATCTCCGATTTTCTGAAAGGTTGTTACTGGTGGTAAATGTTCTGGGTCTTTTCGACTCTTGTATGCCTCACCCAACTGGAGGCTGCTGTTCTGGGAATGCACATCGCCCATTTGATCGTGTTCGTGAGAATCATCGGATTTTAAAAAGCTTTTTGCCCACTTTCGTAGGCGCTTAGAGCCGGGGATAATAAGGTGTGTCTTTGAAAGCTTTCCACTCTCGACTCTCTCCTCCGCAAACTTCACAAAATCAAGGACCATTTGGCCAGTTGAGGACAGAAGCTGCTCCATCTAGAATACAATCAGCACCTAAGAAACCGAACGGGGCGTCAGAACAAACATAGAGAAATAAATAAAGTTGTCGTCGGGCTCGATCTCTGTTCACAGATCCATCGGAAGGCAAATCTTCCATATCTAAATGTGCAGTTGCGGGACGCTCAAAGAAGTCCGGGGGTAGCTTGATGCCTTTATCCTCACTCCATGTTCGCAAGGCAAGTCGTTTGGCGATCTTAAAATCGCCAAGTCTCTTCTCAAAATGGGCCCGAAAGCCCCGGTCTCCGGGAGTGGGAATTGCTGATGCTTCCGGGTCCTCGTTTCTGGAGGAATTCTTGGCTGGTATACTCAATTTCAGGGTCAATGAAACGTGCTGTAGACCCTCATCGATGGTTTGAATCATGGAGACAAATGGGTCGTGGACAGCCCGCATTATCTCATTCCATTCGTGCGCAGCCATGTCCCGAAGGGCACCCGATATGCTTGTCGCGGGGTCAATGGGGTTGTTCCACCTATTGTATTCCGACAGTCGCTCAAAGATATCAACAACAAAGCTGAGGCCGACGACGGGAATCATAGTCTGACGCAGGTGGCGAAAAATTGATTGTAGATCATCAGGGCCGAGTTTACCAAAGGCAATCTCACGCTTCGCGAAAGTAATATCGCCGTTCAATTTACCATGCAGCTCCGTAATTTTTCGAACGGCTTTTCGGATGGTTTCTGCTTCTGAAGTATACACCTTACCGTGCTCATCCATTTTCTCGACCGTGGAGTCATAAGTTGCCGTTCGCCCAAACACTTGTTCACCCTCGAGATTGGCAAAGTAGGCTGTATGGGCCTGGAGAGCAGTGCGTAGGGTAGCAATATAGGCGGCCATCTGTCCAAAGACAATCTGTCTGCAGGAGAGCGGAAAAATGAAAAATGATACGCCAGTGGCAATCCCGAGGCCTATCAAACCAGCTTCAAGCAATTTGCGGACAAACGTTATGGCAGCAGACATACTTGGAAGAACTGGGGCGTAAGAAAATGCGATATTGGCGACAAAGGAATATATGATGACAGGAAATTGGAACTGTTGGTAATGGGCTCGCAACGAATGAATCAAGTAGGTCTGTAGAAACAAGAAGACCCCACAGGTTGCAGAGGCAGATGAGTTATAGGGAAGCCATCCTGTGACTGGGGACGGTGTCTCGTTTGTGCCAGCTGAATTCTGTCGCGCCTTAATGGTTGCAAACATCATCAAGAGGGCCGCAGCAGATGCCACACAGACGGCCAAAATATCAAGAATCATCATTTGGACAAATTTGGCGCGAGGCATTGTCGCAAATCCTAGGACAGAAACAATCGCTATTAAGTAGCCAGAAGTTGTGAAATAGGATGCAACAGAATCCGCTTGATAGCTATGTTCTTGTTAGTTTACTGTTGAGTAGACCTCAGGTGGATCTCTGAGCTGGGGAGTGCGGTCCTTACATGGCCAGGGAGATTGTTGGAGGAATTGCACCCCTACAAGGTGGTTTAGTATTAGTTCCCAGGCCTTTTTAGATATTAACTCACTTGATCATAAGAAGAAATGATGGTCGATCTAAACCGATCGTATTCCAGGCTATTTTCACCTTATTCCACAAGCCCGATCGATTGCCATCTTTTGTATTCGCTCCATTTTCGTCTCCCAGGTCGCCCTGCGAGGGCTTCGCTTGTGGCGAGGTATCCCCCTTTACCATTCTCCGGATTGGGGTCTCTAATATACCCTGCACGTCCCCCGATTCCTCTCAAATGTTGGGAAAAGACAAAAAAAAAAAACCGCCTATGTATAAGTGTTGATAGCTTTTCAACCCCTCATCCACTTCGAGACTGTGGTCACGTGATCAAAAGTCGTACCTGTGGGGGAAAGAAAACATCCATGCGAACTTGCAGAATCGGACCAGGCCCGGGGATTAATATAAGCGAGGGAGGCTGAAGGTGATCAAAACGGGGATGATGGAACCTGGAACTGGGAAGTTTTGACGACTCGCGCGGCCCAACTTTTGGATTATGTGGGCCTTGAAATGGAGCCAATGGCAAAGTGCGAGTTGGGATTTAGAGTGTACCTATAGATGCAGAGAGATTAGCAGTGAAGAATGATTTCCATAGTGTTGATAACCTGGAATGGAGATAAAAAGAGAGAGAAAGGAAGCAATGTACCTCCCGCCATCGAACAGGAAACAGTTGTCGGAAGGATCAAACTGTAGAACATAATTTGTGGGGTTTCCTGTTGGTCATTCCTCGGGTAATAGATACCTATTAACTAGTTAGTTGTATCTCGAATTGGAGCAACATTAGTGATTATATAAAGTTTAGTCAAGAGGGTCAGATCCCTTATCTCACTGATACAGGATTACAGGCTTTCATATAGGAAGGAAAGTAGTAGTAGTAGTAGGAAGAAACAGAAAGTAGACCTATTTTGCGGGGAAAATGTTGGCTTGACGTCAGATCATCTTTAGCGACTCCGTATATTCCTGTTTCTTAGCGTCAATCCTTGGAAACGAATAAGTAGGTAGTGGGATTCAATTAGGACAGAAATTGGACTATCCGTCGTCAGGGACTGGACTGGGAGAACCGTCCAAGTCTCTGAATCCCTGCACCTTAAATCATACCGCAAATTTCAAACGCTCTCTCTCTTTTTTCGCTCTCTCCTTCAACTACCATGAACCAGCGACAATATGTCCTCAACCCCCTTACCAGCAATCAAGGGTCCCCCTGCGGGAGTCCCCAAACGAAAACCAGTCGCTAACCTCGAAAAGACGATAGAACCCCAGACTGCAACAGCAACAGCAGCGACAAGAAGTGGAGGAGGAGGAGGAGGAGGAGGAAGGCAATGGTGGAATATTCAAGAGAACTGGGCCTTATTCTCCACGAAGAAAAAGCGCATTCTTGTTGGTGTCCTCGTTGCGACGACAGTTTGTCTGCTTGCCCTTATTATTGGTCTCGCGGTGGGGTTGACAAAACGTCATGGAAAGGGGTAAGTTGTTTTTCTTCCCCCCCCCCCCTATATCTAGAAAACACCCCTAACAGCAACCTTGAACAACACCAATAAAAAAATAATAACAACAATCACAGCTCTTCGAATCTCCCCCTTCCCACTTCCAATGGTGGCCCGTACCAAGGCGACTTAACATATTATGACCCCGGTCTAGGGTCATGCGGAATCACAAGTACAGACTCCGACATGATCTGCGCCGTGTCGCATGTACTCTTTGATGCGGCATCGACTTCCTCGAATCCGAACAATAATCCGCTCTGTGGGCTGAAATTGAGAATTAAGCGTGGGGATAAGTCGGTGGATGTGAAGATTGTGGATCGTTGTCCTGGTTGCAAAGTGGATGACTTGGATGTTTCTCCTGCGGTGTTCCAGGAACTGGCGGAGTTGGCAGAAGGTCGAGTTGTTGTGGATTGGTCGTGGTTGGAGAAGTCGTCTGTCTCAATGGATTGACTGACTCATGATTTATGATCTTAATTCTTTTTTTGCCGCCTTTTTTTTCTCGAGGTTTTTCAGTTCTTGATTGTATACCTACTTATACCCCCTTTGTGAATTGCGCTGCTGGAATAAATACCTTCTATTTTCTTTTGCCCTACATATATATTGGTTTCTAACCCAGCTCTATGCTAATACTCAGGCCAATCCGGTTCAATTTGCTCTCGCCATGAACGCAACCCTCCCCTGATATCGACCACGACCCTCTGCCCTCCGCGATCGATTCCCAACTCCTTGAGTTTTCGGACCGCAGTCTGAGAGTCGTTTCCAAGCCGACAAACAACATATATCGGTTCGTTCGAATCGGGAGAGCCGATGTGAGGAGGCAGCCAGGCGGGAAGAATGTCTTTCGGAGTTGTTGGCGATCCACTGGCCGATGAAGCGAGAATAGTTGAAATAGGGATGTTGATGCTATTTTCTAAACTACAGATATCAAACTGCACCTTCTCTCTCACGTCGAGGATTGTCGGTGCCTTTTCGGAGGATGGGTGCTTCGCGCGATAGTCTAGGGGTGAAATGCGCTCTTCTGCTGAGAGCAGAGCCTCCGGGGCCACGGTTCCGCAGAAGAAGACATAGTCCATGGATCCCGACTGGACACTATCCAGCGTTACACCGGCTTCGGCAGAGCATACCGCACAATCAGGACGTCGAGAGCGTAACTTGATTGTTCGGAATTGAGGACTAGAATAGGCCGAGAAAATAAGCAGAGACGGAGGGGTGGTAGCATTTGGTCCTTCAGTGGCGGTAAGGACCTTGATCGCTTCCAGCGCCTGCAAGACACCCATTGTTCCGACCACAGGGCCAAGAATCCCACCATCGGCACAGCTCGTGACGCTATTTGCCGGTGGAGGCCTAGGAAACACACAGCGATAACAGGGGCCTCCTGTCTTGTCTCCTGCCGGCCGAGGAGGATTGTTCAATACCATAAGCTGCCCCTCGGTCCGCAAGGCAGAGGCAGACACTAACGTCTTTCCCAAAAGCACTGCCGTATCCGAAATTAGGTATCGCGTTGCCGGGTTGTCTGTACAATCGAGAATCAAGTCGTATTTCTGAAAGATCTCTGGGGCTTCTGGCGGTAGTAGGTGGGTTCGGTGCGCGATGTACGTAGGATGTGGATTCAGCCTAGTAGAAGAAGAAGAAGAAGAAAACAATTAGCACACCATCATTGACAATGGTTTATTTCAATGAACCCAAACTCACTCTCGCAGATACTCAATTGCACTATCGACCTTGAATTTCCCCACATTCTGGCTCTTGTGCAACACCTGACGGTGCAGATTCGAAGACTCAACAGTATCCCCGTCAATGAGACCTATTGTACCGACTCCAGCTCCAGCGAGATACAACGCAGCCGGACACCCCAATCCACCCGCTCCGACAATCAATACTTTCGCAGATCGAAGTTTGAGCTGGCCTGCAACACAACCAAAAACCAATAATTAGCGAAAAGCGCGATATACCCCGCTTGAATTGTTTGCCAACCTTGTAGTCCGAGTTGCGGGACAATCATCTGTCTTCCATAACGCCTATATTCTTCTCCCAGTAACGGCCATTTTCTTGGAAGGTCCCTGTGGTCGGGCACAGCGCTCGCGGGGCCCTGGGTTCGGCTCTTGAGGGCTGCCTCTTCTGCATCTTGGAGCTCACGCTTCAGACCCGCCAGCTGTGCCTCTGTGGCGGCAATCTGACTGCGTAGAGACGTACACTTATTATCTAAATCTTCCATGTGAACCAAAAAGAACCAAAAAACTGTAGCGTGTGAGGGGGAAGAAAGATCTTTGGTCCCACGTCGATGCTCTTATCGGCTCGATTAGAAAATCCCTCGCTAACTGTTTTTGGTAGTAACAAATAACTACCTAAGTATGCCATATTTCAGCACATAAAGAGATGAGTTGAATAAGGTTAATAGATTCTGTTTTTTTTATACACTGACTCAATTGATATCCCTTCAGATTCACCATGCAAAATAATCATAGCGAAATATGCTGATAATCTTCCAAATTGTCCACTACAAGCCTGCCTCGGTGAAAAAAACACCCTAGAGCACGTCCCGGATTTCTGTGCTCGGCTCAATGTATCTATGGAGAGTCTTGCGTGCCAATGTACGTTGTTCAAATGCGTACGCCATGGCGATCAATGTTTCTTCACTCCATTTGGCGCCGAGGAAGCTGATCCCAAGAGGTATGCCAGGTGCTTCCTGAACCAGGTTCGCACGCGAGTTATATCGAACTGCTGTTGCCTTAGGGAATGCACCAAAAGGAACGGTGATGATAGGAGACCCAATGATACCTGGAATGCTTGAAGCCAGGTATGAAGGAAGAATAACCGCATCGAGTTTGTTGCGCGACAGAGCGCCCAACAAACCTCCCTCCTCGCCGAAACGAAGAGCTTGTTGGTACAGGGACCAGAATTCTGGAGAGGTGTTGTTAACTCTGGCAAGAAGTACGAGGTCCCATAGCCCCGTGTCTCGCGATGGGTAATCCTCCAGAGAGCTATGCATGGTAAAGTGTCGGATATCCTCTAGCCTGTACAGATTGTTCAGGTTACTAGATAGTGCCGAAAGGTACCTGGGAAGGCTGCTTAAAAAGTCAGCGGCTACTACGATGCTTGGAGCTTGACTCTGCAGAAAAGCATTGTATGCGGTGAAATTGGCATCTTCGACAATCGTGGCGCCTGCACCTGCGATCAGCGAAATCGCCCTTTCGAACGTCGATATAGTCGGTGTGCGCGGGTTGCCCAAGGTGTTGATAACATTGCGAGGGACTCCAATCCGTTTTCCTTTTAACCCCGACAGAGTGCAGGCCGCAGCATAATCCGGGGGGCTCTTCCCAAATGGCGATGCCAGCGTATAGTTGTCTTTCACATCCACGCCTGCAATAACTTGTAAGAGCATTGCCGCATCTTTGACTGTCCTCGCCATAGGACCAATGGTATCCTGCCGCTCACTAATCGGAATAACCATGTATCTCGACGTAAGACCGACTGTTGGTTTAATACCAACAATGTTGCTCTTCTCTCCTGGTAAGATAATGCTTCCGCTAGTCTGTTATTCTCCCTTCATCAGCACTTGATCTTCGCAGAGCAGCTAAGCGGAAACGACTACCTACTTCCGTCCCAAGAGCCGCTGCGGCAAGCCCTAGGTCCGTAGCCACGCCGCTGCCACTTGAACTGCCACTCGGATCCTGATTAAGATAATAGGCGCCGTACGTTTGGCCTCCCCTCGCATTCCACCCGTTGGAAGAATTCAGAGACCGAAAATTCGCCCACTCCGACAAACTCGTCTTACCAAGGATGATTGCCCCGTTCTCCCTGAGTTTCGTGACAACTGTTGCATCCTCTCGAACCTTTGCCCCAACAAGTGCATACGAGCCAGCTGATAGAATTGCACATTATTAATGAGATTCGACCACAATAGACAAGCCCTTACCTGCTGTCTCCATGCCATCAGATGTACCTATCAGGTCTTTGATAAGGATCGGAAGTCCATGCAGCGGACTAGAGGGCAGACCACATTAAGTACTATACAAATCCTGATGGGTGAATCAGTTAACATACCCGCGGATCCGGCCTTGTTTGCGTTCCTGGTCGAGCTGTTCTGCAATCTCCAAGGCATCTTTGTTAATCTCTAGGACAGCGTTGAGTGCTGAGTTGACTTCAGTGATGCGTGCTATATATGCCTAATAGATGTCAGTATAAAACTTCAGTGATTCCCAAGCGACAAAAATAATCCGAAAGCAAACCAACCTTTACAAGGTCGACACTCTTGAAGCATCCCCGACGCAGACCATCTTGAAGCTCGATGGAGGTCGCATCAATTAAAACCGGAAATGAGCAACGCTGAGGGTGTCGTTTCGATTCAAGAACGCCCATAAATAGCGCCAATAAAAAAGGCCAAAGGCGCCAGTGCGATAGCATGGTTACCTACTAGTAGGTAGAGAGCAGACACGCGAAATCCCAAGACTCCGACGATCATGCAAGGGCAAGGGAACATGCCTTTCGTGGCATATGAAGTTATGGTATTCCAGCCAACTATTTATCAATTTTACGGCAGCGTGCAGCATCAAACGCCTGACTGAGTCTTGACTCAGACAATGGAAGACAGGAGAAGAAGAAGGAGCATCGAAGTCGGAAATTGTTTAATTAAGTCGGTCAACGCTGCTGCTGCATTGGTCCGCTTTACACTCGCTGCTTCTACTCATATCACACCGTCTATTTATGTGCGTGCCTACTATTTTCTAGATCGTTATTCCTTTTCCTAGCATGCAAGGATCTCGTGTAATATTTTACGCGTGGTTTTTTGCTCACTGGGGTTGCGCTCAAAACATACTTAGGCATATACTAGGATTGTGGACACCCCTTCACTCTGCTCTTCTCGGTATACAGCAGACTGGTCTCCGGTTCTGATCTGATTAATGACATACTCCACACTTATGTACGTACTAAACCAGAACTTCTTTGAGGGACTCTGAGACTACAATTAGACTTGCATCGGATTCTTAACTGCTTGATCCACAGTGGGGCAGAGGTAGACACTGTTCTCCGTTTCTGCATCGGTCCAGATGCCACAGATTCAACCTCCAGTCCTCCACTGCCTGACAACTTCTGGGGTTTGGAAGCCGGAGTTGGTTTTATTTTGACCCGCTATGAAGAATCTCTTTCCTTCATGATTGGTCATAACCGGGGGGACGAAAACCACCAAGGAACGCCTTGGTAAGCACTAGGAAAGACGGGGATTCCGATCTAATAACACACGAATCAGGGTGTGCGATGGACTCTTGAAGGCCGGATCATTACTAGATCTGAGATCATGGGGTGAATCTCTCGTTTCTATCAGTGGTCGTTCTGAATGCCATCTACCCTGAGAAGCAACTTCTGGGGGGTTGTCTTTATGCTACTGGATACCTTCACTTCCTCAGGGTGCCCACAGTATTGTGGTTTACCAGGTTCATCTCACGAGGGCCCCTCATAACTCTTGGCCTCATCTCGTAAATTCCGCCACTCCTGCATCCTGACCGTCGTGATCACAAATTCAACCCCCAAGGAATCCTCAAGCGATTGGGCAAAGAACCTTTTATCACATGATGGAGGGCTCTTGCGGCTGAAATGACTCTTCCCTCTTCCATCATCATCAACGCAGGGGGAAGTTCTGATAGCACAAATCCCATTTCGAACCGCCTGGTTTCCCCCTGAACTGCCAACATCGCTCCTAGATGGTACGTACTTATTCCTGTTTTGCCAGCATCAGGAACGCTTGGAAGCTAAGGGAGAGCTAGGATATCCCAAACCTCGAATATCCTTTCCTCGAGGAGGTTCATACGCCAAATGGACCGCCAAAGATTGAGTAGGTCTCACTCACCTCTATCATACATGCATTGCATCCTCTTACACATCGTCCTTGACAATCTTCAGTTTCGTCTTCGTCCATGGGCTGAACCCGTTTTCACGAAATGATCATCCTTTCAAGACCTGGACCCATCAAAATGGCACGTTTTGGCCCCGAGATTACCTTCCTCAGGATGTTCCCCATGCTCGGGTTTTTGTGTATGGTTATAACTCAAGTGTCGCGGATCCCCAAGCAATGTCTACAGCCAGCATCAAAGATCATGCGAATACCTTGCTGAACTTGTTAGATATGGAGCGGAGTCCACTACTTGTAAGCAAATTGACCTCTCAGTTATTCTTGCGGCCACACTGACTCACTCCATTAGAATGCGCGAGCTCCAAAAATCATCTTCATCGGTCATAGCTTGGGAGGTTTAGTCATTAAACAGGTAATCTAAGACTGTTCCCAAAAAAAGGGGCCATCTGTCTAATACTGTTGAATAACAGGCTCTGCTGAATGCACACGAGGACCGGAAATACACGGCCATCCGTACTGATACCTGTGGCCTTGTCTTCTTTGGCACTCCACATCGAGGAGCTAAAGGTGTTGAGCTTGGAAAAATTGCCGCCAAAATCGCCAAATTTGTGGCCAAAGGACATGCAAGTAATGATTTACTCGAGTGCTTGGAACATAATTCTCTCTTCACACGACAGATGTCCAGTCAATTTTCCCACCAGCTCGAGGACTACCACGTTATCAGTTTTGTTGAAGGCAAAGAGGTGTTTATAGCTGGCGCTGGTCCTGCGTCGGTCAGCCATGTGAGTAGCATCCCTCAGCGCTCAGTTAACCTTTTTGCTAAAAAAAAACATTAAGCTTGTAGTCGATGAAGAGTCTGCCATCCTTGGCCTACCTGGACAGCGGGAAACTCGCTTAAAACTAGACGCAGATCACTCGCAAATGTGCAAGGTTGCCAGTCGAGGAGCCATGTACAAATTGATTAAGGGCAATATCAAACAGATTACCGACCGGGTTCTCATCTCCGAGCAAGGATTTATTCCACAACCGTCAACGTCGCCCCATCCAGCTCCTCCTCTTCCCCCTAGAATGCATCTCAATAGCAGTCTCCCGTATCCAGAATCTCGCACACCAGAGCCAGCTGAGGATAAGATCATTGGATCGCTTTATAGTGCTCTGGACAATGACCCAAGATCAATCCAGGTGGCGGAGTACAAGAACAGCTGGAAATGGGATGACGCGAGAAGGTTAGAATATTCTATCTTCCAGGAGCGTCACAGAAGCCTGGGACAGGACCATCAGAGCACACTGCTGTCGGGGTATAGCCTAGCGGAGATTGAGTTCGAGGCCGCACACCTGATAAAGGCAGTGGAATGGGGTCGGTGGGTGTGTAATAATACTCAACGCGTTCTAGGCAAACGACACCAGCTTGCGATGAAAGCAGAGAGTCTCATGGGGGAGATCCTGTGCCAGCAGGGGAGTGCTCAGGAAGGCGAATCCGTATGCGCCAACGTACTTGCACGACAGCAGATGACAATTGGAGAGGATCATATAGATACTCTCGAAACACGTCGACGGCTGGCTGTATCATACGGGTGCCTTGATCGACGACAGGAGGCCATCCAAGCTCTTGTCAAATGCAGTGAAAGCATAGAGCGGCTGTTGGGGAAAAGACACATCAGGAATATCTTAACAATGCTGGAAATAGCCGAGCAGGTCGTCTCGCACCGGTCAGGCAACCCTCAGGAAATCATGGCGAGGCAATACAGCATGGAGCCTGATCATCAAGCGGAAGGGATCTTGGAAATGTACCAGGATCTAAACAACATGCTTGGCCCAGAGCACCCATTAACCATCCGCAGCATGTGGCTTCACGGAGCCATGCAGATGCTTAGTGGCAATGACAACTCTTCCGCCTCGGAAACTCTCCGGCGTGCCCTCGCTCTCGCCGAGGAAAGCTTAGGGCCCGAGCATGTAGAGACGATGAGCATTGTCGCCATACTCGGCCTGATGTACGCATTCAATGGTCAAATGAGCATCTACAACCTGAGCTATCTTACCACTAACAAAAGCTCCAACATTGAGCTGGCGATGCCGTGGTTGCAACGCTATTTGCGCTGGGGGGAATCCCGCATGGGCGCCGCCAGCCCCGACGTCATATCGACCCTCAAGATGATTGCCAATCTATACTTTGGGGCCAGAGACTACCTGCAGGCGCAGCCATATTATGAGCGAATCGTGGAGGCGTATCGTCTATCCAACACCCAGGCGCCGGAACCAATCCAGACGAATCTGCAACTGTGTCGGATGAACACACGGTATCTGAGCCCACGGGCCGTTAGCACAGACATTTCCGGTCTTTTGTCTGCTTTTCGACGACTGTAACATTTCTTTCGATGTAGATGGATGGGTATTTATCAAACTCTTTCAGGCCTACACGTTTTGCCATATTTATGTATATACACATTCCATGTGCTCGAAATTGGGCGTTGATTGGTGGTGATGCCTCCCCGAATAGAAGAAAGGAGAGGAATGAATTAACGTGGCGCCACAATATCCCGTAAAGCACCACGATTGGCTGCGGTTACTACTATACTGTCGCTCAATAAACAGTCCATCGCAAAAAACGAACGCAGGCAGGTCTCTTGCATCCCTTCCAACGACTCACCTGGAGAGTTTTGGCACCTGTAGAAGGATGCATCCTGCCCATCCTACTCTTTTCCAGCGCTTGATATCCTCCCGCTATCATCCTGGGAAGATCCCCTCTCCGGGAAGTGTATCACCTGCTCTAGTAGAGCCCACGCGGGCTTGACGCTCGAGATGTTGGGTTTGGTTTATAGACCGTCCGTCCATTCGTTTACAATTATTGACCTCGGGGCATCCTGGTCTTTCCTGAACTGGAGCTCTTCCCTTACCCCTCGTTTGCACTACCCTATTTAACCCTGTCGTTCGTTCCTGGGGATCCCAAATGACCGCGTGGGACGATTGTCTGCCCCTCTCTCTCACTGCGGCTGCATTCATTTTCATTCCTTCGCAGGAGGTGCATTTGAGTTGAGAACGTTTAAATACTTTCTCTTGAGTGATTTCCGTGCTTTCCCCCCCATGAAGCTGTGGCACGCTCTTTTCCTTATGATGCGCCTTGAACCCCTCGTACACGGGGCAGGGTTATCATCGCACGTGAACCTCTTGTGAGTGATCTCCCCATACAACCAAACCAAGTCAAGGCCTAGTTAAGGCTAACGCACATAACCTCCACCCAGCCTCGGGACTCAAAATGGAGGAAACAACTTCCCCGGGGTCGCTAGACCATTCGGAATGGTCAAACTCGGCCCCGATCTGCTCGAATCCGGGACAGATTCATATGCAGGATACCTGCCCACTGGGGACTTCTCCGGCTTCAGCATGATGCACGAACAAGGAACAGGAGGGGCTCCGAAATACGGGACAGTTGCCCAATTGCCTCTCGTGGGGAACATCACGGACCACCCTCTGGCGAGTATCACGGTGGGTCGTTCCGGTGCCGATCAGGCATCGGTAGGTTACTACAGGGCCCAGACCGCTGAGGGCGTCGTGGTGGAATTAGGTGCCTCTGCCCATGCGGGAATGTATCGATATACCTTTCCGACGAATGAGACTGCCAATGTCTTGATTGATGTTTCGCATGTGCTGCCGTCGTTCAGGGGACAGGGCTTGAGCCAGGGGTACAAGGGTGGTAACTTGACCATCTATGCGGATGGACATTATGAAGGGTATGGCATTTATGATAATTGGTGGAACCGCACGCAGCCTGGGGAGACACGACGACGCAGAGAAGTACTTGATTCGCTCGAGGAACTGGCGAAACCACTGGAACGCCAACCAGACATCGCTAGGGTTCTCTGGGTTCGTTGTTCCCCGAGACGCGAACGGCTTTCTTTCAACCAACCCACTCACCGATGGTGGGTACTGGGGAGACCCATATTACGAAGCGAGCTCGTGGGCGTACTCATGGGGGAGTGTTCACGATATGAAGCAGATGATCGCGATGATGGGCGGTTCGGAGACTGTGCTGGATCGGTTGAACATCATGTTCACGGAGGGAGCGAGTGGCTCCAGCGGGATTATCTTCGATTCCACGAATGAGCCGTAAGTACTAACTACACTTACACCCAGTCGTTCATATATATATAACAGGCCGCAGCTCCGTTTCAGGGGGGCTCGATCCGAACTAACTAGGACTGTAGAATGTTCAACATCCCATACCTTTACAACTACATCGATCGACAAGACCTATCCGTCTCTCAGTCCCGATATATCGCCAAGACATACTATAATGCCGGGGTCTCTGGCCTGCCCGGGAACAGCGATGCGGGTGCCATGCAAACGTGGCTACTCTGGAATATGATAGGACTGTATCCCATCACGGGCCAGACCACGTTCCTGATCCATTCCCCGTGGTTCGATTCTCTCCCCATCCACCTTGGCGGGGGTAAGACACTGCGTATCACGTCGACGGGGGGTGACGGCAATGGTGATTCAAAGATCCATGTGCAGCGTCTACGGGTCAATGGCCGATCCTGGAGGAAGAATTGGTTAACATGGGAAGATATCTTTGCTCATGGTGGAACGATGGAATTCGAGCTTGGGGAGAGTCCAAGTGATTGGTTTACTGGTGAGTTGCCTCCCAGTCCGGCTTCGTAGAAAGAGAGAGAGAGAGAGAGAGAGAGAGAGATGCATATACATACATGTATATAGATTTACCTAGGTAGTTTAGCAAATTCAACGTGTCAGTAGTAAACGGTCAAGTTGTCTGGTTTAACTGTCGGGACTTTTGTCGCCTACAGAACTACAGAACTGTATATATTATGGCAGCCTGTTAGGACAACACCGGCCGTATCCGTCACAGACCGAGAGGCCCATGGCAAGCTCTTCAAGATCATAGAAGACTCGATCAGTGTCTACCGGAGTCGCATGGAGCATGGGTTGGAGCTCCTGTTCACAACCATTTGACCGTTATTGGCACTGATGGTTCTGCCCTTCCCTTTCGCAGATTTCCCGTAGGGATATTGTGATGTACATACTTGGTGCTTTCTGTGATGCCCAAGCCATGATACGGCTATATTCTTTGGCTATATTTGACATATCAGCAATACACCTTTGATAAAATTCGTGAATCCATATATCCAAAGACATCCCCAGCATCGTAATAGCGTATAATTAGATTCATGATTGCAGCCAGTCTAGTGATAGTCTCTCTTTCGATAAGGACGATCACGCTTTAGGCTAAGCGTTCCCAACAAAAAACATCGCAAGGCAATAGCCAATCAAGAAGTAAAACGACAAGTTACCGGGAATTTCCAGTCAAGGAAAGAATCCTAGTCGATAATCGACTCGCCATTTTCCAGAAGTATTGAAAAATTTCCGTGGCTAAGACGCAGAAGAAGAGAGGTTGGGGGAGAAAACATCCGCTCACGGTGGAGGGGCGTGATGTCACATGGAGCACACGGGGCTCGACCCTTCTTTTGCCCCCGCAGCTTCTCAAGATTCAGGCACAGAGCTTGAACCTTTCCATCTTCTTACACTTTTCTCATTGTTAAAGGCTCTGTTGCTGCTCTTGGAAAAGAATTGTGTGCATCAATTCGGAATTGTCGGAAGTATCCATCCATCCCAGTGACAATTCGTCGCAGCGTTAATCAACCAGAGCTAGCTTAGCTTATCTTGACTGATCTGCTCTTTGCCCCTATGGCTACCGCCCAAACATCATCAGAGAGCACTCCATCCGATGGCTTAGGTGAGTCAGAACAGCGCAATTGATTAATCGTCTCATAACTTACACTTGACAGGTGTCATCAAACTCGATTCTTGGCTAGAGCCTTTCAAGGATGCGATAGAACGGAGATTCCAGTACGTTGAAAGCTGGATCAAGACCATCAACAATGCAGAAGGAGGTCTAGACAAATTTAGCAGGGTTGGTCCTATCCTCTTCTTCTCGGAACTACGTTTTCATTATGTACTATAAGTTCGTCTGTCCAGAGAGCTAATTATGATATGTTTTTTTGTCCATAGGGATATGAGAAATTCGGATTCAACGTCAACGACAATGGCGACATCACTTACCGGGAATGGGCCCCGAATGCTGTTGAAGCTGCGCTAGTTGGTGAATTCAGTATGTTCAGTCTTACCGGGGAGATCATCCGGTGAAACATTACTGAGACTGGCAGACAATTGGGATCCCAAGGCCCATCTAATGACAAAGAACGACTTTGGGGTCTGGGAAATCACTCTTCCGGCTAAAGACGGCCTTCCCGCGATTCCACATGATAGTAAAGTTAAGGTGTGTGCTATTTGAAACCAATCTGTAAAATTCCTCGCAGCTCACCATATCCCCAGATTACTATGGTTACACGTAGCGGGGAACGCATATATCGAATTCCTGCGTGGATTAAACGAGTTGTGCAAGACTTGGACGTGTCTCCCATTTATGAGTCGGTATTTTGGAATCCTCCCAGGGAAGAGAGGTACAAGTTTCACCATCCTCGACCCCGCAAACCTGAAAGTCTGCGAATTTACGAGGCCCATGTCGGCATTTCCTCTCCAGAGACCAAGGTTGCAACCTATAAGCAGTTTACCGCTAATATGCTACCCCGAATCAAGTACCTGGGGTACAATGCAATCCAACTAATGGCCATTATGGAGCATGCTTACTATGCCAGCTTCGGGTATCAGGTCAACAACTTCTTCGCGGCGAGCAGTCGCTACGGCTCCCCTGAAGATTTGAAGGAATTAGTTGATACAGCGCACAGCATGGGCTTGGTAGTCCTTCTTGACGTTGTTCACAGTCACGCATCCAAGAATGTTGAGGACGGATTGAATATGTTTGATGGCACTGACCATCTCTATTTCCATTCGGGCGGCAAGGGTCAGCATGCTCTGTGGGACAGCCGGTTGTTTAACTATGGAAACCATGAAGTGTTGCGTTTCCTCCTAAGCAACCTTCGCTTCTGGATAGAAGAATACGGGTTTGATGGCTTCCGCTTCGACGGTGTCACCAGTATGCTGTATACTCACCACGGCATCGGAACGTACGTAAACGCTTTAGCCCAGATATTCTCAGTGGACTTACCTAACTGAATGCACAGTGGCTTCTCTGGCGGGTATCACGAATACTTTGGGCCAGCCGTCGACGATGACGGTGTGATGTACTTGGCGCTCGCTAACGAGATGCTACACACTCTATACCCAGAATGCATAACAGTTGCAGAAGATGTTTCAGGAATGCCAGCGCTCTGTATACCACACAACCTCGGCGGAGTCGGCTTTGACTACCGTCTTGCCATGGCCATTCCAGATATGTATATCAAGCTACTCAAAGAGAGTTCAGACAACGAATGGGATGTAGGAAATATTGCATTCACGTTGACAAACAGACGCCATGGCGAGAAGACAATCGCCTACGCCGAAAGCCACGACCAAGCGTAAGCCAATCCAAAAACAAACCAAGATGAATAAACTAACTCGTAACAGACTTGTTGGAGATAAAACACTCATGATGTGGCTTTGCGACAAGGAAATGTACACGCACATGTCCGTGCTAACCGAACTCACACCCGTCATTGAGCGAGGCATGGCACTACACAAGATGATCCGACTCGTCACTCACGCCCTCGGGGGTGAAGGATACCTCAACTTCGAAGGCAACGAGTTTGGCCACCCTGAATGGCTCGACTTCCCCCGAGCCGGAAACAACAACTCCTTCTGGTACGCTCGACGCCAGCTGAACCTCACCGAGGACCATCTTCTGCGGTACAAGTTCCTAAACGAATTTGATCGCTCCATGCAACTGACAGAGGAGAAATACGGCTGGCTACATTCTCCACAAGCGTACATTAGCCTCAAGCACGAAGGAGACAAGATCCTCGTCTTCGAGCGTGCAGGTCTACTCTGGATCTTTAACTTCCATCCTACCAACAGTTTCACGGATTACCGGGTCGGCGTTGAACAGGCAGGCACATACCGGATTGTCCTTGATACAGATGATAAGGAATTCGGTGGATTCGGACGGAATCTGAAAGCGACCCGTTTCTTTACGACGGATATGGAGTGGAATGGACGAAGGAATTTCCTCCAGGTCTATATCCCAACTCGAACGGCGTTGGTAAGTACTTTTCCTGAATACTCTTATAAATATAAGAGATAAGTAGAATCTAACCAGTCACAGGCCCTCGCATTAGAAGAAACAGTATAAGCATCAGATGTTGCAGATCACTCTTTCGCTGCGTGGTGGTGGGTGGCCCCAGCGAAGCATACCTACCTGATAGCATAACAGAAGGCGAGGTATAATAAACTGCTATTAACATACAGAAGAATAATCAGTCCATTTCATGTATTCATTTTAATCAACTTCCCAAGCATATTGTTTGCATTTATCTATCAAACCAGACAGACCTGTCAAGTAATGACCAATCCCTAGACAACAAACAACATTGGCGCTTTGCATGTTATATTATATTATGTATAGTCATATGTTAGTTAACTAGTGATATGTTAGTTATGTTACGAGGTTGAGTCCCATGTAAGTAATCTAGATTGCGTGAAGTAGATCTATCATATTCAAGACAAGATTTCGCACAACAGGAAGGAGCCTATCAATGTAGTGAAATGGCAGGATATACAGATAAAGCAGTAAATTAAATTAAATTAAATTAAACAGCCATATACAGACTCATAATGCAGTAAGAAGAAAAAAAAAGTACAAAGCATAAACTTCATGATTTGTATTGTAGCGGCTGGCTGGCTCAATGAGAAACTGCCTATCTACCTAGGTAGTTCTATATAGATAGATAGATAGATAAATAACTACTTGTACTCCGTACTCAGTCAAGTCTTCGCGGCAGGAGAAGGAGGGAATGGTTACGCGGTTAATCTGGGGAAATAAAATATGACCAGAGTCCGGACAGGAAGGAAGGAATCGAATAGGTTAAAAAAAAAAAAAAAAATCTTTGTTTTACGACCAACTTGCTGTATATTGAGTGAGGATACCAGGTACGGACTACAAAGATGATGCTACGGAGTACTGATACTACCATGGAGAAAAAACTACGACAAGAAAGCAAGAGATGATTAAGAAACATGTTTTCCAATCCAACAAAAGAAATGAGTACAGGTTGTCCCAGCCCCGAGGGTATCAGGCCGGCTGTGGTCATTTGAAAATTTACTTACATGAGCACATATTGTCACACAAGCCAAAGATGAATGGTTTTTTTTTCATCCAATCCAAGGCTTAAAAGGGGGTTGGGGGGGTTATTGAGAGTGCTCTTTCCCTTTTAAATAATAGAAGAGGAGACAGCCTTTCTTTCAACTTCCTTTTTCTCAATTCGAGTACTGTACAGGCATCGACGGAAAATGGAAAACCGAGGAAAGGAAATCCATATCTAACACAAAAGGAAAAGGGCGCTTCAAAACAATATTACATTTAGGCCTTGCCCTCAAGCTCGGCCAAGATCTTCTCACCCTTGGCGCGGGCAGACTCAATGTCACCAACCATGTAGAAAGCAGCTGCAGTATATAAATTAGCATATATTTCGGTGGAAAATTAGAACGGTGGGAGAAGAAATGTAGCTTACCCTCAGGAAGGTCATCACCTTCACCGTTGATGATAGCCTTGAAGCTGCGGATGGTGTCCTTGAGGTCGACCAGCTTACCCTCGATACCAGTGAAGACGTGGGCAACAGTGAAGGGCTGGGACAGGAAACGCTGAAGCTTACGAGCACGCTCGACGGTGAGCTTGTCAGCCTCAGACAGTTCGTCCATACCAAGAATGGCAATGATATCCTGGAGGGACTTGTACTCCTGGAGCATCTGCTGGACGCGGGTAGCGACCTGGTAGTGCTCATCACCGACAATACGGGGGTCGAGCATACGAGACTTGGAGTCAAGAGGGTCGACAGCAGGGTAGATACCCAACTCAGAGATACCACGGGACAAGACAGTGGTGGCGTCCAAGTGAGCGAAGGTGGTAGCGGGAGCAGGATCAGTCAGATCGTCAGCGGGCACGTAGACGGCCTGGACGGAGGTAATGGAACCCTTGGTGGTGGTGGTAATACGCTCCTGCATACCACCCATGTCGACGGCCAGAGTGGGCTGGTAACCGACAGCAGAGGGGATACGACCCAGAAGGGCAGACACCTCAGAACCGGCCTGAGTGAAACGGAAAATGTTGTCAATGAAGAGCAGCACATCCTGACCCTCCTCGTCACGGAAGTACTCGGCAATGGTCAGACCAGTAAGGGCGACACGGGCACGAGCACCTGGGGGCTCGTTCATCTGACCGAACACAAGAGACACCTTGGATTCACCCTCGAGCTGAATGACACCAGTCTCCTGCATTTCGTGGTACAAATCGTTACCCTCACGAGTACGCTCACCGACACCGGTGAAGACGGAGTAACCACCGTGGGCCTTGGCAATGTTGTTCTAGAAACGAAAACATTGTTAGATAAAACTCTTGTTTCTTTTTTTTTTAAAAAAAAATTCCGCGTGATGCGATGAGAAAACTTACAATCAGCTCCTGAATGAAGACAGTCTTTCCGACACCGGCACCACCGAAGAGACCAATCTTACCACCACGAGCGTAAGGAGCGAGAAGATCGACGACCTTGATACCAGTGACGAGAATTTCGGCAGTGGTGGATTGCTCAGTGAAAGAGGGAGCCTCAGCGTGGATAGGGGCGAACTTGGTGGCCTTGATAGGGCCACGCTCGTCAATGGGGTCACCAGTGACGTTGACGATACGGCCAAGGGTGGCAGGGCCGACGGGGATGGTGATGGGAGCACCGGTATCATGGGCAGCAGCACCACGAGTGAGACCCTCGGTACCTGAATCGAGATATCAATATCTTATACCAAGCAGAGAGCCCCGGGACGTGCACAGTTTGTTGACGTGTACTTCCGTCGAGCCGAAAATTTTTATACAGAGGTTTAGAGAAAAAAAAAAAAATAACAAGGCACTTACCATCCATAGCAATAGTACGGACGACATTCTCACCCAAGTGTTGCTATTAGAAATTAGCTTTGAAGAACTTGATATCTCATCACGGTTTTTGGTATCGGGTTACGTACAGCAACCTCAAGAACGAGCTTCTGGCCGTTGTTCTCGGTCTCAATGGCGTTGAGAATAGCGGGAAGCTTCTCACCCTCGAACTTCACTGTATTTCCAAGTCAGATATCGTGTTTTGGGAGTGTTTTTGGGTCGGTGTTGATGAAAGTTGCGATGAAATCGAGGGTAAGAAAAGATTTTCGCGCAGCCGCCAACGGGGGATTTCTTAGCGGCTTCGAGGGTACATACCGTCGACGACGGCACCAATGACCTGGTGAATCTTGCCAACGCTGCCGGCCTCGGTGCTGGCGAACCTAGAGAGGGAAGGCAAGCCATTGATCTTGGAGGACTGGAGGGCGCGGCGGGCGACGGGGGAAGGTCGAGCAAAAGTAGCCCTCCCGAAGGTCCGGGCCAGACCGCTATTACGAAGGAAAAAAACATGGTCAGCAAGGGAGGAACCCAGCTAGAAAGGCAGGTTAGATGAACAATGGGGGAGGAACACACCTCTTGAACATGATGATGGTGTTGAAGAGCGAAAAGGGTATAGATGAGGTCAAAGGAGGAGAGGATGGGGAGAGGGAGAAGAGAGGGAAAGGAAGGGAAGAGGTTGAGGTTGAGGTGGACACGGGCGAATGTGGCCGGCTTAGCCTTTACGGGGCGGTTTTGCCGACAATCCCGTGATGTACCGAGCAACGCGCAGCAAGGAAATAACACGAACAGAAATCCGCGACTCGAGGATCCAGTTCTATCTCTTCATTACAATGGGTGTATATTTACATCCACGGTATCCTATACAAGATATTTTAGCATCTCTGATCTTTCTTGGAGCAAAAGCATTGTCTGGTTGTGAGGCTCATGACTTGCCCTGTCCGGTTGTTAGGGGGATTTCTCACACAAATGAGGAGTTTTCTTGGCACCCGGATACAAGGGAACCAAAGCTCCCCCAATTCCGGCGAGAACCTTGATAAAAATATATAGAGAGAGAGCAGGATATACATATAGAAGTAGTAGGTATATTTTCTTTAGTTAACTACAATATATTATAAATATTCTTGACCTCCAGCCCTTTCTTTCCCAAACACTCAATTCTATGTGGTTGTGCTCACTCTCTACTTTGTTGTCCTGGTAATAATAATGGGTCCTCCCGTTCACGAGCGAGAATCGGAACCAGAAATTTTTTATACTGTTTTGAGAAGTCCCGTGATGTTATCCTGGCTGCGATATGTATGACCTAGCAACAGCTTCCAATAACTAACTATTAGTTAGTATTAGTATCTTTCTAGCTACTGGGTACTCCGTACCTAGGTCAAATACCCAGGTATCGATCTGTGTTAACCTGGTTATGCTATGCTATGCTACGTAATGCACCTTCTTAAATCAATTCAAACTTAACCTCCCTAAGAAGCTCACACATAGGGGCTCTTCCAATACCTTAGGTACCTACTTGAATATATATGAAGAGAGAGAGAGAGGCTCTGAATTTGCATGACATGACTAAATACAGCGAGACAAAATCCAGATACGCAAGCCGAGAAAATACAATCATCTACTTAATCCAGGCAACAAACTGTTCTATGACTACAAAGGAGATACATTGATTATTGCACAGTACGAGATACACAGGTCTTTTTCAGCTCAGATTGACAAAACAAGCGAGACATAGGTAAAGGATATGCCCCCGAATCGATGGGCACGGCGCCAGCATTTGCCAGGGAGCGTCGGGAAACAGGCGATGAACCACGAGTCTTGTCATGACCCATCGAGCAAATGTCCAATTGCGATACCAGGCTCCCCCATATTCTATTCTCCAATTTATTGCTTCTCAGCAGGAGCGCTCTGGACAAAGCCCTTGCCCTCGTATCCCTCGCTGCTGATACCGTAGATAGGGTTGATCTTCTCGCGCTGTTATGAGAAAACAAAATCCGTCAGTCGTGGCTCAAATCATCACACAAAACCCGTAATGCAATGCGAAAGATAGAGAGATAACTTACCAGAGCGTACTCGTTGGTGGCCTCTTGCCATTCCTTGGTCATGGTCTTAGGGTGAGGACGAGCGAAGTAGTGAACGGCATAGAAAAGAGCGACAGAGGCAGTGACGAGCTGAGCGACCTTGATAAAGATCTTCAGGTTCTCACCCTTGGGAGGGAGGGCACGGGGGCCGTGAGGTCCGAAAGCAATCCAGTAGGCTATCAAATTCAAAAAAAAAGAAAAAAAAAAAGAAAAGAGAGAGCGAGCGGTCGTTAGCAAAATTCTGATGCAACCTTGGAACATAAACCAATCGCAATTAACTGCAAAAACATACCAGCCTTCTTCTCCTGAAGGGTCATCTGGTGCCAGTCGACCTTCATACGGTCCCTCAGCTGCATCCACAGATCAGCCTGCTCCTGGGGGGGCATGGCCTCCCAGCGCTTCTCGATACCGGCGAGTGTGGGATTGGCAATGGCGTGCTCGGAAGAGGCGCGGGTCTGCTGGGAAGCAATAGACTTCTTCTCAGCCTGAGGGCGGGCATTGAGGCAAGCCATGGGGCTAGAAATAGTGCGGTAGGAACGAATGGCAGTGGTGGGCATGGCCGAGCTGCGAGTAGCAGCCCGAGCGACGGAGGGAAGGAACATTGTGTGTGGAGGGGGCCGGTGGGCGATTAAAAATGAATTGGGGATAAAAAACGACTCTCTTGGAAGCGAGAGAGCCAATTCCTCAGGGTCGAGGGCAATTGAAGCGTGAAGGATAGAGGGGGGAGGTGATCGAGAGTCGCGATGGAAGAGACAGACGATGTTCGACTGTGGTTTGAGGTGGAAGTCGAGTACCCGGACGGGCTAGGCTAGTCTGGCTTTCCGACCGCTCTCATTGGCCCACGTCCCTTGCCTCTCCCGAACGCCCGTCAGAGTGTATCGCACCACCCACACAATGATGATTACCTATACCTACGACGTTCCTGTTCTTGCCGACCGGTCGCAAGGCATTTCCACTAGTTACCTGAGGCTATTATTTGATAGCCATGCCCATCCTATCCTAACTCACCGTCTGGTCTAGCACCCTATCTTTACGCTTGGACGCTAGTAACTCCCGCCCCTACTCACAACCAACCAGCCAACCCAGGCTTTAGGAATCCTTTATATGGAGGTAATATCGTGTCTCCTATGTCTCCCTACTCTACACCGAACCGCTGGAGTTCGACCACATAGCAGGCATCAGTATTCTGTACAGGCGAAACGCTGAAGAAGGAAAAAGAAAATGACAAAATGCAGCCCTCCCAAACGCTCGTTCACTGATGAGAGTGCCACGATCGCAAAGAAAAGATACGGTCACTATCAAGGCAGTCAAGTCGTAACGATCTCATATTGAACTAAATGCGTGCAGGGAACGTCATCGGCACTCCGCGAAGTTCAGTCGGAGTAGTGCACCAGTGCATGAACCCAACCCACGCCCACAGTCACTTGGCCCGGACCCAGCCCGACGCCGTCGTCTATTTGGCCTTTCCACCGCTGGCCTCGGCGAGAACAGCCTTCCACTCGATTTCAGACTTGTCATCGGCGTGGATAGAAGTGACAACATTGAGCGCGTTCTTCAGAACCTCCCGGGTGCTGGCGTAGATCATGGACCACTATTTTCTAGGTGTCAGGAACAGAAACAAGTCTATTATAACACGAGACGAGGGAGCCGGGGGGTGGGGGAACATACGAGAGTGGGGGTTTCGCTGGGAACCCAAGAGATGAAAACAATCTTGCTCCTGCCAAGGTTAAATCCAATTAGCAAAAACATTCATCAATTGTTCCCTAGGCAGATCCAGCGGCATACCTCTTGCCCTCACCACCACCTAGATCGTACTCGACATCGTAGACCGCATAACGAGGAGCAGGGTTGCCTCGAGCATCCTTTGCGGCTTCGAGCCTGTTGCGGAAGACCTCATAGTCCTGCTCTTCCGAGACCTCATCAACGACAACCTCCTTCTTGTTGTCAGAGATCTTGAAGATGATGAACTTGGGCTTAGATCCCTTGGTACCGCCGGTCATGCGGAAAGAATTGAATGCAGTGATGCACTCATCCTGAACTGTGACACTGGCGATTGGGATCCGTCAGTATTATATAGGAGCGATGGAAGGGTGCTCTGTTCCCAACGCCGATGATGACACAGGGAAAGACAGATATGACATACCCGGATGCGAGCTACATGGCAATAAAACCAGATTAGTTCTGAGCAAAACCTGCAAAGTAAAAAAAAAAAAAGGGATCAAAACATACCGACATTGTTTCCTATGTAGAAAAAAAAAGGGAAAAGTTTACAATTCAAGGTTACCCTGTACTAGCACGCGATGTCAGCTGTGGCCAGTCCCCTATTTGTGTCGGTTGAATCTATACAAGCAAAGGCAAAATCCGTTGAACAGGGTCAAGAGAGGGTTCGGAGGGGCAACTGACCAAATAATAAAGAAAAGAAAATGACAAGAATCAGGTGGTCCGCACAGGTAGCTGGCGTGAGGTTTCCAGATGAGGGGGTGGAAGAGAAATAAAGGATGGGGATGGGAACTGAGATGGAGAGATAGAGGGGCATTTCCAGGTTGTTGTGCTTGCGTTGTTGCGGGCAGTGGTGGGGGGGAAAATACGGCACGTGATTCGCTGTCGTAAGACCAGAGCCACACGCCAGCTTCCCCTGAACGCGCTCCAGTCCAGATGCCAAACATAAGAATCATGCAGCCTGCAGCTTTGTACAGCAAGGTTTCAACTTTGTTCGGAAAGTTGCCTATGTCTACGATGGACGTCTCGGGTTTCTGAGAGCCGGTTGTGGAGGAAGAGACGCACAGGCAGAACCAATTGTATTCTTATCCTCTCGTGATTGATGGATGAACTGCTGCCTATGGAAATATACAGAGTATAGAGAATATTGACCAAGTGTTGGAATCGTTTAAGATTGCAAATCACAAAATTAAATATGTGTACATACATCAATATGTACTAAGAAGCCCAATTATAAAACCGGTGGACGAATCAATGTACCAAGTGTCTCCCTCTCGTCTGATACGCAGTAATGAACTGTGTAACCACCCGAAGATGCGACACTAATCCTCCATGCTTTATTAGAGGTTGTGGGGAAACGGCGCTCGGTACTGTTGGAAGAATGGGAGAAACGCTGAAGTGTAGATAACATGTCTAGTAATAGCAGGACGTAGAGGTCGCTGTAAAACTTGGGTATATATATAAAAAAGAGACCAAAGCAAAGACAAGTCGCCGCGATAAGGAACCCGAGCAATGTCGAGAGACAAAAGGCGAAGACTTGCCGGCGAGAGTATTGTAGTAATGTGAAAAGCATATTGAACATGTCCGTCGAATAGCATTCAAGCCTCAGAAATCGTCTAGGCAACAGTATTTTTTTTCCTCCTCGCATAGGTGATGGTTAGAAGCGGAACGAAAACATGTTCAATGATGGATTCAGGTACAACGAGAAACTCATAAGTCCCGGCGAAAGTAAAAGATATCGGAACGGCTCTTCAAAAATCAACGAAGAAGAAAAAAAAACAAAAGGCGTTATCGTCAAGGCGTAAAGTGGCATGAAAAAAAAATACATGCTCTAAACAAGGATGGGATGTAGAAGTATCCGCCGGTTTTCAAGAAACCTCATCACCTTGTCCGCCATCGATTATTTTCTTCCAATGTTGTGGGAGACAGACGCAAACCAAAGGGAATGCTTTGATTTCGCCTGTGGGGGCCGGAGATATTCGCTGTGAGCCGTTGGAAACGCCGCTATCGCGCTGTTCTCTATGGCGAGCATCGTAATCCTCCGCAGTTTCGGGCACGCGAACTCCAGTTGCCCAGCCATCGTCCCAAATACCTATCACCTTGAGCATTTCTCCTCGGTCTAGTGCAAACTCATCGCCTGCTCGTGGTTGGTACGCCCAGAGGACCGCAACCTTGTCACCCGGGTGCATATCGTCCTGCGAATAGTAATCCTGGAAGGCAGAGAGTTGCTCCGACTGTCCGCTTGTCAGTCCTTCTGGAGATGAGTAATGGCCCATGGTCCCCGAACGAGGAGATGTATCGCTACCAGCACCAGCCAACGCAGAGTTGCTAGAGAGAGACCCGTGACGTTTGCCTGTAGTGGGCGGTATTTTCTTCGACATGGCGCCGGGACTCGCAAACCCCTCTGAGTCGGATGAATCGCTATACTTAGTGCCCCTCAAAAATGCTGTGGAGTTGCGGGAGCGTGCTGGAGAGAAGCTAGAAACCTCACGTAAAGCAGACATTCTGGCCACACGTCCACCAGGAACAGCAGTAAAGTTCTGAGGGCTGCCGGGCTGTTGCATCGAAGGCGATCCTTTCCTTTGGGGGTTCGGCTTATTTAGCGAGTTATCATCTTGCGAGTTGCGTCTTCGTCGACAGCATATTAGAAGGAATGCGATTAATGCGGCGATGAGGGCAAATGCAGCAACAGAACCAATTACGACGCCTGCTATCTGTCCTCCTGATAGACCATCATGTGAAGAACTACCCGAGTTTGGGGTCGAAGTAACCGGAGAGAGAGATGTTGAACTTGGAATGGTGACACCTTCGCACCGAGTAGTGGCGTTCGAATTGACACAGCAGGAGTCGGTCGCGTTCGGCGAGCTCGCCGCACAATATCCACATAATCCAATGAGATTAGATCGGTAACCGCACTCCTTGGGCTCGTTGTCGGCTCCAGAGACACATGATCCAGTAAGCGAGCTCGCCGGGCTCGCGCAAATTGTGAAGTCGGAACGGATTTGCTGCATATAATCACTTGCTCTTTCTGGACAGAGCTCAGCGTTGACTAAAATCTCTTCTTCGCTGGTCGCCATCAAGGCCTGTAGCACACGATTAGGGAAAGAAGCAAGAGAACGAGGGGAGAGACGAGGGCTCATGGGACGTACACAAGACTCAGCACATAGAGGTTTTGACTGCGCGGAAGATAGGCCGCAATCGGATGCGGAACGTTGAACCAGTCCATTACAGATGGAACTTGTGGTATAGCGCGCATAATAGTCACTGGTGTTGCTGAGATTGACCCCCGAGCAGCCCAGGTATTCAACATATCTACGATTTAACGCGTGTGGTTAGCTAAGCACGACCCCCCCCCCCCCCCCCCCCCGGGTTGAAACATTCGCAAAAGACCTACTTTAGTTCGACATATGATCCCAAGACATAGCTATTGAGCTGTTTGTCGAAATCCGCCAGACTCGAAACGTTTTCCATAAAGGGGCTAAAAACGGGTTAGCGGATGAGGTACCTTCACGGTGCATCTCATAGAATAAACCCACAAATCAGTATAAAAGCTGGAGCTCGTGGAGATTGACGAAGTGTTCCAGGCCGGGCATTGTGTCGAACCGGACAGCGAGATACAGGTAGCCGACATGGTGTTCTACAACCCCCTGTGGTCCTCGCAGATAAGCTGGTTTCCGTGTTTCAAAGCAGGCGAAGATGACGGCCAGTTGACCACCGATTATGTATCCAATCTGAGCAATTGAATTAGTTCCGAAGCACATTCATATTGTAACTACCGGGCCCTCTTCGTCTGTTCCGCTTCTGATTCGTTATCAGGCGTCGACCCCGGGTCAAAGACGGCTAAAAAAGAACGCGTCAAGGGTTTTGAAAGAGTGAGAGAGAGACAAGACTCTCGAAACGTGAAGAAAAGGGGAAAGAGAAGAAGGACAGAGAAGAAAGTGAAAAGCCTCCACACAGGTGTGGTTGAAGAATTAAAGTGAATGCAAACGAGTGACTCTGGTTCCACAGTGGGCGGCTACAGAAGAGACAGGAGGGAGTGGATGGATCCAGGAGGAGAGGGAAGCAAAAAAAAAAAGGCGTTGAGGGGGAAGCACTAGTCGTAAATAGATAGAGAGTAGTGGTTTCCTAGATGGGAATCGCGTGAAGTGCGCTGGATGAACAGCACAGGGCCAGACTTGAGAACTTGCGGTCCACCCTTTGAAAAGCAAGGAAATAGTCTGGGTCAAAAAGGGGAAATGGACGGCTGGGGAAAAGGAACCGGAGTTGTGCCAATTAAACTGAGGCCCTCCACTTGGGTTGTGCGACTAGTTCAAAGAAAATATAATATCCGTGCTCTGCAAGGTTCCTGTACATAGTACGGAGTTTAAGAGAGGAAAGTCTGGGTGGGTTAGGCTTTATGAGCGTCTCCTAGTTAATTATGATGAGTATGACTATAAGACTTGGGCTCAGGCGGGTATCAATTGACGTGGCAGATCGAGTACAGCTGTCTAACCCCCATCTTTTTCTTAACCATGTTTATTCTCCCAGTAACTATCTAATGATGAGAGGTTGTCAAATTATGACAGTAGAAAGTCGACCAAAATGAATTGCATTAGGTCTAACTAGGAGATAGAGAGATGGAGAGATGCTTGGAAGAAGCATGGAGATCTAGAGAGAAACGGTGGCCTAAATACACAGAGTAGTCACGTGTTACTATTTACTTAATGGCAGTGCTGTTTGTATTCACTGAATCCAGCACTCCAACAGTATCTAAGGCTGTTATCCTAGCAAAGACACACACAACCATCTGAAGAATTTTACTATTGTGTCTTTACTATTGAACTACCCCCTGGATTACTTAATATCCAACATGTTGCTATTCACTTAATGATGGCGATGTTGGTATTCACTGAATCCAGCATTCCAACATTACATCATGAAGTTATAAGGTCTCTTAACACATTTTCTCTTCAACCCATAACACATTTCTTCTCTTCATCTATTCCATAAATCTACTACAATCTGCCTATCAAAATCATCATGCAATCCGCCACAGATATGTCAAATGAATCCATGCCCCCCAGTTCTCTCGCCGTTGGCAACTTTAGGCAACTCATGGAAAAGCTGGTGGACCAGCACCACCGCCAGTTTTGCCACTCATTGTCCTTATCCATATCATGGGAGGATGATAATACGAATGCCTCTCAGGACATCGCCAACTTCCAGGCCATCCTTCGTATCTTTGGATACACCGAGGCAGACGAGTACGTGATCCCATCCCAGGCACCAACACCTGGGTGGGAAGTCAGCGACAAAATCTGGAGCCTTCTTCGAAAAGCCATGGCAAAAAGCGGACGCACAATCATCCTGATTCACTATGCCGGTCACGGCGTAAAGTGGAACGATAAGCTACACTTCTGCAATGGGGCAGGAAATAAGCGCATCAACGTGGACAGGGAGATACTGGGTCTGGTTGACTCGAACAGCGCCCTCCCTGATTCAGCTAGTGTTGATGTAGTCTTCCTGTTCGACTCCTGCTATAGTTACCTGGCAACTAGAAATTATACCCCAGGTCCCAGAGTTGTGGAAGTTCTTGCGGCAGTCGACGAGTCAAGCCAACTCGCATTCGCCCCGGGTCGCCATGCTTCGTTTACTGGGAAAGTCTACGCTGAATTGATCAAAAGGAAACAGTCTGGAGCAACGAATGTAGAGCTTGCAGAGCTCCATGCATGCCTCCGCAAGACATCTCCTGTTAAGAAGCCCGCCCATCGGTTAATTGTCGGGGTTAACTCATTGCGCCTCTTGATCCCCCAGAACAACCAACCAACCCTGACATACGAACCTGCAGGACCTGCAACGTATGCTGTGTTTTCCTTCAGAATCGCAGATAGTCTCTCAACAGAATCCATCAAGAATTTCAGTGACTGGGTCGGGGCACTGCCCAAGGATGTTGGACTGGCTCTCGAAAACGTGTACAATACACAATCTATGTGTCTTATCTTTCGTGCACCATGGGCCTTTTGGTGTAAAGTCAATGGGTTGGATTTTGTTCAGTTTATATGCGAGACCACGTCCCCTAACCTTCTGTCAACCGCCCGCACTGTGCATCCTCGCTCGCCAGTGAAGTGATACCCATTCCTACATAGACAGCAAGTGGCTTTCAAAGAAGACAAGAATCTCACTATGTAATAACCTTGCTCTGTTATCAATGAACTGTTTTATTTTTCTTCATACTCTCTAAAGATTTATTAGGACTCAAGCTGTTGCTTATTGCTATGTTGTGATTAAGCTAGCTTTATTGCTACTTTTACTTTTATCATCTCTCCTTTTGTGCTTTGTTTTCTTATACATTGACTAAAGGTCTTTGGGCGGACTATAAACATATCTAGTAGAGTCGCTCAAGCAAGAATTAGATTACGATACCCATAGAGATAAAGCCTGCCATGAGCAAGCAAAGTCTTAGATCCTAAATATAAACAGGAAGCACAATATCAAGCACCTGGATGTACAAAATAAAGGAATAATTACAGCTATGGAAGTAATAGAAGAAGGTTATAAAGGGAGCTTGTTAACCATGCTATTAAGTAAGGAATCATTGCAAGACGGTCGCGAGTATCTAGAAAGAAGGGCTAGGGAATAAGCTTTATTTTTTGTATATAAGTCATTGTAAGTATCTTTCAATTTGGCGGTGCTAGGTTATTTTGAAATTTAAGCAATAAATTGCCCGTTAAGCTGTCTGGACCACGCAACGCGCGATGCCGGAGACTTCGTACGGAGTACTCGGCTGAAAAAAAGGCCACCCGTTTTGCTCCAAAGGCCATGCACAACCGTGTTCTTTCCGCCGGCGTCATCCAGATTTACCCCGTGCCTGGTTACAAGTGTCCGAAAATAGTAACTAACTTATCTTGAGGAATGATGATGCAGGTGTGTGAGGAGTGAGGACGTTCCCAAAGGTGCAATTTTTCCCGCTTATCATCCCGAGTGACCGACACCGTTGTTTCGAATTCTGCGACTGGGCTCCTTCCAGCCAGTCCCGATGTCTGCAGTTGGGCTGATCGCTATCTAAACAGCCTCATCGACCAGGTACCAGACTCGACTTCTTTTTCAGCGAGGGATTAGTGGCGGAGCCCTCATGGGTCCAGTCCACCCTTTGCATTTGTACCACTTGTTTGATGCAGTTATTTCTACCACAAGGTACGGAGTACTCCGTAGATACCTAAGTATTCACTCGGGTGTACGGAGTACGGTACCGGCGTCTGCACGCCTATGCAAGGCGGATCGTAAGGAAGTAGAAATGAGGCCTTCTTCCTCCGCTGTTCATCATCCTCGTAGAATCCTTCTATAATTCGCGCTCAAATTATTTTTTTTTCACTGTGTGATTTGCGGGGTTGGGTTATTTTGTGGATGTAGTACTACCTGAGGTAGGTACTACTAGTAGTATCAGAAGACTGGGTTCATACGCGTCACATTCCGCTGTTGTAATGTGTAAATATATCTGCCGTCAACTGAGAGCCGTCCTCTTCCGCCCCGAGTTGTCATGCATGTGTTAGAGAAACAGGAACCTAAACATCACCACTGTAGATATGATTCCTTACCCGGAGTTGAATCCTCAAGCCAAATAAGGGTTAAAGGATGAAATCTTTATCACGAAGCCAGAGAACAGCAATGTTGACAGTATCCGACGAACGGTGAGATCATGTGACTCAAGTGAGGTCATCTGATGGAGGGGTGGAGGCAGGCATCCATTTTCATTGCTTGCGTCATTTATCAGCACTTCTTCTTCGAATGAATCTGTGTTCACGACCCTTCTGATACAAGTATAGACTTATTGACAACATCTATCTGCGTTTTGACATCTTCTCGTGTGATTGGGAAGCCCTCATAAACTTGAGACTGGTCTGTCTACCATTGCAAGCATGTGTGGGTCAGACATTTTTCTTGCAATTCTTGCAGTTTTCTTCCCACCAGTTTCAGGTAAGTGAAGTTTTTCTTTCTCTTAAATCCACTAGCAATCGTATACTTATTATTCTTTCAGTGTGGATTAAAGTAGGTGTCTGTACCGCCGACTCTTTTATCAACATTGCTCTTTGCTGCCTCGGATACGTCCCTGGTCTGCTACATGCCTGGTACATTATACTCAAATATCCTGAGCCGGATTACGATGACCCAACATACGAACCCGTATCGAATGGGCGAACGGACGTCGAAAATGGTCACGTAACATACTACTATGTGTCTCGCGAGCCGGTTCAACGCCCCCCCCAGAGAGATTACGGCACCATGCCATCACAAACAGCGTCTAACCCGCAGCCAAACCCGCAATCACAAGCCCAGCAACCCGATCAACAACCCCATGCCGGTAGCAGTAGCCAGGCTCATGATGACTCTCGCCCACCTCCCACATATGCGGAAGCTGTCAGAGGAGACAACAAGGTGCAAACTGACGAGTAAGGATTCAAGTGAAATTCCTATTTGGTGTAATATTCAATGATCCGCAATGTGTACGTTGCGAAATGCGCAGAGTCTTCACACCCTCCTTGAGGCTCTGACAGCTGAACTCCCCTTTGAGATGGCTATGTACGATGAACGGTATATGTGGCTTAATTGGGGTATAATATTGCCCTTCCTTGCCTGGACTTGACCTCTGAAAATTTAATAAACGTACCAGTAGCTGGGGTTTGGTCTCAAAAGTACTATACTCTTTTTTCAAAGCATGGGTCATCATAGTTCCGGGTCGGGGTGGTTTTTTTTTTTCTCTAAAGCTTTACGAGATGATCTTTACGTTACGATACATACTTCAAATTTATGACAATTATGATAAACCCATGTACTTAGCACCATAATAAGCATATGCAGTAGCCTGTACTCTACTGTCCGTTGGTTCGAGACTATGAGTGTTGGTATCATTCCCAGACGGCGGTTCAGCACGGACCCCCCAACACCCGCCGCCCACTTCCTTCTTCCGCCAACGCTGGAACAGACGCGAATTACATTCAAGCAACGAACCAGAAGCTGGTCTTAGGTCCTTGCGACCTTCCTCACGACCATGCAGTCCGTTCCATTACTGCTCAGACAGTCGTTACGATCGAGCGTTCGAATATCAAGACCCTCTCACCCAATACGGCCATCAGCCCTCCCCGTTGCTGCTGGCCCCAAAGCTCTTCACAGCACCAACGGAGAGCCGAGGCGGACTTTCTCGGTTTGCCTACGATGTCAATTCCGCACACAACCAGCCGGCTTATTTGCACAGGAGCCCGATAAATCACCGGATGGGAAGGCTGAAGAGGAGCCGAAGAAAGATGTAGTATTCGCTATGCCACCGCCGCCTATGTCGGAGGGGTCGACAACTCAACATGTAATGACGGACGCGGGGAGCTCCGGATCTCCCCAAGTTGCAGAGAGGGCACCTACACAGGAACAAGAAGGGAAGGGCAAGACAGCATGGAATGGAACGGAAATGGGCGGTCTTCCGTCCTATATAGAGAATCGCAGGTCGCAGTTTTCCAAGCAGTTTACCGAGATGATGGATAACCTGCAGTCCAACGTTTTTGTCGCTGGTCAGCGATTGAATGACTTGACTGGGTATTCGTCAATTGAGACACTCAAGAAAAATATACACGATCAGGGTAAGGAATAACTCATTCTATCCCCCCCCCCCCCCCCCAAATTAAATTTGCAAAATAAAACGGGCCAAAGTGTGGTGCTAAATCCATTGCTTGTTTGACAGAGGAACGACTTCGAGCCGCCCGCCTCCGAGTCAGATCCGCAAAAGATGCCTACGCAGACGCCATAAATAGACGTTCAGCTTCTCAGCGTGAAGTCAACGAGCTCTTGCAGCGTAAGCATGCGTGGTCTCCGGTAGACCTGGAACGATTCACACATCTATACCGCAATGACCATACCAACGAAGTTGCCGAGAACGAAGCACAGGAAGCCCTGTCGGCAGCTGAGCGCGAGGCAGAAGAAGCCGCAGCACAGCTCACCAAGAATATTCTTTCCCGGTATCATGAGGAACAAGTTTGGTCGGACAAGATCCGGCGCATGAGTACTTGGGGTACCTGGGGTCTGATGGGGGTCAATGTACTTCTCTTCCTCGTTTTCCAGATCGCCGTGGAGCCCTGGCGCCGCAAGAGACTGGTCAAGGGCTTCGAGGAGAAAGTCATAGAGGCCATTGAGAGAGAAAAGGTCTTGAACCAGACACCGGCTGTGGCCGCTGCCACTGTCGAAGGCACTGTCGCTGCCTCCGAAGAGAACACACTCTCAACCGCCTCTGAGGCCTCCACCGATACCCCAGCGCCCGTCGAACAAGTCCATACAACCGAACCAACAGAAGAAGCAGCTGTTCCTGCAGAGACTACCACCACCACCACCACCACCACCACCACCACCGCCGCCGCCGCCGCCGTAGAAGAAGATCTTTCCACCCCTAAGGACACAGTGGACGGCGCCGTGGAATCCGACATCCCACCACCGTTAGAGCTCTCGCCCTCCCCTAGCGCTGTCGACTCGTGCCGTCGATACCTATACGACCTTTTTAGTGACCGTACGGTAATCCTCACGCAGCGCGATCTTTCTACAGTCGCTGCGACCAGCGCTGCAGCCGGCGCGGCTGTGATGGGTCTGGTCATTGCCCTGATTCGCCCACGGTGATGACGGAGCGTATAGAGTACTGCCTAGATGTGTATACACCCGCACTTCATTTGTCATGTAATAATATTGTTGTACAGACCTGGGATATATGAATGAATAGACTCATACCACTTTTCGCATGTGTAAACTAGTACTACTAACTAGAGAGCGAATGCCTGCGATTCACATCACATGTACAGTCGATTTTAATGCCTAGTATACTAGGTAGGTACCTTCTCGGGATAGAGAGGGGGGATGTTGCGGTGACGGCTATGGTTCTACAAATTTACGAATCTGCTTCACGAAGAGAATGGATGTGAACAGACAAAGAAATAAAAAACGCAAAAATCAAGTACTCGAGGAAAAAAAGTAAGCTGAATTAGAATACACGACCCAAAACTCTCCACTGATATATGTCCACGCCGTATCTTCACCCTCCTCCATCTTCAAGATCCACACACATCTTTCACAAGAGCAAAATGTCTATACGCAACAAAAAAAAGGGACGACCCGCAAGCAGTGAGTGTACAGGCTCTATGAGCGAGGAAGCAGGTTTGAAGTAATTGAACAAGAGGCTCATTTTTTGTTGTGGGTCAATATAAAAACACGGTCCCCTTCTAATCCTGATCACGAGATTGGGTCTGGGGAGAAATCCCATCAGTTTCCGCTCCCTCCCCCCTCCTTTCGTTGATATCTCCGTCACTCACCCGCCTGATTTCAAAAACTTTGGCATTGATTCGTTTAACCGATGACGAGGGTGTCCTCATCGGGGAAGTTGTACTGGGGAACCTCGAGGTTCAGAGGGGCAGGGCCCTTTCTGATACGGCCGGAGATATCGTAATGGGAACCGTGGCAGGGGCAGAACCAGCCGCCAAAGTCACCCGATTCACCAATGGGGACACAACCAAGGTGAGTGCAGACACCTGAAAGTGGGAGGATTGATGGTTAGAGGGACGGTGGGATGCAGTCGAAGATACCAGGGGTCACTTACCAAGCATGACAAGCCATTCGGGCTTCTGCACACGCTCCTCATCGGACTGGGGATCACGGAGGGTCTTCCAGTCGATGTCCTGGGCTTCGGTGATTTCACCCTGGGTACGGTGACGGATGAACACGGGCTTTCCACGCCACTTGATGATGACCTGATTGTGGGGTTGGGTTAGTAAATAGGATGCGCGCAAGCGGATTGGATTAAGGATCTGAATAATCGGAAACATACGTTCTTTCCCTCAGGAATAGAAGCGAGACCGATCTCAACCTTGGCCTGGGCGAGAACGTCGGCAGAGGCGGACATGTTGACGAGGAAGTCTGCAGGGAAGAGCCGGATATCAGTATACTCTCATTACAACATGTACATGGCCCGTCAATTGGCTCCCCCGGTAACGCCCAAAACTGGCCAACACATTTGATTGACCGTTTATCTTCGGATTTTCTGCCGTATCATAATGTTTCAAGACAACCTACCCTGAACAGTAGCCTTGGCACCGACGGCAGAGGCCAGACCGAGGGAACCGGCCATGAAGTAGGAAAAGACCTGGTTGGAGCGGGGGCTCTTCTTGGAGGAGTATTTGCTGAAATCGGGGATCTTCAGGGTCGAGTCCTTGCTGGCAAAGGGGCTGTCAAAGCTGGAGCTGTTCCGTTGGCAGGAGGTGACGACGGCGCGGGAAGAGGGAGACAGTTGCTGCCGGGCGCAGGCGCGCAGCAGAGAGGTGGAAGCGGCGGAGAGAGACATGGCGAGAGAGCAATTGCGGATCAATTGCAAAGGACAACGACCGTTGAGGCGGCGGGGGAGAGGGGTTTTGGACGAAGAGAGAGGGTGCGGGTGAGGGAGGATTTTCCTAATGTCTGAGGTTGAAGTCGGAGGCCCGGCATACGGAAAGAGTCGAACCAGAGCTTTCGCTACGACAAGCGATCGGAATCACGGGACTCCTCATTGGCTCACGGGTTCCATCTTAGTCATCCTTTTCTCCTTACTAACTAGTTAACTACCTACCAGGTAGGTAACTTAGTTAATTAACTAACTTAGGTAGATAGGTTGGATAGAGATGTTTGAATTAAATGGGATATTTGAATATCTTTAAGGAATCTACAAGATCTTGTGTGTACCGTAACAGTGTACATACAGTGTGTACCGTATAAGTGTGTACTATATGGCAGATACCCAATCGCAACTCTAAATCGAATAATCCCCAATAAACTCCCAAGAAAACTCCCAGATTTTGTTTACCCGTCACTGATCTTTCATTTCAACATCATCATCATCATCATCATCATCTCCAGGCTGTGGATTAATAACCTCATCAACCAGCATCGTGACCGTCGGTGGCCGAGAACTTCGGGATGGTAATGACTTCTCCTCTCCGGCTTGTGCCTTAATCCTCTTCTCGGTCTCACTCACTGCGTCGCCTGCCGATGCTGGTGCGGCACCATTCAATGTGCGTTGTCCCTTCTCGACCTCTGCCTCCTTCGCGGTCTCCTTCGCGCGCTTTTCTTTAAACTGTTTGTACGTTGTCGTTTTGGGGATGACGTCCGCAAGGAACTCCAAATTATCGATTCGTGAAACAGCAGTAGCTAGAATTACCCATCAGTGCCTCGCACTCTCATCACAAATTCCAAAGCAATTTCAAAGCAAACCCACCTAGATCTTTATATTGGATGGTTTTACGCGGCTTTCGTTCCGACTTGACGACATTGTGTCCTTGCTCTGTGAGATACTGGATAAATAGTTCCTAGGAGATTGTTATTATCGATCCGACTATCAGGGGAGATGGTGCGTAGGGTGCCACGAACGGTCGCCATTGCGACGAGAAACGTAGCGTTACTCGAGCATTGTACGATATCCTCGTCGAGCTGGATGATCTTTTTTATGCGAGAAACTGCACACGTAGGAAATTAGCAAAGGCAACCCAAGCTGACAGTTATAAACGCACTTGGAAGGGCACTTTGGCCTGTGATTTCTTGGTCAGCGTAGGTGGAGTGAGGCCCCGACGCGGCCTTTGTATCTTTGGTGGGCATCGTGAAGTCGTGTTGGGCGCAGTCGGCGTAGAGAGTGGGATTCACTCTGGATATAGCGATTATGGGCCGCAGATGTGTGAAAACACTGAACAAGCAACAAGAAAACTCGCGAATTCCTGGTTAAAGGAGAGTATGTTGGGAGGAAGGAGGAGAGACCAGGCCCTGGCGCGGGCGGCTTGAAATCGATCTGGTGTGGCGGCGGACCATCATTGAGGTAATACATACGGAAGCTTGGTTTCTTACATTTACTCGGACGTTTCCCCCGAGGGTGGCTATCACGATATATTTAGTTTCCCTGGAGAAAGACTTTATGCTTATAACCCCCATGTTCAAAAAATGATTCCCCAAGCAACAATTAACATTCGCCTCTTGCAATTGCGCTGCGTCTTGTCTCCAACCGCATTTCCTCCACCCGGAACAGCCAGCCCGCCTTATCTCACGTGGGCGGCCGCCTATCCAATGATTGTCATCTCTGGATGTACAGCTCCATTTTGAAGAACCCTCCCAACTATGCTCCTCCCTACGAAGGATCAACTGAGGCTATGAGCTCAATGCCCGCCTCGTCAACATCTCTTCCTTCTCCCTCAGTCTTTTCTGAGCGTCGGATTTGGAGGAGTTTCTCAGGCCTATCGACCTCGTCGCAAGCCCAGCGCCCGGCCTCCGACAATGGCCAGGCTCCGGTGATTACGGAGGAGATCAGTGAAATCAAGCGATACGAAGACTTTACAACTATCGACTGGGTTCAGGATGCGGTACACGAACAAGCACGACGACGAGTGAAACGACATGAACGATTTGGGTTTTGGGAACGAGAAAGCACATTCAAATGGAGACAGAAAGTACGGGAGTCCTACGATGCTGGCCAGGCCTGGCTTGTGATCACTATCGTGGGAGCGCTGATTGGGTTGATTTCGGCGGTTCTGAATATTATCACCGAGTGGCTGTCGGACATCAAGTTGGGTTATTGCTCGACTGCGTTCTATCTTAATGAGCAGTTCTGCTGCTGGGGTGCCGAGGGAGGTATGTGCAACTAACCATTCATAAAGCTGTTGCAAGCTTGGTCACTCATGGGATCGATAACCTTAGGATGCCCGGAGTGGAATACCTGGACCTCGCTCTGGATTGTGAATTACTTTCTATACACCTTCTACGCGGTATGGACTTTACCTGTCCCTTCTGGAACGGATAGTCAACTGAGACTCGTTATAGGTCCTGTTTGCCTTCATAGCTGCAAAGCTAGTCAAATCGTTCGCACCATACGCCGCCGGGTCGGGTATCTCCGAGATAAAATGCATTATCGCTGGGTTCGTCATGAAAGGCTTTTTGGGTGGATGGACACTGTTGATAAAGTCAATTGCTCTCCCACTGGCCATTGCGTCTGGCCTCTCCGTGGGTAAAGAAGGTCCCAGTGTCCACTTTGCTGTCTGTGCTGGAAATGTTGTCTCGCGGCTCTTTAGCAAATATAAGCGGAGTGCATCTAAGACCAGAGAAGTATTGACGGCGACTGCGGCAGCTGGTGTGGCTGTTGCGTTTGGAAGTCCCATTGGGGGCGTTCTTTTCTCACTTGAGGTATGCATATATGCCCATTTGCAGAACGGCCATTCCTAACTTGCCGCAGGAAGTAGCATCATATTTCCCCCTGAAGACCTTATGGCGAAGCTATTTTTGCGCTTTAGTTGCGACGGGAGTGCTATCCGTATGTCCTTGTGCTCCATAGAAAGGAATGCATGCTGACCTTGGTGCAGGTGATGAACCCTTTCAGAACTGGACAAATGGTCATGTTTCAGGTACAATATGACCGGTCCTGGCACTTTTTCGAGTTGATATTCTTTATTATTCTTGGTATATTTGGCGGATTGTACGGCGCGTTTGTAATCAAGTGGAACCTCCGCGTCCAGGCTTTTAGGAAAAAATATCTTTCCCAGCACGCCGTGGTAGAATCTGTGGTTCTGGCTGCCATTACGGCAGTGATCTGTTTTCCGAATATGTTTTTGAAGATAAACATGACCGAAATGATGGAAATTCTGTTCCATGAATGCGAAGGTGGCCACGACTACCACGGTCTTTGCGAGTAAGTGTCTTTCTGGTTTCTTTATATGCGTCTCTGATGGAATCAGATCCAAATACCGATGGTCGATGGTTGCGTCGTTGGCCACTGCTACAATCTTGCGGATATTCTTGGTTATCATCTCTTACGGTTGTAAGGTGCCTGCTGGTATTTTCGTACCTTCTATGGCTATAGGAGCGTCCTTTGGCCGTATGGTCGGGATTATGGTCCAGGCTTTGCATGAATCATTCCCAGACTCAAAGTTCTTTGCAGCTTGCGAGCCGGATGTTCCATGCATTACCCCAGGGACATACGCCTTCCTGGGAGCTGCAGCCGCGCTTAGTGGGATCATGCACTTGACCATCTCCGTGACTGTCATCATGTTCGAATTAACAGGAGCGTTGACCTACATTCTTCCTACCATGGTGCGTTTTATCTCTTCCTGATCCGATATAATCTGACAAAGCTAATTCCTTCAGATTGTGGTTGGTATCACTAAGGCTGTTGGGGACCGCTTTGGCAATGGTGGCATTGCAGACCGCATGATCTGGGCTAACGGATTCCCATTCCTTGATAACAAGGAAGATCACGTCTTTAATGTGCCAGTGTCCCATGCTATGACCAACGAGCCGGTCTCTCTACCCGCATCCGATTTCCCTGTCCGTGAAGCAGAGCACCTCCTGAATGATAATAAATTCCAAGGGTTCCCGATTGTCGAAGACCGTTCGAGCAAGATTCTAGTCGGGTACATTGGCCGCACAGAGCTCCGGTACGCCATTGATCGAGCTAGAATGGAGGGGATCCTGTCACCTAATGCGCGATGCGCGTTTACCAAGGCAGCCGCTGATTCTTCTGTTGCACGTCGGGCGTCCTCTGTCTCCAGACATGATCTGATCCCCGAAACCTTTGACGCTATCCAGAGCAGCGTGGGCACGAGCCACATCGACTTTAGCAGATATGTCGATCACACCCCGCTGACCGTCCACCCTCGTCTTCCATTGGAAACCGTTATGGAGATCTTCAAGAAGATGGGTCCGCGTGTCATCTTGGTTGAGCACCGCGGCCGCCTTACTGGCCTTGTTACGGTCAAGGACTGTCTCAAATATCAGTTCAAGGTCGAAGCCGAGGAGCAAGCTCTGGCCGCGACCAACCCACCGCAACTTCCACTGGGGGCACACTCCAATGGAAAAAATACCGATTCACTCGAAGAACGCGTCTGGCATTTCCTGCAGAAGGTGGGGTCGCTTCTACCTGGGCGACGACGCGAGAATCGACCTGCTCCGGTGGAAGATCGGTCCACGAGTGGGATCCTACACGGAACGGAGGATGAGCATGACGACGACGGGATGGTGGAGCTAGAGGAGCGCCCGTAATGGACATTCTATTGCTGTACTAGTTAGTTACTTTGACTTTAATTACCTGGATTGTATGATAATATAATAATATAATAGATCAAATAGGTTTTATGATCCGGTATCAAATCAACTTCACCACCTAGGTAGTTATCCTCTTAACCAAAACTTCCCGTCTCCCTCTAATTCATCCACAACAAAGAAACCAATCTAGAATCAGCTCGCCCCTCCCTCCCTCATCCCAACCAAAATACACCCCGCACCCATCATCCCAGCACCCACCCACCACAACCCACCAACCTCCTCCCGAAACACAAGCATGCCCAGCAACGCCGTGACGAGGAAATTCGCCGAGGTATTCGTAATCGACACCTTTGTAGTGGAGGGCGCAGCCGTCAAAGCGCGCGTGAAGAGAGCCCACATGACGATATTACAGAGGAAGTTGAGCCCGAGACAGATCTTTTTCGTAATCAGTATATATATCTTTTTCTCTCCTCTCTTTCTCTCTTTCTCTCCTCTCTTCTTTAAGATAGTTATACTATGTACCTAGAGAAGGAAGGGGGGGGGGGAGGAAGAATGAAAACCGAACTAACTAACTCACCACGCGAATCACTAGAACCCCGAATGGATGTGCATCGGCGTCACCTGTGGCTCCGAAGAGACGCAGAATGAAATTTGCAAAGGAGGTGGTTTGTTCGTCTGTTGTTCTGGATTTCGTTGCGTTGCATTTGCAAGTTGTTAGATGTAAGCTTTTTATATATCGTATTATATATCCTCGACATACATATATCCCATGACTGAGGTATGTATAAGTAAGTGAAGGGTGTAGGGAGGGGGGGATTCAGAGCCAGGAAGATTCATAATCAATCCATGAGTGCTTTATCTGCGGGTAAATAAGCAAGGAAAGGAATGCGTACAGTTTTGCAAAGAGGCCGTTCAAGGCTGCAAAGGCGCCGCTGGCGATGGCGAGGAGTATCCAGGGTGAATGGGTGGTGGGTTGGGATGGTTGGGACATTTCCAATTATTCTCTCTCTTCTTCTTCTTTATATGTCGTGTACTTGGGCTGTGTAGTGGAACTGTGAGGTTGGGTTGAAGAAAGAGGAGGAGGAGGAGGAGATGATGCCAAGTACTCCGTAACTACTCCGTATCTAAGGATCAAAGCTCGATGATCGACAGACCTGGTGCGGATTTCTGTTTTTAATACCCATATTCTGTGGGAACTGCAGTTGGCGAAGTTATGCAAGTCAAGGAATCTATCGTCGATTCTTTATATGAGAAAGGTTACTCTCTAATGCACACATCATGCTCTAAAAGCTCTAAAAGCTTGGTCAACGTCAAGGCGAAAGCCGCTGGACCTTCCATTTATATGAGGATTCGTCCTGCCCATGGATCCTCACATATCGGAATCGATCGTGCAACCGGCTCCGACGGCCCTGCCAGAACTCTACCGACTCTGGAATGAGTCGTACACCACCCCAGAACGGGGGGAGAGGGATTTCTTTGGTGCCAGCAAACCGTGCCTCTATCTCCTGCACGCGCTTCTCCAGTAGCGCTCGTCCATCGTCGATATCGGTCTCATTCACATCGCTTGGAATGTCAGGGTAGACAATCGAGTCCATCCCCGGACCAAGGCTCTTGCGCCGCCGGTCAATCAGCGTGGCAGGCTCTGCCGACCACAACACTTTGCTTTGCCAACTGGCCCAAGCTCCGATCTGGCTCCCACGCTCCCTGGTCCGCCAATACATCTCGCTTTCCTCGCGACTCAACGGCTCGACCAGTCCCTCAATCCGCACCTGGCGTTCCAGTGGCGACCAGCAGAATGTAAGCGCTGCCCATTTATTGCCTTGCTGGAACCCTTCCTGAAGAGGCTCATCGCCCGGGACAGGCATGGACTCTGGAACACTCCCGCTACAAGTGACATCAAGATCCTCCCCTGATGTGTCCCCGGTCCCGAAGACCTGTCCACCTTTACCCTCCCGACTCCCCCAGTTGCTATATACCACCCACCCCCTCTCGTCCAGCTCCTTGAGGTAGACGATGCGCGCACTCACCCGCCCCGAGGGCAGAGAAGCCGTGGCCAGCGTGCACGTTTCCGGTGCTGACGATGGCGCTAGACGCGGATCACGAAACCACGAATGGAATTGGTAAAGGGGATTTGTGGGGTGTAATTGGGAGACGGTAAGTGGGGGGTTGCTGACGAACTGATGGGCGCGGGCGGGGTGCGACACGACCTGCTTATCCATGGCCGTTGTGGGCGTCATGGTCTTGGAACGAAGAGCCTCCGCAACAAGTCGAGAAGGCAATGCAGAGACGGGAACGGTAGTCTCAGAAGAAATTGGTGTTTTGGACTCGGGGGTTGGCTCGATATCGCCGGGAGCAACTAGACGAGGGGGGGGGGGGGGGCAGGCGGGGTCATTAGCATCAGCGCTCGACACGCGCAATTCTTCACAGGGTGCGCCAATTTTGGACGAAATAGCAACATACAGATGAGCTTCTTCGGCCGCTTTCCATCCTGGCCCAGGGGAATGCTCCCAGGGGCGGCTTGCCTTGGGTGGTCCATGGGGAAGTAGCGTAACGGACTCGCGTGATAATTGCGACGGATGAAAGAATGGGCTGTATTCCACAGCCAAGAGTGACTCATAGAACGACAGCAGCCCCGGACAGTCTAGTAGGACAGGATGAAAAAAAAACAGGTGGGATGATGAGAGGGAATTAGAGGAAGCGGGGGAAACAACCACCACGACGTTGGCAGACATGGCGCCAGATCACTTGATTTTTGTATGACGCATTGGACAGTCGAGGAAAAAGTGGTCCTCCGAATTTGTCTTTCTATCAGGCATTGGATTATATGCCAACTTCTATTCTATTTTCAGCTTCAGGTCATTCTCCTAGAGTCTAGAATAGTATCTATCTTAGTAGGTCAAACATGAATGGTCCGACACTAAAGAGTTGAGAGTCTCTATCCAACAAAATGAAAATGCACAAACCACAACCCAGAATCCCAAGCCGTGGTATAGATACACCATGTAAATCCAGATTGTCCACAAAAATACGCCAGAGCCGCCCGCTGAATGCTAAGTAATATGTGCAAAGAAATGTAAAGACCTTTTTGGCAATCAAGTTGCCTCCCAATACCCATGCAGGAATCATCGAGGCCAGAGGCAGCCAAAAAAGATGGGGGAAGGGGGGTCCAGCCCTGTATGAAATGCAATTGTTTTCCAGTCCAGTCCAAAAAAAAAAAAAGAAAAAGAAAAAGAAAAAGATTTTGTAAGACGTGAAAGAAGAGGCAGCTCTATCGTCCAGAGATCTTCACCACCAACCCCTACAGAGTAGCAGCGACGGTGCCGTTGCCAACCAGATCGACGATTTTGTTGGCGACAGCAGTAGGATATCCACGGGAGAGCATCTCTTGCACCGTGCGAGAAGCACCTTCCTGGTTATTGGTGGCCAAAAATGCACGAGTCATCGCCTCGTAGGTACTGGGCTCCCGCTTGTCAATTCCGATGCTATCGTAGACAACCTTGGCTTTTTCGACGTTGCCCTCAGCAGCCCATCCGTGGATGAGAGTGTTCGCAATGTAGGCGGTCATCTCCACCTTGCGGCTAACCATGTCCTCAACGATGGCCTCGGTCTGGCTCACTTGGTGGTTAGCCACCATGGATTCAAGCAGGGCTTGATACAGGCAGGGCTGCACGTTCATCTTGGGGTTCGAGACCGCAGACTTGAACACATTGTGAGCAGCATCCATATCGCGCACCACACAGCCCTTGGCGTGAATAAGAGATGCATAGTGCACTGCTTCGGGCCCCTGTCCAGAGGCTTTGATGGTCTCGAGAACCTTTTCGGCAGCCTCCATATCCACGGGCTCCAAGGAAGCATGCGCGTCGATAAGCAGCTTGTATGTGTGCATGGTAGGTTTGATGTTACGACTCAGCATGCGTTCGTAGTAGGCTAGAACCTTGGGGCGGTCCCGTTTGGTGTTGAGGAAATACTGAATCATCGAGTTGTAAGGTGCAGGGCGGGGCTTGTAGTTGGGCATAGACTCCATCTCCTCGAACATCTCTTCGGCGAAACGCTCGTCGCTAACACGACAAAGAGCGTTGACGATGGTACCGTAGGTCACACTGGTGGGTCTAACGTTATTGGCACGCATTTCGGCGAAATATTGGAGACAGTCATCAATGCGACGGGCCTTGCCGAGCTTGCCAATGAGAGCATTGTACAAGAACGAGGTGGGTTCAACACCCTCAGCAACAGCACGATGGAAAATCTTCAAAGCTTCGGTGGCTTCGTCAAACGTCTTCGTGGACTCCTTCAGAGTCGTGATATACAGACCGAAAGTGTTGGCAGATGGGGCAGAACCAAGTTCCGAAAGTTCATTGTGGTATTTGGTGGCCAGTCCCCGGTCCCCCAGGGTGAGACAAGAGGCAACCATCGCATCAAGAATAGAGGTCCAGCCGTATTTCACAGCCTTGTATTGAGGGAGAAGAGGAACATCGCGCCTCGCCATACTCAAGACTTCGTGCACAAGATCCACACGATTGCACTTGGCAGCGGCAGCAATGAGCTTAGCATAGGTGATATAGCGTGGGTGTCGCCCAGCGCGTCGCATGTTGCGGAGTCGATTCAATGCTTCGTTCAGGTGGGACTCGGGGCGACCATGGGTGATCTCAAGTTCGTCGGCAATCATGGCGGATCCCTTGAAATCGGTGGCGTAGGCATAAGGGTCAAAGGTGTCGTCACTGGGCACCGAGCTCATGCTAGACAGCTCGGAAACGGGGGTCTGGCAACCAGAGAGAAAGCTGGAAGGGCTGGAGGTCAGGCCAAGATAGCTATGCCACCGTTTGACCATGTCGGGTCTGCTGTTGAACAACTTTCCCACGGCTTGGTCCACCAAGTTGACCGTGGTGGAATCCATAGCGAGGCCAGTTGCCAAAGCAATGTCGAGCATATGAGCAAAGCGAATAGGATGGGCAACATCGAAGGACATGGAATGGTTGTTGACTAGCATGCCTGCTTGAACCTGAAGAGCCAGGGCAAGATCGCGCGGGCTGAGCTGCGAAATCTCGAGAGGGCCGAGGAAGGCGACGGCATGCTCAGCAGCGGGAGACACTAAGCCTCCATTCTCAACCATCAACCACAAGAGCGACATGGAAGCTTGAGGAGAGAGCACAGTAGCACTCTGCACAAGAACACGACTGAGGAGATGAATACTTTCGTTAATTTGTTCACGAACAGAACTTGTCGACAAGTTTTTGATCGAGGCACTGCGGATGCGAGTGAACATATTTCGCGCCTGGATCAAAGCCTCCTCGGTGTAACCACTCTTGAGGAGGGCCACGGCATACATGACGGTCGGTTGGACCATATCCGATGTTGCCTGACCCACCGTACTCAACATTAGCCACAGGGGTCGCGCGGCAGACACATTTCCTTCGCGCACATGAAGGGCTAGCATTGAAACAGCAGGCTTCTGGCGCGTTTCAATGTCTGTGGGGAGACGGTCATACGCTTCGGAAGCGGTTTTCAAGTTACCCGAATCAGCGGCCACCATGCAGATTTGGGACATGGCCTGATCCAGTGCCCCATCATGCAGTCGTGTCTTGGCTTGCTCGAGGGCCCGTTCATGATCACCCGATTTGAGAGCATGCTGCACCAGGGCATCATGGAAGATAACGGACTCCATTGCACCCTGCCGCGCTTCACGGTTCTCCGTCACCCCGTCGAAGGAGGTACGGATCCGCGCCAGGAAACGCATCGCGTTCTCCTCCTTGCCACAGGAGATATAAGCCTTGATCAAGGCTGCATAGACCTGGCCATCTAGCCGCTGGACGATGCAGAATGTACCGTTGTCATCAGCGACCGCGAGCGCCCTGTATTCATTGTAGCACTCGACAGCGCTCCGCAGGTCCCCAGAGGAAGCGAAAGCGTCGATCATCGAAGGGAAAATGGAGGCATGAGGAATCACTTTGTGGGTTTCCATATGGGCGTAAACACGGATCATCTGCTCCATGTGTCCCTCGGTTGCACAGGCGGTGATCAGATAGCGATATGTATCCAAGGAAAAGACAAGCCCCTTGTGACGCGAAGTGGCGGTATCAAACAGTTTCATGGCGATTCTGAGGGACTCGTCCTCCGCCAGGATGGCTCTCTCCAGCTCACTGGAGTGCAGCATAAATTTGCCAGGCTCCTCCATACCCCCATAGCGGACGCGTTCTTGTTCCAGCACCTCCATAGCCTTGGCGGCGTCATGGGCACGGGTGACGAAGAGCTGGACCAGCATCTGATAGGTTTGCTCGTCAGGAATAACCCTGCGGCGAAGCATGTCGGAATAAACATCGAGGGCTTTCGGGATGGCTTGCGATAAATCATCATGCAGGTGGATGGCCGAGTCCAACAACGCGTTGTAGGCACCAACCGTTGGGATGAGCCCATCTCGGAGGAGCGCTGCAAACGCACCCGGGACGTCCGCAAACTGCTTAGATGACGCAAGCTCGACGATTCGTTCTGACGCTATGCGTGACTCCTCGGTCGCGTAGTTTTCCACAGCGGCGACATCAGGTGGCAGGTCAGGGAAGGCCTCGGTAGCGGAGGTATCGTGGGTCTCGGATGCTTCCTCCGCTTGAGCTTGCTCTTCTTGAATCTGAATTTCGCGGGCGACTGCCTCCTCCACCTTGGCACTCACATCGGAATTGGCGGAGGCTTTGGTGATATGGGGAGAATGATGGAAATCGGTAGGGGAGGTGGACAGGTCATCTCCCTCCTTCTGCTGGGCCGCCTCTTCCTCCGTAGAAGGTTTCCAGCCGACTCTCTGCTTGAGCTGCAATTGTTTCCAGTCACTATCATCGCCAGTCTGCTGGGCTTGTTGCCAGGCGGCATAGTATGCGGCTAAACCCGCATCTCCCGAACCCGAACCCGCCTGACCGGCCTTGGCGCCAGCGCCTGAGGAACTTGAGGGTTGGAAGACATGTTGCAACTGAGCAGTGCGTGAGAATTTGGCGGGATGAGCGGCAGTGAGGTGGTTAAGGGTTGTGGACGACGCGTAGGACGACTGGGATGCGGCGACTACGGATTGAGCATAGCCATGAGTAAAGGCCTTGGTGAAACTCTGACGCGCGATATGGGTAAACGGCTTGAAAACCATTTATCTCGCGGGGGACCTCTTCAACTGGAAGAGGCAATGCTAGAAGGGGAAGTCAGCGGATGAGATTCCAGGTAGATTTCCGGCGGGATTAGTTCGGAACATACCCTGTATTCACAATAGTAGGGATGATACAGGTTCATTTGACGACCCTTTGTCGTCAAAGGAACGCGGTAGAAAAGGGAATGAAGGGCAGGTAGAGAAAGATGAAAAGGATCTTGTCAGAGTGATGGTGAACCGGACAGAAGATATGTGGGAGCGAAAGGGCGAAACTCGGAGGAAAAGATGAGGTATTTGGGAAAGCCGGGACAACGGGCCTATCAAACCGGTTAGCGTAGATCCCACCCATAAGTTCCAAAAATTGCGTACTTTTGGTTAGGGCCAATAATAGCTTCGAGAAACAAGGCCTAGGATTTAAAAGGGTTCAATTGCAAGAAAAAGGGATTGATCGATCGAGAGACAATGTTGGCCGCGCCACTTCAGGTCCGCAGGCATCAATGTTGGTATATCTATCCTATGTACTTCAGGGTTGACAGGTGTAACAGGGCTCCCTCGTTGCCTAGTTCATCAGGTGGTTAACTAGAAGTAAATCAGGGATTTCTGAGTCACGGAGATTCCGAGTCTTTTTCTTGTTACCGGACTTTGCCTGGAAATCCCGGTCTCGTACCGGATTTCCGATGGCCCGAAGACCGAATGCTAAAAGTACTAAGTAGATATGTCCGAGATCAAAAAAGAAACAGAAATAAATGATGTACCTATCTATTTACTAGTCACTTGATACATCGGGTTTTCTAGAATACGAGCTGGCTGCTTCGTAGTTCGTTCTCCTATTCTTACTCTATCGTACGATAATCGTTGGCTCAGATCTAGGTACAGTATATGCCCTCCAATCACCTCTAGATAAATGAGCATACCTATAGTTCAATTAACCTAACGTAGTCGTTCGCGTCAGGTTCCTCAATTTTCAGGCACTGCTCTCACCAGCCACAACGCCATCTCTCACTCGCCACAAGTCAAACGACAAACAACAATCAACTTGCTCAGTAGACATCCAAGGGGACAATTATAGAATCCGGCATATCCTTCTGAAATGCATTCTTGAAATTCGCAAATTATCCGAATCTGACATCTGCAGCTGCACCCTTGTTTGGCTTCGATCGATGGTTTATCTGTGATCTCCGGCATTATTGAGGCGGGGTTCAACAGCTCCCTTTTTACCACCTTGAATACCGGTGAGTGTCTGCTTTTCGGCATTATTCTTTGCTTCCTCTTTTCTCATGGTGCCTTCCCCCCCTTCCCAGATTTCCGAGCAATTACTTCAACGTTCACGACCATGTCCTACAGATCCTCCGCAACTACTGCGGTCTCCGCCCCCGGTAAGGTCCTTCTGACCGGTGGCTATCTCGTTCTAGACCGCAATTTCACAGGCACCGTCTTTGCCCTCGACGCTAGAATTCACGTCGTTGTTGAACAGCTGCGGAAGGGCCATCGCCGTGCCCCATCTGTCGGATCGGAAGCGGTTGACAATGGGGGTGCCACTAAGCAAGAGAAAGAAAACGAAGACTCAATCGTCGTGCGCTCGCCCCAGTTCGTCGGCGCAGTCTGGGAATACAGCATCGCGCGGTGTGAAAACGCCGGCGGAATTAAAGTCATGCAGAAAAACGAGGGGTAGGGGGAACCTTAGCGCCACCGTGCTCCATTGCTACACACACCAAGCTAACATGCATTAGACGGGGCAATCCCTTCGTCGAGACCTCGTTAAATTTCGCCTTGACCTATATTAGCTACGTGGCTGATTCCAAGGATTTTGGCTCACTGTCGATCACAATCCTCGCGGATAATGACTACTACTCCGAAACCGCGTGTTCCAAAGCTTCAGGACAAAATGCTGCGGGCAAGTTTGTGAACTTTGGGGTTCCTCTCCATGAAGCACACAAGACCGGCCTCGGTTCGTCGGCCGCTTTGGTTACTGCGCTGGTGTCCGCCCTGGTCATCCACCGTACTATGCAACCGGATGACATTGGTGCTGCCCGTGACAAATTACACAACCTCGCTCAGGCAGCCCATTGTGCAGCGCAAGGAAAAGTGGGCTCTGGATTCGATGTTGCTGCGGCTGTTTATGGCTCCTGCCTATACCGCAGATTCTCGCCGTCTATTCTGGAATCAATCGGTGACGTCGGCACGGCTGGGTTTGAGGAACGGCTATTCAAGGTGGTTGAGGATGCCGATCCCGAACACCCATGGGACACTGAATGTTTGGATTTCGGCATGACTCTTCCCCGCGGCATGCAAATGGTTCTGTGTGATGTCGAATGCGGCTCGCAAACCCCCTCGATGGTCAAGAAAGTTCTGGAATGGCGCAAGCAAACCCCACAAGAAGCGGACCTCCTCTGGGATGCTCTCCAGTCGAACAACGAGCGGCTCTGCCTCGAGCTCAAACAGCTCTCTCAAAACTCCGAGAAAGGCTTTGGCGACGTCCGCGACCTCATCCAACGCTCTCGGAACCACATTCGCAGCATGACCGCGAAGTCCGGGGTCCCTATCGAACCCAAGGTACAGACCGAACTTCTTGATGCCATGTCCGAGGTTGAAGGTGTTGTGGGCGGCGTGGTTCCCGGCGCAGGCGGCTACGATGCTCTAGCGGTCCTGATCCGCGATGACCCCGAGGTGATTGAGCGACTAAACACGCTTTTCGCAACCTGGGAGAGCAAAGTGGACGACGACTTTGGAGGGAAGATCGGCCAAGTCCGGCTCCTCGGAGTGCGTCACGGCTCCAGGGGCCTGGAGAACGAGTCCCTGGAGCAGTATCGCGGGTGGTTGTAGGCGATCACTGGAAGAGAACGAAATCTACCTGACCGGCCTTCCCTTCTTAATTGTGCATTTCCCCCCCCCCCTGCTTCCTCTCTTCCAATGGGTGTCTGTGTCTGTGTCTTACGAGGAACGACTCTAACGAAGGACACGTCTAAATGATGAACGATGAACGTAATGAATGGTCTACAATGAAATAGTTTATTTACTTTAATAGACTCGCGATAATTCATTCTCTGCATTTTTCCTCGAGTGGTTCCTCTTAACAATCGGGAGATGTTCGGCTTGGTAGTTTACAAGTCTGGCTCTCGCTGTATATGCATACTCGGTAGCCAAACAATTAACGATCAATCTAGGAAAGCTTGGAATAACGCACACACACACACACACATATATATATATATATATGTAGGTATCGATATAGAGATGGTTCTATGTAGGGATAGACGATGACCGAAATAAGGTAGGTCGACGTTTGTAAGTACATACATACATGATAGTAATGTAATGTAATGCAATGCAATGCAATGCAATATGCGGGACAGGGAGAGAGGAAGAGAACGAATGTGACCTGACCAAAGGCAAAGTACTACTAGTACCACTAGGCAGGCAGGGTATAGCTGGCCTCAGCGTCCATCCGAAACCAGAGGAGACCCGGATATTAAACAGATCCCTCGTTGTGTTATTGGTATTGATATTGAGCTTGTTGATGCTGATGCTGGTGTTGATGATGTCGGTGTCGATGAAGATGTCGAAGAAGATAAATGCGGTGCATTCTCGGTAGTTTCGGATTGATCTACCCGTTCAAACAACGGGGACCGACTTCGTGGTGTATGCGCCCCCACGGAACGAGTGGACCGCATGCGGTTCAACGCTTTCACGGATATCGTCTGCCCCGCTGCTGGTGATGCGACGACAATCGTCCCCGGCGTTGGCGTGGGAGGTGGCGAGCGGCTGTCGGAGCGGAAGAGCGGGTGGATGTTGCTTTCGTCGGGGAGATTGAGCTTGGGGAGAGGGCGTTTGGCAATCGCGTCGATTTGTGTAGGGGAGGAGGAGGAGGAGGAGGAGGGTATGGGAGATGATAGAGCAGAGGAAAGGGGCCGGAGCAGCACGCTGTCCAGGGAGCGCTTCAAGTCCGAGTTGCTTCGGTGGAGTTGCTGGGTTCTGCTCAGGGGGTCGGCTGCGGATTCGAGATCCGGGTCGTCTGGATAGGGGTCTGGCTTCGAGCGAGTCGTGACGCTGTCGGGATAGGACACCAGAGTGGTGGTTTTGGTGAGGTTTAGATCAATCGAGTTGGGTTTCGAGTCTTGGTGGAAGAGGGTTCTGTCCGAGAAACGGTTGGAGCCTTGCGATGCCGTCCTGGAAGCAGACGGTTGGATTGGGGGAAGACGATCATCCTTTGGGTCGATGGATGGCCGCTGCGATTCGGTGGTCTGGGACGGCGTCTTTGCAGCTTCGACTTGATGGATCGTCCCCGATGGATTCGGGAGGATGATGGCGTCCAGCTCGTGGGATATTAGGGTTGGCCATTGGCTGGGGTTGTCTTTCCGGGTCCGAGTCAACAAGTATCCGCTTAGTGTGCCTTGACTGAGCACCGAAATCGCCCATAGAACACAGCGGGCGATGAGGACCGACTGTCGATTTGAGGTGGCTGACGACTTCCTAGACTCGGATTCCGATCCGGAGGCCCCAGACAGGGATTGCACCGCGCTCCATGCTATCCCCGCCGCTGTGATTCCGGTGGCAAGAGAGAGATAGCCAATGGCGGTGCCATATGTGCATCTCCTCCACGGCTTTTGCTGGACCCTGGAGTCGACCTTAAGATCGTTCATCCAGAGCAAAACCATGACAAGTAGGACGACACAGCTGAGGGTGCTGAGGCTGACAATGACGGCCTCGACTGTCGAGGTATTCGGCACGGAGGCCCTGGAAGTGGCGTAGCACACGCCGTCAAGAATGGTGACAATGAACGTGGACAGCAACGAGGCTCCTCCCAACAGGTAGGCCGGAGAGGCCTTGGGCATCCTGGAGTTAGTTCTATGGATGTCTGGCCAGGCGGCAAGGTCGGGGATCTGTAGAATTTACGTCCTGTGTAGAACCTGGACGGGTATAAAGCGGGGATTGAGGCCGAGAAATATGGCCTGCAGGGCTGTAGGGAGTGATCAATATTAGAACCGAAGGCCAGGTATTGAGAGGACCATCTAAGGGGTGCCCTTTTCATGGCGTTTCACACGGATGTTATTCTCCGAGAGAACATTTTCCAGAACAAAAGAGAAAGCGTGAAAAAGAAGGGAATGGTAATGTGTATACCGCTAGAACGAAGGTTGAGTGGAGTCAGAAGAGACTGTATGGTAAATGAGAGACGAAACAGGGCAGGGATCCCAGCAGCACAAAGAATGTTGGAATTTGATCTAGGGAAAATACAAGATAATCAGCACGGTGGAGGAGGGCGTTCTATAGGATATAAGGGCTGGGATGCATGGAACGGTTCGTAGAAAAATCATCGCGTATGCAAGGCCGGGGGTCCGGATGACACAGCGACGTTGACGGCTCAGACAGTTGCCAGGCCACAGAATTATTTTTATATATATATATATTATCAACAGCAGAGAGATACTACGCAGGCATTACAGATACATTGTTCCAGATTCCCTGGTTGTGGAGGGGGTTTAAAATGCACAGTTGACGGTCTACGAGCCCTAAACACAACCACTCTATTCGGAAGGCCTGGAATGGCCCCCCTCCAGAGCTTTCCATTGACAGATATGTACATAGATACTGGACGATTGGAAGACCTCTCACCTCCCTTCACAGTTACCAGAAAGAGAACCCGGCCGTCCATTTGTACCTGGGAAATATCTAGCGAGGGCCACCCAGGGTGGCGGGATTCAACAAGCTCGACTGAGATATCTCTGTAGTCCGCGCGGAGTCTCAGGCATTTCCCCCGGACCGCCACATCCTATTGTGCGCCTGGCATATTATAGTGCATGAGCTAGCCCTTAGATTTTTCCTGGTTATCGATGACCGCCAGAGGCCGTGATTGGACGGTATAACCCTAAGGGATGGGACTTCTCTTGCATGGGACAGGTCTTGAGAAAACAATTTGTCAATATCCGATTAAAGCCATAAGGAGAAATCCCAATGACTTTGAATAGTAGATCGTCAAATTATGATTCCAAGAGGGGGCACGGGATGTGCTGGTGCCAGTAAGTCTCCCGTCTACCGATGTGACGTGTCGATAGGTTGGGTACACTCTTCCCAGGAGGACAGCAAGTTGAAATTGGGAGAATGGGACACATGAGAGCCCAAGATAAAATGATTTGAAAGTACAGACAGAAATCCTAGGGCATTTGATTACTGTGAAATAATGGAGGAGAAAAAGATGAAGAGAAAGAAAGATGAGTAACCTGACTGACCCGAGCCCTAACAAACCCCGTTATACTACTACTACTACTACATACTCATCCCATCCCGTCCGGCTCACTCTTATGTGACAGATCGATGAGATATGTCTTCTTTATCACAGACGAGAGAAGACAGTTAACACTAAATGATTCCAGAATAGAACCAAGAGGACAATGAAGCCACAATAATGAGGCAACAATATTCCCCAAGTACGAACCTTGGAATACTCTTCCAGATACTAAAGATAGGATAGGGGAGGTTCTGCCTCCTTGGGCTGTTTCCTCGTCCGGTCAACTATCTAAGCATCAAGAAATTATTTAGATAGTTAGTATCTCAAATATTTCACACTGGATTATTGATGGTTTTAATAATACGAAGCGAATGAAAGCAGGTGTATGGGGGATCCCCAACATCTACCTCTGGCTAATCTTTAAGAAAGAGAACAAATCCCATGCCTTGGAAGTCCCAAGACTTGAGAATGAGCGGTTAATTCAATGTAATATCCACGCCGGCCAGGGGCAGTACCCAAAAGAGAACGACGAGTAGAAACACCAATGCGGCGAGCACGGTTTTACACCTCTGCCATGGCAATATCAAAAGAAAGAGAGTGAATGATCTCGCTTCCTACTCCATGTTTCCAACCGCCTCCTTAAGTGTATCCCTAGTGACAGGACTGGCATGTCCAGACGCCCCAGCACCCGGATAGAGACGTCGTATTTATAGAGGAGAACCACCGGATCAAGAGTTTATCCATGTGGCTGGGACGAGGGGAAAACGTGGCTGTGGATATGAAAGTGAGGCTGTCCACGAGTGTCCGTGACCGCCTCCAGCTCCTCCTTCCATCTCCTCCTCCTCTGGCATCATAATTCATCACTACTGCCTTCTGCTGCTCACTTACCTCATTTGCAGACTTCTAGTTCTGTACTTTCCCATCCCTCTTTTCCATCCATCATCCTCTAAAATCTCTCTCCTCCTCCTGGTCCATCGATCATTTTTCCTACCCTCACCCTTCACTTCCCCTCCCCCACCTCTTCAAGCCCATTTTCCTGTCTCCGGTGGCGCAAAATGAAGCTCACATTCAAAGTAAGAAGCCTCGCGGAACCCCTTCAGTCCTGCCAGATCGATCCTAATATCTTCTTCTCTAGGATCTGAAACAGCAGAAGTTTGTAATCGATGCAGAACCCTCGGAAACTGTAAGTTATTTACTCCCCCCAGCCATCAAAATCTACTTGTGTCGGCGCGGGGCTAATAAAATCTGCTTCAGGTCGGGCAAGTGAAGGAGAAAATCTCCACGGAAAAAGGATGGGATGTCCCTCAGTTGAAGCTCATCTATTCCGGTCAGTTGATTCCGTTGCCCTTTGTCTAATCATCTTTTCAGGAACACGGTTCCATGAATCCCAAACCCGACCTCGAAAAATGTATGTCTGACAGTTCATCCAATTTAACAGGCAAGATTCTTCAAGATGACAAGACAATCGAATCGTATAGTATCGAAGAGAAGGGATTCATTGTGTGCATGGTATCAAAGGTATTTTTTTTTTTTTTTTTTCATTTTACCTTGTCCGCCAACTCCACTTTGCAGTCATATTTGTGCTGATTCCTTTACCTGGATTAATTAGCCCAAAACTCAGCCCACATCTGCCACTCCTTCACAAGGTCCCTCTACACCATCTCGAGCAGTAGCCTCAACTCCCGCTGCGCCTCCTGCCCCTGCCCCTGCCCAATCTATGAATACGTCAGCCCCCGCTGTCCCTGCAACTCCCTCTCCTGCCTCGTCCGGTGCCGCTCAAGCCCCCCCAGCCGCTTTCAACGATCCCTCGGCCCTGTTGAGTGGCTCTCAGGGCGAGCAAGTTATTGCTCAGATGGAGAGCATGGGTTTTGATAGAAGCGATATCACTCGTGCGATGAGGGCCGCCTTTTTCAACCCGGATCGTGCTATTGAGTACCTCTTGAACGTGAGTACCGCAAGGCTAATTTTTTTTTTTTTCCCCTACTACCACTTACCTGTCTGACAAAAACCCCTTTACAACCGCCAGGGTATCCCCGACGACATCCAACAGGAACAGCATCAACCCGCCGCTGCCACCCCCGCCGCCCCCCAGGTCCCTACTGCTCCCATTGGAGGTGCTGCCCCCGCTGCTGCCTCTGCGGAAGACGAGCCGGTTAATTTGTTCGAAGCAGCTGCTCAGGCCGGCAATCCGGAAGGTGGTCGGACTCGTGGAGGTGCAGGTGGCGAAGGTCTCTCAAATCTTGACTTCCTTCGCAACAACCCCCATTTCCAGCAACTTCGCCAGCTTGTCCAGCAGCAGCCACAGATGCTTGAGCCAATTCTCCAGCAAGTCGGTGCTGGTAACCCCCAAATCGCTCAGCTTATTGGACAAAACGAGGAGCAATTCCTTCAGCTATTGAGCGAGGAGGATGATTCCGGTATTGCGCCTGGCACTACTCAGATTCACGTCACAGAAGAGGAGAGGGATGCGATTGAACGGGTACGTATTATTGACTTTGCGTTCTCCCTCCTTGGTGTTGAAGCTAATTCCGTGCCAGCTTTGCCGTCTCGGGTTCTCGCGAGACTTGGTTATCCAGGCTTATTTCGCTTGCGATAAGAACGAAGAGCTCGCAGCAAACTACCTGTTCGAGAACTCTGACGACGCTGACGATGTATGAACCACCTATCCAGCCTCTTAACTGAGGCCTCTCTATCAACGATACGCTTCTTGCGCCTTTTGATTTTGAAATTTCTTCTATCATAATGAATACCGCATTACACTTCCCATCCTCCTCCTCCCAAGTTTATCGTAGCGCCGGCCGGTTTTGTCTACTACCGCCTGGTATCCCCTGGCCCTTATACCTTTCTGCCCCCAGCTATTTTGATGAGGTGCATTTCGAATAACTATTTATCCCCGCTTAACTTGAATTCTCCCACCCCTTGTACACCGCAGTGCTCCCTATTTCTTCGGTAGCCACCTTTCTTTCAAACGTATCATGGTTATTTCCTTGAATTTTTTTTTCTATTTATCTAACACGGGACTTGCGCCATTCCATGCCATGTACCTTGCTTTTTATGGGACAAAATGAAAACTTGATTCACTCAACCACGGAAGACAATTACTCTCAACCCTTAAACCCCAGTTTGTCCGACCAACCATAACCTGCAAGCATACTTGGGCACAGACATATATACAGACAGAACTTAAGGGATATTATTGCTCCGCTGGATATTTACCCGACCCTGGGAGTTTCTAAAATCTTGTGACATATGAATTCCGATAGGGCCTACGTATATATATATATATATACTACTTCGTGCTTTCCACTTCGGAGAGGATAAGAAACTGCAAATAAGTAGAGTTTAAGGGAAATGGGATAATATGGTCCTTGATAGAAGAGAGGGGGAAAAAAAGCTTATGTCGATATGCCAACCATTAATCTATAAAAAAAAATATCCAAGGTGTCGTCGTGATTTAGATTCGCATAAGAGGATGGGTATAATTGGGATATGACCGATATCAAATCAATATTCCGAGGTGGGGGAATGGGGGAAAGAGTGGGGAAACATGTACAAAAGAAGAAGAAAAGAGGTGTCTCGGGGGAAGGGGGGGACATCATATGCAATATAAGGGAGGGGAGAGAGAGAGAGCTTCTTAGCAGTGAAAAGCAAGTGAGGAGGAATGATCCAAGAGCCTTAGTTCTACCCCACAGTCAACTGATGAGTGAGAATGAGACAGTTCATGGCATCAGCTGACAGCTGACAGCTCGTCAATTGCACCCAGCCCTTTTCGCAAGCCAAACGCCTAGTCCACGTCTCCCAATTACTCGTTTCAGTGTGGGGAGAATACCATCAGTACCGAAGTCGAGGTCATCCAAACTAATGTGTTTTCTGTAGGTCCATAGTTCATAGAGTTCCACACTCGACTCGATGCTGTCCGGAGCGGTGAATTGGTCGAGAAATGTGGCAGATTTTGGCGCAACCACGAAGACAGCGTCTGGTTGTCTCGGCCCTTTCGAATTCGAGTACTGTGCGCGTTTCCTCCTCGAGCGGCAGGAAGGAATTAACTTTTCGAGTTCGTTGACCATTTCTGATCCGGGCATGCCCATCAAATCTCGAGTTTCGATGTTCAGGTTTAGTGGAAGGCTAGAATTATCCCCTAGCAGCCACAGAGGAGGGGAATAGGTCTTCCACCAAAGGACAGTAGCGGAAACAGGTTGGTTCCCGTTCTGCGACAGTTTGTGCCAGTTTTCGCTACTCGCCGATATAATTGAAGGCACCGCAAGTTGGGTTGGCACAACGCCTCCCTGATGGTATACTCCCATGAGGAACCCTAGAGCAACATTGAATATCACCCAAGTGGCCAGAAATATGCGCGATTTGTGGACATGAAGGCAGCTGAGAAGAAGAGGTACACAAGGAATCAAAAACCGGGGTTCTTGATGGGGGAATATAGACAACATGGCGGTAGCTGATAATGCGGAAACCACGCGGATATTCTTGAACCGCGAAGGAATGTCTCGCAAATGGTATATACGTACCGCAATCCAAATAAGGGCAGGGCCGAGAAGCTGTGGTAAGTTTACTAGAAAGTGATGATAGTGGGGGTGGAGTCCATGGAGAGCCAAATTAGAGGTGTCGGTGTTGTAGACAAGATTGTTTATCGGGGTGATTACTGGGGAGCGCACGATGTCCCAGAATGATGCTGATGGATTGTAAAATGCTGTGTCGGTAGAAATAGCGACGGAGAGGAATATGAGGCCGAAACCAACGAAGGAGACCAGGGAGAGCGGCCTAGAGGGAGGGGTTAAAACCCGACAAACCAAAGACGTAATCAGATAGATACTCACCTGCGCCAAAAATGAGGCACTAACTGCAGTCCTGGAATCGCAAGGTAAGCTGGGAAAGTGATCCTGTTGAAAACCCCCGCGACGCAGATGAAGGACAACACGGCGCAAGAAAAGACAGCGGACCGTCGCTGTGAAGATTATGAGTTAGCAAAAATAATTAGCAAGTTGAACAGCCAGAGAGCGCTAACCCTATTTTCCAGGATGCGGCGAATCAACACCAGACCCCAGGCAACCAACAAGGTCTCGAGGGAGTTGGAAAATGTGTGCGTCTGATAAGTCCAGGTGACATATGAGGATGCCACCAACACCACAGCTACCCGTCGATGGCGGGGGAGAGGAACCAGCTCATGCACGGCCCAGTCTTCTAATACAAAGCTCAGAAGAAACATCACCCCTCTCGCTACATAATATACTATCTGCGCCGGTGGGCTTTCCGTCCCGGTCTCGGTATAGAACCATCGCAGGAAGTTCATGGGGAGGGCGTAGATCGGCCATAGTGGGAAGATGCTGCGGATGGGATGCTCGGAGGTAAATTCCCAGGGTAACTGGGACGGATATGAAAGAATACGGCCTAGAGGGGGATGGATTGTGAGTGAGCTATCCGGAGCAAAGCAAAGCAAAGCGAAGGAAGGTGGTGTTGTTGGGAGTTAGTGGGGTGTGTGCGGCGAGTAAGGCAGGACAGCCGTCGCATTGTCAAATGACCGGAACCCGCATCTCAATTATAACCAAGCTCAATTCAAGACGTACCTGCGAAGAGTTCAAGGCCCTGGAAGTGCTCATCCGGGTGGATATAGCTGGGGGAGAGTGCAAAGTAAACACGGATTACCAGAAGAATCAAGTATGTTCTTCTCCACATGACTGGGATTTATTGAGGTGTAATGATTGAAGTAAGGGGAGAGAGAACAAGTATGCAAATAGAAGCTTTCTCTCTCTTATTGGACATGCCTGCTACCTTCGTTTAGGGCCGATGCAATCCCATCCCGGTGGGATATGATGCTGGAGTATTGAAAGAACGTTGTGCGACGAAGAGGGGAAGGGAAAGAAGAGAAAGAATAGGTGATTAATTAAGGGAAATATTACGCAGAATGGAAAGAAAAAAAAAGCAGAAGAAGAAAGGGGAAAAGGGAATAAAGGGAAAGATATAACGATATGATCAGCAAAGGAGAGAAAGGGAATAATAATAAAGGATTGATTTATGACTGATGAGGCTGGTTTTTTGAGTCGACTGAATCCGAATACGCGTCTGACAGTAATAGGTTAAGAATCCACGAAGAGGTTCTCTTTTTTCCCTTTTTCTTTCTTTTCTTTTAGTTCCTCTCTATAAAAGTTATTCTAATTCTCCTGTCTAGATTCTAATATTATTGTTCCCAGTTCCTTCGACATAGACATCCGGAGTCAGATCTCCGATCTCTATAATTACAGTGTAATTACATACTTTAGGCCACGAACAAAACTTAACAGGCATCAATCACTCTTGGATTTACTTTTCTTTCAAGTCTACTTAATGTCCAACTCTTCTTCTTCTTCTTTTCTTTATCTTCTTCTTCTTCTTCTTCTTACAGATTTTTCTAGTCTGTTGTGTTGTATTCAGTGAATTTATTGGCGTGAAACCAACCCCCACCCACCTTCATTCACATCATCAAGTTGGTAACTTTCGAGCCTCGCTCTCTCTCTCTCTCTCTCCCTCCCCGCCTCAGACCCCCCCATATATATCTTCAAGCTACCCTCGAACCACAACCACCTTTTCAATTATCTTCTGCTTTTTTCACCAACAAGAACCTATAGCGGTTTCTAACCTTGGCTTGTACCCCATCCAGATCTTCAAAATGACTTCCTCTCCTCCTCCTTCCCTTGTCCTGACCAGCTCCGATGGCGCCGACATCACAGTCCGTAAGTGTTCCCTCGTTTTGGCTTTGCTTCTCTCGGCGCACTTGGTCATATCCTAGCAGCAAACTAATACTTCTCTCTACGACTAGCCCGCGAAGTTGCTGAGCGCTCCCTTCTGATTAAGAACATGCTTGAGGACTTGGGTGATGCCTCCGAAGCTATCCCCATTCCCAACGTCAGCTATTCTCCCCCAGCCACGAGAAAATCCCATGCCTAATTTTTCTCTCAATAGGTCAACGAAGCTGTCCTGAAGAAGGTGATCGAATGGTGCCAGCACCATAAGAACGACCCTCCCAGCACCAGCGACGATGATGACTCCCGCCGCAAGACTACCGATATCGATGAGTGGGACCAGAAGTTCATGCAGGTTGACCAGGAGATGCTGTTTGAGATTATCTTGGTGCGTATTTTCTTCCCCAACACCAGGAACTTACTTGCTGAAGCGTTACGAACTAATCATCATTAAATAGGCCGCCAACTACCTTGATATCAAGGCTCTCCTCGACGTCGGCTGCAAGACCGTCGCCAACATGATCAAGGGCAAATCCCCCGAAGAGATTCGCAAGACCTTCAACATTCAGAACGACTTCACTCCCGAGGAGGAGGACCAGATCCGTCGTGAGAACGAGTGGGCTGAGGAGTGAGTAATCCCTGACCTATTTCAACCATCCACAGCCTCACTAACTTCTCTTCTTTCCTTTTTTTTTTTTTCTAGCCGCTAAATTTCCTTTACCATAAACTATTCCCCATGCTTTCTTTGCGAACTGCTGGTTGGCTTCGGAAGACCGGTACCAGGGAGATACGTACCACTGACGCCGTTGAACTCTGGTTTTGACCAGGTCGGAAGAACCCAGCAGTTCCACGGCGTTAAGGATTTCTTCGCAGCGGTTGCTTCACATTTTGTTTCTCTGGTTCTTTTTCTCTAGTTTTTTTTTGTCCCTCTCCACTGGCGATTTCACCTCACAATCATTAAGGCTGGAGAAGATAGGATAGATGAGAAATCTTCGAAAGATAGGGCGGCTCGCGAGCAGTCTATTTATTAGCTTACCAGGTGCTGAAAACAAGGATTATGTCTTAAGTCGCTTAAAATGGAATGATTTGTCTTGAGATTCTCTTCAAGCCAGCCTGGATTCTAAGGGCAAACAGTTCGAAGAATACCTACCTATATATTCGATAAGGACTTTACTCCAAAGAGAGGAAGAAATAACTAGAGATATTGCGTAACAATCCCCATTGAATCATTTAGCTCACTGCTCATTACCCATCATAATTTTAAATTTGTGTCTTTTTTAGTTATCATCAACCTCGTGTACATGAATGGCAGAAAAAGGAAAAGAAAGAAAAAGAAAAAAAAAAACACTCAGATCCCTGCTAAAACCTAGGTTGATATCCAGTTTTCGACCCCATCCAACCAAACCTAGCTAACTAAGTGATTTATCGATCGATTGGGTGTGTTGTGGTATATTGTGAGTTGGGGGACGAGTTATATTGCCGATTTTTATGAAAAACAAAAAATCTGGAACCGAATCAAGTGCAGGGACGATAAAAGTCGAGGGAGGTTTTTTTTTTTTTTCTTCTTCTTCTTTTTTACTTTTTGCAAGTCATGTCATCGCGAAGTTGAGAAGAGTGTTTTTTTTTGGCGGTATCACAACTGAACGATATAATCCCGGGGAAACATAGACATCTCGGTTGGAGAGACAGATGGGAGAGAAGAAAATTCGCACGCGCACGAATTTAGATACCGAGACGGGTCTTGCGCCAGTGCCTCCTCTTGGCGTTGTATCTAGTAAAGAGAAAAAAAGCATGTTAGTGAGAGGTTTCGCATGGGGTATGGTTTTTTTTTTTAATTATGCATTCTTCTTTCATTTCCCGGACCTTGTCTGGGCGTGGGTTGTGGGTTGCGCTTGTGTCTCTGTCCACGGGGAGGGCTCAAATCCAATTTTCAAATCAAGTCTGAATGAGAGCAATGTTGTATATTGTCACGACGTAGCAGTCGTAGTTATTTTCTTTCTCTCCTCTCTTTGTTCTTTCTTCGCAGACTCATCCGCTCGCATCTCTTTCTCTCTGTCGGTTCGATTCTTGTTCCTTCCTCCTCTTGCGCACACAAGACAAGGCCCACATGGAAATAGTTTGAGGTTGAGGTAGAATTTACCTGATGGTGTTACCGGTCCTCAGACGAATCCACTGGGGGATGGGACGGTTCTGTCTCTGGGCTTTGGCAAGCTTCTGCTTGGTGCGGAAACTCTTGTGGCTCTATATCGAAGGTAATCTTTAGTTAGCAAGCGGTCACTTCATCTTTGCATCGCCACCAAGTGCCAGGAGGGGGGGGGGGAGAGAATTCGAAATTGAATGGGAATAAACTCCATTCAGACTGTGAAATCGAAATATCACATGAAGGGGGCTGCTAACCGGCATCTTGATGGCTTGTCGCGACGGCGAGCTTGATGTATGGACTGGCGATAGTGAGGTTGTCGACCGACCGTCTTCAAAGGCCTTTCGTAGTGGTGGTTTTTTTGTGCGGGCAGGGTTTAGCGCTTCGCTTCGGATGGGTCATGTGATTGTAGCCTTAGGCAGAACTTCATTGCCACGAGACCACTAGTCACCTGACAACCTCCTAGATTAATCTTAGCATAGCATAACTAGCATAATTCTATTCCTAAGTACTCCGTCCCTATTCCATATTGTTTTTTTTTTATTTCTTTTTCCAACAAAAACTGCTGTATGAAAAAATATTAACTATGGTCAACGATAGATCTGCCTCCGGATTGGGGGTTTAGTGGTTGGTATCCGAATACTGGGGATTTTCAAAAGCTCTCTTACATGTCTGGCAAAATGATTGGATTGACTACCGAATACATAACTTACTCTTCAACCATATCTTGACTAAACACTGGTCTATCTTTGTTCATGTACTTCCTCGTGCACCTGCCACTTCTCAATATCTATTCATTGATAAATCCATGGTTGAGAATGTATCCTTCTTGGGGGCGGGGGATTATATTTCCATCTCCGGGCTAGCGGACCAGCTAAGCTGCGCGACAACGACCTCTGCTATGATACTCCAGCATACTAAATACTCAACTGGTTAAAAAAAATTCAACATTCGTGTATTACAGGATTGTTCCTGAGCTCAGCCCATATGCATATACGAAGTAACTTTACCTTGTTTTGTTTTAATTTTTGATAACCCTATCTATGCATTGAAGGGTTCGCAACAGAACATGGAGCTGTGGGCATGAACCCCTAAGTTCATTCCACTGGGGGATTATGTTTTTTTATTCTATATAGGTATGAATTGTTCATTGCGTGCTAAAAGATGATTAGCTTTGCCGACTTCTGACTATTTGATTGGATCCTGACGTGTCATCTTATTAGGTCCCGTTGACCTTAGTATCGGAATCAAAACGGTCCCGAAATGCTGGCCAGAAGATCAACTCTACTACAGTTCTATTCCTACAGCAGTGAGCTTTGAACTCATAACTTCTTGCCAGCCATGTCGACAACAAACGCCAAGCGCAAGCGTGCGAGGAAGGCATGCATCCCTTGCCACCAGCGCAAGCGAAAATGCGACAACGTGTATCCTTGTGGCATGTGCACCACATACCAATACAACTGCAGGTACACCGACGACAACACCGCTGGTACTATGGGCGGCGGCGTACCTATTCCGCCTCCAGCCAAGCGCGTCAGCCTCGACGGTGAAAGTCGTCTGACGGGTCGGGCCGGCGCGTCCCCGGGCATCTTCGACGAGCAGAAGTTCAGATACTCCGGGGCATCAGCGGCCATGGTATTTCCGCACATCCTGGGTGTGGCTCTCGGTTCCGACAGCCCTCCAAAGATGCGGTCGTTCGCTTACAACTTTGGCATTCGCCCCGAGGAGGCATCCAGTGCTCACTGCTTTCTGGGAAATCTCATCTCGGAGGAAGACCTCGGCTCCTTCTCGGGTGCGTACTTCTCGGCTTTGAGCCCCATCTGCGACGTGATGGACCCCAGAATCTACGCCCAGCGATGCCGGGATTATTACCATAGTTCGGGCAGCAACGCGGTCGCCTTTGCCGCGGTGGCCGCTGGTGTCGCTGCTCTCGGATCGTTCCTATCGCCCAACAGACACTCGCGGGAATCTGACCTGGTGCAGTACGCCAAAGCGATCCTCGATGATCCGGCCTCCATACGTTTACATGGCATCGACCACATCGTCGCATGGGGCATGCGGGTGCTCTACCTACGGGCAACGACCCGGCCCAGCAATGCTTGGATCGCTTCGTGCACGCAAATGCACCTCTGTGAAGCGTTAGGGCTGCACGAGGAAGAGAACATCAAGAAGATAGCGTCCATCGCTGGCGCCGCTGTCCTTGGACATGATGCGGACCGGCTGAGGAGAATTTTCTGGATCTCGTGGGCCGGGCATAACATGCTGTCCTATGAATACGATCGTTCGCCTGTAGGATTTCGGGCCGTGACTTGCCAGCCTATCATCTCGATACCAGGGTCCGTTGCCGATCAGTTCGTACAACTAATCCAGATCATTCCATCGCCCAATTCTCCGTTCCAGCTCGAATTGCAGCCTCCAACTTCGAGTGAGGAGGAGCTATTCAAGCGTCTCAAAGCGCTGGATGAGCTCCAATTTACCCATCCGTTTCTGGTCGTGACTAAGGCGGACATTGCGTTTTGCTTCTATCGACGCCTTTACCAGCTCAAGATTCGCATACCGGACGATATAATTAAGCTCTTCATTGACAGCGGCAACGCCGCAGTGGAGGCGGCTGAGCAGCAAGCTAGCCAGGGTCGTCTATTCTGGAACGTCATCGGCAGCGTCTTCCAGTATACCTGCATCCTGTTGGCCATTGACACGCCGGCGGCCTCCGCCCACATCGGCGCCGCATTCAAGGGCTTGGAGAACCTTGTCAAGGCTGCAGATACAGGACTGACGCGCGAGGCGTTGTCGATGGCGCGGCACCTACTCGGCCTTAATATGGCAAAGAAGCGAAAGGAACTTGCTCAGCTGGAAGCTGTCGAGGCGGGCTATGAATTTTTTCAGGCACCGCCGGCATCCGAGGCGAACATCGCAGTTCCAGACGTGGATTGGGAGGTGGACTGGGATAAATTCTTCATCGAGCCATATTTACCCATGCTCGGTCCTGACGTCCAGTTATAGTGACCCATGCTGCCTTGTCCGGCTTTATGTGCGGCTTTGTGTGCGGCTATTGCGGAGTTTGTCTCCTACCCGCCGCACTAGCCTATCAGGTAGTGTTAGCGGACCCCCTGCTTGCGGCTGCTGCGGCGGAGAAGAAGCGTGGGCTTAATATATCAGCCTCCCACCATCGGCATCTTTAATTTGGCTGCCTTCGCCCCCGGTGCCATTATCTCCGGGCGAATCAAGTTTGAAGTTCCGACCAAGTTCAGTCGGATATAACTCTAGGATGTGGAGATCTTGTCCGAGACTTTCGAGTACGATCAGATTTGACAACTGGCCGAGATGGAGAGAACCTCGGAGAACTACAGCACTCGAGATTGGGTCTGAAATGTATAAATAGACGGGCATTCCTGCTCCAGAGAGTGGATAGCCAGATACTTACCAAGTCTCTCTCACAAGCTTAAACACCTCGAAACGCCTCGTTCGAACATAACAGCAGCGATTAATACATTCCCAACAATCAACCCAACCCATAATAATGCCCAGGTACGCCAAAAACCAGCCCGTCGGCTTCAAAAACGCCATCGAAAGAGTGGCCATTGTCGGCGTAAGTAAACCCCTCAAAACACAACACCCACGTATACAGCAAAACTAACACAAATACCCTTTAGGCTGGAGGTACTATTGGATCGCATATTGCCAAGGCCCTTCTAGAGACCGGAAGACACACAGTCACGGCCCTTTCCCGCAAAGACAGCGGTAACAGACTCCCCGAAGGCGTCGTAGTCGCCCCAGTCGACTACGATGATGAGGCCACCATTGTTGCCGCCCTCAAGGACCAGCAATTTTTAATCATCACCATGGCCCCTACCGCGCCCCGTGACGCCCACAGCAAGCTCGTCCAGGCGGCCGCCAAGGCCGCCATTCCCTACGTCATGCCTAACGGGTATGGCGGCGACATTGACGACATTAAACTCGGCGAAGAGACAATGCTGGGGCCCATAGCCAAGGCCCACAGAGACGAGATTGAGAGGCTTGGTATGCAGTGGATCACGGTGTGCTGTGGATTCTGGTACGATTACAGCTTAGCGGGCGGGGATTCGCGCTTTGGGTTTGACTTTGACAAGCGCTCGCTGACCATCTACGACGATGGCAACACCAAGAACTCGACGTCGACGTTATCGCAGGTTGGGCGCGCTGTGGCCCAGGTGCTGAGCCTCAATGAGCTTCCCGAGGACGAAACCGATAAGCGGCCTACCCTGTCGATGTTCGTCAACCAGGGCGTGTACATTAAGAGCTTTGTGGTCAGCCAGAACGACATGTTTGAGAGCGTCAAGCGTGTCACCGGCACCACTGACGCCGACTGGACGATTACCCACGCGAAGACCCAGAAGCGGTACGAGGATGGCCTGGCGCAAGTGCAAGCAGGCAACATGGCTGGTTTTAGCAAGATGCTGTATGCAAGGGCATTTTACCCCGATGGTTCCAATAGTCTCGCAGCCAAGGCGCAGAATGAGCTGCTTGGATTACCGGATGAGAGCCTGGATGAGTCTACCCAGGTTGGAATCGAAATGGTCAAGGAGCTGCAGCTTCGAGTTCAGCGTATGGCGGCATAGCTATATCCGTTATTAATCATGTCTAGTGCGAATCAATTGACCGGGATCTTTATTTTTCGCCTTGTTGCCTTGTGAAAAGGGTTCAATGGTAAAGTTAACTATAGTTAGGTAACTAAGTTACGTCGGTGCTGGCGGCAGTTGACCCCGAAATGCATTCCTAATCGGGTTGGTATAGTAATCTAGAATACTCGTACTCGGTTTGCTATATATAGTTCTAGTAGAACCTGGAGTTAAGTTAACCCCGTCATTTGAGTCATACCTAATAGTATTCTAATCCTTCGCCCCACGCTGGTCTACGTACCTTAGACTAGGTATGGAACCTGAACGTCAGGAAGAGATAATCATTCGGACAAAATCACTCTATTGGACATAGTAGGCGATCGGATGTTTAAAGCCCCGAGACCCGTGCAGGTATCAGGTAAGTGATGATAATATTTGGTGTCCGGGAGCTCTCAGATCCGTGTATTAAGGACTCTTAAACTATGGGATTCTTTTGTATGTATTGTGCTCAGATCTCTGTAAGAATCATGTACCACTCGGTAATCTTCCTTATAATTCAAATTTGATTGAATTTTTCTACATTTAATCTCTTTCTCTCCTCAAATCTTTCTGCGCTTGTTCTAACATCCATTCTGGTTATTTTTTATACTCTCCTCTCCTCTCCTCTTGTTTTCATCATCACCCTTTCTAATACTCTTCTGGTCGCCTTCCACGCATCTCTCTCCCCCATGGAGTAGTGGCGTTGAACGCCATTAAAGTTCCCTTTATCGACCAAAAGCCTCGACCATCATGTCGCACCCCACGGAGCAGGTCAACGAGCCTGCTCAGATCTCAGAGAAACAACAATCTTCCCCGCAACCTGCGATCGTGGAAAAGCGCGAATCGAACGATCGGTCGTCCGCCAGCAGCTCAACCGCAATTTCACCTGCAGATAAGGACCAACAACAACAACAACCCAAGTCCTCTCCTAGTAATGCGGACGTCGGGGTCAACAACATCGATGCCCTTCTGGCCCATTTGCCAGAGGAGGAGCGTCAGATTCTGAAGAAGCAGCTGGATGAGGAGAAAGCGCAAGTCTCGTTCTTTGGTCTTTACCGCTATGCGACCAGGATGGATCTATTTATTATTGCTGTTAGCATCCTGTGCTCCATTGCTGCTGGCGCTGCGTTACCCCTGTTTACTGTACGTATTCAACCCCCCCCCCCCCCCCCCCTTCCCAACCCCAAAAAGGTGCATTATGATCGCTAATTGCGTGTAGATTCTCTTTGGTTCCCTAGCCTCAGTCTTCCAGGATATCGTGCTAGGCCGCATTGCCTATCATGCGTTCTACCACAAATTGACAGAGAATGTTTTGTACTTTGTCTATCTCGGTATCGGCGAATTTGTCACAATTTATATCAGCACGGTGGGCTTTATCTACACGGGAGAACACGTTACACAGAAAATCCGCGAAAAATACCTGGAATCTATTTTGAGGCAAAACATCGCCTATTTCGATAAGTTAGGTGCTGGTGAAGTGACCACTCGTATTACTGCGGATACAAACCTCATCCAAGATGGTGTCTCGGAGAAGGTTGGCCTCACCTTGACTGCCCTTTCAACTTTCATTACCGCCTTCATTATCGCCTATATCAAATACTGGAAATTAGCCCTGATCTGTAGCTCCACCATTGTGGCTCTCGTGTTGACCATGGGCGGTGGGTCTCGGTTTATTATCCAGTACAGCAAGAAGTCTCTCGAAAGCTATGGTGCTGGTGGGACTGTTGCGGAGGAAGTCATCAGCTCGATCAGAAATGCCACCGCATTCGGTACCCAGGACAAGCTCGCCAAACAGTACGAAGTTCATTTGGAGGAGGCAGAAAAATGGGGGGTAAAGACCCAAATGATCATGGGCTTTATGATCGGCGGCATGTTCGGCCTCATGTTCTCAAACTACGGTCTCGGCTTCTGGATGGGTTCCCGTTTCCTGGTGGATCAAGAACTCGGCGTAGGTGACGTTCTTACAGTGCTGATGTCTATCCTTATTGGCTCTTTCAGCTTGGGGAATGTTGCTCCTAATGCTCAAGCATTCACCAATGCTGTGGCTGCGGCTGCCAAGATCTTTGGAACCATCGATCGTCAGTCGCCGTTGGACCCATACTCTAAGGAAGGAATGACTCTCGAACACTTCCAAGGTAATATTGAGCTACGCAACATCAAACACATTTACCCCTCCCGACCAGAAGTAACTGTGATGGAGGATGTCTCCTTGTCTTTACCTGCCGGTAAGACAACAGCTCTGGTGGGCCCCTCGGGTTCCGGAAAGAGTACGGTGGTTGGTCTCGTTGAGCGTTTCTACATTCCTGTTCGCGGTACAGTCCTCCTGGACGGCCACGATATCAAGGATCTGAACCTTAGCTGGCTCCGTCAACAGGTGTCTCTGGTTAGCCAAGAACCCGTGCTTTTCGCTACCACTATCTATAAAAACATCCAGCACGGTCTTATTGGTACCAAGTTCGAGAATGAGCCAGAGGAAAAGATCCGGGAACTCATTGAGAACGCTGCCAAAATGGCCAACGCACATGACTTCATTACATCTCTCCCTGAAGGGTATGAGACCAATGTTGGTCAGCGAGGGTTCCTGCTTTCTGGTGGCCAGAAGCAGCGTATTGCAATTGCTCGCGCTGTAGTGAGCGACCCCAAGATTTTGTTGCTCGATGAAGCTACTTCCGCCTTAGATACCAAGTCTGAGGGTGTCGTACAAGCGGCACTCGAGAAGGCCGCTGAAGGTCGCACTACGATCGTCATCGCTCACCGTCTGTCTACAATCAAAACGGCACACAACATCGTTGTCCTAGTTGATGGCAAGATTGCTGAACAGGGAGCCCACGATGAGCTTGTCGACTACCAAGGTACCTACTATAAACTTGTTGAAGCGCAACGTATCAACGAGGAGAAGGAGGCGGCGGCCTTGGACGAGGACGAGGACGAGGACGATGCTGATGAGGGCGCTGGTTATGCAAAGGGAGATATTACTCCGGTGAAGACGGCAAGCAGTGGATCGGACTCGCTCGAAGATGAAAAGATCGCGATAAGCCGCACAAGAACGCAAAAGTCTATCTCAAGTGCTATCTTGGCCAAGAGGGACCCTGAAGTCATCCCCAAATACTCTCTTTGGACTCTCGTGAAATTTATTTTCTCCTTCAACCGTCCTGAAATCGGCTACATGCTTATCGGCTTTTTCTTCTCGACTCTTGCTGGTGGTGGCCAACCTACACAGGCCGTGCTCTATGCTAAAGCGATCAGCACTCTGTCGCTCCCCGAGACCATGTATGCCAAACTACGACATGATGCAAACTTTTGGTCTTTGATGTTCTTTGTTGTTGGAATTATCCAATTTACCACCCTCTCCATCAACGGGGCCGCATTTGCCGTGTGCTCAGAGAGGCTTATTCGCCGTGCACGAAGCAAGGCCTTCAGGTCCATTCTTCGCCAAGACATCACCTTCTTCGACAGAGAGGAGAACAGCACTGGTGCGTTGACGTCGTTCTTGTCCACCGAAACGAAGCATTTGTCCGGTGTTAGTGGTGTGACCTTAGGAACAATTTTGATGACTTCCACCACCCTGGGGGCAGCGATTATTATTGCTCTTGTGATTGGTTGGAAGCTCGCCCTGGTCTGTATCTCAGTCGTCCCGATTCTCCTTGGGTGTGGATTCTACCGATTCTATATGCTCGCCCAGTTCCAACGACGATCTAAGCTTGCCTACGAGGGATCTGCCAGCTTTGCTTGTGAAGCAACTTCTTCTATCCGCACCGTTGCCTCCCTCACCCGAGAAAAGGATGTCTGGGAAATTTATCACCAACAGCTTGATGCACAGGGAAGGAAGAGTCTGATCTCTGTACTTAGGTCCTCGACCCTTTATGCTTGCTCCCAGGCACTTGTCTTCTTTTGTGTTGCGCTTGGCTTCTGGTACGGAGGCACCCTTCTTGGTCATCACGAGTATTCTATTTTCCGCTTCTTCGTCTGCTTCTCCGAGATTCTCTTCGGTGCTCAGTCCGCGGGGACTGTCTTTTCCTTCTCTCCAGACATGGGCAAGGCTAAGAATGCTGCCGCTGAGTTCAGAAGGCTATTTGATAGAAAGCCAACCATCGATGTTTGGTCCGAGGAGGGCGAACAGCTCGAATCTATGCAAGGTGAAGTTGAATTTCGAGACGTCCACTTCCGATACCCCACTCGCCCTGAGCAGCCTGTTCTACGCGGACTGAACCTGACCGTGAAACCTGGACAATACATTGCTCTTGTTGGACCTAGTGGCTGTGGCAAGAGTACTACCATTGCACTGATGGAGCGCTTCTACGATGCCATTGCGGGATCCATTTTTGTGGATGGAAAGGATATCACCAAGCTCAATGTCAACTCCTACCGTCGATTCCTGTCGCTAGTCAGTCAGGAGCCCACGCTGTACCAAGGTACGATTAAGGAGAATATTCTGTTAGGCATCACTGAGGATGACGTGCCGGAAGAAGCCTTGGTGAAGGCTTGCAAAAATGCCAACATCTATGATTTCATCATGTCTCTTCCGTAAGTTTTTTTTTTTTTTTTTTCCCATTTTCTTTTGTTCTCCGTTCATCTCACTAACCTGTGGGGGAAAATAGGGATGGCTTCAACACTGTTGTCGGTAGCAAGGGAGGCATGTTATCAGGAGGTCAAAAGCAGCGTGTGGCTATTGCAAGAGCGCTTCTGCGCGAGCCGAAGGTCCTCCTCCTTGATGAGGCCACCTCTGCCCTTGACTCGGAGTCCGAGAAGGTCGTCCAGGCAGCCCTGGATGCCGCCGCTCGGGGACGCACCACCATCGCCGTTGCCCACCGATTGAGTACGATCCAGAAAGCAGATATTATCTATGTCTTTGATCAAGGCAAGGTGGTTGAAAGCGGAAACCACCAAGAACTGATCCGAAAGAAGGGTCGTTACTATGAACTGGTGAACCTCCAGAGTCTGGGTAAGGGCCAATAATCGCCTGCATTTTTCTGTATCAATTTCTTTTCCCCTTTTTTATACCTTTTTTGCATATACATTTTCTTTATAATTCGTTGTGACTATTTAGCATGTGCTTTTGTTGGGGTTACTATACCTTTCCTCCTCTCCCTAGATTTCTTTGGGCTGCTTGGATTTGTGATGATGTGAGATTTCCCAAGACAACCTTGCCATTTAGGTTCGCCGCTACTCTGTTCTACCGTTAGATATCCCTATTGATAAATTAATGTTCCAGTAACTATACATCTATCTTGGTAATTGATTTGATTGATAGGACAGGCCCGGGGATAAAGGAAGAACTACCTAAGCCGCTAAACAGCTTTTTAGTAATGGGATATCACCTCTCCTCGAAAAGATGCACCAAGTCAATCCCGACATCCCACCCCAAACTCCTGCTGTATCTCCGCCTGTCGGACCCCCCGCGCCTCAGCCATAAGACCCATCAGGCCCTGTCCGATATCCTTGATCTCATTGTACTGGTGTAGTAAACGTATATGTCGCGTTACTGTCTCCGAGGCATCATTTCTAGACATGCATGCATGTTAACCTCGACTCCATGATCATACTAGCACCTACCTACCTACCTACCTACCTACCTACTAACTAACCAACCACACATGCCCCCTCTCCAAACACACACACACACATAGTAGGTGCCAACTTAAGTACCTAAGTATTCGCAAGGAACCCACGGGACTGACTTACTTTAATTTTGCTTTGATGTTTGCGATTTGGCGCTCCATGTCTGCGGTTTGGGATTCAAGGTGTGCGATGGATTTGTGCAGGGCTGCCTGTCGGTAGTTGTGTTAGTCAGGTTCTGTTCGATTGATGAGGAGGAGGAGGAGGAGGAGGACAGTACTATTTTTTTTATTCTCTGGGATTCTTGGTCGGGGGGGGGGAGAGGACGAGGAGAGGTGTCTTTCTTGTCCTGGTCATGGTCCTGGTCCTGGTTCTGGTTCTGGATTGTATCTGGGGTTTGGAGAGTGGTAGGGCTTGGGGTCATTGTTGAGTTCTTTGGTGGTGGGTTTTTTATTGGAAAAGAAATTGTGAGGGAGGATTAATGTGGATTGTGTTTATTGTGGTTGATGACGATGGTGGGTGGTTATTATATTGCTTGCATTCCTATACATACATAGTACATAATATAATATTCATCCCTACATCCCAGGTCTCAAAGTATAACTACTACTCTGTCCCTTTTTAATTTATTTCTGGAGCAAAAATTCCTAATAACTTGATTATCTACCTAAGTACGGAGTAACGCAATAAAACTATAACTAAATAAAAGAATCCGTTGGCTTAATCAATGTACATAGATCAACATCATACGTGTGTAGGTACCTTTTTTTCTAGGCTCTCCCCCACACGTGCCACTAATCCGAGTTGTCCGTTCCCGATTTCTCTGCCTGGATTCGTCAGCTTTTATTCCTTCACTCTCTTCCTTTGGTTTTGCTTCTTCTCCTTCCTCTCTCATCTCTCTTCTTTCGACACTAGGAATTCGTGAAGATGATGAGCCGTCTCGTTCTGCGAGGGTTGCTGGGCTCCCTCCTCTTGATCTGTCCTGTTCTCGCCCACGGAGGCCATGAGAACGTCCCCGAAGGCTCCGGCGCCTCGGAGGACCCAATTGTATATGCTGCTCCTTTTTGCCTCCTTTTCGCGCTGCTTGGACTGACAACTATATCAGGACTCAACATTATGGGTTCATATGGTTCTTATGGGACTTGCCTTTGGCATCATATTTCCCCTGGGTATGGTTCTCGGAGTATGTTTCTCCTATCCTCCCCCCCCTCTCCCAATAATCGGCGAAACTTGGATCTAATTCCACAATCCGGTGTCTTATAGATCGTCCGCTCACGATGGCACGTCCCCGTCCAAAGCGTCGGAACCGCTATTGCTATCGTTGCATACTTCCTTGGCCATGCTCATAAAGGACGCCAGTTCGGAAAAAACGTCCACTCCTCCTTCGCTAACATCCTGATGCTCATGCTCGCCGCGCAGGTCGTTGTAGGGATCTACCTGAAACTGCACATCACAAAGGGAATCCACGGCCGGATCCGCCGGGTTTTCGTTATTCTTCATGGCGTCCTGGGCAAAGCGATGCCGGTGGTTAGCTGGGTACAGATGCTCTTTGGAGGCATCGCTGCAATGGGGTTCTGCCGCGACGACCACTTGGGACAGTGTCTGGCTCACTTTATTATGGGCAGCGCATTCATCGCCTACGGTATCCTGTTGACGATTCTTCTCCTGGTTGGCCAATATTGGCTCCGTCGCACCGGTCGCAGCCAGGAATTCTTCGATTCGCTTGTCATCGCTGCCTGGGGTTGTGTCAACACGTTCACAGAGCATCGGTGGGGTGGACCTTGGGTGCACAATGATCTCCAGCACACTACTATGGGTATTGTCTGGTGGTGCGCCGGTTTGCTGGGTATCTGGCTGAGTCGTAAGCGAAACGGCCGGCCTAAGAGAAACCTTATCCCGGCCATTGTTATTCTCCTGACAGGTTTTGCCATGTCCGCCCACCCGCAGGCTTTGATGATCAGCACCATGATCCACACCATCTTCGGTTACACATTGATGGCCGCTGGCCTTACTAGGATCATTGAGATCTCATTCGTGCTGAGGGACCGAAGCTCCGTGAGCGCAGACGGATCGGACCCTAACAGCTTCCAATACTTGACACCTTTCGTAAGTCCTTCTTAGATAGACTCGGGGGGGGGGGATAGGATATCAAGCTAACTTGAACAGCTCCTGTACGCTTCAGGCTTCCTGTTCATGGGCGCCACAGAGGAACAGATGCAGCTTCTCCACGACGCCGGAATCACTCACGTGTCCTACGTCCTGATCTTGTACAGCGTCGCTTTCATCCTCTTCTTGTGTATGTTTATACCCAACCTTTCTACCTCCTATTTTCTCTCACTCATAACTAATCTTTCCCCAGTCGTCAATATCCTCCTCCACATCTACGCCGTCCACGCATGGCCCGAATCGTCCAAACCATCCGCGCACTCCCGCTCCCTCAGTGAAGACGACGACGGCGGCCAAGGCCCATCCGGCTCCAAGCGCCACCGCACACCCCCTGCCGCCTCATCATTTATGAACGGCCATGCCCGTTCCGCCTCGGAGGCTCAGCATATCCATGACGCCGAGGCATTCGAGCTTCAAGGTCTAATCTCAGACGAAGAAGACGACACCAGGTCGCCTCATGATGAACGACATCTAGGACCCAAGAAAGTCGAGGACGAGGAGAGTGCCCCGTTGGTTGGCAAGGAGACTTAAAAAAAACAAACACAACATGGATATATGTGTTTGACTCTGCTTTCTTTCTTTCTAAGAATATATACCTTTTTCATCTTTCTTCTCTCCTTCGAAAGGATTTGTTTGCTCCACCACCTTGACTCACATAACTACGTCCCTACCTACCTCCTTACCTCTACTTTTACCCTTAATTAATGTCTTAGTTGTCTAATGGATAAATAAACAGTGCTCTTGGCATAGCATGAATACCTATTTCCACAATATGAATATGAATATGAGTAATACCTCCTCCGTACTCTGCAAGTATAGGTATGAATCCAAGTGGAGTGATAACTATGAGGAACACCTTGTTCGGCTAATCTATCTATCCCCTCCTGATCTAGCTCGTATTATCTATATCTATATCTATATATGTATATGTAGACACTCCTCTTTTCCTAACTAGTTGGTTGGTTTTGGGCTAGCATGAATATACATGTTTAGTACTGTAATAATGCGATGTTTGGTAGGTAGTAGGTTCTTGGTTCTTGGATCTTGGTCCTTACCTCTCTGTCTCTTGATGGTAGGAAAGAGGTTGGATACGTTATTGTTGTTCCATTTCATAATGAATGAGATTCTATCATACATGTCGTAAAAAAAAAAAAAAAAAAAAAAAAAAAAAAAGAGTGTGTAAATGAGGAAAGGAAAGGAAAGGAAGGAAAACAAGCAAAGCTGACATGTCGTCTATCCATTAACCCTATTCCAAGCCATTGCTGCGATCCCTTTTCTGTTGTGGGTCCCCCCCTTTCTATCGTTCTGTAATTATTGGCTCTTGTTTTCGCGCCTGCGGCATTCAAGCTGTAGTCTCTGGTCTCTGCATGACTCGTTTATAAAGGCGGAAGGGTAGAGTTGCCGTTCAAGGGAATCGCGTTCGCCACAGGAGTCATGGCAGGCATTGCGTTTCCCACGTCTGCGGGAAAGAATGGATGCAGAGGGTAAATGGGAGCGACTGATTTCTCGCCGTCAAAGAGCAGGAGGTTCTGGAGTGGGTGCTCACGAGAGCTTAACACATTGATCACATCCTGGGCTAGAGCTCCACCAAGGAAAGCAGCCACAGGGCTTAGTTCACTTCCCAGGTTTTGTAAGAATGTGCGCAGGAATTCAGAGTCGAGGGTTACAATGTCTAGTTTCAGTTCCTGGTGGACTTCGCGAGCTATCTTAGTGAAGAGCTCCAGATCCTGGCGGGAGAAGGTAGGTAGTGCACCTCCACTGATCTTTTGGAACTCCCAAAGAGCCCGAAGACAGGTTAAGAGCGGAGTCACTTGCTTTCTGCGTCGAGGGAGACGGGTGAAATCTTCCGGTAGAGGTGAGGTATTTGCGAGTATCAGAGGAGAGTATATCTCGCGCTTGGTGACCATCTCAATGACTTTATCGTTTTCCTTCTTAGTGGTAACATTAAGAATTGTGCGCGTGGGCGTTTCCTGCCCTGCTGATGTGACGTTTGACTTGGATCGCTCGATCACAAAATCATGTTGGATGAGATCTGCAAAAACAAACCCGTAGAATCCATGCAGGCCAGCTGCATAGAAAGAACGTCCGGCTATGCGACACGCAGCATTTATAGTATTGTACATGGTGAAGTCCAGCTCAGTCGCGATCGTAACATCGAACTGGGCAAAGAATTCTGGCGGTTTGGATCGAACGTTCTCTGAATCAACATGGAGCTGAACCCGGGGGTTCATAGCCCTGATCGCAGGCGCGGCAGCTTGCGCACGCTAACTTGTGGTCAGTATACCTCATACTGATCATTTTAGCCGGGAAAAATACATTCTGGCCTAGAGATTCCTGTGTCACGAAGAACTGCGCACCAAGGTCTTCCTCTGTGACAACCGCATCGTCGATAATGGTCAAACTGCCAATTCCAGCCAAAACAAGGTTCTTGGCCACTTCATTCGCCAGCGCTTTGAAAGTGATCAGGAGGATGTTCGCGGATCGGAGTCTAGGATAAATGCAATGTTAGCTGGCGAGTAAGTATTAGAACGACTGACAGACTCACTTTTCCTGGGCTTTAACGCCCCAGAGACGAATCTGACGGTCGTATAATGCGATTTCATCTGAACAATAACACGTCAGATATCAAATATGACCCCCCCTTGCGATAGCGACTTGGCAGCGTTGCCTTACCTGCGCTGATGGTCTGGTTTTGGGACTCCATGTTGGATTATTGGGGGGGGGGGGGCGTAGCTTCACGACTTCGAATGATTCGTTTTTAATGAGAGCAAGGAGAGGTAAAATAGGAGGGGGGTCAGCAAGTGTACGGGGAATCGAAATGCAAACTAGGCTGGAGGGGTGCTGTCGTTCAGGCGGACCGCGCAGGACGGGCGAGAGGGCTGTTGTTGATGGGAGGGAGAACAGAAGAGATATTATAGCTAGGGGAGTGGTTGAGCATCACGGTAAAGTATGACAACATGCAGATATCCAGTAAAATTCCCGCACCAGCAGTTTGCCAGCAGTTAAATCAATCAATCAGTCGGTATGGAGAAGATGGGAAGCACACCACCACTCCTATCACGTGCCATACAACCCCCGGATCGATAATCTTCTGGCGCTTCATTGTCTCGAATTCGCTGTCTCACCATCTCCTCCATCATATCCCCCCATCATTCCTCGCATCTTCCCTGGTCATCTATTGTATTCCTTACCACGAGTAGCTCTCCTGTATTGTCGTTCCCCGTCCCCCCAGTTCTTTTTTTACTTTCTTCACCGTATATTTGGCCCGGTATAGTTTCTCCGCCTTCCCCTCTCCTCTTTCCCGTCTTTCAACCAACTCGAGCTAACTGGCGATCCACTCCACAGGATGGTATGTTGATTGTCATTTATATCTCTCTGGGTGCATACAAGGCCGATATATCCTTTATTGGCACAGGGGATGATTATAGCTGTCCTTGCATATGTTGACTGTCTTGCCCTCTCATCTCTAGTCGGGGAATTACGACTATCCTCCCGCCTCCCGCCGTAGCGTCCGTGGAAGCAGGGCTAGCGATCGCCCTCATCGGCCCAACGGAAATAGGCTACAGCACTTACGGGACTTGCTGAATTCAGAGCGCAACCGTAGCGCTGCCGCCCGTGCCTTGGAGACCCTTAACCAGGAGCTGGACGAGTTCCGTTCCGGCCGTGCCAGGGACCGGTCTACCTTTGAACAAACGAGAGCGTTCGTGGATCAGCAGATTCGGGAGCTGCAGACAGAAAGGAACGTTAGAGAGGATCGTACCCATGGTTTCCGCCCAGTTTCCTTACATCCAGGATTGCAGAGGCTGCAAGCTCTGGACGCCACAGTTATGAATTACGACCCAAGCCCCTCCGACATCTCGCGCTCAGTCAATAGAACCTCAAGAACCCGTCCTGCAAGAGGAGGAGATCGGCCCAGTCGTACCCGGAGGAATCGGGATCCCAGCCTTCCTGCCATCCTAGACCAACCCACCCCTCGAATAGACTCCCCCGCTGCAATGCCACTCGAACCGGAGAATGATCATCAGATGGATCGATGGAGGGCCAAACGCAGGAAGCTCGAGTCTGACGACAGTAGAGAAGGGTTGCAGAGCTTTCGTTATGGACAGTACGGCCAGGTTGTTCCCGGAACTCTCAAGATGGAGTTAGCCAGTTGTGATGGCGGTACATACGAACCAGAGGGGGAAAGCTCATGGCCTGAGAATATCCTCCGAAATGATTCATCGGTGTACTGTACGAAATCAGACCGGTGCAATCTGATCCTAAAGCATCACGGAGAAACCCCGTTCTGTCTGAAGAAGCTTATCATCAAAGCACCGAAATCTGGCTACGACGCTCCGTATGTTCAAGCTGAGCTGCAAGATTCGCGGGCGCTATTGCTAACATTTTTCTCCTCTCATCAGTATACAAGCAGGAATGGTCTTCGTCTCCATGGCATCCGACGAATTGCTAGCTAGTACGGCTAATCACCATGTACAATACGCCAGTTCTCGGCGCCACCGCCACCATCAACGCAGCGGAATACAACCGTCTCAAGAATTTACGAGTTCCTATCGAACACCATTACAAACGCTTGAGCGGGCTCTGGCAGGTCCCAACTCGGATTCTGATACCGACGCTAGCGACCTTCCAGGGGCCTCTGCCTCCAATATTGCAGACCCCACAGAGGAATTTCGAGTCATTACCGAGTATGACGAAAGCTCTGATGGTGGCGATCATAACAGAATTGGAGACGAGTTCTCAGCACCACCTCATCTCGCGGAAATAGAAAGGCTGGAGAGAATGGCCACACTACACCAAATAGAGGACGATTTTCTATGCTCAGACAGCGATTATAGCGCCAGTGACGACGACGACGACGACGACGATGATGATGATGATGATGATGACGATGACGATGATGACGATGACGATGACACCTCTGAGACTAACTCGTACAATTCCCGTCGTCGAGACTTGCAAAGACAGGTGCGGGCCATGCGCCGGCAATACGCTATGGAGCAAGGTGAGCTGCCCAGACGACGGCAGGTTCCCAACACAGTCCAACCAAACCCACCAACCGTACCCTCCGCGCCGCGCACAGCATCAAACACTCGTTCTTCAAGGCTTGGCCTAATGAAACCCCTCGCTCAATTTTTCATCAAACGGCCTATGAGTAGCGTCAGCCTCAAGTTCGATCCTCCTCCGTGAGTTGCCTCTCTTCCTCGCATTCAAACGCCTCCCACGCAAGCTAACCGTCTTGAAACATAATATAGCTCTGGCCGTTATATCCTGATCAAATTATGGAGTCCATATAATGCAGGAAACATAGATATCCAGAGTATCACTGCCCACGGCTTCGCTGGTCCGCGATTCTTTCCTGCTGCCTCAATCCGATGAGCCACTGAATATTTCTTTGCATGCACCATGCTTTTTTCTAAATCATCATCATCATCATCATCATCCTCCTCCTCTCCATACGTGACCATCAAAAGCACAAGTTAAGGCGAAGATTCCCAGACAAGATAGAAATGTCCCACCCCTCGTCACATTACTCAATCTCCCAGAAAAACATCTCTTTACAACTAGAATATGAGGACCTGTGAAAACGACGCCGAGAATGACAGCTTTTAGCGCCAGAGACGGCTGCCTTTCCACCTGTAACAGCCAGCGGCATGCCCGCGCCTAACCGCCCACCAACCATGTACCCCAACTAGTTATTCAGCACCTGCCAAGCGCTGTTAGTCATCCTCCTGACCTTGGGCTACAGATACACGCTAATTTAATGTCCCTATGGAGTGACCTATTAAAGAGCGAGTTGTATCTCGAGCATCTTGCTCTGATATGGATCTGTAATTGGCCGATCGCGAGTTCCAATGAAACCCTGGGACTGTGAGGCTGGAAGTTTACCCTTAGTCACTAAACAGATTGTTGGTAGCACTTGTATTCTAAGTTCGATGCTCCTAAACCTATTCTTACAGATAGCCAATTGTAATGGCAAACCCCACGGCGATTTACTTGTATTCGGTGTGCTTTTTTAGCTTCTAGGAAATTAGATCAGAGTTGGCGGGTCGGCGGTAGATCGTGTACTCTATACTAGTACCTGACCTTAAAAAGACTTTTCCGGAGCAGTGTCTGGAAGCAGTGCAATTTTTCTTATTAATTACGCTTCTTTTTTTATATTTAATTTGAAATATTGAAACTTCCTACCTATTCATTTATTCATTTCTGTGCGTGTGGATATTATCTTATTGTGCCATATTGAGAACATATTCGGAGGACTCCAAAGACAACATCATTCAGCAAGTTAACATGCTCAATTGAGAAGTATTAAACAGCTCATTCAATGTAATGTAGCTAAGTATTTGCCGCAGAATAGAAAGTCTAGTCCAGAGTAGAAGGAAAATTAAGGGAGCGAGCGCATGTATTTGTCAACAAGGCCAGAGAGACGCCAGTTAACCGAAGCCATCAAAGTGAAATAAACTGCAATCCAAGAGCGGAACAAAAATATTTACAAAGGTGATTCGATGACTCGTGGATGCTTCAAAAAAAGAACATAATCAAAACGAAAAAGAAAGTAGGATAAAACAAAACTCAAAGCTTTAAAGCGGGATCAACCACGCTATTAGATGCGTATAAGTGTCAGCCTGGACGAACATCAGAAAATACAATGTTTCAGGCCGACAAGTCTCGAATCGATGCTCTCGTTTCTCGTCTCTCGTGCAAAGAGTGTCGAACGCCAAACCATTTCCTTATACATAGCCCAACCAAAAAAATATACTCCTAAAAAAAAAAAAAAGGCACAATCCAACTCCACTCATGACGATATAAAAAAAAATTCAAAGGGTTTTTTCCAAAATAAAGAAGAAGAAAAAAGCGAAAAAGCAAGTCTCATCGTAGGTCGGTCATATAACGACGACATCTCCCTCAGCATCTGCTGGGTCAGAAGCCATCATATCACCATATTTACCCACAGTCATTAACATGGAGTCGTCATCAAGGTCAATAGCGCTGTCATCATGGTTCGGGGCCGAGAAGCCCGTAAGGTTCTCGGTCATATTAGTGGATTTCTCATTTTCGACGTGATTCAGGTTCGTTTCGACTTCCACCTGTGGCTGGTCTAGCGAGTTTCCGTGCTGTGACTCCGATGTCGTAGATGGCCCATCGTTGTCAATGGAAGTAGATGGTTTCAGAAGGAGACTGCTGGGTCCGGACTGATCGAAGTCTAAGCCCACCTTCTGCAATGTGCTTGGAGTATAGCGCATAAATCCCCCTTTCTCCGCCTGCCATAGCATCATTTCATGGAAAAAGACCTTGGTCATCCACCACGCACTGAAGCTTTGGGCTCCTCCCAGCGTTAGTCGGCGGAGGATGCAATCCCATAGAGCGTCTACCCTTTGGATAATGCATTGCGTACGGTGTTGAGGGAAAATAGAGGGAATATTCAGGATAAAGGAGACCCATCTGTCTGGGAAATTATAATCTTCCCCAGTGGCGGGTTCCACGGGATATCTGTGCGCCTGACTGCTTTCGTTCGTGTCGGGCTGAGTGAAAAATGGTTGCGAAGTGGAGGGGTTGATATCTGTGACAGGAGTAAGAAGTGCCTTGACATCATGCTTCAATATTTGCTCTGTTGCTTGTTCAGCGCAGCTTGGGATATTTGCTTTGGTAATCATCTCCTTCGGGTCCACCAGTGTTTTAAAGTCAAACCACATCTGATTTCTGTTGTCGGGATGGCAAAGCCAGGCAGCGGCCGCATTGGCAGACTGGTTCACATCAAGCATGTGCTTCAGAAGATTGCAAAAGATATGCGCCGGGATTAGCCTTGCAAGAGATACGTGTACAGGTTGTGTCTTGAATGTATCTGCAATGTGGCTGGTCAGGCGCTGAGAGATTGAGCTAAACGCGTCCAAGACAAGCTTTGGGACAACCTGTGTTGTAAGGGGAGCGACGAATGCGATCATTTTCTGGTACATGAGCCAATCACATTCTTTGATCCATGGGGCAAGGTTAGGGTGTGTCAAGAGCTTCTGCACTGGAACCGTCAAAGTGCCATGGAAGGCGGAAAAGTACCGCAGTAGGTTTCGCTCTTTGCAATATCGGAAGCTATCAATTACTGAGATACAATGGGACCGATAAAGCGCGGCAAGAGCCGCAGCAACCTTAGAATCAGTGTTCGCGGGTAGATAGTCATTGATATCTGGTAGCTGGAGCGAGTCAGTGTCGATGGATGAACTGTCAGTTGTAGGTAGCTGAAGCATTTGATGAATTAATTTTCCGGAATGACTGGCGACATTGTCAAGAGTGATGACAGAGTCATCAGTTCCCGAGCTTATTTGACATCCACACCCGTAACTTGTCGAGGTCGTCGCAACCTTCGGAGCGAATGAAGTGGTAGGAGAAGGGAATAAAGCAGTGTCTGCAGTAGGCTGCGATAGTACACTGGCACTAAAGAAAGAAAGAAATTACGTTAGTTCCAACCCTACTGTATAAACACCTTTCAAGTAACACTTACCTCTTTTGCATCACATCACCGGCCCTACTATCCACAGACCCTGTGGTAGCGTTGTCATGAGATGGTATTTGCTGATTCGTTTGTGGTGGCTGCTGCTGCTTTTCTTCGATCACCGTCAGATCAACATAATGATATTTTGATTCTCCTCTAACACCCAGGCGACGTGTCTGCACATTCGGGAATATGATGCGGACTAGCTTTCCAAATGATGCGGGATTAAGGACTGAAACGCGCTCAGTGCCACATTTTTCTGCATAGCAACAGTAGACACGATCGCGTCGAACCGAGCCGCTGCTCTTTCGGCAGTTCTCCTTTAACCTGCGCAAATTGTTAGCAATCATTCCAAGTAACCCGGTTGAGCGTGCGGGCGCTTACCAGATCATAGCGAATACTTGCTTGACCTTTTCAGCCTTGCCTCCTGCCCCTTCGTGCTTCAAAACCTCCGCAGCCATTTGTTTCAAGGAGTATCCCTCGTACTGTCGTAATAGTTTTCGCAACTCGTTATCGTTAGCTAGTGAGGAGCTGGAGCCCTTTTTCTTCTTCGTGCCCGCCTCTGAGCCCTCATTGTCATCAAGTAGATGCTCAGGTAAGTGGTTCTCGATCCCACTGTCGTACATGTTTTGGTACTGAGGAATCGGAACGTTGGGCAATCCATGGGAAGGGATCCCTTGTAACGAGTGATGAGATAGATGGTGACTATGGAGGGCATGAGTCGGGAAGTCTTCCGCCCTGGCGATGACAGCGTGATGTGCGTCCTGCAAAGTTGGGTCCAGGGAAGCGCCGTTTACCTGATGGGAAAGTTGCTGGCCAAATCGCATAATGATGTCCTCAGGGTTGCCACCAAATACATTGGGCCCCGCAGGGGTCTGGGCCGGAAGGAACTGGGAGAAGCCATCGGTGATTTGCTGATCTTGGGTCTGTTGGGTTGTCGTGGAATGGATACTAGCTGTCGAGCCTCTCGACCTTGGACGACGGCTATTCCTCGAGATAACTGTTTCGGAGCGCGATCTCATGAGATCAGCCGTTCCCGGACGACTGAGGGGAGCAGCTATTTGGGTCACTTGAGAGGCAGCACTTGAAGACTGCGAGGCAGCTCGAGCTGCTGTGACTGCAGGTCAGCAAAACCACAAACAGAGGAGAGGGCTGTGGTCCACCGGAGAAAACATGGGGTGGATAGGAGAAAAAAAACTGGCATCGTGCAGGAATAATTGCAGGTTCTTACCGATATCAGGAGGCATCTTCCTTTTTTAGAGTCTACTGCACACTCAACACGTCGGACGGTTGTGGTGGTCCTTGGGGTTCTTCCTCGTTGCTAGGTGCGAGAGGGTGGGTAACCACGGGCAATAATAGGTAAATAGCGTCCGTCGTCTGTTTTGATCCTTCCTCGGAGCCACACAACACCAGAAAACGGGGTTACACAGCGAGAAGACAGCCTCAAGCGCGAAAAAGGACGGGGGGGGGGGGAAAGGAGGCCCGTGTGAAAGTCAACTTAGCTGCAATACTTACTTCGTCCAAGCATCAGGCCTTGGGAGGCTCATGGCGTTCTAGAGGAGAAGGAAATCTGAGGTCGAGGGATCAAAGCAGGAATAAACAGAGAATCGGCCGTTCCTCAAGCAACGAAACCCTTGGGATCACGTGGGATTATGTCAGCACCCATTCCTCTCTCTGGTGGATTGTTTTGATCTCGAGTCGCTCACCTTTTGTGTCAATATTTCGGGATATTATGATAATGTTAAATTAGGTAGAGTTAATTTTAACGGTCAAATGAGCTAGACTTGTTTTTAGTGGGAAAGGGATAGCGCTCTTCTCGTGGTTATTTTCGAGCTTTTGAATTGGTTCTCCATTATCACCTGCTATACCGTTACAAATGCCTCATATATATATACATCCATAGCCAACTGGGTACAGTTTCCAGGTGCACGCCAATATAATCGATAAACTGGACTCCAAATTATAGTCCCTGACAAATCCTTATCTGGAACAGGTACAGGAAAAGATATAAAGCCTTAAAATTTACATGTGGAACCTAATTACTTCCTAGCATCTCTAAACATAAGAAAAAGAAATATAACGGTAAGGGGAAAATACAATAAGGGCCAAGACGATTTACAACAGAAGTGGGAATCTAGCAGAGTCAGGGAGAAACCAATCTGGGCGCCGATGCTCCCTAGCATCAGACTCGCATGATTCCCCAAGGGTTCAAGCGGGTAATCTGCATGACGCCCACCCGTGCTGCAAAAATCAAAGGGTTCGCTCGTACTTAAATTTTAAACCAGGTCGCGCTTCACAAACTCAGCAAGCAGGGACTTGCCGAGAGCGGCAGGGCTGCGTTCCACAACAACACCGGCGGCTTCGAGAGCAGCGATCTTGGAGTCAGCGCCACCCTTGCCACCGCTGACGATGGCACCGGCGTGACCCATGCGACGGCCGGGGGGAGCGCTGATACCAGCAATGAAGCCAACAGCGGGCTTGTTGTACTTGTTGTTGGTCTTGAGGAACTCGGCAGCATCCTCCTCAGCGCTACCACCGATCTCACCAATCATGATGATACCGTCGGTCTCCTCATCCTCAAGGAAGATGCGCAGGCAGTCAATGAAGTTGGTACCAGAGAAGGGGTCACCTCCAATACCAACGACGAGGGACTGGCCAAGTCCTGCCTGGGTGGTCTGGTTCACAGCCTCGTAGGTGAGGGTACCGGAACGAGAGACGATACCGACGCGACCACGCTTGTGGATGAAGCCGGGCATGATACCGATCTTGCATTGACCCTACATTGTTTCAAGAGCGCAAGGTTAATGCTAGAACGACAGGGTCACAAGATAGGAGGAATCTTAGACTTACGGGAGCGATGATGCCGGGGCAGTTAGGGCCGACAAGGCGGGTCTTGTTCTGGGTCTTCAGGATATCCGTGATACGGACCATGTCTACATTGGCATTAGTAGCTGTCGGGATCGATGAGATGGACCAGTTCTCATACCGTGCTGAGGGATACCCTCGGTGATACTGTTAAATAGCAAGGACGGGTTAGCCTATGGATATATCTCCAAGCTTTAGGCCAACTCACCAAACGACCAGAGGAACTTCCGCGGCGATAGCTTCCTCAATACCCGCAGCAGCAAGGGGAGGACTGTAATTCGCATATTAGCGCTGACTGTTGCAAAGCATCGATTTGAATAATTCCAATTCTTACGGGACGAAAATAGCAGAAGCGGTAGCACCAGTTTCCTTAACGGCATCCGCGACGTTGGCGAAGACGGGTCGGTCGAGGTGCGTAGTACCAGCCTTCTTGGGGTTGGTACCACCAACAACCTTGGTTCCTGAGAGGCATAAGTGTCCGAGATATCACAGCTGGATGCGTCAAATCGGGGTGGGGAGGGGGAATTGCGGAATATACCATAGGCAATGGCTTGTTCGGCGTGGAAGCTATAAGGAGCCAAAAAAGGCCAGAATCAGTATCGCAATTTGAAGAAATCGCGCAGAACTGGGAGAGATGCCACATACGTTCCTTGCTTTCCAGTGAAACCCTGGAAGATCACCTTGGTATCTCCGTTAATACGGAGGTTCTTAATAGTATCAGCGTAGGAGCCGGTGGCATACCCGCGACGCTGGAAAGAGCCAGCATTGCGAAGGGCAGAGGCCGTGCTACGGCGAAAGGCTTGCATGGCGGGTTAATAAGGAGGCGCGAGAAAAGGAAAATAAGAGGAAGACAGGGGAAAAGGAGAGGAGAGGGCCCAGCAAAAAAGCGTGAAGGATATAGAGAAGGGGTGGAGGGATAAAAGATGAGGGTTGCAGAGCGCAGTTGGGATGCGCTTTCGAAACACGGGTTTGTTCAATTTATTCGGGACAAAGCTTTAAGCGGATCCGAATTGTCGCGGGCGGTCTGGAGGCTCCCTCGGCCTTGATTTTTCTCCTCGCTCACTACTGTCGCTGTATGGAGCAATCAGAACCGTCCTTACGCTGCAGCTAACTGTGTTTCCCGACTCTATCTCTCTTCTGGAGAATTTACTTTTATCCGTCATTTAAGCTCGATTTCCTCCCTTACCATCATCACGCGGGGGAGAGGGCAAATCCCTTCACCTTCACTATGGCGACTCTTACAATGACTGCCCCGCCGCCACCCTCCAAGTCTAGGAAAAATGATAAACTACCGTCGGAGAATGAGCGCTTTATGCGGGCCTGTTCTGATATTGCAAATGCTCTGATCCAGGATTATGAATCGCAGAAAGATCCTACCCAGCCCAAGAAGGATATCAACCTCAACAAGTTGCGTGGTCAGATAGCGAAAAAGCATCGCTTGGGCACCCAGCCGCCGTTGACGGCCATTATTGCTGCGGTTCCTGAACATTACAAGAAATATATCCTTCCCAAGCTCATTGCAAAGCCCATCAGTATGCAGCCTTGACGCGATTCCTGGTTGAGGGTATCGTTCACTGACTGGTTATCTTAGGAACGTCCTCTGGTATCGCCGTCGTTGCTGTCATGAGCAAACCGCACCGTTGCCCTCATATCGCTTATACGGGAAACATCTGTGTCTACTGCCCTGGTGGTCCAGATTCTGACTTTGAATACTCCACACAGTCCTACACCGGCTACGAGCCGACATCGATGCGAGCGATCCGCGCCCGCTATGACCCGTTTGAGCAGGCTAGAGGACGAGTGGACCAGATCAAATCTCTTGGACACAGTGTCGACAAGGTTGAGTACATTATCATGGGCGGGACATTTATGTCTCTCCCGGAGGATTACCGGGAGCCCTTCATCGCTCAACTTCACAATGCACTGAGTGGCTATCAAACGGATAACGTTGACGAAGCAGTGCAGGCTGGCGAAATGAGCAACATCAAATGCGTGGGAATTACCATCGAAACGCGACCCGACTACTGCTTGGACACCCACTTGAGCAGCATGCTCCGCTACGGATGTACCAGACTCGAGATCGGTGTTCAGAGTTTGTACGAAGATGTGGCAAGAGACACTAACCGTGGCCACACGGTTGCAGCCGTTGCGGAGACATTCAAACTTGCCAAAGATGCGGGGTTCAAAGTCGTCAGCCACATGATGCCAGACTTGCCTAATGTTGGCATGGAGCGTGACTTGTTCCAATTCCAAGAATATTTTGAAAATCCCGCGTTCCGAACCGATGGCCTGAAGATTTACCCTACCCTCGTCATCCGTGGAACTGGACTCTACGAACTTTGGAGGACTGGTCGCTATAAGAACTATACCCCCAACGCGCTTGTCGATCTTGTCGCGCGCATCCTTGCCTTGGTTCCTCCCTGGACTCGTATCTACCGTGTTCAGCGCGATATCCCCATGCCCCTTGTCACTTCAGGAGTTGAGAATGGTAATCTGAGAGAACTTGCCTTGGCACGCATGAAAGACTTTGGCACTACATGTCGAGATGTCCGCACGCGTGAGGTAGGCATCAACGAAGTCAAGAACAAGATCCGTCCGTCTCAGGTGGAGCTCATTCGCCGTGACTACGCGGCCAACGGAGGTTGGGAGACGTTCCTCGCCTATGAAGATCCTACCCAGGATATCCTGATTGGCCTGTTGCGCTTGCGAAAGTGCAGCCCTACACACACATTCCGACCTGAATTTACCGGTCAGCAAACCAGTATCGTGAGAGAATTGCACGTGTACGGCTCAGCAGTGCCACTGCACGGACGTGATCCACGCAAATTCCAGCACCGTGGGTTTGGAACTTTGTTGATGGAGGAAGCCGAACGGATTGCCCGAGAAGAGCACGGCAGCCGGAAGATCAGCGTCATTTCAGGTGTTGGTGTTCGCAGCTACTATGCTCGCCTTGGATATTCCCTGGATGGTCCATATATGTCTAAGATGCTCGACCCACTTGAAGGTGACGATTTTGAATAAGACTGAGATATCAGGGTTATTTTCCTTTTTCTTTCAACTCCTGACATGATTGATGATACCAAACTGGGGAAACGAATACCCAGAAAAAGTTGTCTTACGAGACTGGATTGGCGTTGCATGGAGTATACCTCCTGGTGGGTGGGCTGCATATGTTTTCATGTTTCTTCCGCGTCCATAGTGAGATTTTCAAAAAATGACTTGTGTATATATGCTTTGAGTAGTGCATTGCATATGCTCTGTGGTGAATGGGAAAGGTGCTCGACTTGCTCCTGTGCTATTGGCGGTGCAAATAATCGAAGAGGAAAGCGAGACAGGATCAATATACAAGGCTTAAGAGACTAGCTAAAAGAGAAAAAGAAATAGATCGGACACTTTCATTGATTGATTTCCCATGGCAGTAGAATTTTGGGCTCTAAGACTATGTTTCCCCCGATATATATATACTCGACATCGTTTGACGCTGCGGGCAACAGATGTTGGATGCCAAATGCGGCTTAGGCGGTTGCACCCGGGAGCCCTCCTCCACTCCAGCGTCCGGAGAGGCTTGACGACAATATCATCTACCTCTCTCTCTTGTTCCTCGTCTCCAACGCGGATCTCTATTTAGTGTGCCCTTCTTTCTCTTTTTTTTTTTTTCTTTCTCCTTCTTGACCATATAGTTCATAACTTAGCGATTCCCATCGTTGCGCCCTGGCTCCGAACCCCTCGAACATATCTACCGACATATCAATCATCCAGCACAGGAAACAGCCTCAAGATGAAGCCCGTCGTGTCTGTGTTGAACGCCTGGTCCTGGTATTACTTTCTCCCCAGGGTATAGACATTTCGATAATTTTATCACTAATTCATATCACTCCAAACACAGCGTGGTCATCTCCCTCTTCGCCATTGTCATCCTATCCGTCCTTGCGTCGCTATACAAGGTTCGTCAATTTCGCCTCCATGGCCCTGGCTTGTTGCTTTTAGTGGCTGTCTCTCTCCTATTTCTACCTGCATTTTCCCCTCCCGATCGCAAACAGCAGACCGTCGAACATAATAAACGGGCTAACAATTGGGGTGCAAACAGAATGAACACCACGGATTTACCGGGTCGGAAGGCGAACCCGAAGATGGCGGCGCGGTCGCTGCCTCACTTTTCACGGCCGTGATTGTATACGTTGTACGTTGCCCTCCCATCCCCGCTTCCATCTGGCAAACAGGAACCCAACTGACTGGGTGCTGATGATGATACATCTAGGGGTTCTTTGTTTTCTGCGGATTCCAGGCCTATCTTCACATGAGAGCTCGCCGAGGGGGGGCGATATCGCTCAGCTAAACGCCTTCTCTATTTCCTTTCTCTCTCTCTCTCTCTCTCTCTCTCTCTCTCTCTCTCTCCTTTCCCTAGCTCTCGATACTTGGACCATATTAAATCATGAAAGACGTCGAATGCAATTCTGCTATTGGGTATATTAGTGAATCCTTGATTTTACTGGCCTATTTTAGTTCGTGGATTTCGGCTCCTTGCCGTGGAAGGACGGTGATCAGCCGCAATGTGGTCTGTCTGTCTGTCTTGTCTTGTCTTGTCTGCTTAGATCTCGCAGCTTACTTGTTTATTTATACTGTATGTATATAACTTCTGGCTTATATAGAAGAATTATGGATCGTTCTTCTGTTTTTATCAGAGCTGTGGTTGTGACATATATATTGGCCGGTATCTATCTATTCCTCTATTTTCTAAAGAAGATGGATGGATATACATTGCATTGCATTCATAACTTTTCTTTTCCCTTTCTCTTCCCCACTTCAGCTTATCATAACCTCCTCTCAAGCCGTATAGAAAACTCAATGCGACTTATTCCACCGAATACACTCCTCAAACGTCACCCCGGAGCCACCGAATATATCCAACGCACTCCCGATAGTCAAATCAACCTTACCCCGACTGCTAGCGTGAACTTTTTCGAGATCTTCTAGGCTCCGCGCACCTCCAGCATATGTCACGGGTATCGAGCACCACTCGGATAGCTTCGCCACGAGTTCTTCGTCAATGCCCTGCTGCAAGCCCTCGACGTCTGCAGCGTGGATGAGGAATTCCGAGCAGTAGGGTTCAAGGAGGGAGATCGATTCTGTTTTTATTTTTTATTTTTATTTTTCCCCCAAACCCCAGGTCAGTAACGACCTCAGGGCAAATAACAAAGGATACATTAGATAAAATAGAATCGAAACAAAAGGAAAGATATGAACGCACCCTGGTTCACCTCCATCTCGGTTATTGTTTGCCATCGGTTCATGGCAACAAACCAGGTATTGTCTTTTCGGCGACAGCTGAGATCTAGGACGAGCTTGGATTTGTCGCCGCCTAGCGAGGAGAGCACTGATTGTAGGCGTTCTAGAGAGAATTTACCTTCTGGGAAAAGGAAGGATGTGATGATGACCTATTTACACAGTTAGCAAAAGGGAATCCATTACCCCCATTTCTCCTGGCGAGGGTGGGAATGATGGTGTGTTGTTCAACGTTAAGTTTAGAACAGGGAAAAGACAGTATATCAGTTTAAGACAACCAGACATTCAGAGTTCCCAAACTATAACAGCAGGAGCAGTTGCAAAGAAGAAGAAGAGGGAAAAAAAAAAAAAAAAAAAAACCAGTACCTTCTCTGCGCCCTGATCAATCCAATATTGCGCATTCTTATCCGTAATCCCTCCCGCAACCTGTAAGCCTCCCGGCCATGTCTTGAGCGATTCCTTTGCTGCTTCGTCATTGCCTGGCCCAAGCATGACAACATGTCCGCCCGTTAGACGGTGCTTTTCATACAACCCTGCATAATGACTAGCGGGTAGCTTGGATACGTAATTCGTCTTCAGATCAGACTCGACATTACTCAGAGTGCCGCCGACAATCTGCTTCACTTGTCCCGAGTGCAGATCAATGCACGGCCGGAATTTCGTCATATTGTTATGTAAGGTGGTGTTTAGTCCTGGTGATTCGAATTGACGGCGTAATCGCTGAGAAGGGCCACTATTTCTTTCTTTTCCTCCCCCTCTTTGCGGTGGAAATTCCAGTGACGAGGGGTTCCTCCTACCTACAGACCAGCGCGGGCGGCGGGCGGCGTATCTTATCGCACGTGATAGGGATTGCGATACTGGGAAAAAAAAATATTGGTTCTCTGTTACACCGCCCTCTTGGGACTCTTTTCTGGTTACAGGATAGTAACCTAGGTATTCACCCGTAATAGACGGAGAGTTTTTATTCGCGATGATTGGCAAACGTAAGAGGGATACCTCTGTTGTATCCAGGTCGAAGGCAGGGGATAATGAGCGAAAGTCTTCTGCGACGACAAATCCCGACGCACATGATATCTTCCGCAAGTTTTTTGAAGCCGAGTTCCAACCACTGGATCTTCCGGCACCCAAGTCGGCTCGGGTTGATGAATCCGATTCAGAGGAGAATGAGGATAATTACGACTCTCAGGGATCAGGATCAGAGTCAGAGTCAGAGTTGGAGTTGGAGTGGGATGGTCTTACGGACGAGGAGGACGAAGATGAAGAGGAAGAGGAAGTGGACGAGGACGAGGACGAGGACGACGAGGTTGAGGTTGAGGTTGTCGAGTATCTAGCACCATCCAAGGCTGGGAACTTGATGGACAAGAAAGCTCGCAAAGCTTTTATGGTAACCCTGAACAAGAACCAACTCTGAGACGGTGTTGGCTTTACTAACACTACACAATACTAGACCGCGAAGCCGCCTTCCCTCTCTACAGAAGCGAAAACAACTACGAATCGCTCGACAAAGACGAAAACGAAAGCCGAAGACGAGGAAGAAAAAACCTCCGAAGCGCAGAATTTAAAGAACGATCTCGCGCTCCAGCGGCTTCTCAAAGAATCACACCTTCTCGAGTCAGCGTCGGAACTCGCGCCGACAGGCAAGAATCGACACAAGGCCCTTGATCTGCGCATGCAGGAGCTTGGAGCAAAGAAATCACTTTACCACCAGAAGATGCCTTCCTCAATACGAAAGGGGATCAAGGCTAAGGCCGCCACCAAGGAGGAGAAGCGTCGGAGGGAGGCGCGTGAGAACGGTATTATTCTTGAGAAGCCCGCTCCCAAATTTAAGGGCAGCAGTGGTCGACGGGAACGTGGTGTTGGAGGACCTTCGATTGGAAAATTCGCAGGCGGGACTCTAAACCTTACCAAGCGCGATATTGCTGTCGTTCAGAAGTCACGAAAAGGAGGCAAAGTGAGACGGAAGGGACGTCGCTAAATTGGAATTAGAGACGACCCCCGAACCAATTGATTTTTCGCAGTCTTTTAGGCCAACGAAAATTTTCACTGCTGCTGGTTTTGGCGACAATACATCTCATCTCGAGTCAGGGTAAACATCTACCGAATTGTATGCGATAAGAGCTATGGTCATGTTTCTTTTCTTAGATTCGAAGCTAGACGCCCCGGCAGTTTCACCTCGCGAAGTTTGGCTGGGGACGACGAACTTATCTAGGAGCTCATGATAGAATCTTTGGTTGAGCTAATTCTTTGGGGGTGGGTCAGTCGCAATCGGGCAAGGATACTTTGTATACCTTGCCTCGAAGGCCTGGCTGTCGGCGGACACGCAGACAAGTAGCTGGATACCTCCGATACCACCGAACCAAACTTCTGACATGCCTTATACCTCCTAACTGGGAATATGAAACCTCATTGCTCTTTTTTGGGGTCTATTTTAAAGCGTGTCCCAGGCTCATCTGAGTATAGCGTGAGAGGTCAAGCCTAAAAGGGTGAAACCACCGAGGGACGCTAAGGTTTGAGAAGAATATTTTTCAGACTGAGACATTTCTAGCACGTTGTGGAGTTTTTCTCTTTTGGTTGTTTGGGCTTTTGAAATGGATGATGTATAGCAATCTGTTGTTCGGACCCTTTCCTGGAGCCATCTTTGATAGAGTTCAGTAGCTGATACTCGATACTACCTAAACCGAGTCAAGTTTCTTTGGCTGTGATGGCGAATTCTTCCCTTCTCTTGTAGTAGATACATACGTACAGGTAGGCGACTTGAGTTTGGATTGTCTTGTCGGAGTCACCATCTTTCCCTTGATTTACTGGATCAGGCAGAATAGCCAGCCAGACGTACCTAGTGATGACATACGAATCTCCAACAATATGATTCTTCTATGCGACCCAGAGTAAACTTTCATACTATCCTTGCATTGTCGGTTGTTGTTCACTGTACTCCGTACTGGGGTAAAAGGCAAGCTGTGCTCTGGAACGAGATCTCGTCCCCCCGAGTCATGCTCAAATGCCCGTGGGCATTTTTGATGATCCTCGGGTTTGCTAATACTGAACCGAACGAGTTCGTAAATTCGTCACCCACAATCTGCAATCCCGTGTCGTATTGTGTCTTGGAAGTTTGAGCTAGGATATGGCATTTCTAAGGTTCTCAAGACGTTGCTCGGGCCATGTGTCGGGGGGGGGGGGGGGGGGACTCGCGAGGTACGCAAGAAAAAACGGCGGAGCAGGAAGGAAGCCATAGACCGGTTTCAGATTCTGCAAGTCACCTTTCCAGGGAGGTATCTTGGAATGAAGCCGCTAATCATGATGGAGGATTTCCAGGACCACGACCAGTGACCAGTGACCAGTGGCCACAGACCATTTCCTTCCTCCATGTCTAACCTCCCAACGTCCACTTTCGTCTTCGGGAGTTGAAAGAGGGGGTAAAACTAGAGATCAAACAGTGGGAAAGCCTGTCCCTGTCGAAATCCTAAAGCAGAGCATTGGTGGCAGGGTACTACTACTATACCGGTAGTTGTAGATTAAGTTCAGTTGAAGGAGGAGAAAGGAAGGAAATTGATCTTCAGACACGTGCATCCTCGGGGTCCAGAACGTATTAGAACTGCGTTCTATCATATTATCGGATCGGACGATGCAAGGCTTCAGTCTCCTGGATTTTGCGCCCTGAGAGGACTCGGTAATACTGAGCTGAATATCAACTATTACCTCGATACGAAGGAAGATGAAAAGTGGGATGTGTAATTGTCGTTATTAGGGCCCTTGGCACCCTCGTGGATTTTAAGATCCATGAAAATGAATGAAATAAGAACTTCTTGGGTTCAGCTTCAAGACATTCAGCGAGAAAGACGGTTAGACCACAGAGGGAGTGGATGAATCCAACCCCTTAGACGATGAGCTTGTACTGGCTGGCTGGCTGGCTGGGACTGCAGCGGCCGGATATTTCCTGGATGGGGAGACTGTCGACATCTACTAGATAATTGTAGTTAGTAGGCATAGTAGTAGTAGTAGTGTAAAATCGGCTGCAGACCACAAGGATATGTAGGAACTCCGACATATCCGACTAGACTGGATCAAAGAGTCCGCTTCTTTCAGGTTTTTTTTTTTTTTTTTTTTTTTTGGTCTACTTAGATTAGAGCCTTCATTGTTATGGTGTGATAAGAATCGGCTGATTTGACTGTTTCTGGATTTACAGCAATACCAGGGCACCATCTTCTTCGTCGAATCTTGATGCACTGGAGTACACGAGGGATCGACGTGAACAGATCGGCGTGAACATTGTGCAAGTAGGTTAGCATGCAGGAATTTACTCCAGTCGGTTTGCCAGAGACCTTTTCAACGTTAATCCTTTCGGAGTCGCATCCTGCTAACCATTTTCCCGCGTATCCGCATGGTACGCTCATACTCCGGAGGTCTGAGCTTTTCTTGCACTGTTAGTGTTCGGTGTATGCGCTTACCATAAAGCAGTATTGTACTCCGTAATATCGAGAAAATTGGGGATTCATAGAGGCTAGAATGTGGGTCGTTGGATGGATCCCTCGAGAATTCCACATCCACGGAGTAGGGGGGAGGTCATAACAGGCGCTCCTCCATATACGGAGTACATACGGAGTACTATGGATAGGTATGTAGACTACCCTAGGGTACATATTTACAGTATCCGGAACTTTGCTGAAGTGTTCTAGATGGTTTCAGGGTAGACGATCAAACGGAGTCTCGTAGCACGGAGCAGGCCAATAAACCTTGAACTTGTTTTAATTTTCAAGCTATATTTTCATTCCCCACAATGAGGGCACTAGAATATTAGATAGCCCACTAGGACTGCTCAGGAAGGTACCTTGCTCCGTGGATTAGCCATCGGGGGTCTTTACGGAGTACTATTGACTTGATTGGGATCGTGGTAATTTATTCTGTCCCTGATGTGGCTTGAATTGGAGGAACCCAGAAAAAGGATCAATTGTTCGGTTCAAGGTCTCGGAAAATATTTGGGGGGGTCAGTGGAGAGTTACAACAAGTGCGTACTACTGTTCCTGGCCGTCCCTTTCTGTTGCTCGGCCCTTGTACCCTATTTTTCACCTTTCCCTTGAATTGATATTAATAGCCTATCTAGCTTTTGAAGCTCCCTCGTCCTCCTTCCCTCCCGCGGAGTTTCCGGCCTTACCCCCTGAGTCCTCACTTCCAGAGCTCAGGGGGCCCTAGACGGGATCTTCAAATCCAGTATCTAGACCCGGCCGAAACTGTGGGGTTGACTGAAGTGCCTAGATAGGTAACAAACGTACTTGCCCTTGGGTCTTCATCTGGCTTACTTGTACCTAGGGCATTCTTGAAGAGCGTCCGAGCCAATGACGATCACCGCATCACGAAAACCCAGAAATTCCGTTTTCGAAGGGAAGACTAGGAAAAACATGGCAGATTTACTCCTAATTCCGGGGCCGTTCCGGATGGTCTGAACTCTGCTGGGATCTCTTGCGAGTCACCCAATTTATTGGTAATTTCTGGTGTGCCGTGGGAAGAGAATCGAGATCGATTCTATCTCTTCGTCTGGTAGGTCGAGATTGAGAATGTGGCCATGTCGATCATCATTCCTTCATACCAATGATAGCAGATAGAGGGCCCTGGTGAATCAATACCCTTGCAAGGGTGATGAGCAGGCAGTAGGCATTCGAAAGTGCAGCCAATTGACTCCCGACCTCCAAGAGACTTGCCCTTTCATCCAATATCCCGTTGACCACTCTGTATATGGGGTTGCATTGTTTTGTGGGGGGGAAGCTGGTCTGAGCAAGGAGAGGGTCTGGGCTGAAGTTGAGTGCAGCCAAGTTCGCGGAACTATTTGAGTAGGCGCTTCTGTCATTAAGGATTCCCCCTCAAACCTCAACGCCTTTTTACTATTCCTTGTCGTTATTGAAGGATAGTTAGCCCGTTGTGAGGATAAATCACATCTGAGATTGAGCGAGCATCCAACATCGGAAACAGATAGATTAGACCTCCATCCAATTAGGGGGCTTTGCGGCGAGATTAAGTGTTTGACACACGTACCCTGTAGGTGGATTTGTGACAGGGCTCATCATTGCATGTTGTAGTCGTATATAGCCCAAGCCCAGAAGACCAGGGTCAGATTGTGCTATGGATGATTTTTTTTGAAAACAGTGATCGTGTAAGATAAGTCTATTTTTGGCTGCGCAACGAACGGTCTTTAGAATGAGTTACTTGGAGGACCTCGGATATTTCGACTTGTCTAGATACTGAAGACAACTGGGGAGGCACAAGTGGAACAGGTACATGTAATTCGCTGTTCCAGCAAAAGAATCCTCGCCAGTCGTGGAGCATGGTTGATCATGGGGGGAGGGCTTTTGGCGCCTTTGTTATTTGCGAATAGCTTAGTTGCTAGATCTACACAAGGGAAATATTTTCCTACCAAATCGAGGAGGATAGATGTTGTGACGGAAAGCCAGTCTATGCATGCTGTTTTTAACCCGGGTGACCAGAATAGACCAGGCTACGGAGTACGAAGGCAGAAGAGTGGTAGGTACAACCGTACAACCTTGAAAAGGGGAGCCACCCGGGCGGATCGAGGCCACTGGGGTCTCTAATTGGATATGAGTAAGCGCTCGCTGGGAGTTTGAAACAAGGGAGCAAATGCTTCACAATTATCCCGCGCCAGTTTTATGTGTTTGTGTAGTTTTGGAGGTGTTTGGGCCCACCTCTATAGAGGCGAGTCAGGAACCTTGGCTGGCAAACCGAGGAAGGGCTATTAGGACGGCTGGTAGTAGTGAGAGTACTCCGTAGAACTATCCTGTATAGAGTAATGAAGTTTGAAGATCAACTGCAAGAGTTTTACACCTGTTAAGCACGCTGCAGAATGCAATATGACATGACTTGATGAATCTACCGGAGTAGACTCGTCTCTAGCCGCCAGGATGGAGACTTGTTGAAAACGGCCCCAAGGAAATGTACCTGCAATCACACGAGCGTTAAGAAGGAGCCTAAGGACGACCAAAGCTTTTGTATTGTTAGTTATTCTGTAGAACTTGTAAGCCTGCTTCGATTTGGAAAGGCATTCTCGAAATTAGGTAGAGGGAGTACTTGTCTCCACTCGGAGGCGACTGTCACTCAGCGACCGCACACTGTAGGTACTCCGTAGACTAGCTAGGTAGGTACTATCATGCAATGCGTATCTATTTATTCATCCACCATCATGCCTAATTTTTTTGTTTTCTTTTCCCCCCTCGTTGCCTGCGAAGGATGGGACTACTCGCTGGCTCCGTACGGGATATCCGGAGCAAACAGATTGATAACTTCTGGTCCCGATGTACTTTTCTAAATACAGGAGCAAAACCCGACTAACCCAAGAGAGACGCGAATCCGGACAGAAATACTGGACCAAAAAGCTCAATTATTGTCAATTCAGATTAAATCCAGATGGCTTGAAAGTTTAGGCCCTATTAGAATCTTTGGAACTGGACGGAAGGTCCCACTCCCATTGTGTGCAGGTCTTTTTGGCCCATGGTACGAAACCGTTCGGATACCATGGTAACTTCGGATTCTCCTGGTTTTTTTCTCTTGAAAAAGGAGTAAACTACGTCCTAAGCCAGTATGGTACTCCGTACTACGTATTGTAGGCATCCATCCATCCACCCTAGAGCCCGGTCCCTGGCGCTGAACTCCGCTTTTCTTTACGGAGTACGGAAAGCCTGAAAACCTTCCAGGGCCGCTCCTGACTGACCCCTCAAGCGGTTAACTAACTAACTTACTATTAGTATTATGATTGTTATTATTATTTAACTACTACTAGTAGTAGTTAGTAAATAATACTAACTGAGTAGTGAGTACTATTATTATCGTATTATTATTTTATTTAATTTAATTTTTTCCCTCTTCCCTTTCTTTAATAATTAATAATAATCCCAAGAAATATAATAACAAGGCTTATTATTATTATTATTATTATTATTATTATTATAATGATGATGATTATTATTATGATTATTCCTCCTCTGTAGTCTAAACCTCCCAAGCCAACCTCTCATCTTCCCAACACTGTGAAAAAGCAACACTGGGCTACTTCATCTGCACCATTCCATTCTCTTTCTCATCCTCCCCCCTTCCCCTCCTCATCGCGCCTCTCCTCTTTCTTTCTTTTTTTTTTTTTTTATTCCCACCTCCCTTCATTTCAATTTCGCCGTGCGAGCTATTCAAAGAGACTTCGAAACGGGCTGGCCCAGTTCATCTCTCTGCCCTCTCTTTCATTATCCTCTTCCCTTCTCTTTGTTGACGGCAACCCGCCAACTTCAGAACTGAACAAACGTCTTGCAGGAGGCTGGTCCCTCAGGTGTTTGGATAACCTCTGCGTTTCATCTCTGATCTCTGACTTTGATCTATCGTCGCATTGTGTTATAAAAATCTCCTTGTGTTTATTCTCATCTTGTTTTCCTGATCTCTACCCAAAGAGGTGGCGGCTGTCCGATTGACGACGGAACGCCTTGACCGTACGTGCTTCCCGTTGCTGTTCCATCATCGTTACCCAAAGCAGCGAACTCTAGTCATCGACTTCTTTTGGGTCTTGGTTCATCCCTTGTCATTTAACTCCTGCGTCTCCATAGATTTTCAAAATGTATCCTCAACATGGTGCCCCTATGGCACCCCCCCAAAAACCAGAGACATTCATGCTGTCGAACGAGGCACAGCAAAGCCTCCCTCACGACGCGCAAGTTGCACTGCAACAGGTCGATAATTGTAAGATGGATGGTCTCTATTGCTACATGAAGTCGACTGACTGTTGTTTCCCAAGTGAAATACTTTCTCCTATCCGCGCCCGTGGACTGGCAACCGGAGCAGCTCATCCGCCGATTCCTTCTCCCAACGGGGGATTACATCTCTTGTGTTCTCTGGTCAGTTCCTGTTGAAATGTTTCTTGTCGGGGATCAAAACGTAATTAACGCGTGTGACCTAAAGGAACAACCTTTTCCACGTCTCAGGAACCGATATTGTTCGATGCCTTGCCTTCAGATTTCAAGCCTTCGGACGCCCTGTGAAGAACTCAAAGAAGTTTGAAGAGGGTATATTCTCTGATCTGCGCAATCTCAAGGCCGGAACCGATGCCACACTCGAAGAACCCAAGAGCCCGTTCCTTGATTTTCTCTACAAGAACAACTGTATCCGAACCCAGAAAAAACAGAAGGTCTTCTATTGGTATAGTGTGCCACATGACAGACTCTTTCTCGATGCTCTGGAGCGTGATTTGAAGCGGGAGAAGATGGGCCAGGAAGCGACTACGGTCGCCGTCAGCGAACCTGCTTTGTCCTTTGAGTTTGATTCGTCCCAGTCGTTGTACGAGCAACTCACAAAGGCACAACAAGCAAACTCATCATCGTTTGCTGCACACGCAAGTACAACATATGGCCAACCCGCATCCCCAGTCGTTCGGACCGTTGACGCTATGCCTCCTCCCCAGATGGCTCCCCAGATGGCTCCCCCATCGCTGCCCCTTCTCTCGGACGAATCGGCCCATCCCCAACTATACGCCTCGATCCCGATGTCCAACACTCTAGCCCAGAACATTATTAAACGCGAAGCGGACTACGGCGCTATTCAGTACGACCGCAACGGAATGCCCATTGCTCGTATCCACCAGCGCCATGCCTCCATGCCCACCTTTGTCGAGTACTCCCCAGCTCCATCGTTTGTTTCCTCCCAGTATGAGGACTACAGCAACCGAGGCCTATCCTTCGAACCGGTTACCCCCCCGCAGCACAGCTCTCACCTCGGTGCAGAACCCGCGTACATTGCCAATGAAGACACAGGCCTTTATACCGCAATTCCCGAGATATCTTCCGGGTCTGCTTTCAACCCTATGATGCAACTGCCCCCATCCAATCTTGCAAGCGCCCATTTCCCCACTCCCGCGAGGACCTTCCATTCCAATGTGTATTCGGTGCTAGAAGGTTCCCCAACATATAAGCAGCGCCGCCGTCGATCTTCCATTCCGCCCGGCACTGCTCATACTGGTACTCACTCTCCAGCGACCCAGGGGTTTCAGCAGATTTCCTACGCTGCCCATAGACCCAGTGATCTTCGACGATCAGTTTCTAGCTCGGTTGCTCCGGGCGCAGAGACGGACGACATGCGCCATGAGCCGTCCCACCGCCCTTTGCTTGGTGGATACCATGCTCCTGCTCTGCCTCAGAAGAATTTGCTGCAGGAAATGTCACGTAATGGCACACCTCTCTCTAGTCTGGATGAAAGCCTTGAGCAAAGTTCCATCCCTCTTCCCCAGACCCCGGACAACCTTGCCGCTCTCCCCACCAATGAAGCTCTAGAAACAGCTGTCCAGAACAGTGTGAGTAGTAAAAGCGACCAGTTTGCTCATGGCCCCGTTCGGCGCGCCCGAAGTGCCACAATGATGGAGCTTGGACCTTATCCGCAGAAATCTCATTCCTGCCCAATTCCCTCATGTGGAAGACTGTTCAAGAGATTAGAACATTTGAAGCGGTCAGTTGCAGCCACCTATTTTTAAGGGATATCTCATTGGTCCACACGTGTTGCAGAATATGCAGGGCAATCCAGGTGATAATTTCTCTAACCGCCGACTAACACTTCTCTTGCAGGCATGTGAGGACTCATACTCAAGAACGCCCGTACCCTTGCCCATATTGCAACAAAGCGTTCTCGCGGTCGGACAATTTAGCACAGTAAGTTTCTTCCTTCCGTTTAATAGCGCTCGGACCTGACTCTTTGTTTCAGACATCGTCGTATTCATGAGGCTCAGCCAGACGGTCAGCCTCCCCTCGTCGGACACGAGGAGGACTTGGACAACGAGGATAACGACTTTGGTTCCCACGACGAAGGATCACCCTCTGAGTCCGTCCCGAGCACCGTCGTTGGTATTCCGAATGTGACTTCAATGCCATCTGCGATTGCTCTTCCGTCTACTATGAATAGTATTATGGCATCACATATGATCGCGCCACAGCTTTTGCAGCAGCAAATATGAATGAGCCTGCAATCTAATGAAAATTCGAAAATATGCGAATCGTGTTCGCTGAGTTGTTAACTTGGTGGTGTTGTGGGAGATTCAAACACCCGGTATTCTGATCTTTAATATTGCCATATTCGCAACATAGGGCTTCTTAATAATGTCTTCTGGTTCTTGAGCTTTGCACGGTTTATTGGGTGGGTGGCTTTGTCGATCATTGGGCCGTCATCTTCACTCCTCTGGATGGTTGGGCTTGGAAACTCATCGTCGCATTGAGTCCCTTTGGGAAAGCAGCCTTCGTCGCTATTTTCCAGCCCGTGGGCTGAAATCAATGTGTTTTTCCATTATAATGCTTATTTCCCGTGGTTCTCGGTTTCTGTTCTAAATTCTGTGTTTATCAACGTGATTTGCGTGTTCTGGTTGTGGTATACGTGCTGTGACTCGTACCATAGCTACCTGTGGTTTTTTTTTTCTCTCTCTTTTCTTTCTTTCCCATCTGGTGTCCTCTGTATTGACTTTTTACCTGTTGTTTTCTTTGTTCGGATCTCTTTGTTGGAATCGGGACGTGTATTGTTTAAGATCTCAGGGGCCAGGGGATCGACTGATATAAGAATGTGGATGGAACAAAAGCGGAGTATAGCTTTAACCAGCGAGTACTTTGTCTTATGGGATATTGCGTGAGCTCTCCGGATATACCTCAAAAGCAGAAAGGCCCGGGGCTGCTGATTCAAAGCTGCTTGTGCCTCTTACGGATAGCGATTGCGAAATTACGAAGTTTTTCGTCTGTGGGCTGGAGAATGCCATAGGCAAGTAAGTATACATAGAGATGGTATGATACAAATAGAACCTTGATGCAATGATCATCTATTTTGTATTTCTTGTGGCAGCTATGGGAACTGTAATTGGCGTTTGACATAGTTTAGTTAGCAAGTATGGGGTAAACCCAGGCCAGCCCCATGCTTTTTTTTCCCCCAGTCCATCTATCGCCGCCGTGCAAGACAAGAAAAGTCAAATATAGTGCTTGCAATTATCCGCAAAACCGCGAAGTCTCTATTCCAACCGCACATATTCATAAATAATTACACATCTCACAAGGTTTCGGCTCAAGATTCGGTGGTCCAGATTTGTAGTTGATCGGTCACGTAAGATCACGTGTATGACGTCCCAACTCTTTGGCTGTACAATAATACCTGCAACGTCCTCAATTATCAGATCTGCATCAATTACCCCTGAGAGCTTCCCTTATTTCATAGCCTATCTGCTTTATATAGCAAATCTATATTCCCTGCGCAAATCTTTCCAGGAAAAGTGCACCAAACTCGCTGCCTTTATTGGATTGCCGCCTTACGCCCTGTCACCTACCTATCACTAGGATCCCTAGATACCCCGGTTAATGGTTCAACATATATCAACTGAACCAGAATAATCCGGTACTAGGTTACACAAGGACTATACTTCGGTCCTAGACTTGCAAGTCCCTTCATCAAGGTGTGAATCCACACATACTCCGTCTAAGATGGAGGGGGGTGAGCAGCGTGTGAACGAAACCTCTCCCTTAGTGGGGCGTTGCAGTACTCCAGATGATGCCAACATGGATTCGGTAACATCTGTGAGAGCTCCTGTGCAAGGTAATAGAAACACAAGCTCTCGGGATGTCTCCGAGACGAAGAGCAGTTGGTATTTGTTCTTGTTGACACTCAGCCTTGGAGGGTGAGTAGTTGTGCCGTTCATGAACTATGAACATACATCCAGTGTTGTTGATCTAGCTGATGGAAGCTGATTTGTGAGCGTAGACTTCAGATTGTATGGTCGGTTGAGCTAGGGAGTGGCTCGGTGAGTGGAATGCCGTCCTTTGAGATACCTAGATATAGACTGAAGCTGACCTAGTTTGGAATACAGCCGTACCTATTATCATTAGGGATGAGTAAGGCTCTCCTTGCGTTTGTTTGGATTGCGGGTCCAATCACAGGTACCTTGGTACAGCCATATATTGGCATCTGTAGCGACAACTGTCGTGTATCATGGGGTAAAAGGAAGCCCTTTATGATTGTTGGCGGCGCGGTAACAATCGTGACTCTTCTTGCACTTGCCTGGGTTAGAGAGTTCGTTGCAGGATTTCTCGGGATATTTGGTGTTGATCCAAACTCTTCCGAAGCCAAGAAAGTAATCATCATTGTAGCAACTATTATGATGTATTGCTTGGATTTTGCGATAAACACGGGTATGTACTCTTTCACCCTTCCCCTTCTTATCGGCTTCGGTGCTGACATGTTGTTTATAGTGCAAGCTGGAATCCGGTGTTTCATTGTTGATAATGCCCCGGCCCACCAACAAGAGTCTGCGAACGCTTGGGCTAGCCGGATTACCGGTGTAGGAAATATTATAGGATTTATTTTGGGATATGTCGATTTGCCTAAAATATTCCCTTTTCTAGGGTACACACGATTCCAGGTGCTTTGCTCACTGGCTTCGGTATCTCTTGGAGTGACTCTAGTGATCAGCTGCGTGTACATCAAAGAACGGGATCCGCGATTGGATGGCCCACCCCCAGCAGGAACTCCAGGCGTTATTGCATTTTTTAAGCAAGTCTTCAAGTCGATTCAAAATTTACCACCCCAAGCTGCGAAAGTTTGTGAAGTACAAGTGGCCGCGTGGATTGCGTGGTTCCCTTTCCTCTTCTACGCTACGACCTATATTGGGCAACTCTATGTCAATCCGATCCTCGAGGACCATCCAGGCCTCTCAGACCCTGATCTTGACAAAGCATGGGATGAAGCAACGAGGGTTGGGACCTTTGCCCTTCTTATTTACGCAATAATCTCGTTTATTGCTAATATCACCCTCCCAACCTTTGTTGTTCCAACCTACAACCCTCTTGCTGGTGCTAGACTCGAGGACCATGCAGAATCGGAGCCTTGCTTAGGAGAGGAGAGAGCGTCTATCTCGGATGTTCCGGTTGAACTGTCTCCAAATATGCCAGGCTATAAAACAGATACTTCTGCGGAAGGATCGGGTTGGCTATCAAAGCTGCAGACTGCATTGCAGATTCCCGGATTTACATTGCGGCGCGCGTGGCTCTTGTCGCACATACTCTTCGCTCTGTGCATGTTTAGCACCTTTTTCATCTATTCCGTCCATGCGGCAACAGTCGTCGTAGGCCTGGTTGGGATCTCCTGGGCCATGACACTCTGGGCACCCTTTGCGTTGATCTCTGCAGAGGTGGCCTGCATTGATGAAGAACGTCGGATCCGCCGAAATCGGTCAGAATTAGCGACACATGAGGAGCAGCGGGCGATGGTCAGTGCTGCTCAAGCCGATCCTGTTACGGGTCGCGATGATCTAGAGACGGGGGCCGCTCCACGGTTCCCCAAGGCCGAAGAAGATGACGAAAACTTCGCCCAAGCAGGAATCGTTCTTGGATTACATAACGTGGCGGTCTCCGCACCGCAGATCTTGTCGAGTCTGGTGTGCAGTGCGATCTTTGAAGTCTTCCAGAAACCGCGAGGAGAGCCCTGGGATGATAGTGTAGGGTGGGTCCTGAGATTTGGTGGGTGCGCGGCATTACTTGCGGCGTGGTTGACTAGTCGGCTCGCGGAGGGAATACACGGAGCGTAATATTGTAGGATGGATGGATGCTCATGGAGGAAGGATAGACAATAATAATACCTGATTCAATTACTTTGGGATAATTAATAACAATTATGGTAACGATCCTACTTGGATGCAGATGAGGTCGCAATCCTCTGTCAGTACCTACCTAGTATCTATACCAGGAAATTTTATTTCGTAACTCGTCTTCGAAGATCATCAATCCATCCATCAATCTTGTAAACGGCGGACCGGTGAATTACTGGATCTGGTCTGTAATTTTGGTAAAAAATTGGGTTACAAGGTTATTCTCAGCCGATTGCCAACTTGACGTCACTACACACCTCTCTTTGCCTTGTTTCCCTGGCAACCAATAAGCCACCACTCGGCAGAGAACGGACTAGCCAAGGTGCAAGAATCCCCTATCCCGCAGAATCCTGAGTCCGGTTCTGTCTTCGGCCTTTACAACGCTGTATTTATCTGTTTGGTTGGTTAGTGGGCGGGGGTAGGTATTGTCTGCCATAAAAGTAATTTATGACAGGTAAGAACTGTCCCAGAATCTTCAGGCTGCATCCCACAATTATTTTAAGGGAGTGTGTTGGCTGTTTAATGGGCTAGCAAAGACTCCGCATGCAGCTTAGAATAGGGAAATCTGGCCCGTTGTTTGTTGCCGACCTTGTTTTTCTTCTAACCCGTCGATTAATTGATTCTATATAACTACCTACCTGTTAGAGCGGGTATGGACTCGTATTTTAATCTAGGTCGCAGTTGGTTTTGCTTGTCATGTTCGCGGGAAGCCTGCGAAAGGAAATTAGTCACGTGCGACGGCTGCATCATGTTTACCCTGTTTGCACTCGTCAAGAAGTACACAAGCCCGTGAATTGCCCTTCAATGTATCTTTTTCTCTTCATCAAAATGATTTGTAAAGTCCACCAAAATGGACAATGAAATTCATACCATCCTTGAACTGCCGACCATTGCCGATATTGAGGCCTCGACCGATGTCCTCAGTATACGAACCAATGCCATCAAAGTGGTTCGAGTAAAGGAACACTTCGCAGTCAAGATTGGTTATTCGATCCCGCCTTTGGAAGCTGAGAACATGAAATTTGTTGCAGCCAATAGCAATGTTCCCGTGCCAAAGGTTTACGCCAACTTTGTCGATCCAGAGACCAAGAAAAGATATGTTGTTATGGATTTCGTCCCTGGTACTCCGTACAGACCTGCAAAAGTTACTGCCGTCGCTCACCCCAATCGAGAAGACAGCGATCAGCAAGAGGATCAAACAGGCGATCAATGAACTGCGAACAATACCAACACCTGACTACTTTGGGAACTTGAATGAGACGCCTTACATTGACGGTGTTCTTTCAACCCCTGACAACAACCCAGTGATTTCTGGGCCATTCAAGGATCAGAAGCAGATGAATCAGGGAATACTGGAGAAACTGGGCCAAACGCAGTCACCACATTACATTCGATTGTTGAAAGAAATGATCAACTGCACCCTCAAGAACCATCGAATTGTCTTCACCCATGGAGACCTGCAACCAAAGAACATAATTGTGGAGCGAAGAGGGGTCTCCGGTGATGGAGATGCAGACTTCAAAGTCACGCTTATCGATTGGAATCTGTCAGGATGGTACCCCGAGTTTTGGGATTTTTGCAATTCAACGTTGTATTGCCAGATGAAACCGGATTGGCTCGAGCTCATCCCGGACATATTTGATCATTATCCGATAGAATACCTAATGATGCAAGTTGTCTACTCGTCGGTCTTTTACTGATGGTAGATTGGGAAAATATCATTCATTCTTTGCATTTGACGGGAACAGTAGGAAAGAAGAAAGGTAACGGAATTGAGCCCAGACTGTTGCAACCCAGATTCGTGACATGTTGGAAATAAGCTCAGGTGGAGAATGAACCTCTTTTCCAAGGGCCGAAGAACCAGCGCTCGAGCTTTCGGATTCATTCCGTTAGATGTTGTATCGTGATAAGTGGGTGTTGACGGACTTACCTCATTCTACCGCTTCAAGATGCCTTTGTCAAATGCCAATTTCTGACCATCTCGCAGCCAGTCTCCACAACGATAAAGTGGTGTACCAGGATACAATTGCTTGCCCCCGAGCGTCAGCTGGGCCCGAGGCGTCTCGACTGCTCGAATCTGGCCAAATCTGCCTGCGCAATGGATCCAATCATTTTCTTTGTGCCTGGGACATAAGACGCCGAGAACTCAGGGTCAAAAGAACCTCTTGGGTCATATTTCATACCCTGGAGTAAATTTCCAGTCCTCCTTCAGACATTCGCGGGGCGGTGGGGTTGGTTTCAATGGAAATGGCTTCATGGTTAGGCGCACCAAGATATTCGGCCGTGTACACACTAAGGACTTCATCATGGATAGTTGGGTCTTGCATGTGTTGGCGTGCATAGAAGGTGAACTGGGACATGGACCTGTTTTCTATAAGATTACTGGATGAACAAAGCATCTGAATGAGCCAATTAATAGTGATAAGGGATCCAAGGGTGTTCTTGATTATGCCAGCCATGGACCACATCTCCGCCCCGAGTTCTCTTTTCTCGCGTCTCAGTTGCAAAATCTCGGGGGGTTGACAAATAGCACGTTGATGTGCTTTAGTAAAGCTGGTAAAATTTTCTGCAAGTAGATAGTCAGCCATGTTATAAGAGATCCCATATATCATAGCGAAAATATATCCATCATATCGCGTTCAGCAAAGAACATACTGTTGACTTCATTTGCCATCCAGCGGCGGAAATTGTAATACAGACCAGGGTGGATATTCGTGGTATAGAAAATGGCAAAATGAAGGTCATCTTAAGGCGTAGGCAACGGACTTGGGTTCACCTGAAACAGAGCCATTTTCGGCGTCAATCCCACAGGTCCTCATATTCGATTTGTAAAAAAAGTTGCGACTCTGTTTGGCTGTGGCGCGGAATCCTCCGAATCAGCGTTGACGAATACTTGTCCCTTAAGTTAAAACTACCCGTGCGTATTTCGCTTCGTCCTCACCACCTGCCTTCTGAATATCTTCCTTCTCTCTTCCTCGCTCTCTTACATTTCATTTTCTTCTTCTCCCGCATCCGTGGATTATTATGTGCGCCTGGAATCGGCGTCAGCAAATCGCAGCTCGGGTTAACCGTTAGGCGTCGTCCGCTGTGGTGGTGGTTGCGTGGAAACTCATTCGAAATGGCTACTCAACTAATGGGTGACACCCTTCATTCGCTTCTCCGTACGTACCCCTCTCTCTTACCTTTTCTAAGAGCCTATGATCCTACGTAACCGCCTCTTCTTGTTATCTTTGCGACCGGAGAACAACTTCGTCGCTAACGAGTTTCGTGCTTTGCTAGGGAGAGCTGCGGATCATGATACCGATCCCGATGATGGTACGCGCGTCGAATGTTCCCTTCCCCTCTTGTTCTTCTGAGATTTTCGGATCTGGGTAGAGGGCGTAGGATAGGATCGAATCTGACAAGAATGGAATAATTATAGCGGACGCTCCGGAGGCGGGCACCAAGGAGTTCTTCAGCTCCTGGGCACTCTTTATCTTGATCGCTCTGTTGATGGCTGCGCTATTCACCAGCTATATTCTGCAGCAAAGAAGAATACAAGCAGTTCACGAAACCGTTCTGTCGATTTTTGGAGGTAAAGCTATCTGGCTTTTGATTCGAAATACTTGCTGAACAGTGGAATAGGCATGTTCGTTGGACTGATCATTCGAGTTACCGACTCCCCCATCGAAACCTTCGTCGCCTTTGACTACCAATTCTTCTTCAACCTCCTCCTTCCCCCGATTATCCTAGCCTCGGGCTACGAATTACATCAGGCCAATTTCTTCCGAAATATCGGCACCATCCTTACCTTTGCCTTTGCCGGAACCTTCATATCGGCCATTGTGCTGGGTTTGATTTTGTTTCTCTGGACCCGAATTCCATTAGACGGATTAGATATCTCGTTTGTTGAAGCCATCTCGGTTGGTGCCACGCTTTCTGCGACAGATCCGGTTACGATTTTGGCTATCTTCAATCTCTACAAAGTCGAGCCTAAGCTTTACACCGTCATCTTCGGCGAGTCGATCCTGAACGATGCGATTGCGATTGTTTTGTTCGAGACGGCCCAGAAGTATGCGTATAGTGATGCAGGCTCTCTCACCTTTTTGAATTTGTTCGAAGCTATCGGGCTTTTCTTGCTCGTCTTCTTTGGAAGTATGTTGGTGGGCGTTATTGTGGGTATTTTGACAGCTCTGGGACTGAAATACACTCATGTCCGCCGCCAACCCAAGATTGAGAGCTGCTTGATAGTTCTCATTGCCTACGCGAGCTACTTCTTCTCTAATGGTGTTCTCTTATCAGGTATGTTGGTCGGCCCTTTTTTTTTTCTTCTTCTCCCTCTCTTGATGCTGGATATGGAAGACTGACTGACCCATGACGTTAGGTATCGTGTCGCTGCTGTTTTGTGGAATCACCTTGAAGCATTACGCCTACTACAACATGTCGCGTCGAACCCAGTTGACGACCAAATATCTCTTCCAAGTTATGGCACAACTATCGGAGAACTTTATCTTTATTTACCTAGGTCTTGACCTGCTTGTCGATAGAAAATCGGAGTTCAAGCCGCTTTTCATTTTGGTGACCGTCATTGGTATCTGTATTGCCCGCTATCTTGCCGTGTTTCCATTGTCCAAGGCGATCAACTGGTTTATTCGGTATAGGGCGCGACGGCGCGGAATGGATGTCGCTGATGAGCTGCCTTTTGCATATCAAGCAATGCTCTTCTGGGCGGGCTTGCGTGGAGCAGTCGGAGTAGCGCTGGCCGCTGGTCTTGGAGGTGCGAATGGACCGGCCCTACGTGCTACCGTTCTTGTCGTGGTAGTGCTTACCGTCATTATTTTCGGAGGTACAACGGCGCGTATGTTGGAGATCCTAGGAATTCGAACCGGAGTGGTCGAAGAAATTGAATCCGATGACGAGTTCGACATTGAGGTTTCAAACGGGGGCACCTACTATAAGCGCTCCGATACTGGATTGGGATACTCGCCTCGTCGGCCCGACACTATTCCCCTGGATGGAGTCTCGCGACGAGACCTCGACCGAAACAACAGCTACTCCAGCGGCAACAATCGCCGACCCAGCCCTCCTACGTCCTCAGGTTCGAGCAGAAGACATTCCAGATTGCACTCGAACGCGTTCAGCGCTCGGGATACGCAAGCAACGCGCGACCGATCTTCGACCGCGACTCTTCTGGGCAATGGTGTGGGTAGCCACAGTGACAGCAGCGTTGCCAGCGAAGACGAGTTTGGTCTGAAGACTTCTGGAAAGGGCAGAGCTGTAGATACCGACCAGCTCGAGGCCTTTGATTTGGATGGTGATGATGTACATTCGGACGATGATCTGCCTCCTGCAGCCCCGACCCGGATGCGGCGATCACCGTCCCAGCCCTCACAACATCAGCAGCATCTGGGGACCTCCTCAACACCGCCGCAAAGCAGTGTTTCCCCCCGGCGCGAAACAGGAATGAGCGCACGCGAGGCAATCCGCGATCTTTTCTCGGGCGGACCGTCGGGGGACCATGTGGCGTGGTTCCGACAGCTGGATGAGGATTATATTAAGCCCCGACTTCTGCTGGACCAGTCCAACCATAAGGGGCCTGGCGCTGTTTAGATTTGTTCTTCATGTTTTGTGTGTGTGTGTGTGTGTATACACACGTATAATATCATTTTTGATTTGGCTTTGGTCTTCTTAATGTTCCCTTATCAGAGATGGCGCTCAGCCAGTAGTTTCTAAACTATGGACCAGGGGTTCTTCTCCTCTGATAGTTCCTCTTAGTCTACTTGGGTATTATCCACGAGGTTATCAGAGTATCAATGACCAGAATGCCCAAGCCCTCCAATCCCAACTCTTTGCAGCGATGATAAGAAGTCCGCGGCGTCAGTTAGTCCGGAGGCTTGACACAAGGTGCAGCGTGAGTGTTACTGGAAAGGGAAGGTCTGTCCTGTAGTAACGAATTATATGAAGCTTTATTGGTTTATCTGGATGTGACCTACGTATCTTAAAACCAGTAAGCCTCTAGAGTCGATCACTCATTATTATCAGCATTTTTATTACGATTACGATTATTACTACCCTGGTCTCGAGGCTTGTCATGGATGGAAGTGCGGAAATGTTGCACGTCGGAATGTTATCATCACTTCCGTTGAGCAACGTTCGTGCCTTGATTGACATCCTCCGCCTATCATCTAATGTCCAAATCATATAAACAACTGGCTCTTCCTGTCCCTATTGCAGGCGATGGATTCGTCCTCCTACCGAAATTCCTCCCGCTCTTCTGTCCTTCAATTGTAGTACTGTTTGATTATCCTCGTGTTCTCCTCCTCCAATCATGGCTGAAAAGACGCCCAAAGCTGCTCCCGACGTGAGCGATGATGAGCCTTCCGCTGTGGAACAGGGCGATATGGAGTTGTTAGGTAGGTTACTACCAATCCATATCTTGGATTTTTTTTTTCTTTTCTACCAGTATCCATGTTTTGTCGTGTGGGAAGGCTAACCTTCAGAACCCGAAAGCCGCCTTGGGTTACAAACAGGAACTCCGACGACACTATTCGACAACAGAAGTCTTTGCGATTGCCTTTAGTATCATGGGATTATTGCCGTCCATTGCTTCGACCCTTTCGTTTTCGATACCCGCTGGTCCGGTGGGCATGGTTTGGGTATATTGCTCCCGTTCTCCAACCTGTGATAAGGACGAGCTTGCTGATGCTGGATAGGGTAAGCGTTCTTGAAGACTAGGTCGATACTCGACGGTTGGGTTGACTGGATGTATAGGATGGCTTGTTGCAAGTGTGTTTATATTTATTGTTGGGTTGGCTATGGTAGGGCTCCTCCGTCGTTGGAAACGCACTGGATGAAGTAGAAGGAAAGGCTAATAATAGTCTCAGGCTGACCTGGCATCGGCAATGCCCACGGCCGGTGGTCTTTACTTCTGGACCCATTATTTTAGTGGTGAAAAGTGGAAGAATCCCTTGAGTTTCGTGGTGGGATATAGCAATACCATCGGTCTCATCGGAGGAATCTGCTCTATTGACTGTGAGCATTCTCAATTTTCAATCTGATATATGTACGGCCTTTGTAGTTGACTAGGACAAGATGGCTTTGCTACTATGCTACTCTCGATTGTCTCTATCGCTCGCGACGGAGAGTGGTCTGCATCTCGAGGACTCGTGTACGGTACTTATGTCGCCTGCGTCGTCGTCCACGGTCTAATCGCCACGTTCTTTGCCCGAATCATGCCCAAAATCCAGTTCGCCTGTATTTTCCTCAACGTTGGTCTTGTCCTTGCCACCGTGCTCGCCCTCCCGATTGGCAAAGCAGTCAATGGGGGAACGATCAACTCGGGCACCTATGTCTTTGGGAATATCGAGAACTCCACAACCTGGCCTGCGGGGTGGGCGTTCGTCATCGCCTGGCTTTCTCCGATCTGGACAATTGGTGCCTTCGACTCGTGCGTTCATATGAGCGAGGAAGCCACCAATGCCCCCCGTGCCGTGCCTTTGGGTATCTTATGGTCTATTGGGCTATGTGGAACTCTGGGATTCCTCTCTCTGGCTATCATCGCTACAGTAATTGATACGAATCTGTCAGCAGTGCTGAACACTCAATTCGGCCAGCCCATGGCGCAGGTAAGTCGCCGTTCCTTACCTCGATACAACAGCATGGGTATACTGAGATTTTCTCTGCACAGGTCTACTACGACTGTCTCGGTAAATCTGGGGCTATCGGGTTCATGGCCATACTTGCGCTGGTTCAGTTTTTCATGGGATTGAGTATTGTTCGTCTCCTAGCCCTAACTCCCAATTTCTCTCTCCCCTTCCCTTACCCCCCCCAAAAAAACACACACTAACAACAATACAAACCAGGTCGTCGCAGCCTCCCGCCAAAGCTGGGCCTTCTCCCGCGACGGTGCCCTCCCCTTCTCCTCCTTCTTCCGCCACGTCAGCAAACGCATCCGCTACCAACCCGTTCGCATGATTTGGGGCGTCATCTGCGCAGCCATCATAATCGGACTCCTATCCCTCATCAACGCAGCAGCCTCAAACGCTCTTTTCTCCCTCGCTGTGGCCGGCAACGATCTCGCCTGGATGACGCCTATCGCCGCCCGGCTCATCTGGGGCCAGGAGAAATTCGAGCCGGGTCTGTTTTATACAGGGCGCTTCAGTAAGCCAATTGCGATCACGGCGATTGTGTACCTGGCGTTTGCGATTGTGTTGTGCATGTTCCCGACGCTGGGTCCGGATCCGAGTCGTACGTTGCCCCCTCTTTCTTTCTTTCTTTCTTTCTTTTTCTTTTCTTTTCTTTTCTTTTCTTTTCTTTTCTATTTCTTGTCGTTGCGGAAGAGTGAGGTGAAGCGTGGTCTGGTGGGAAGAGTAAGACTAACGATGCTACAGCCAACGACATGAACTACACGGTCGTTATCAATTGTGCTCTTTGGGGCGGCGCACTCCTATACTACGTTCTCTATGCTAGGAAGACATACAAGGGCCCCCAGATCACGGTATCAGATACCCCGTCCGAAAAGAAACTGGAGAAAGACCCTCCTCGGTTTTCCGGAGGAATAGAAGCTTAGACAGATAGAATAATCGTACCATCTGGGTCATGTATTAAGTCTCCGTAGGGCTTCTATCTTCTGTTGAGGACTACACCTCCTGCAACCCTGTTCCTCACTAATAATGGTGTTCAAATTGTAGAGCTAAAAAAAACTACAGTGGCAAGATACCTGTCATGGACTTTTTTGTATGTAGGGGAAGTTGAAGGTTCTAGGAGCACCTCGCCAGCGAGACGCTTACATCTAATAAGAGTTTTTCAAGATTTAAGAAGCATGAATTAGAATCTCAGGAAGGGCTCATAACCTGATAAGAGGTTATTAAATTATGATCGGAGAAAGTTAACCAAAATGAATTTAATTAGGTCTAACTAGGAGATGGAGATGGAGAGATGGAGATGCTTGGAAGAAGTATGGAGATCTGGAAGGAAATGGTGGCCTTGGGTAGTCATGTGTCGCTATTCACTTAATGGTAGTGCTGTTTGCATTCACTGATTGCAGTACTCTAACAGATAGTTAATGATGAGAGGTCATCAAATGATGACAGGAGTAAGTTGACCAAAATGAATTCAATTAGGTCTAACTAGGATATAGAGAGAAGGAGAGATGCTTAGAGATGCTTTAAGGAAGCATGGAGATCTGGAAGGAAATGATGGCCTAAATACACTGGGTAGTCACGTGTTGCTATTCACTTAATGGCAGTGCTGTTTGCATTCACTGATTGCAGCACTCCAACAGGTTAATGTGGTCAGAGATGACACAGTCAACAATGCCAAGCCCCAGCCCCCTTTCCCGTCCCTTATATATCGATCCTCTCCCAGGCCACCACTCAACCAATCTCCTCACTTCCTTTCTCCCCCTGAGATATCTCATGCTTCACCTTCGTTCTGTGCGATATCAACTCCATCATCCTCATCACGTATAGGGACTTGACTATTCGCTCTTTGCCGTTCTGGCCGCTGGTCCTGCCGTTTCCTGTGTTCTCATAGGACTCCAGGTTTGGATCTTGGGTTGGGTACGTACGTGTGGCTAGGCCGCAAGAGCTTTTGATACCTTTGTTTTCGTTCGTCAATTAAGGAATCATTTTCTTCTTGCCGTTCTCGCCGCTTGGCGTGCCATTCCTGTGTTTTCATAGGACTCTCCAACTCTTGAACTGGAGTGAGCATGTACTTGTGGCCAGGCCGCAGGAGCTTTTGGTCGGTCTCTTTTACTGTTGTCCTGTCAATTCTATCACTGATCTTCATTCACCTGAGTCAGGGCTGCTCATCGCTTTTTCAAAGCCCGGGTGGGAGGGTTACTCGATCATTCGAGGGAACCTCTAAAATCCAACAAACTTTAAGAGTTTTCCAATGTCGCCTGTATTGCAAGAGTCGCACTGGGATTTGACCAAGAAAGTTGTCGTTTCTGTACCAGGCACGAAACATTCTTGCGATGCCAAGTGTCGCATTGCCTATTCCAACGACCCCGAGCGAGGATCTATCTCTCTTAGTATTAAGGCAGCCCTTGCTAACTCGACTAACAGCTCGGATTCACTAACATTGAATATCTGCCCGGAAGCGATCCAGAAATCTTCGCTAGTTAAGAGAAGCAACCCCAATCTCTGCCCATCGGAATTGTCCTCAAAGATTCGGCAAACTATAAGTGGTGCTACGGCGGTTTCAACGCTTAGTATTTATTTAGCTAGGCCTGGGATTGTTCTTTGTCCATCTTGGGCAAAGTCTCTAAGTTCCTCTGATCCAAGAGACTCAAATTTCATCGCATTCGCCCATATTTGTCAGTCAAAATCTTTACGCCTACATTTTGCCCGGGTACAATTTCAGGGGGAAGAATTTGAGACGTTGAGAAAATTTTGCTCTAGAATACAAACCCTCCAGCCAGAGTCTTTCGCCCATCATCGGCATGGTGTAGTCAAGAGAGATCCGAGTATATTCAAGCTTTCTCCACCCCCATATGATGAGGAACAGGTATCAACACCGGCTGAGCAAGCGGATCCACCCCAATACAATGATCAACCCGAATTGAATCCGGTCATTGGCAAACGGGACAGAGGTATGTCCCATCTCCACATCTACAGGAGATTTCAGCTTTCATGGCCTGTTGATGGTCTCTAGGGCGGTCTCTGTCACCCGAGGAATGTTGCAAAAGGCGGCTTCTTACACACCCAGACTGGCTTGGAGCACCTACCGAAGTCAATACCCCAAGTACTCGCTCTCCGTCAACATCCTCAAACTCGATCCGTCCAACCCACTTTACACATGCTTCTTCTCCCGACGACGCAGATCATTTTTCACTTAGATATCTTGAGCAGAAGCTTAGCCGACTGCCTGAAGATCGGGTTCGTGAGCTATTGATTCGCTCCGGACACCACCGTCTACTGGCCTTGTCAGGGGATGTAGATGGTGGCCTACCATCAAAGTCTTGGACATCTGGCCCTCCTGGCGTCCATCTTATCGACCCTGACATCAAAAGATATATCGATGAGGAAATCCACAACAGTTCTAAATTACAGCAGGACATCGTACGCGATAGCATTAAATCAGAACTTGATGATATCGTTCAAGACAGCATTAGATCAGAACTGCCTGGTCTTGTCGACCATTTTCGCGAGGAGATTGCTGACGAACACAAAATGAAAGTGTGCGAGTTAGGCGAGGTGGTCCAGGACAGTGTATGCGAGATACAAACTGTAACCGATGGTAGTTCAGAGGTAATAGGGAGCGTTACGACAGCGCATATCGACGAACTAAATAAGCAGGCCGTCGAGGCGAAGAAAGCGTTGAAGGAATTGGCTACAAAATTGACTGTTTCTCTCAGGGCCTCATTTGACGATTTGCGAGGCTCTAGGCATGAAAAACAGGGCACACACGCGCGATGCCGCTCTGTTTAAATCCTGGATTTGGGTCTTGTTACTCAATAGTTTTTCGTGTATCTAAGACTCCGTAGATATTTAGAATGAGATCAAATCAGTGGACAGTATTGAACTGTTCGGCATAGATGGTTTCTTGATTTTGTTCTGTATGAGTCTAGAACCCGTAACATCACCCGCGGAAATCTCCTCACGCACATGCTTTCTTTCTGGTTAGTGGACACCGAGGCAGTAACTTCAGAGTAGAGCGGGGTCAATGAATCATGTTAAGCACCGCATCAAGCAGGGTTTGGGACGCGTTTGCAGTCTGATGCCTACAGTAAGGACTTTACCTGGGACATACTCAATGGATGAGACGGTACGAAAAAGAAGGACTAAAATCATACTAAGCGAATCGATCAGCGCAATCTACCTGAATGACGAGATCGATAAGACGCGAGTTAAACGCTCAAAGAAAACAGTACTACTTCCTTATATGGTAACTACATCCTTACCTTATTTTAATTATAAAAGTGGCGTCGTTCAGAGAGGTATCTCCTGTAGTGGCTGCCAGGTTGCTTTAGAGAAAGCTCTGAGGTCTTCAAGGGTCAAATCCGGAGCCTGTGCGATGAGAGACAAAGTATACTCGCATGACGAGTTTTTAGATCACTTCAAAGCCTGCCAAGAGGCTCAGAACATCTGGAAGTCGCGCGGAAGGGGTTCTGATAACGCTAATTTCTCTGAGTTCGTTAGACGTGGAGGCTACTTTAAGAGAAGGGATGTGATCATGTCTTTCAATAGTAAGAAATATGCATAATGTATATGGCACCTCAACAGGGTGATTGATTCGTCTTGATTAGCCTTCTGATCCAGCAGGTCAGGTGAAATCTATCTAGTGTTGTTTTATGCCGAATTCCGCGAGTACGTTCAGTCTAATGTAAGCGAGACATGTATGAATCCTCTTCCAAGTGGCCCGAGTGCGGGGCCGTATACCGTGCCCGTGAAAAATTAGGCCCTACTAAAAGAAAGGGCTACATAAACTCCGATCTTAAGGGAAGCCAGGCCCTGAAGGGATGACGGATAATAGTACCAAAGGTGAAGGTGCAGAGACATGGCTGCTGGAATAGCACTGGTTGAAATAGACTGAGCTCCTCAAAAAACTGGGAGCTGCCATATGCCTGAGATATTTCTACGGTGTCGTACATTTTGACATGGCACGAGTAATAGGCATGAAAGAAAGAAAGTAGTGTATAAGTACATCCCTGGGACCAACCATGTGCCTTCGACCAAAGCGAGTCAGAGTCCTTGAATTACCAATGTTATAATGTGGTCGAGTGGTGCAATCCTTCTGGGTATAAACGCGGCGTTGGCACTGTGTGGTAGTTATTCAGCGACATGTGAGCAAGCGAAGCTGACTCAAAACGGGGTATTGTCAGCAAATTGCTATTCAAGTAGCAGTGACACATGGAAGTCAAGTGAATTATCCTTAAATTATTGCTACGAGAACAAGGGAGAATTGATGGTTGAGCAGAATACAGTATCTTGCACAATTAGCATGCCTACCCCAGAGTCTCCAAATTCTTTCCCAATCCCTAGCCTTATTACACTAGCCTGTATACGGTTAGACGGGCATATTAGTGCTCTTCGAACTAATGGACACGTTTTGTAATTTTGATGACCTTACTTCTTAACCTTACAGTAATACACGTAAGAGGAATACCGCAATCTAGAAGCTTCCGTGTCCAGGCAACGCTCCAACAGGGGCACCTCACTGTTGCTTTTCGACTTTCTCTTCAAACATACTGTCAAGTTGCTATACTGCCAAAGGTAGTACAGCGATGGTACCACACCTATCGCCATCAAAGATCCAGCTTATATGCTCTAGCTCAGCCACAAGCGGCATGGCTTATGTGAGGCTAACAAAGCGTCACGTGCAAGGCAAGCTCCCAAGTGCTTCGATGTTCTTCCCAGCGAGACAACTTGATCAACAGCCTTAGTCCAGGCCGTCCGTATAACAGCCCCGTGCTCAGTGTCATAGGCTGTTTGTAAATACTAATTTAATGATTTCTCGCGCGCAGAACTGCGATGCCCAATCCTCGAGTCTGATCAATGACAGCACCTTCAACCGGCATTTGACACTTTCGGTGATTGCGGTCCTTAGAAGGATCCGACCTCTCAAAGGAACTGTTCTTATGTTGACAGATCGGCTTTGTGTCAAGTACGGGCAACACATAGACTTATCGGAGGCAGTGACCATGCGTTTCATCTCACAGAATACATACATCCCAGTCCCCAAGATCTTTTGCGCCTTCACACATAAAGGTTGTTCTTACATCGTGATGGAAAGGATCAAAGGAGACATGATTGGCATCGGCTGGGTCAATCGAAGCGAAGAATCAAAGACCAAGCTTCTTACGCAACTGAAGAACATGGTTCACGAGATGCAAGAACTTCGGCCTCCAGAAGGTATAGGGGTCTCTTCTGTTAGTGGAGGACCTCTGTTCGATTGCCGTTTGCCGGGCGCTTCTTTACGTTTTGGGCCCTTTCCCAGTGTCCAGAGCTTCCATCGACATTTACGAGGCGGCATGGATTTTGACCCGGGACTTGACTGCGAAATTAAAGAATTGATTCGACAACACAATCGTGGTTGGCCTATCGTGTTCACTCATGGCGATCTCAGCAGCTTGAATATCCTTGTCCGCGGTGATGATATTGTTGGCATCATTGACTGGGAAACGGCCGGTTGGTACCCGTCATACTGGGAATATACGACAGCTTGCCAAGTCAACCCCCAGAATTCTTTCTGGATCAACGAAATTGACAAATTTCTCACGCCCCTACCAGACGAACTAAGGATGGAGAAAGCTCGCCAAAAATACTTTGGACATATTTAAGAATCAATATATACAACGCTTATTATACTTTAGATTATGATTTCCTTGCGCTCGACCAAGTCGTATGTCGGGGCTTTGGCCATATCAAAATTCCCATGCCCATCAAAGCGATGCTGGGCAGCTTCACTTCAGTCAATCAGCCGCAGGTTCTCAGTGCGAGTGAGATAGCGAAGAAGGGTAGAACCTTCCCCACTAGGACATCACCACTTTGGCCGTTCGACTTCAGGTCCCCAGTGCGAGTGAGGTAGCTGATTTCCGTCTCTTTGCACACCGACACGCGCGTCCGTCCTCTCGGGCCACATAGACAGTCTCGTCAAGTTCTTTCTACTTGTCCGTCACTGCCATTATGTGCCACGCCCCACAGGGAATGTTTCCCTCCTTCACGTTACTAGCCGAGATCTCTCTCGACTAGCCGACCGTGTCTTGCAGAGGTGGCCTAGAAGCATCTCCAGTAGCCCTGCGCGATACTTCGACCATCCTCCACTAACCAAGCTTGTGTCTCCAGTTTTGCAGACCTCCCGAGCACCCGTAGCTACGCCTTAACGAGTTCAGTGAGGTTCGTCACTGGATCGCACGCCCCTAGAGAAGTAGACGGTCAGCATTTCCGATCAAGACTGCCCGTGGCAGAGGCTTAACGAGGGTCTTGTAACCAGAACTGTTGGCACCCAATCCCCAAACTCGTGTTATCCACTGCTTAATTGGTTCTATTCTCCCTCGCCGCTCCACGCATATTCAAATCATGTTCTCAAGACTTCTGCTGGGCGTGTCGCAATCTCAGAGAGCGTTCAAGCTCAGAGGTGTCCTGTCTCCTATTTAGGCAATACCACGTCCGCTGGAAAAGCAAGTCCAGTGTTAGTCTCAAGTACAAATCAAGTAAACAGTCATCGGATGGTTTTTATAACCCTTTTCCTCTGATTTTCATGGGTTGGGCAGGCTCGGCTACTACCACGGAAAACTCTGCGGCTCGGCCCTACCCGCACCACCTGGATTCTTTTGGCTTCCCCTCCACGCAGCGAGAGGGTACTGACACCGGACACCACGAGAAGGTAGAAATCCATCGTCCTAACTGTCTGATGAGAACAGTTACCCAGCGTGCTCGCCAGGGGCGTATACTACACCTGGTTGCAAAAATGGCGCAAATGTTTATACTCTTCCTTTGTACGCTAAGCTTTTTTGGGACAGTTATTCCGGACCTTTGTTACCAGCTTGTGTATTAAATTAATTATTAATTTAATTAAATAATATATGAAAGTCCCCCTCAAACCCGTGGTATGACCTGTACACCGTGCTGAGTTCTACGCGCGCTTCGGAAGAACTATGGCCCGCAGGGCCATCTTTTCCGTGCTATAGAACCTGGGGATATTGGTTAACCTATTAGCTATGGAGATTCCTATATTATCTAAGCTATTACTATGCTAATACCTACTTGAATGCCTGCTAATACTTGCTTTAATACCTACTTGAATGCCTGCTAATACCTGCTTCAATACCTGCTAATACTTCCTTTAATACCTATTTTAATTCTAACTTCCATACTTGCATTAATATAGTAGCTATCATACTATAATTAAGACTATACTATTAGTTTGCCATGCAGCCATATGCCCCAACAAGCCACCGAGCGTAGTAAGGATTTAAGGCTAGCTGAAGAGTAATAATGCACCAGCTAACTCAGTGGGGCTCTCGTTGCTTGTGTCCGCTCATACAAGGATGTTCATTGCCACTCGAGGTTGTGCTGCAGTTGACAGGTTCTTACTGGTGGTAGAATGAACCGAAGGCATTTTACTGTGTCAAGAACCTGTCAACTGCAGCATAACTTGGGCCCGTGGAAGCGCAGTATCAAGATGAGTTCCAGTGTAGGTGGTGGTCATTGACAAGTTTAACAAGTTGAAGGCCATGTCTTTTATATTAGTGAGGAATCAGGAAGGTAGTATAGTGATGGAATCTGGTAATTAGATGATTGCTTCAGGCTTAGAGAGATTCACTGTTAGTTAGTTAACTAGTTACCTGGGACGTCTGACTTATCTTTACATTACTTCTATAACTATTAGGAAGGCAGAGACAACAGCCCTGGAGTGATAGAGCAACCCATCCCCCGCTTCCAATCTAATAAGTGGTGGTTATAGTAGGTTGGTAATCTCATGAGGAGCTGAGTACATTCATTTCTCTGCTAGTTACTCTGGAGACATGAACTGTTAGAGTGCTGCATTCAGTGAATGCAAACAGCACTGCCATTAAGGCTTAAGCAAATAGCGACACGTGACTACCCTGTGTATTTAGGCCACTATTTCCTTCCAGATCTCCATGCTTCTTCCAAGCATCTCCATCTCTCCATCTCCATCTCCTAGTTAGACCTAATTAAATTCATTTCGGTCAACTTTCTACTGTCATAATTTGACAACCTCTCATCATGAACTGATCCAAACCACAATTGTCCAAGCTCTTACTCCTCGTTAACTCACTAACTATACTGTAAACTACTGGGTTGTTTGCTAAGTAAGTACCTGTAAAGAAAGAGTAGAGCCAAATGTAATTAATCCATCCGAGTTGCCTAGGTTAGTACTCCGTGGTGTTATGAATACTTCATCCTTTCAAAATCGTTCGACTACCTAGCTAGGTATGTAGGTGTGCCGTTGGCGGCGTGGGATATCCAAGGATGGTGGTAGTTGGGTAACGAATCCCCCATTGCCGATAAGTTAATTAAGATGGGGGGGGCGTCATCATGTAGCCGTCCCTATTTGGCTCACCTGGTTCCAACGGAGTGCAATACGGAGTACATACCAGTAATTATCTGATGTATTGGGGACGTACACCGAAACCGCCTGTAGGTAGTCGATAGGTAGCTCGCTCGCTCGCTCTGCCTTGGATAGTTTCATGGCTTGACTTGCGAGGGTTTCGGTCGGTCTTCGGCCGGTCTTCGTATAAGCTGTGGGGGGAGGGGTCTGACAGGATAGACTTTGCCAAAAGATTCATTTTACCGGTACGAGTGAAGGCTTGGGTTCAGTTTTAGGTCATCAGATTCTCATTAAATTAATTCAAGAGGCCACTCAGCGGGTCCTGTGGAATTCAGGCCCGTACGCTGATTTTTCTCCCCGGTTACTATAGATTTAATACGTAGCATCAAGTTTTCAACGCCAACCAACCCCTCCACTACTGTGGAATCTCCAAAACGTACCGACCAGCAATTTGGCCTTGTTCTGTAGTCCAAGGATTAGCATACCCCCTTCAAAAAAAAAAAAAAAAAAAAAAAAAAAAAGCATAAGAGAAAAAGAAAAAGATAGACACCTACCCATCATTTTAAAGATTTCTGGCAGATCCTTCAGAGGAGCCGTCTTAAAAGGTGCCTTGATCAGACCACGTGCAAAGAAATCCAGAGCCTCGACACCATCCTGTCGGTTTCCAACATAGCTGCCCTTGATGTTAATCATACGGACCACGGTGTTGAAGACAGGAGCCTTCAGGAAGGCGCCAGCTGGAAGACCAATAGCAACGACAGAGCCGCGAGAACGGACGTATTCTGTAGCTTGTTGGAAGGGTTTCTCGGCAACGGCGAGAAGGATGACGGCGTGGGCACCTAGCCCTCCCGGTGTTGCGGCTTTGACCTCCGCGACAACATCTTTGGATTTGCTGAAGTCAACGAATGCCTGCATATCTAATTAGTTATCCGTCTGTTAATATTAACTAAGGGGGTGGTGGTGGTGGTAGACCTCAGCTCCTAACTCCTCACACATAACCTTCTTCTCGTCCCCAGAATCGATAGCAATAATACGCAGTCCCATGGCCTTGGCATATTGCTGTGCGAGAGAACCCAATCCACCACCCGCACCGACGATTGCGACCGTTTGGCCCGGACGTACACCGGATTCTTTCAAGCCCTTGTAGACAGTGATTCCGGCGCAGAGGATCGGGGCAGCCGCATCGAGAGGCACGTTTTTGGGGATCTTCGAAGCCAGAGCCGCTTTGCCGATGGCGTACTGCTGGAAAGTGCCGTCGACAGTATACCCGGATAGGGCGGCGTGAGGACAGAGCGGTTCTTCGGACTGCATACAATATTCACAGGCAAGGCACGATCCGTTCAGCCATTTCAGACCTGCGTGATCGCCAATCTCAAACTCCTCGACCAGGTCGCCTTTGGCGACGACAACACCAGCACCCTCGTGGCCACCAACCAAGGGGAGCTTCAGTGCCAAAGGCCAGTCGCCTTTCATGGCGTGGAGATCTGTATGGCAGACTCCAGAATAGCGAACGTTGACGAGAATCTCATCTGGTCCTGGTTTGGGAACAGGGATCTGTTTGTAGACTGGGGAGCTGCCCTTCTCCTCCACCACCTGGGCCCATTGCATGTCAGGGATACTCATAGTTGCGGTTTTTACGTAGGATGCTGCAGTGTTGGGGGTAAAACGAGAAGAAAATGTTGAGAGTGAAGAAATGGGTAGCTTGTAATGTGAAATCAAGGTATTCCTAGGAGATCGTTTGGCGCACAGATAAGTCAGATCTGTCAGGAGGACCGAAGGAAGGCCCTTGGGGGCTTTTATACAACCCATGAGGGCACGGAGGATATAACAATGCCTAGGAATCTGAAGTCCGTGTAAGTCCGAGTGGTACAACACCAGTGACTGACAATGTGACGTGGTTCCACTATGAAGATTAAACCACCCGGTAATAAGGAGATCTGAGCATGAAAGGGGGGAAAAAACACACAAAGAAGATTAGGGGCTGCGCATGGCGCGTTAGAACATACGAGTTTGAGAGCGGATTATTTTGCGCCTCTGCATGGGGAGCGGCTTGGAATTAGTATAGATCAGGCGATTGGTAAAGGGTGTGTAAAGCGTATGACGATATGGGACGGAATGGAGGACGTCACCACCCACTCTCGCCACATAATCCCCATAATTGCCAACCAACCGTTGTCAATGTTGGATTTCAGGTACCTTCAACCCCGAATTTCTTTTCCACAATGGGCGTACATACTCCAACGCTGATGCTGATGCTGATGCTGATACTGCATCCGAGCACCAGCTGTTTATATGATCGCAAAGTTGGGGTACATCACAGCCGGAGTCCCCGGGCCTAGCGTGGTATGATCACCTTCTTGGGTTTCGATATTAAGACGAGGGGTCTACAGTTGCAATTGACGAAGTGGAGGAGTATAGAGACATTGAATGGCGTGAGGATGCGAATGCTGGGAGTGTGGGGTGATTGATAGTTCATGGAAAACGTACCGTTCACGAGCTAACTTGTACCTAGGCAAGTAAGAGTATAGTTGAAGCTAAAGTATTATGATTTGGAGCCACACGGAAGAAAGGACGCTAGGCTATTTATGGAAGCGCTCTGTACCTCAGGCATCCAGCGATTGGTCTCCGGATTTTGTTACAGAGTACAGCAGCCAGCTTAAAAAACCCTCCCAAATCCCTCCATCTCGGAGACAAGGAAGAGTCGATCTCTTCCTTTTGTACAACCATAAATTATACTTTAAACCGTTCAATCCTCCGTTAGGTTATGTTTCATCTTTCTACCGGATTACGGCGCTGGTCAATCGCAAAGTTCAGCGGGGTAAAGCCCCGATCCTCAGTATACAGTACACCTCAGTTCCTGACTCGCATCCTGGCTGGGGAGTGAGACGACCAACGTTAGGAACGGAGTACTTGCATTAATCCCCGGTCCTGTGTTTGGTTATAATCCTCCAACAAAGGAAGACTTTGTGGATGTCTTGGGTTGTGACTGTCAAGTGTTGAACGGCATCAGTAAAGTCCAGTTATCATTGTCAACAAGATCTGGCCGGTCTGATGTGCAGTGCCTAAGGTTCGCAGGAATCTCTATGTCTTTATAAAAGTTTTCTTATAAAACTCATCGTTCTCTTGCCTACAAATAATTATTTCCCTACCCTCTACCAAAAATCCCTACGCTGAATCTCTGAACCATCCACTCCAGGCATTGAATCTTGTTGAGAGAATGACGGGTCCAGCTAAATGAAGGGGGGTAATACTTTCCTGTAGGCAATTCTGGCAATACAGAGCACATCCAGCATCCATGCCCGCCCTTTACAAGTACTTTTATTGAGCAGTTCTAGAGCTGGCGTTAGGAGTAGCTCTTAATCGCTACTCCTTGTTTGAAGTTTGAAGCTGGTTCAAGTATGGGTTACGTATTATAAAAAGATTTACCAGGCAGGGTTATAGCAATCTGATATAACTATCATTAAAATAGCCACTGGGGACAAGGATAGGGGCTATCCTATTCAATATTGTCATCTTCAGAACTGAGGCTCCATGCGAAACACCTCCCCGATCCAAAATTTTGGCGATGTATTTTCTGTACGGGATTAGGACCTATACGCGTATGTAACACGTCAAACATCTCAACCCTGACGCGGAGCAACAAACAACCATCCACTTCTGCTTGTTAAGAATCAGGGCACTTGCTGGAAGGGAAATCCATTTCAAACAGATTAAATCTAACAGCTAATACAAGAGTAACTCATCTGGCCCCTATAAATAACTAAATCAATTCAAAATTATCAAGCAGAGCAAAACAACTACTTCCTGAGAGATTAGCGATGAATCACGCAAGGCGGGCCTAAAGTAACGGTGTATGTAACAGAAATACGAATACTGAGGTTTCAGATCGCCAACAGTAGAAGAAGAAAAGAAAGAAACAACAACGAAAGAAGCAGCAGAAGAAAGCAACGAAAGGGGGAGGAAGAACTAGAACCATCACCATCACCAACACTCCTTCTGCTTCATCATCACCTCCATCAACTCTACCATCTTCCTCTATCCCTTCTCTTCTTATCCTTCTTCTTCTTCTTCCTTTTCATCTCCTTTTCTCTTCCTACCGTCCCATCACCATCACCAGCAACACTATCAACACTCCTCCTGTCCTTTCAACCCATCCCTTTTCAAATCCAGAGTCCTTCATCATCAGAAATTCTCACTACAAAACCACCAGCCCTAATATAACATCTACCTAATCGAAAAAAAAAAAAACCTTTCCCCCGATCTCCCCACCCCAAAGAAATAACGAAGCTTGGGCTGGTGTTTCTTGTCGCATTCTCCCCGATTACGGCTGACTCCGCGAGGATTTGCTGGTTCACCACACGAGTAAAGGCTAGAGCCAAAACCCTCCAAAGAAGATTCCTGGCAAACCCGGTAAGGCAAATCTCCCTTTCCACCTCATCCATCTTCTCTTTTTCTCCCATCCACCTCCCCATCTACTCTCGTCAATGTCTTTATTTTAATTTATCTACCAACCCTCCCGTCCTCTCTCCTCTTCCTCGCCAGAGTTAATTTCTCTAGCTGACAGCTCAAGGACGCGTGATCGCTCCCTTGAAGATAGTCTCTGCATCCCCGCGCATGGGTGCCTCTCGTCCATCCTCACAGTTCATGTTCAGCTGAACCCCATCCTCCTGGTTTTCTTCATCTCGGTAGTCCCTGTCCTCAACACTGCGTCGCCGCGTTTCCGGTCCACGCGGCAACCACCATGACGGGGGCTCCGCCGTATAATCCTCAGTCCCCTACTCAGCAATCTCGCTATCCTGCTTACTCTCCTACTGCGAAGAACCGGTCTTTCTATCCGAACAATGACCAATACCAGCAGCGACCTCCTCAAACTCCCCCTGCGTTCCCTCCGCAATCCTCTTTATCCCGAAGTCCACACTACTCCCATGCGCCCTCTCCTCTACCGGCGACTCTACCTCCATTGAATGGGAGTGCGCCTCCACCCTCCCATCCTTCGGACCCCTCGTCGCAATATCAGCCACATTCATCCGCAGGGAATCCCCAGTTCCCTCTTCCGCGGCCATATTCCGGGTCCGTCTTGCAAGGCAATGGCGCGCCTCCTTACGGCCACTCTACTCCGTCCCATCCCCATCCGTCGAGTCGACCGGACGGCCACCCACAAGCTTCTCCCAAGAAGGAGACAGAGTCTCCTTTTCAAATGGGAAGTCATGTCGTTGCAGGATATTCGTCATCTATAATGCGGGAGCCAAGAGCACCCTCCCCCCCCAAAGAAGCTGTATGACCCCCTCCCCCCCGGCCTTACAAATGCAACTGGCCATGTTTCATTTCTAACAACATCTTTTTTTCATTTACAGAAGCCTGCTCGTGCTGCCGATCCTATGTCCTTCGCCAGTATTCTGTCTGGACCCGCAGACGAAGAGCACGCTCCCCCTAAGCGAGCGTCGCCCCCGCCAGCGACAACACCGGTTCCTTCAGCCCCAGCTTCGGTTGCTGCGACGAGCCTTAGTCCCCCCCCACCAGCTCCTGTTGTACCAACCAAAGCCAAACCTCTCGAACCTGTCACATCAGCTCCGTCCTCGCGATCGGAAAAGAAACCGGCCTCAGAGAGGCGTCGACGGACTACCGAGAAGGAACACAAAGTAACTGAATCCCCAGCTCCTACCTCGGCCAATGGCATGTCGGAGCCCAGGACATCTCGTGCTCCTACTCGAAGAACCCTGTCTGAACGAGATACGGAGATTATCAACAAGATCATGAACGAGATTGACAACGCAGAGAAGAGCGACGTGGAAGCTCCTGGTTTTGAGAAAGAGCGTGAGCGTTATCTTTCAAAGGGCATGAAACGAGTTTTAGATTATGACCAGACTGAAAGTCTCAAACGCAAGGTATGCTTTGACCATCCACCAAAAGAGAAATTGCCATCCTCACATAGATTCTAGCGTCGGCGCCATGATTTCCTGATTAAGCTTGGGAAAACGTTCGAGAAACAGGCTGCCGCCGGTATGGAGCGATTCCGAATCACAAACGAAGCGTCCGTTATTACCGAAGTCCAGGCGAAAGAAATTCAGGACGAAAAAGAACGCAAGAAGGACATGCAACGAAAGCGCCGCAGGGAGAACACCGTGCGGATGGAAATGCAGAAGAAGCTCGAAGCGGAGATCAAGGCCAATGAAGCCCAGGACTCTGCCGAGAAGGCCAAGTTCCTCCGTGAAGCCGAAAGGGCTCAGAGGAAGATCAAGACTACCAAACGGGCGTTGGAAGGAGTCACTGCTCCGGAGGAGATTGGTGAGATCACGCCACTGGCTCCCAACCTTGAGGGCGGCACTACCAGCTCTTTCCATATTGGCCGTGGCTCCCCGTCAAGACGCAAGTCCGGCCGGGGTGGTCCTGTCACGCGGCCTAAGAAATCCAAGGAGCAGAAGCAAGCCGAAAAAGATGCCGCGGAGGCCGCTTACGCTGCGATGGAAAATGACGAGCCCTTGCCAATTGCACCCAAGGAGGATCCCCGGAAGGAGTCCCTCAAGAAAGAGGCTAAGGGTAGTCGGTCCAAGGAGGCTACCCCCACTCCCCATTCTGCATACGAGACAAAGGGATATAACCAGATCTACGAGCAGATCTGGCGGGATATTGCTCGTAAAGACATTCCCAAGGTTTCCCGTATCAAAGCTATATCCCTTTCCACACGCCAGGAAAACCTGCGCAAAACAGCGCAGCTCGCTAGCAAGCAGTCTCGAAAATGGCAAGAGCGTACGAATAAAAGTATGAAAGATACCCAAGCGCGTGCTAAACGAACTATGCGTGAGATGATGTCCTTTTGGAAACGCAATGAAAGAGAAGAGCGTGATTTGCGTCGCCTTGCTGAAAAGCAAGAGATCGAGTCCGCCAAGAGGGCGGAAGCTGAGCGTGAAGCGAACCGCCAGAGACGCAAGCTTAACTTCCTGATTTCGCAGACTGAGCTGTACTCTCACTTCATCGGTCGAAAGATCAAAGGTGCAGAAGGCGATTCCTCCGGGGATGTAGCGATGGAGGGTGCAGACGACGCAGCCAAGAGCCAAGGGGCCTCCTCCGACTTAAATTCCGGCGCCAAAGTCACCAAGTTCGAGGACTTGGACTTTGATGCAGAAGATGATACCGCTTTGCGGCAGGCTGCTATGGCCAACGCGCAAAACGCTGTTCAGCAAGCCCAGGAACGAGCTCGCGCATTCAACTCGGATCAGGGCCCTATGGCCGCACTGGATGAGGGTGAACTGAACTTCCAAAACCCTACCAGCTTCGGTGACATCGAGATATCTCAGCCGACAATGCTCACAGCTAAGCTGAAGGAATACCAGCTGAAGGGTCTGAATTGGCTGGTCAATTTGTACGAACAGGGTATCAACGGTATCCTCGCAGATGAGATGGGTCTTGGTAAGACCATCCAATCGATCTCCGTCATGGCCTACCTTGCAGAAGTGCATAACATTTGGGGGCCCTTCCTGGTCATTGCCCCCGCGTCAACCCTCCATAACTGGCAGCAAGAGATTACCAGGTTCGTTCCTGATATCAAGGTTTTGCCATATTGGGGCTCTGCCAAAGACCGCAAGATTCTTCGCAAGTTCTGGGACCGCAAACATATCACCTACACCAAAGAGTCGGAATTCCACGTCTTGGTGACATCGTATCAACTTGTGGTCCTTGATGCCCAATATTTTCAGAAAGTCAAGTGGCAATATATGATCCTTGATGAAGCCCAGGCCATCAAATCTTCGCAGAGTTCACGTTGGAAGAATCTTCTTGGCTTCCACTGCCGTAACCGCCTGTTGCTTACGGGTACTCCTATTCAGAATAATATGCAAGAGCTGTGGGCTCTTCTTCATTTTATCATGCCTACCCTGTTTGACTCTCACGATGAGTTCAGCGAATGGTTCTCAAAGGACATTGAATCGCATGCCCAAAGTAATACGAAGCTCAATGAAGATCAGCTTAAACGTCTTCACATGATTTTGAAGCCATTCATGCTCCGTCGTGTTAAGAAACATGTGCAACAAGAACTCGGTGACAAGGTGGAAAAGGACGTCTTCTGTGACCTCACCTACCGCCAACGTGCATACTACACCAACCTGCGCAATCGTGTGAGCATCATGGATCTCATCGAGAAGGCTGCTGTCGGCGACGAAACTGATAGCACAACCCTAATGAACCTGGTCATGCAATTCCGAAAGGTCTGTAACCATCCAGATCTATTTGAACGGGCAGAGACAAAGTCGCCTTTCTCTGTTGTTCATTTCGCGGAAACTGCGTCATTTGTTAGGGAAGGCAACAATGTCGATGTGGCTTATTCGACGCGAAATTTGATTGAGTACACTGTGCCACGAATGCTCTGCAGTTCCGATGGCCGCGTCGACATGGCAGGACCCAGTAATCCCCTAGCGGGCTTCCGTACCAAGTACCTGGTTCATCTGATGAATATTTTCACTCCTGAGAATATTCAGAATAGCATTGAAGAAGATGGAGCCTTTTCTTTCTTGCGATTTGTGGATACTTCCATTGGTGAAGCTTCTGAACAGTCTCATCTTGGTGTCTTCGAACGTGCTGTCCGTCGTCGTGGGCAAACTAATAGATTATCCCGGTGGAATGTTATCTATGATGAAGATGAAGTGAAGACATCTACGCTTGCCCATACTATGTTCAACATCGTCCAATGCAACGATCGTCATGCTGTTTATGAGATTGCACCTGAAGGATGCATGCGTGATCTCATGAATGTTTCTCGAACAGCTTTCGATCGTGATGGTCTGGGAGTTGTTGAACCTTGTACCGCCCCAGCGGCGTCCGCTCCTCCCATCTCGCTAGTCTGCTCTAATCAACAAGCACCGAAGGAGATTGAGGAAAGCCTTTTCAACATTTCCGTTCGACATGCCCTGTTCAGCACACCCTCCAGGCTCATGGAACAGCAGATCCTTGAGAAGAAACTGGATCCTTATCCGTACTCCCTTGCTCCCATGGTACCCAAACCAACTTCAGTCAAGGGACGCTACACCCACATCGAGGTTCCCTCTATGCGGCGCTTTGTCACAGATTCTGGCAAACTGGCTAAGCTGGATGAGTTGCTACGGGAACTCAAGGCAGGAGGCCACCGTGTGCTGCTCTATTTCCAGATGACCCGCATGATTGACCTGATGGAAGAATATCTAACGTACCGCAATTACAAGTATTGTCGCTTGGACGGAAGCACCAAACTCGAAGATCGTCGGGACACAGTGGCCGACTTCCAGCAACGGCCGGAGATTTTTGTGTTCCTCTTATCTACTCGTGCTGGTGGTTTGGGTATTAACTTGACGGCGGCAGATACCGTCATCTTCTATGATTCAGACTGGAATCCAACAATTGACTCCCAGGCCATGGACCGAGCTCACCGTCTTGGTCAAACCCGACAAGTTACAGTATACCGCCTCATTACCCGTGGCACCATCGAAGAGCGCATTCGCAAGCGAGCCTTGCAGAAAGAAGAGGTGCAGCGAGTTGTTATTTCAGGTGGTGCGGCCGGCGGCGTGGATTTCAATACTCGCAACCGCGAGAGCAGAACCAAGGATATCGCGATGTGGCTGGCCGATGACGAGCAAGCGGAGCTTATTGAGCAGAAGGAGAAGGAAGCCCTCGGCCGCGGTGAAGCTTTTGGTGCCAATAAGGGTGCGAAGAAGGCAGCTCAGAAGAGAAAGAGGGACATTACTCTAGATGACATGTATCACGAAGGTATGCTTACTCTTTTCGGGCATAATTCTTTTCATGCCCGTTCACTCCAATTCCTGGGACTACATTAGCTAACGAATTCTGTCATATAGGCGAAGGAAACTTTGATGATATCAGCGCTAAACCATCAGGAGCTGCAACCCCAGTCTCACCTGCAGAGAATATTGGGACTCCCACCTCTACACCCGTCCCCAAGCGTGGGCGTGGTCGAGCCGGAAAAGGAACGTCCAAGAGAGCCAAAACAACCAAGGAGCGACTACGGCTCATCGATGGCGACGGAGGTTTAGGTAGCTAATTGTTCGAGTTAGTGTTTCATTATCATTTGCACAAGTGACTGGCATGACGGCGTTCTTCATCTATTTGGTTTTTTTGTTTTCCTTTTTTTCCCCCTCGTCGAGGACTTGTCTTTTTCTTTGGAACACTTTATTTTCTTACCACCTTTATTTATTCTTCCCCTTCTTTTGCCTTCATGGCTGACTTTGAATCTGCACTGTATTAACATTATTTTTGTTTTTTTTTTTTTTGTTCTTGATATTGAGAGCATGCGTGAAGGTGATTGATGATCGTGAACTGGCATACAAATCATACACAGAATAAAAAATGAGGGGGATGTCACCTTACCATCCGTGGAATCCTAGATGTGAGAGGATACATTACTTTTATGTTGAGTGATCAGGAGCTACTTCCGCCTCGGAGAGAGGGTTGTGGAAGGGTGCATTCGATCCGGCATTTGTGTTTACTGTTTACTATGTGAATCTAATGAAGCAGAGGGCCACCAGTCTGGGGATGGTTGGTCGTGTGAGGAAAAGCTGTAGAGTCTTAGATTATAAATTGATTCTGTTTGACCACCGCGAACAACTTGAACTGTCCAGGGAGAGTCGGTAAGCGATTTCCCCTGAGTGGCTCGACAGAAGGTACCTGGTTAGTTTCTAGAAAGACATCAGACGATATCGAAGTACTCGATTCAGTGGGGATCGTATTTTACCGTAATGCATTACCGCTTGTAACGAGGTAGTAATAGTGATCTGGAACAGGGGTCCATCAGCCAATCATATCCTGTACAATCGTCAGCCGAAATGTCTCCGAAATCGCCGAGAGGCTGCTTACTTCAGCTCACTAGTCCCAATAAGGTATGATTCCCCAGCAGCCTCCAAAAGTCACGCTTTTAGTTCTTCTTGATAAAAAGTAGTGCCAGTCACTCGCTCTCTGTCTCTCTGTCTCTCTCTCTCTCTCTCTCTCTCTCTCTTTCTCTCTTGTATATGATCCTCCTCTCGACTTGCTTTCCCTGATCCCTCTCCCCATTCTTCTCCCGCACCCCGCGATTCTCTCATTCCACTGACTCTATTGAACTCACGGTATTCCTCTGTCGCAATGGAGTCTCTCCTCCAGCAGTCTCGGGCTATGTGCCCGTTTCTCAAGCGCAGCTCTCCCACCAGTCTGCGTACTCTTGCCACGGCTACTCGTCCTAGCCCTGGTGGAGGAACCATGTCCAATCTGCAAGTGTTGGCTCGCCGCTGCCCTGTCATGAGCAAGGCTCTCGCTGTCCAGAGCGCTCGCATGGCCAATTCTAAGCGGTTCACTTCTTTTACTGCGGGTGTGGCGAACATGAACAAGCAGCCGTTCCGCACCGCTCCGCCCAAGAGAGCATTGCACTCCACTGGAGGTAATGGTGCTAATATGAGCCCGGAGTTCTATAAGGAAAACCAGCAAGGTACAAATTTTTTGAATATTTTGGGCCAATTGTTACGTTTTTTTTTTTTTTTTTTTTTCTAACGTCTTTTTTTCTTAGTCCACCATGGTTTCCCCGGGGCTGCCAATGCTCGTACTGGAGCGACTGCAACTGTGTCTGGTCCTCGCCCCGAGGCTCCCGCGGCTGCGTCCTTCAATTACAACGGCTTTTACAATGCGGAGCTCCAGAAAAAGCACAATGACAAGTCTTACCGCTATTTTAACAACATTAATCGTCTCGCCAAAGAGTTCCCCCGCGCTCACACAGCTTCTCAGGAAGAGAGGGTGACTGTGTGGTGCTCCAATGACTATCTTGGTATGGGTCGCAACCCTGAAGTCCTTGCTAGCATGCATCAAACATTGGACACTTACGGAGCCGGTGCGGGAGGAACTCGTAACATTTCCGGCCACAATCAGCATGCAGTGGGGTTGGAGAAAACTCTAGCAGACTTACATGGAAAAGAGGCAGCCCTAGTCTTTAGTTCGTGTTTCGTCGCCAATGACGCAACTCTAGCCACCCTAGGGAGCAAGATGCCGGAGTGTGTCATTCTGTCAGACAGCCTTAATCATGCATCAATGATTCAGGGTATCCGCCATTCAGGCGCCAAGAAGATGGTCTTCAAGCATAACGATTTAGTTGACCTTGAGGCGAAGTTGGCTTCCTTGCCATTGAATGTCCCGAAAATTATTGCGTTCGAATCAGTTTATAGCATGTGTGGTTCCATCGCTCCTATCGAGAAGATCTGCGATTTGGCAGACAAATATGGAGCCATCACTTTCTTGGATGAGGTCCACGCTGTGGGTATGTATGGACCTCACGGTGCAGGAGTTGCAGAGCATCTCGATTACGACGTCTATGCGTCTCAAGACACCGCAAACCCTCTTAGCACCAAAGGTAGCGTGATGGATCGAATTGACATCATCACTGGTACCCTCGGTAAGGCGTACGGATGTGTTGGCGGCTACATTGCTGGTTCTGCCGCAATGGTTGACACCATCCGTTCCCTTGCCCCTGGATTTATTTTCACCACCTCACTTCCGCCAGCCACTATGGCTGGTGCCGACACCGCCATCCAATACCAGGCTCGTCACCAACAGGACCGCGTGCTGCAGCAACTGCACACCCGTGCTGTTAAGGAGGCCTTCAAAGAGTTGGACATTCCCGTGATCCCCAACCCCTCGCACATTGTGCCCCTTCTTGTAGGCGACGCAGAGGTCGCTAAACTGGCTTCTGACAAGCTCCTCGAAGAGCACGGCATCTACGTCCAAGCGATCAATTACCCCACCGTACCCCGCGGCGAGGAACGTCTCCGTATCACACCGACCCCCGGGCACGTCAAGCAGCACCGCGACCACCTCGTCCAAGCCGTCCAAACCGTCTGGAACGACCTAGGCATCAAGCGCGCCAGTGATTGGAAAGCGCAGGGCGGATTCGTCGGCGTAGGCGTGGAAGGTGCTGAAGCCAAGAACCAACCCATGTGGTCCAACGAACAGCTTGGCTTGCAGACCAACGAACCCCTCGAAGCCGCCTTAGAGCGCGAGTTCAAGGCTACTGCTGTGGTTCCCCCTCGACTTAAGACCGGGAACACCATCAGCCCTGTGGCTACTGCTCCTGCGTCCTCGATTCCGGTTAGCGCTGCTGCGTAAGAGCCCTCTCTCTCTACATCTTGTTCTCTACAAGTTCTGTTGGAGGCGGTAAATGGAATGTGGGAAACTCTGCTATATATGTAGCAAAGCATTCCCGTCCGCTCGTTAGACATGTCAATCACGTGTGATTGATTTTACTTCTTGACTTGGCCCCATCGGTGGTAACTATCCGCCGATGATGCTTAATAACCGTATACAAGTCCCTTGTCTAATATGTGACTTGGTTTGTTGGCTGGCTGTATGGGGACCGGTCTGTCCTTGATATTTGGGTCTTAGATCATAATAACATAACAATTGAAATCCATCTGCCAAAAAAAAATCGTTTCCATTCCTTGTAGAATCCAGTACCAGTACCAGTACATGAAATATCTTTCAATCAATGATGTACATATATGTACATATATATATATATATATATATATATAATAAACATATTGATACATCTGGTAAGGTAGTAAGAGATTGATCCTTTTTTCCTCTTTTTTTTTTTTTTTTACACAAAGTTCATTCTATATTCACAGGAACGAAACGAAGACCAACCCACACATACAACGCCAGCAAGAACAGACCAAGTTCTCTTTTTTTCATCACTACTACTGCTGCTGCTGCTACTGCTACTACTACTACTACTACCTAACTACCACGGCACTTGAAAGAAGAAGAAGAAGAAGAAGAAGAAGAAGAAGAAACGATACTACCTTCTTGCTCCACCTCCCCTCGAAACCTTCGGAAAGACAACGGGAATCTTTAACCTTGCTACCCTTCTCGTTGCCGCCTCGGCCTTGCCTCTCACTCCCCACTTGGCAAACTCCGTCTCCCGGGGCTTGTCAACGCGACATCCTAGCTCCCTGAAATACTGCAGGATGGTAATGTTCTCCAATTGCAGGTCGTCTCGCAGATCCGCCGGGTCCGTGGCCAACTCGTTCGGTGTGTTGCCGCCGTGCGCGGTAGGGACGCCATCCTGGGTGGGCTGCGGCGGGAGGTGCAGCGAGAGGGCGCAGATGGTGGTGTGCAGGAGGGTGATGTCGTTTTTGGAGAGGTAGGAGCCCTGCGGGGCGAATTTGCGGCGGATGGCGTCGATGACGGGGTCAGGGATTGTGTTGCTGCTGTTGTTGTTTCCTTCGGCGCTAGTAGAGTCTTGCTTTGTAGCGCTGGATAAGATGCGGCGGAGATCGTCGCGCGCGGGCAGTTTCTTGCTGCCGCGTCCGGAGGCGGCAGAAGCCTTGCCAGACCGGAGGCAACGAGCGAATTCCAGAAGAACCAGGATAAACCGGAGGATCTGCAGGTGGGTTGTGTTTCCGGATTCGACGACGGCGTCGATGCGGTTCGAGACGTAGCGGGAGGTAGTGGCCACTGCGCCACCGGCGGAGATCGTCTCCTGCCAGTCCTTGATGGGGAGTTGGCGGAGCGTGGCTTTGCCGTTGGGGACGAGGGTTTCGATCGCATAGACCTCTGAGGGGTGGTTGGCGTCGAGGTTGGCGGTTGGAACGGGCTTGGCGGCTTGCACTTGGGCTTGCATGGCGGCGGTCTTGGAGGCCAGGTCTGTGGCGGATTCCTCGGGCATCGATTGCAGCAGGGCGGATTCGGCGGCGGTAGCGGCGCCTTCGGGGGCATTGGAGAGTTGGGCATTTTCGGCCATGGATTGTGTGGCTTTGCGGGATTTCTTGGTGCCGAAGGTATATGTGAGTTCTGTTCTTTGGGCGCGCATGGTTTTCTATACTGTGTTAGCATCCATACACCATGCATATACCAAGGGTAAAAAGAAAGAAAGAAAGAAAGTAAGTAAGTAAGGAGGATGTTTACCATTTCCTCATCCTCACTCTCTCCCTGCTCCTGATCCTCCTCATCAGCTGAAGGAGCTGCCCTCCTCACTGCCCCACGAAGCGTCACCTTGCGCACTTCAATAAACTGCCATGTCTTACTCGTCGGATCCACGACGGCAACATAGTGCTTCAGCTGGGAATCCGCATCATCGGTAGCTTCTCTTCCGACAAAATCCAACTTCGGATGCTCCGACGACTGTAGTAGCAGCTCTGTCGAGGCAATGCCCTCATTTCCGGTCGAGTTTCTGGCGACATGGCTGCGAGTCTTCAGGTACGGGTTCAAGCGGACATTTGGTTGCGAGGTGACTCCGGGGGTGGTTACTGTATCCTTGTTAGCGATTTTGCCTTTTTTTTTTTTTTTTTTTTTCTTTCTAGTGTAGCTAAAGCCAAATGAGACAGAAACAGAGCAGGGGGGTGCATACGAAGCACAGGAGCCAGCTCGCTGTCGTCTTTGATCATACTAGCGGCGAGTGGAGGGAGGTCTTGCAGATCGAGCGCGGGCTTTTTGCTAGGTCGGTCATGACGATCAGAAGCGCGCTTGCGCTTCTTCTCTGCTTTATCAGAGCCCATTGTGTGGGTTCAGCTGGATCTCGACGAATTCAAGAGCTGAGGGCCTTTTCAAATAGATGATATGCTTAGAGCGTTGAAGAAAAAAAAAGGACAGAAAAAAAAAAGTGAAGGCGGTGAGTGTCAAGGCGGAGAAATGCGCCCACAAATACGGAGTACTTCTTTCAAACTACCTGCTAATTTACTTCCAAGTATAACACACGTTGGACAGCCGACTTGCAAATTTAGCATATCATGGCTTTACGCGCGCATCATTACGATCAAGATTACAATGCAAAAATCAGTTGGGAACTTTTTGTTTCATATTTTAGTAAATCCTCGAGGAACCTCTCCATAATCCGAACCCTAGGTGCATCAACCGAAGCCAATGTCTAAGGTGCAGAAGTATGTAATTGACCAGTCCCCACGGCAAACTCGAAAGAACCAGTGGGATATAACACAAACAGGACAGTACAGGGATACCGAAGACCATCTGTCACCACTCCCACTGACACCTTCCAACCCCCACTAAACACATTGACCTCTCCGAGGAATCACCATCTGGCCTAAAGTAACAGAACCGAAATCGTTGGATGAACCCGAGGGATTGGGTGGAATGTTTTGCCTTCTCCATCCTCTTCTCCTTTGTATGGGAAAGAAAAGAAAGAAGTTTTTTTCTTCCAGTTGAACGGCGGATTCCGAATTCGATAAAAGTAGGTAAAAGAAAATAGGGCACGCAATATCAGCACCAGGCCAGATAGGCCTCAATTGGAGAAGGCGCTAAACCACGAAACGATCATAACAGGAGAATTATCATCATCGTGACGTCGTCGAGATTTTTTGGTTGTCGTGTTCAGCGTTCAACCCGAGCTTAACATGAGAAGCTGAGATGGAGTGGGCGAGTAATTTACTTGCTGTTGGGGAGTTAGAACGGTTGAATTGTGCAATTGATTGTTTAGTTGCAGGAAAGGCTCACCTTCTAGCTCTCATCTTTCTGCGCTTACGCTTGAGACGACGAACGCGCTTCTTTCTCCACTTGGCTCTCATCTTCGTAGAGTGTTCGAGACTAAGGATGCGATGTTAGTTGCTGAACAATAGAGAGAATCATGGCCACATTATGTGGTGGGAGAGTAGGACTTACACTGCTGCGACGATGAGAAGATGGTTGCAAGAATGATGGAGAGCCGGGACCGAGAAGCTACTTGTGTGCGTCGTGGCTGACTCAGCATCCTGTGACGCTAAGGGCTCGCTAGTGTTTCGGCTATCATGATTGGCTGGGGCTTATAGTTGGGTTTACCGAGTTGATTATCTCAGCACCACTACAGAAAGTATTCTTTACATATGAGCTGATCGATTTCGTTTTCAAGGTCATCATTCTAACATAAATGTGGTGCTAGTAGTGCACCTCACACCTCAAAGCAGAATAGCAAACTCTCCCATCATCAGATTAATTAGTCTTTTCGCTCAATTCAAAGCAAAGTGTCATATCGGATCTACATTCGTGCGTGGGTATACAGCTTCAAAACCCTAGCCCTAGTATTGAGCAACTTAAGCCGCTGGACATTAAACAGGAAAAAAAAAAAAAAAAAAAAAAGAATTCCGTCGAAAGAATGGGAACATGGGTCTTGTGACCCTCTTAGTACGAATAGCGGTAGGTTGTCGCCATGTCGCCTAACACCTCCTGGTCCTCATGGAGATAGGATGTGTCACCACTCGCCATGATCCGATCTCGGCGCCGGTTCTCGTACCAACAGCACACGGAATAGACAATGCAGCAGGCGCATGAGAAGGCGAGGAAGGACACGCTGATGCTCTTGCCGGGAGTGTAGTTGGGCTTGTCTTTCGCGAGGAAGGAATAGGTGGCGACAATTCCACCAACTAGCGCGCATGTTAGTGGTTTGGGAAAGTCCCGCCATCAGAGCATTGAATCACTTACTGTTGCCGAATCCAACCTGCCAGGCAGTTCCCACGCTGCGTCGGCGATGACCGCCCAAATTCATGGTGAACCAGCAGACGACGACGGGCATTGCGCTATAACACCCGGCTGTGACGAGGAATAAAGCCCCATATTGGACGCCGCGATTCTCGATTCCGTGTACGTTCAGAAGAATTCCGAATCCCGCCATGGAAATCAGCATCGGGATGAGAGCGAAAGCCAGGCGGTGCTTAAACCGGTCGGAGAGCCAAGCAATGACCATGGAGAAGCCGAATGCGGATGCCCAGGGAGGAATCGAGTACAGTTGAGTTTGGATTGCTGGGGGGGGGGGATCCAGTTAACAAAGAATGGGGCGCAAGGACAGAGAAGATACGCACCTCCGTATCCATAGGTTTGGATAATTGTCGGTGCAAAGTAGGCATATCCTAAAGTCTGTCAATACTGGCTTGAACCAAAGGAGGCCGGAGAGATTAACCATAAGCCGCGACGATTTGTCCAAAGTACATGAGACCGCCAATGAGAATCTTGTCTAATTGCAGCCGTCAGAGAAAGGCGAACTCACTAATGAGCGTCAGGAGAACAACACTCACAGTCCTTAAAGACATCCAGGACCTCGCGCCAGCCCATGTGAGTCTCTTCGCCAGCCTTGCCTGTATCCATAGCCAATTTGGCTCGCACGTAATCACGCTCTTCTTCAGTGAGCCAATTTACCTCTTCGGGGAAACCAGGGATGATGAAGAACAAGAAAATCGCAACCACGCATGTGAGAAGCCCTTCGATAATGAAAACCCATCTCCATCCAGCATAACCACGGATTCCACTCATCTTTCCGAGGCCACTAGCAAGCAGACCACCGAAAGCACCAGCCAGGGTTGTAGAGCTGAAGAAGAAACTGAACCGCTTCTGGGCTTCGGTGCGCTTATACCACATTCCTATGAGATAGAAGCCTGAACACAGCTGTCAGAGGGGACATTTTGGCTCGACCATACGGCAAGAAGACACTCACATCCAGGAAACATGCCGGTCTCGCACATTCCTAAGCGGCTACGTTAGCCAAATCAACACAAGAAGAAAGCCGCCCCCCAACATGCGCTCACCCAGAAACCAACGGGTAGTCATCAGTCCACCCCAGTTTTTGACCAACCCCTGGCAAATTGTGACAAGACCAAAGAAGAACATACAGATCGACACTGAAAAACATTAGCCGCAGTTCACACGCCAACCCCTTCTCTCGCACAAAAACCCCAACTCAGAAAAGCAGTTCATACACCAAACATTGGGCCTCAACTTTTTCAACAAGATGTTGGAAGGGATCTCGAAGAGCACGTAGGGAACAAAGAAGATAGTCAGAGCCGTGTTATACTTGGTTCCCTGTTCGATGCCGAGTTCTTTCGTCAGGCCCAAGACCGCCGCATTACTGATGTTCACCCTGCGTCGCAACCCACAGTTAACTCCGACTCCATATTATGTGATTTAATAAACCGGCAAAGGCGATTCATACCGGTCCAAAAAGGCAAGCAGGTACATAACACAGAGGCAAGGGACCAGGCGCATGTCAATCTTGGCCATGAGCTTGCGTTCAGTGGTGTGGGTGAGGAGAGGCAGCTCGAGGGACACCTCGGAGCGCAGATGCCCTTCTGGCTTCTCATTCGAGAAGCCGGAGGTTTCTACTGTGTTTGCGATTTCCATGTCAGCACATTGGTTATTCTCCCGTAGTGAGTGACAAGAGAGAGAGAGAGAGAGAGAGAGAGGTACGTACCTGTTGTCTCCATAATGTATTAAATGTTCCACGCGCCGCAAACTTGTAGAATCCTGTCAAACAGTCGTCACTCAGGGGTGCTTTAAAAGAAAAAAGCACCTTCGATTGCGTGAGTCAGAAGCAGGAAGACTAATATAAGCAAAAAAAAAAAAAAAGAACTAATATTATGCCCGAGCGAGTCACTTAGAACGACCTCGGAGAATTTAGTTCCAGTTTGTATTGGAAACCCGCCCGATCTCGGATGCACCTTTAGCTTGTATCGAATTAGCGACTACCTAACTATTTAACTAGTAACTAGTTAACTAGTAGATATTTAGGAGAGCCGAAGAAAGGGGGAAATGAGAGGTTTGTGGAGAAACCCCCGCGGAAAACACGGCGGAAAACACAGCGGAAGAGAGACGAAAGAGAGAAGGCAGAGAAAGAGAGGGAACCCTTTCGAGAAGAGAACGAGGAGAGAGGAAAGAAAGAAAGAAAGAAAGAAAGAAAGAAAGAAGAAGATTAGTTATGATAAATAAGCATCTGGAAGGGAGGGGAAACAGAAAATTCCGAAATGATGGCAGGCAATGCGATGCTGGAACATTAAAAGAACAACCTTAGGAATGTACATAATGGGTGAGTAATAATCCACTGATCCATTAATCCCACCTTTTTAATGCATCAAGGTCTGGGATTCCATTTGCAAGATTGAAAAGCTGTGGATCGAAAGAAGTTCCCCGCAGATTGGTTCTGAGCTCCAGACTCCAGACTCCAGAGTATACGGAGTAAATTATGGGGAGAAGAGGATTATCTAATCCATTTGATCTGGAATAATCTACTATGTATGTATGTATACTGGAATAATCATGATCAGTATTCTTCTTCTTCTTCTTCTTCTTCTTCTTCTTCTTCTTCTTCTTATTAGGTAGGCCATATTCTTACAATAATCCCTGAATCAGTGCAGTGTAACACTGAATCCCTTCATCCACGTGAAAATAGTTGGTTCTCCTCTTCCTACTCTCACCTCACTTCATCTCCCCCTCATATTCTGCTTTTTTAACCCTTTTATTACGGTCATATTCATTGGAATATCATACATTGTCACCAGGAAAATGTAGATAGGTGGTATCACAGTCAGATTGCCCCTTCCCTTCCTCCCCTTGCCTCTCCCACCGAACCCCCCCCCCCCCAAAAAAGAAATCAAGTAAATAAATGGGCTCTCTATCATCCCACAATTATTCACTGTTTAGCTTACGTGGTTCGTCGATCCTCCTCCACCCTGTGGATCTTCAACCGCCTTCCCCCATGCCTGCTCCAGTGTGTTGTCATGATCATTCTCAATTTCCGGCCCGGATGAGATCTCTGTCGCAGACTGGCTGAGGTTGTCAGGAGGGTGGTCTTCATGCTTGCCAACCATAATGGGAGAAGAAGAGCCGGATTCCGGGCCAGAAGCAACCACTCCTAGGTCACCACCAGCTTTAGCTTCGGATCCGAGCAGCTCAAAATCAAAGTTCGAGCTATACACCACAGCCGCAAACGCCTCCAGCTCCCGAACGCCTTGATCCATTGCCGTCAGGTACAGGTTGGGGGGCGAGGTTCCATTGCCAATCACATGCGCCTGTCGGGCTAGCACAGCCAGAACATTCGCCAGTTTTGTCTTGGGCGTGGAACTCGCCGTGGCCGGAACGACGGTGGCGACAGATGTAAACGACTGGGGAGCAGTCACAGGCCCGGTGGACTTGAATGCATCCAGCTTGCATTGCTGAATCAGAGTCTCAAAGCACTCATTATTCAGGAGCATCTGAACACGGGTAAAGGTCGGAGAATCGATAAGATCGGCGGTCTCGTCTAGGAGATGTCGCAGTGTCGCAGTTGTCTGAGGAGTTGATGGTTCGGTAACCCCAAGAACTCCAGATTCCTCCAATAGATGATCTTCCTCTTCTCGAGGAGGAAGCAGATAGGCCAACCATTTGCGGTGCCTATCAAGTCCGGTCAGAAATCATAAACAGGTAAAATAATAATAATAATAATAATAATGGACGACAAAACAAAAAGGAGCATACTTTCTGTCTTCCTCCGTATTGCCCTCGAGCTTCTTCCGAACTTGCAGGGTCAACTCCGATAGCTTTTCAAAAGAAATATCATCCCGGGGGTTGAGAGGACCAAAAACCTCCACAACAGCGGCTTGCACTTCTTCCATCAGCTGCTTCCAGCCCCGATGCAGTAGCCACCAGCTAAAGGCGAGATACCGTCGGTTGGTCTCAAAGTCGTTGCCCAGTGTCTGTGTGAGATCATCATCATCATGGTCCTCCAACCGAATAGTTGAGGAGTCGGCGGGTGGCGTAGCGAGAGAAATCACACTCGAGAGGTAGTTTCGCCGGCCGAGAAGGTTCAGTTGAATTCGAGTAAAGGTGGTCAGCAAGGAGAGGGTATAAAGGAGGGTAAACGCCCGGGTAATTGCTAGATCGGTCAAGTCAGTTCCTATTTCCAATTCAATACCAAAGACCCAGCGAACAAACGTACAGGTGATCTTGACCTCATTCCAAAGCTGTGTCTTGTTCCGCTTCGGTTGTGGGGGAGCATCCCCCTCCATCACCGATTCGCCCAGCTGGCTTGTACGCAGAAAGCCATCACTCTGAAAGCTAGACAGACTTCTTCGGTCATCATCCGGCAGACTGGGTGCTAAGGAGCTCATGTCCGAGCCCGTGACCGTCCCCTCAGCATTGAGCCGAGCTAGCCTCTCCGCACGTTTCTTCTGTAGCTCCTTTGTCAATTCCTCCACCGGCAGTGCTTCGAGAATATCTTCTGCGGCGGTTGGTAAGAGTGCCAGGACGGTATAAGTGCAGTCGGTCTGATTCTGTTCAAAGCGTCGGCGTAGACTAAAAGGTCGCGGGCAATACCGTCCGTCAGCTTGCCGTCGCCCAAGCACGCACGCGAGAGGATTATTAACAAGATAACAGCGGCACTTTGTTACTCACTTTTCACGGGCAATACGATCGCTGCTCATCCGCTCACGAGCTTCTGAGATCTTGGACAGCACATACTGTCCTGCGAGGTAACCGACGCCGATAATGCCTGTCCCGATCGCGAGGGTCTTGCGATTACGCCGAAACCAGCGCCTCGTAGCCCCAGCCATAGTGGAGCCAAAAGGAGGATTGGGAAATCAGGTTCAGGAGGTTTCGAGGTCAACCCAGTTCATTCTAGACGAGGGAAATAATATCTCAAGGAAGCAGAAAAGAGAAGAGAAGAGAAAGTGATGTCGTACTCAACAGATGAAGCGGAAGAAAAAAGAGACACGACGGGGTGGTCAGAGATGGTCAGCCAGGAACGGCCTCGGCTAAACGGTTTGCTTTGCTTTGCCTCTGATAAGGTGAGGGTAGATCCAGGAAACGAGCACCTGTTGGAGAATTATAAAGACGGATCGTATAATCTGGATAATGATTGAAGGGAATGGAATCCATTATCGAGGAGGTATCCAACCTAAAGTCCCTAGGTAGTCTGTCTGTCTACCAACATACCTAATCCACACCATTCACATAATAGATCCTCTAGAAATAGCATCAGAATCTCTTAGAAATAATGTCGGAATCTATAGTAATAATAGGAAATCGGTTATAGTAGTTGGATACACTTCAATACACTTCAATACACTTCAATACCGTCAATACGGTACTCACCTCCCCCCAAGTCCCGGTGGGGGGTCCCTGTCGTGTATCGGTCGCGTATTCCAACGCAAGGTACCTCTGTATTTTATCCGACTTCCAACTTTTCGTTCAATTCTTTCGTTCCTCTTTTATAACTTCTACAACTAACTATGTATCCTCTCCATGAATCATCTTCTCCTACTCTCTCTCCATGTGATATTTCACCCACTTGTCCTCGTGAGGTACTTTGAACCCAGGTAACGAGACCTCTCCAACATCCCCGGGGAGGGCTGCTTATCTTCCCCCACGCCGCGGGACAGTTCGTCCCTTCGTTGAACGGCCCAGCTCGCCGTCATAGCTGGGTCGTCGCTACATAACCCCCTCCTATCCTCCTTTTTTTTATTTTTGATTTCCTTCTCCCGAGTAGGGGGTTTTTTTCTTTTTCTTTTTTTTTTTTCCCCGTGGCATCCATCCACTGTATCCTGTGATCCGGGACCGTCCTCCCTCCCTCCCTCTACGCTTTCCTATCTGTGACTGGCTCCCTTGTTGAGGATGGAGCCCCGCAGGACCCCTCCGGAGTACTTTCTGGAGATATTCGCTGACACCACCACCGTCCGGGACGTTCTCAAGGGTGAGTATTCTAAGCCTCGGTTTCTACGATAGCGATTCTTTCAATTGCATTCCTTACCGGTTCTAACCAATGATTTAACTTCAAGGTGTCCTCAACCTAATCTTCTTCCACCGATACTTTCCGTCCATCCGACCCACTACTTTCGACGTCCTCGACTTCACCCTCCCCGCTATTAACGATGTCGATCTGGAAACCCTCATTGATTCGCGCATCAGCTCCTTAGTCCGCCAACACTCCTCCTCAGCAACCGGCGGTGGCAGCGGTAGTGCCCACGAACCCAGTGGCAGTGGTGGCGTCCGTGGTCGCATCGCGGTTGAATTCTATGAAAAGAAGCGCAGGCGCTCTGGAATCTGGTTCTCCGGTCTGGCAGGAAAGGCCGAGGAAGAGGTATGTTGGGAGGTCTGGAATCTAGACGTGACCATTGCCACCCCGCGAACAGAGTCAGGTACACCCTCCCTTTCCCTATCCGGTTCTGGCTCAAATGTTAATGTATGTTGATAGAACGTGCCAAAGTCCGCAAAGCAATGGAAAACATGCTCCAAAAAGCTGCGCTCAAGATCCTCACCGTCGTCAACCGCGATAAAGATCATATCCCCCCCATCACAACCAGTGACTCGAATCCGTTTCCTTACCGGATTGTGCTGAATCCCCGTACAGACGGGTGGCAGAATCGCTTCGGGTTGTACTGATCTACCTAATCCCGAGATTGATTCCTTTTTTTTTTTTTTTTTTCCCTTCTATGTCCGTCCGGTGTAATAAAAACGAACCCTTACCAAACTCATAGGAGAGGCATCCGTCATCTTCTTACTGCTGCGGCTACTACTACTGCTGCTTACTTGCATTTACTAACCGGGCTACGGTACCCGGTTAGGTTCTGAATAATTAATACCCACGGCCGTCTTTTGATTCGTTTTTTTTTTTTCTTTTTTCTTTTTGTCTATTCTCATGATATGAAATAAGTGGCCGTGTACATTACCCACCCCCTGGCACGCACCATGATGGTCTATTTCATAATAGCCCGGATCTGACTGCAGCTGTAGAGAGCCCAGTGAGAAGGAGGGGGAAATGGTCGATATCATCCACATAGTCAAGTCTAGGTCTATGTCAGGTCGAAGAAGAAGAAGCAAAAGAGACTAAATAATAAAACAGTACTCAAATTTACCCAAGAGGCGTGATGATGATCGTGATGAATGTATCAAACATAGCATAGCATATACCCGCCCAAGGAACGAGATCCAACATAACATGTCCGTTCTTAAATCTCCCACAGTATATAAAAAACAAAAAAAAAGGGAAGAAATTCCCCATTCATTCATCGCAATCCAATTCTACCAACAGAATCATGTCAAAAGGAAGCAAGAGAGAGAGAGAAAAAAAAAAAAAAAAAGAATACCAAGCAGGTTCCATCTTCCATTTTCCAAATTCTTCCCCACAACCACAACCACCACCACCACCACTCAACACGATATACTTCCGTTCCGTTCGTTCTCCGTGTCATGCCTAGCATGGCACCAACTGTCCCCCATACACCCAGGCATAAAACCAGTCAAGTCTCACAATCGCTCGCTCTTCGTCGTTAGCAATTTTTTGGTTCACCAAACGCCCAAAGAATAGACCCGATTCAAGCCATAAATGCTCGTTCTTTACGGCCAGTCCATTTACTGAGACTTGGCGGCAGCGTCAGCCTGAGCCCGGAGGTTGGCGGAGGTAGAGCCACCGACGAAGAAACGGCCAAAGACGGGCTGGAGCAGAGAGTTGAAGACAATTTGGGCACCGCTAGAGAGAAAAACAATCGGATTAGCTGCGTTTTTCTCCCCCCCCCCCCCCCCAATACGGTCGGTAGGGATTTGCGCTCAGGAAAATTCAACTTACCCGGTCTGGGGAAGAGCCATCCAGAGAACAAGGACGAACTTGAAGATGTAGTAGAAGGCTGTTGGAATTCAAATTAGTATGTGAATCTGGAAAGAAGTATTGGAATACTTACGGAACCAGTAAGGAGCAGAGATAGCGCTCTCGATGACGGTGAAGAAGGCGTAAACAACCCAGTACTGTGCGTTCACATGTCAAATCAGTTTCCAACACGTGCTTAAGGAACAGGGGCCGGGTAAAGAGCCAGGGTAAAGAGGCTCGAAAATTGCAAGGGGGTCTGGATAGGAAATCACGAGGACATACGGTCAACCACTAAATCACGGGAACAGGTTAGTTGGGGACCTTGCTAGGAGAACGATATCACAGGAGCAACTCACCTGAGTGTCATCGGCCTTCGAGGCTGTGAAGAGAGCATTGAGGGAGTAGTAGCCTGGGATGACAAATCCGGCCAGGTTGACGAGGAGCTGGCCGGCGATGTTGAAGAAGACAAGGAAGGTGTAGATTCCAACAACACCAAGGATAGCATACACCTTGGGGACGGAGGTCTGGCGCTCAAGGTTGTTGAGGACAGGGTACTTGGAGAGCTATATATATCGAAGCTATGTCAGCCCGGAGAACGAAAGAAAAAGGGAAAATAATAATAATAATAATTGACAGCGATCGAGGGTAAAGTAGTTCGGGAAGAGCGGGAAGAATAATGATGTCTTTCCAGCCAAGAGCAACGCGATGAGAAATAGGAAAGCAATGTAAGAGGCAGTAGTAACTAGATATGAGCTATTTTCGAAGGCCGAGCACACAAATAGATACGCACAAAACAACTTACCTCTTTGTCAAGCTGAGCAATGGCGTGCTGGGCACGGTCCTGGAAAGAGGCCATTTTTTAAAAAAAAAAATTGGATAAGGAAGAAATATAGGAAGAAGGGTTGGAAGTAGATGAAAAGAAGGAAGAGAAAAGGATAGGATTGAGAGTGAGAGCAGGGGGAGGTGGTGGAAGAGAAAGAAATTGGAGAGGGGGAAAGGCGAACTCGTTATCAAGACGGAGTGACGAGCTGGCGGTCGGATCACGTGAACCACATGACGTCGCTGCTGGAACTTTTGGCGATGATTCTTATATTTATATATATTTATATACTAGTTATACTCAATATTAATATTACAGTAGTATATTACAGTAGTAGCATTATTATAACCCTAGAGTTGGGGGAGGGAAAAAAAAAAAAACCCCCCTCTAAATATAGGTTGCCTGGATAACCTACTCCGGACCTAGGCTAGACCCTGCTCAAGATTCCGAGGTTATCCTCTAGTCCCTTTAATATCGGGAGTAGAATAAAAGGAGAGGAGAAGATTCATTCCTCCAGTATTCACTACCTGGACTAGATACTCTGTCTGTCCACCGCTTATCAGTCTCCACGGACGGTAAGACTAGGTGCCTACATAAAGTAACACTACTCCGTACTCCGTACTAGGACTACAAGGTATAGGTCTGTAAGCTATAAGCTGTAAGCTGCAAGCTGCAAGCTGCAAGCTGGAACTGGTGCCCAATAATCTGCAAGGACAACTCCTGGACGACGCAGTAGCGGTTTTCTACGTACCATCTTAATCGGACAGGTCCCTTGGGGAACAAAGTGTGGTCTCTGTCCCAAGTAGATGCCCTGGAAGTCATGAATGAAATAAATCGCCTATATTCAAATCCTAGTACTGTACTTGCAACCCAAGGCTGAAAGGGAACCGAAGAGGTTAATAATAAACAAGATGGGAACCCGCGGGGTCGGATAATTGCCGACGAGGAAATCAAGCTGAAACAAGCAAGATGAGAATGAGAATGAAATGGGGAACTGAATAGATAACTGAAGACAGAACAGAAAACAAAAATTGTATGTCCTCTCTCTTGTCTTTGGAAGAGAAACAGAAGACCACGCCGTCCACTATCATTCCTCACCTGCCGCCCAGTCACATTAACGCCACCTAGGAAGTAAAAGCCCGTTGGAGTACATGGAGTACATGCTTAAGAAAGAACAAAACACACATGAAAAAGGGAAATGTGCAAGCTTCTGCAAAATAGTTTTTTTTTTTTTTTAAAAAAAAAAAAAAAAAAAACACACACACACACACACACAAGAACTATGTATCAACAAAGAGTCAACAGCTGCATTACTCATCTTCATTCATCCCTCCATTTGCCATTCCTACAGGGTCCCGATTGCCGCTGTTAAAGGTAAGTTTCAGCTTCGGTTGTCCCGGTGTGGCAGCTGCACTTGGGGTATCAGCTCCAGAAACAGCTGCAGCCGAAAGATCGTTCCCGAGCGGTGATGACGAGCCATCGAAATTGGCGAACTGCGGGTGACCTTCCGTTTCTTTTCTTAGCTCGGCAAGACATTTCGCCTATCCACGTGTGTCAGTGATTATCCAATACCTGAACAAAAAAACAGCTGCGTAGCTTACCTCGATGTCGTTCGCGTCCTGGAATAGAATGCTGCCGTCTTCGTTGTAGGTTCGGGCGTTCTGGCAAAGAAGACCAATATCGTTCCGGAAGTCTCTTAGGTTTTGATACTCGTCGCGATTGATCTTCTTCCGGATCATCTCCATAGCAATCGGGTTCTGGATGATCATATAGTAGTCGGGATACTGGGACTTGGGCGGCGGTTTCATGAACGGTTCGATGATAGACCGGGCAACGGGTCCATCTTCGCTATCGGACGAATCGGCTGGGAGCTCTTGCTCCATATCCATCAATGCCTGATAAACGTTGTTGACGATCTGCTGTAGGATCGCCCGATCTTCGCTGCTCAAAGTCTCAATAGGCTTAGCCTGTCTACCCCTCTTACGCTTAGGTTGAGGAGTCTCCTCTACCTGCTCCTCAGCTTTCCTCTTGGGGGCAGGGCCTCTGCGGCGCTTCTTCGGTTGGGGTGTCTCAGAACTCTCGCGAGACGGCTCCGGCGAGGATTCACCTTGTACCTTGCGGCTGCGCTTCTCTTTGTTGATACGGCGACGCTCGACCCGAGCCTCTTTTCTAGCAATCGCATCTTCAATAGTATCATCATCGGCATCCACCGCCATCAACCATTGCTCTTCAGTGAGACCGTCGTCGTACCGAGTAACCTTGCGCTCACGCGCACCACGCCCAACGTACTCAACCTCAGCCTCCTCAACAGTCGGATTCTCCTCGGTGACGTAAATTTCAGGAAGTTCACTTTCTCCCATGAGACGGGGCAGTTTCTTCCCGGGTCCGTACTGGTCGTTCTTTTGTCGTTCACGGTCAATGCGTTGGAAGATTACGAGTTCTTCCTCCGATCGGGCCATTATGTCGTTCAGATCATCATCATCCATCTCGTCCTGTTCTCCGATCTGATCGGCGGCTTCGGCTGTTTCAAGAAGTGTACGCAAGAGGGCATCTCGTTCTTCGTTGGTGGACTTATTATCGAACTTTCCAGCTTGGATAACCTTGCCATCCATATCAAGCTTAAATTGCGCACGCTCAAGAATCTTTTCCTCGACGGAATTGGAAGTAATCAGCCGCAGAATCCGGACCTCGTTCTTCTGTCCAATACGGTGAGCACGATCTTGGGCCTGAAGATCCTGGTGAGGGTTCCAATCCGAGTCAAAGATGACGACTGTGTCCGCAGTCTGCAAATTCAGACCAAGACCACCTGCACGTGTCGAAAGCAAGAAACAGAAATAGTCCGAGCCTTCCGCATTGAAAAGCCTCAACAGATCGGAACGATCATCGGACTTGGTAGATCCGTCAAGGCGTAAGTATTTCATTCCACGGAGACGGAGGAAATCCTCCATAATGTTCATGATCTGTGTCATCTGGAAGAACATCAAGACACGGTGGCCGGTAGCCCTAAATTTAGGAAGGATTCGATCAAGCAGCTCAAACTTTCCTGCGGTACGCCAGAGAAGATCGTTTGTCCCTCTAGACGGGTTCATTTGATCTTCAACTGGCTCGAAAACGAAAGGGTGGTTGCAAAGCTTACGCAGCTGCATCAACATATTGCTGAGACCACGCATGCCAGTCTTGCCTCCCTTTCCATCGCTGACAACCATCTTGTTGTGTGTCATAAGCTGCTTGTACAACTTGGCCTGCAGAGCAGAGAAACGGCACTTGACGACTCTCTCTTGCTTGTCGGGCAAGTCCTTCTCGACATCCTTCTTCAGACGTCGGAGCAAGAAGGGTCGGAGGACCTTGTGCAGACGACGAATCACGAGCAACTGTTCTTCTTCATTCAGTTCCATGCGGTCTTGGCCACCGGTGTTAGCAAACGGGGTGTTGAACCATTCATCGAAAGACTTCACGGATTTGAAGATGTTAGGTAAAACAAAGTTCAGCAACGCCCATAGTTCCGGCAGGTTGTTTTGCAGCGGGGTACCCGTCAAAATCAAACGGTAACGACTGACGTAGTATTGCGATAGAGTGCTGCTCAGCTTGGACTGTGTATTCTTCATACGATGGCCTTCGTCAACAATCATGTGGGTCCATTTAATCTTGCTCAGGATCGGTCGATCCTTGATGATGTATTCATAAGTCGTCAACAGAACCTGAAAGTTGCCCCAGCGAATTTGCTGCTGCTGTTGTTTACGGGCGTTGGGTGGGCCCTTGTAAACAACCCTCGAGACGGACGGTGCCCACTTCTCAAACTCCAAGTTCCAGTTGGTCAGGGTACTTAGAGGAACGATGACCAAGAAAGGGCCATTGTTCTTTTTTCTCTCAATGATATAGGTAATCAAGGAGATGGTCTGGATGGTCTTACCAAGACCCATCTCGTCTGCCAGGATACCATTAAGATTGTTGTTGTAGAGAGAAATCATCCATTGCAAACCTCTCATCTGGTACTCCTTCAAAGTACCGCCAACAAGGATCGCAGGCTGCTCAGTAACTTCTTCTTTGATACGATGTGCAACAGCATAGTAATCAATCTTCTTCTTGTCACCGCCTTCCCCATCGCTTCCAGATTCAAGGTCTTCATCTTCGTCCTCGTAGAATTGACTATCTTCACCATATCTCTCAGCCAGGTTGCGCTGTTGTTCTCGTACAGAGGCAGCAAGCTGCTTGAGGAAGTTGTCGGTCTGCTTGAGGAGATGAGAGATACGAGAATCTTTAGCTTGTCCGAGCAGTTTCATGTAGGTCTCTTCATCGTTAGCCTTCAGCGCCTGGAGACGTTGTTTAGCAGTACGCTCAACACGTCTCTGCTCTTCGCGCTCCATATGCTGATGATGCTGCAGCATCATGCGGCCCAGTTTCTGCATGCGTGTACGTTGCTGATTAGCAGCGTTCTGAAGCTCGATTCCATGATTGAGGATCGCTTGAAGCTGATCGTACTGCTTCCGTTTCTCTCTAGTCTCCCGAGCATCACGCTGTTGTTTCTCAAGCTTCTCAGTAATCCTAGCTTCCCGCAGGGACTGCTTCTTCATGCGTCGGTGGCTGGCACGGTTTGCAGTCATGCCCAAGTTGTCAAAGTGAAACATCTCATTTTGTATTTGTTTGCGGAACAGCCTCTGTTTGGGTAGCAGGTTGAGCATCTTGTACTCGATCAGGGCTTTCAATTTGAGCGAGTCGTCAGGAGTAGCGGCATCACTCTGACTAGAGTCCCATACGCCAATGTTGACGGGGAGTTCAGCCAATTCTTCCTTTCGTGCGTTTATTCGGTTATAGAGAGCAATTTCCCTCTCCTCTCGCACCTGCTCCAGGTCAATGCCCGGGGGCATCAAGGCTGGAATACGCGGGCGATGAGCGCGAGAGGCGTGATCAGTGAAAGTGATTGTCTTAGGGATCAGATCATAAGGCGACTTAAAGTGTTCGTAATAATCTCTAGAATTAGACGTATCCGCAGCAAGTGCAGCTTGATCTGGTTTCTCTTGAGCAACACCTTCCAGTACATTCTGGGCTGCGGTAACGCTCTCAGAGGGTGCAGGAGTGTGGGCCTTCTTGGATGTGAAAAGCTGTTGCTGAACACGAGCGGGTATGGGTAAATTTTTCGACAACATCTTAAATGCCATTATTTGGTTTCGGAGGATCGCCAGTTGCTCTGCAGAGAAGCTACCACTAGCAACAGGCGCGCCCTTTTGCGAATGCTGTTGTTGACCTGTGGGTGTCGAGCCAGCATCTTGAATAGCATTATTAGCAGAGACGCCAGAGTTGTTTCGCCCTATGTCGACAATATCAGTTAGCAATGGTCAAAGGGAAAATAAAGAAATGCAGGGGGAATAGGTAAACTTGCCATTGATTCCATTTGGCGCGACAGAATCCTGAACGCCATTGAGCTGTTGTTGGCGTTGCGCTTGAAGCTGTTGTTGCGCCAGCTGTTTTTGTTTCTGAAAGGCTTGTTGTCGTTGAACAGCGGAAAGAAGATTGTGGGCCTTGAGGTATTCAGGATCGTCATGACGGACGCCTTGTTCTTGCATTTGCTTGAATTTCTGCCAAAAAAAAAATGTTAGATCAAGGACTGAAGGGGGGGGGGGGGGGAATTCAATCATCAAGTCTTTGTAAATGAAGGTGAATTGAGAAAATCGGGTGGGAAATAGAGGGAAAAAAGACGGCACAACCCCCCGTTCACAGGAGGAAGGGGAGGAGAGAGTATCATACCTGAAGCACCTCTTGAATGTGTTGCTGAGTGAGATTTGGTGGCAGGCTCATATTCCCAGCCGCCATGTTGGGAGCTGATTGAAGAGAAGCCATGGTTTAGCGCGTTGTTGTTCTATTCATAAACAGACAAGGCACGTTGAGGGAGGGTTTGATGCGACAAGGTCCAAATCAGGGAGCAAGAGAAACACGTGGGAAAAGAGAATCGTGACGACAATTGTCGGTGGGCGCGCACAGGGCGACAAAGCGCGCAAATTATCAAGGTCCAGGCCCAGCGAGCTCTCTTTGTCGATGAATGCGACTGGTAGCGGCCAGTATCAGGACCTTGGCGAAAGGTTTCGTGATGTTTAGCTGGTCGGGGGGAGGGACACAGGGCGGTAGGCGACGAACAGGAGAATCAGCCAAAAGGGAAAAAAAAGGGGGCCCAACGCGATGTTGAGGAGGGGAGAAGGGCCCCAAACGGAGGGGTAGTGTTGAGAAAAGCGCGTGGGAAGCCTGTCTTGATGAAATGGAGATGGAGGGACGGGGCTTTCGCGACTTTCCGTGCTGGTCGGGGAAACTGGCGGTGCTCAGCCTGTGCCTGTAACGAGGAGAGGCAGGCGGCGAGACGTTGGGAGAAGATTTCGTGCCGTGTCACGTGGAGTGAGCGCTGACTCAGCATGGCCCTCACGTCGCCGCGTTGGGACTAGCGGGGTTCCTATCTACTCTGGGCGTCTGGTACATGTGAAGATACTTTTTCGAACCCTGATGCATGATACCAAGAAGAATATATTAAACCGCTCTCAAACTCCATGTCACCAATACAATCTCCCATCACCAGTTGTTGCTTTACAGAATCACTAAGAATGATACATAATGTCAAAATCATAACACGTTTTCCTCTGACAAACCAGGACTGGGCCCGCCTTTCAAGCTCGCCAGCGAGGTGAAAGCGGAGAAAACCGATGGCTAAAACTAGACACGTGTACGAAAAGCGCGCGCGGTCGTCACTACGGTCGGATCGATCCCGATACAGAGATTTCTATCCAAAGCAACCCACCCCCAAATCATTACACCTGAGTTGCGCTCATCATAGGCCGTTTCATAGGAGGTGGAGGGGCGGGTTTCTTGGCGCGGGAGGGAGGTGGTGGAGGAGGAGCTTTTTTATGAGCAGTAATGCTGTTCAGGGTCGCCATGCTCGTTCTTCGTGACAATGTTTCTCCGGATGTAGATTGGGTTTCCGGCCAGCCGTGATCCGATCGATCAGAAACACTGCCGCTCTGGAAACTAGCATCGTCTGCGCGGTCAGGGACCACTCGGCTAATAGGACGGGCTTGAATACTGTTTCTGCGCGTGACCGAGTTCTCACTGTTCGTGCGGGGGGGCCATTGGCTCGAAGAATACTCTTGAGTCTGCCGTAGCTGTGTAGGGCCTTCGAATGTAGGCGTGCGGCCCAGAACAGGACGAGCGGGACTTGTGTCTTGAGAATAGGGTCCCCGAATAGGAGTCTCGATCAGGTTGTGTGTGTTGGATCGAATAATTGGTCGTACTTCATTAGTCTGCTCCTCATGCAGGGGCTCATAGCGATCATGGAACGAATGTGCAGTATTAGATCTGGAGCGCGTTCCACGGCGGCCATTCGAAGTCTGGCTGGAGGGTTGGCTATCAAATAATCAGGATGATAAAGAAATCAGATGTTTCGGAGCGTAAAATGGACTCACTCGGTAGGAAACTCGTTCTTCATTCGGAGCAGCACCTCCCTGCATTGCTCGTGATAGTTCAGTTGCGCATCCAGGAATGCATTCAAATCCATGATATTCTCAGCTTCAGAGTGCTTAATATCAACCATACGCCGGTGCACTTCTTCATTTGCTTCTTCGTATTTAACCTTTTGGGTGCGTAGTTCCTCCTCGACACGGAAATCCTCCCTCTTAGCTTTCTGCATCTTGGAGAGCGAAGTATCGTACGCCAAGCGTCGGCTGTCCAGCTTCTTGCGCGCAGTCTATGGGAATATCGGTCAGATCACTTGCGCATTCGAGACTTCAGCAAATCGAAACTCTTACGTGGTAATCTTTCAATTGGGTCAAGGATCGCTCCAAGGACTCGAGCCAGCTCGTAGTCGCCTGTGCTATGTAGGCTTCTTGGATGCGCGCTAGACGCTCTTCTGCCCTTCCAAACACTATAGGAGAAGAGGTTAGTTAGGCGTAAAATACACTGATGTCAGCACCAAATGAATAACTAGCATACTGGTAAGGCAGCGTCCGTATTCGGAGTTCGCATCGTAATCCTCTCCGTGGGTGATCATAGTTCCTCCCAGGTGAGCAATGGGTAGAGTCTTCTCCTTGTCATCACCTTCGCTGCGCTTGGAAATGGATTTGACATAGGCGGTCATAGACTTATGAATTCGATCAATACCTTCAGGCACACCGAAAAGTTAGTATATTTCTCATACCATAAAACGGGACTAGGATAACGAGGACAGCTCACCTTCATGACGAACTGTCATTTCCGTCTCCAGTGCCTTGAAGTCGTCAGAGACATTAGTCTTGACTTCACCTCCCATTCTCTCTCCAGCCCATTGTTTGAAGCGGTCGAATTTCTTGTTGACGATCATTGTAGCGGTGGTGGTAATGAATATGAGCTGCGAAAGACGGGAGTCTTAAAAAAAAAAAAAAAAAAAAAAGGGAATGAAAAAAGAATCAAGCGGACAAGAGTGGGTTATCTTGCAGGTATGAATAAGAAGCCGAATACAGTTCAATAGTAAAACGAATGACCCCCACTCGAAGAGGATTGGGGAAGGCAGAAACCGATAATAAAGGTCAACAAAGAAAAGAAAGACAAGATTATCACGACACCGTCAGCGAGTGTGTGTTGAGTAAGATAATAATGCAGAGGGAAAGAAGAAGTAAGAGAAAAGGAAGAGGCAGGTTTGCGCCAGAGGGGAGGGTTCCTGATAATTAAAGTAAAATACTAATACCAAAGGTAATTTTCCCACCTAGCAGGGGTTTACAAAGAGGGCTTTATTTGACAACTCTAAGTACTTCTACTAGTACTAAAAGTATTATTACATTAATTGACCCTCTATATGAATTGAGTGTTTCTCCTCTGGATTGTTATTATTGCGACCAGAAATACCCAAGTCCTTTGGGGGGGGAACGGTCAAGGAATGATAGACAGTAACACGATACCAATCGCAAGCCTCTAGACAGGCATACTGAAAGCGCCACATAATTACCGATTTCCTTTCCCCACCAAACTACTATAAGAAGTTCAAGAGCGCCCAAAGAGATAATAGAACTGACTGACTAGGCAGAGGCTGGACCATCCAAGGATCATTGTTGCGAGTGGATCTCACCAGCACCAATTCATAGGGAATGGAGACAATGATGGGGTTGCACCTGAAACTTAGCGGATTCAGGAGGATTTCTTTCTCCTTTTCTGTCTATCTGTACGGAGCACAATGTCCAGCATCTTCCAGTGTTCCACTGACAGGTTCCTCCAGAGTCTCTCATTTTGTACGGACGACACGCGTTTGTGGGCCAGGATGGTGGGCCTCCCTGGGCCCATGGAAGGTCTTGCAAGCCACAATCTATTTACAGCAGCAGCGTACGTCGTCCAGTGTACATCGTACTATAGTTGCGGAATACTTACAGTACATTACTGCATACGAATACGCTGAGGGAAGCGGTAGTGATTTACTAGATATCAGGTTAAATTAAGAGATTGTCATAGTACTCCAGTAGGTATTCGGTAGTAAACCGCACAGATCTAACCCACTGCACTGATCTCCTCCTTTGATAATCTAGAAACGCCATCAGACGCAATGAATGCAGATCTTGGCGTGTTCGAAGCCAGATAATCCAATACGTTCCTATTAGTCTCCTTCCCCTGTGGATGTTTACCGTCAAATGATCATTCGTCCATCCCAGGATCAGTGGCGATGTCTTATGGTGTGTTACAGTGGGGGTTCAAGGTCCCCATATAGAACAATAATAATGAAATGATTCGAGCATTTTTAGAACCAATTTTTCTTTTTTTTTTATATGTAAGGGTTGCTAGCTAACTACTGAAGATACTCCGTACCTACATACTTAAAATATGGAGTACTGCTGTTCAAGTTACCAATGATTATCTGGTAGCTACCTAATATACTAAGGGCATCAGAGATTCAGTTATATATATCTTACACCCTGCTCTTATTCGCAACTGCGGCACAGTCTTGGGATAATCTATATTTATTATCAAGACAGATACCAATAAAACGCTAGATGGAACAATATAACACTTACATGGGCATCGTTATTCTTACCTTAAATATCTGTAAAAATCAAGTATAGGTGTCCGAACCCCTTAAACTTAAGGCCTTGGAAGCATCTCCCCACGCGCCAACCCTCCAACAAATGAAACCCCTCCATCGCCAAACCCCACATGATCTAGAAAATCAGACTCAGACAACCCAAAACCCACAGGTAATGAATTTAACCCTCGTTCAGACGATACATACTCAGCCTCCGCGGCTATCAAAGCATCGAAATCGTTCCACGACGCGACATCCACAGCACCAACCTCCTCAAATCCACCCACCAAAGCCTCGCCCTGTAGGATAGGCTGAAACAGCAAGACAGACGGAGAAGAAGTAGAAGTAGTAGTAGTAGTAGTAGGAAGAGGAGGTATGTTTTCATCTCGAACCACCCCATCATCATCATGACCACCATGCACCACCAATGTCCCCACGGAACTGCAACCAGGACCATAGCCCCACTCATAATTATAATCATAGTCATAGGAGTAGATAGGAGCAGTAGTGGTAGTATAGCCATCAACCCGCCTCTCTAGATCCATCACCCCGGCGGTATATTTCCCCGGCGTAACGCCCATGACCTTCTTGAACACGCGATGGAAATGACTCGCCGTGAGCCCTGCGTCGCTAGCAAGGTTAAGCAGCGTCGGTGGTTTCGACCCAGCGCGAACCTCCGCCCGGATTGTCTCGCATGCTCGCTGGATCACCTGCTCCTGTGGGTTGACTAGCACCTCTAGAGTCTGCGGTCTGCAGCGCTTACATGGTCGGAACCCGCCGCGCTCGGCTTGCGAGGGCGTATCGTAGAACTCGACGTTTGCTCGTCGGGCGAGCCGCGAGGGGCATGACGGGCGGCAGTAGATCTTGGTGGTCTTGACACCGTAGACGAATGTGGTGGCGTTGCGGTCGCGGGTTAGGACTGCTTGCCAGCGGGCTGCTGCGGCGGTGGGCGACGAAGAGCCAGAAGTCGAGGTAGATTGGGGATGTCGTGGGAGGCGTGGGATTTTTTGAGGTGAGATTGGTTGGACCATTGTCCTGACGTAGGTAAGTACCTATAACAGGCGCTCCTAGGAGGTTTTGTAGGGGGTATTCCGCTGCCAGAATAAGCAACCTGCAGGATGGAATTTGTAATTTTGGTGATTCTTAATTACTTAGGTAACTTATGATTCTTCCGAGGCTTAATGTCTGTGGACTTGGATATATATATGGGGTTCTTGGGTTATGAATGACGTTGCTGATTGGTCAATTTGAGATCAATGTTGAATGAATGCACATCATCAACTTCTGGGGTCATCATCTATAATGTTTAGGCTGGAATAGTATAACCAACTGGTGGTTTTATTGTAAGTGGTTTACTAGTCTTATTCTTGGTAATGTGAAAGGATACTATGTAGTGTTGGGTGGTACGATAGAAATAAACCCAGCGCAGTCTGCCACAGAAATTTTACTGCGACCATGGCGATATATATCTCCAGGCTGACTGGGGGTAGTTACAGTATACTACTAGTAGTACCTATCCCATTGATCAGAGAACACCATCTACAAATAGAGAACCATTCTGGATATCCATAGTTACATCGAGAGCACATGATCTCCTTCCCCTACCAGCAAGTTCGATACTCTACCATTTCTTCTCAATAACCCTGTAGCCAAGAAGCCCTCTTACATATCTAGGTAGACATCATGGATCGAATCTGGAATATACCACAGCCGTTCTACAATATAATCTCGTAAAGGCCAGCATATAACAAAAACAGTATTTTGATTTTTATTACCACCTGCTCTTTATAGCCTGAGATGCGGTATACCGTGGAATGCGCCTAGAGACATGAATTTTTGGAACCACATCATCTCTTTTGTTTTTAATCGTAAATAGAAAAATTTGTTGGCCACAACCTTAATTTGCTAAGGACGCGTCCGCAGTCGCCTAAGTACATATGTCTCATAGCAAAGAGCATTTTGAACCCGTCACAAAGAAAAAAACTCCATATGATATCACGCTTATTCCTTGGTCTTCTGGGTACCACGGAGCAGACCGGTTCTCCGGGCGGCAATAAGACCGGCTTTTTGACCGTGGGCGGCGTAACGGGAGATGGTCGAAGCCTTACCAATATGCTGGTGGTTACCACCACCGTGAGGCTATAGTAAAAAAATTCAAGTCAGAGACCAGTCACACCACTTAAAAAAATTGCGACGATAGTCAGTCTTACGTGATCAACGGGGTTCATGGCAACACCACGAGTCTTGGGCCAGGAGTTGCGCTTGACAGCGAACTTATGCTTAGCACGAGAAGCCTCTGTACAGATATATTAGCACTGTTTCTCCTCCTCATCCACAGTTCCTACTGCAGATGGCTAGATGGACGAATTTTTTTTTTCTTCTTCCTTGGGTGTACATACTGAGCAGGGGCTTGTCGGTACGGCCACCACCAGCGACGATACCAACCATACCACGAGCAGAGCTCTTGACAACCTTCTTAGCACCGGAGGGGAGCTTGATTCTGGTCTTGCCATCTTCAGGGTTGTGGCCGATGACGGTAACGTAGTTTCCGGAGGTACGACCAAGAGCACCACGGTCACCAACCTTCTCCTCAACGTTGGTAACGACGGTACCTTCAGGGACGGAGGCGAGGGGGAGGATGTTTCCGACAGTCAAAGCAGCGTTCTTTCCAGCGTAGATGAATTGACCGGTGTACATGCCCTCGTTGGCGATGAAGGTCTCGGTGATGTGCTTGAACTTGTAGGGGTGACGGAACTGGACCTTAGCAAGAGGAGCACCACGGCCAGGGTCGTGGATGATCTCCTTCACGACACCTCTGGTGTATCCATGTCGCTCAGCGAAGTCGAGAACACGGAACTGGGCAGGAGTCTTGTTGAGACGGGTGTTGGCCGCTGAAGGAGAATTATCATCAGCACGTTTCATCCCAAGATTTCAAAATTCGTCGTCCAGCGACTTTGCGGTCGCACTCACTGAAAATGGAGCCACGGCCCTTCCTCTGGTTGCGGATCACACGACCCATGGCGACTTTCTATATATGAACCTGGAGGTTAGTATGTTGAAAGAAAGACCGCCAGCGACCGGGTATGGTGGAAGTGGTCGAATGCTCGTACCTCAAATCTAAGATGGGCTTGTCGGGTTGGTGTTGAGAATTCGTCGGCGAAGGGCTGTGTGGGCTTTAGGGCGAAGTCGCTAATCTAACCGAGTTGGCGCTAGCGCGGGTTTGGAACCTCTGCGGTCTTGGCATTTCTTTTTTGCGCGCGGCACAGACAACGCTTTTTCTCACGTACTCAATAGTTAGTAGCCTTAAGGAAGTAATAACACCTGGGTACATGAAGATGATGGAGACACTGTAGTGTTTCTCTCTTGGGATTTTTCTGATTTTTCTGGAATTGTATGGGCATCCAAGTCTTCGGGACATAATGATAAACCCTTTTTTTGGGGGTTCGCCACGTTCTCCTTTCTATCCTACGTCTGTTACACCCGACGGATATCTATCATGCTTTGCTACCTATTCCGTTGTGAAAATCACTCCTAACCAGGAGATACTAAGATGCGCTGCTTTATTCTCCCGATATTATGAATCTTGCTAGCTGGCTGTTTGACTGACCCTGATGCTGACCTGGTTGGGTAGAATATGTTCGCTACTGACTCTGAAATTGCGGACTCTCCAAATGACCAACTAATTACTTTAAATCGCCTGGAAGTTCATTTTCAAAAGAAACAGAGCGGGTGCTAAGAGCATAATTCATGTTTCTGCCAGGGCGATTGTGTATGTCGCGCTCTGAAGCGGTAATACGAGTGGCGGCTCACCGGTATGAGAACGATGAGCGCCTTCTGGGGTTGTGCATTTGTCAAGCCGTAGTGGCTGGCGGCTACTTCGAACAATCTGGTCATTCTCGATCCTATACGGTCACAGCTGTGATCTTGAGCTCCTTCGCAGGGATTGGAGTACGCCCTACCTACCACTTTGACCCTCTCAAAGTCGGTTGTCTCTGACCTGGATATCACTTTCTCCATCCAGTGTCTTACACACAGGCAAAGCGTGGCAGTTTAAAGACGTATTCGCATCCTTTGCTCCATGGAGTGTGAATATCCAGTCCAAATTCGCGGTTTACGTCAGAGAGTTCGCTTGCGCTCCTGAATTGCCCTAGCTTTTTATAATATTCTCAATATATTCTTATCCCTGAATTTCTACCACTCTTCTATCATGTCAACTAGTCGTAGAGAATGGATTGTCCTGACCGGGTGCTGATCATGTCTTGATATGGGCTGTGATTAATGGAGCCAACCGCGTAGAAGCCGCGCCTCCAAGCTGGGTAGCAGTAGCGCATCAGAACTTCTCTACGACGCCGACCAGGCTCACCCACTTTTCCCTTGCTTCACCACCACCACCTTCCAGAGCCACAACCAAACATGGCTAATATATCTCTTTCCGACTCAGATCTCTCGTCGTTATCATCGGCGCCTCCTTCAGATGAAGAATCCGCGTCCATGGCTCTCGACGAGCCCGTGGGTATTACCAAGTACTTCCAGAAGAAGGAGTCCGAATCTCCGCCACCTAAACGAGCTCCCTCACCACCCCATGAATACGTGCTGGCAGATAACCAGGATATTGCAGTAAGTTAAATTTCCACTACGTACTAGAACAAGCTCATAATTGGCCATATGACGCGTGTGTCGGGGCTGTTGGTTGATGTATTTGCTAACCTGTCGCATCTCGCAGTTCATTGTCACGTTCCGCGCGCGTTTTAACGATGTATTCCCGCGATCAACTCCGCACTTCGGACCACAAGATATCGAACGAGGCGTCATGGACATTTCCCCTGGAGATCATATTGAGAGGTTGCTATGTGCATTGCTTGGGCTGGTGTTGAACAGGAAGAAGGACGTGGAGTATGACCGCCACCTTTCCCGCAGCCCGCACCGCGATGAGCTTACGAGACCACCGCACTTTTCTTATCCCTACCTATCCAGCTACCTCTCGTCAAGACTGACTTAGTACTCTCAATGCGCAGTCGGAATCATTACCAGCGTCCTTTGGAAGAAGCTATACAAACACATGCCTCTCAGTGGCCTAAAGCTTGGCAAGGCAAGAACCCCCTTCATGGGGGTCACAATTTTGCATCAATGACACCTGAAGAACGCGTATGTCATCATCGACTGAGATTTGAGAACCTGATACCTGACCACCTATAGCTACAATTGTTGAAGTCGTTGATTCTCTGGTCCCTCTCCTCTTCCGAAGCCGTCCAAGCGAAACTTAAGGAATCTTATAAGCAAGCGCGCCACGACGACGACATGAACCAACCGCTTTCCGTGCAACCCTGGGGACGTGATGGACTGAAGCGTCGGTACTGGCTCATCGAAGGCCTAGATGATACTCATTTCAGGCTTTATCGTGAAAGCAACCCTGCCTTGAAAACCGTTACATGGTGGAGCGTGGCAGGAACCATTCCCGAATTAAAGGCCCTAGCGGACCGGCTGGAAGAGGAAAGAAGTACAAACTCTAAGAAGCTGAGCGAGAGGATAAAGAATTCTATACCTCGCTTCGAAGGCTCAGAGGAGGTAAGCTTTGGATCTGTATTGGCCCTTTACTATTGCTTACCAAGGAAAAGAAACGCAAACGTCGAGATTATCGTATCGCTCGGAAAGCTGCATTCGCTCGGCCGGAACCCGGATTTTCCCTATATGAAGGTCGTACACGCGGAAAGAAGCTGAAGTACACCTATTCTGACGACGAGGATATCTTTTCTGATAGCCTCCCATCAACTCGACGGTCAACGCGCAACACATCTGGATTTTCTACTCCCGCAGAGCCCACGGGACCAATATTTACTACAAGTGGAAGACAAATTCGGTCTCGGGCTGGAGGCTTGTACGGGGAGAGTCTGCTTAGCGGGCAGCGCGAAGAAGCGACTCATGGAGACGAGGATGGCTCTGGTAGGGGACAGCGTACTCGAACTACTCGGATGAATGGGTATGCTGATTATAACATGGAAGATGACGGCGAGGAAGGCTCAGATGAAGCCCACTCCAGCGGAAACGAATGGCAGGGTGGCGAGGAGGAGGAGGACAATGAATTCGAAGGCGACGACGAGGATGAAGTCAGCGGAGACGAATCGGTCATAGACAGAGAAAGCCCTAGTCTTGTGGTGCAGCTAAGATATGGTAAAAGCAAGGCACCAGGCGACTCAAATGGTCCTGGGGGGAAGGAATCTGCGATAGGAGACAGACCAGAGGGCCAACAAGAGCCGGTTTCTCAACCGGCAAGCTATAACGAACATACACTTACTATCCAGCCACAACAACCTGCGGCAAACGGACTGCCAACTCCGGTACAAGAGACCCCTATACCAATGTCGGATACCAAGATTGTTTCCGTTCAAGCACCTGTTGCTAGTCTTCCTTCAGCCCCAAGGGAAGGAACACTTCCAAGTGCAAATGGCGCTGCTACTATTCATACACCAACCCCGGTTCGACAACCGGACGAGACCGTCTAATAGAGCCCAGCGTGATAGAGCAAAAGAAGCGTGAAACGGAGGATATCTTATTTTTAAACTTTATACCAACCAGGGAGAATGTTGTTCGAGTATCTCTGTATCCGAGGGCGCACAGTGGAGTCGTGTCTGTTCGTACCTTTACGGCCGTGTTCTATGGCGATCTGAATCGGCACCAAAAAAAAAAGTGGTTATTTGTCTGGATACTTTGATTCTCAAGTAGTTGTGGTTTTACCAAGTGCGGTTGCTGTTCGTCCAATGTTAGGAACCCTTTATTAAACAACAATTATATTTCAGGTGAGACCAGCCTGAATGAATTTGATAACCTAAGACTACCTTGAGTGCTTGGGAGTGTGCGATAGAACTCGAACTCTGTAGAATTAATCACCTTGACTATTTTTTGATAGTGACACAATACCCTAAACGCCCTGGATGCAAGCTATTAACAGAAACCGCCATTAAGAATCAACCCATGTACAAGCTATTCAACTTGATAATTCAACAATATTAGTCGGCACCTGCGTTCGACAACTGCGCCGCGTAGGACTGTAAAAACTCCGTAAATGTCAGCTCCAGTCACATCAAGCATAGTAATCAGCGGACGAACCGCAGAAAAAAAAAAAAGGAAGGGGAGAGCACATACGTCCTGCACTTGGACAGCAACACTTGAGTTTCTCTTTGCTGCGAGAGGAGGCAATTTCCAGTTGTTGACTTCATACCACCACCTTCTTATCCGGCTCCCCAGCGTTTGTCCACCGAGCGAAGCGGTACGGTTCCAATACCGCCATCCCGAGAGCGCGAGAGTCCACAGGGTACCCTGAATTAGGGGAAGGAGAACCTACACGAGACCCAGAGGTTAGTTTTGAATTTAAACCATGCCGTTATTTAACCTCCTTTGCAGGAAAAAAAGGATCGAGGTCTCTTTCACCGCGCGTACCTGGTCTCTGATGGTGATCCACGCTACTCGTCCCCAAGTATCGGCTCCCCTTAAACTGGCGAGATAGCTTTGTTCAAAGCGCAGATCAGGCAGCGGAGGCAGAGTATGTCGTCGAGCAGGCGGCCGGACCATACGGTGGGGGTCAACAATATCCGAAGGGATGCTGTCAGCGTCGGAGGGGGTCAGTTCCTTCTTCTCCGAGGAAGCAGTCGGGGGATTGATGGAGGCTGTCTGGAGGGTCTCCGGGATCTGGAGAATGGGGTCCGTCATTTCTGAATTCGAGGTGTTACCACGAAGGGTCGGAAAAATAATAAGAGTAGCAATGGCAGTGGATATGTCTGTAGATATCTCCTGAGATCTCGAGATACTCCGGACTCCGGGCTTGGAGACGGAAGGACGAAGTTGGTGTTGTTGCGGACCACCAATCATAACTAACTACGCAGTGCCCCTCCATTATTTCACCTTGGATTCTGTTCTTCTCCCTCATTCTCTTTCTCTTCTCTCTCTCTCTCTCTTTCTTCCCCTTAATCTCCATTTCATCTCTCCTGTTCATCCCTTTCTCTGAATTCTATCCTCTCTCCAATTCGATTTATCGGCAATAACAATGGCTGCTGCTCAAGGTTACCCTCTTCTCTGTCTGGAGAACCCTCTCCTCGGTGCGTGAATTCCCCAATGGACATCAATTTGGGCATTGTAATGCCTATGCCAAGTTATATTTGCTAACGTTGGATTCTGGGAATAGACATCCAGGTTGTTGGGTATGGTAATCCGTGCCAAATCTCTTGATTCGAAGCTAACATACTACCCGACAGCGATGCCGCCCTCCTGGCCAAGTATGACCTGAAGGATAATGATGCCATTCTTGCTGAGGATAAGCACATGGGCCTCTATGAAGAACTCTTCGAGAAACATGATGCTAAGCTGATTGCTGGTGGTGCCGCTCAGAACACCGCCCGTGGTGCCCAGGTACTTGATTCTGGTGTATAAAGTTGTACAACGGAATTGCTGACATGGTTGCTGTTCTCTTAGTATATTCTTCCCAGCAACTCCGTCCTCTACATCGGCTGCGTTGGTAAGGACAAATACGCTGAGATCCTCAAGGAGACCTGTGAGAAGGCTGGTGTCCACACCGAATACCGTGTCGAGGAGGCCCAGCCCACTGGCAAGTGCGGTGTTATTATCACCGGCCACAACCGTAGTCTGTGCACTCACCTTGCTGCTGCAAACGAGTACAAGCTTGAACATCTTAAGCAGCCCCACATCTGGTCCCTCGTGGAGAAGGCCAAGTACTACTACGTTGGTGGTTTCCACTTGACTGTGTGTGTGCCTGCCATCCAGGCTCTCGGTGAAGAGGCTGCTGCGAACAACAAGGTATGGGCAAACTAGCACCCTGCGCGTGAGTCTGATGAACCAATTAACCATAATTTATCATAGGTCTTCATGCTTTCTCTGTCTGCCCCTTTTATTCCCCAATTTTTCAAGGAACAGCTGGACAGCGTCCTTCCTTACACCGATTACACATTCTGTAACGAGACTGAGGCCCGCGCATACGCCGAGAGCCACGACTGGAAGACCGATGATGTCGTTGAGATTGCCAAGAAGCTGGCTCAGCTGCCCAAGAAGAACACTGCTCGCCCCAGAGTTGCTATTGTGACCCAGGGCACTTTGCCCACCGTCACTGCCACCGTCAACGCCAAGGGTGAGCTTGAGGTCAAGGAATTCCCTGTCCGTGAGATCCCCAAGAGCAGCATTAACGACACCAATGGTGCTGGGTAAGTGATGGATGTTCGCTCCTATTCATTCTGGAAATTAGACACTAATCGAAATGTAAGTGATGCCTTCGCGGGTGGTTTCTGCGCCGGTATTGTCGAGGGCAAGACTCTCGAGCAGAGCATCGACATGGGCCAGTGGCTCGCCAGTCTGAGCATCCAAGAGCTTGGACCTTCGTAAGCTTTTTCATTTCCTCTATGATCTCTCTGTTATCAAGGTGCTAATGCCTCATATTAGTTTCCCCTTCCCCAAACAGGCCTATACCCCTATTTCCCGCTCTTAAAACAAAAAGTTTCACGACACCCCCATCTGCCATTTCGGGCTCATAGTACCCGGCTTTGACATTTCTTCCCTTCTTTTCTCCCTCTTGATCTAGGATTCAACCTTCTATACCCAATTTGTCCTTGACTTAACGTCTTAGACGTATATTATCTCATTTTTCACGTGAAAATGCGCTCCCGGTACCCTAACGATAAAAAGAAAACATAATATAGACGGAGTTGCAAGAGATGGCGTTCTCAACAACGATTTTAATGATGGTTTGCATATGTACTTTCTGTCAGCCTCTGTGATGGCTTCGTTTGGTCCATCCATCTTCAACAATCTATTTACTATACTATACTATACTGTCATACATTATCGTAACCCCGAAACCCAGTTATTGGGAAGGGAGGGGTGAGATGAAATAAAATAAAGAAAATAAATCAGATAATCAATAATTGATGTTGGGACTGATATAACTAGCTAGCCTTCTGAATAAGAGAAGAAATCAAGAGCATAAGCCCGAGTTGGGAAATTCAGATGTCACAATTTGAGCGATATTTTACATCCTCCTTCCTTGGGCTCGGGTTTGTCCACCTAGTGCTTGCGGTAGGCCGACAGATAGATAGAATGTTGGAACTGGAACTGGAGTTACATTCACATTAAGCAATTCACATAGTTATAGGATGGATAGCATGTGCATCATATCATGTATCCTTTCCCGGTCCCATTCTCCTCCACAGAAAAGAAATAAAAAAAAAAAAAAATTCAGAATCAGAACACCAGCACTAAAAATCTTCGCTGAATCCTGGATATCCACTTCACTTCTCGCTTTACTTCATTCCAGTCTAGGTCAATTCAATAATTGCTAGCAGAGGTAGGTAGAAAGGCTACTAATTAGTTAGTAGTCACTTTTAGCCTCCTTTTTCTTTCCCTTCTCCTTCTCCTTCTCCTTCTCCTTCTCCTCACGAGACATATAAAAGGACCTTATCCGGTTCTCATTGATTCCCCGGACGGAACCTTGGTAAGCCAAGGAAATACGCGCTTGCGTTTCTTTTTCTTTTTTTTGGGGGGGGGGGTCCGACCGTAGACATTCATGGCTCCCTTTTTCTCTCCCGAGTTTGGTGTTATGCGTGGATCGGATCGGACTAGACCAAGCCAACCGTATGGCTTTTCGTATATATTGTATATATAAGCTATTGTTGACTTGTATGTAACCGTCTCAGAAAATTTTTTTTCCCTTCACCTCTTCTACCTGCGAATGATTGTCGTTGGGGGGGGGAGGGGTTAACAGTGCGAGGAAACTGAAACCTGTGATAATCCTTGCAAGAAGAAAGAAAAAGAAAGAATGTAATCCATGCACACGTGTCCCGGAAAGATGCTGGAGTGTGTTGGAGGTATTCTCGATCTCAACCTCCATGTCCGCAGGGAGGAGATTGGCCAATCGCACCGTATTGGGTCGAAGGAGGTTGGCGAGTATTACCGAGCCCGGACCTCGGGTACCCTGCTCCAGAGGAAAGTGTGCTTGCGAGGAACGCGTCGTTGGCCCATGAGGCATTGGACAGGCCGCTGGACATCGGCTGGCTAGGAAGCCCAAAGGAAGCCCCTGGATGCAGTTGTTGGGGAGTAGCGGTAGTCGCATCGAGGCTGTCTCTCTCCCACGGTGAGCTGGATAGACGCTGGTGGTGCATTGCTGCGCCGGGCGGAGAGAGCCAGGGGGGGATGGAAGACCCTTGCTGTAGCTGAGCTTGAGCTTGAGCTATGAGACTTTGACGGAGCACGAGGTCGTTCATGGCTGAGTCTGGGGATATGTGCTGGTGGCTAGGGCTGGTGGCGGTTTCGGGGATCATTGGGGCAGGGACACGGTGAGGTCGAAGTCCAGGGGGGGTCCTCGGGGAGGATGCGTCACCGACATCAGGGGAGAAAGCGGTGTTCCAGATGCTAGGGATGCCAGGAAGGGCAGGCCGTGGGGTGTAGGATTGAGACGACGACACGCGGGCCAAAGCAGCGGAGGTGTTGGCCATCGGTGGGCCAAGTCCAGGAGGAGCGATGGGAGTCTGGCGGACTGGAAACGAGTCCGTCCTTAGGATTGATTCTGTACCCAGGCCGTAGAACTGGTCGGACGCAGGGCGCTGTAGTTGTGGATGTGTGCTTGGAGAAAATGACAATGGCTCTGGGACAGCTGGTGCATTTTCATAGGTGTCCGACTCGACCAAGCGCTCCACACCTTCGACTATACGATGCATGCTAGCCGAGATAGATGCCGATGCAGACTGGGAGCCACCAAAAACACTCCTGGTATCCGTAGGGCAGTTGGCATTTTGCTTCACCTGTTGAATATCCTCCCGTTCGATACTTGCGGAGGAAAGTGTATGACGATGACCCGGGGGACTGGCAAAGAATTGAGATGGAAGACCGTCTTCCTTATAGATGAAGGTTTTCTTGTCTTCATCATCGACAAGTGCTATGGGAATTTTCTGGGATATTGTCAGCGAAGACCAGAGGGCTGCAAAGAGTGGAATGTTTTATCGTACATTGCCCACGACCAGATCTAAGCCATCAATTACAAACTCGCGAATCCGGTACAGCATTTCGATGTTGGGATGGTTCCTCTCAACTCCGGGATCGTTCATCCGAGGTTTCTGCTGGCCGTTGGTATCCAAGTACCGACGAGACGTAGCTCCTTTGCTAAAGGGTGAAAAACAAAGAGTTTCTTCATCTTCCTCCAAGAGATAGTCTACCTCTGGGAGGTGTACCACATCGAAAGTGGAGGCGAGAAGCGTAAGGGCGTTGGCGTATACCTTCCAAAACTCGGTGACCTGGACTGCAAGGGGAGTATCTTTCTCCTCTTTATATGCCATTAGAAGGTTGTTGACGGTCAGTAGCCACGAACTGTAGTTTCGAAGAGCAGGCAAAATACGACGTGCAACAACAGTGACTTTGTCAGCGCCGACTTTGGTGTCTTTATTGTTCGAATCTTCAACAGCAAACCGCTCTACTTCGGCCAAAAGGATCTGGAGTAAGGTGAAGAAGGTTTTGACGTTGATCCGTTGAAAGAAGAGACTCGCATTGGACACGGGCTCTTCTGGTGATGAGATTAATAATGGTTCGAGAATCTAGTATTAAGAAACTTACCACTCGAACGGGTGCGGGAGAAATCCTCTGCGGCAATATTGATCAAACAGAATTTCTGCAAAGTTCCGTCAAGCGAACGTTCCTTCAAATCGACAGCTAGCTGGTTCAAAACCTCGCTTTCAAGCTCATCGTGCTCCGGGAAATCGACTCCTTTATAGCATTGCGCATGGAGATATACAAACCAAGGGGCCAACGCTCTGCCGGGAATACCAGCATCCTCCGGACGAATCAACTCCCGTTTCACCCACAAATTCATAATCTTTCTAAACTCAATTTCTAAATTGCCTTTTGCTGTCGGGTGGGGTTCTTGAGCCGACAGCGCTCTATAAAGATGGTAGGTAGCTCTCAGGTGATTGCCATCGGCAAGCGCGATGACAGCCAACTGATTATGCGACGCACCAGAGGATGGGTAAATGGCTGTAGCCAAGTCATAGTAGCCGATAGCAGGGCCCCAGTTGCGGTCCTTGCTGACCAGTTCTGTTTCGCGGTAGCGTGAGAGATCGCCGAGACGGATCAGTGTCGCATGACATGATTGAAGTATACGTTTTCGAATGGGTTCGGAGGGTTGGATGGTAGGCTCTGCTGATAGATCTAGGCGGTCTTCATTTAATCATGGTGAAACGGAGAAGGGCGAGGATGCAATGCTCACTGTCAAAATTAAATTTCCGTGCAACTTTTTCAAGCTCCGGAATCCCCCCGAACTGCGAGGCTAGTTGTTGGATGTAGCCACGATAAAATCGCTGGCTAGATTTGACGAACTCGAGATAATGCTTCTCGAGTTTCCTTTTCTCGACGGGCTTTTTCTTTTTCCCATTATCCTCGCGGAACTGAAATTGAGCATCAGAATATATTAGAGACCAGGCAAGCGAAAACGTGTAGAGGCTCTGTAACTCACGCGGGAGAGTAGTTTACGGAATCGAGTGTTGATTTTGAGATGCGCATCCCAAAGGCGACCTTCCACATCGATAGAGCGAGCGGCTTCGAAATCCTGGAGAATGGCATTTTGGCAGGCAGTACGGAATCTGCGACGAAACGGGTGGAAACAGTCAGATCAATCGCGCGCGACAACGGCAGTGGGCTGCAAAGGCCGGAGGAAGGGGGAGGGGGGGGGAAACCCACTCCAAGATATAGTGAGAAATTCCAGCGAACGTGGGCTCTTTTTCGGCAAGGCCCTTGAGAAGTTCCCTTTCGATTTCGAGCGCAGACCTGTAGATAAATGCGAAATTAGACACACGAGCGGGACTTGCACTTCGAAATCGGGCCAAAGTGCAAAAAGAGAGAGAGAGAGAGAGAGAGAGAGAGAGAGAGAGAGGTTCTACTGACTGCCACGTATTCTTGAAAATGGACGCCATGCTCAATATGCAGCAGGACCAGACCCGTATCACTCCACCGTTGACTTCGCCCGTCAGATGGCTATGGCTGGCTGGAAGTCTGCGGGCGACAAGAGCAGTGAACGATCCATCAGTAGTATATCCAAAGCGAGTGAGGGAACGATGAGAGGCCGGGATTTCGGGATAGGAGCCAATGAGGCACTATGATCCGACGAAGGGATGAGAGAGATGAACCCGGATGCGTGCAAGAGAACGACGAGCGAGGGGTTAGAAGCCGCCGCTCGTTGTAGAGAAAATCCCATATTACGGGAACTATTTGACGATGTCCAAAAAAAGACAGACGGGGTTGCTGTGGCTTGTCGCATGCTGATTGGTTCGGTGGTTTCTGTGGCTGGCCCCTCACTAGCCACTGCGTTATCGGCCTCGTACGGTACCGTATTGGCGTGTATTGCGTTGGTATGGTGGTAATACGCCTGATCTCTTCTAAATCTATATCTTGTACATCTTTTTGTATTTTCTGGGATCTCGATGGATTCTCGATATCTGTCTGATTTACAATCTTTTGTTCATCCAAATAATCTCTGCAAGGATATCCTCGGAGACTATACCTCCCAGCTAACCCTCAAGGGGTCTCTTCCGACAATGCAAACTATCGGATTTTCTGCGGTATATTAACCTCATCATACCCTTCCGACGTGACCTATCATCGCTGCAGAAATCCCTGTGAGGGGAAGACCAATATGGCCAAACGTTCTCGAAGCTCGCAGTCACCTTCTGCTGACCCATCTGAAGAGATTCGACAATCAAGACCCTCTTCTCCGGAATCTCTCACATCCTCTACACAATCAGGACGCACCAAGATCCATCTCCTAACCCCCTCTAGCAACGCTACAGTGATGCGTTGTTCTTTACCCCCTCATCGAGAAACTCTCTCTTTCTCCTCCTACGAGGATTACGAGGTGCATTACCTGCAATCGCATGTCAACCGGTGCTCTGAATGTGGGAAGAATTTCCCCACGGACAGGTTTCTGAATTTGCATATTGAAGAGAACCATGATCCGTTGGTCGCTTCGAGGAGGGAACGGGGGGAGAAAACTGTAGGGTTTGCCTTGTATCTTGAGACTACCGGGAGAGAAGATGAAAAAAAAAAAAGGCGCGACTGACGATTATTCATCTCCGAAATACTTCACACGATAGTACGGATGTTTCATTGAAGATTGCGAACGGAAGTGCTCTACGCCCCAGAAACGCAGAATGCATTTAATAGACAAACACATGTTTCCCAAGGTAGGATGACCATTTACCATCTCTCTCTCTCTCTCTCTCTCTCTCTCTCTCTCTCTTGCAAGATACTTCTACTCCATCCAACAACACTCCATATGCATTTAACTCGCTACACCGCTTCATTCCAAACCCCACCCGGCTCAGTTTAGCCCCAACTAATAGTTACAAAACAGACCTACAACTTCTACATAGTAAACGACGGCGTTGACAAACAAACATCCATGCTCCGATCAATGCACACCCATCGACGCCGACTATCAGCTACGCCGTCCTCACCCCAAGAAGGCCGATTACGACACAGACAGACCTCGATTTCGCTTCCTGTGCCAGCCCCGGAGCCCGGGCTCCATGATGCAGAGATTGCGGAGCTGGAGAAATCCATGTCTGCTTTGCGGTTTGTTCCGGCGAGTGTGACGAACCGCGGGAGAATCGGGAATAGATCTTGACTCTTGAATGAGGGGGAATGACTACCTACTCTGAAGGTATATATAATGATGAGATGAGATGAGATGAGCTATTTTAGATAATAGATTATGATGATGATGATGATGATTGACTACTCCTGAATCATTTGGATGACTTTTTTTTCCCCCTCTCTCTTACATTGGAATAGGAAAGGGAAAGAAAAAAAAAAGAACGTCAATTGCTTTGAAAAACGATTTAACCCATAACAATAAAAAATCATAAATCGCGTATGTTATCATATAACAAAATGAGAGAACAGAGCAATAGAAGAACGAGAATGTAGCGAGCTAACGTCCATCCCTCCTTGCTCTTCTTTCCAACCCCAACTCAACCATTAAACCGCGCCGCAAGAAGAATAAAGCGATGTCGTAAAAAAAAAAAAAAAAAGATCCTCCTGAAAAGAGACATACCTATATACAGAGAAGAAAATAAACCATAAACCAATATCCGTAGAGACTAGGGTATACAACAACAACAACAACAACAGCAACAGCAACATCATCATCATCATCATTTACCATACAAGAGGTCACACAAAAGGCGAACTTTGATCTGAACGAGCAGACGGCAAAGATGCTTTTTTTTTTTTTTTTTTATATCTGAGCTTCAAGAAGATCTGCATAAGCATCAAGGCTGGAACCGACCAGGTCAACTATCGCCCAGCTCGTGTTTCCCTTGAAGGTCCTCGCCCAGACACGGACAATCGCCACACTGAGTTGTTTTGCCTTGTAAGGGTTGGCCATGAAGTCGATATCAGGCGCGCCCGGTGGGTCCACCGCCATGTCCGTTTCATCCATCATGCTCTTGATCCACAAGAGCAACTTTCTTTCATGCTCCGAAAGCCTTTGCTCGGCTTGTGTCATCGGGATGGATAGTAGCCACCGGCTTAGGAGGAATGCACATTCCAGACTACACAGAGAGTGCTGGATGCTCCAGAAAAAGGAATGCGTTCTTGCCACAAAGTCAATGCCTAAGCGGACCGGGATTGACAGAGCGTGTGCAGAGTGCAGCAGAGCCATAATCAACCGAGGGCTCCGTACGATGGGCGGGTATTCGCTGAGAGCCCTGGCGATCTCGTGTGGGTCTTGAGTGACGAGGTGACGGCAGGGTCCTAGATCCACATGTAATCGGATGTACGCGAGACCCAGAAGAGCGGTCGATGTGAATGCAATCGGACCGGCCGGATTCTGAGGATCGATGCTTGATTCAGGGGTGTGTTTCCACAACGCCTTCCAGGAGCTTAACGAGCCGTCCAGCGCATTCAGGTCATCAGCCCTGAGACTGGTACTTTGCATATTGGGGGCGGAGAGGCAAAGCTGGCGGGCGAAGAATATTTGCTGGATGAGAGCATGTATCAAGATGTAGTTCCCGAGGGGTGAAATCGGGGCAGACTTGGAGATATTGTTAGATTTAAGGAAGAGCTTTGTGAACGCTTCCTGAAATGGGACCTCCGATCCAATTCTGGTCCGAACAATGCGTCGCCACTGGACTGCGTTATTTGCTTTCCACACATCGTGGGAACATGGCATATTCAACTTGAGCTCCGCGTTCAAGATGAGAGGGGGAATGTTATACATGATTGAGTGAAGATTGAAGAAGCAGTAGACTATTAACTTTGTGCGTCGGTTCCCTTCTCTTCGAATCCACTCCTCCCAGTTATTGGGATCCAAATTCATGGTCGGCTCAGAGAGACCATGTTCTCGGACGAGTCTGGCCAAAGTACTCTGGAGGGAAAGGATCTCCCGCAAGAGCTCGGGGTGTCGCTCCCAAGAGGCAAAGACGGTCAGGAGTAAGAAAGTTCGGATCACTTCCATGTGGGCATCTGAATCCTCTGGTGGGTAACCAGAAGGATCAGACGGGTAGAGCATGTGGGGTTGTTGGTGTTGATGTTGCTGAAAAGGGCTGTTGCCCTGGGCCGAGGTGGTAGATGATCCACGAGAATTATGGAAGCCCGATTGGGGGGATAAGAAATTCCATGTTGGACAAGGAACTTGTTTACTATCTCTCCTCTGCAGGCGCTCCAGAAGGATGGCTTTTGCGGCGTGGAACAGGTCGATTCCACGGCTATTCTCAAATCGGTAGTGAGAGCCTGCCGCCGCGAGTGCTAGTGTAAGCTCCGGCGAGCATTTTGCAATCGACAATGTTGGGACATGAATGAAGGGAAGATGTTCATTGAGGCCATTGATATAGCCCGCAAAGAAGCGAGATAGAGCATGTCTTGATGGTGGAATAAAGCCTTTGGGGAGAATGTAGGCAAACTCTTCCAGTTTTGAAATGAAAACCTGACGATCTGCATTGGATATGTCCCAAGCGGGACGGGGGCCTTCATCCGCGAAGCCCAGACGATCATCCACGTCGTTGGCTTCTGGCTGTAGAGACGGAAGCCGGGAACCAAAATTGGAAAACGACGGTGGTTCATCGGCAGCGGCTCTAGGATCATGAATGACATCGGGACCGAGTCTGGAAGAGTCGCGTATCATTCCTTTCGAGTCCATTGGCAGAGTGGTGGGTAAGATAGGTTCTTCTACTGTGGAGAACACCCCCGAATCCCAATCGGAGGAGAAGCCAACGCTCTCCAAAAAGACGGTAAAATCCTGGACCGGATCCCCAAGGTCAGTGAGGTCTAGAATTGAGGGCTCGACTCCATAATTGTCGGTAAGGGCTCTTTCATGGACAGGAGGGAGCGGTGGAGGGGGTGCAATGGCTGGCGGCGGCTTCCGGATACTCTCCAGGCTCTCTTGTTGGCCTTCTAGGGCGACATGGCTAGCCGCATGGGAGAGAAGGTTCAAATCATATCCCCAAGAGGGATTAAAGTGCGTTGTTTCCACAATCGGAGGAGGCTGGACTTGCACCTCGGGCGGGGGCGGCGGAACGGCTTCAGCGAGCTCTAGCATTCGGGATTCATGATGGGAAGGTTGAATCATTGACGGGGGGGCCTGGGAGACATCGTGGTTGCTATGATTGCGATGCTCTCGATTGGCTGCTGCCTCGGCCGGATGGACTAGACGCTCATGTCGTACGAGGAGATCGCTGGCAAAAATCAATCCCACCATATTAGTGCGGTCACATTTGGAAGCCGCGTGGATGGCAACTCACCTCCTGGCAAAAGACTTGGAGCATATATCACACGAGAATGGTTTCTCCTTCGTATCTAGAGGGGGGAGGGCAACAAGTTAGCCATATATATATGTGTGTGTGTGTATGTATGTGAAAAGCCACGCTGTCTGGACATATGGGGGGGATCAGGGTTAACTCAACGGGTGCGGAGGTGGCGCTGAAGATGCTCCAGACGAGCGAAAGATCTGTTGCAATATTCGCAAGATAGCGATTTCCGATGGGCAGGGGCAGACTTCTTCCTCACTTTTGCCGAAGCTGTCCTCTCGTCGTCCATGGCGAACAGCCTTGGAGTTGGAGCATGTCTTCAGATGGATAACAGGCGAGCGGGGAAGAAAAACTGTGGGGTCATGAGGGGAGGGTCACGTGCCTCTCGGAACCTTTCCTCCTGCCTAAGGCACACCTCTCTTAATTATGAGAGACAGTTTGGAACTTCAAATGACTGGGATACTCTATTGACTACGTTGATCATGGCCTAACTAACTAATCTCAAGATCTACTGTGTTCCTCATGCAATTCTCGCCCAGTCGTTCTCGATTGACCCACCTTCAGGATGCAGTAGGTAGTTTACTTGGTCTCCAAATGCATGGACTAGACTATGTATATCCCTCCTTTTTTTCTTTTGGAGGACCCTCCTCGGTTGGAATATCTGGAACTGGTCTGTCGGGCATCCTCTTCCACAGCTTTTGATCCTCGGTTTCCAGACCCGCTTGAAACACGCAGACAGACTTGGTGGATGTCAGCAGCCTGTGAACATTGTCACATCTCCACTTTTTCGATCGCTGCATACGGAGTATACTGCAACATGAAACCCCTATTCCTGACCACTTTAGAGAAATGTTTATATATGGAAACATGGGCTTTTGTTGGGAAAGAAGGAAGTGAAGTGTACCTTGGAACCAACTATGAATAGAAGAATCTACTGGCCATGGTAGAACCAAGAATAGCCGAGTAAACTCAGAAAAGCGGGTGATAGTCTGACGGGTGCCGCCAGTTATTGTTTCAGATCTGACTCCTGGGCAAATCAGTGGATGCCCTTGCTGAGATGAATTCAAAAAAAGAAAGAAAGAAAGAAGAGAGAGAGAGAGAGAAGAAAGAAATAGAATAGGACGTGCCAGAAAAACACCAGTCGCATCCTATCCAGACCGATTAAAGGCAAGGTTGACGAACATCCGTCACCTGACCAAAGGGACCCAAAACTGAAACTGAAACCGAGTTGTGTTGAGACTTCGTTGGAGTGAGTTGGATGTCAGATTCCAGAATTGATTCTCTCTCTCTTTCTTTTTCTCTTTTTCTCTTTTCTGTCTCTGTCTGTCTCTCCTAACAGATTCCTGTCTCTCTTACTCTCTATCCTTTCCTTCCTCCCCCCACCCTCCTCTCCCTCTCTCTCTCTCTCCACCTTACTTCCCATCTTCAGCTGTTGATCGGCTTTCTTTTTCCTTTTCTTCTTCCTTTTCTCTCTCTCTCTCTCTCTTCCCTTTCCCCCCTCTGTCCCTTTTTAATCCAGGCTTCTCCTTTTCGTTTTCCTCTTTGGGATCGGCCTAATCTATCAATGACCGCAGCCGATCATCAGCCTCATTTCTAGCGTGGCCCAGACTCAACAAGGGCGGGACAGCAGAGTATAACTGTGTTCATCGGCAGGCTTCTGTTTGGTTTCTTAAACTTTTAATTCCCTTAATCTGGCTTGCATTTGGTTGGTAAGCTCTCTAGACTGTCTCCAGGTTACCCCGATTGGACATGAGGGGGGGGGGGGGGGGGCAAGAACTGACAAGATGTATCCCATGCCTCTAGGACGCGGTATACCATGCATTAATTCTCCTAAAACCTTCCTGGGGTACTTTCTTTTCCTGCCTATTCCGACCGCATCTATCTACTCTTCGCGCTTTACAATAAACCGTCACCATGCTGGCATCGAACCCCCCGTACGCAAGCACCCTGGGTATGCCGACGCCAACCACGTCCTATCTTACTGGACCACAGAAGACTGCTACATTCGCAGACCCGCAGATTGGGGGATTATATGCGAGCCCCACGGAGTCGGAGTTTTCCGAGGCTCATGACGGACTGGATGCTGTTAGGTAAAATTTCTCAACTATCGCACCTTGCGCAAAGATGAGTGTGGGATAGCTGACTCTCGTACTAGGTCCTGGGATGAAAAGCAAGTAGTGGCGTGGCTGCATAGCATCAACTGCCACCAGTATGAAGCACTCTTCAGAGGTACACTCTCACCTGATCCGGTTCTCTGACTTGTTGAGAAGAACAACAACTAATTAACCGCGCCTAGCGAATAATTTTAACGGTAACAACCTGATCGAGTGTGACCAGAAGATCCTCCAAGAGATGGGTATTAAGAAGATAGGTGATCGGGTCCGGATTTTCGTTGCTATCAAACAACTCAGAAACAAATCAGTAGCGAACCGCAAACAAAAGAATCTGGTACGCTGCTACCCCTCCTTCTCTCTCTCTCTCGCAATACACATGCTTACCCCCCTCCCCCGTTCTTACAGCGACAATTAGCGGCCCTGGAAGCAGTCAATCACAAAACCGCACCACTTATTACCCGTCAGCAGACGACTTCAGGTGGTCGTCGTTCGTCTCGTGCAGGGGACCATGGCTATGGGAGACCCTCGTCGCGGCCAGGGTCCCCGCTGCGAGCTCAGCGCTACGTCGCCAGCCCCATGGAAACCGCGCGAAAAGAACAAGGACCAGGTTATTTTTCCAGTGGTTCTGGCTCTGGTCGAAATCCTGGAACCCCCGCGGAGACTGGACATAGCCAGAAGACTGCGTCGCATCTGAGACAGAACCCTAGTCTTGATGGTTTAACAATGGGCCCTTTGCCAAACTCACCCGTGATCAGAGTGATATATACTGGTGGACAGACCAAAGTCCTGGACATCAGAAACTGCAAGACGGCTGATGAAATCATTCTTTGTGTTCTGAAGAAGCTCCAGCTTCCAGAGCATCAGTACCGCAATTACTGCTTTTATATATTAGACGGACTAGACCCTGACCCGTCTAACTGTAGGAAACTTGCAGACCATGAGCTCATAGATATCTGTGAAAGCTCCCATCGTTCTGAACGGGGACGGCTCATTCTCCGCAAGATCCATGCCGGAGAGCCCGATGCTGACGAGCTTCGCCGTGCTTCCCAGCTCGCCATGGATGAAAGCCAAGTCGCACATATGAACGCATTGAGCAGCTCAAATATGCGGAACCAAATGAAGATCCAGCAACTTACCGGTGAATCTTGGAATAGTATCAGGCAACCCATGTCGCCAGTATCGTCTCGGCATAACCAGACTCCTGGAGATTACGACATGCGACCCTCGCTAGCTACTGAGCGCTTGGTTTCGAACAAACTACGATCATTCTTTGGTGCTCGCCCCCCGAGTGAGATGATCATCCACGAGATCACGTCCTACTTCCCCAGCCATCACCGGGAGGATATCGAGAAGACTATGCGTATGTCCGTCCGTAGATCGCAACGCTTAAGCCGGGCTGCAAGTCGTTTAAGCGTGCTCAGCAATACAAGCTATGCATCAAGCTTGAGAGATGCGCCCCCTATCCCGAGTATTGCAGACACCTGGCTCAACAATGGCGCACCACCTACTCGAGCCGCGCGTCCCCTCTCCATTATTTCGACAAGACCTAGCCTTCCCTCGACTACGTACCGGGACTCAATCGCCTCTAGTTCACTTCAGCCTCTTCAAGAAGAATCACCCATTGAGCCTAATCGCAAATCCTATGTTTCCTTCGACAGTGGATCTGATGATCCTAGCACTTCCCGTCAAAGTCTTATTGATGAAAACGCGAGTGTCGCTGCAACTGATGGTGGCTCGTTCAATGAAAGACTCAGTGTTCTGGTGGCCGAAGACGGAGAAGAGGAAGACGATGGGTTAACTGAATTCTTGGCCGGAAACAACTTTGCCAATTGGATGAAGGGCTCGCTGATTGGTGAAGGTTCTTTCGGAAGTGTTTTCCTTGCTCTGCACTCGATCACCGGCGAGCTTATGGCTGTCAAACAAGTCGAGATCCCGTCCGCAACCAAGGGCACGGAATTTGACAAACGAAAGAACAGCATGGTCGACGCCCTCAAGCATGAGATTGACCTTTTGCAGGGCCTCCACCATCCCAATATTGTTCAGTACCTGGGCACCACGGCAGACGATCAATACTTGAACATTTTCTTGGAATATGTGCCCGGAGGTTCCATTGCCACGATGCTCAAACAATACAACACCTTCCAGGAACCTTTGATCAAAAACTTTGTGCGCCAGATCCTGGCTGGTCTCTCGTATCTCCATTCCAAAGATATCATCCATCGTGATATCAAAGGTGCCAACATTCTCGTAGACAACAAGGGTGGCATCAAAATCTCCGATTTTGGTATTTCCAAGCGTGTCGAGGCCTCCACGGTTCTTGGGTCCCGAGCAAGCAGTGGCGGCGGCCATCTCCACCGACCTTCGCTGCAGGGCAGCGTTTATTGGATGGCGCCGGAAGTGGTTCGACAAACAGCTCATACTAAAAAGGCTGACATCTGGAGCCTTGGCTGCCTTGTCGTCGAGATGTTCATCGGAGCTCACCCTTTTCCAGATTGCAGCCAGCTTCAAGCCATCTTCGCTATCGGAAGCAACCAGGCCAGACCTCCCGCCCCCGATCACGCGAGCAAAGATGCAGTGGCTTTCTTGGATATGACCTTCCAGGTCGACTATGAAAAGCGGCCAGATGCCGATGAGCTTCTCAAGTCTCCATTCCTAGCTACAACCCTGAACTAAAGCTCTCTTCACTCTCTATTTTCGCATGATGAAAGAGAGAGAGACAAGAGTATCTATTCTATATCCTTTGATTCAAGTTTTGTTTTTGAAGATTGGAATACCCCGATACTTTTTCTGGTTGTTTACCCCCTTTCCCTCCTTTTCCTCCCAAACACACCTTTTTTTTTTTTTTTTTTTTTTTTGCATCTGCCTTGATTCCGTCTACCGGGCGGTGGTGCACAGAATTCAAATGTCTTTAGATCTGGCGCACACATATATATGCCCCTTTACAGCAGCATAGTCAACGCATAATGAAAGTCCATCGAATATCTGTACTTGTGGATCCTGTTTTTAGTTCTCTGGTAGGATTTTCATCGTGACTGAAGCCAGCCAGGTAGTGTGCGTTTTTATCGATCTAAAAAGAAAAAAAAAAATGTAGATGGTAATAAGAATCTGTGCAATTGGAGTACTACTAAAACAGAGCATAATAATGTACATGAGGAATACGACCAAAGCGCCACACTGTGTGTCACGTTACATCCAAGGTGCAAGTATAATTGAGGCAGACGGTGGCAATTCTATAGGAAACAAGCGAGTATCATCGGCAGCAATCAACGTTTAGTCGATAAGTTTGCCGTAGAATGGGATGCCCATGGCGCTGAGAAGGAGTCGGGCATCCTTGTCAGTTCTAGCGGTGGTGTGGATTGTAATATGGCATCCTGGGATCATCTTGGGTGGGTACCTGTTTATCCAACATCGGTTAGCCTTCATCACGAAGAGACCTGGGAGAAGGAGAGGGAAGAAGAAGAAGAAGAAGAAAAAAAGAAAAAAAAAAAAGAGGCACTGACATGTCATAGTTGACCTCTATTTCGGGGAAAAGAGCGACGTTTTCCGGCTCCAAACCGAAAGTGATGTTGCCGCTGCTATCACCGCTGCTACCCTTGACACCTTCCCAGTCCTTGATTTTGGGCATCACAACATCGACCAGCTTGCCGAAGAAATGCTCCATGTCCTCTCCACGGAGTTCAGCCTTGACGGCCACGGTGTCTCTACCGGGAGCAATGCCCCACGTGGCAACGCTGGTCTTGGACTTATATGTCTGTACCCGGACGTTCGAGATAGCCTGGACAGCCATACCGGCAATGTGAATCCACGAAGAGTTCTCCGTAGCCGCCTGCTTAACGTAACTGTGGATAGTGATCCGCTCGAGCTTGGGGATATTGTTGAAGGTGACTGGCTTGCGGAGGAGTCGGAGCACATCGCCGCCTCGAGGTCCGCGCAGGGTACGGTTCTGGTGGTACGGAGAGCTGTCGTCCCATGAACGGAGACGGGGCGCCTTGACTGGAGGCTTGAAACCCGGCGGGTTGTGGACGTAGCAGAGGGTGAGGATGTCGGAAGCGACGGTAGACTGGTAGGTCTGTTCTACTCTGGGGAGGGAGAAGGGACCGGGTACGAAAAGTCGAGAGGATGGATCAGAGGGTGGCGGGGGTCTGTGGGGATGAAGCGGACCACGATCATACTTGGGTGATCGAAATTGGTATCTAGGAAACAAAAGATGATGAGATGAGTACGGGGACAGGGTAAAGTTGGAAAGGTAAGAGAGAAAAAAAAAAAATTGAAACAACAACAGGAAAGAAAGCGTTCTGGGGTGGGATGTCTTACCGACTGCGTGGGAGTTGGGCTTTCCTTGATCTGGCTCTGGCAGCTGGATTAAATGACTTTGCAGCATCTCCCAGTGTCGAGCTGGTTAAAGAGCTTTCGGACTCCAGCTCGTTGAGCGCGGCCGATGCTTGATCGGAGACATTGCGCCGCCAGGAGAAGCCCTGGGAGCGGGGAGAGGGCACGATTGCCCGAGGCAATGACCTTGCCAGGTATCTTGATGTCTCGCTGGTGGCCATTGAGATCTCCAGTGTGTGGTGGTTGCTGTAGACTCACTCGTCTTGACTGGAGAGCCAAAAATAATTTCGCGGATCGGCGACTTTGGAGGGAATCACGTGGGTGTTTATGACCTGATACATCAGGCACCAATACCAGGCAAGCAGGCACTGAATTATGGCCTTAGGCTCCCGGGCTGGGGTGGGGTGACTGCTGGAGATCGGCGCAATTTGTAGTTATACATGCAGTTCGTAAGGAAAAAATTAGATTAAATTCTACCAGATGGAGATTGTTTCGCAGCCAGTCAGATTGTCATCTAGTGGTGTATTCTCCTCTATTTCATTTTAGAATGTCCATTGTCCTAGATATTTTCTTTGTTTTTAGGCGAGCAACCAACGTGATGTCACTGGGTTGGCTCAGCTGGTGCCTAGGGGACTGACGGATACAACTGACTCTTTACCATCACTCCTAACAAATTGATCAGAAGAGGCCACCACCTGATATGCACAGGCATATCACCCAAGAACTGCACTACTTCGTGGGTTAGAATTCTGGGGCCTGCTTAGGGTCTTTAATTTAGTCCTTTCCCCATGTCGATTCATGCCCTTTCCCTCGACTGCGCAACTCCTAATTCCTCCTTCGTCGACTTCCCAACCCCTCCTGAAAGATGAGTGGGATTCATAGGTTTCTCACCAGGCGTGAACGCAACACTGGATATGGAAAACATGCAAAAGACGAGGTGCGGTGACAAAATGCTTCTTTACCAGCAGTGCTCCCTTCTATTCTGCATATACTGATTCTGACACGCTTTTGTAGTCACATATGCTTTCCCAACCCCACCTGCACGGCTTCTTTTCATCCACAGACACCGCTGGAAATTCTACTGAGCTGCAGAAGAAGGTAAGGGTGTTTAATATCGCAGGCTGTGTTTCGCCATATTTCCTCTTTTCCTGCGTTGTCGTTTCTAGCGCGGGGCACTAACACGGGTCAGATCAAAACTCTAGAACGTCGAGTTTCTCAGCTTGGCATCACTGGCATAAAGGAGGAACATTGCACCTATGCACTACAATCGCCGTATGCCCAGGGGGATGTGGAGAAGGCGTTTGAGCTTCTCCTGCTTCTTGAAGATTCAATCGAAGGTATCATAAAGGGATACTCTCCCAGTACCAAGTTGCTTGGGGCGGAAAACCGTGAGGGAGTCACATGCTACCTCGATGCGCTGCTCTTTGCGATGTTTGCTCGACTGGATTGCTTTGAGGGTATCTTGTACAAAAATTTTAATGATGGGCCGCGTCGGAAACTTTCAATGCTCTTGAGACTTTGGGTCAACCTACTACGATCAGGAAAACTAATCACGATGGACCTAGTACGTGTCCCCGGCATATTAACCTCTACATTTGGAATAAGAGCTAACGCAACGGCCTCTCTTACAGACAAAGCATTTGCAAGAATCGCTCGCTGAATGCGGTTGGAAGGATGCAGCGCAACTGTGCCAACAAGACGCCTCGGAGGCATTTACCTTTATCACAGAAAAACTAGAGCTACCTCTCCTTACCCTCAAGATGGATATTTATCATTTTGGGAAAGAGGACGTGAATGATGACCACCGGTTCATCAATGAAAGACTGTTGGAGGTTGCAATTCCAGAGCCAGTTGACGGAAAGACTGTGACCTTAGAAGACTGTTTGGAATCATATTTCAATAACCGGATCGAGGTGAAACGGTACCTGGAGCGCCGCAATACTGTTGGATCAACCAAGTCTATGGATTCGCTAGTGAAAGGCTCCTGTGCCCACGTCGAAACTGTGGAATTGAGCACACCCACCTCATCTTCTCCAACGCAATTGACCCCTACGGTTACCCAAATCTCTCCGATGATGGAATCCGCATTTTCCGATCCCCCTCCTAGGTATCGCAGCAGCAGCATCATTCAGGAGAAGTATATTCCGGATGTCAAGGATGGGGTCATCTCGTCGCAACGCCAAGGCTCGTATAGGAAGGAGGTCATGATGCCCGCATGGCAGTTCTTCAGCTTAATTCGTGAGTCTTGTTTCGCAACCTGAACATCTGACAACCAAATACTGACGTGTGTTGTAGCATGGTATACCGTCAACACTCCGATGAATGATACGCAGGTTGCAGCTCACTTCTCCTCAAAGCGACCGATCTTGGGCATGTGTCTGAAACGCTACTCCGTGTTACCGAACGGCAAAGCGATTCGACTAAACACATTCGTCGATATTCCGACCGAGATTGGACTACCACACTTTATCCAGGATGATAATATGGATGAAGATGGCCCCATATGCGGTAATTTCAAACTATCTTTACAGGCGCTTGTCTGCCACAGGGGTAACTCGGTTGATTCTGGGCATTATATCGCCATTGTCCGAGGCACCAGTGCTGGCGCTCCCCCTTTAAGCACCCATACCTCAGACCAACTCCATCTAGATACCCCGAGATATTGGATGCGGTTCGATGATTTGGCCGCAGAACGGGTGACGCTTGTGGATATTGAGCAAGCCTTGAAGAACGAATCGCCCTACCTTTTGTTTTATCAGATCTTGCCAATTGATGAAGACGCAGCCGCGGCCAACCTTTTCAACAATCCACCGTCTTCTGTCGGTTCAGGAGAAATTCAAGAACTGGACTTGGGAGATCTCTCGCCAAAATTGCAGGCTCTTCAGCTTCCTGGGGGATACAAATCTAGCCACCCTAGCCTCGAAATTACTGTCCCGGAAGGATCTGGGCCCGCCAGCAATTTAGTTGATGCTCAAAGTACGATTGTGGATCTCAAAATGCGCTCTGTTCCGTCAACATCACCCAAGCTTCTTGCGAGGGATGATGAAAGCAGAGGTTCGGTTTCGTTTTCCCGGCGCGGTTCTCGAGCAACGAGGTCAAATCCTGGAAGCCGAGCGGGAAGCCAAGCTAGCGAGAACCGGATCAGTGCAACGTTTTCGCGTTTCGCTGGACGGCTCAGCAGAGACAAGATCGTGAGCGATAGCTTTGCGATTGATGACGACGATGATGAGTTGGCCAAAAATGACTCTGGCGGACTCACGGTTGAGAAACTTGTCCCCGCCAACGGCGAGAGCAGGGACAAGAGTCCGAGACGGACAAAGATCCTGGAAAAACAGAAGGACAAGATGAAAGAGAAGTCGAAAGATAAGCTCGGACGGAAACTGGATCGTGAATGTGTGGTTATGTAAGGGTTTGGGGGGGGGGGGGGGGGGGACATTGTACACTGCTTTTCTTCTTTGGAATTTATTTCCCTTGCTACATTTGCATTGCGTGTATGGGGATCAGTCCGGCTGATGAACCACAAATAATGTTTACTGGGGTCGTGTTTGCGAAGCACGATTGTACATGATGCGGGCATCACACAATATAGATAATGAAGACCAAAATGAGACTCTTGAGAGAAATCCGAGCTGCTGTTTCTGCCAGATAATGTCTCCCAAGTTACAAGTAAAAAGGAACGTGACATCACGGCTGACTAAGCAAGGTGCCTCAGGCAATCAATCTACTGCTCCGCTGGACACGGAGCTCCTCCTTTCACCTTGACCTCTGTCAAGCTTCGCATTCCCCCGCGATTGATGCCAACAACTCCCTCTCCCGCACAGATATGATATAGAACCCTTGGATACAATTGGCGCATCATGGCGCTGGAGGTATCCAGCGGTTATGCCGCTCCCAGTAACTTGATTGAACCTCCAGGTTCCTTCCCCCCCATGTTCGAGGTTCGAAACGTCCAGCTCCAGTTCTCGTTGGCTGCCGATTTCGTTGCTGCGCAAGTGGCCAACAATGTTCTCATTCTGGCCCTGGCTACAGGGCGCATCCTCCGTATTGACTTGGATGCCCCTGAGGATATTGATGGTATGGTGGCCCCCTGCTCCCTACAACAATAGTTACGGGGGAGCTGCGGGAACCCGGTGCCTTGAGATGCCAACTAATTTCTGTTTAGATATCGACCTCCCAAAGAAATCGTCAGAGATAGGAGTCATTCGTCGGATGTTCCTCGACCCGTCAGCATCCCACCTGATTATTACCACGACGCTAGGCGAGAACTACTACCTACACAGTCAGTCAAGGCAGCCCAAGCTATTGTCGCGCCTCAAGGGTGTTTCGATCGAATATGTTGCATGGAATCCCTCATTGCCGACAGCTTCTACCAGAGAAATTTTGCTGGGTACGACAGATGGCCAGGTTTGGGAGGCCTACATTGAACCGTCAACTGAATTCTATCGCCGCGAGGAGAGATATGCCAGCTCAATCTACCGAACCGCGGATGGATCTCCCGTGACAGGTGTCTGGGTTGAATCAGTGCCCGTTAAAGGCGAACAGAGACGGGTGCTGGTGGCTACACATGCTCGGTTATCGTGCTTCTTAGGGAGAACTGGCAGGTCGGGCAAGGAAGGTGGGGGCCCCGTGTATGCCGACCTTTTCCAGAGAGAAACTCCCGTAGTTCATGAGATTGCAAAGCCATCTAGCTCCGCACCGTCGGTGTTGGTTACCTCGCCCACGGCCGCGGATTCTCCCGGTGCGGATGGCCAACTCGAGAAGGAGTTTGCATGGCTTACTTCCCAAGGCGTGTATCATGGACGACTACCATATTCATTGGAAAAGCTGAGCCAGCCGTTTGAGAATGCGAGTATGCTTCCGCGGACCATGTTCCCGGCTACCGAATCCTCTCGGGGTGGCAAGAAGCTGATTCAAGATCCAATCGCGGCCATCACACTCTCAGAGTGGCACGTGTTGGTCCTTGTTGAAGGCAGAGTGCTTGCTGTGAACCGTATGAGCGAAGAAATTGTCTACGATCAACTGGTTCTCGAACCAGGGCAGAGTGCATTAGGTCTTTTGACAGATGCAATGAAACAGACGTATTGGCTTTTTACCAAGCGGGAGATCTTTGAAGTCTGTGTGCAAGATGAAGACAGAGATGTCTGGAAATTTTTCCTCCAGAAAGAGATGTTCGACCAGGCTCTCCAGTATGCCCATACTAGTGCTCAAAAGGATGCCGTTGCAACGGCTTCCGGTGACTTTCTTGCCAGCAAGGGTCGTTATTTGGAAGCGGCCAAGGTTTGGGGCAAGAGTAGTAAAGGGTTTGAAGAAGTATGCCTGACCTTGGTCAAGCGTGGTGAGCACGATGCCCTCCGAAAGTACCTGCTGTCCCAGCTATCGGTGTATAAAAAATCCTCTTCAATGCAAAGGACCATGGTCGCAAGCTGGCTGATAGAGGTTTTCATGACAAAGTTGAACTCTCTTGACGATAATATAACTACCAAAGCGGAATTGGCGCAGGGGGCAAGCACTGAGGAGATCCAAAATGAGCTCCGTAGTGTTCGAAGTGAATTTCAAGAGTTTGTGACCAAGTACAAGTCTGACCTGGATCAAAAGACGGTGTACGATATCATTAGCAGCCATGGTCGTGAGGAAGAACTGTTGTTCTTTGCGACTGCGATCAACGACCATAACTATGTTCTGTCGTATTGGATCCAGCGTGAAAATTGGGCAGAAGCTCTCAACGTTCTCCAGAGACAGAGTGAGCCCGAGGTATTCTACAAACACAGCAGTGTTTTGATGACCCATACAGCAACTGGGCTGGTTGACATTCTGATGCGACAAACTAACCTTGAGCCGGAGAAGCTCATACCGGCGCTGTTGAACTACAATAAATCCGTAAATGGTCCGCTGAATCAGAATCAAGCGGTTCGATACCTGAACTTTATAATCTTCAATCATCCAAGACCTTCAGCCGCTGTACACAATACTCTCATTTCGATCCATGCTTCTAGTCCTGCGTCTTCTGAAGCAGGGCTTCTCACATATCTCCAGTCGCAATCGTCCTCCCCGCCTCCATATGATGCTGATTTTGCTCTTCGTCTTTGCATTCAACATCAACGGATACAGTCATGCATTCATATCTATAGTGCCATGGGGCAATATCTGCAGGCTGTTGAGCTGGCCCTGGAACACGAAGATATTGAGCTGGCGGCCATAATTGCCGACCGACCGGAAGGAAACAATAAACTCCGGAAGAAGCTCTGGCTTCTGGTCGCCGAGAAGAAGATCCGGCAGCCAGGTACAGGGATTAAGGATGCCATTGAGTTCCTCCGTCGATGCGAATTGCTACGCATTGAGGATCTGATTCCATTCTTCCCCGATTTTGTCGTCATTGACGATTTCAAGGACGAGATCTGCAGCGCCCTGGAGGACTACTCCCGACACATCGATACTCTACGTCAGGAAATGGACAACTCCGCGCAAACCGCGCGTCAAATCCGGTCAGAGATCGCAGCTCTAGATACACGATATGCGATTGTTGAGCCAGGTGAGAAATGCTGGCTCTGTTCACTTCCTGTCCTTAGCAGACAGTTCTTCGTTTTCCCTTGTCAGCATGCTTTCCATAGCGACTGCCTTGGACGGGAAGTACTCGAAGGAGCAGGGGGGAAGAGGAAGTACATTCGCGATTTGCAAACACAGTTGAACGGCGGTAATATTCCCTCTTCTCGTCGCGAGGAGATAGTGAGGGAATTAGACGGCCTGATAGCAGAAGCTTGGTGAGTATTGTTTGGGGGGGGGAGGGGTTACTGTACTAGAATTTTATGCTAACATCTAGTAGTATTCTCTGTGGTGATCACGCGATTAAACAAATCGATAAACCATTCATCACCTCTTCTGATAATGTCGATGAATGGGCTCTATAGTCTACAGACACGAAACATCAATGCGATACTTTATCATTATCGCCCTCATCCCCCCCCCCCCCTTTTTTTTTTCTTCATCTGCATTCCCAACGAAGACCCGATATCATCTACACGAGTGGAAGGGAAAATCGGCCTTTGAATATTTTCTATCTGCTGGCTGTGATGGTTTTCCTTGTGTATAATGTCGCCCATATACCCCCGAATGAGCCACCTACGATTGTAAATAGCGTCGAGTCAGATTATGTTATTGATATCTATTAAGTATCGATGCTCTCACTCCAACGGTAGCAGCCCGGCACCGAATGGAAAAGGGAAACGGCTTGTTTTTCCAACACTCTAACCTCGCAGAGGCGCTACGACCAAATATAGAAATATGTGCCAGTACAGATAGTTAACCAGCTACTCTGTACCAACCCGGTCCCTATCCGTGCTGTCCAGAGTGGCCTTTCTCCCCTGTATACTCCCTGATACTTGTGACTTGTCTGCATCGGACCTTGCCGCAGGGTAGTCATTGAAATAAGTCGAATCTGACCGTCAAGCAAAGCGCTATTATTTAACCAATTGTTAGTGAGTGATCAAGCAGGGTTCGAATCCTCCACGAAATGAATCATGAATGAATGGGGTTACGGGGTGACAGGGGCAAACAAGGCAGAAAAATATAAACTAGCGGCTACGGATTGATTCGGGGCGCAGGGTTAGGGTTTGGAAACAAAGATATATACGGAGTACCAGTATCTACAATTCTACATATGTATGTGCCCAACACTGAAGGATGTAGTATTTTCAACTAGTAAGAAACAAAGAGGGAAACAAAGAGGAAACAAAGAGGAAACAAAGGAGGAAGGAAGGAAGTTATTTTGGTCTAAATTTTCGATTTCCTGTCTGTGACTCTTGTCATGTCAGGTGGTTGCAAAATCCGGGGAATCTCTAATGAAATCTACTCTGTAACTCCCTAGTAACTATCTAGTAACTATCTAGTAAGTAAATGGCTGGGAATGGTGCCATACTGACAAAATCTCACCACTAACCGCCTACTACCCCCAGGTCCCGTCCCGGTTAAGCGGTGGTACAAGAAACGCAATGTCATACAAGGAGGAATTTCCATTCGGTCTCGATCCCCCCTTACTTCCACAGAACTCCGTACTTCAGGAATCTGTCGGATTTCATTTGGCGTGAACATTCCTTGTCGAACGTGTGACTCGCCCATCACACTCCCAAGCCTCCGTGAAGATCGTGCGGGGTAAATAAAGGAGGGAAAGTATTATCGATCCCTTTTTGGCTGTAGCTCGGAGGATGGATGCATTTCTGGACCTGTCATTTACTTCATCTTCATTCTTGCATTGTCGGGTCTTTGTTATCGGGAGTATTTCGTTTCTTGACGTATTCAGGCACTGCTGACGGATATTCATATTGAGAGGTAGGTATGCACCCCAGACTCACAGACCACTTAAGATCATTATCCCTCGATGTTGGAACCCACAACAGAGATATGATCCTGCTATCGGCGACGATGAGAAGCATGGTCATAGCAAACCGTTCCACTTTTCATAAATGGGAATCATCCCATCCCGGCTGGTAGTTCTCCTCTTCGACTCCGGATGCCAACGCCAGCTGACTGACTGGCGTGAATCCGAGAAAACTAGTACTCTGTAGAAGCTCAAACCCTCAGATCACCGACTCGCGGGATACGGAAAGAGGGTCCGGGTGAGATACCGAAGAAGACTTGCCAGGGGAGGGGGGAGGGCAAGGAGATTAATGGTGTGGTCCAGCGCATCGTGTGATATCAAGGAATTCCTGTACCTTATGTATCTCTGTATGTATCTCTGTCCCCGATAGGATGAGATCGGAGAGTGGAAGCCTCTTCCGCACCTATCACCAACCATCCTCCACGTATATCCCTTTCGTTGGTTTTAATCCCTGACCACCTCTATCTTCTTCGTCTCATGTACACAAGCCACATCTTAATGGAGGAGGATAGGATGGCAGGAGATGATTTGAGACACGCAAGTACAGTGTACATAGTACAGCTGCAAGGACGAAGGAGGCGGTCAAGATGACACTAACGCCGCAATGGCCCAAGCGTCATCCTCACCGCCGACTGGGGGTTTGGCAGGCAGGCAGGAACGAATGTAAGCCAACTGATCATCTCTGCGCTGGACAGATCTGGGTTCACAACTGTTGTCTTTAGAAGTCCTTCGCTGGCTATCATCTGAATGAAAGGCTACTAGGTACCTACAACGCGGGGATCACTATAATGAGCGAGCTCCAGGGTCCCTACGGAGTAAGCACAACTGCCACAACATGACAGATCTCAACTAGGATGGAGTTGTCATACCATCATGGTTATCTTCGCTAAGGAGTTAACCTGGAAGTTACTTACCAACAGAAACTCCCGAACAGAGCAGATGATTGGCTATTAGTCACCACACCTTGGCCTTCTGATGCTTCAACCTTGGGACTGGTGTCATGCGTCCTGGAAATAGTACCAACGGGTCATTCTTTGATTGGTCCCAGATCCCCACGCCCCACTGTAGTGTCTGTGCAGTCAGCCCAAAGTGGAATAGTGTGAGGTTGAATAAATCCTTGGATTTATTTTTCCACACCCGTGACGGTATTTCTCAGTTGCCACCGTTGCTCCGCCATCGGCTCCAGAATGGGAATGGGAATGATAATCGACAGAGAGATTCGTCATTCCTTAATCAATTGACTCATTTTATCTAACTATGAGTTGGGATAGTTAGTTAGTTACCAGTTCTTTGTATTTCCGGTTTTTTGGTGATCGCGATGGGGCAGTAAGACCCTTGTCTGGACCTGCAGGAACTTTACTTTAGTTGAAAGAGGTGCCCAGACTATGATTATCAGTATTACTCTGTATACTCCTAGGTACCTGAAGATAGGTACCTATCCTATCCATCTCTTATCAAATGCTTCGGGAAATTGTGGATGAATAATTGCCAGGCCAAGGTCTGGTATCAGTTGACCTTCCAGTCAATTGTAATTGATAATATAGTAGAAGATAGGGACTTCCAAAGTCATGATGAAGTGTACTCGATAAGGAGCCGTCGTCATGACTTGGAACTGCTGAAACACTGGTTGGCGGGGGTTTGAGGATTATCCATTGCAATGCATTAAACAACGCATTCTTTATCTGCATCTCTCTCTTTCTTCCTCCCCCCCCCCCCCCTTTTGCTTCTGATGATGTACCTAGGATTCGTAATTGATCATGTAAATCATTAATTTCCACCCATGGAGCTCATGGAGTGTCCCAGCTTCTTACACCTGGGCACCAGCCGGATTCTTTTGGCGACGAATCTGCTTGGTCATTCAGGGGGTGTGGGGCGGCGTCCGGAAACAGCCAATCCGCTATTGTCATCGAATCAGAAATGACTGCGTGGGTGGGGCAGCCGGAGATCACACGTCGAGGTATTGTTACCACGAGGAAACCAAACCCTAGACTGGATTAGGGCTAGGGTCATGTACATTCTGAGAACTAATACGTTGTAGAATGTAATGGTATGGTCACTGCATACGAGCGGATGGTTCTCGCTCGTTCGCCCACCTTCTAAAGTCTCCCCCCTCGGGCTGCCCAGTGCTTCGTCCGCAGTGCCGTTTCTTCCTTTTCGCCTCCCCTCCTTTATGATTATTATTAACTCACCTCTGGCTCTCCATCGACCCTCCCCCAGTTACCACCAACAACTAATAGTCTCTCTGCCTATCTTCCAATCCCGGAACCACCACCTCCTTATCCTCCCTATCGCGCTTACTCTCCACCCTCCTTCATCCTTCCCTCTCGACTTCCTCTCCTCCTCCCATCATCATCCATCGTCTCCTTCCCACCTTCTTCATCGCTCCATCTCATCCCTGTCTCTCATCAATCTCATCACCATCGTCTCGTCCCTCTCTCCATCTCTTTTCCTCTCTCTCTCTCTCTCTCTCTCTCTCTCCCCCTCTCTCCCCATTGCTCCTTCTTTATCCATCTCTTTTCTTCGATTCGCCTCCTATACTTCGCCTCCCGACCTCTTCCGTTAACCTCTTCCCATCCTATCGATAACTTGCTCTTGCTCACCCTCTCCTCTCATCCACACTCATACTACTCGTGCAAATCCAAATTTACACACCAGACCCTAATTCTGCGTTGCATCTCAGAGTGTACTGGTTCTGCTGCTTGTCTTTGGCCGCCAGAGTCTTTTGTTTCGTCTGTTGAATACCTGCGTGACTCACACTTCAAGGCCCACTACTACGTCCAGCGAGCTTTGGGACCCACGATTTACCGCCAACTCCCTCCCAAACTCGTGCTACGTTTCAATTAGTCGCATAACACGTGTGGGAGCCGAAGTGCAATCAGAAGTCGAACTTGCTTAGTTGTCCAGCTGGTCGTTGTCCGCAACCTGGGCCGGGTGCTGGTATTCGGTTCTTCAACTCGCCCAACAAGGCATCGAAGACCCTCATACCAGTTGTCCAGAGCCTCAGTGGAAATATATAGTATCTAGTCAAGGACTATTACTGCTATTTCTTGACTTGCGTTGGGGGTAATCCTATGACTGCTTAGCGTCCGGCTAACTCTCCCCCCTTCTGAGTCACGACCTTGCTCGACCTTCAGCCTGGTGTTCGAAGGCCTCTTTTTCTTACGAGACTTGTTTGTTTATACATCCTATATCAAAGTTACGATATTACGCAGCGTTTTTTTCTATCTTATCTCACAATCCCGTGCTCTACCCACGGCTATCGTCTTTTCGTTTCGACACTCGCTTTCGTCGACTTCCCCTTCATCTTTATATCGGGCTTCTGCCATTCTCATCACTGAAACGATATACAAATGAGCCAATAACGGTCTTTACAATTTCCTAGCGTCATCCAACCCTCCCCCCAGGGTATTTCTCAATCTGCGCCTGCCGCTGTCTCGTCATCTTGATTTCGTTCGTGTCTCTTTTGTTCGAATAATCCTCACTATTGGTATTTATATGAAACTTTGATTCAACAATCCTGGTGTTTCTTTTTTTTTATATTGTTTCCTTTTTTTTTTTTTTTTTTTTCAACCACCTCCCCTCTTCTTTTCTCGATTGGTTCCTCGGCGGTGAAGTCGCTTGAAACTGCAGCCTTGCCGTTATACTATTCATTCTCAAATTCTCGCATCCAAATTTTGTCTGAGGTCATTTTGCCTTTTCTCAGCGCGCACATTTATAGACCCTTTTTGTCTCATTGAGCGTGTGCACCTTCACCTGTGCCGTTGAACCTTTCGTTCCCTCGGACCACGACTGTCATATCTCTGGAAGAATACCGTCAACGTTCGAATACTTGCCAGTCATGGACTGCCTCAAGAACAGTTTCATTCGCGGTCAGCTTCTTGATGGACGCTTTCGCACCGTCGCCCCTCTCAACCATGGGTCATTTGGTATGGTATTTCTCGCTACCGATATCAAAACTGGCCAGGACGTGGCCATCAAGTGTCTGTTGAAAGCTTCCTCAAGTGATTCATGGAGCCCCGCTACCAGCGATGCTCGTTTCGAAGAACTCGATTGCCACAAACGCCTTGCATATCATCCTAACATCGTCAACCTGGTGCACTCTTTTGAAACCGATACTCATCTGTATCTGGTTTTGGAATACTGTGCAAATGGCGACCTTTACGAGGCCATTCGACTCAACCGTGGCCCTCTAGAGACAGAGCATGTGCGTGACTTCATGCTGCAACTGCTGAGCGCAGTCGAGTTCATGCATGCCAATGGCCTGTATCATCGCGATATTAAACCAGAGAACATCTTTCTAACCCAAGACGGGTCGATGAAGCTGGGTGACTTGGGTCTTGCCACCCGTGAATCTTGGTGCTACGAGGCTTGCGTTGGCAGTGATCGCTACATGGCTCCAGAACAGTATGAGCCGGGTAGCCATGGGTACTCGCCTGCAAAGGTCGACGTTTGGGCAGTCGGAATCTGTCTGCTCAATGTCCTCTTCGCACGTAACCCATTTGCCACTCCTACCGAAACCGACATCCTGTTTGCTGATTACGTTCGAGATCGACAATCGCTCTTCGACATCTTCCCCAACATGTCTCAGGATACCTTTGAGATCCTGAGAATGGCCCTGGCAATTGATCCCGAGAAGCGATCCCTTCCTGGCATCCGGGATGCGATTCTGCGCGCCGTCTCCTTCACTACCGACGATGAAGTCCTGGACGAGTTCTGCACCGATGACCGCGAAGTGGTACCTGCAAGTGCCAACCGCGAACCCCTGCGGACACCTTCCATCCAGAGCCCGTATATCAACCAGGGAGATTCTTTCCCATGGGCCAAGGCACTTCAATCCAGCCCCCCTCAAGCCATCCGACAGTTGTCTGCGATCCCCGACAACGAAAGCTACTCCGAAGACCTCTTCCCTCCCTCCGAAACCGCTGGCACCTCGTGGTTCTCTGTTCACCAGGGGACTCCCTCCATGGCCTCCGTCTTGGAATCCGCCCTTGGTGAATCTTACCGTTCGACTGCATTCCACAGGACGACTCCTCGCTACCCCCCTCCGTCCGACCCCGTTCCCATCACTGGTTCTTTGCCTAGCCTGGCAACCAAGCCCTTACCTTCTCTAGCCATGGTCTTTGGAAGGAACGGCAAGACCGAACAGATCTCCAAGAGCTGGAGTGACCTGTGGGATGAGGAAGAAGAATCCGAAGGGGAGTATGTCGCCTTCCAGCAACGACGTGAACAGAACTCTCGCAGTTGGAGCCACGAGAGCAGCTCGCCCGAACCCAGCCCTTCTCAGCCGGCTCTGCGCGAAGCCCAGAGCTCTTCCATTCTCAACTCTCGTTCTCAACACGCATCTTCTGTGGGCGTCTCTCACGAGTTGTCTGGCAAGTCCCACCCTGGTGAGACAAGTGCTGTGGCCCCTAAGGCCATTCCACGCCTTCCGCAGCCCTCTCCTAAGAAGTCCAATCTCGACAAGTGGGCTGCTCTAGGCGACAAGAGACGCAATTTCAAGACATCGGATGCCTCTTTCGAGTCGAAGCGTTTCCCGAACAATATGAGTTGGAGGAAGGACTGGGGTCTGGGATCCTCTGGGTTTGATTATGGCTTGTGGGCTAAGAAGGAAACCATCGCTTCTCAAGACCGTGACCGTCGCCGTCGCCCATTCTTGCAGAAGGGCTGGCGCCGGGATTCCTTGGAGTCTTCGAAGCCTGGTTACGCCAGGCCCCTCAAGCAATACGATAGTAGTGTTGATGAGGATCTGGATCTTGTTGGTGGTTGGCATGACCTTCACCTGTAAGCGACAAGCTATCATTCCCCGCCTCGACCGTTCGCCGCCTTCCCTGTTATGTTGTTTCCGTTCAAAGCAAATGCCAAAAGAATGGTAAAATGTGAGATGACGCGTGGTCACTCAGTCCGACGTCTTCGAACTGTCCTGCCACTACTTTCTTCTTCTTCTTTTTTTCTTTTTTTTAAATCCACAATCGATATAAATTTTACTATTGATCCAAACTTGCGCAGAAAACCTGGTGATTCATCACCTCAACCTTTTTTTTTTTTTTTTATTATTATTATTATTGTTCTTATTATTTTCTCTTCCCCAAACTTTTATAGATGATTTTGTTGGCGGCATCCAAACGCGTGTCCAGTGTTCATTCCCACTCTTGTATAATATAGTTTCCTTGGAACAAGCAAACGGTGGCGCGAAACATTTAAAAGTCATATCCGACGGGGCCGGTTTTCTGGGGAGATTGACGCTTTTTTTTTCCTTTTTTCTGTGGAGGCAACAGTCGTTTTGCCTATTTATTTCCATCATTTTTTTTCTGTCCGACTACGGCTTCAACATTGACAGGCAGGCCCATGACGGCCGCGGCGCGAGCGATGTCCTATTATCGCGGTGCTCTCATCTCAACCGGCAAATATCGAAAGAAAGTTACGGGAATAGCGACGATGGTCTTTCTTTAACCCACATCTTGATTGATTCTACCCATCAGGACGTTGTCCTGGACTGGATTGGACTGGATTCTCTGTACTCTAATTGCTAGGACAGTTGGATGGGGTTGGGACGTGGAGGCTTTTGAAAGCCATGGGGGATATAATCCAAAAGTGATTCTCGTATTCTGTCGCATTGTAATCTATAAATCTCGCCGTGCTGACCAGGTGGTTGGGGGGAGATGGCGGTGACAGTAGTGCCGGCATTATCTCCCCCGTCTTGACCGCCCTCGACGGCACGTTGAGCTGGACCTCCTCTCATCTCATCTCATCTCATCTCATCTCAGCATCAATTGTGTCCTTGTATTTCGACTAGTATTCTAGTATTTCACTCCTTTTCATTTATACTCCTCTTCTATATCTCTGTATTCTACGTGTTTGATTAAATCCCTGCCCGTCCCCCCGCTTGACGACACCTGGCCAGAGACGCGCCGCCGGTTAGTTGAACTCCCCACAGGAGCTGATAAGCTTCGCCACTCTTCCCGATGAGAATGTGAGGGACAAATTTACTGACCGAACCATCCAGAAGACCATGTTTGCGCAATGATTCCTGACTGAGTCAACTGTCCCTACATCGTCCTTCTGCTTCCTTGGCGTTTTTTTTTTTTTTTTTTTGTTTTTCTTTTCTTTTTTTCTTAAAACGATGCTGGCGCCCAAGTGGACCACGACATGCTGGATCCCTTGGGCCATTCTGGTGTCGGTCTGGGTCCAGCGAACTATCGGTGAGGGCCAACAATCGCACCACCCCCCGCCCGTCTGTCTCTCCAGGCACGCGAGAGAGGTTCACCATGGTCTCATTCAATGGCCGATGTGCATTGAAACTCGGTGGGAGAGAAAGTCCACTGGCAGCACACGGACTTTCACATCGCTAGATGCGAAACGAATGACAAGTAGCGACAACCCCAGTCCTGTCACCGTATCCGTTGAGATCGCTGCTACCCCCCCCTCATCACGGCCGCCGCGGCCGCCTGAACGAGACCCGGAGATGGATGCCGATTCAGATTCGCCGCTAGATAATGCGAATTTCCTTTCCTTTGAGGACTGGAGAAAACAGAATCTTGCCAAGGCTGGTCAGTCGGCGGAGAATGTCGGAGGAAACCGGCGGGCTGGCACCGCGGGAAAAGACCGTCATCGACCCACGGGGATCAATAACGCGCTGGACTCCCTCGGTGAAGATGCAGAGATCGAACTCGACTTTGGTGGCTTTGGTGCCGACCCTTCGGAGCCTGCGACGTCGGCGACATCCTGGAGAACCAAGGTTCTGCCAGCAGGCGGCGGCGGAACGCATCTCCCGACCGATGCAGGTCGCAGTGGCGGCATGGATGCCTCTGGCCAGGGTCTTCCTCATACAGGAGGCCCGCGCTCCAAGGATGCTGGGACGACGTGCAAAGAGCGATTTAATTACGCGTCGTTTGACTGTGCCGCCACGGTGCTGAAGACGAATCCCGAAGCGAAGGGGTCGTCGTCGGTTCTGATTGAAAACAAAGATAGCTATATGCTGAACGAGTGCCGTGCCCGGAACAAGTTCCTCATTCTGGAATTGTGCGATGATATCCTGGTGGACACCGTCGTGCTCGCCAACTATGAGTTCTTCAGTTCCATCTTTCATACCTTCCGGGTCAGCGTGGCGGATCGGTATCCGGCCAAGCCTGACCAGTGGAAGGAGCTAGGAATCTACGAGGCGAGGAATACTCGCGAGATACAAGCGTTTGCTGTGGAGAATCCGCTCATCTGGGCGCGCTATCTACGCATTGAGTTTCTGACGCACTATGGCCATGAGTTCTACTGCCCTCTGAGCCTCATTCGGGTGCACGGCACCACCATGCTGGAGGAGTATAAACACGATGGAGATGCCGGCCGGGTTGAGGAGGAGGTTGCTCATGCGGTCGAGGAGGTTCAGGATTCCAGCCTCGTTGACCAAAATACTCGGCCCTTGGAATCTACCGAATTTACTACCAGTGGATTGGAGGGGGCAAACTTGGTGCCGGAGACTTGCCCCCATTTTGGAACGGCCATAGAGCTTACGCTGCGGGGGCTGAGAAACCCCAGTATATGTTATGTGTGGGAGATTCCCGCGCAAGCCACTGGGCCCGACGCTTCCTGTGTGTCGGGTCAACCAGTGCCGAGCGCGGCCACCACGCCTTCGAGTGGTGAGACCTCAGGCGTTGTTGGCGGCAGCGGAAACGGTTCCCCCCACGACGTCCGAGACGCTCGGTCGCCGGGCTCGGCGAGTGCGCAGGTTCAGGCTTCGGCAGAATCGTCGTTCTCCACAACCACTGTATCCGATGCAGCTCCGCACGACGCACCTTCGGAAACAGACCCTCGGTCTGGCAGCGGCTCTCGAGATGAACCCGGTGGTGGCGCAGGGGAATCTATGCTCCGAGCCACCAACACGCAGCCCCCCTCGGCGAACCCTACTACGCAAGAATCGTTCTTTAAATCTGTGAATAAGCGACTTCAAATGCTGGAGACCAGCTCGAGTTTGTCGCTGCAGTACATTGAAGAGCAATCGCGGATCCTCCGCGATGCGTTCAACAAGGTCGAAAAACGCCAGGTTTCCAAGACCTCTACGTTTCTGGAGACGCTGAACGTGACGGTCCTGAATGAGCTGAAGCAGTTCCGCGATCAATACGACCAGGTGTGGAAGAGTGTGACACTGGAGTTTGAGCATCAACGGATCCAGTACCACCAGGAGATTTACTCGCTGAGCGCGCAGCTGGGCGTGGTTGCGGATGAGTTGGTGTTTCAGAAGCGAGTGGCGGTGATCCAGAGCATTGTGGTACTTTTCTGTTTTGCGCTGATGCTGTTTACCCGTAGCGCGGCGAGTGGCTACATTGAGCTCCCGAGCGTGCAGAATATGGTCTCCCGCTCGTACAGTCTCCGGCCATCTTCCCCCCTGTTTGGATCATCTCCTCCAGGCAGTCCCGGGTCGACGAGATCATCCCGCAGCACCGCCGGCCATCGACGCGAGCTCTCTGATGATTCGCCTGGCTCGTCAATGAGGCCAGCGGCGGCGACGACGACGACGTATGCACAGGCGCCCCCGACTCCCACCTCGGATGCGGGCCATGACACGAAGGGCGTTGCCAACCCGTTGGGAGATTCCCCATCGGGCCCGGAAGCCGCGCCCTTATTAATACGATCCAACAGTAGTCCTCCTGAGCTGATCCGGGGGGAGGAAGGGTATGGAGGGCGGGAGCGGTGTATGGAGCTGGAGTCGGACCGGGAATCGGAATGTTCACAGGTGGAGGAGAGAATGAAGGCATCTCGTAGCCCGGATAGCACACGGGAGAATTGTAACTAATGAGACTAATGACGATGACGATGACGATGATGATGAATATTCCTGACGGATGGAGAGTAAATGAATGGACGACGAGTTAAATGAAGCTGGGATGATCTCATTTCTTGACCCGAGGAATGAAAAGGGCGAGAAAATGTTGCCATGACAACAATCAACCCGTTTTTCTCTTTCTTCTTCATTCCATATCACCATCATTCAATCTACAACTCCATTCTCTCTCTCTCTCTCTCTCTCTCTTTCGCTCATATCTTCTTTTTTCAATTTGAAAATAAAAGAAAAGAAAAAAAATGGACTCTACACAACCTCTGACGGATCGCTCCCCCAACACTCATCTGCCGGCGGATCTCACGATGAATTCTCTGGACTACCATCGTCAGGTCCTGCAAGGCAAGATCGAGAGTCAAGACAAGTGAGTGGAATGGTCCCGGTCTCCGAGACGCATCGCTAATACATGAATCAGACAACAGGCCAGCTATGTCTCTCCCTCCGACGACATCATGAGTCCCTGTTCGAAGAAACTGAGCGATCTCAAGGGCAAGCGCTTTAAGAAGTACGTTATGATCCGGATTGCGAAGCCACCGCCACTGAGACTAACGGACATGAATAGTGCTGGAAAGCCTCAATCGCTCTTTGCGAAACTGGGCAAGAAGAACTTTGAGCAGCAGTCGTCGGCTGATCGCAACAACAACAGCAGCAGCAGCAGCAGCAGCAGCAGTAATGATAACCCCGTGGCGGACCAGATGACGAGCCAGTGAGGATGATGTTTTGAATCTTGTTATTTCTTCTTGTTCAGGGCGCAGGTCGCAGGAGTTGACGGATTTGTTTGGGAGGATAGGATGGACAGGATAGGATAGGATGGGATTGTTTATGTCTTCCTTCTTTATTGCTTGCTTGCTTGCTTGCTTTCTAATAAAAGAATCCAATCTGGAATAGTTGCTGCATCCATCCCCAGTAACCGATCGATGCTCAAGCCGAGCTGAACCTCGGCTTCTCCGCAAATTTTTGTCTCTCCGCAAATCCACTTTCCACCTCCTCGTATGATTCCATTCCATCTCCCTTGCTATTTCACCCACCCTTTCCCTCCATCTTCTCTAATCTTGTACTCTTTCTTGCCCCCCTTGACCTCTCTCAAGCCATCATGTCTGCGTCCTCCCGAATCCCCGTGATCGCTCAGCCCTTCGTCAGCGACCGGGCCAAGAAGACTCTCGACCTGGTACTCTTCCAATCCAATCAAAGTTGACCCGCGCGGCTCTCATACTAATATCCGATCAGGTCGAGGAATTCGTCGAAAAAGACTGTCTCCCAGCGGAAGCCCTCTTTGCCGCCCAGTTGGGCCACGGCGAACAACGATGGAACACCACGCCTGCGATCATGGAATCCCTCACGGCGAAGGCCCGGAAACTGGGTCTGTGGAACATGTTTCTGCCCAAGAATCACTTCGCGCAGGGGGCGGGGTTCAGTAATCTGGAGTATGGGTTGATGGCGGAGTACCTGGGGAAGAGCAAGTTGGCTGCCGAGGGATTTCTCTCTCTCTCTCCCTTCTCCGTCTCGACGTTTCGACGTTGGGCTTTTGAGGAAACGCTCACTAACGAACAGATTAGGCTACAAACAATGCCGCCCCGGATACCGGGAACATGGAGGTGCTGGCCAAGTACGGCAACGACGCCCAGAAGCAGCAATGGTTGACTCCGCTGCTGGAAGGCAAGATCCGCTCGGCCTTTCTGATGACGGAGCCCGAGATAGCGTCGAGCGATGCGACCAACATCCAGCTGGATATCCGCCGGGAGGGGGACGAATATGTTCTGAACGGCTCGGTACGTTCTCTCTCTCCCCCCCCCCCCCCAATCCGATCTAGTGAAGATGATGAAGATCAGGAACGTGGTGTTGTTCTAACGGGGGAGGAAAATTTAGAAATGGTGGTCCTCTGGCGCCGGCGACCCGCGATGCAAAATCTACCTGGTGATGGGCAAAACCGACGCCCAAAACCCGAACCCCTACCGGCAGCAATCCGTGGTGCTGGTGCCGGCGGGGCTCCCGGGCATCACCATCCACCGCATGCTGCACGTATACGGGTACGATGACGCGCCGCACGGGCACGGGCACATCAGCTTCACGAACGTGCGCGTGCCCCACGGCAACATGGTGCTGGGCGCCGGGCGCGGGTTCGAAATCATCCAGGGCCGCCTGGGGCCCGGGCGGATCCACCACGCGATGCGCACCATCGGCGCCGCCGAGCAGGCCATCGAGTGGATGATCGCGCGCATCAACGACGAGCGCAAGACGCCCTTCGGCCAGCCGCTGGCCGCCCACGGCGTGATCGTGGAATGGCTGGCCAAGTCGCGCATCGAGGTCGACGCCGCGCGTCTGATCGTGCTCAACGCCGCCATCAAGATCGACCGCGGCGATGCCAAAGCCGCCCTCACCGAGATCGCCCAGGCCAAGGTGCTGGTGCCCCAGACGGCCCTGACGATCATCGATCGCGCCGTGCAGTCTTACGGCGCGGCTGGGGTGTGTCAGGATACGCCGCTGGCTTATCTGTGGGCGCTGGTACGGACCCTGCGCATCGCCGATGGGCCGGACGAGGTGCATCTGCAGCAGCTGGGCAAGAGGGAGAATCGCCGGCGCCGCGAGGCCGTCGGGCAGAAGTTGGCCTGGCAGAGACAGGAGAGTGATCGGATTTTATCTGTGCATGGATTTGCAAAGGCTCATTTGTAGTTTTTAAATTCATATCATGAACTACTACTCATGTTGAACAGAATCAATTTCTATATCATCCATATAGTGATATTTTTCATTAATCATGCTGGTTTTTTATATACCGAACCCAACGCCTCGCCCTCCCATGTAACCTGCAAGATGTAATCCGCAAATTTCCAATCACCACATCCAACCAAACATAACATAAAACATGACAAAAAAAATTTTGCTTTTCTTCTTCTTCTTCTCTTCACTCGCCAGCGAGTCACTGAATACCTATCTAATAGTCATCATCCGCGGCTGCCTTCTTCCCCTTCTTCTGATTCTTATGTTTGGTCTTGAAATGCTTCTTCGAGTTCCCTCGTACCTCGGAAACGTCAACCCCCCGCTCCAGCGCCACCATCATTCGCTCCTTGCGTCCCGTCAGTGGCTTGCGGATCTCCTGGCCCTGCTCCGTATACTTGGCGTTGAATGGCATGACCAGTCGTCCGCCCGACGACGTCTGCGCTCCCGGTCGCCCGAAGAATCCCTGGTCCAGTGTCTGCGATTTGGATCCCTGGAGTGGCGCCTTCGCGGAGGCGGAGGCGGAGGACGATTGCTGGTGCGCCGCGAGCATCGCCTGTCGACGCGCCGGGAGGTGGTCCCAGTCGTAGAGCTCTTTGTTGAATTCGTCCAGGTCGATGGGCTCTTCGCCTTCTGCCGCCGGGGGTGGGTGGCAGAAGAGGAGCTTCCCGTTGACGTAGTCCTTGAGCACGTAGCGGGCCGCGCGCGATTCGTCCGGTTGACCCTGGCCCTGCGTTGCGAAGCCGCGCGCACGAGCGTAGGCCCGGAGGACGTCGTGGGCAGTTGGGATACCGGTGCCGCCTTCTTCGATGGGGCGGGTCTTGATCGTCACACCGTACAAGTCCTCCAGGAAGTGCTTGGGGATGCGCTGGGCGACGAGGCCAGCCGGTCCCGTGAATTCGCGTTGCTGGTCGATGGGGAGGACGCCGCTCACGACAAGCTCGGCCTTGGTTGTGGCGAAGTTGGGGAACACAAGACCGGGACAATCGCAGAGCATGATCTCGGGCGAGAGGTAGAGCGTTTGGAAGTGCTTGGTCTTTCCGGGTGTCGAGGAGACGGACACTTTCTTGGCTCCAAGGAGAGCGTTGATGGTGCTGGACTTGCCGACGTTGGGGTATCCGACGAGACCGATGACCGTCTTTCGCTGCTTAGGGGTGCCGTCTTCCTCGACTTCTTCCTCCTCCTCGGGAGCGTCTGGAGCGTTGGAAAGGAAGAGTTCCTCCAGCTCGTCCACATCGAGGATATCCGTACGTTTGGAGACTGGGGCCTCGCTGGAAAGCTCTACCCCGCCGTCATCTGCGTCCGCCTGTCCCTCCTCGCTAGAGCCCTCGAGGTTCACAGATTCTGTCGTCTTTGCTAGCGTTTCAGTCTCACTCTCAGACTCCGATTCGAACTCCGACCCCTCCTCGTTGAGACGGGCCTCATTGCGCTCCTTCGCTAGATGGGCGGAGAAAAACCGGAAGCTGATTCCACTCCGGTCGAAGTAGTCTGCCCACATCTCTCGCTGCGTTTCAGTCAACATATCCGCCTTGTTCACCAGCAGCAGGTTTCGCTTCTTCGGGTCAATTTCCGTCACGTAGGTTTCGAGATCCTCGGAGCGGAAGAGCAGCGGGTTACGGGCGTCGACAATCTGCACAATGATATCGGATCGCTCAATCACACGCCACAGCTGGCGCCAAACCTCGATATTACGCTCGAACGGCGTCATCAGCAGGTCATTGTTCTCCTGAAGCTCGGCGAGACCACGGCGCCAGTCCATGAAAGCGTCTCGCTCCATAGAGTCGAGCTCATTGCGGGTCGTCGATTTATCCCACTGCGGACGGCGGGGCACGGTGAGCCTGCCCTTGTTCTTCTTGTGTTTCCGGATCGCACTCTGCTCCTCAGCAGCCGAGAGTAGGTAAGGGTTCTTCTGGTCGGCGTGGATGATCTTCACGTTGTTCATCTTTTCGGCCGTGAAGTCGGTTCCGGCAAGCTCAGCGGTGTTAAGGAACTCATCCAAGGCGGCCTGCTCTGTGATACTGCGCATCTTGACCCACGCAGCCTCCTTGTGGGAGTTGGTGATGTAAGTATCTCCATCCATGCCCTTGCGTGTGATGGCGGCATTATGGGAGGCTTTCTTCATATTCGAGGCCTTTCCCTTGCCGAACCGATCGTTCATGAGGCTGTTGCCCAGCCCCACGGCATTTTTAGATTTTGCCAGCACCATGACTGAATAGCGATGGTCGATGGACGTGGGCAAAGTAGTTGATGAAGTTGGGATTTCTTCGAAGATTTCCAACTGCCACAAAAAAAAACCCCGCGGCGGACTGCTGACTCAGCACTTTTCTCTCTCTCTCTCTCTCTCTCTCTCTCTCTTTTTTTTGCTGCTGGAGAATTAGAAATCCAGATATAAGCTGTAGATCAAGACTGCTAGAATATTCCGAGTTTTTCCCACTACTTAGAAATACCAGACATATATCATCTCTATCGTTGTTTTTCTCTTGTCAAACCCAGCGAGGAGGGGTTGGGCACGTGACCCACCACCGCCCGCAATAATTTTTTTTTTTTTATGTATAGCTTCAATCTTGGGAAAACTTTCGATCTCGATCTTGGACCCATCGTCTCTCGCTTCATCATACCCCGTATTTCAAAATGCCTCCCCGAAAGCAGTGGATGTAAGTATTCTTCCTCAACCCCGACCAGTTCTCCTACTGATCTTCCTCCAGCGATAAGAAAAGTGCCACTACTTATCAACTCTTCCACCGATCCCAGAACGACCCCCTCATCCACGACCCCGAAGCCGATGATCGTGTTCTCCATGCTGTGTACGGACCGCCTCCATCTGATCCGTCTAGTTCCTCGAAAGATGCGCGCTCCAAGAACCTGAACGATCTCGCGGGTGAATTCGGATCAGAACGCATTCGAACTAACGAGGGCGAGGCCGCCAACTATGGCGTCTACTATGACGACTCCAAATATGATTACATGCAGCATTTGCGCGAGTTGGGCACGGGGGGTGGTGACTCGTATTTTGTCGAAGCCAACACAAAGGGGAAAGACAAGCCGAAGTCGATGAAGTTGGAGGATGCACTGCGCCAGGCATCGCTAAATGATGATGATGATGACGACGAGGTCAGGAGCACCTGGGATGGCCGCAGCACTGCAAGTTATGCATATGGAGCTGCCTCGACTGCCTCCTCTTTCGTCCGCAAACCGACCTACCAGGACCAACAAAACGTTCCAGATGCCATTGCGGGGTTCCAGCCAGACATGGACCCCCGCCTTCGGGAGGTCCTGGAGGCTCTCGAGGATGAAGAATATGTCGATGGAGACGATGGCGACGACGTATTTGGTCAGCTGACATCCAACGCTGAGGAAATGGACGCTGGTGACTGGGAGGATACTATATTCGATCACGATGAGGAAGACGATGGATGGGAGTCCGACGCCACCGAGAAGGCTCCCAATCAACCAAACACCACGGATGCAAAGCTTCATGCAACATTAGAAGCGGAGTCACTGGCTCCTGGTGAGCTTCCCAGCCATGATGTCCCAGCGCCGGACATGGACCCAGAGGACCAGAGTTGGATGCGCGAGTTCGCCAAGTTCAAGAAGGCAGGCAAGCCCCAAGCAACGCCCGCTGCCGCCCCTAGTGTTGTCCCCTCCGAACAGCGCAGCACCCTAGCATCCACTGTCTTCACTGTGGGAGGAACCCCCATCCGCCGAAAGAAGCGCAAGGGTGCCCTCACAAACCCATCTGCATATTCCATGACCTCGTCCTCCATAGCCCGCACAGAAGGGCACCGCCTGCTCGACGACCGCTTCGAGCGAGTGGAGGCCCTCTACTCCCTAGATGAAGAGGACGAATTCGATGACTCCATGTCCATGGTCAGCGGTATGACCGGGATGACCGGCATGAGCGCAATCTCCACCGCCTCCTCCCAAGCCCCAAGTCTGATCGACGCCAACGGCAACGCCGTCGCCCCACGCCACGACTTCAACAACATCATGGACGACTTCCTGGCCGGATGGGACGGCAAGACTGGCGCTCAGGCAAAGCGCAAGGGCGCTAAAGCCAAGCGAGGCAAAAACGGTAACGAGACCATAGGTATCCAGATGTTGGATGAAATTCGACAAGGGCTTGGTCCAGCTCATCTTTCGGGGCAGGTTCCTGGCCGGGCTTGATGATTTGCTGTCATTTCTTGTTCTTCTCTTTCCTTTCTTCCCCCCCCCCCCCCTCTTATTCTCTCTCTCTCTCTCTCTCTCTCTCTCTCTCTCTCTCTCTCTCTCTCTCTCTCTCTCTCTCTCTCTCTCTCTCGTCAATGACTGCAACGATATCCCTCCGTTATTCTTTATGAAGTACGTATAATCCTAGGATAGGTTGGAAATATGGGGTTCAGGCGTCCCGGTGAAGTATTCCATGGTAGATAGATCTGGTTGATTTGCATTATCCCTCCAAAAGTCTTTTCTTTCTTATTACACTCTCAAGATAGTTACTGGAAAGGGTAGAATATCACATAACAAAGCATTTTTATGTTTCTTGTCATCTCTCTCTTCTTACATTGGTAGTACTTTATTATAGGATCTGGATACCTATACCATATATGCATGCATTCTGGGAAATAAATTAGGGATGTTTTTATCATCGCGCACAAGTCAAAACAAGATAGAATGGTAATTCTACATTCTGGAGCCTCTTAGCTCTAGATAGATAGATAGTCGTTATATTACAGGATACATCTCTCTCTCTCTCTCTCTCTATATATATAAATACAAGCGGTTGACTCATTACTAGTGTATCATAAAGCACCCCCTACCTTCTCAACTATCCACATCGCCAGCCGTACATTCCACCCGACCCGCCTCTCTGTGCGTCGAAGATCCTCCCGCGAGATGGGCTGTGCATGAGTTTGCAACCACTCCGTCTCGGCACCGAGTCTGCGCTTGAGCTCCGCATCCCCGGTGACGACTAGCGCCCCAACTTCAAGATCTAAGCTGTAGCTGCGCTTAGTGTAGTTGCTGCTCCCGACAAAAGTTAAACTGGGATGTTCTTCTTTGGGAAGTGTAATCCAGAGGCCTTTGGCGTGGTATGTCCAGCCGTCTGGTTCTCCAACGGTGCCGCGTCGCCACTCTTTGAGCTGGATGGAGTTGGTTCTTTGGGCTGCGGCTACTCGGTCGAGGAATCGTGCCGATAAGTGCGTATACGCTGCGGGAAGCATGCCGGAGATGCCAGGGGACCCGTAGAATCCGTTGGCCCAGGGCGAAGCCGTGAGCACGGTGCCTCGAGTGGTTGATGACGTATGAGAAGTTGAGGTGCTGGCAATTAGGAGGGAAGACAGGACAGGGTGGATGTTGAAGTACCCTGCTGTGAAGAGCCATCGTGCCCCGGAGAACGCTGGGGAGGTGGAAAGCATTCGGAGAATCGTTGTTACCGCGGGGAACTCTGTAGATGTATCGGGGTTTAGTAAGGATGTGAACTGAGCTACTGGGTACACAAATGTTTGGCTAGGAGATTTTTTGGGTTCAAGTGCGGATTTGTTGTTTGGCGGTTGGATGAGTGGTTTCAACACGGTGGACGAATAGGCAATGAAGTCTTCTGGGTCATCAAGGGGAGACGGAGCCCCATTGGCGGTAGGCCAGTCCAAAAGATATCCTGCTGCATTGTGCGGATCTGGGAGGACCTTGAAACTGAGGTTGCAGATGGCGTTATGGATTCCCGCATAATAATCCGCCAACTCTTTGGACTGAAAGACGTGATATCGATCGACCCGGTTCGTGAAATAGTCCTGGGAAAGATTTGCTCTGTGCAAGAGTTAACCACAGCCCAGAAAATTACTGGAGGCAAGAGGAAAAGCTTACCCCGAAAGCATGATCTCATCGTCAATGCCATAGAGCTTCATATGTTGTAGTCCCCAGCCCTCATTTATTCGTTTAGGAATCCATTTTTTTCGCAGACCCGTCAGATTTGGGGTATGGAACATCCGAATGTCTACCCTCTCCGGTCCATGTTCTGCCACCAACGTAGCCAAAAGCGAAGCACACGAAGGATTTGGCGTCTCTCGAGTTCCTCGTAACGCATCTGTCAAAATCGACACCCGCAGCTCGGGATTGTCGCGAAGCGCCTGATGAATGGTTTCTATCAATTCATATTCCGTCTTGCCGATATACAACGTAGATAGGTAGATACGCTTCCGAGCTTTACGGATTTTATTCTAGAAATAGCGACCATCTTCGCATTAGCTTCCGGATCCCAGACCTGCAGTGTCAAGAATCAAGTCGTACCTTCAGCGTACTATAGAAACTCGCGGGGGAGTCCAAGATTGATATCCGCGACGCGGGGACTTCAAAACATGGTGCAATCCGATCTAGCTCTGCTGTAATGCTCCCTAACGGCGAGGCGCTTGACTGAGCAGCTGTGCATGTGGGATTGGGGACATGGGTTGTAAAGGTGCGCTCCCAGAATTTCCGCCGCACCACGGGGCTGCGTGCGGCACAGCGGATTGTATGGCCCCCAACACGTCCGAACATGGTGCGCGCTGCTACCGTACGGCACTCGCGGGGCAAATCTGCAGGAATTTCCCCACCGTGAGACAATTGCGCTGGGGGAGGATTTTCGGTGCTTCTATGATGAGTTACAGAGCGGAATACAAGCATGTGCAAACCATGCAAACACAATTCCCACGCTAACCCGGATTGGGAGCCTTCAACTTCCGGCCGGAAAGAGAGACAGACGGAGAACGACGACGACGACATTCATTCTCTTGAACCAGCGCAACAAGCGGTACTTTGTCCAAGATGTCGACCATTCTCCGTACATTGCGGAACTTGAGCAGGATTGGCCTTAAGGTTGGCTCTCCCAATGGCTGCGAATGATTTCCATCCCTGCTGCTCAATATGCTAACCCGTTGCTCTTTCGTCGTGCACAGGAATATGGCCATCAGATGCAGGTATGCAACCCTGGGTGGGATTAAGATAGATGAAGCTGGGATACTGATGATACACGTGCGAGTAAATAGTACATGGGTACGGTATCCCCCTCCCCCGGCGACCCGTTGTATGGAGCTTCGTTTTACTGATACAAATACAACTCTAGGTGACACCAAAGCCGGTACCTTGGTCGGCGTTGATCGATTCGGAAACAAATATTTTGAAAACATGGAGGAGGAGCTTCCTCGTGAGTTTTGCGGACAGCTCGAAAGTGGAATTGCTTGGGGATGCTGACCGCGACACAAGTCCGTACCCGTTGGGTTGATTACAAGGAGAAGGAATATGACCCCTCCCAGCTCGAGACCGGCTGGTGAGAACCCCTCGATTTCCTCATGAATTAATGCTTTTCCTCGAGTACCATTTTAACCGCTTTTGTCTAGGCACGCCTGGATCTCTTACATGGTCGATACCCCTCCCACTGGCGACAAGATTTTGCAGACTGGTGTTCGCGCCTGGGAGCTGCAGGAACACAGGCCTAACCTGACCCTGAGCCGTTCCGCTTTCAAGACCTATTCAACGTGAGTTATCGTTTCTGGGCTATCTCGGTGTGAGATAGCATGATATGGAGCGAACTAACGTACTCTAGCGTTCGGCCCAAATACTCAGCATGGACCCCCGTTGCTGCTCCTCGGTAATCTAGCCAAGGTTGTTCTTCCGAGTTAGGTTCTATTAGACCGATGGTTACCGGAGTATTTGTGGGCAATGTGTAAATAAAGATATTCCTATTACAGTTTCAATTCCTCATGGTCATATTTACAAACAAATCTGTGCTTTTCACCGCCTATATATATTTATATATATATATATATATATATATACTAGTCCCATATCTTGCAGTAAGAAGATGCTATCAAGGTATCATCATATTGACCAAACAGCAAATGGCAAAATATGGGAATGTCGTGAAAGGACAGAGGAAACTAAAATCCACCCCAAATACGATATCAAAGCGAACCAAGAAAACAAGACGAACAACTACCCCGATTACAACACATACACACCAGAACCGATATTCGACCAGTGACGAATTGGTCTTCGGTCTTCAAGCTCAATGCACCACCACAGGACCTCTTTCAACTTCTGGACCTGACCTACGGCCTCATAAGCTCGGGAAAGGACGAACCAAGCTTCCGAATTGTCCCACGAGCTTCCACGTTTTGTCAGGGCCGATAGCAAACCGTAAGCCCTCTCCCGAGCAGCGATCCGGTTGATGAGCTTTGGCCCATCATCCTCCACGGTGGAGGTGGGCGTCTGGAAATTCTCCTGAGATGAATCTGGTAGCCCAGACTTGCCCAGGAGTTTGTTGCCGTTTACCTCTCTCGAGGTAGTCGTTGGTTTCCCTGGTGGTGATGATATGGCTGTCGTTGACAGACCAGTTTCAACCCCTTGCTCGCGTGGCTGTAGAGGAAGTTTCTGATCCCAAATATCAAGTAGCTGGCTGGCCAAGCTAATGGTGGCTTTCGGATGATCGGAATTGTATACCAATGCCTCCTCAAAATGCTCCATGGCTTCGTGAGGGCGCGATTGCGCGACTAGCAACAGGCCGCGTTCGGCGTAGATGTCAGCCCACAGTTCGTCGGGGCTTTTTGGCACTGCCCATCCACGCTCACGGAAAGACTGTGCAGAAGCATCTTGGGACGCGGCTATTAAAGTCTCTATTCGCTTTACATGCTTAGCAGCCTCCTCGCACGCTTCCGCAGCATCATCGAAAGACGATGATCGGCGATACAGGCCGGCGATCAGTAGCCAGACTTTGACAAGAACACACAATGCATGTTTCTGGGTGTGTGCATGGGGAAATTTGGTCAATGCTCCAGTGGGGGATTCGAACGCGTACGATGTGGGCAACTGGATATCTTGCTCAGGCGGCTGTTTACTGTGTCCAACAGGAGGCTCCATGCGGCTGTGTTTCATGTTATGAGGTACTGGCGCCAATGTTTGTTTTGCGCTTTGTGGTTGACTTGCCGCACGCGATATTGCATCGTTGGCCATTTCCAGAGCTGATCCATTTTCCCCGTTGGGCTCGTTGATCTCAGGTCCATCGCCGTTGACACGGCTCAGGTTTTGTTCTGCGGAACCGTCCGCCTTCTTGACAGTGTTGCTACGCTTGCGGAGTTTTCGGGAGTCAGATCTACTGACGGTAGGATGGCCATCCCTGGATTTCGGCGGTTCCTCACCAATGACTTGGATAGCAGGTGCCGGATCAGGATTCGAGGACCTGGTCTGAGGCAGTGATTCAACCCTAAGCTCACCACTTAGCGTGATTTTGTGATCTGACATGCGAGAGACCTTCCTTCCGAAGATGCTTCCACGGAAGCTTTTTATAGTACCGGAAGAGCTTTTTGGACGCGAGAGTTGATCTGGCTTAATATTTCCCTTTTCCTCAAAGTCTAGGGTCCGGAATAACGTGGCAAAAAGACTCAGAAGTTGCTCACTATGATTAAGAGCAGCCCCTGGGCCTTCCAGAACCTCCACAAAGGCGAGTTGGGTTATTCGGGTTTCAATGATGCGTTCCCTTTCTCGATTCCGTAGTCGATTAATAAGTGCAAGTGTCATACCGGCTTGCTCCTGCTGATTATTTCGGTTTTTTGGCGGCCGTCTATCACTGTGTGCTAGTGAAGTGACAGTTGCTGGGAATTGCTCAAATGCAGCCTCACAGGACCGTTCCGCAATATCAAACTCTTGCTTGGCACTCAACAGAAGTGCGAGCAGATGCCATAGAGGGAATAAATCTCGCTCATGTCCAAAGTCAACTGCCGTTGGCTCAGACTGCTTGTTCGACGCTAGCGCCGACTTGACGTAATCAATAGCGGCGTCAAGATCACGGCTCTCTGCTAGGAGCAGGGATAAAGTGTAGAGGGAAGAGTAGTTAAACTCATCCTCAAGTTCTGGGGCGATACTTCGTTCTAGACACTCAATAGCTTCAGCTCGGATGTCGTCACGTTCCTCATTCACTGGAGTCCAGCTTGCCCAGGTTGCAAGGCCAATCCCAATGGCTCTATAAGCTGCACCGATGTCGCTGGGCGAAACCACTTTGGAGTCGAACACTATTTTCCTCTCCTGCTCTTCCTCCGAGTCCTTGACGTACTTGCCGATGAACTTTTTCAAGGTTGATATTAAATCCTTTGTTTTCTCTGCTTCCTTGCCAGAGCCGAAGCAACACAAGACGGTAATACCCTCTGCCAGGGTTCGCATGAAAACCCCATCATCCTCTAACTCTTCGTACGGCACTGCCTTTTCCGCTCTTTGCTTGGCACCCATCACGATTTCTATATATGAATCGAGAGCCTTGAAGGCAAGATCAAATTCCGCGAGTGCTGCATGAACATGAAAGAGACGCCTGAGAATCAGGTGAGAATGGTAAGTTTTGGCAGCAGCACGGTAAAGAATCTAGTACTAGTAATTAGCCCACCTGTCACCCAGTAATGCCTTCAGGAGGCACATACCTCTACAACGTTTCTCCCCATGGCATTCTGGCCACCTTCTCCAAGCTCCTCGTCATCCCATTGAGAACCGCAGAGTTGGTTCCAATTCCGAATGACCTGATCAACCCAAGCTTCGACTTGCTTGTTGTCAGAATGGGCAGTTGGGAATTTAGCTTCGCGAATAAGATTAGCTTCGCAGGTAGCTTGTACACGCTGTACCTCGCTGGCAAGTTGTGGGCGTTCAGGGCCATCCGTCGGGGGGGTATATGGCAAGTCATTTTGAAGGACGGCCGAGAGGAGATCATAATAAAACTTCCAGATTTTCGATTTTGGAATTGGCTCGGGATAGCTTTCAAGCGACACATCGGGAGATGAAGTCCCTGCTTTCACACTAGGATGAGAGGCCCATGCCCGGAAAAGCTGAAGAGCAAGCCTCACGAGATCGCCAGTAGCGGCTGCAAAATTGCGGCAAATTTCTTCCCCTGCAACTAGTGCCCCTTCCGCCAAGAGCTTCTCAGACCAATGCAGGAACTGGGAGCTGCTGGGCGACAATGCCTGACCGTGACTGGCCAGCCACTGTGCTAGAGAACTGAAGGTTTCCAGCGCATCAGTCGGACCCGAAACCGCGTTCTGTGCAGCAGCTTTTATGTAGCAGCCCTTGACAAGGCAAATCTTGGTCCATGGGGAGAGTTCGTCGCCGACAGTGGTGAGATTATTCAATGTCTCGTCGAAGTCCTTTGGAAGACGAGCGACAGCTAATCCCGGTTCATTGAGTGTGAAGTGAACCCATCCGAGGCAGACTTCTGCCTGGAATAGTTCCTGGTTTGACCCATCGGCTTTCTCGATAGTAGAAAGAAGCGATGGAATCAATTCTGGTAGGCTGGATGGGGACGCGGAGGCAGGGCGGGCAGCTGACGAGCTTCTATGAACCTGAGTAGTAACTAGGTACTCTGCACTAGCTACATCTAGAAGACCTACATTGAGTGGTGTTAGATTCACAATCTGCTGTCTAAGGTCTGAATTCGAAGGATGAGGAGAAAATAAAGGGGGGGGGGGGTTACATGTCTTTTGCGGTGCATGCTTGGTCACCTTGCGGATAAGCTCAGGAACCTCGTCCCACTTGTTTTGGCACCGAGCATTATCCAGGGCAACAATGTAGCGATGACCCTTTTCAGATTCTCGGCCCTGATCTAGAGTCAGCGAGTACAAGAGCCTAATTTGTCCCTTCGCGGGGTGATAGGGAGGTACCACATAATAGTGGCATGGACAAGGGAATTATTGCAAGGTCCACTTACAGCCATGATTAAGGATGGATGGAGAAGAAGACAGACAACGACAAAATCTGGGGGAGGGCAGTTGAGAAACCATCCATCACTAGAGCGCCCACCCCAATGCTCCGATCTTGTTAATAAGATGACGAACGAACGAGCGACAACGACGACGACGACGATGACAACAACAACGACTCCCCCAGCCCAGAAAGCAACATCATCGGCCAGGGGAGAGAAAACGAACAAAAACCAAGACAAACGACCCGCTTTGGGTGTATTGTAATTGTAATGGTCCTACCTAATCGGTATTGTACCGTATTGTACCGTATCGTACCGAGGCATCATGTGGCCCAAGCTTATCTTTTGTTAAAAAAAAAAAAAAAAAAAAAACGTGACTTCCTAAGCATCAAAGCAAGAGAGCTGCACAGCAATTAAATCACTCCAGCTACTAGCCAGGGAGTGGCTAGATTATCTTCAGCATGGCGCACATGCTTATGTCTTTGCGCGCAGTCAACCATCGATTGACTAATTTGCCTGTCGAGAAGCTCCCTCAAGTTGCTGCTTCCCTCGCAGCCTCGTTGACAGAATGCGGGGAGCTTCTGTCGGCCCCTCAGTCGCAGAGGACGAACAAGGGGGATTCGGAAACGGCCGTTCAGATTCATAAGCTGGTGACTCGACTTACCAGTTTGTTGCAGGATAGGACCTGCGAGGGTCGATGGACTGCGGTGGTGCTGGTGAAGGCGCTGGTCGAAGCCGGCCAGTGGGAGATGCTTCGAGGGAGTGAGCCATTTGTTCGCGGCCTGATGAGCATCTTGAATGTGAGCACACTAGTCAATTGCATTTGAATCATGGAATTTAGTTACTGAGAAGAATTTTGCATGTGCAGAAATCCGACCCTGTCACTACCAAGGTGATGGCCGTCATCGCCCTGACTCGAATTTTCCACCTTACCTACCAGTACCCGACATTGGTCCGCGAGATTACTACCCCATCGCTGCCTGGATTCATTACCTCGACCTTGAATCTCATCTCTGTCAAGCCATCCTCAGAGCCCACCCGGAGGCTGAAGCCCCATACTCCATTCTTGGAAGTCGTTCTTCATGCGCACGCTGAGCTTATCGCTCGACATCCCACTATCTTCCGGCCCTTTACGTCGCAAATCCATAGTATCCTGCAAGCTATTGTTGGATCGACGTCTCCGTCATTCCCACAACCCGTGGTGGAGGTAGCAGAGCAGTTGTTCATTGCCCTTCACACCTGTGCCCCCAAGAATACAGGCGGGGAAGAATGGAAGAATGCTTGCCGCATGACGATTACTTCAATCCATACTACCTCGAATCATGTCTTGAGAGCTATTGTTGAACAGTGGGAATCTGTTGACCCCGAACTACGACAACAAGTCTTACACCCTGGTGACTACGCTCGGGAGATGGGCAATGCTGAGGTTGACCCACTGGGGCTCTGCGGTTGGCAAGGGTTAGATTCTGGAGTTCGCAGACTGGTTATTCTTTTACGGATGCTTTCGGCCTTTTTATCGACGGCTACAGCGTCTACAGTTGCGATCCCCGTGGGATCTATTCTAGATTTAACCACACGGCTGATGTCTGTGACCGTCCCGTCTGACGCAAGCAATGTGCAGGCCAACCCACAAATCAGTCGGACGGAGAGGGAGCACCTCTTCGCGGAGTTGCCACGAATCCACAGCGCAACCGCCAAGGTCCTTCAGACTCTCGTTAATACGTTGGGGACAGGCGTTGTCCCGGTGGCTCAGACGATTTTGGAGCAGACTCTTTGGGTGTTCCGGGCGGAAAAGTTCAGCAGGGAAGTCCGGGCCTCCGTGTATGATTTGATCCAAGCGTTGGTCGCGCATGTCGGCCAGTCCATGACCAAGAAAAATGTCTCCTCACTGGCCGACATATTACGAACCTGCTGCTTGGATCTTTTGCCGCCGGAGCGCGACGCAAAGGAGGCATCTTCGGACTCGAAAGGAAAATCCAAGACAAACCCGGGCGCCGTCAATGCGGATTTCTTCCTCAACCCTAATCTCAAGCAAGGCCGCCAAACAAACACATCCTCGAATTTCCCCATCCTTACAGAAGCTGCCTCAGACCTTCTTCCGGTTGTACTCAGCTATCTGCCGACGGAATTCATCTCACCTCCCCTTCGCGCCGAAATTGACAGTACAATCATCATGACCTCCGACAAGAAGGCAATGTTTGCTAGTGTTTTGAATCCTTTACCAGCTGTCAAGGGGCGCGGAGCGAACGTTAGCATCATGCCTTTCTTGGCCAGAAGCTATGCCTCAGATCTGGAAGTGGAAGGCCTTATCAGACCTCGAATGCCTGTTTTGACAAATGCGAACAGCATTGGCCAATATAATACTCTAGAAGACGACGAGGAAGAAGATGAGCCCATGTCCACCACCCCTGCGCCCCATGTTGCTCTGAATACCAGTGGGTTCCTCAAGCCCTCTTCGACCCCAAATCTTCACCAAGATCTCATGGACGTTGACGCACCTCAACAACAACCTACCCCGATCTCAAACAAGCGCCATTACGCGGAAGAGTCCGACGCAGCACGGACGCATGTGCCCACTGGTGTAGCGGAAAATGTCACGGAGGCAGCACAAGGAAAGAAGGCTCGCTTCGATGGCAATATTTTAGCATCTGCTCGGGACCCAACCTCTCCTGATTCTGCTACCTCTGCGAGAACCTCGGCTGCCTCTGCGCTAGTATCCACCGCACCAGATAAAACCACTGTCGCAGTCCAAACCCTTTCAGCCAAGAAGGGCGTATCCATGCCTAGCGCTAGCGCTGCGCCTACTGTTGGTCAGGTTGGGTCTGTGAATGCAGCGCTCTCAGAAGGAGATGGAAGTGACGATGAGATGCCGAGCTTGAACATCGATCCAGACACTGATAGTGAAGCAGAAGAGGATGAGTGATACCGGAAAGCCAAAACGGATACTAGACTAGGGTATTTGGATATAAACATGAAAAATGGGATTTATCTTACTGTGATTAAATTAAATCCATAACTAATTGATGTGAGAAATGTTATTCCAAAAAAAAATTACCCAATTTAGTGATGGGCTAAAAAATGCTTCTAATTTTGCTTGTATAACTAACTCCCCGCCCTCTCTAGTAGCTTTCTTTAAATCTCTAGATAAATATACATTCTAAAACAAAGAAAAAAAAAAGATAAGACATCTATACCCAGGCAATGCAACAAAAAAAAAAAAGGTTATAATTACCTATAATATACGCACTCCCCTCCCCCAATAAGTACCATCATCATAATACTCAAACCAAGCACTTTGCCAACAAAGCCAGCCTTGTCCACTCAACCCACGCACCAAACTAAATGGCAACGGCTCCGTCAGCCAGATTCCGCCCCTGGCGAAATCATCCGCGATATATCGCCCGGAGAACAGCAACCACCCGAGCACAAACCCCGCATTCGCCGCTCGAGACAGCCAGGTCGGTGCAGGGGGGCAGTTCTTTCCGGAGAGCCACGGCGCCACGGCCCAGGAACACAACTCCTGCACGAAGATCCCGACGGCCTGGAGGAGGAAGAACAGGAAGGTCCCCGAGACGGGCTGCGTGTCGCCCAGTTGCGTGTAACTGCCGGCAGAGTGCATGAGGCCGCTGATGCCGAAAGCGACGAGGGTCATGATTGTTCGGCGCATGCGGCGCCGGGCTGCGAGATGGCTGGGTAGGAAGGATATAATCCATTTTGCGGTGGATGTGAATCCGAACCGGAAGATCTGGTGCCACCATCGGCCCCAGACACCTGCGAGGCCGTGCTCCAGAATTGCGGCCAGGGAGCCGAATGGGGGTGCGTAGAGCCAGGGAGCGTCGAGGGGGACCGAGGTTAGTGCTCGCGAGGCGGTTGGGAATGCGAGCGATAGCCCTAGGAAGAAGAGTGGGTTGAGGGCTGTTACGAACTGCAGGGCAAGGAAGATACCGGTGCCGGATAAGAGGAGACGGTATACGCGGACCAAGCCCGGGGTTTCTGAGAGATGATTAAATGGGAATGGAGGCGGCGTGGGTACTGCGTTGAAGAACCACGGATCCCGGATCATGATCAGCTTGAGCAAGTCTATACATAGGTAAGATATGATGAAGCGTGTCAAGGCAGTTCGGACACGGGATTTGGCTCCCGGGAAGGGTGGTTGTTTGTGTTGTCGGTGTGAGGCATGTCGTGCCGAGTCAACGAGATGAGGAGGAAGCGGGTCTAAACAAGATATTCGCCAATTCCATTCGGGTCCGCGCATGTTGAATACCAAACCTAGCACCCAATTGAGGCGATGCGGGAATGTTTGCGGATATGGCTGCCAGACCAATGTTTCGGCTGTCGTATTTCCTGGATTGGGACCCTGGTTTCCCTCTTGTATGGCGACGCCATTTCCCTGTCCGTGGGGTGTTTTCCCGCTGGTATGCCGTGCTCGTTCAATCCGCTGGAAGTTGTGTTCAGGGTCGTTGAAGAAGAGGAGGGTAGCGCACCACACGAACCACCAAATAACGATCAAGCCCACCATATATCCATTGGCCCCGAGTCGCATTCGACGAGATCGGAGAATGTCAGCGCCCAGGCTCAGCGTCGCCACGAAGAGGAGTGATCGCACATAGTAGCCGCCTTTCTTGTGAGGCACCAGGAGAGCAGCGATGGGAAGCACGATCAACAAGGGGAAATGCCAGAGAAAGACAGGCTTCAACACTCCTTGCCGTATGAGGGACTCGAATCGGTTGTGGTTGTTGAGGACAATGCGCTTGTAGGCTGGAAAGACCTCGTCCGCCATACGGTGATCGGGGGGGCGAATTCTCCGACGACAGGGAGAAATGACGCTCAACTCCGTTAATACGACGAGGAATGACAGTTCCTGGATTTAGGGCGGCTGCACGATCATCGTGAAACTGGACAGAGAAAGGAACTGGATTCAGGTTGATGGAGGACGGGCGGGCCAGAGACGAGGGGATACGGCGGTACATACGTATCACAAACGGGCAAAATCGGCCACACCCAAATTCAACAATGTTTGTTATTCCACTGCAGAGCTGAAGGAATGGTTTCCCCTCCATATCCCCAGTGTATTTGGAGCAGGAATCAAGCACAGTTGAGAGAAGCTTATTTTGTGAAGGGAAGTATCTCTTCTAGGAATCATTCGACAAACTGTGGCTCGACCAGCTCTTGCCCATCCACGGTTAGTTTCCACAGTACGGAGTAAGAATATATCCATGCCTTTCTGCCCACCTAAACCGCTACCCGCTTTAGGTGCGCCACACATTCTTCGCGATCATACATTCTTCGCGATTTTTTAATATTTGAAGCTATACAACAATAATAATACTAGTAATTAAAATAAAAAAACTCTCTAGCTTCTTTAGCATGTCTTGCATTATTAATTCCTCTTTGAATTGACTCCTGCGAGCATGGAGGGGGTAGAGAACTATATACTTTCTTTTTTTACTTTACTAACCTCCTCTGCTCATGTTCAGCATCCTTTGCCTTCCTATCTTTAATTAATTAAATAGTATCACGAACTCTTAGAACCCTGTTACTAGATAGACCTTTAATCTAGCGCTTAGTATAAACCTGGTATTAAGGCTCTTGCATGGCCCTAATTCTTTAAATTACTTCCTAGATTATTTTTAGCTCCTCAAGCTTCTCTACCTAATATTAAAAGAGTTTTAATATATTCTGCCTTGCCTAGTTAGATACCTTATCAAGTTCCTTTATAACCTTTGCCTGATTCTTTAGAAGAGCCTTTATTATTGCTAGAGGACTATTTTTAACACTGGAGGATAGTAATGGTGGTGGAGATAGGGTTTGACAAAGATTAATTAATGTTGGAGTGCTGCACTCAGTGAATGCAACCAGCACCACCATAAAGCAGCATCACTATAAAGAAGAAGATAGTGACACGTGACTACTTTGTGTATTTAAGGCTATTATTTCCTTCTAGATCTCCATGCTTCCTCCAAGTATCTTTCTATTTCCTAGTTAGACTAATTAAATCTATTTCGGTCAACTTTCTACTATTATTATTTAATGACCTCTTATTAGGTTATGAGCCCTCCTTAAGGTTCTATTTTATACTTTATAGACCTCTAAAAACTCTTATTATACCCCTATACTAGAGATCTGCTCCCTAATTAGATAGAGATCCTGGTAGAAATACTACCTATACTACTATTATATTACTCTACCTGGGTAATAATATATAGAAAATCTCTATAATTTAACTAAAATAGTAACTAAATCTACCCCTGGTAGATACCTTAACATCCCTAACTTATTATACCTACCTTTAATGGCTACTACCCTATTTACTAATAGCCAAAATTAAGTAATAAAGCTAAAGAATAGTATATTTAACTTAAGCCTGATAATAATATTAGAAAATAATTTAAAATTTAAAATTTAGGCTTTATTTATATAAATAGAGTTAAGACTTTATAAGATAAATAAGCTTCTTAAAAGTAATATTTCTAAACTATAATTTAATAATCTTAAATATAAATTATAAGAACTTCTTTTATAAATAGTAACTAGTTAGATACTATATTTAATAAGTAAGAAACTAGTAGAGGAACTACTAATAAATACTATCTTATATATTTTTATAGATAATTTTATATAGAAATTATAAAGAATAATTATTAGTAATAATTAAAGATATATATACTAGATATAGAGAGAAATTATTAAGATTAAGTATAAGAATTATATAATTATTAATAAGTTTATATTAGATTTTATTTAAAAAATAAATATTTTTAATAAATTAAAAATAATTATTATATTTTATTAAGTAATTACTATAATACTTTAGGAATTTAAAAAGAATAATATAAGTTTTATAAATTTAACTTTAAATAATCTAAATAATAATCCTATTAAAATAATTATATAGAAGTATTTTTATATTATATATAATATAATAAAGGACAAGATTTAGAAAAATCTATTATTTAATATTATATCTAATACTACTATACCTGCCATAAATATATTAAGTTCTTAACTAATAAATAGAAGAAAGTAGTAGTAATAATAGAAATATATATTATTATAGAATATAATAATTATAGGCTATATTAATTATTAATTAAAGTAATTAAGGAAACCTAGAATACTATACTTATTTTATAAGGAGGAAAAATATAATACTAAAGACTACTTATATTTAGTAATTAATAAGTAGAAGAAAGAGTAGAAACTAACTTTAATACTTTAGTATTTTAAGTTATATAAGTTAAAGAATAAGAATAATTTGACCTAAAATTAAGTTATTACTCTAGCTATATAAGCTAATACTATTCTAGATACTAATAATTTCATACTATCTAGAGTTAATATACTAATAGCTTTAATATTAATTACTTTTAGGAATAAGTAGCTATATAACTCTAGAGCAGGCTATATAATATATAATAATTATAATCTCTTTAATAATCTAATTAAAGATCTAAATAACTTTAAGAATTATGATTTTATTACCTTTAATAGCAAGGTAGTATATCCCCAAGATCATGGAAAAGTAATAATTTAATTTAAATTAGATAATAATACTTTAATATTATACTAAATAGAATATCTTTAGAATCTAAATATACTATACAACCTGATACTAGTAGAAAGAATAAAGGTAGAATTAAGAATCTATTTTGACTTAAAAAATTAATATATTTATAAAATAGTAATAGATAAGGTAATTAGATATACTATTTTAGATAATAATATCCTATTTTTAGTTCTAAATAAGGTAGTAATCATGCCTATTGTCACGGCGCGAAGCCGTAGTACCTATCTAGTTAGATTCTGCCTTGACTGTCCACCCTTATCCCTATATTTAAGCTATATTATCCTTAATTCTATTATAGCTCTTTGAGCTATGTCCTATCTATTATTTAATACTTACTATTCTACTATTCTATCTAGTTAGCTTCTAGTTAATAAATATCTAAATCTAATTCTACTCCCTAATATTATATAGCTTCTCTTTACTAAAAATTAATTACTATTATTATACCTGCCTTACTACTTATATTACCTAAAAATATAGAAACTCTCCTATATAATACCCCTAATAAATTAAGATAATATATTATTAAAATATACTAGTTCTTTATTACTATTATAAAAAAATTCTATAAATTATTTATTTTATATTCTACTATTACTAACCTTCTTAACTATATTTAATAAAAAAATAATATAATTAAGTACTAGAAGATATAAATTAAAGAAATCTAATAAAAGTTATTTAAAATACTTACTTAAAATAATATACTTTTTTAATTATTATTTTTTTTTAAAAGAAATATTAATATTATTATCTTTTTTATTACTATTATTATTTTTATTATACTTATTTTTATTATTTAAATTTCTAAATAATTTCCTAACCTTAATAAGTTTAATAATTAATAAAATAATTTAAGATACTTTACTTCTTAAATTTATTAGAAAATAATTATAAACCTTAATTATTTTCTAACCTTAAATAATAAAATAGTTTATATAACTAATTATCTTAAAAGAATCTTATATATTTAAATTTTATTATATATTTAAGATAGAATCTATAAATTAAATAATTATATTAAGATTTTAGAAATCTTAAAGAAAGCTTTTAAAAACCTAAATCTAGAAATTAATACTTATATTAATTTATTCTACCTTTAATAAACTTACTATAAATTTAATATCTTTTTTATTAAATTTTAATATCTTATATTAAAAGAGAATATAAATAAAGATATCTTACTTATAATTCTAGAATAGGCTATTAACTAAAAATTTTAAAAAATATTAATATACTTTAAGGCCCTATTATAATATTATAACTTTACTAATTATTTATAAAATTTAGAAAATTATTATTATTATTATATAAATACTATCTTACCTTTATTTATAAAAAATTCCTAGCCTCCCTAATCTATCTTAAAGCTAACTTCTACTACCTAAATTCCTATAATCCTTATTAATCCTGTTATTACTACTACTCCTACTAAAGACCTAATAGATTTATTTATTACTTATTACCTTAATTATTAAATCTAATACCTATATTACTACTATAGTAGCACTAATTATCTAATAAGTAGCTACCTATACCCTAATTAAAGACTAACTAGCTATACCTCTATATTTATTACTAAACTAGACCTATACTTCTTATTAACTAGAATCCTGCCTACTAAATACCTTATATCCCCTAAATTAGAAAATAAAGTATTTCTAATCTAAATTATAATTAGAGATACCCCTAGCACTCCCTCTACTTATTAAAGGCTATAATAGCTAGAATAATAGTAGAGGAGGAAAATTACTAATCTAAATTAATAATTTTATTTATTAACTTAAAAATCTCTAATAAAACTCTACTAATCTTTATAATAATTAACTCTAGAGCTAAAAATAAATATTTTATAAATTATAATTAGGCTATAAATAATTAACTAAAGATATTATTATTAAAGAATCCTATTTTATTAAGGAAATTTAATAGTACTCTAGTAGAATTTAATTATATTATTTATTTTATTTATTTAATCTAAAAAATTTATAACTATACTAAAAAAAATATTATTTTTCTTATAATTTAATTTATATACTTTCCTATTATTTTTAACTTACTTTAATTAAAGACTTATAATCTCTAGATTAGATTTACTAATTATACTATTTTATTTAAAAGCTCTTATTATAAAAAGTATTATAATATATCTCTAAAGCTTATAAAGATTTTAATATTATATAATATATTATTAAAAGTTTTTTCTTAATACCTTAATTCCTATCCTAAATTTTTAAAGAATTAAGATATTATTAGAGTCTTAATTATTATTTATACTATATATACCTACTATAAATACTAGATATTTATTATTATTATTATTAATATTAAAGCTACTTTAAATCTTATTACTATTATTAAATTTAAGTTATAAGAGTAATTACTCCCTAAGTTTACTAAATTCTATAATATATTCTTATTAAAAAAGGCTAAGTACCTACTATCCTACTAATTTAATAATTATAAGATTAAACTACTACCTAGAAAAATCCTATCTTTTAAGAACCTATATAGCATGTCCTAAGATAAATTAAAAATTTTAAAGAAATAGATTAAAAAAAATCTAAAAAAAGATTTTATTTATTCTAATTTCTCCCCTAC